TTGCTGGTAGATGACTACAAGTCTGGGCATCTTTCTGTCTACTTCATTGTCTAAGTCCTTGCTGTCTATTACCTGTCCCTGGATAAGATCTGGTGGCTTCAATTCGCCTACACTTGTGGTACCGAGGCCAACTATGTCGGCATGGTCTGTGGCTTACTAAGTGAACAACAGCTGCGACGACCCTAACTAGGGCTTGAGATCTTGATCATATAATTTTTCTTGTTATTTTTGTCAGCGGAATAGACACACATACATCATGGACTGGACATATTTCGACTGTTGAAGAACTCGGTCTCGCGCAAACAGCCCGGCTCGAGATACGGGCTGCCTCACTGGGGCCCCCCTCTGTGTTCTGAATTTGGACGCCTGTTCCACGACCGCTGTGCCTGTCGGCCTCTCAATTCTACGTAATTCTACCAATCGTTTGATTCTATTTGCCGAATTGCTACATGCTTGGGTGTATGCTTTGCCTTGACATTATTGCATCCCGTAGAGCTCGGCTTTGCTAGGATTGACGTCCTGAACAAGCCACAAGGCCACCCTGGACAAACAGCCTGACCGGAACCGTGCTGCCTCCCGGGAAGGAATGGAGAAAGTCAATTTTGAGCAAGGCCTATGTTCCTATTCTCGTAGAACCGGCCTTGACATTTGTTCATAAACGGCATCTCTTGCGTCGGCTTGTCGCTTGCTCCGACTGACACGTCGGTATGCATACCTGGCCGTGTGACCAGTTCGATATGATCTACGACGGCCCCCCACGACCGGTATAGAATGCTGCATATCCTCATGGATGATGCTGAACAACCGATGCCAGGCTTTCTCCAGGAACGGCCCAATCCAATGCCTCTGTCTCGCACTGTCTCGTAACGTTGCGCACATCCAGCCCCCGAGGTGTTCTATTAGGCTTCCATCTCCGGAAAGGAGTGCTTGGTGACAGCGGGACCCTAGAGGCTTTGCAGATCCTTCTAATCCTTCGGGTGCCTAAAGCAGGGGCTTTTGGCTCATGGATCGCCGCGGGCAGGATTCAAAGTGGTGACACCGCGGGATGCTTGCATGACACTGAGACGAAACCCACATGCCTAGGGAACCGACCCTGAGGCTTGGTCGTCGTGCCTGGTTACTGACACATGCATGTACTATTAAGTAACAGACTGCGGATCCTTGCCAAGATGCTTGTGCTCCCGGTGAGGCATCCTGCCTTTCAGATGTCACCATCTGGGAACGATAAGGTACGCTGTCAATGTGACGTTGTTTCTGGGGAAGAGATTCGTGCCCTCGGGCGACTTGAGAACAGACGAGCAGCCATTTGGACAGAACCAATAATGTCCAATGTGCTTGGATTGGCCGTTCCGCAGAAGACCCCGTCAACAAGCTTTCTTTGGCGGGTCCCTGGACAAAATTGACATGGCTTGCTCAGACGCAGATCGATCACTTTCGACCGACAGCCATCTCGTCACGAACACTCCCATACCCCCAAAATATCCTCGGCATAATGGTTGGGTTCAATTATAACATATCCATGTTAACAAGGGTAACCTCATCATTACCCACCTAAGTACGACGCCAACGTGCCTAGATATCTATTGTCAAATCAAACACGTTGCTCTTGGTCTCAGGGAAGAGAGGAAAACCTCCATCACCCGAGAGGCGAGCTGAAGGCGTTTCCGGTCAGTAAAATAACTCGCCCATTGTTTTTTCCCGTTTGTGTCCCGCGCGCAGACAAAGGTACCACAGCCCAGTATTCTGAGCTCGAGCTTGTGGCAGTTCAGCGGATGGCACATCCAATGAGCATGCCTGTGCGACAGAGATCGGCTCGTAATTTTTCTATATTTACGTGGCAACTGCGGAAGGCAGTGTATTGGAGTTCGCGTGCAACCTATCCATATCCTGCCCCCAAATTTGCGGCATCAAACGACTGGCCCTCGGAGAATCCGTTCGAAAGGTCTCTGAAGGCAACCGGGAGCCCCATTTTGTCTGAAATTGACACTCTCTGAATCTATTGTCAAGTTACAGTGTGCTGTCAAAGCGCGAGAGACACGCACGCGCGTGCCAAAGCCAAGGACATAGCGGCATGGGTCCTCCGCGAGATACTGTGACGGCACTGACGGAATTCGCCCACTCCGTCTGGTCAAGAACACAGAGTGTGTCTTGATGTAGCTGGTCCTCTACGAGTTTCCCATACATGATTCCTACCAAATTGTGGTTAAGGAATTTTCGTTCGTGATTCTGGCGCTCCAAACATGCGACATCGCTCTGTGAATCTCGTAGGTGGACAAGCCAGACAGGACGAAGGGACGGACGGCTTCACTGGCGCCTGCCTACTTGACGGGCCCCATATACAGTCAAAGTTTCGATAAGTCTAGGAAGTTAGAAGGGTTTATGAATTCTTCACCTATTCAAATTACCAGAGATATCCCTCAGGAGTTATGACTATTTCATTGTTTGGGCGGGATCGTCCAATCCGGTTCACAATCCGTGAGCTCCAGTCACCGTGACATCAAGTCAGAAGGGATCGCGCTTTCCTTCACTCGACAGAGAAACAGAGGTTCTATTTGGGACATTCGCCGGCTGATTCTTCTTCTGCACATATTTCTCATCCTCCGCATGCCGTCAGAGAACAGCATCGCAGGACCGTGCCTTGTTCAACGCCGTTTTGAGTGGTCACCCATGACACACATAGCTGCCTCCCCGTGTGCCGCTCACCAAAATAAAAATCGGCGGCAGCACCAGTCGGATGAACACAATGCCAGCCCAAGACAAATCATCGGGCATTGAGCATGTCAAGCAAGTGTCACTCTTTCGCAGTATGTTGTTCGACTTGGGAATGTCGCTCACTGACAGCATTCAAGGCCGCAACATGAAATCAATCCCCACATAGAGAAAGCAATTCATCACTCTACGGCAATTCACGGTACCGACCTTACGGCCAACCTTGATGCCAAGATCAAGAACCCGCTTGCCGGAATCCCCAAGCACGAGCTCATGTCCCAAGTTGAAGACTTTGCTGATGAGAAATGTCTCGTCGAGTACACCGATATCTTGAAGAAAGGGGCGTTGATCGCCCAGGATCCTGAGAATTACGACAATATTCTCGGAGAGCACCAGCTTACCCAAGAAGAATGTATGGCCCTGCAGGCCGAGGTAAAACACAAATGGAGAGTTCCAAAGATGCTCTACCTGACTATAATCACCTGCTCCATCGGCGCCGCCGTCCAGGGCTGGGATCAGGAGGGTAGCAATGGCGCGAACCTGTCCTTCCCCCAGGCACTCGGACTCGACTTGAATACCACGTTTGGGACATACATTCAAGGACTGATCAACTCCGGTCCTTATATTGGCAGCGCGTAAGTTTGTCTCCATTCACTAATCGTACAATAGACTGACGTGAAACAGCCTTGTTGGATGTTGGGCATCTGACCCCCTGAATTTCTATTTTGGACGAAGAGGCATGTAACACATCTATGGCTTTCACTGATGCCATGCTCTAACAAGATCACCAGGAGCCATCTTCATTGCGGCAAACTTCTGCTTCTGGCCTGTGATCGGCAGTGCCTGCGCTCGAACATGGCAACAGCTTCTTGTCTGCCGTCTTCTTCTAGGCGTCGGGATGGGCGTAAAGGGAAGCAGCGTCCCCATTTTTGCAGCCGAAAACTCTCCTGCTGCCATCCGGGGGGCTCTTGTCATGACATGGCGTAAGGATCTTTGACAGCTAACAATCTGCTGACCCTGCTAACATCTGATTACAAGAGTTATGGACTGCCTTCGGTATCTGTCTCGGAACGTGCGCAAACCTCGTTGTTGGCAGCACCGGCGCGATCTCGTGGCGGCTCCAGTTTGGCAGTGCTTTCATCCCAGCTGTGCCTCTGATGGTTTTTATCTTCTTCTGCCCCGAGTCTCCTCGATGGTACATGAAGAAAAATCGCTACCCGCAAGCAATGAAGTCACTTCTCAGACTGCGGAACCATCCTGTCCAGGCAGCTCGTGACCTTTACTGTATTTACGCTCAGCTCGAGGTTGAAAGAGAGATCATCCACGGTTCGACCTATATACAGCGCTGCATCGAGCTATTTACTGTCCCGCGCCTCCGACGTGCCACCTTGGCCTCTTTTGTCGTCATGATCGCCCAGCAAATGTGCGGGATCAACATTATCGCATTTTATTCATCCTCAATCTTCGAGCAGGCTGGCACCTCCGCTTACACCGCCCTCCTCGCCTCGTTCGGCTTCGGTCTCGTCAAGTTTGTCTTTGCCTGGCCGGCTATCTGGACCATAGACACCTTTGGTCGGCGATCTCTCCTCTTGTTTACATTTCCAAACGTAAGCTCTTTCGATCAGACTTTGTCCCCTGGCAAATTCTAACCTTTCAGATGGCCTGGGCCCTCCTTGCTGCGGGTCTTTGCAACCTCATTCCGGGGCCGGGATCCGTTCATCTTGGCCTCGTCGCACTCTTCATTTACATCTTTGCAAGCTTCTACTCGCCTGGCGAGGGCCCCGTGCCCTTCGTATATTCCGCCGAGGTCTTCCCCTTGTCTCACCGTGAAGTCGGAATGGCCTGGGCAGTCGCAACCTGCTTCTTCTGGGCATCCGTCCTCACTGTTTCGTTTCCAGCCATTCTCAAGGCGCTCGGTGTCGTGGGTGCTTTCTGTTTGTATGCGGGCTTCAACCTGATTGCTTTTGCCATGATATTCCTCTGTGTGCCCGAGACGAAGCAGCGCACACTCGAAGAGTTGGACTACGTATTTGCGGTGCCGACCCGTACCTTCATCAAGTACCAACTCAATGCCTGGCTGCCATGGTTCATTAAACGCCATGTGCTCTTCAACAGGAGCGCGGAACTTAAGCCGCTGTATCATTTTGACAGTGTTGGAAGGACCGTGAGCGAGGAGGAGAGTGATAGCATTGATTCCAAGGCACAGGCTTACCTCAAGGAGGACCGTGCTGAGAAAAAAGTCAGTTTCGTAGCGCAATGATGGGCTGCGTCACGTAGTTGTTGTCGCCTTGCTTGGTTAGATGAGGAGGAGAAGCCTGACCTGGAATTAAGCTTGGATGAGCACTATTGGGGGCACATCTTTCTGTCGGACATGATATATCGATTTCTTTCTCCTGTGTAGTACCACGTCTTGACTGTATCTCTACAGACGTGTTCAATAGGTATAGCATAGGTTTTATGTGGGCAAGCATCCGGCTCAATGAGAATAATAAGGCCTCTGTTCGCAAGTCTAGGCAGTAACTGTAACATTTTCTACTTACGTCCATCAATTAGAAACAATCCAGAAGAATCCCCCTAATTACCATGGCGCAGCAGGATGGGACTGGTGTGATGACTGACAGTCTATGATGAGCCGCCCCCGCCACAAGGCCCTGAGCTCTCAAAAGCTTGAGAGACTAGGAAGCGAACTCTTTTCTTCTCTCTTATTCTTAACTTGACCAGGTTTCATTCTGAATCTACAATATTGAACGAGGATTTAGAGCATTTCTTTTTTGTATGTCTCTCTGTGACAGCGTCATTCCGACAACTTGATGCTTTCTTGATATGCTGCGACTGATATATGTTTTCTGAGTTTTGTAATATTCCAGACTATGCTTGCTTGTTATAATCCACGATCAAGGAGTCATGTACGCTTTCGCTTATCTTTGCTCAACTTGACCAATGTCATCTCATGAAGCCTTTGCTCTCAGACCTCAACTGACTTGAGAAAAGGCTTTTCCTGTGTTAATGTCACTGTATAGATGAAATCATTCTACTCTGCTTCCCCGTCCCCCCTTTTCGTGGTCTAAACTTTGTGCTCCTCGGCAGTGACTCTGATGGTCTCACCTTAGAAAGACGCTGTCAATTGCGCGAAGTCTGTTCTCGGGGCTTGTTAGGAGACAGAAAATGGACTCCAGGAGCCGCTAAGCACACGGCAATCGACATAGTCTAACTTCGCCTTGAATTCGAGCAAGCGGTTTCTCATCATGTCTTGTTGATCTCCTTCTAGGCCCGGCAGATCCTTCTGGTGCTTCACAATTATGTTTACACCTTCTAAAGAAAGGTATGTGTACTGTGGGTGATTCTAAATTGGACTATCTTAAGTAGTTTGATAAGACAAGCGCATATCTGACCGCGGCATAAAGAATCCCAGTTATCTTCAATTTCGTGCCAGTTGCATACTGGCTTATGACTGCATCGAAGAAGTGGCATTCCATCCGGCGCACCCCAGTCTCCGTGGCCGTTGCTTCAGGCAATGCTGCCGACGCCAAGGAATCTCACCGAATCCTATCATCCTATGCTGCCAATGCTACGCTGACGCATTTATAGAACTTGTGATTGTATGCCTAGACAAATATGTAATTACCGAAATAGTTTTTGAAAATTACATCGCTGCCTATGAGAAACCATTTATGTTATGATCTGAGTGTAAATACCCTGAAATTCAGGAATGCAAGCGTCTGTCGACCTTGGTTGTCTACAGTACGTGAGTTGTCGCTTAGATCACGTTGCCTCACAAATCAACGGTCATCATGTCCCTCAATGGCTCCACATCAAGCCGAGTCGTCATCATCGGTGGCGGTCTTGCAGGCATGACGACGGCGTTGGCTTTGCAGCGCGCTGGTCACAGGACGACTGTTCTTGAGCGCATGCCCGAATTTCAAAACGTACGTATACAATCTGGAACCTTATTGACGGATGATGGCTAAAACATGTCAATCAAGTTCGGCGGTGCAATACACCTGCCCCCCAACGCATGCAGGGCGCTGGAATCTCTGGGGATGCTGCCAGCATGCCAGAGAGAAGCTTTCGAGGAGCACCACATCACTCTGATGAGCTACTCCGAGGGTACTCTCCTGAAGCGAATGGACCTGGTACCGGATATGCAAACCAAGTATGGCCTACCCTACCTCAGCGTTGGGCGCGCCCCTCTGCACCGCGCCTTAGTGGACGCCGCACTAGCAGCCGGCTGTGTCATTGAATACAGCTGTACGTTCACGTCGATCGACTTCAGCGCGAGCACCGTGTCTCTCGCAGACGGTCGGGTACTGGAAGCGGACCTTGTCGTCGGTGCAGACGGCGAGGGTTCGCAGTGTCGCGCTTTGCTGCTGGGACGACCAGACCCGCCCTTTCACTTTGGGCACAAGGTCTTCTCGTGCCAGATCGCCCTTTCAGACCTACGAGAAGACCCTGCCCTGGCTGACTTAGCCGGAGACCCGGGAACGCGTTGGTGGTTGGGCCCCGGCACGATGGCCATCGGCACCATTCCGGGCGGACCAGCTCAACACATGAATTTGATGGGTGGTCTCCCTGAGTCCGAGGACACCCCCGTGCAGGGCCATCCAGTTCCGGCGACTAAGGAGGAAGTCAAGCGTGTCTTTCAGTCCTGGGATCCTAGGATTTCTAAGCTTGTCGACCTCTCCGTCGGCTGCGTCAAGTGGACATCGACCGCCACGGCGGTGCTGAATGACGGCTGGGGCTCACCTTCCGGCCGGTTTGTCCTGCTAGGCGATGCGGCGCATGCAATGACCCCGTATCTGGCACAGGGCGCAGCACAGGGTATCGAAGATGCCATTGCCCTGGGTGCCTTGCTCTCGCACGTCACGAACAGTTCAGATGTTCCCCGAGCGTTGCGCATCTTCCAAGAGGTACGCGAGCCACGGTGTAGTAGACTCAAGGAAGTCAGTATGAAGTTGCGGGATGTGTATTGCATGCACGACGGGCCTGGGCAGCAGAAGAGAGACCATGAGCTCTTACACACCGAGTTGGGTCCCGGATTCGTTATCCCATGGCTTGACCCTGAGTTTCAAAACTGGATGTATTCGTATGATATTGCGAAGGAGGCGCATCAGGCTTGGCTCACCTCTGAACATTCTCAGTAATATTTACCAAGTTACGTTGCACTCAAAACTTGTTACATAGCGAAGAACATCCCCCAATGTACATCGATCAAGAGTTCTCTGCGTTAAAATTCGTTTTCAAGACGCTGCTTGATTGCAACCCATCATCTAGCTTTGCTCATATTGGTCCAGCTCAAAATCGAGTCCCTTTTCTCTCCATTTTTGTAGTTATATAGGCGGGGTATCGCTTTAACGGGGCGCCCCCATTGTACATACCTTGATAATTCACCAGCTCTGCTTACTTTCGGGGCCAGTTTCCCTTTGCTTTTTCACTAGTTTTCCTACATTTGTACTGAAAGTTAGTTACACTTTTCGAGTGGCTCGCACGCAACGATGGCTTGGTTTTCACGCTCGACATACACCCTGCTCGACGGCAGTCCTGCTACACACCCCAGAAACCCAGGGCGATCATCTGTGCTCCTCGCGCTCACCGTGCTGGTGCTATGCTTCACAAGCTTTTTTCTGGGACGTTCTGCAGCCAAAACACCCGTAATATCAAGCATTCCTTCTTGTAAGCATGTCGGAGGTTCGGCGTTTCACCATAGGTGACGTGAAGTTCTCACCATGAATATAGTGGAATCCGGTCAATACACCTTCGTCTACAATCGCACCTTCGCTGAGAGTAGTCCCGAGTCCGATGGCGCCTGGGACACTCTATTCCCACAACAGGCCGGCTACTTTACGCATCCCACCATCGCACCCCACCGCTCGACTTTCTCCGTCTTCCATCTCCTGCACTGCTTGGTAGGCTTATTCCATGAAATTGAGGCCTCTCCAATCACCCCCACCTTGAAATCATCGACCACTGACAAGATCATATCGATCAGAATGGCATCCGCCAGGGGTACTGGGCTGTCCACGATATTGCAGTTGCGGGTGACACCCCGCTCAAAGATGGCGATTTACCAATGATGATCTCACCACCGCATATACGACACTGTATTGATCTGCTGAGGCAGAGCCTCATGTGTAATGCGGACTTGACAGTAGAAGTCAAGGATGACGAAGCTGGTGGCGTCCATGGCTTTGGCACAGAGCACCAATGCGTTGACTGGGATTCACTGTTGTCCTGGACTACAGAATGGGAAACTAGAAAGCCGCAGTCTTGAAGAGGTCTATTAAATTTCACAAATCTATTTCTATTTCTAGCTGCTTTCAAGGGACCCAGATGATTTCCATCACTGCCAATGGAGATGGCACCAGCCGCTTGATGGATGTAAAGTGGAATCTAGAATCTGCTTCTTTTACCAGGCTTCTCCACTCCAGCTCTGACCGTTCTTTGCTGTTGAACATAGCCATCATTGCTATATCCTGACATCTGTGTCTGATTAGCTTGCCGTTGAAAGACCACCCTTGGAAGTTTTTCTGCCTACCTAGCTTGTCTTTCTTGATAAAGCGATGTTGCCCCAGGGGAGGAAATACAATGGTCATTGATGATTAGTCGCGCTCCAGGCTTAAGTGCTGGGACGATATTGCGGAGAATTTTCAGACAGAACTCATCAGGCCAGTCGTGAAGTATCATGCGAAGGAAATACGCATCTGCTCCTTCCACCGGCTGCGCGTCGAAGAAGTCGTGAGCTTGAAAGGTCACATCGGAGGATATGTCACGCTTGGAGAGGATCGTACGACCCTGCTCGACGACATCCGGCATGTCCTGGACAACGACGTGCAAGGAAGGATGTTTCTCTGTCAGCGCAAAAGCGAAGTCCCCACGCGAGCCACCGACGTCTACAACCACCGCGTTGTCCGAAGCCGAGGCGACGGCCCCCCAATCATACGCGTCCAGGGCGGCTGCGGGTTGGAAGCCCGGCATGTTCTGCATAAAGCCCATTGCCCTTGCGAAGCGGCCGGCTCGCTCAGTATCGTTTCCCATTGTCGTGAAGAAGGGCTCATCCGTACGCTCCGCGAGATTGTGCCCGGTCTGGTGCGGCAACACCGTCTCAACTGGCCACTTCTTCAGCGCCGTCACCACGTGCGGTGCAGCCGGCCACATGTCCTCGCATGCGCTGCCAACCCAGTCCATCAGGGGCGGTGAAGTGGCTAGCATGGCTGACAGGGCCGTGTGCGCAACATGGCCTGGTCGTGGCCGGGCGAGGACGTAGTTGGCCACGGCGTGCTCTAACAGGCGGGTCATGGAGTCTTCACGTGCGTTGCATCGTTGTGCAATCTCACTGATAGGGATTTCTCCGTCTAATGGAATGATTTCTGGCACCTTGTATTTGTACAAGGCGTGCAGGCTCACCATGTCATACTGATTCATTTCTTTGTTAGCTGGACATACTATCATGCAGTCGGAGAGAAACGGGCAATAAACATACGGCATGGCCAACCTGGCTGACTAGCCACCCCAGCGGCCCTAGCAAGAGCGCCTGTAATTCGTCTACAGCCGACAATGCAGCATCAAGAGAGTTCTGGAGCCCTGGAGGAAGAGGCAGCTTCGGTGGAGTTCCTGGAGCAAATGACACATTGGGCAGATTGTTCTGCGCCAGGTATGTTTCAATCTCGGTGGTGTGCTGCAGAATTGATGCTGCGAGCTGCACAGTCCTCGCAGTAGGCATTGGCGCATCCATACTTGGGCTGGAAAGTTGAGGTAGTACGAGTGATTGGTGTAACAGACGTTGACTTAGACTGCCAATAGAAGGAAGTAACGGCGTGCCCTATTCTCAATGGAAGACTGTCTCTGTTGTCTTGAATGTAACAACGTCACGTATCCAGACGACATTGCTTCACTGTTCCAGCCTTTCTTCTCCGTAACTAAGCTTATGCAGTAGCATTCGCTGTACTTGGCCCTTTTGCCAGACATGCAATTTCTGAGGCCTGAATGCCACTTGCAATTAGACGCATCTCCAACTAACCGAGTCAACATTTGAAGCGATACAGTCACTCTGACCCAATCTACCAACCACCCGCACGTTCCTAGAGGATTTCTACCTAGTTACTATTGCCAACAGTTTGTCCGCGCCGCATGACTGCTGGGTGAAGGGTGTGAAGCTTTCACTAGTTGATCGATAGAAGAAAATCCTACCATATCATGTCACCTTGACCTTAGCAGCCCGCAGGAATGCATGTAACATAGAACCTTGGAGGCGATCCACTTTGCTGAAGTTGGTAGCATCGGCGTCTAAATGCCGAGCGAGGCGCTCATGTAATATTTGCGATGCCATCAATAATACTCTGTAACAACCATGCAGGCCGTTGCGCGCCTAACCTACCAACGGTCGTATTGCAATACGAAGTCAGCAGCTATAGGATCCTTCCATGTTCTAGGCCGGTGCCAAGCAGGCGTAGGCAGCGGCCCTCCACAAACCTCAGAGCATAGTTAGTCACATTTAAATCACTGACCACGACTGGTGATGGATCAAGTTATTCCGGTGCCAGAACTACTGCCCTGGACCTTTCTACCTCGTTTCTAATCCATCGCTATCATCCCAAGGACGCTAAAATGGACAGCCTACTTCAGCAAATCCAGACGGCCGCATTGCAGGCGGATGCCGCAGGAAGACACAAGGTGCTCGATTTCCTGAGAAGCCTTCAGCTTAAACTTGAGACTCCACACGACGCCCTGTCGCGCTACTCGGGCTTGGTATGTGTGAAAGGCATTCTACCCGAAAGGAAGAACAGGAGGAACATGAAGACCGATGGTTGTGGGACAACTACTAGGTCGGAGCCAAGAAACAGCTGACAATTGCTCCAGCACCTAGAGATCACGGCAGCCCGCATCGCCGAGGATCTCGATATCTTTGAGACCCTCGCCAGCTCCGACAAACCCTTGACGTCGGCCGACCTGGCTGCCAAGAAGGCTGCGTCGCCGTTATTGCTTAGTGAGTTCCGACTGATCCGCTATCTCTGCTTACAGATGGATGAACTATTGGGACTGACCCCGGCATCACGTCACCTTCTCTAGGCCGCATCCTCCGATACCTTGCGTCTGTTGGCATGGTCACCGAGTCAGGCCCGGATTCCTTCACTGCCAACGCGCTGACCAAGACGCTGGCACAACCCGGCTACCGAGGTGGCATCTATCACTTTTTTGACAACTGCGGGCCTGTCTTCCAGGCCCTCCCGGCCTTTCTCGCCGAGACCAAGTATCAAGACGTCAGCGATGCCGCCCACACGGCGTTCCAGAAGGCCTTCCCAACGGAGCTGCCTGCCTTCATGTGGCTGCCCACCCAGCCAGAACGCTTCGGTCCCTTGCAGCAGGTCATGACTGTCCAGGGCGCTATCGGTGTTCCCTGGTTCACTGTCTTCCCCTTCGAGCGCGAGCTGGCGGGCTTCGATGGTCAGCATGTCCTCGTCGACGTCGGTGGTGGCTTCGGCCACCAATGTGCTGCCCTGCTCGGCGCCTTCCCGCAGCTGAAGGGCAAGCTCGTACTTCAGGATCTCCCGCAGGCGCTGGCCCACCTGCCCCCCGGCATGACCATTCCCGAGGGCATCGAGGCGGTGCCCCACGACTTCTTCCAGGAGCAGCCGGTCAAGGGTGCCCGCTTCTACTACCTGCGCCAGATCCTGCACGACTGGCCTGACGACAAGTGCGTCGCTATACTGAAACAGCTCATCGCGGCCTTAGGCCCACAATCGCAGATTCTCATCGACGAGATGGTTCTGCCCGATGCCGGTGTCACCTGGGAGGCGGCCACCCTTGACCTCACTATGATGTCGTCGCTGGGCTCGCGCGAGCGTACTGTCAAGGAGTGGAATACTCTCCTCGACCAGGCTGGCCTCAAGGTTCAAAGCATCCACACCTACCTACCTCGCCGCCAGGACTCCATCATCCAAGCTGTGCCAAAATAGACAGAAAAGGTCGGTCCGTGATTTTGGCCTGCCGAACGTGGAATTTGAGACATGTCTGTATTAAGAACTAGCAAACTTAGTATTAGGCTACCTAGGTATCGTGAATGAAATTGAATTCTGGTTTATTCATGCACCCTCATATTTGATATTGTCGTGGTCAACACCGTGAAGGCTTTTAATCCAGGTAGATAACGTTCAATAATCGAGGCCGTAGATTTATTTGAATCTGAATCTAGATAAACTTATGCACTCCAGTCAGACCGAACAGGCAGGACATTTTGCGATGTAGCACCATCGACTCCAACAGTGTACATATTGAGATCAGTCAACAATTACTTCTGATGTCAATTCCCCTATGCATCATCCTCGCCCATGCTCGTCCACGGCAGCTTGTCAACAGCCTCCTCGCCATCATTTCCGTTCCCCTCCAAAAGAGGGTTCTTCAGGCTCACAATCTCATCGCGGCTAACCACACGATCCTCATGCGACCTGGTCAGAGCATCCCAGTCCACACACCGATGCGGGACACGCTTGGTGTTGAGCATCGGGTGCGGGAGCTTCTCGTCCCACTTGAAGACCGCCAAGGCACTGGTGTCGGCGCCGCAGATGGCCGCGTTGCGCAGCCAGTCGAGACAGTGGTCGATGTGGACCATCTGGTGCCGGTGCTCGTGCGCCGTCATGTTGGGGAAGTAGTGCTCGCGCCAACTCCACTGCCGCAGCATCTTGACGCAGTGAAGCTCATGGAAGACACCCAACCATGCCAGGTAGCCACCACCGGGGAGCGCGACTGACGTCTGATTATGCCGTGCCAGCTCGTCACCCGTCACGCGCACGCTCATGTTGTTGAGAAGTGTGTGCCACGCTGCGTCACTCTCGGGCGTCGGCTCCCCTGCGTAGGGACTGTTGACGAAGTTGTCGTACAGGCGGAACTTGTAACGCACGTCCAGGCCCGCGAAAGCTATGGTTGTTAGTGTATGTCATGCAGTGGCTCTGTAACAGCGAGGGCTGGCTCGGGATATACTTACCATGAATATCAGTATCAGATTCTGGGCCGACGTTCTGGCGAATTACGGCGTAGGAGATGGCAGTGTAGATGGTAATGAGCACGACTTGTACCGCGATGGCGCAGATCCACCAGCGGCGAGAGGATGGCTTCACGTAACTCGTGACTTCATGATAGCTAGTGACACTACTACTAGCATCATCGCAATCGCCCTCGAGGAGCAGCTCTTTCTCATGAGCGGACATCTCTAAGGTCATGTAATGTGTAGCTCTCAATGGAGTTGTGTATAGACACAGGGATGAACCGGCCTGAACATAAACACACAGTAGAGGGAGAGAGATCGAACTGAGGGGTGGTTCCTGTTTCTGAAGACCGAGCGACGGGACAAGAGCACCTACCTACCCTCCCCACCCTACATCCTATCCTGATTTGAAGCATATCTCAATATGATCTCTAATATACTTGTCAGCTGAAGGATTGCATTAGCTCTCTTACATTGCGAAGTAGCGGTGGCTCTGAAAAGAGCAACTGAGCAGGCCTCTGCATCCCACACAGCGATCCGCGCCGCGGGGACCACGGCCCAGTCCTGTTCAAGATGATGTTGGTTCACGCCTAGGAATCGTCACAGTGTATAAAGCCCTGCGACCCTCGCTCTACCAAAACCAGCAAGAGACACAGCCATCTTTCATCGGCTCTCCTCGACTGTTCTGGATCCAGACCAAAGCCACAAAGAGAAACGATCCACCACCATCATGAAGTCTGCAATTCTGATTCTCATGGCTGCTGCCATGAGTGTCCTGGCTAGTCCAGTTCCCGGTACGTAGCTGAGTGAACCTCTACTTATCTCTGCCGCTCCCACACTAATACCGCGAAAGGCGACGTGGACGATATCATCGTCTACCCCGAGCCGGACGTCGACGATGGCATAGTGTACCCTGAGCCTGACCCAGACTCGGGAATCATCTACCCGGACCTTTACACCGACGACTAGATACATGGGGCTGAATGAGGAGGCGGCGGCAGTTATTGGTTTCTGATGGAGCAATTCAAGTTGATTTCCATAGCCCTAATTTTCGCGCAGTCGGATTGTCTCAGTGCTAGCTTGGGGATTCATCACAATGTTTTTCACAATTTGATTTATCCCACTGAATGCAAATGCACATCTCGCCTGATAAAGTGTGTCCAACAAAATCGCAGTGCTGCTGATCATAATATTGTACTGCTTGTTTCTTCGCATTTTGAGGTGATCAAATATCCCATCAGGGTACGTGCAATTCCGATAATTATCTTTGACAGCCTCTCAGGCAAAATGTCGCAGTGGGAGCCTTGTCTGAACCGGTTTCTGATCCTGCAAGATCACCTTTGAGGATCAGATTTGAAGTGCTGAACAAGCCTTAGATCAGCATCCTAAGCGATGTTCTGGGTGGGAGCCGCAACGTCCTTCAAGATCCTCCCGATCCTTTCTGTATGCGCACGTGCAAGCCGTTGACTCGCGGTTGTTGCTCCTCTCGTCTCACCCACAGGGTATCACTGTAAGGAAGCGGCACAGTTGAGGTCTGACCCTAGTATGTCGTATGATTTCCCCGCAGGCACGTTTTCGCGATCGGTTGGTGAACGGCCCGACTGAATCATGGTCATGTCGAGTATGTTGGTTGCTGTCAATATTGTAAGCACTAGATGCTCATTCTCGGCCGGGTTCCTCAATACGGAATGCCCCCTGCTTTCGTCTTCAATTATCTATATGCAATAATCCGGTAGAAAATATGGTTGGATTGGTTGAAGTAACATTCAATTATTAATAGTCTGCTGCTTTTGAAGATATCGAAGTGAAACTTCGTGGGATCAGCTGAAGATTCTATCCGCTATCAGCATTGAGGCTCAGCTATGCATCTGTCTTTTTATTGGTGACGTCCTCTGTTATATTGGGGTATGGTTTCTTGTACGTACCTTCCAACCGCCACATCGACCAACAGCGCTGAAGAGATGTGGCAATAGTTTTCCTAAAGGATTGTGCGGAAAGATCAGGTAGCTTCTGGATTCAAGCCTCAAATCCTGGGCTGTGCCAACGGGCCGCTATGAGCATGTCCAAATACGGAACTTCTATTTTCGACGCCTCAATCAGGAAGCACTCGATGAAGTAGGATAACTTGCGCCGAGAATTTAATCTAAATGATGGTCATCACCCTGCATGTTTCACTGCATTCGCGCGTCTGCTCTGCTGCTGTCACGGATAACGCCAATACCGCCTTTTTTGCGTCGTAATCAATTCGATACTGCAGCGTACATACAGCATCGCCAAGTAACGGAACGACGCAGGCGAATCATGTCATCTGGCGGGCCTTCCCCTGCTATGCAGGGTCCACTACCTCCGGATGAGGACCGTGGACCCAGGCTCGAAGCGGCGTACTGGACGTGGTCAGCTGTGTCCATTCTTATGCTGTGTCTCCGGTTCTATGCCCGCGTCAAGATCCGGGGTCTTGGATGGGATGACTGGATGATGCTGATAACTGTGGTATGTCAAACCTTACTGAAGCGAACATTTCCTACATCACAGTTGTCTAACCAGTTGTGTGGCAACGCGATAGATTCTTTTCGTCATCACAGCATGTTTCGTGACTTATATGGCTAGTATTGGAGGAGCACGACATGTGTTCTACTTGAGCCCGGAACAGACGATGGAGGCCGTCAAGTGGAGTTGGATCTCCCAGCCGTGGGCCATCTTCCTGTTCGCAACAGGCAAGGCTTCGGTGGCCATTCTTATACTTCGCTTCATGTCACGCAACACGGTCTGGCGCCGGGCCGTGCTGTATTTTATCATCGTGACCATTTTCATCATCAATGCCCTGGGATGCATCTTCACATTTGTCCAATGCGATCCTCCCCGCGCTCTCTGGAACCCGACCATCAAGGCGAAATGCTGGGACCCATCGGTCCAGCAGAATTATAACTACTTCCTCGCCGGTGAGTCGCTCCGCTCTTGCTGCAGCTACGAGCTCGTGCTCCACGCATGGAGAGGCACAACGGTGTTTGCTGACAATGCCACAGCTTGGAATATTGCCGCCGACTTGGTCCTCGCTATTTTACCGGCAACGATTATCAGCAGACTAAACCTACAACGTGGGAAAAAGATTGCGCTTTGTGTATTGCTTGGTCTCGGTGTCATGTAAGTTGGACCTAGTACTATATGTTCTCATATCAAACGGCTAACATATGTTCCAAGTGCCGCCCTCTTCAGCGGTATCAAAGTACGCTACATCGTCGACCTCACCTCCCGAAGTGATTTCACATGTAAGTTGTCAGGCATCCTCCATTACGAAACAACATATCTGACCCTGTACGCATAGGGAGTGCCTACGATATCCAGATGTGGACCGGCGCCGAAGCTTTCGTGATGATTTTCTGTGGTAATATTCCACCACTGCAGCCCCTCTGGGATCGTTACGTCACCCACAAGCTCGACTCTTCCTATGGTCGTACGCCTCTCAAGGGTGGATACAGTGGCTACAGCGGCGGATCTCCGCCCTCGAGCAGGTTCCGCCGCAGCAACTGGCGTGGTATCAGCTCCGCCAAACAGTCCTTGAAGACCCAGGGCAGCGACATAGACCAGCCGCTGCCTATGCAACAACCTCCCATGGGGCAAATTGCGGCGACCACCAATATTGAGGTCCGAATGGGCCCCAAGGGTGTCGCAAATGGTGGCCGAGGGGACTGGGCTTGAGCTTTGCCAAATGCTAGGCTTCTTTGTTGAGGTTGTCAGGATAAGGGGCAGCTCTGTATTGATATCAGTGTAGTGTCTGACCAGCAACGGTGTTTGTATGATGGGTATTGTGAGGTAAACGAGAGTTGTCTGTACTTGAATGTGATCGTAGATATTGATCTTCATACTCCAGAAGCTGGGAACTTGAGGCCGTTACTTCTGATTTTATCAGTTTATAACGCAATTGTGTTCTGGATATTTCTATCAAATTCTTCACATTGCCGACTTCTAAGCCCTAGTCCTGCTACTGAATCTCTAATGCAGGCCATTGAAACGTTGTGTAGAGCGGTTCTACCTGAGGGAACAAGGAGATCCTGAATCCCATTGTTTGGTGCAAAATCATTGTAACCCCCACGAATCTGCCTTGTCTGCCCACTGATTTCAAGCTCTCCTCGACCGTCACAGAGCTAACGACAAAGATTCTCTCGTCACTATCACTCGCGTCATCGATGCTACTCAAAGACCATTACACAATCTTTTCCCGATTTGAAGTTTCTAACTGCAAGGGGTATTGCCTTTTCGGAAGAGAGGTAGCGGTAAGCTGTGAGCAACGTTGAGCCTCGAAAAAGCCCGTACTGTTTTTGAGTAGTGCTCGTGTGACGCTACCACTAATCATGGTAAAAGTGTGGGTGCAGCAATTAGGCGCTATTTATAGCGCTATTACTATGTCCTCTAGTTTAATAACACCTGCTTGGAGGAGCTTGTCGAAAGTGAGATATAAGTGATAGAATTTCCCTAGATAGTCGATATGAGAGCCTGCAAGTTCCCGTATGTCTTGTCGCGCTCGCACAGGCGAAACAGAAGCTACACAAAGAGGACGACAGCTCATATGAAGACGACAATATAGATCGATCCGGCTACAAGCACAGGAACTAGCTGCCGCTCATTCCCATCAAGTGGAGGCGGTGCTGTGGGAGTTGCCGGCTGCTACACAGGCGGCCGTAGAGAGGGACTAGAGAGTCTCGCCTCAGGGCTAAGGCTACATTACGGCTGAGTTGTGATCGATGAAGAGAATGGGAGCCAGGAGGGAAGTATAGTCTCCAGGTCATTCGTACAGGAGACAAAATGGGTCTAGGCATAAGCCGACTCGTTGGTAGAACTGTAAGATAGGTCACATGATCACTCAAAGTAGTCCTTAGGCTGTATCAGACCTCCTATGTTCTATTTAAGTCGATACCTAGATACGCTCGTTCTTCAGAAGTTAAGATACAAGTAAGTCACAAGTAGAAAATAGCCGTTTACCCTTCATTTTATACAAGGAACTTTGGACTGGTACACGATGTCAATGTAGGAGAGCAGGGATTTGTAAGATTAGTCCATCTTCTAAAAACAATCATAGGAGAGATGTTTAGGGTTCAATCAGGTATTTGAGTACATTTTTATCTTTCCATACTGCTGTCACAAACGTTGCTTATCTTATTCTTTCTCGTATTTACCTACAAGGCGAATTTTGACCCTTCTATTCTGCTAAGATAAGCGAAAAGAACAAGCGGCTATTCCATTTACCCAACGGGCTCTTCTTCTTCGTTAGTCACTTAAATACTAGTTCTATGAGCTACCAAAATAATCTGTCGGCGAACAAACCCCAGAGACCTCTCATTCAAAAATTGGCCATAAACATTCTGTCCGGTTATGTACCGGCCTGCCACCTTATTCCACAGATCCCCACAAGAAGATCTATCACATTCTAGCATCGCTGCCTTCGACATAGAGTACCGCGTGCCGGCCGAGACGGAATGAACCGTCGTGGTGTGGAACCATAAGCCGGTGGCGACGGCTACCATTGGTCTCTGAGTGAGCAAGGCAAGGTCGGAAGGCGCTGGATACGTTATCTTCCACAACTTGAGTCTTGGCTGTATGCGGGTTGACCTCGGCTGCTTAGACTATTGTCGGGTTTGAGGAGTTTTGGTTGCGTAGTTCGTCTTCTGTCGCCAGGGAGTGGCGGGTGCATGGGGAAAGTGGTATTGGTGGTGTTGGAGATTGCTGACTGCATTCTCTGCCGTTTCTTGACCGGACACTTTGTTTCCCTCTCCAACCATTGGTACCGAGCTTACAATGCCGGGGATGATGAACGGGCATTTGTAGAGATCGGCATGTTGATGAACCATCAGGTAGTTTTGAGTCCGGAGTACAAAACCAAAGCTTCCCCTCGAAGTGAGCTGCATTGCAAAATGTGATGAAATTATCTTTCGGACATAAACACTTTGGAACAGAGCTTACGTCGTTCTGCAGCCATGAGCGATAAAGAAGTTGCTGTCGATACTCACAGGGTCTCTTCTGATCTGGAGGTGGACAAGAGATTGAAATGGAAACGAGATCTTCTCCTTCTCCCTGTTTTAGGGACAATGTACATGCTTCTCTTTCTCGACAGAACCAATATCGCCAATGCCCGCATCGAAGGCCTTGAGATTGGGTTCAATATGCCGCCAACGGGTTATAACACCGCATTGTGGATTTTCTATATACCTTTCATCCTGGCCGAGATTCCGAGCAACCTTATTCTCATCTCGGGCAAGATCAAACCCAACCTCTTCCTCGGTGGCCAAATGTTCCTCCTCGGTACGCGCTGATGAGGGTGTTGGCCATCTCACTACCCCGAGAAATGACCCTGCAGAAGGTCTTGCTGATTTCCAATGTGTAGGCATTCTAGGTATGTGTCAAGGACTCACAGCAAGCTATCAGGGCCTCTGGGCCATTCGTTTTCTCATGGGGACTTTCGAAAGTGCTCTTCCCGCCGGTGCCGCCTATATGCTGTCCATGTACTATACCAAGCGCGAGTCGTCGATCCGCTTTGCATGGTTCTTCAACTTCGCTCTTGCCGGCCCTATGTTTTCTGGTCTTCTCGCGTACGCGATTGTCAGCTTGGACGGCGCTGGCGGTCTGGAAGGTTGGAGATGGTAAGTCTTGTCTCGGATCGTCCTATTGTACCCCAGCTAAGGATGGGGCTCACATGACTCCAGGATATTCGTCATTGAAGGTCTAATGACCGTCGTCATAGCCGGAATCTGCACGCTGCTTCTCCCGGACTTCCCCCAAAACGCACAATCCTGGTTCCTCAAGTCCGAAGAGCGCGACCGCCTCATCGACGTCCTTGAGGCATCCAGGGGTGCTGAAACCAAGGGGTCCGCCATCGACCAGATCCCACTTTGGAAGGTGCTCATCGACTGGCGCATCCACCTCTTCGCCTGGTGCTTCTTCTGCTGCGACATCACAGCCTCCTCGATCGCCGCCTTCGCGCCGACCATCCTCACCGAGCTGGGCTGGAAATCGACAACTGCGCAGCTTATGAGCATGCCCATCTGGGCATCCGGAATTGTCGCCTCTCTCTCTGCGACGTGGCTGGCCGCTCGTATCAACCTCCGCGCCCCCTTCGTGCTGGGAGGCATCTGTTTCCAGCTCGTCGGCTGGATCATCATGCACGTTTATGTCCCCCAGCCTGGAGTGCGGTACATGGCTCTCTTTTTCATGTCCACCGGTACCTTCTCACAGATGCCTCTTCTCCTCGGCTGGCTTAGCGCTAATTTGCGTGGGCGAAAGTTTATCGCCGTTGGTGTGGCTTGGGTCATCGGCTTTGGAAACTGTGCTAACTTCATCTCGTCTAATATCTTCTTTAAGTGGGAATCCCCTCGATACCCCACAGGATTCACAACAGGGCTAGTGTTCACTATTGTAGGCTTCTTCACGGCTTGTAGCATTTGGGCGTTGCTGGTTTGGAAGAACAAGCGCAGGATCTCGGTTCGACGGCTCATGAGCGAGGAGGAGAAGGAACGGGACGATGAGGTGCATTTCAGGTTTGCTTGCTAGGAGCATAATTCACATAGCTAGATAGCAGTCTTGTCACGATTGAGGAACTGGAGGAGGGCCAGCTAAAGAGGAATGATGCTTCCATGTAGACTATCGTTGAAAAAGCACCCAATACGTCGGAGTGATCGCATAGATAGTCCCAAAGAATTTCCTGGATCCTCCCAAGGTTTCTCGTACTTATACAGTCAGAAAGATCAATTACCTGGGGTTATCCCTACTCATGAGCCTTTTCGGTGAAGCATATGCAGCCGTAGTCATCATTTCATGATTTGAACATGCCAGCAAACAACGCTTTTGAATTGGGTCCAGTTGCTCAATCCGTTTGCCTGCTCTGAGCCGTTGCTTCATTCTGTCCGAGTCACTTCGATTGATTCAACTTGTATCCACCGCGGTACGAACGTTCCTTCCCTGGTCCAGCCAGGCTCCTTCCCCCTCCCCCCTCCTTCCCTCCCCTTTTTCTTCTTATCCGCTTCCGACGTTCAGTCATTCGAGACCCAAACCTTCCCGGGAGCAAATTCTTCTCTCTGGACTTCTGGACTTGTCCGAGCCTGTGGAAACATCAATAACCTGATTCTGCTGGGTCTAACTTGCGAACATCGAACGAGATCAAAATTGACGACTTGCACAGCTGCCAGTCACGATGTCACCCGAACCAGCAACGGAGTTCCCCCGTTTCCTCGAGCTCCCACCCGAGATACGCTTGGAAATCTACAGGTTCTGTCTGCCCACGCGCGTCATCGACGGCCAGCTTCGCGAACCTTTCCCCAAGTATGAATCCTCCGACGAATACAATTTGGCTTTCAGATACATTGTGGCCAAATTCAGCAGGACTCCTGTCATTGCAAGGGTCAGTGCAGAGGTGTATCGCGTGGTTCGACGGCACTTGGTGGCTCCGCCGGCTAATGAGTGGGCTTGGAACTGGCAATCCCTTGATGAAGTCGGTTACACTGACCCGACGCCGATTTACTTCAACGCGAAGTTCGATATCATTTGTGTTTCGCTTGAACATTTGATCCCACCCGAGAAAAATCAGCAACGGATGGAGATAAGCCCCCACTGGCTTGCGAAAAACAAGGACGTCATCGTGGCCCTCGACCAACGGAACATTGAGAGTCTCTTCTAGGGGAAAGAGACCGCAGATGATTGCTTCCTAGGTCGAAAGAATTGCATTGTCATCCTGAGCGAATCAATACTCATCAAGCCAATGGAATGGATTGTCTCGTGTGGCTTGTTCGGCCTCTTTGGCGAAGAACGGACAGTGTTCATAAACGTCGACGACTTAAAGCGTATCGACTACTTCGACAAGAAACTTAACAGCCTGAGCGCTCTCACAGACAGCTGGTCCGAGCATTTCGCTGACGGCGGTATAAGAGGGTACAGTTCGCACAGCAATGTTGACCGTGGCAGCCTATGGGATAAGGACTCGCCTGTTACCAGCGCCGAGGAGCGAGCACAGATTATTGCAAAGGACAAGGAGCAGGCAATCAGTCTGATCCGGCAGTCCTGGTTGGAAGTCAACGGGTGCTTCAATGACACGAAGCCAGACAACCCTTGCTTTGTCCCGTCCGAGGGCGAGGTCTACAACAGAATTTTTGACGAGGAGCACCCAAACGCCAAACGCTGGTTAGACAAGCTGCCGGCATTCTCGTTTGCTGTTCTGCTGCACGCGAAAGATGCCGAAGAGTGTGAGAGGCTAGTTCACGCTCAGGGTGCACGCGAAGCCAACGAGAGTGAGTGAAGTTGGGAGAATGAACTGCGCATAAGAATTTAGCCAACGTGCTGGCAGTAGCATCATGAAGAGCCGGACTTCACGAGAAGAATTCATTCATGGACTGCCGTTTGGAGCATTTAGACGACGATGCAACCACTCGACATCAATAACAAAAGGAATGTATCGGGGACGAAAGGGCAAATATTCGTACATCAGCCTGGGACAAGCTCGAGGCACGAACGGGAAAGTGTGGTAAATATGGTGATGGTGGTAATGTGAGACATCTTTTGGGCTGCTACAATAGCATAGCTTTTGCTATGAGGTTTTCGAGAACGCATTTCTTGTTGCCAGACAGGGGAGTGGGAGGCGTCAGTCGGAATACCACGATAGCTTGTGGGCTTCCAAAATAACGCATGGCTTTTTGACAAGGAACACAATCACCATTCTAAAATCTACCAAGACTCCTCTCACGGATTGCAATGACATAACCTTCACTAATGACAAGCGTGATGGACGATGTGGCATGCTGTGCATTTTTCAATCCCACCTGTTTCGAACAAACAGTAGCAGTAGAACTCCAGCGGAAACCGACGCCATGCTATGAGAAGAACACAATGCTGACACGATACAGGCGAGCCCTGGGTATATCCACCCCTTTTCGTATTGCCAACAACGCTCATCAATTCCAACGCCCGCTCCTTTTCCTGCAGTTGCTTCAAACCGAGTGACTGTTCTTCCTCCTCCTATGCGTTTGCTGTTGCTTGACTTTGCCCTTCACATGCTATGCCCTTGTACTGAGTAGATATGATGATCCACGATCGATGCCAGCCAAATGAAACAATTTCTAATTAACCCATGTACGTCACGTCTCTCAAGCCACCAGACCATGATCCTCTTCATCCTCAAACGTCAGCTCGCTCGGTGGCTTGTACGCGGGCGTAGTGCTAGTCACCCTGCTGAGAAAGCTCGGCCTGGCAGGCGTGAAGCTCGGCCGCGCGGGCGTCCGGAAGGGCGTGTAGTCGGTGACCATCCTCGACCTCCTCCCGTCGTTTACGGGCGCGGGCGTGTTCCACCTCGAGTTGCGCCTCGTCGCCCGGAAGTCCATCATGCCGCCGAGCTCGGGCACGCGGTCCCCGCCCGGTCCGACGCCGCTCGTCTGCGAGGCCCAAACACCGAAAAAGTGGCGCCGGTCCCGTCGCGAATTGTGGCCCATAAACTCGTGCGCGGCGCGATCGCGGCCCCGGAGGGCTACTGACGCCAGCTCCCAGGACTCCCAGTACTGCGACGCTGTCTGCGCAAAGTTGTACTCGGCTGCGTCGAGCCGACCCTCCTCCTGCGCCTCAATAAGTGAGTGCCAGAGCACGAGGTGGGCCTCTTTGTCGGCGTCTTCGGCAACCTCGACGGAGAAGGTGTAGTACTCGTGCTTCTCGCGCCAAGCCTGCGCGACGTCGAAGATAAAGCCGCCATCGTCCTCGGCGCGGATGTCGTCTGCTTCCCAGCCACTAGTTACGACGTCTGCAGATTTCTGCCGCCACGAGTCGAGGCTTTCCCTGAGCGTGTCGCATCGGACGCGGTAGCGAAAATCCTTGTACAACTTGCGCATGCGACTTTGCCATTCTTGCCGGCGTACTTCGCGCCAATGCTTCAGCACGCTATCACTAATAGAGTAGAAACGCCCCAGACGAGACCAGTTTTGTAGCCGGGTGACAGGCTCGAGTTGACGACTCCACTGCTCGATAGTTTTCGGTACCACGCGCCGAAGGATCATGCCGCGGGCGTACATGGCTCCTTCTTCGAGTTGTTCGATGGCGTCTATCGAGGCGTTGAAGAAGCCGGTGATCGAGTCATGGTAGCGAACTTCACGGGCCAGGTGGCGCATATTGCGGCTGTTGGTGTGCGACTGTCTCGCCGCGTCGGTCCATTTTTCACAGAAACGAGCCCGGTCCTGTCGCTCAGTGACGCGTTTGCACAAGATCAATCGCCATTCGCAGTACCAGTGATACGTGGAACTGTCGAGTAACTCTGTATCCTGCTCTTCCTGCCAGGCTCTCAGCCTCGTCTCGTACATCCAGTGCTTCGCATGCTCCTTTAGATCCTGGAGTATGGCGACCCTTTCGCGGCCTTTGCACTCCTCTGATTCCTGACGCCAAGCCAGTGACAGGCCGGACCTCAGAAACTCGTCCCTACGAATAATGATCGGTCCGGCGCCATCTTCGGCTCGTTCTTGTACGCGCGCTGATGTCTTCCAGTGCCTCATGTACCTCCCGAGCATGCTACCTCGGAAGATGCCTTCGGCTTCCTCGTGCGCAGAAGAGAGCCAGCCAGACTCACCCTGCCAGTGGTGGAAGCAGGCTGACCGCAAGCGAGTATGGTCGATTGCCAGAGCCAGTCGCATCTTGGATTCCTGATACCACACGATGAGCGCACCTTCAGCTAAGTCACGCTTATATCTGCGAATGGCCAGCGCCCGGGCCCTTCTATGCTCGCCGGATTGAGACTCTGCAGCATCTCGCCAGTCCCTCATAGCGACCAGCTGAGAAAACCACACTGCCTTGCTCTCTGATTCAGATTCTTCTCTTTCTCCCTCCTCAATCCAGGCGCTGAAGCACTTCTTCCGAAGAATGTGGCGTCTCGCGACCTGCGTGCGTTGCTCTTCTTCCTCTGCACGATTAGCCCAGTGTGTGAAGGCTTTCGACAGGATGAAGTAGTCCCATGCCGCAGCTGCGATGTGGTACTGTGAGCGAAGGCTGAGGTCGCTGTCGAGCCATGCCTCCTCGTCTCGCTCTTCCGGGGCATCGTAGAATGAATCCTGCCTGGAACCGATATTCGGATCCCATTCGCTGCTGAAGGATTGCATTTGCTGAGCTTGAAATTCTTGAAAGCGCCTGTCCGGTGCTGGCCGATATGGCAACTCCTCAACAAATGTTCTCTCGACTGATGGTGATTTGCCCATGACCTCTCTATCCGCGTCCTTTAATTCAGACACTGCCCTGGAAGGCGCAGCAGATGATCTGCTGCGTTCGATAGATTGCCGGACGCGAGGCTGGACACTTTCGCCAGGGAGAACTGGTGGGACTGCTGCAGCAGCTTCGCCGCCGCGCTCGGCAGACTCTCTGTCACGTTCGAGGCCCTCCAATTCGCGCATGTGCTCTTGATAAGCTCGGAGACCATCATTCTCGTCGATGTGCATAGTAAGCGCAGTTTCGATCCAGACCTCAAGAGCATCACCCATTGTCCCCCACGCATCCCACACCTCCGCGTTCGCTTCCAATTCGATGTTCCGAGTTTTTGTCTGGCGGGCTATCCTGGCCCAATGGTTGAAGGATGACATCCTAAACATCTGCTCTCTCGACATCAGATAGTTAACCTGGGCTTTGCTCATATCCTTTTCGTCGGAAGCGTCCCTGAATGGTAATTTTACCGAGTATTCGTCGTGTCGTAAATCGTTATATTCTTCATCGATGCGTTCTGTTTCTCGGGTGTCATGCTCTTCCTCATACTGTGGGGGGTGTTCAGGGAGACTTGGCTCCTCGACGTAATCGGCCTCCTCGCCGACCAAGTCCATGCTGCTGGAGACGTCTTCGTCCGACATCACACCATTTGGCAGATATTCTTTCGCTTGTCCCTCTGAGGATCGTGCGTGTTGGCCAAAATTACTGAAGTCTGGAGGATCCCGGTTCTCTGCCCGAGTCGAAGGCCGGGCATCGGTATCTTGCGCCGAACTTGGCGGTCGAACTTGGGCTGAACCATTAAGCCCATGGCTCGAACCGTCGGGTTCCGCGCTGGCCCCTGGTTTGGGACGGTAAGGGATATTCTCGATGGTAGAGGGCCCGCTGGCGTTCTGCTCCCAGGAACGTTCGGAGATACTCTGAGTCTCCACCACGTCCGAGAATCTCACGCCCTTTTTGTTCAAGTCCGGCGTCTCGCCCGCTGCTGAATGCGCCCTGGTGTGCCGAATCGGAGATTCAGCATTGGACAACTCGTTCCCAGGTGCAACGAAGGACAGAGCTATGCTATCCGAGTTGCGTCTCCGGTGTGGCGCGTAGTGCATTGGACTGGGCGAGCCGAACCTGTCCTGCGGCGGAACCTGTAGCGCAAGGCCCGGATCCGGCGGTGAAGATTCGTCCCGCTGAATTATGTGTGGCCTTGGGGTCGGCCCGCCTCCTGTCTGGTCGCCATCAGTCAAGTCCGCATCGTCGCCGTCCTCAGCCATTGAACTCATCGAGTCATCCGTATAGACAACTTCAATGCCCATGCTCGCTAACAAGGATCTGAACTTTTCCACCAACGTCTCCTGATTCCTCTCCCCACCGATGCGGAACAACAGGCGCGAGATGTGTGGGACATCCTCTGAATCGTAGCCATATTTGGGAAGAATAGTGTCTGCAGCGATGAATAGCGCGTTCGTCGGGAGTCGTTCTCGCTCGGGAAGCGAGTCAAGAATTTCCTCGCCATTAGTGACGATTTCGTGGAGGATCGTGATGTCTGTTGCACGCGCACACTGTGAGTAACAAAGTCGCGCAATGACAAGGGGGAGATTGAAAAGGGTGCACCCTACCCTCGTTGCTGTAATATGGTTCTGGCCTGGTTCGAATGGGGGTTGGGGAGGGGCGGTCACTACCACTTCCTCCGTCGCCCCCATTCCCGTTGGGAAGAGGGGTGTTGTGGGCGGCGCGTTGCATGGAATCCAGAACAGGTGATTTGACCTCGATGTCGCCGTTGTCGCCAACCTTGACCTCGACCTGGATCTCGCTGAAAGTAGACTCTGTTGTCTCTCTATCATCCGAGGGACTGGTGCTCTGTATCGTGGAAGGGGAGCCCCCTCGACTAAGGGAGGCTGGTGGTACCGGTAGCATTTGCGAAAAGGACGGGTGCGCCGCGGATACATGTCGAGCAGGAGGCAAAACAGGGAGATTGAGGTCACGTAGTCGAGCTGGCAGACGAGCGTTCGAGGCCAGGAGAGTGTGTGATGCGATTGAGCTTTAGGTCAGGTCAGGTCTAGTCGAGGCGAGGCGAGGAGCGCGCAAAAGACAGCAGCCGGCTCAGCTCGTTGCGGCCGTTTTAGGATCGGGGCAGTCGAGAGGGATCGCAGTATATCGATGCATTGAATTTCCAATTGCAGGAGCCAATAGAGAGCGGAATGAAAACAATGGCAGCAGACTGGGCTTGGATAGCGTGTTGCGACAGGCGACAAGGACAATGGAGAAGCGCGTTGCTCTAGTGCTGGTGTAGATGGGATCGCGTACAAGGCGGCTGAAAAGAAGATAGCGTCTTGGGGAACCTCGCGCCGGGGCGATCAGAAAGAAACGGCGCGGTCTTGAATAGCTTTCATTGGGAGACAGTGGCAGCGGGTGAACCCCCCCCCCCCTAACCCCAGAGCCCTGTGTGCACCAGCCACCCGTTTCGAGCCGTTGTCATGGTTGCAGTGGAGCCGCTTGCGGGCGATCCCCCGTAAAGCAGGACACCCCTGCTCCGTCTTAGGTACGGTCGACGAGGCCGTTTCAACACCAATGAAATCATCGACACTTGGGTTTCTCAGACTGCAGACTGCATGAACTACACGACTCAAGACACCCTCAGGAATCCTCGTTCATCTAATTTCCCCGTCCTAGATCTCACATTGTTCTTGGCCTGAACCAGCCAGCCAATTCAACTTCGTTCCTTGGGACGAAAAGATCACAGACCAGTCAACATGCCAGCAGCAAAGCCAACGAGACCGATCCAGAAGTTCGCCGCTGCCGCCTCAAAATGCACTGCCGAGGTGAGCCCTTGGTTGGGACGATCGATGCCTACCCCCAAAGTAGTATTGACACAATGTTTAGTCCGCAGTGTACGGCAGGTGTATCGTGGCAGACTACAACTCAGTTCACAAGGATAAGTGTGCCGCAGAGTTCATGAAGCTGAAGGACTGCTACTTGGTATATGCGCACTGCCGTCCCGTACTCGTTGTTGAGATTCAGAGCTGACTTGTCTACAGAAAGCATACAAGTCTAGATGACTAGTGTAGGGGAGCATTACAAATAAATTATCCTGATCACTTCACAGCTGCAGGTGAAACATTCTCTGAATGGTCTATCATGATCTTTATTCTCTCTCTGTAATCTTCGGTCACTCACTGCATCTCTCTATCATAAGCTCTATAGCTTCAACAACCGCAGCAAGAAGGTAGCAGATTGAACTTCCTGCAGCTCCTCAGCAATCACACCCTCCTGTTGACCCTTGGGTATCTCGCCGTCCACCTGCGTAACAATGTGCTTGTCCATCGGCCGTCGGAGAGCCTTCTCTAGTTGCTTCGTCTGCGTCACAAAAACCTCCTCAATGCCCAGGCTCTCCGGGTCAGACAACACGTTGTACTCCATCTTGATGTCGTCCGTTGGCTGCAAGCCGGCCTTCTTGCGGAGCTTCTGCACCCGGTTGATAATCTCACGGGCAATGCCCTCGGCCTTGAGCTCGGGGTACAACTGGCAATCCAGGATGGTGAGGACATCACTGTCCGTGTTGACTTCGGAGTTCTTGGTTGATTCGGTCTCTTTGATGCCGCGGCGGACCACCAGGTCGCCCTCTACCAGCTCGATACCGTCCACAACAATCTTGCCCGTTGCGACGTAGTCTTTGACCTGGTCACTGTTAACGCCTGGCAGTGCCTTCTTGACCTTGCCCATGTCCCTCTTGAGCTTCTTGCCGAGCACTGGCCAGTCAGCCGTAACGCTGTACTGGACATTATAAGAAGCCTCGTCGGACGTGAGGATCAGGTCGCGGACGTTTAACTCTTCTGCAATGTAGCCCTCCAGAGATCGGATATCCTCCAGATAGGTAGCGTCGGTGTGGATGACGACCAGGGTCTTGAGCGGTGTCTTGACTCCGATGGCCTTGCGCTCACGTGAGACTCTAGCTAGGTCGATGATATTCTTCATACGGCTGACCCTGCGCTCAATCTCGGGGTTGTACAGCTCTTTCCGGACTTCGGGAAACTTCAAGAAGTGCACACTCCGGGGGTCTTCTTCTCGCAAGCTCTCAGGGATATAAGGAAGGATTCTCAGGTAGATGTTGTCGGTGATAAAGGGCATGAAGGGGGCAAGCCCTCTGCAAAGAGTGTAGAGGACCTCGAAGAGCGTGTTCAGGGCATGCTTGGTGTCCTCGACACCGTTCTCCCCCTTGAGTCGCTTCCGGTTGAAGCGAATGTACCAGTTCGTGGTGTCATCAATGAGTCCAAGCAACCTAGGAGTCACTGTGTACAATCGGTATCCTGATGCAGCTCGTCAGTATCATCAAATAGGGCCTGTGGAGGGGGCTTGCTCACCATTCATCTCCTGATTGACCCACTCCAACAGACTCTGACAGCTAGCAAGAATCCACTTGTCCATGACATTGGTGTTCGATGACTCCATAGTGGGATCCCACTGGTAATCCACGTTTTCGATCTTCTTCAACAGAGCAACCTGGGCGTTGAAAAAGTTGAAGCTGTTCCACAGAGGCAAAAGAACCTTCTGCACGACTTCCTTTACACCGGCCTCCTTGAAGCGAAGGGGCTCTGCTCTCACCACGGGCGAGTTAATCATGTACATGCGCAGAGCATCGCTACCGTACTTCTCCATGACGATAGAAGGGTCGGGGTAGTTCTTCAGACGTTTCGACATCTTTTTACCATCCTCGGCAAGGACAATTCCGTTGACCACACAGTTCTTGAACGGCATCTTGCCGAAAAGATGTGTTCCCATGACAACGAGAGTGTAAAACCATCCTCGAGTTTGATCGAGACCTGTTGTTACTCGCGTTAGTGTGTGCTTCTGGGTATAGGTGTGTTAGGGAGTTCTTACCCTCCGCGATGAAGTTGCCCGGGAATGACTCCTTGAACTTGTCCTGGTTTTCGAAGGGATAATGTTGACTGGCAAAGGGCATGCTTCCTGACTCAAACCAACAGTCAAACACCTCCTCGATGCGCTTGAGCTGGCCCTTGCCCTGTTTGCTGGGGATGGTGATGTGGTCGATCTTGTCACGGTGAATGTCTGTCAGCTCCCCTTGATATCCACTCAGCTCCTTCAGCTCAGCAACACTGCCAACGCAGATGCGTTCCTCGCCGTCATCGCTTTGCCAGATAGGGATCGGGGTGCCCCAGTATCGGTTCCTAGAGATGTTCCAGTCACGAGCATTTGAGATCCAGTTCGCAAATCGCTTCTCCTTGACGAAGGACGGCGTCCAATGGCTGGACTCGATCTCCTGGAGCATCTTGGGGACAATCTCTGGGATTCGGATGAACCATGAAGGCACAGCACGGTAGATCAAGGGAGTGTCGGATCGAGGGCACATTGGATAACTGTGCCTCAGTTGTGAGTCGACGACCAGCCTTCCCTTGTTCTTCAGAGCCTTAACAATGTGTTTGTCAGCTTCTTTGACGTGCATTCCCTCGAAGTCCTTCACTCTTGCGAGATAGCGACCAGTCTCATCGAGCGGGTCAGGGGGAGGGCGGTCCTCGGTCACAATGCCAGCCTCTGTTGCAATACTGAAATCGTCCTGATACTTGTCAGTTCCACCGTTGTGGCACGCCAATGTTGCAGAGCACATACCTCACCAAAGGCCGGAGCCTGGTGGACAATACCGGTACCGCTGTCATCTGTAACATATGTGCCGTTCAAGACCTTGAAGGCAACACCCTTGAACTCCTCGTGGTAGTAGTCAAACAGGGGCTCATATTCCCAACCAAGCATGTCCTTGCCCTTGATCTTCTCAAGGATCTTGAATTTTGCCTTCTTCGGATCCTTGTACAGGGTGGTCAGGAGCTTCTCGAGGAGGATGTAGTTGTCTCCTGACTTCTCGTCTGCGATCTTGACATATTCGAATTCGGGGTGAACACACAAGCCCAGATTTGTAGGCAGGGTCCATGGCGTTGTCGTCCATGCCAGCAGTTTCGTCTTGGGGTCTTTAACTAGAGGGAATGAGACGACGACTGCGGGGTCAGTTACGTCCTGGTAGTTTTGGTTCGCCTCGAAGTTGCTCAGGGAGGTCGTCAAGACAGTGCTGTAGGGCATGACGCGGTAGCCCTGGTAGACCTGGCCCTTTTCGAATAGCTGCTTGATAGCCCACCATTCTGACTCCATGAAGGACGTATCCATGGTCTGCGTACAGCCGGTTAGTCTCTCCGTGTCTCTCCATCCCACAAGCACCCGTGTTGCTGCCCACCTTGTAGTCGTTGTCGAAGTCGATCCACCGTCCCAGACGCTCGATAGTCTGCCTCCATTCCGATGAGTATCTCATGACAATGCTCCTGCACTCTGCGTTGTACTTGTCGAGTCCCATCTCCATGACAGCCTGCTTTCCGGAGATTTTGAATTTCTTGTCGATCTCATGCTCGATGGGCAGACCGTGGGTATCCCAGCCGAAGCGTCGTTCGACATGGTAACCCTTCATCGACCAGTAGCGTGGAATGATGTCTTTGATAGTGGAGGCGAGCAAGTGGCCATAGTGACTGCAGGTCGAGTTAGAGAAGCTCTGGCGCAGACGGCGGCGCGTGTGGGAACATACGGGAGACCTGTCGCAAATGGGGGACCATCGTAGAAGGTGTATCTCTCCCGGCCTTCTGACAATTTAACCTGGGAAAACAGAGTCAGCGTCATCGAGATGTTGAAAGATTAGCTTCAGGTTCAGTGGGGCATACTTGTGTCTCGAAAGCCTTGATCTCCCGCCATCTCTGGATGATGTCCAGCTCCTCCTTGGGGAAATTGATGGAGGCCATGATGGGCGCAGTCGATCAATTGTCCTCTCAGTTGTAAGAGAAGAGAAATGAAAACTAGAAGTGATCGGTCGGGGGGTTGTCTGGGGAGAAAGTGGGCCTGCTTTTCTTGTCCCCTTGGTGGTGTTGCTTGAGTCACAGCCGGCGAGGAAGCGCCACCAAGAGAAAGATGACTCTGAATTGATCGGCCGCTGGAAGTTTTGGAGGGGCAGAAATTCCAGAAATCGCGGGGTACTCCGAGCAAAGCACACCCAGCTTGGGGCAGCCAAGTACGCAGGGGGGGCACCAGAAACGGCAGGCGAGTTGGAACTAATCCTATTATGGTAGTATGTCGGGTCCAGTCAGATCAATTTCTCAGCCACCTGCTCTCCATATACGGCATGTTCTCCCATTCACAGGGCCTTGATGCAATTTCTCAACTACGTCGTGCCTCTTTCTCGTAGCTTCTCGATTCTTTCAGCCTGTTAGCCCTTCAATCCTGACTTGGGGGTTGTCGCATGGGCTTGGAGGCTCCAGTAGTCATCATTCCCGATTGGGCAGTATTCCCGTTAAAACAAGACGTCAGCCGCCTGCCTGCCGTAGAGTAGTGGGCTTGTCAGGGGTGCATGAGTGTTGACACTCCAGGGCTGGTGCTCGAGCCGGACCAAAACATAAACACAGGCAGGGCCCAGCTGCAAGTCCCGATCGACGGTCTAAGTGGTGCTGCTGTTGCTGCTACTGCCGGCAACCCAACCCAACCCAAACCCAAATCCAAAAAACACAAAGGCGAGGTTACAGACGAACTGCTCTGTCCCTCCCCATCCCCAATTCCCTCGTAAGGGCGCTTTTGTCCAGACATTCCCATACTGCAACCGAAATTACAGTGTGACCTCACTACTTGACCACTGTCCAGGATCAAACCCCCGGCTTACTACTCCTTACCCGCGAGTGGTTCGCGGCTCGTGGTTCGTGGTTCACGCCCGCCGGGTCCCCCTCCTCGGGCAGCCCTTTGAGACCGGCTTGGGCGTCGCCCTCCCCTCCCCTCGACAACCACAACCACAACCCGTCACACGATGTCTTTCTTATTCGGGAGAAACAGGGCGCGTCCCTCCACCGTGGACTTGCCCAAGCAAGCCCGCGATTCCGTTACTAAATTAGAGAAGCTGGATGGGCCCGCCGGCCAAGCAAAGGTAAAGTGCGCCGCCAGCCATGGCCTTCGAAGCAGAACACTGCCGCGCAATTGACTCCCACACTGACACCGTGGGTCCTGAGCAGGCAGAGGAGCTCGCAAAGACGCTCAGCCAGATGAAGCAGATACTGCAGGGTACACAGGGTATGCCTTAACTCCGTGCTGTCGCACCACCTATTTCCAACCCAACGACCGGTGCAGCTGTTGACTATGCAGCTTGCAGAAACCGAGGCCACCCCCGAGCAAGTATACCAATTGGTTCACGGCATGATCGAGGAGGACCTGCTGTACCAACTTGCAGTCAACCTGTGGCGGCTGCCGTTCGAGGCACGCAAAGACACACAGGTTATCTTCAGCTCCGTCTTCCGATTCAGACCAGCCACCGCGTCTCCCAAGTCCGACCCTGTCGCCTTGAGCTGGGTGGTCAACAACAGGCCACAGGTCCTCATCGAACTCTGCAAGTGTTATGACCACAAGGAGAGTGCGACTCCGGCCGGCTCGGTCCTTCGAGAGGTCTTAAAGAGCGAGGCAGCTGCCGCTATAATCCTTTACGACGACGGCGAGGAGCAGGGTTCCAGTGCCAAGGGCATCATGGGCATCGACCAGGACAGGGCGCAATCGGGGAATGGCGTCTTCTGGCGGTTCTTCGATTGGATCGACAAAAGCTCCTTCGAGGTCGCCGCAGATGCATTCACCACCTTCAGGGCAAGTCTATTAGGTCGCAGCCTCTGTCGCATGCGATTCGGTTACTGACAGCGGGAATAGGAGATTCTGACCAAGCACAAGGACATTATACCGAGATATCTGGCCATCAACTTCGACATGTTCTTTGACAAATATAACCACGTCCTCGTCCAATCCACCAGCTACGTCACAAAACGGCAGTCTATCAAACTCCTTGGCGAGCTTCTTCTGGACCGGTCTAATTACAACATCATGACGGCGTACGTGGACAGCGGCGAGCACCTCAAAATCTGCATGAACCTACTACGGGATGACCGCAAGATGGTCCAGTACGAGGGCTTTCACGTGTTCAAGGTCTTCGTGGCCAACCCCCACAAGTCCGTCCCTGTGCAGAAAATACTATTGATGAACCGGGACAAGCTCCTCCAGTTCCTGTCGCGCTTCCTCGAGGACCGAACCGATGACGAACAATTCATAGATGAGAAAGAATTTCTCATTAAGCAGATACGAAACATGCCAGCAGCGCCTGTACCTCCTCAACGATAACGGTGCGGCAGCGCAACTAGTGCTGGGTATACGGCACCAGCACGGCTTTCACGATTATTGACCTGTGCCAGTTTCATCTCATGGAAGAAAGGGTACTAGAGTTTTTCACGCCGTCACGCTTGGGTCAATCCATGGAGTTAAGGGCGATTTTACAAATCATAGGGTTTTGGGTTTTGATGACTGTGGCAGCTAGTCGAGTTGAGTTTGAAGAGGCGTTCCTTCTAGGGCTCAGACAACCAGAGCGATCACAGCATACGCATGCATTCCATAAGGCGTCAAGGAGAGGCAGATCCACGATGAGTGCGCATCATTTCTTTCCGACGGGATCTTGACCTTGCGGGTGGCAGGACAATTACCTGTTATTTTCATCACTTGCACAGAGTGCTAGCTGACTTTCAATCCGAAATTATCAGGCTTGATGGAAAGCCAATCGCTGGTGTCGGCAATGCCCGTCTGAACCATTGGTTCTTGAGGGTGAAGCGTCGTCCCATCTCCAGTGACGCCAATCGCACGGAGGATCCCAACGTCAAGCACCCTTTTACTGTGCAGACGCAAAGCTAACCACATCAAAATTGCACTGATGCTCCAAGTAAGGCAAGAAGATCCTCCACCGTGCCATCGGAAACGAGGGCCATGTTGAGCCTGCGATCCGAAGCCATGCTACCACCAGACTATACAATCCGCTTCTTTAATTCTGGAATTGGAATTAGCATTACTACGGCCAAGACAGCGGTGAGCACAATGTAGACGCCAGGCGCTCTAGTATATCGTGTCGCGCATTATAGTCTAGACGGCATCGTTGGGCAGGAACGGAGCCGGCTGATAAACTTGAGTTCAAGCCCATCACATTCAACTTCCAATGACCGTTAAAAACATGCTGAAACCCGCCCGGTCTGCATCGAATTCAAATTCAGGAGCACGGCTATCTTATCGCGTCCGACTCATCGTCCGCAAAGATGTGATCCCTCCGCCTCACAGCAGCCCACCTCCGGTTGCCCGCCCTCGCATTCTCTTCGGCCTCCCTCAGCCACTGCCTCCATCTCCTCGTACCAGGCGCGGCACCACTCCTCTCTGCCCACCGCGTACTCTTCGTCTCGCGGATGACATACCACAGGGTCCCCGTAAAACTCCTGTACCCATCACATGCATCATTTGGGTCAGTCGTGCGGTCGGCCAGCCTCGCATCCCGCGGCGTGACATCTCGCCACTCATACCGGAAAAGGAGTCCTGCTTGCGGACGCAATTTTTGGTGGTCTACATGCAACAGAACCCATGAAGCCCAATCCACTCGGATGCATGGCGGGATCGTGAGCCTTATACCGCCGGACGCATCCCGCAGGCCAATTTGCACAATGCCCATGGCGCCGGGAGCATGGAAAGGTGCCGAGGACGTAGCCCCAAACCCTGATCGGTCGCCGTGCATTGGAAGCGCCCCATGATGTTGGAAAACAAAAACAACTTGCACGTCATCAGCAGTCCACCAAGCGTGGCTTGGGTGACATCCGGGTAGGCTCGCAGGAAGGGTTAAGCCTGCAACGCGCGGTGCTGGCAATACGGAAGGCTTTATATGACAGTCGTGATATTAGCCTTACCACCGTGGTTCGTCCGGCTAGACCTCCTTGGCGGCGCCGGCCTCCAAGGTTGACCACGGTTGGCAGGCGCCCAGGCTCGCTGTCAGAGTGCGCTAAAGGGTCGTATGAGATGTTGACAATTTGTTCCGAGTTTGCTACTAGATTTTGAAGTACCAAGATGCGTTCTTGTCGCTGAAATGGTTGAACGAGAGCTGTCACGCGACGGCTTCCACCGGAGAGCAATGCTCCCTTGGGTTCAACTTCAGGCAAAGCCCCAGCTAATGCGACACTTATCCTTGACAGCAACTCAACACCATTGATTCATATCTTAAGTCTGCTTATCCACCCATTCCTGGTGCTTCGCTTTCCACTCATCCCGCCACCTGGTCAGTGGCGGCCGGCCCTCAATGGCGTCTGATGCTCCCCAGAGCATCCTCTTGCGATCCTGCATCACTTGTCAGCTTCTGTTTCATCGTGAAGGCCGATCTCGCTAGGACAGATTCAGAATAAGATTGGAACGGAGATACTCACAAGCTGCTCAGTGACCTGGTCATCCGGGCAGAGAACCCAGAATTGACCCTCACTTATCTTCTTCTCCAGGAAGTCAACAACCTGGTCTGGCCACCACGCGCCGTCTGGCTTTTCCTTGCCCGCTCCTGGCCGGTTGCCACTCAGACCCGTAAACGTCCAACCCGGAACCAGAAGGTGCACAGAAAGGTTCTTCTCGTCCCGCAGGTCAAAGGACAAGTGCTCGGCAATGCTCTTCACCGCGGACTTGGAGGCATTGTAGGCCGGGTTCCCGGGAGGGTTAGTGATTCCCTGCTTGGAGCCCGTGATCACGACGGCACTGGGCGAGCCGGAGGAGGCTGTGGACTTGACGCTGGGCAAGAAGGTGCTGATGCCGTTGATCACGCCGAACAGGTTGACGTCGATGACCTGGCGGAATGCATCGGGTGAGTCCCAGGACGATTTGGGCCCGATGGCTGCGTTGAGGGCCAGCAGGTTGACTTGGCCGTTGAAGTCCTTGTCGACCTTGCTCTTCAGTTTGGCCCAGTCATCTGTCTTGCTGACGTCGACTTTGATTGTGCCGATGTCCCCGCCGACATTCTTTGGGGCCGCGCCCAGAGTCTCCTCGTCCCAGTCAGCGACCAGCACTTTCATGCCATAGTTGAAGCATTTTTTGGCAAGAGAGAGGCCAATTCCGGATGCGCCTCCCGTGATGACGGCCGTATGTCCTGCTTTGAAAATCGATGCCATGGTGAGATTTCTGTATTGTCCACGCGCTTCTCGGTTCGATGGTCCGTAATTAAACAAACTTTCTTGAGGTGAAGCTGATGTTGGAGATTCTGTGACGTCGCTGATATACCTTAGAAGGTGTCGGAGTTTAGTATACCAAGGACCTAAGTCCGATAGAACTCCATCAACATTGCATACCCAGCCGTCCAAGAGGACCCTGCAATAGTCACATCGGCCCACTGCGGAGTAAATAGGGAGCATGAAGACGCATTCTTGGCGAGTTATCCTTTCCCGGATGATTGAACAATGACCATCTCATCGCATCAGTGATGTGACACATGGGGTGTGGACGAAGAATGTGAAGCCGGCGACAGTCAGTCCACCTTCAGATAATCTCTTTCAATTGTACTTTACAAATGCAAGATGGGCTCCACTATCAATGCAGTGATTGTGAGTGGACAAGTCCATCGAGTGTGTGCAAAATATATATCGATAACAAGACTTAATCAAGTCTTGTTAAACTCTCTAATCTCGGGTGAAGTTAGGCTTGCTCTCGAAACAGCAGAACGAGTATCAGCCTGGTGCCCTAAGAACTAGACATTCTGTCAGTCACGTATTAAAGAGACTCAATCATTTATTGCAAAAAGAAATCGAGGCACTATTACCCCCGAGCCGGGTGCCTCAGCCACCTCTTTCCCACCCGTTTCATTGGGCTTAGAAAGTATACATGGAGCCCGCTCGAACGTTTCGCTAGACACAAGTTGGTACAAGAATTTAATCATTGGAGGTGTTTTGGGACCATAATCACGACTGTCAATATCACAAGTCAATATGTCCCAGGCTTGACCATTGTTTCTGCCGAAAAATAATCAATTCAAACAAAGATCAGAAAGACGTATTGTGCTTCTACAACGCCAAATCATCCTCTTCTTCGGCGCGATATCGTCCTCTCAAGTCATTAAGTGGTCGCCGACGACGCAAATCTCGCGGTGGTGGATCATCGGCTGGGGATGGTAACCTTCCAATATTCAGCAGATTTTGTAATTGTGCGAAACGACTCTGAACCACCGTATCCCACCAGCCAACAGGAGCCCTTCGGACACCTGGTGACGGCGGAGGACCTTCTCCATCCTGAAATTGCTGTCTTATATTGCCCACCGGTGCTACGCGGCGCAGCCGGGACTGCTCCGCTTTCTCCGCCCTGGTCGCCAGCCCGCCGATGCGCAACATTTCTGCTGCATCTGCGAGACGCTCCATAACGTCTGGTCCAATCCTAGCAAGACCAGGCTGAGCAGCTGCAGCCGACGGAGGCGGCTTTTGCCAGGGTATATAGTGTCAGCTTGATGAACCAACCACCCGAAGTGGAGGGACATGCTGGGGTTACTTCTTACAGGTGCAGGTTGGTTTATATTTGCATCCGACCAGTCTCGGACACTTTCCTGCTGGTCATCCCAATGTGCATCATTTTCCCTCCAGCTGCACCATCGCAGGAGCTCTCTCAGCGATGGCCGGTCTTCTGGGTCGGCCGCAAGGCAGCGAACCAAGACCATCATGAGATAAACGTCGAGCTCCGAGTTAAGTGAGTTTTTATTTGAGAGCCAGAGGCCATAAGTATAAAATGGCCGCACCGGATTCCTATCAAAATCCTTGAACTCCAAGGGTGACGGGAACATTTCAGCCATTGCGACATGGTCATTCACGGGACCAATTGCGGCAGGAGGCATTGTCCAGAGAGATTGCGTAGCGATCATGTGCATCAAAATACCAATGTGCCAGATGTTGCTATGCGAACCGTAATTGCTCGCTATTCTAGGCCGTGGGTTGGTAATACCAGGCCATGAGTTGATATAATCCCACTCTTTAGTAAATTGCTCCTGAAGGAGAACATCAGGGCCTTAGCACAATACGATGCGAAATTGAGCCTGAAGTGTACCAAAGCATACTCACTGGTAAGTAGTAATTTGGTTTCCCACGCAGACGCGTCCCCCAAGACGTACTCCTGGTTGATTTTATCAGTAGCGAATTCTTCTTACAGTATCTTGAAAGGCAAAAAGAAACAAAGTGCTTACTGTGCGTGGTTCGCCGGGTCCGAAGCTGGACGGGCCAAGCCGAAGTCGCCGACCTTAGAGACGGTCCTTAGCGATTCGTCTTTTTGAAAGGCTCTGTTCATGCTTCGAATAGCTTACCTTGAAGACCGGTACTTCTGAATGTTGATCATTGTCAAAGTCCCCGATCATCACTTAAGTAGTACCAAAGTTCAATCAGTCTTTTGGTGTAAAATTGCCGCGGGGCAAGTGGATTTACCGTTCTGTCCGTCCAGATCGAAGTGAACCAGATCATAGGCGAGATACTTGATAGCATCATCAGGGCCATTGGGCAATGACTCTTCAATATCGTCTAACCCCGGTGGGTCAGACCAGCAATCCTCGTAAGCCAAGTTCTTTGAATGTCTCGGTGGGTACGCCATGGCGACACAGGCTTTGACGACTATGAATGTTGTGTGATTAATAGAGCCTTGGCCATAATGGCGACAGGAAGAAAAAGGGAGGGAAATTAAACCGTCTCGATCTAGTAAAGCACACTTACGACAAGTGAAAATCCTCCACAGGACCTTATTAGGCACATACATCCCTAGAGAGCCAACTCGCATCAGGAAGTGAAGCACATCTCCGTTTTTCATATACTCAAGGCATAGGATCTCCAAACTATTATCCGCCTGCTGCCATCGTTGAATATCTTGCGTTTCGTCAGAGCCGTCATTTTTAGGCTGCATTATATCTCCGTTGAAACGCAGCAGCTGTACAGTATGTCTCGCTCGCTTCACGTTCTGGTCCATAATATCAGTCAGTAAATGTCAGCGATTCGTTACAAGATTTAACTGAAAGAGCGATTCTTTACGACCGACCAATGTCATCATCTTTTCTCGCTGCAGGACGCCCCCCTCTGCCACGGTTGACTTGATTACAACCCTCTTCCATATGCGCCTGTTGTTGATTTCCCAAAGGCTCACCATGCCTTGGCCGCCAGTTCCAAGGACTTTTATAAGTCTAATGTCCATCCCTTTGCTACGGAGTAACCTGCTAACGCGTGAGGCTGCGATTTGCACGGGTATGTCACCATCTAGATCATGTCCTTGAAATCTCTTGCGCCACAGTCGTTTCCAATTTTGGGCCTGGAGGGCAGTTAGCTCTAAATTCGAGCGGCTGGGAATCCTGTCCCATGGCCATCCTCTGCGCACGGGACGATTTCGAGCCCGAAGAAGATCGTCCGCGTCGGCGTTCTGGTCTGCGGCAACCCTTCGTAACACCACATCGGGGTATGCACGCATGATTCCCTGTCTGTAATCGTTGAAATAGGTCGCAAGATCTGTCTGCAAGTTGCGAAATGTCAACAAGCGCAGTTGCGCTTCGGCGTCGGGTTGAGCAGCCATGTTCGCTCATGTGTAAACAGTATTGTAAAAGTGCAGCTGCAACGCCAGTGTGCAAATCACAGACAACCCGCTGTACTCGGAGAAAAACTCATCAACAGAAAATGGGTGCTTCTACGAAATCCGGTGGGTGGTCAATTGTCCGCAAGCGGCAGCTATGTTCGTCGACAAAGGGCCAACAACAAATCTGACAACCACGCGAACCTAATAATTACATGTGCATAATATACAATAATGATCTAGAAAGTATTAGAAAAAGTGCATAGTCGGGCTTCATTGCTTTGTTTGACCCAACAGTAAATGCCACATACAATAAGACGTTCTGAGACGTGTCGGATGTGTGTTTTTGAGTACTATGTGATGAGGCTCTTCCAGGGCTCAAGTACCGTCCTTGATTTCCAATATGACGTCGAAGACAGAGTAGGTCCTGAAATGAAATTATAGGTAGACATTCCTGTCCACAGGAGTATTAGAGGCGGTAGAACATAGGACCGCGTTTAATTGAATACCTTTTTTCTTTTCTTCTTTTCAGCAAACAGGGCTCAATTTCTTCCTGCAACCAGAACACATGTGTCTATGTTGCAGCCTTAGGGTAAATTGGTCTTCGTTTCTTCGTGCGGGACTTGGTATGGCCAATGAGTAGGTGATACTTGACACCTGCAGCCCGAATTGGGTTGCAGCTGAGGCTGAAAACTTGTATTCGGATGCCACGAGCATGCACATTGTGCATGTGGTCTAGCAAACATCTAGACTCGTCCTCTGCCGTCCCTACATTGCACTCGGCCCGTCAGGATCTAATTTTGGAAGCAGATCTATCGACCTCCCTATTTCGGCACCTAGTTGCATCCCAACAACATCTCTTTCGTCCACGTTCTTTGAGGCTCCGCAACTTGGTGGGGGGCGACAGCAGCTCTGCCAAGCGTAAGCCTCTTCCAAACAGGGTCTTACTTTTAAGACAACCAACGCCTGCCTATCTACTCAAGCCGCCAATTGCGCCACAGCATATCACGTCCTTGACTGCACCATTTAGCCGTGGGATCGAGGTGGTGCAGAAGCAACGAATGGCAGCATAGACTGGTACACCAGCGAATCCATTTCGAGCCCACTATCTGCAGCTGGCTTTTACTGATACCCACGAGCTGAAAGCAGTGATGCAGCCAAACTGTGTTGGTTGCCATCTTGGCTGCAATTCAGTGGGGGTATGGAGCCTGGACTGTGGAAGTCAAAAGACCGAGGGTTCTCAACTGTTTTTCATCATGCTTGGCAACGGTCCCGGGTTCCTCACTTGAGTCTTTCGAAATTTGTGCAGACATCACCGTCGCTGGAATTTAATTTTTAATTACCATGGAGCACCGCCAACAGTATCCACAGCCTTATCAGGGACAAACACGACACACTCGCTTTCCTAGCGACAGTAACAGTAGTGAGCAGAGCGACGAATCCGTCTTTAGCGGCTTCACCAGCTATGATCCGGCCGCTGTGTATCTCACTTCGGATTACTTCGCTCCGAAGTCCCATAACATCACCGAGCAAACAGTGAGACTCGATGGTGTATCATCGACGGAATTTCGGGCTCAGAACCCTGCCTGGAATTCTGATCACAAGTCAAACGATTCTAAGGCCGAAACCAGGAAAAGCAGGCTGTCATCGTTGGCAAACCTCAGGGGTGTCAAAATTCCAAGGAAGACAGGGAGCTGGACTTGGGAAGTAATCGCTATGCTGCTCGCAGTTGGCGCTGTTGCAAGCATTATCGCCCTCCTCGCCCGATACGATAGAAGACCACTACCAAGCTGGCCTTATGAGATCACCCTGAACGCATTGATTGCGGTCTTGACGACAATAGCGAACGCATCCATGGCAGTACCATTGTCCAGCGGACTGGGTCAGCTCAAATGGGAAAGGATGAAGAAGGGCTATGCACCGCTGGCAGATATGGAGGTTCTTGATGAAGCAAGCCGAGGGGCGTGGGGGGCTGTCAACATGCTACGCAGACTCCGTGGCGGGTAAGTCAAGTGTTCCTTAATACGAAATTCATTTGTTTACCACGTCCCTCTTGCTTACACTGCGCAGACTATTCGGCTCGCTGGGCGCGATTGCCGTGATCGTGGCCCTCTTCTTGTCCCCCTTCGCCCAGCAGGTTATTATATATCGCACTTTGCCTCTGGAGTCGGACTCGGGCGCAACAAACTATCGCGCGATGAACTTCACAGTAGCGTTGCCGAGCGTTGACTCTGCCGTCCCATTCGTCCCAGTCCTTCCCATCAAGTCCGCCGTCTATAATGGCCTATTTGCTGAGAACAACAAGCCCTGGACCAGCCTTCCCGTCAGCTGTGAGACTGGAAATTGCACATGGGAGCCTTTCGATACCCTCGCGGTCTGCAATTCCTGTGTGGACATGACACCGTACCTCCAACGCGATTGCGCTTCTGGTGACGAGGACTGTGGGTGGAAGCTAATGTCTGGACCCGTTCTGAACAAGAGCGATGTCTTCAGCATGACATCCCAGGTAAGTCTCTCTAATGTGTGAATGGTGGTTTGTTCTGACATGAGTACTATAGTTCCCGTCGACAGACGGTGGGGCGCCCTGGTCCAACATCATGAAGCTTACATTCATGGGCACGGAGAGCAACACAGCAGAGGCGGGGAATGTGCAACCTTGGGCTCGTCAATGCACCCTGTCCGCTTGCGTGCAGACAATCCAGTCTCACATCATCAACGGAAACCTGGTGGAAAACGTCACGCACAAGGTTGAGAACAACACGGTCATGACGTCCAGCAGTTTCATCACAGACCTGGCCCCCATCACCATCACAGCCGACGCAACATACAACACTTCCTCCCCAGCCGCGCCGTATGTTCTTTCCGCCGAGGCCATGCTGGGCATTCAGTCCTGGTTTGCACAGCTCTTCGCCAACGGGTCTGCCACTCGGACCGACTCCGTCATCAACACGACGCTGACTTCGGCTGCCAACGCGCCGATCGCCGTCAACCTCACAGTCGGTATCTCGTCTGGAGCTACTTTCTTCGACACGGACATTGTACAGGCCTTCTACTGGAACTACTACGAATACCCGTCTGGGCTGGACATGCTCATGAACGACCTGGGCGTATCCTTGACAGTCGCCTTCCGCAGCCTCTGGGGAGCGGAGGCAATCAACGGAACGGCATTTACGAATGAGTCGTTCGTATATGTTCGCTGGGGCTTCATTACGCCTTTGATTCTGTCAGTTCTGTTGACGGCGGCGTTTTTGGCCCAAGCAATATACCGCAGCTGGAGATGTGGTGCCAAATTGTGGAAGAGCAGCGTGTTGGCTGTGTTGTTCCACGGGCTGGAGGATGATGTGAGGGAGAAGTTTGCTGATGTGGGTGAGTTCCAACTGCAGCGGCGTATTGCCAGAGATGTCAAGGTAAGGCTTGACGAAGGTGTTGCTGCAGGTGGCTTGCTGAGAGCTGAACGTGTATACTGAAGTTGAATGCACTGTTATTGTGTAGTAGCTCTCCTCCACAAGCCGGCTAGAGTTGGAATGATGAATGTAACGATGGAATGAAAGACATGTTTTCTTATACTTAGGCAGGTCTTCAATGAACTAAAACGTCCTTTTGTCAAAAGAGAATTGTGAAAAATGAGTCTGCGTAATAGCAAGCTTCTGTAAGTTATAAGTGGGATGTATTGAGCCTCGCCACGTGGAAAATTGCCGTGGACGCCCACAACGTGAGACCACAGTACAAGCGAAGTCACAAAACCAGGTAGTATCAGAACAAGCGGAACCAATCACCATGAGCGATGAGAAGCATCAACCAGCCAGCCAGGACCGGTGAGTGGGTTCACAATCACTCCAACTCCATTGCTAGCGCGGACGGCCGTGCCTGTTCTGCTAGTCTATCCATTTACTTCCCCACCACCAACCAGTTGACCCTCAAATTCATAATCGTGTTGCTCAAGATACAGGGTGTGTGCGTGTGTGTGTAAAAGTGTGCTTGCGCGTGAGAGGGGCCTTCCGGTGAGTTACATGCCGAAACAAGAGCAGTCAAGAGGGTGAAAATAAACAAGACGGAAGACCGTGGGTTGGGGGCAGGGGGCGGGGCCAGCAGCAGCGTTGCGAGTTCCAAGAAGGGTTAAAAACCAATAACACAATGTATGGATTTTATTACACGTCAAAAAATGTCTGAATCGTCTCAATGTCCACTTCCTCCTGCTGTGCGACCACCATTTAAATGCCGTCGAAGTCGCCGCCGAGGTCATCATCGTCCAGGTCACCCTCCTGTATGTCGTTGGCCATCTCGCGCTCGCGCTCCCGTGCTTCCTGTGCATTCTTAAGCTCAAGGCGGTGTTGGTTCATTGGGAAGCGCATGGCCTGGTTCACGGATTTGTTAGCAATGTGACACACATGATCCTTGGCGTAGGGATGAATGCTCTCACCTTGACGCTCTCATCGTGCAGCGCCAGACAGGCTCTAATACGGTCGTGGAACGCCTCTGTTGGCTCTCTTGTCGCGTAAATATCACCCGTCTCCTTGCTCTTCATGAAACCATGCTCGCGGTCCAGTGTTGCCTCGATCACCCCGTCTCGGATCGCCTTTGCGACGATATACTCCGCCGACTCTTCGCTACCGAGATGAAGGCGGATACAAATGTCGCGCAGAGAGATGCGCGAATACGACAGGGACATCATGCGGATACCCGTCTTGATGACATTCTGTCGCAGGCGCAGGATGAGGGTATAGGTGCCGTCCCTGCGGAAGGTGTCGGCATGGTCTGCGATGGTCGTCTCAAAGTCCTCCAGGTTGCCGACACGCACTGCTTGCACGAGGAGGAAGTAGGGGTGCAGAGCCTGCTCCATCGACGCCACCCGGAATGTTGCGCGGTCGGGGATGTCACCCATCAGCAGCTCAACAACCATCAGAAGCTTGGTCGCGGTCTGGGAGAAGCCGAGGGCACAGAGGCTAGATGGCGCCTTGCGGGTCGCAGCAGTCAGGTGCTCGTGTGCCTCAGTGTAACGCAGTTGGATGGCGCGGATGCGGCCGAGGTAGTATAGGAACCGTGCGACTTGGTTGTTTGCAGCGTTTTCGGGGAATTGTGTGTGCGAGACGAGCAGGTCAGCCTGACTTATGTGGGACATGAGGAGGTAGTTGCGAAGAAGCAGGACAATAACCGAAGCCTGGATGTCGATGTCCTTTCGCAGAACCGCTGTTCGCAGAGCCGCGAGCAGAGTGGGCCGGAGGGCGACGATCGGAGACTGAGGCGAAGGGGGCAGAGGCGCAATATTCTCGCAGAACAAGGAGTAGTAGAAGTAAACCTTTGCGGAGAGCGAGTCTAATGTGCGGCGGTTGAGATTGCGGATGCGGTCAGACAGGTAAGACGAGAACTCGGCTCCATGCTGAAACTGCTTCGAGTCGAACAGGTGAACCTGGATAAGGATGCCGAGGAAGATGTCTATTTCAGGGATAACCTCCTTGGTCTCCTTCTTGCTGCCATTCTTGGCGGGGGTCTTGGAATCGACTTCCATGGCAGAGTCTGACACTGCCTGCTGTCCCAGGGGCAGGTGCTCCTTGCCAAGAGCAATCAGAAGTTGTTTTGCCACATTTCCAGATGTGACTGTAGCGGGGAAGGTCTCGACAATGACCTGAGCGAGGATGTCTGGGGTGAGTCGTTTGCGGATGGAGGAGACGGATCGCAGGGCTCGCAGGGAGAATCTGGCATCGAACAGGGCCACGGCTCGGTCGAGGAGTGCGAAATTGCTCTTGATATCTGCACCGGCGGTGGATTGTTAGCTTCAGGCTCCAGCACAGCAGCAGTTAAGGCACGGGTGAGCGCCAAGGGAGGCATTACCTGACACGGCTTGGGCGACTGGGTCGACCTTTTCCTCTGCGTCCTTGTCGGCGTCGTCCATGTTCACGTCACCATCGGCATCGTTGGGAGGTGGCGCGGATGACTGCTTCTTGGAGATGGGCACCACAACGGTCATCTCCTCGTCGCCGTCCTTGGCACCCTTCTTCCCCTTGCCCTTGAGCGATGATGAAGACTCGTCCTTCATGTCGATATCTTTGCTGCCGGGGTAGCCTCCGTTCTCGACTGGCTCCTTCCCGTTTCCGTTTGGCGTCTTGCCGGGCATGTCGGAGGATGTGTATGTGGGCTGGGAGGTGTTGAGACGAAGCTGTGTCAACAACGCGTAGAAGCTGCTGGTAACTGCAGCGTGTTGATGGGAGGTGGGACGGGCTGGAGGCGGCTGGCGGCTCGCAGAAACGCGCTCTTGGGAAGCCGAAGCAAACGAAAATAGACCGAGGGTTGGCTCGTGCCGCTCAGGTCAGCTGGAGTCAACAGGCAGGCTGGATCGAGTCTGCAGAAGCTGGACTGGTGGCCGGAGTGGAATGGCTTGTTGGTTCCGACGATGGCTTCTTGGACTCGATCGCTTTGCTTGTGGGTGGGTGGATGGATGGATGGATTGGGATGTGATGGGGAAAGTAGATAGATAGATGAGCGAGAGGGACGTCGTCGGGTTGAGGGTGGATGGCTGCCACAGAGACGTCGTCCAGAGCTCATCAAAGATTGCCAGCAGACAGCCGAGCGCACTAGCGAGTGGTACTTGGGTCCCAAGGGAGGGTGGTATCATCACAGAAGTACCCTTGCTATCTGACCCCCGATGCAGCCTCAACCGCGCAGCCTGCCCAGGCGCAGGTGCAGGTGGCCCCGGCCCCCGGACGACACCTGGACCTCGCCTGGGCAATTGTGGGTCCGTGGTGACGTCTCGACATGCTGCCTGTCAGGCATTGTCAGCAACTCACAGCTCTCCCCAACTGACGTCTCATTCGCAGTCTGCAGCAGCTATGTGTGCAGTATATGGTTGCCAACTGTGCCTGCAGGTGCTTAACCCGTTCAGAATTTATACCTTCTCAGAAAGACTCTACCAAATCTACTTCATTCCCCCCGACTCTACGAAAGTATCTCAAGAGAACACAGCCGGTTAAACTTCCACCCCTCATACGTCTCACATGTAGAGAGCACTCGGCGGTCCAAGCTCCCGCTTTACCTCACTGTGATGGAACCACTTGGAGGCTCCACTATCGCTGCTTGCAGAATATGTAGATGTTGCTCCTGCGACATGACCGATATCGACAATCACCATGCTCAGAACACTTTTAATAAATGAAAATCTCGGAATAATACTGCATCAATTCACGGGTTCCAAAAAGGAATTCACGGGTTCCAAAAAGGGCAGACGGAGGATGTTGCTCTGAATCATGTCGTGATTCCTTGCATGACTGCTATGGCGGACTAGTGATAGATAGGGGCCAGACTCCTTGGTGGACATCTCACATCGTGTCAACTCCTTCCAAGGCTCAGCCCATTCCACCTATCCGCACTCATGTGCAAATGAACCACAATAAACCTAGACGCCTCTGAGAGATCAATGTCTCTAAACCATGTCGTGCCCTCCAATTTCCCTTCCAAAACGCCGCATCAATTCTCGGGTAAAATTACAACGAAAAAAAGAGACACTCCAGAGAGTCGATGGCCTGCCTGCCACATGCATGTGGCCCACCAGAGGCTGTCCAACTAGAGGTCGCCCTTTCCAGGCATGACCTTCGCAGCCTGGATGGCGCTCATCTTCGTGATCCAACCCTGAGCGGGCTGGACCTTGCGGACCGTGCGAAGCTCATCCGAAGAGTAGCCAGGGATGCGGATGTTGTAGGTCCGCTCAAGAACAAGCTGAATGTCGCGGATCTCGAGCACCTTGGAGCCGCGCTGCTTGGCATTGTTGCAGGCCGAGTGCAAAAGGCGGTCCACAAAGGTGTCCGCAAGGTGGAGGATGGACTGCGACAAGAAATTAGTGTCAGAAAACGCGTGTGTGAGAGATAGTCTGTGAAGCAGGGGAGTTGGGACGGAATGGTTCGAGACAGAAGGGCTTTCTTCGTACCTCCTCGACATCAGGCGTCAGGACATTGCCCTCCTGACCCTCGGCCTGTCCACCGCAGACTTGACGGACGAGGTCGTCAAGCTTCTTGCGGTTGAGGACGCGCTCGCCTTCACCCTCCATCTGGACCACGGGCAACTTGGGAAGGACTGGGTTGCCCATAACACCGCCAGCTATGCCGCCGCCACCTGTGTAGGTTGGTCGACCTGGAGTGACACCACCAGCGCTGAGCGACACGGGCTGAGGGGGCGCAGCTGCCTTCTCGGGCAGTTGTTTGGGAATGGGGAGTTTTGAGTTTTGCGTGAGAGGCTGCGGTTGTTGTGTCTGGGGGTGCGCGTGGGGGTGTCCCGGTTGCGGTACCACAGTGCCCATAACACCTGGCGCGCTCAGAGGGGTGCCACCAGGACCTTGCGGTGTGGTCTGCTGGGGTGCTGGGCCTGGGAGAGAACCTGCTTGCGAGCCGCGCTGGTTTGCGAGGCTGAGGGCTGCTTGATGCGAGAGCGATCGCGGTGCACCAGTGACTGGAGTCGCAGTTTGTGGTGTGCGGACTTGAGTTGGCGTGCCAGCTGTCTGTACACCCGCTGCTGATGCAGATGCAATGGCAGTGTTGACTGGTGGTGGGTGTGGGTGTTGCTGAGTTCCAGGCTCGACTTTGATGGGTTGTGAGCTTGGGCCTGGGGCAGGCTGTGTTGTGGGTACAGGTGAAGCCTGGGGAGCTGCAGAGGCAGTGACTTTGGGCGGCTGCGTTGGTGGTTGAGGTTGCTGCTGCCCAGTCTGGCCGTTCGCACCTGTCACTCCACCAGCAGCATTGGCCTGCTGATTCTTCGCCGCATCGACACTGTTTGGCACCGCGGGCTGCTGTGGGGATGGCCCTGGCCGTGGTGGCGGATTCGCATTGGCATTCACTACGCCCCCATTTGACTGTGGTCTCGCCTGCGCATTCGCGGTTTGAGCACCCGCCTTGCGCTCTGTCTGAGCTTTGCGGAACTCTTCCACAAACCGCTTCGCATCTTGGTATGCCTTGATGACCTGAGGCTTCTGCGCCTGAATGCTCTGGAAGCTCTTTTGTTCCTCCGGTGTCATGGCTGCCCCCTTCTGTGACAGAGTCTTGGCCAGATTCTCGTTGTTCTTAAGCCTCTCGGTAGTCGACTGCATCTGCAACATCGCCCTCTGATACTTCTCTTTATTAGAGGCTGACCACTTGGCAGCTGCCTCGGGTCCTTGATCGACCACCTCCTGTGGTGGAATCCATGTCATCTGTTCCAGGTGCTGCTGGATCGATGATGCCGGGCGCGGAGCCTGACCCTGGGGCTGCGCCGGCGTGCTCGTTGGTCCAGTTGTCGCCGTGGCCTGACTAGGTTGGCTACCGGCTGCCCCAGATGCCGACCCATCGGCAGCGCCTGGGTTCTGACTGTTTCCGGCCTGCGAGTTCTGGCCCTGCTGTCCTTGGTTCGCCGGCATGCGCTGTCTCATCTTGTTCACGAGCTGGTGACTGAAGTCTGCTATCTTCTTCTGAGCCTCCCTCTGCTGTGGCGAGCCAGGGGCAGCATTCTGTAGTGCCCCCCAGAGCTGTCGGAGACCGTTCTCGTATTTGACCTTCTCTTCCGGACTAAGTTGGGGTATGTTCCGCATCTGCTCTGGTCGGAACATTCGAATGCCGGCATTTGGTTGAGAGCCGGGGTTGGTGTTGCCGGCTGGTCCTCCTTGGGCCGCCTGGCCCGGCTGGCCATTCGGATTCATCTTGCAAAGCCTTAGATGCTTCCGACTCTTGGTAATTTGGCTTCTTCGATAGATTTAGAGGAACGTCGAGTACACAAGACTTTGTTGCGCGGATGGTATCGAGATGCGTCGTCGCAGTTGGGCTGCGAGAGCTGCCTAGGCTTCGTCGCAAGAAGCAAGTCGGAGTGACCAGGTCGGTCAGTACAGAGCAGGAGATGGTGTAATTTGATTCCGAGTTCCGATGAACTAAATTGGACCAATCAAATGTGAAGACATAGCATGTCAGTGACTTGGTGAAGTTGACTATTCACTGCGCGTGGCAGAGGGTGTATGGTCGCGATGAAGACAATAGAATAAATAGGGTGGATCTGGAACCTGGGAAGGCGTCCAGCGCACGAGCCCACCCGGCCCCTCACCCTTGTCACGGCGGATCTTCGGCTAAACCTTAAGCAAAGAGCTACTGAGGCTGGCTCATCCTCAACTTTAAGACAATAATGAGGATTTTCTTTTGCTCAAGGAAACCAATCGTGTATTGTACTGAAGAGTTCTAATTCTCCATGTAGCAGTGTCAAAGGAATAGGAAGCATAAGTCCCGTCTATGACGAGATAGGAGGAACTCAGCTATGAAGCAGCAGCGCTGACCTACTCAGGAATGTGACTGAGAGGTGGTGAGGTGTCATTGATGACTGTCTGGTCCTGACAATTCAAGCCTTCGGGAAACTCGTTCAGTTGTGAGCATGTAGCTTTTATATCACCTCAAAGAACTCTCAAGAGCTAGTGTTCAAGTTGGGAATTTGTCTATGACCCTGGATCAATTACACTCTCCATATTTGGGTTTATCTTGCCTTGTTGCAATTCAGGAACCTGATCTATACCTCGAAACGAGAAAGACTCAAGCACATGACATCGTTCATCATAAAAGCCGTATCCTAGCATCTACCTTCGTGGGCTGGTCTGTACCCAAGCTATGCGAATCACATAACCCGGCTGGTCATACAACACGGATATGAACATCCTCAGCGTCGTAGCCATCTCCTCAGAACGACGTTTCCTCATGACGCACGCTCGTTCCCCGCCTGTACGTAAAGTCATAGAAATACAAAAGGACCGGAACTTAAATGAACATCATGCCAGAACATCCAGACAATGCAATCGCCATGCTCGTGTACATGCTATGCAATGCCCGCGGAATAACATGCAAATTCGCTCCAATAGGTTGCAAAGTAAGCCAAGTGACAATTCAGGCTGCTTTTCAGATACAGTGGCGTGTCTGTAGATGTTGGTGTCTTCCCAGCGATGGGGTGTTTGTTTCTTGCTATAATGTCCACTGTCTGTCTGGGATAACTCCCTGTGGATGCGCTCTGGGATGTTGGTAAATCACAGTTTCTGACCTCGGCAAGGGTGCCAGGTCCTCGAACTTGTGAGTCGAATCGGTGGTTGCCCGGGATATACTCTTCGCGTGAAACGTCATCGTGGCTCCTGTGCTCCGTGCTGAAATCTTGGAACGTATTGAAATGGTACTCAATCTAGGGTGAATCCACCTCCATAGTCATGAATGCGTAAAATGGCAGTTCTTTGGCTAGCATCTCGGTATCCTCCAGTTCCTCTGGAGGCTCGTCCATCTCGTCGATTCTCGGCGGTGGGTCCTGGAAAATTAGACTTCGTCGATCGCCAACCCTCCTCTTTAGTCGCCGTGCACTTGACCCGGCTTGGTCAAAATCCAGGCAGTTTCTGACATCTTCATGGTCGCTGTCGCTCCTCTCGCTCATGGTTCGCTTGCCCATGCTCCCAATACTCTGTCTCTTTTGCCGTTGTTCAGCCCGCCGTTGCTTGATTATCTTCTGATACTCATCATCGCTTAAGTCGGAGTCGTCTGACGAAGATTCCGGGTCCGGGCTGCGAACGTTCAGCTCGCGTAGGTCGTTAATGACGTGACCATCTATATGCGACTCACTCCTTTCCGATTCGGCGTACTCGATGGCGTGAGGTGCAAGAACATCATCCCGACCGTCCATGTCGTTCTCTTCGAAGTCACTCAGCTCTTCAATGATGAAGTGATCATCATCGATACTTGCATGCGACACGAGACGCTCGGTCGTGGCAGGGGCAGGTGGTGACGACAAAGGCGGTGAGCGAGACCCGAGATCGTCATCCGACTGATCAGTCTCGGAGCGTTCGGCTGGGGGATCTGAAGAACGAGGCGATAATTCTCCATGCAGCCCCGGGAATGAAAAGTTGAATTGGCAGTTCTCGAAAGAACCGTAGTTTCGTGTATGAGGCAGCGGGTCTTGGGGCCCGGCGGTCGGCCCAGGACTGGCCCTAGGGCTGGCCTTCTGACCAAAGAATGGAGGATGTGCCGTGGCCGTAGGGGTTTGAGGCGGAGACGATGGTCCCACGTGTGAAGGAAATCTTATTTCCTTCGGCGTAGCAGGCCGCATGATGTGTGGATTGTACGGGACAGGTGGTGATGGGGGAAGCAGTGCCCGTCTCTCTGGTGCCCAGTACAGAGGGCGGTGGGCCAATTGCATCCAGATATTTGGGAACAGTAGCAAACTAATGGCTGGACTGTCGATTTGGATCGGCCCGCCACTTGACCAGGGATATTTCTGCCACAATAACGTATGAATGTATGTATCCGAGTGAACAAATATGTCGTGTGTCCTGGATCTTATCAATCGTGCTCTCACCGACAATGTGGGGTAGGAAAATCGCGGGGTGAGGGAAGAGCGGGCCTCAAGGTGTCAGCACCCAACGTATAAACCTCCAGGTAGGAGAGGCGGGCAAGCTTGGATTGACGGTCATGATAAATTTCGTGGCGAATTGGGTGAGAAATAAGGGAACAGCAAGCAGATTGCGTGCAGCACAAGCTCGTTTTCCCTCTTGCGGGGGAAGAGGTGTATGGCAAGCGAAGAGCCTGGGCCTTCTTGCGGGCGACGCTGAGTTGGGGGGTAATGGGGAGACAAGAGCGAATAAGTAGCCGGCAGACGTCAGATGTTGGGCTTGTGAGGCTTGCGAGGAACGGCTGTCGTGCTGGTCCTCCTAGATAGTGTTGCAAGGAGATGCCTGCACCAGGGCGGCAGCCGCTATCGTCCTCGTTGAAGACCCAGGGCTGGAGAGTAAGTAATGGACGATCGGTTTAGAGTGCCGCCGTGCAGGTCGCACCCGGATTCCCACCGCTTCTTGACCTGCCCTTGGCAAAGCCAGAGGTGTGTGTTTGTGTGTGTATGTGACGAAGACTCTACCAGAGAATTGGGAAGTATTGGACATAGAAGAGGGTCAAGCAAAGCAAAGAAGAAGAAGAGGAAGGGTGTTTGGGAAGATAGGACCGGAGAGGGAAGAAGAGAGCAGGCTCCGCATTCAGGAGCCGATGGTGCATGCAGCGTGCGCCCTAGGCACATTTCGAATTGTTCGCCACCAATTGACGTTTTTGCTGGAACAGGACGAAGCTTTTCGTGCGGCAAACGTCTGCTGTACGCATAGTGCCAATTGGAAGCCTTCTGAACAGGCCTGAACTTACCGTGGAAAGCCAGAACTCACCGTGAACGACTGAAGCTGTGGCTAGTATTCAGTCAGGCGCCCGTCGCAAGGCGACGACCTGGGAATCTTCCTACGGCAGAGAGCCGTGGTGACTGCCACCTTGGGCACCAAGGCCCCCAGGCGTCCTTGAGTGCCTGCTGCAAGGCGTTCCCGTCCATGGGAGAGGCCGTAGTATTGCTACGGGGTTGACTGCAGAGCCGGTCGGAACAGGACATGGCAGCCGGGGAATGGCTTGATGCCAGAAGGGTAAGGCGTGATGCTGTGTGATGCCAGCGCATGGGATGGCCATGCCGTCCATCTGTCAGAGTTGCTGAATCGACTTCCTTGGCGGCTGCAGGAGGGCTTAGGGAGGGAATCTCGCTGGTCAAGCCCTCCGGAACATGTTGGATAAGGCATGAATGTGTGCGATGTCGAGCGTCAGGTTGCAGCAGAAGCCGTCCAATAGACATGGCAAGGTGCCAATTGCATATGCACAAGGTTCCAAGGTGGCGGCTGACGATTAAGAACCCGCAGGAGGGACGTGGAGGTGGCTCGACGCCGTGAATCGCTTCTCGCTAGGCCGACACGACCGACTGGCAGGCCACAAGGGCGAGCCAAAGGCGGGTTTGTCAGTGGAGGGCGGCCATCCTGGGAGATGGAACCTTAACCCCCGTCAAGCAACCGCCTTGCATGTGCTTGAGATGCGTGAGTGGCAGGCAGCTCAGGGTCGGCTGAACGGGTACATATGGCGGCAATTTCCATCCAGAGCAGAGCTGGAACCACGAAACGAAGGTGACTGCAGTTGGCTGCAATGACAGAGATAAAAGGTCTGGTCTGTCAGCAACCTGATCCCTTCCTGGTGAAAGATGTCGTTGAAATTAGGTTGCTTAGATGGAAGAAGGGATGAAACGAATAGCCGAGCCAGTGTGCAGGCCCAATTGATTTCACCCCTCACCTGGATCCCCTGATCCGCCGAGCTGAGGCCCTGGGAGATGTGCTTTTATCGATAGCGTGTTTACGTGGGGTCGACTGGACTCCCGTCAACCTGGGAACACAAACATTCTTCGCGACATGCTCAACACCTTCCCGAATACAGTGCCGCCCGACTTCAACTGGTCTGAACCAGGTCTGGAAATTCCATTTGATTGACGAACTCGGCCGTAAAAACGTAGCACCAAAACAAGCCGTCGTTCGCCGCGTCACGCCTATCCTGACTGATCCAACAAAAGTAAACAACCTGATGCAGGCATCATGACGCTCCTCGCCGCGCACCTCGAGCAGATCTCCGTGTCGTGTCAAGGCATTGACAGTCTTCCGTATGTCACCAGATCATTAGAAGGGCCGGAACGGTTACTGACGCAGCCTTACTGAAGCTTTCCTCCACCGAGAATATTCACCAACGCCCTGCTCTCCAACCACGACATCACCTCCCTGATCCGCGACACTGAGACTCATGAACGCGCTCTGTTTTCTGTGCCCCCACCTCCACCTCCAGCCACAAAACCAGAGCCCCTGCCCGAGCAGAGCAAGACCTCCCGTCGGCAGACAGTATTTAACGTCGCCGCGGGCGAGGTCACCACCGGCGCGCCTTCAACGAGATCCGCGGGCAACCCGCGCCGCAGCACCGCAGTGGCAGCAGTACTGGGTGGCGACCTGCATGCCAAGATCACGCGGCGGGGACCAGCTTCGACTCGTGTCGAGGGGGCAGGGGCAGGGGGTGATGTCGACATCGAGGTCCTTCTCCAAGGCGCTGAGAAGTTGTGTAATGTCTACCCGCTGCCGGGCGCGCTGGAGCGGGTGCCAGAGATGAGACAGAAGTGGGCAAACCAGAGCAATACGCTAGCCTATTACGAATCAAAAGTGGCGGAGCAGGCGCAGAGGTTGGTCAAGATGAATAAGAGGCCTGACGACTACGGGGAGGAGGTGGATGAGGATGTGGATGAGGAGGACGAAGGTGCTGTGAATAACGGCATAATGGATAGTCTGATGACTGAGGAAGATCTCAGAAGGGAGGAGGAGGAGGTCAGGGAGCTGGACAAAAAGAAGAAGGAGCTTCAAGAGAGACTGCGAGCCATGGATAAGGACCTAGGCGGACTGCTCAATATGTGAAGCGCAAGTGCCTGACGAGAGCCGTGTACCAACTGACGACTGACGCAAGACAATGCACCAAATGGCTGATTCTTCAATCAGAGCGTGGGGATTGCCTTGAAGATATAACAATGGCTAGCAAGTCTAATGATACCCAAATTACGAACATGTTTCACAAGACCATCATCTCCCTACGCAGCGTTCTTGGCTCTGACGAACTCTCCGAGGAACGCCTCGACGTCTTGAGCGCCGCCAATCTCATACCGGTCATTGATGATAAAGTGTGGGACGCCCTGGATTCCCTTTGCGTAGGCCCATTCCACGGACTTGTCGACCTCCTCACCCCCCTTGCCCTCATCGAGCCACTCCTTGGCCTCGGCCCTATCCAGACCAGCCTTCTCCGCGGCGTCAAGGAGCATGTCGTGGCTGGTGATATCGCCGCTCTCTTCGAAGTAGCTCCGCATCATCTCCGCCATGAGTTTGCTCTGCTTATCACCGCCCTTGGTCTTGGCCAGTTGCGACAGCCGATGGGCGTCCCGGGTGTTGCCCATCTTGCCCTGGAACGAGAAGCAGATGCCCTCAGACTGCCCCATCAGTCTCATCCGCTGGGTCATGATGTCCAGCTTGTCGGCGCCGAACTTTTGCGCCATGCGCTCCTGGACGGGCACGCCCTTACCCGGGGGCAGGGTGGGGTCCAGATAGAACGGTTTCCCTTCATACCCAGGTCAGTGGCGTCTTAGAATCGTTTCTCTAATAACATCGCCCCAAGACAAAAGATAGAAATTTTCCGCGAGAGACGGCCACTTTCCCCTTTCTTTCATCACTGGCGTGCCTCAAGAGTGCACAAAGGGCATGCCAGATATGCTTGAGAGCAGTCCCGAGAGCAAGAAAGGCTGGGAGATGTCGGAATTTTTTTTTTGGGGGGGGGGGGGGGCTGGAGTTTGAGAGAGAGTAACTTACAAGTAATGTTGAAAGCATCTTCTGAGCCACCAGGGATTGTTTTCTTGTACACATCGATGGCGCGATCAAGTCGCTTCCGTCCGAGGTAGCAAAATGGGCAGATAGGATCTGAGACGATGTCGATCTTGAAGGCTGTCATGGTGGATCCTCGTGCATGGAATAATCGCTTGGTGGCTCTGAACATGTGAAGATACGGGATATGGGCGATCTTTCAGGTGGGCTCCTATCACTGGTTTTTATACTGGGTTCGACGTCAGAGGTCAAAAAGCGAGCATGATTTGACATAAACTCCTTATGAAATCTCTCAGAGGATCGTATAAGCTTACAAATCGTCACAGCACGGTCGAATCTCGGTCGGGGATTTGAGATGGGGCCGCCTCGGCGATGGTCGTGGAACATTCCCGCCTTTCCGTGAACGGTAAGCGTCCGCATTCTTGACAGTTACAGGCACCTCTCAAGGCTCAACTTTGGGTATTAGCACCCGGGTAGTATACAGATACAATGAGATACCCAGGGAATAGTGCTAGAATCCTAGGCTATTATGTGCCTTATGAAAGGTGAGTGTTCTATAGTAGCCGGTGTCGCCAATACTGCATGCCAGTATCCACCTTCATACCTACTGAAGGTATGGGCCTTTCCAGGCTGCAGGTACGCTAGCGCATTGCCATCGGGCGCTAGATTGCCACCTGCATCAGCCTGCACCAGTACCAGCGATCCACACTGCCGCCTTACCCAAGACTGGGCTTCCAGAATTAAGTCGCACTTATCAATCATGAGACTGGTCAGTTCTACATACTCAACCGTCCTATCTTGAACAACCACGCCCTGGGACAACAAGACCCTCACCAAGGATGGCTGATGAGGGGGAGGGGCCTCAAGATGTGCAAGAGAAAGTGTTGCAAGCAACCCTAGACGGCCTCGCTTCTCAACCAGACACGTCCGAGGCCGTGGACGCTTCCTGTTGCTGTGTGATATGCCTGTCAGACATATCAGAGCCATCCGCAGCCCAGCCATGTGGCCATCGCAACTTTGACTTCATGTGTCTCGCCAGCTGGATGTCACTGAAGACTACATGCCCACTGTGCAAGACGGAAATCTCCGAGGTCCATTTTGATTTCAACGCCCAGGCTACCACATGGAAGACATACCGTGTACCACGTGTTGGACTCGAACGAGCACCAGAGCAACCCACACACAGTAGTGCTGCCCAGGTCAATCCGGCCTTGTCAAATGTCACTACTTTTTTGCGCCGCGCTCGGGATCGCAGACCTTTTCGAAACACAAGCCAGCGAACAACTCAACCACGGCCCGCCCAAGATCCACTGGAAAGGAGGCGAAATGTCTACCGGAAGGAACTGTACTCCCTCCACGTCGGATCCAGCCCAGCATCGGGGTACAGAGACATCACACCCTTAGGGTTCAGCAGACAGGCTGATACTCAGAGTCGGGCACGAGCATGGATAAGAAGAGAGCTGCAGGTCTTCGAGTTTCTGAACGATGACAGCTCGGCGCAGACAGAGAGCGCCGACTCAGCACTGCCCGAGACCACAAGGCGTCGACGGCAGAACAATGCTGAGTTCGTCCTTGAGTATATCATTGCCATCCTGAAGACGGTCGACATCCAGAGCGACCACACAGAGGAGCTGCTGAAGGACTTCCTTGGGAGGGACCACACCAAGTTGTTCCTGCATGAGCTGCGCAACTTCCTTCGCTCCCCATACTCGGTCGAGGCCTGGGATCGCCAGGTACAGTATGCTGAGCCTCGGGCGTCGCCGCGCTCTCTTGGTGGAAGGAGTGCCCCTGGTCCCCGCGTCGACCAGGGGCCTCACAGGAGGCTTTATGACCGGTACAGACCGTCAGGGAGCTCACGCCGAGGAGGTCGATGGTCCCCTTACCGTCAGCAAGGGACCTGAAAACTTTTTAGCTCTTCTCACAACCAAGGCTATTTAGCGTCACCTCACGTCAGAGCACAGATGCAGACTGTTCTTGTGAAGTGATTCGGGATCTTGAGAGGGAATTTACCAGTTGCTCAAGTGAGAAAGCCAAGTCAACGAGCTTGATCCCTCGCGCAAACCCAAGCCGAAAGGACAACTTGGTCAATCACGACTTCTACCTACTGGTCTTGAGAGCGTCTCCTGCCAGGCCGGTATCTCTCGTGTTCGCTCTTACGAATGGCCATGCAGTCCGGGAAAGAAAAACAGCACCCAAGGGATTCGCCTTCCGGGCGCTTTGGTCCAGGCTCTTTCCACAGGATTGACGTCGACCAGAGAAGTGGCTTCTCGTGCTGCAATCTCCTGGGACGTTACTGCTTTTTCACGGATGCAGGCAATGCCAACCGCTCTTGGTGGACAATGCGCCGAGCAGTCAGGAAGGTGTATCCCGAGGCGATATTGGACTGACACGATGGGGAAAGAGTCAGTCGTAGACTCTCAGCTTTGAGAGCTCCGGCTTTGTGCGAGAACATTTGACTGGTCTTTCGTTTACTGGCCCTCGCAGTCGGTCAGGAACTCCAGTCTGTCTTTGAGCACACTCAAGCTTACATGAGCATGGGTGGGTGTCCATCTCAGACAAGAAATGGAGCATCTACAAATGAGCAGCCAGGAAGCCAACTATTCCAGCATTTCAAAGCTATCGAGGCAACCGCGAGAGGTTATGTCTGCATCTCCCGCAACAGCCTGGCTCTATAAAACCGAGGCCCATGCACCGTATTTTCGTCAACGAAAGAAGGAACTATGTGCGCTCAGAATCGCGATTGGGTTGATAGCTTTGGCGATTCTTTCCCACCAGCGACGGGTGCCTTCCACGTTTGGATGTCCTGGGCAACCAGGTTTAGAGTTGATGATGTGAAGGAACGGACAGACCAGGCAGGCGCATAGGAGCAGAATCAACATTGTTTTCCCTTTGCTCAACTCGAGTCGCGTTTCTCTCCTCGTCTCTTCTTCTTCGTCTTCTCTTCATCCCCACCACCACTCCGCCATTCGCTTCATCATCTCTCATTCAGGCGGAGACAACATTTGTACTCATTCTTTCTTGGTTGTGTCTTTGTTTTGACTCTATCCACAGCTGCACACTCCCTTTATTCCTTTCTTCCCTTCTCTTCACTCGTCTAGAGTGCTGCCTCAGCAGCCATGTCGCCCGTCATCAGAGCCACGACGGCCACACTCGCTGCCCTCAACACAATCTCCAGCTTGTCGGGCGGCTCAAACGGCCCCGTCGTGTCCGATTTTAATAACAAGAGTGTCAACATCCTTCCACCGCTACCTGGTCCCAACAAGGCTGGCGTTGTCACCCTTCACGTCGAGGACGTTGACCGTCATGACCTCCCTCTCTGTGATCTTGGCAATAATCAGATCCCCAACGTGTTCTGCAAACGTCCGCGCAAGATCACGGCATCCCTCTAGTAAGCACCAGCATCGATTCCTGTGTTTCTTCCTGAGTTAGGGCACACGACTGACGCGTTCTCGTAAAGCTACCCGGCCTGTCCTCGACCATGGGAAAATCAACCCGAGCCGGTCCTGCTGGACGAGCATCATTTTGCCCCCGTCTTTCCACCATCTATCCTAGCCAACATCTCGCAAGGTGTGGCCGATGGTTCTTCGGCCCTGCACAACCTCATGTCGCAAGCCGTTGACGAGGCACCCGCATGCAGAGGCCAGTACCCCATGGTTATCTTCGCACCCACTGCCGGTGGTCAGCGTCAGGCCTACACTCAGGCGGCATCTGAGCTTGCCTCACTGGGTCACGTTGTGGTCACTGTGGATTACCCGTATCTTTCCGGGGCCGTGAAGCAAGCTGATGGGAATGTCCATCTCAGCACGTTCGGCCATTGGATCGACACTCGTGAAGCCCTCTCCATCCAGGCAAATGACGTGCAGTACGTTCTCAGCCACCTGGTCACCGAAGAGCAACCTCTCAGTTACCTTCCATCCTGGACCAATGAAACCACCGTCCAACTCGACGCTTGCGTCTTCGGACATGGATCCGGCGGCCAAGTTGCTCAGATGATGGTTGATACGCAGTTCATCAAGTGTGGTGGACCTTTGGAGGGCGTCCTGACACTTCCTGCCCCTTTCAACAAAGAGGAAACCACTGCCGTCTCCAAGCCAACGGTGAAGGATCCTCGCCCCGGTGTTCCGCTGAAGTTCCCACTGAAGGGAGCCCATTTTGCTCTGCCCACTAAACATCGGATGATACAAGTCTTGAAGGATCTCAGAGCGACAGGTACGAACGCAATGGCTCAGTTCATCTGCCGCATCACAAGCACCTGTGAAAAGCCGATCCAGAAGCGCAATGTTGGCGACGATCCTTGGTTTCCGCCGAAGAAGCCCTACTACAAGAATCCTTGCGACAATGCCTACGGCTACAAACACGACAAGGATGAGCATAAGCATTGCTACTACGATGGCAAGTGGGATGACGGTTGCAATGATCGTATGGAGGACGACCACAGCGACTGTGTTGACCCCTGTGTTGACCCTTGTGACACATACGACCCGTGCGATCCTTGCGACAAACCATGCCCCATACCTCCAATTCCGTACCCTCCACCTGGCATCTTCCCACCCAACACTACCTGGCCTCCATACCGTGAAGACAAGACCAGGCCAGATGATCGCCCTTGGGATGACCAATGGGACGACTACCACAATGACGGTGGTGATTACGGACGAGAGTACGGTGAGGAGGACTGCGATCACTACAAAGGAGGATATGACGACGGGTACGACCACTATGGCGATCATGGTCGTGATCACTATCGCGAGTGGGACAAGAAGCATCATGATCATGGCTATGTCGATGACCACGATGAACATGAGGATTATGATGATCAATACGGTCACAAGGACGACTACGGCGGTGATGAGTTCAACTATGGAGATCAAGAACCTGATTATTATGACGATGATCAGGATTACCACGGGGACTGGGACAAGAAGTATCATGACCACCATGGCTACGTTGATGATCATGAGAAGGACAAATACGAGGATCATTACGGCGGCGATGAGTCCAACTATGGAGACCAAGATGATGACTATGATGAGGGCAACAACCATGGCTATGTTGACGATTGGGACGACGAGGGCAATAGATGAGGGCTGCAAGCTGCCTCAAACGTCGAGCTGGTCGTTACGACGGGTGTGCGTGGTAGGGTGATGCGCCCGCAGCCAGCATCACGAAGACGCAACCAAGGACCTTGAAACTTCCGAGGGATTGTATATTGATAGAGCAGTATCCCTTCCGATTCAGTATTGCACCCTAAATAAAAAGGAGACGTCTCCAAGATCCATGATTGCTCTATAATGTGATATGACCAGAGTCCTCACGGCCGTGCATGGAGGACGACAGTGTCATATTATTAGTCTCTGAAGATTGGTCTACAGTTTCTGGCCGGGCACTAAAGGGTGTGGAGGTGGTCATGCAAGTTCATATTGGCACTCGGTAATATATGTATGGTCCATTGATACTGGAAGCAACAGGCCTTCAACCAGAGCCCACGCACAATCCACGGTCCGCCATACCTCAACGCCGCCTCCTGAAGCGGCTGTTGAACCCTGGCCCGCCCTTGGACCCCGAGTTCCGCAGCTTAAGGCGCTTGAAGTTGGCGTGGGCGAGCTCGTTGACCTTGCGCGCCGCCTTCTTGACCTTGCCCTCGGGCTTGTCGCCACCGCCGCCCTTCTTTTGCTTGGCGGCAGGGGCTGCTTGCGTCTTGCGGGCTGTGCTGCTCCTCTTTGCTGCCCGCGGCTCATCTCGCGCCAGCTCATCTTCATCGTCGTCATATTCCGAGCCGGCGAACTCGGAGCCGGAAAGCAGGGCCAGGTCCTCGTCTGCACCTAGCTGGGCCGGCGCTGATGGCGCGAGCTGTGTTTCCGGGATGAGCTCGCCGTCGTCCTTGTCGGGTTCCGTGGCTTGGCCTTCCGCAGGCCTTCTCGTCCTCACCGGCCTCATGTTGGCCTTCCTGGTGGTCCTCTTCTGGCCCTTCTTCTTGAACACCCTCAACGGCTTGCCGTCGCGGTCGAGGCCTTCTTCCTCCCCGTCCCCGCTGTCGTACATGCCCTCGTCGTCGAAACCGCCCAGCAGGCCGAGGTTCTGCTTCTGGCTGTCCTCGGCCAGGATGGTCTCCGTATGGGCATCGCCTGCTGTTTGTCTCGGTGCTGGTGGTTGGGCCTCTACAGCCGGGGTCGCACTAGGCTTCTGAGCCGGGCCCGCGGGCGGCGCCCCTTCGCTCTCCAGCTCACGCAACGCGTCCAGGTCATCATCCAGGTGGGCCTCCTGCGTCCTGCGGAGGTCTGCCACGATGCTGCTCAGCCCGCGGGCGAGGGGCTTGCGGGGCAGGCGGATCGGCTCCGGCGAGGCAAATTCGCTGTTCTCGTTGATCTTGGACATGGGTATCCGCCGGAGGAAGGCGGGGGTCTGGAACTGGAGCTTGGAGACTGAGCGCGAGCTGCTGGGCGTCTTTGCCACCCTGTTGCTGCTGTCCTTCAGCGGCGTGGAGAGGATGCTCCTCCTGGGGGTTTGCTGGAGTTGGTGTGATTGCTGATGCTGCTGCTGGAACCTGCTTCTTGACGACGGTGTTCGGTCGAGGTCGATTGCTATCCCAACACCTGTGTCGATAGTCCTGCCTCTTCGTGGTGTCTCCTGCACTGCGTCCGCAGCATTCGGGGCCTTGGTGGCGCGTTTCGGCCTGGAGGGCGAATCGATCTCGGCATCCTTAAACGGCAGCAGATCGAAGAGCCCCAGGACACGGCCATCGCGCTGCGGTGTCGGCCCGATGGAGGTGGGCGCAACGGGACTGAAGAGCTTGCGGTTCAGGGACGGGGTGACTGCCGCAGCCGCGGCGCCATGAGGAGTGGACTGGCCGGCTTGTATGTTCTGTCTCGATGAGGGTGTCTCTGCGGGCCTGAAGCGTTTGGACGAGGGCGTATGGGATGGTCTGGCGGCTGGCTTCCGCTTTTTGTCATTCTTGTCGTCGTCTGCTTGCGCGTGCGGGATCTTGCCGGAGAGGACGTCACGAAGACGGTGGTATCGCTTGCTGAAAGAGGCAATCTTTGGGTTGGCCTTGATGTCGTCACGGGTGGGCTTCGCGCCGCCGTGGGTTTTTGCGAATTCCAGCTCCCAGTCCTTCAACTTGACGCGCAGTTCCTTAGACTGCGTCTCATAACGCTGGCGATCTGCTTCGTCCATGGTATGTATGTGTGGATGTTGAGTGACAATGTGGTCATGTCCTGACACTGACCTTCAACGCGTGTTAAGTGCTTTCAGGCGAGACGCGGTTTGGTAGACGCGATGCTGAGCGGCCCCTACTGCAGTGACAGGGGTGTTGCTGCGGGTAGCGGGGCCCATCGGTTGGCCTGGAACGGCAGAGGCATGAATCCTCCTGTGCATTGCCCGGTCAATGATTGTGTTGGCAATAACAAATTGAATGAGCTCATGTGTGAAAGGGCCTGCTGGTCTTATTGGGATGTTCTGCGTCCCAGAGAATCATTGCGGGAGTCAAAATAACTCTACCATGATCGCATGGATTAGCTACGACATGGTACGACAGATAGATAGATAGACCATGCATTATCTATCTGTACAGTGACTTGCAGCAGCATGAGAAGAAGCATGTACGGTATTTCATCTGGGTGCAAGGTCCTGTAACCCATGCCTTTGTTGTCAATTTACAAGGCTATGATGGCGGTTGAGCAGGCGAGCACTCGGCATATTGACAGGGACAACATAGTTCAGGTACGAGCCGAGATGTGCTCGTCACCCATGCCGTGAACCTTAGTGGGCAGTGAGAGAGTGCTCTTGACTGAGGAGAGTCCTCATTTGAAGTGGCCTTTCCAGTCCTGAGGATGAAATCCAGACGCGAGATCAGCGGCATGATATATGTGTGGAGCTTTAGCTGAGCTTCATCTCCGACGGTTGGATGGCTGCTCAGAAACGGAGGGCATCCTCCAAAACGGCAGAGGCTGGTCTTGTTGTTTGCTCTGAAGCTCCAAGTGTATCAGGGACCGACTTACATAAGCCCAGCACGAACCTCTGCCAGCCACTCATGAGTCGGCGGACCGCGGCACAGGCTCCCTTCCCGTCTGACACCACCACCTTAGCTAGCACCTCAGCCTGCCGCCTGCGCACAGGTACCTGGGCGGCAGGGCGGTCGGTTGCCTCGTCATCCAGGTCCTGCCTTGGCTTATTATTACCCAGGCACTGCTAGGTACCTAGCTTGGCTCGACCTTATCGATGGCAACCTGTGTCACAAGACACTGCCAGCCCCCAGAGCTCCAAGTGACTGACTGACTGACGTAGAGACTCGCCTACGCTTGTCGCTTTTGGACCATTTGATCCGCCTATCCACCCACCCACCCATCCACCCTGCATCCACATCACACCTCAGAGCTTCCCCAGTTCTCTGATCTACCTACATCAGCAGCATCCTTGGGACTCCTGACCTACACCCTCCTGTTCCATCAACCACACTCTCTCTCTTCTTGTTTTCCATATCATCAACCACAACTATTCCAACTCTTCTCCATCTTTATCGACCATCAGTTTCCCCAGTTCTTCATTTCACAGCTGCCCAACATGAAGGGAGCTATGCTGAGCGCCATGCGTGAGTTTCCCTCCTGCCTCATCTGTCGCGCGACCTCGGTCTTGAAACTACGGGTCATGCGCCCTTCACCATTCCCAGCTACTGGGTACTGTCCCATCTCGACTTCGATGTTGCAGTATCCATCCGACTCTCCAGCCCGCGAATACCGATAGCTCCTGGCTGTTTGCCTCGTCTCTTGATGGTAGCTGACGCATGATGTAGTTCTTGGCGCCTCCGCCCAGGCGGCCGGAGTGCACAAGATGAAGATCCAGAAGATCCCCTTCGAGGACCAGATGGTTAGTAACAGGTTGCCTACCGTCCTGGAGACCTCGGGCTTTTGCTGAGCAATTCTACAGAAGGCATTCCCGATGCAGGATCAGATCAAGTACCTCGAGCAGAAGTACTCCGGGGCCCAGCACCCCTTCGGCTACAGCGAGCCCAGCATCGAGCCCACCAAGGACCACCCCGTCCCCATCACCAACTATCTGAACGCTCAGTGTATGTAACAATCTCGCCTCGCTTACTCTCTGCTTGGCTCTCCCTTCTGACTCCGCCTCAGACTTCTCCGACATCAAGGTCGGAACTCCTCCCCAGGACTTCAAGGTCATTCTTGACACCGGCAGCTCCAACCTCTGGGTGCCTTCATCCAAGTGCACTTCCATAGCATGTTACCTGCACACCAAGTACGAGTCCTCTTCATCGTCGACCTACAAGAAGAATGGTTCATCGTTTGAGATTCAATACGGCTCTGGCTCCATGAAGGGGTTCGTCTCCCAGGACACGCTGCAGATTGGTGATCTCACAATCAAGAACCAAGACTTCGCCGAGGCAACAGAGGAGCCTGGTCTGGCTTTTGCCTTTGGCAAGTTTGACGGAATCCTGGGTCTTGGCTACGACACCATCTCCGTCAACAAGATTGTCCCTCCTTTCTACAACTTGGTCGACCAGAAGTTGATTGACGAGTCCGTCTTCGCCTTCTACCTCAGCAAGGACGGTGAGGGCTCCGAGGTTGTGTTTGGTGGCATTGACAAGGACCACTACACCGGCAAGATTACCAACATTCCCATCCGCAGGAAGGCGTACTGGGAGGTCGACCTTGACGCTATCACTGTCGACGGCGAGTCTGCTCTCTACGACGACGCCGGCATCATCCTGGACACCGGCACGTCCCTGATTGCTCTGGAGACCGACCTCGCGGAGATGCTCAACAAGCAGATTGGTGGCAAGAAGGGTTATAGTGGAACCTACACCATTGAGTGCAACACCCGGGACAGCCTCCCCGACATCACCTTCACCCTTGCGGGCCACAACTTCACCATTGATGCCTATGACTACACCATCGAGTCTGGCGGCTCTTGCATCTCCGCCTTCATGGGCATGAACCTTCCTGCCAACCTTGCTGGTATCCTCGGAGACGCATTCCTCCGCCCATGGTACTCCATCTACGACCTGGGCAAGAACCAAGTCGGCATTGCCAAGTCAAAGGACTAAATATCACTGATCATAATCACGGTCGGATCATATCTATAAAGTCTTGTATCAACACGCGAGGCCTGGGGTGTAACAGCATGGTCTTGCATGAGGATTTCGTCAGTTTGGTTTGCGCACAGGTGCCTTCGCTCGAGGCGCATCACTATTCCCCATGTCACGGGGGCCTTTTCTTTGGACTGTCTTGAGAGTGGCAACAGATTGTACGGTAGTCGGGACTAGCATTAGTGGAATAGGACTCGGTGATTTTGCAGTATCCCGTGCAACATGCCAAGGTGTAAGAGGCGTCGTGTGGTGACTAATGACTCCTTGACATGCTCAGAGCACTTGCCGCAGGGGCGACCTTGTAGATGAAAGTGACAGGACTCTTTTATCATATGCGATATTTGAGAAAATTGCACTGTTTCTTGCTTGCTTTCTAGAGCTGATAGATTGGAGCCGTTTGGAGTCTTTGAAAAGTACTTCACACATGGTATGCCAAGCCTCACCCTGTCATCAGAGTCAGTCACCCTGCAGCTGGAGCGAGCGATATCGCAGGGCCGGCCGTCATGCCCGCCAGAAATGCACTGGTCAGCCGGGGGTTCAAGGAACTACCCTTGCTACATTCCGGGACCCGAGCCCCAGCTTGCCCAGCTCTAGAACCCCGCCGCGTCCCTACTGCCCCCCATTGGATTTTTTCGCCTCCGAGTCTGCTCTGACTCCCCGTCCTCCTCTAATATTCTCTGTCCCTCCAAGTCTATTTTCACATTCTTCCTTTTTCCATTCAACTACTGCCGACCGAGAAGATACCCAGGTACCGCAAGGACAGACAGAAGACCGAATTCACAATGGCTGCCAACGGCTCGACATATGCCCTCTCCCAGGGCCACAAGGACGCAAGTACCCCGCCAATTGGTCGTTGACGCCTTGGGACGAGTTTTGCTGACCGAATTGTAGCTGCTCGAGAAGTCTCTGATCGACTCGGACCCTGAGGTTGCCCAGATCATGACCTCGGAGATCCAGAGGCAGAGGGAGTCCATCATCTTGATCGCCTCCGAGAATGTTACCTCCCGCGCCGTCTTCGATGCCCTTGGCTCGCCCATGTCCAACAAGTACTCTGAGGGTCTTCCCGGTGCCCGCTACTACGGTGGCAACCAGCACATTGACGAGATCGAGCTTCTCTGCCAGAAGCGTGCTCTCCAGGCTTTCAACGTCGATTCTTCCAAGTGGGGTGTCAACGTCCAGTGCCTCAGTGGAAGCCCTGCCAACCTGCAGGTCTACCAGGCTCTCATGCCTCCCCACGGTCGTCTGATGGGTCTGGACCTCCCCCACGGTGGCCACTTGAGCCACGGTTACCAGACTCCTGCGAAGAAGTAAGTACATCATGGGTATGACGGGAAATTGGACCGCATTGCTAACAATTGTCACAGGATCTCTGCTGTGTCTACCTACTTCGAGACCATGCCCTACCGAGTCGACATTGACACCGGCATCATTGACTACGACCAACTCGAGAAGAACGCCCAGCTGTACCGCCCCAAGATTCTTGTCGCTGGTACCTCTGCCTACTGCCGTCTGATTGACTACGCCCGTATGCGCAAGATCGCAGACTCCGTTGGTGCCTACCTTGTCGTCGATATTGCCCACATCTCGGGTCTGGTCGCCTCCGGCGTCATCCCCACCCCCTTCGACCATGCTGATGTCGTCACAACCACCACCCACAAGTCCCTCCGTGGCCCCCGTGGTGCCATGATCTTCTTCCGCAAGGGCGTGCGATCTGTCAACGCCAAGACCGGCAAGGAGGAGCTGTACAACCTGGAGGACCCCATCAACTTCTCTGTCTTCCCCGGTCACCAGGGTGGCCCCCACAACCACACCATCACCGCCCTGGCCGTTGCCCTGAAGCAGGCCAACACCCCTGAGTTCAAGGCCTACCAACAGCAGGTCGTCGACAACGCCAAGGCTCTTGAGAACAAGTTCAAGTCCCTCGGCCACAAGCTTGTCTCTGACGGAACCGACTCGCACATGGTCCTCGTCGACCTGAGGCCCGTCAGCCTGGACGGTGCCCGTGTCGAGGCCGTTCTGGAGCAGATCAACATTGCCTGCAACAAGAACTCCATCCCTGGCGACAAGTCCGCCCTGACCCCTTGCGGTATCCGTATCGGTACCCCTGCCATGACTTCCCGTGGCTTCGGTGTTGCTGACTTCGAGCGCGTGGCTGTCTACATCGACGATGCCATCAAGATCTGCAAGGAGGTCCAGGGTGCGCTGCCCAAGGAGGCAAACAAGCTCAAGGACTTCAAGGCCAAGGTCGCCACCGGCGAGGTTGAGAAGATCAACAGCCTGAAGAAGGAGATCGCCGCTTGGTCTCAGACCTTCCCTCTGCCTGTTGAGGGCTGGCGTGTGGACGCTGGTATCTAAGCCAGCGAGCGACTTGGGCCAGGCTCGATCAGTTCGAAGTGTTTTGGCCACCAAAGGTATGGGATCCGGCGTTATTCAACAAAAGTCATTGGACGGTGATGATATCCCAGGCTTCCACAGCCTGTATTCTTCTTTCTTAATTAGGTGTTCGGGATACGATGTAGCAAACGAAAATGGAAATCAGGGACAAGGGAAGGCCATCATTGCATAGCATTTCATCAGGCGTTGCAACAAATCTGGGATCCTAAGGTTGTGGCTTTCTCGGATATTGACTGCTTCAACGCGGTACAAAAACAATCATGTCATTACGTATGCTATCAGTCCTGGGCGCACGCCCGGAGACAAGCGAATTTGTGAGCGGTATGCTCTTCTATCTAGGTGAAATAAACCAGATGATGTATCAACTTCGAGTCTATACGGCCTACTGCTGGCAAGCAGGATGTTGGAGTGAAATACCATGGTGGGCACATTTCTCTGGTTACCTCGCCCACAGAAAGTTGAGGATAATTCAAGTCTTGTAACAGAGCATCACAAGACTTGACCTAACGCTTAAAGTCCCTTGGTACAACAACACCATCACATTCCCCGTCCCCATCCAAGTACGCCCTCAGGTTCTCCTTGACCCTCCGCACCTGGTTCGACATGGTCTTGCCCGAGAACCACGCCAGATGGCCCGTCAGCGTGAGGTTCAGGCCCTTCGCCTCCTCGCCCAGCAGCACGCTGTCGGCCCCGTCGCCCGCGGGCTCCCGCGCGAACACGTCGGTACCATACCCGAACACGCCGCGGGCCCGCAGCGCCGCGACCACCGCCGCCTCGTCGACGATCCCGCCCCGCGACACGTTCACCACGACCGCGTCCGGCCGCATCAGCGCCAGCTCCGCCGCCGAGATCAGGTTCGTGCTCTGTGGGGTGAGGGGCAGGGCCAGGAAGATGACCGTTGCTTGTTTGAGGATGTCTATCAAGGGGACTCGGGCGGGCTCCCCTCCTCCTCCTCCTCCTTGTGATCCTCCTTCTAGGTTGCCGTTTGTGATGGGCTCTGTGAGTGTGGCGGAAGTGTCGCTCTTACGCTGTGATATTATCACCTCCATGCCGAGCGCTCGACATAGCCTGGCGATGTGCTTCCCTACTGCGCCGTAGCCGACCACGCCGGCTATCTCCTGCGTGCATGTACGTGGTGGGGCGCCAACACCGTCACGCATGAGACCATTCAAGCTGCCTGTGACTTTTGTCAGTGCACTTCACCTTAGCGTTTAATGAAACAAGATAGAAGATTTAGGCACAGAAAGACTTTATCCTCTAGCCTCCTCACAGCCGTCTCTCACATGCCCCTCGAAGCTGTCTAAAATGGGGAGATGAGCTCCTTCGGCTGAACCTACCCTTGGACTTCCACTCATTGGGGCGCCCTGGCCCAAAGTCTGAGAGGGTGTTGTGCACCGTGACGAGGCTCCGTCTCGTAGCAAAGTACAGCGAGAGGGCGTGCTCAGCGACCGACTCGGTGTTGCAGCCGGTGCAGGTCATGACCTGGATGTTGGTCTCCCTGCAGTAGGCGAGGTCGATGTGGTCGGTCCCCACCGCGTGGCTGATTATGCATTTTCTATATCAGGCGTTGCGTTAGTCTTACAGCTTTCATTTAGTTCACATACATGCCTTGAACATGTTTCCTGCGAAGTTCTCTTACAAATATGGCGCCTGCTTCAGCGTCTCGGCTGAGAGCCTGCAGATGGTGCAGATGACGATGCTGGCGTCCCTGATCCGCGCGGCGACGTCGTCCGAGCCCGCGTTTGTGTTCTTGTATAGAAGCACCTCGTGGGTCCTGGGGTTGCTGTCGAACTCCTCCCACGGCACGTGGATGGATTCCAGCACGGCGATTACCTCGTGCTGGGGGGTGGGGAGCTGCTTGGGGGTGAGCGTGGGTTCCGACGGCATGCTTGCTGGGTCAGGGGCTCGAGGTCCGGGGAATTAAAAATAAGATAGTGCAAGCGGAGCTTGAAATTTCATGCTTTTCTGAAAAAAAGAGAAAGAAAAAGATGGTAGTTTCGAGTGAAATGTCAAGTACAGACAGTCTCCACGTTGGTTCGTCCACCCCCTTCGCGGCCTCGGCCCCGCTTGCCTCACACGCAAATGCGCGCAACGCCATCGCGGTGAGTGGTCAGGTTGATCCCGAGGGAATACATATGGCAGATCTTTCTATTTAAATTTTCAGTTACTTATGGGACATTCAAACTGATAGCGTTAGCGATTTGCCCGAAATTTTTCAGTTCGTTTGATTCCTGGTGTATGGGTGGGTGGGGGTATATCGCTCACTAGGGAATGGCCCACAAGATTATTTGATCGTCAACAGGATATGGTGCATAGGGCTTTGGGAATTCGTCTCCCGCCAAAGACCAATCTGTACTTAGGTAGGGCTTTGTGAAATGGGACAACATTAGTGACTTATACTAAGTGCCAAAGTGACTTTGTCAACATGAGTATTTCCTACGAATTGTGAAATTGCACAGTAAATGGAGGTCGTTCAACCGAGCCAGCAACACATTGTGCGGCTCTTGATTTCATTCCTGTCTGTCTGCCCTCTTTTGGGCAATGGTATCTAGGTTTATTCCCTTCCGCCTTAGGCATTGGACATATTTCTACAGGGCACTCGCACTTCGCGTGAGTGCAGTAAATTTCATCGCCGCAAGGTGTCAGACCATGACACTCGATTTGGTGTTACCACAGTCCCTTGGACTGAACGTTCATAAATCTGGCCAGTCTAAGCTGATGACGGTCGTGGCGGCCACGTTGAAGTGGTGGCCGCCGTGACTAGCATCTCACTTCTTGAAGGTGCCAGCCTTCCCCGTGCGCTCCCCATGCATCCGTCGGGCTGCTTTGGGGCCTTCGGCATTCAGCCTCGCCACATAAGGGTCAAAAGCCCTCTTCTTACCAGGAGCATCGCCAGTGCCATTAGCGGCGGCAGCAGACCTCTTTGCGTTCAAGACAGACTGTGCTTGGCTGTAGTCAAAAGGCACGTCCTCATCCTCGGCAGTGTCGGCCTGCTCAGTGCCTTTCCGAGCTGCTGAGCTGGCCTTGCCTTGCTTTCTCGCCTCTCTGTCCGCCTTCTTCTTCGCTCTCCTCGAGCGCTTGTCTCCGTTCCCGTCGACGTCGAGAGATATCATCTCTTCTGTGTCGAGGGCTGCTCCTCCATCGCCTGAATCATCCTCATCCTGTACTTCCTCCATTTTGCGCTTTCGCCCTTGTCTCAGTGTGAACTCCGTGTTGTCCACATCCAAATCCTTCGGAGGCGCAGGAGTGGCTTCCTTCGGCACATCGAGGGGAATCATATCCACGTCTTGTGGTTGAGATTTGGAGATGATCTCCTGTTGAGAAGCAGCGGCCACCGCTTCTTGCACAAACTGTGTCCAGGGCAATGCAATCTGCTCATTAGTAGCGTTGTTCCGAAACTGCGATGAGCCATCCCACAGACTACTCAGTGGAACAGCGCCAAATAGCTGGGATTTCTCGCTTCGCAATTGCTCCACTGGAGGCAGGTCCAACTCCGGCTTGTCTCCCTTCCTAAGCTCCCTGTTCGCCACAGCCGCGAGCGAGTGATTATCAAGATACAAGCTCTTGAAATAATCAGTTGTGCTGGGTCCCTCGGCTCCGGCCTTTCTCGCTTCGGTGACGATTGAAAAGAGGTCATCGATCGACTGCCTTGCCTTCGGAGATGACGAGTTTCCGAGCAAACTCCAAAGTGCCTTGGGATCGTTTGGTAGTATCTTGGCAATCTCCATCACTACCTGTGGTGCCATGATAAAGGTTGGGTTCTCATCTAGCAGGCGAGCCTGCTCATCACGCCATTTGTGCACGGCTCTGTAAACGGCGAATTGCTCGCCACTGAGCCTGAGATGGTTCTTGTAAAGGAAATTGGACCACCCCCGGGCCCCCTCGCCGTTTTCTGGATCTGCAGAAAAAGGTGTATACCTATCTAGCGACGTCTCCTTCGACTTCTGGAGTGTGTACTCGATCAGGTCCTTTTCTGGGTCACTGCGATCAGACCGCTCAACCAGCTCGTTCCGTACCCTGTCGTAAATATAGAGTAAAAAGTGGGTGTCTGACCGGGCATAGTAGAACATCTCCTCTGGCAGCGGTCTAAATATGTTAGCACTGCGTTGGTTGTATTACGCATGGACAGCGACTTTACCGTATTCTCCAATCCGCCATTTGGTACTTCTTATCTGCATCGAAGTCGACGAAGCTCTTGAGCAGGTACGCCAAGCTCCTTTGTGGGTATCCAAGAGCTACACTTGCGTGGTAAGTGTCGAAAAGCCCGACAATGTACAACCCTAGGTCTCTCTGGAGCCAAATAATATCCATGAAAGCGCCGTGAAAGACCTTGAGAATCTTAGGGTCGGCGAAGACCTCGTTAAGAACCTCAAGCCTGTGTCGCCATGGCCTCAGGGTATCAACGATCCAATCCTTTTCTCGAGTACTGATCTGCATGAGAGAAAGCAATCCATGGTAAGAACGATAGTCGTGGTGCTCCAGGTCAATCGCGATTTCCGTTGCTCCTTTGAGCTCCTCCAGCATTTCCAGGACCCCTTCGTAGGTGTCGACCCAAGTCGCAGAGGTTGTGTCGATCGGCTGGTATGGTATAGGGTCTCGTATTTCGTAGGTGGTGTCTGGGTACTTTAGGTTCGTGACCTCCTTCTCATATGGATGCTTGAACCTGAATTGGCCGTCAGTATTCTTGATGTATCCCATTTTCTGCAACTCCCGAGTCTTTCTCGGAAATCTGCCGCTCGCCCTTCTGCTCAGTTCGCGGAGCGGCTTGCCTGCCCAGTTGGAAGTAATAGACGCTAAAGAAAATGTGTAGTCGTACTGTTTTTGGCTGTTTTCGTCAACCTCTAAGCTGAGGCTGTCCTCCAGCGGCACGACAGAATGCGGCTTCTGGGTCAACAACGGCTTCCATGGTCCAGCGGCAAAATTGTCAACTTGCTTCTCGAAAGCATTCTGTGGCTTGATGATATTGGCGCGTCGGAAGTTGAAATCGAGCCGCTCGTTCGTCTTTGCCTTCTTCTGCTGCGGCCCAGTCTCGGGAAAATCTGACTTCCTCTTGACCAAGCCTGTGTATTCGTCCAAGCAAATATCAGCTTTCTCCAGGAGCCCGTCGATCACGTCCACGATACTGCGCCATTGTATGTCGACGTCCTCTGCATCTTCCAGATCGCCGACGGTTTTCTGCCCTGTTGCGACGGCAGCAGACTTGAGTAGGTCGTTGGAAAGGCTCAGCAGGCGCGTCGACTGCTCCTCGAGACGGTCGCCGGTGCTGGGGTTCACAGTTCGCTGGAATCCGAGATCCTCGTTCGCGATCCGCTGGACGGCCTTCGTAGTCGATACCAGGGAGGCCTGGATCTTGTCCTGCAAGGACTTGAAGTCTTGCGAGGGATCCATGGTTGCGAAGAAGCCGAGGAAGAGTTCGCCAACGTATCGGCGTCCCGGGTGCAGGAATGCAAATCGAGAAATTATTTGGAGTTCGTCGCCCAGTTTAACTGGAAAATTTACAGGCGCCAGACAGCGGCAGGCAGTCTGCGGGTCCAGCCGCCTGTCGCTGCAACCCCCCAGTGGGTTGATCAGGCAGGGGTTGCTACTGCTGGAAGACTCGGAAGGCACTACAGCAGGAACTCGATAAGATAAACATTCAATGCAGCTGGTGACGGTGGTGGCAACCGTCCTACTAGGAGCTTCAACAGACGGTGCAAGTTATTGGCTGATTTGAATCCTGAGGGCTTCTTTTCCAAGACCAGCTCCTGTCATTCCTCACAAACTCACCTAGGTACTGTGCTCCACCTGCAGCTTCTCAGTCATCGGTGGGAGAGCTTTTTGGGTCATAGGTTGTAGGACAACCAGCTCCCTGCTGCCTCCGTCTTGATCTACTCAAACCACGACTGGGTTGGCAATCTGGTCCTCAGGGCATTTAAGCACCAGCAAACAGGCCCAAGGTTAACGAGGTCAGTTCACAATCCCACTTGGCCGAGGATTTCCTCCACTGTTGCCTGCTCATTCTCATCAGCAGAGCGAAAAGTTGACTTGAATATTTCGATAGCTTTCACAAACCTCGTGGTGGATCTTTTCAGGGACCAAAGGACCAAAGGACCTCCATTCAGGCTGCGCTGTTGATAGCATTCACAAAGCATGTCTGCTTCCCTGGCCCCTGAGTGCAATGAGGTGAAGGAGTGAGTAATTTAATATGATTTCCTGGATAGCTCCCTGCTGATTAGAAGCACAGGAAGTACGATACTTGCTTCCTGAAATGGTACAGCGAAAGTAAGTATGATGAAGACCTTGGTCTTTTCCAAACACTGCTTGATCTAACTGAATTTTTGACAGAGTACCTTCGGGGTATAGGCAAGTCTGATGACAATGAGTGCTCAGACCTGTTTAAGGACTATCAGAAATGTCTAAATGTACGCCATGGCCAGAGACAATATTGCGAAGTTTCTACTTTAGCTCTGTCATGATCTCTACTCTATGAAAAGTTCACTGGAAGCTGACAATAAACAGGTGGCCCTAAAGCAAAGGGGCATTGACAAGCTTCTGGAAGAGGCCAGGGAGGACAACAAGGAGAACGATGCCATACACCTGAGCAGAAAATGAGGCTTCGTCGTGGGAGCACCGGAATTTGGACAAAGGGTTCCTTACTGCGGGTTGTGTCCCAAGTGTAACTGCATCCGTCTTGCATCGTAGTACTTTGTACCAGGCGTTTGGTACTTAAAATGGGCTATAAAAAAGACTACACTCATATCAATCAAAACTAATTCAACTCTGGACCACACTGCCTGATGGGGCTGAAAACTGACAGAGACGAGACCCTGTTTCTAAGGCATGGTGAGAGCTACTTCCTACCAAGGCAATAAATTGTTACTTTTTAGGGATGTCAGTCCTGTCACATAAGATATGCTCAGACGTGAATTGTCCCTATTGTGGGATGGCTGCTGTGTGCCGTCTTCCTGCATATTCTTGTGGCCCAAGATTGCTTGGTGCCAATGTTCGAGGCTCTTTCATGCCAGCGCTTTGCTGCAAGAACAAGAACGCTAAGCAAACTGGGGCTGTGGTCGACAGATGGCTCGACCTCGATCTCAGGAGAAGCTTCAGGGCCTAGAACGTGAGATCCCCGCTGAAGAAGGCTGGATTGCCGGCAGGCAGGGGGACCTCAACAGGGGTCTAAGCTTGGCTTCTCCAGCTCCAACTAGCGCATGTGGTAATTAAAACTGATTGCGACAGCTCGTCACGTCAAGCAAACCACAGCCCTCCCGCTCTGCTCTTATCGTGGACAAAACACGACTGGGGACTCGATTTGCGGGACTCCTGTTTTCGAATTTCCTCGCGATATACAGACTCGGAATGCGCTTAAAGTAGCGACCAGACGGCGTTTCTATGCACCCCTTCTCCGCCCTAACGATTGGAATCTTCGTAGCCGGCTACACCACCGCTCGATGGGACCTGGTCACGAGGCTCTATGAGCTTGCCATCTTTGCTTGGGACTACGGAGTTGTTGTGAGTCTGGCTTCCCATCGGCCGCGTACTGCGTCTTCATCTGGGCAAAGTCTCCGTCTCAGAGCTCGCCAGAAATGCCCGAACGCACGCGTCATTCCAGTTAGCTGACTTGTCTCTGTTTCTTGTTTAGTCGCGCGCCGCATACGGTTTCGTCGTACTGTCGCTATTCTTCCTCGTTGTCCTCCTGCCTGTTGCACGTCTAGCAGCAAGAGAGTCAGACCTGGTACGACCGTCTCTCGGCCCCATTGGCGTTCCTTCCTGCGACCTTTCTCGACGCGCGCCGCTAACTATCTACGCAAGCATCCTCGGTCCACGGGATCAGGCATATCCGCACGGGAGCAGCTAAGACGAAGAGGGTCGTTCTAGAGCCGTGGACCCGCGCCCATCGAGGCTGTCTGTCATGCCAGAGCATGATGGGTTGATGCGCATTTTCTGGCCGATCGACATCCCAAGGTCGGACCTGCCTGGGGTGGTCGTGGGCTGGAGGAACTCGGCATTGGATGTGTTCGTGGTTGCCATTCTAGAAGCCGTCGATGTTAGTCCTTCATTGTCTGATTAGACTGTCGGGCGAGATTTAGAGTGTCCTGCTAAGCCATATCCACCAGGCTCGAAATGTCGAGGGCGCGCTGAAGTCTCTCACCCTGTTCAGGAGCGCTCCCCACCCTATAGGACGGATTTTCGAGCTGTGCGGTCAGTCAAGTATGCACGTACTTGGTGTCTCGAACGTCGATGACGCAGTTGTGATTGATCCGTCATGGGTGCGTGTGACGATTGACTCGAATACCCGCGTTCCTCAAGTCCGATGTGCAAAAGCCTCGAGCATTCAGATTATACAATTCCAGCGACCGCTACCAACAAGAATGCAGTACATATCTCTAAATCCCATTGCGCTAGCCCTGGGTGACAAGCCCATGGACGAGAGGCTGGCCTATGTCGGTGAGGCCGAGGCGCAAGAGGAGACGCAGGAACGGCTGCGGAGGGAGAAAGCCGAAAGGCTCATCGAGAAGCTCAAGCAGCACTCCATCACAAAGCGACCTGCCTCGAACAAGGAGAGGGCGCTGCCTAGAATTGTCAACCAGATCAATTGGTCATCGGAGCTCGAAATGCTTCTTCAGAAAAACGTGTCAAGACTAGGGGCGAGACCCAAGCGAAGTCTTAGTGTGTCTGAGCGTGTGGTTGAGTCTGCGACTACGATGAAGAACTTTGTTCTGCTCTGGATATGGGAGTTGATCACAGTCTACGTATATCCCATCATCCGACAAGCCTTCATTTTTGGGCTCGTTGGCCACCGAGTAGCGGCCGAGATGCTGTTGGTCGTCTTGGAGTGGCGACCGCAGCCTCACATGGCTGCCCTCAAGGATATCTCGGCCACGGCGCAGCAGGTGGAGATTCGGCTGCAGCAGTTCTGCTACTGGCCAATGCAATATGTCACGTTGAGGCAGAGAAAGAACGATTGGGAAAGCGTGACGACAAGCCATCCTGACTACATCCGGTTTTACAACAGTCTATGGCTTGTTGCCAACGATGTGATCATCGGGATTGCCTTGGGCTCATATATTATCGACAACGCATCTTGGGTTGCTGACCAGATCAGCCTCATCTTGACAACTTACACCGTCGAAGCTCTCCAAAGCGGCATCTCCTGGTTGATGGGCTGGCCAGCCGGCCTAAAGCTCAACACGGAGCTAGCCGCGTTTCTTGGTGATTTGTTCCTGTGGGTCATTGATTACTGGGCCAGTAAGTCATCGGCTGTTTTCTCGCCTGGCATAAGTATTTACTGACATTTTCCAGGCTGCATTGACACTTTCCGGCCGGCACTGCCTGGCGTCATCTGGTTCATCGGATTCACCAGTTTTGCCGGGGCCAGCATGCCCATTGCAGTATTCTCGGACCTGCTTTCCATCCTTACCGTCCATATATACTCTTTCTACCTCGCCTCCGCCCGTATATATCACTGGCAACTGACAATTCTCATCTCGCTATTTCATCTCTTCCGCGGAAAGAAGCACAACGTCCTGCGAAACCGTATTGACTCGTGTGATTACGACCTCGATCAGCTTCTGGTTGGCACGATCGTCTTCTGCCTCCTGTTGTTCCTGCTGCCAACTGTGGTGGTGTTCTACCTAAACTTCGCCATAGCCAGAATGGTCATCATCTCGCTCAAAGCCGCTTTCGATACACTTCTTTCCTGCTTAAATCATTTTCCCCTGTTTGCCCTGATGCTCCGGATTAAGGACCCTCAGAGGTTGCCAGGTATGTCAGATCGGTCTGGAAGCTTCCTGGCGGCAAGATCTTGCTAACAAGCGTTCAGGGGGCATTCGTTTTGAACTTCGTGATACCCAAAAACATAGAGCAGTACATAATCCACCAATACCAGACCTCCCGTCTACATCGGTAATTTACCTTAAGGTACGATAGTTCGATGCTCGCCCTTTGCTGGCTTCCTCCACCTGTTGCCTCCACGACAGAGCAGCGCACGGCTAACCTCTCATCGCCAGTCTATACCCCTGACCTTCCGCGCCATGTTCCACCAATACTTCCACATGGCCGCACGCATCCGGAAGCACTATCTATCACCACGGGTGCTCCTCTGCCTGCTCACGGGCAAGTTCGTCCCGCCGATTAACCGCAAGAACCTGTACAGCCTGCAGTACAGCATGTTGCCGGCCAAGAGGTCTGGGATCATGGAGATGTGGGCTGCCGTAAATTCGCTTGTGAGGAACGAGAAGAAGCAGCCTCTGCCGGTGATGAATGGAAGGCTGACCAGGACGCGGGGATATGGTGGGCATTGAGATAATAGCAGACACAGTTAGTGTTTGGTAGAGAAGACGAGCATGATCGAAATCTGAGTTCGTGAGCCCTGATCTTGAGCATGTGATGATTGATGTATGTGTCTTGTAGGTCACTAAGTGAAATAGAGTGCGATGCTACCCTGCGGTTTAAGGGTTTGATAACTCAGGTAATTCCTCGTCAACCGCCGTTGTGCTCTCGCCATTTTCACGACTGCGCCCTCGTTCCCTGAAAGTCTCAACCCATCGCCGCCCATTACGATTTAGTGTACGTCCACAACTTGACCCCCATGCAACCGACTTCTGTGTAATCAAGTACGAGTGCCTTTACTAAGAGCTGAGGGTTTCGTGGCCTCATAGGAACAACTCGTTCTGCAACTTTCGCTCCGCTTTGTGTCATGTATACGGTGATACACAGGCAATTGTTAATGCGATTCTAGCTGATCGATGTGCAAAATTGCCCCTGAAAAGTGATACAAATCGAATTTCGACATCTTCATTATCACTGGGACGGCTTCTGGCCAGGAAGACAGGAATGCGGACTTGCGCGAGAATCCAATTTGAAACGGTCACGTCAGTGTGCGTTGCTAGAATCTCTGGAAGTAATATTGAACGTGGATCGCTCATTCAAATTCTCACAAAACGTGTAACTATTCAATGTCTCAGGCCAATAGTACACAAGACGAATGGCTACCACCTCTCGGTGACACCCATCTGTGTACAGCCGCCCTGTTTGCTTGTTCTACTGGGCACAGGTTCACCACATATGGCTGAGACCATCCACCCATAATGGTCACCCAGCGTCTCCTTCTTCTTCTTCCTCATCTTAATGCACTACAAAATCCAACCAACAACAAGTTATCTTGTTCAAGAATTTACGTTGTCCAAAGAAAACAGGCCATGTGACCATGAGCACTCTAGAACAGTCCTCAGATGGAAATCCCAACGACACAAGCGGCTTTTCGAACGTCCTGGGTATCATATTGGGAGGAGTCATACCAGGCTGCGCCATCCTGACAGTGATACTGATCTTCCTGGTCTGGTGCACCAGTGGCTGTCTCGAGCCTGCGCGGCCCACTGGCGAGAATGACAATGACGAGGTTCTGCCGGAATGTCCCAAATACTCAGGGGCTCCACGGAGGGAACAAGGCCACGAACCTCCTGCGTACGAAGCAGGGCCAAGTCGTTCGGGGCTGACAACGGACTGTTGGGCGGATGATCGTACGATTTGCTCTGGAGAGAGCAACTGCTCACCCTCTCAGGACCGCGCGGACTCGAGACACCCGACCACCTTGGACCCCTCTGTAAGCTCGGACACGACTTGCCTCAATTCGAAGGCCTCTTCAATACGGGATGCGTCGGGTTCTGAAGCCGGTTCTGTGGAGGTGAATGGCACGTCAGGAAGGACCCCAGCTACTGCTACTACATAGTCAGCATAGAACAAGACCTCATGGTATCTGCGAAGGACGAAGTGGGTGTTGGGAATCAGGATGTGCAAGAAAGGTGGGTGGAGGAGCTTCAGAAACTGTTGGGTGGCAGCTATCACTGCCCTGCGGCCAACCACGGGAAATATCTAGGGCCTAGATTTCTGGCTTCGGGTTGAACTTAACAAGTGTATTCCCTTCGGGTTTGTCGAACTCATCTATCGTCCTTGTGTTTGTTCCAAAATGTATTCGCAGCACGTCGAGGCAGCTTTGCTCCTCCTCGAGTCAAGAAGTGTCAAAGTGATGATCATTTCTACCTCTTCTTTTATTGAACCTCGCACTACAGATCAGACCATACATTTAACAGGTAGTGCAGGCTCTGGTCTCATAATCCCCAGGCATCTAGCCTTTCATTGCCATCCTGTATTCCGCAAAGATCCAATGTGCACTTTCACTCGATCACAAATAATATAGAATGTCAAAAAAAGTCGAAAACGTCGCCCACTCCTGCGACAGTTGCCGCCTTGTCACTTCTACACTTTGTAAGGCACTCTGAGCAGAATTCACAAGGATTTTTTTTTTTAAAGATCATTCGTACCAGAGATGCTAACAGTGGGCGAGATACTTGCACAACGTCCTTCTTGCTCAATTCCATAATGGCTGTGCTCGAGATCAAAAACTGAGCAGGCTCGGCACATGCAGCTCGTCTAGAGCAGTATCCCTGTGTGAGTATCTACATGGTGATGCCTTCGTTTCCTGGGCGGTTCGAATGGCCCTGTCTCTCCTGCTGATACGGACAGTCAACAACATCAATTGAGGCATTGACAGTCGAAAAGAGATTGGCAGAAGAGACGTGGAAAACGCGTCCATCCAAGCAGCCACCGCTTGGTGAGTCCCCAACTACCGCGGGTTGTCCCATGGGGTAGGAGAGTGTGGGGTAAGGAAGTCAGGCCATTCTTCCTTCTTGGGCTTCCCCTTTCCAAGTGAATGTTGAGAGGGGGTGGTTACACGTGACCTAACAAGCATGAGGGGAAATGCAACGACAAGCGAGGTAAATTCAACGTCAAGTCTCTCCTCAATTCCAATGTTGAACACGTTTTTTCACATCAATTGGAACACCATCTAAGCGTGGGCCGCACTCACCCAAAAACGCCGTGTTGTCGACTCGCACCACTCACCAAAAGTCCCCGCCGGCTGAATCGCTCCACACGATCGACTCGCTGGGCTCTCTAGCTTACCCGCGAGGACCCACTGCTCACACGATGGTCGTGGAGATGGAGCCCTTTCCCCAGGAAATCCCGCGAGCACAGGCGAGCGATTCTTCAGATACGCCATAAGCCCAGATTGGGAGTACGATAAGCTCACCCAGCTCCGAGCACAAGCGCGCCGAGCTGTTCAATTGACTTCTGGAGACGGACCTCCATTCGCCGACATGATCGCCAGACCCGCCTAAGCTGCTGAGAAACACCGCCAGCGCTGTCACATTGCACGCAGCTCGTGGAGCTTCTTGATCACGAATCCTAGTGCAACTCTGGCAGCCGGTCTCGGAGCTTCAAAAATATCGCGAAACGACAGAGAAACAGAGTGGTCTTTTCATCATCTTCAGGATCCAGAGGATCGGGATGGACTGGCATTTGCTATTGTACAGTTCCCGGAAACCTGAACGTGCAAGTCTCGCCGTCTATGCTCTATGGTAGCCGCCGCAAGCACCCTTCTATGCAATACACGCCCAGAATGCTCCTCCAATGCTTGTCTATACTGCCGCCGAGTGGTGGGCACCGGACCTTTGGCACCATCCAGCTCCAGGCAAGTGGCCCACCAGCTTTCGGCGAGGCATGCTCCATTCGTCCAGTGACAAAATGAATGGGTTGTTTACGTCTGCAAGTGCGCCCGTTAGCGGTGGTCCGGCCAAGTGTTGCTGCCATTGAGGCATTTTCATAAAGGTGCATCAATGGACTCATCGAGGATCGACGAGTGTGTGGGGCTGGGGTTGCACGTACGAACTTGGCCATGAGGGCAACCATGAGGTCGAAAAGACCAATGGCCTCGACGAAGGCGAAACCCAGAATGGCGTAGGAGAACAACTGGCCACGGAGGGCGGGGTTGCGGGCAACACCGTTCAGGAGAGCGGCGAAGACGAGACCGATACCGATACCAGCACCAGTCAGACCGATGGCGGCGGAACCCATACCCAGGTTCTTGGAGACCTCAACCAGGGCGTTGGCCATCTCGGAGCTGTAGGGGCGGGCCTGCTGCTTGAAGGCAGAGCGGGTGGTGGTGTTGATGATGCTCTGGCGCTTGACGGCCTGGAGAGGGCTGGGCTTGCTCATGCCTATTGAAGATTTTTCTCAGTACCGATCGAGAGCTACGGCGGCGTGGTAACAGGCACAATTGGGTCAATTGGAAGTCTCAATTGACTTCCAACCATTTCGGGCCGATGACGTTGAAGGCCGACGGCTGTGGACCGACAAGCTCTAGATGGTTTCCTTACCAGTGATGGTACGCTTGGAAGCGTTGGCGACCTGGACACGCATGGCAGGGCGAGCGACCTTGGTGGTCGTGGAGGCCATGGACGAAGCCAGGCGAGAGGCGAGCACACGGGTAGAGGCCATTGTGTCTGATGGAGGGGAGATAGGTATCCAAAAGAAGAACTTTTGATAAAAAGGGAAGGATTGGGCAGGTTGCTTGAGGACGGCAAGGTTCGAGTAGATGCTCGGTGTGGATGAGGGAAAAAATGAGAGTCGAAGGGAAAAGGACAGAGCGGAGGTCAGGTGAATGGGTGGGACGGGGACCCGGAGCTGCCAGCCAACAAAACCCAGCAAACCACCGAGACTCGAGTATCACGGGCCAATGACATCCTAAGCAGGAACACTCGATCCACCGCATCATCGAAGCCACCACTATGTCAGGATCCACCGTACCTAGCCATCAGCAAGGAAAAATAACGCCCCGGTCGCCGGGAACTCACTCGAGCTCGGGCGATATCGGGACTTGGTTGAATAAACGGGACAATTCATAAGGAGGTATGATCCCTCGAATTCCAGGCGAGAATCAGAGCTTCCTCTCTTCTGCTGCCAAGTTGGCAGTCGACACGACTCATGAGAATTTCGCCAGTCCTACTGATCTGATCGAAGATCTGCGGGCATTCTTCGCACTCACATCACGAACTTGAGGCCAGCGACTTACAGCATCCCCGGGCACTCTTAAGCTCTCTGATCTGAACCCAAAGGAGAACAAAACGCAGCTGCAAAAACTTTTCCGTCTGAGGTTTCCTCAGGGGCAGGCAGAGTCAATGCTGGCAACAAGCAATTCGGGTATGATATGTGACCCCCACGGCCGAATCCTTGTTGAGGCTAGAGAAAGTTGCGGCCAAATGCTCAAGGGTGTTCCTGCGTGCGTGCCATGCAACTCTGCGCTATGCAGCACCGACAACATGGTTTCTCGGCTAGCGGTTGGAAAACTTCCAGAGCCAGTGCCAGTGCGGTAGCTGTCCTGGGCAGCACGCAAATCTTGCTGCCCTGTCCGCCAGAGCCACGTTTTGCAGGGCTGCTCGCTGATGGGCTAGCGTCGTACTCTTAACGCTCGGTGGTCAATCACAGTTGATAAGTGAGATGCAAGGATACAAGCATTGAAGCTGATGATACCAACGAAACACCCAGACCTTTTTGTGGAAAAGGAGAAGGTAAAATCGAGAAACTAATTTAGACTCAGGGGGAATAGTGAATGATCAAGAATAAGCCCGTGATTGGGATTCAATCCTGTCATTACGCTGCTGGACATCGGAGGAACCGTATGCAATATTATCTCTGCTGTAGGCTCTGACGCGCTGACGTCCCAAAGAGCATCAGAAAATTTTTCCAAGCCCAAACCCAAACCAACCCGCGATCACCCGTGGTGTGCAACCCTGTAATGGGCGCTCAGGTCGCCGGCACGCCAATCGGCCTTGGCATTCGGAGCCTCAACTCTGACGTTGGACGGCTGGGAAAAAAGCTCTCAAGCCGCAATGCGACCTATCGTTTCGAGACCTCCCAGCTGCAAGGGTGACAGCTGACCCTGGAGGGATTCTTGCTCATGTAGTACGTATAGGTACAGCTGACAGGATATCTTGGCTGTCATTTTACTTTTTCTTGTTGCTTATCATATCTGCAATGCCTGCATGTCTATGGGAACCGTGTTCACCAGCAGCAGACTCAGACTTTGAGATCAGTAAGCACACAACATATCTGTCTCATCTCTTGATTGCCCCCTAAAGAAGAAGGAAAATGAACCTATCGGCCCTTTGATGCTGGCTGGCTCTCTGGTTGGATTCCGTTGGGTTCCGTGGTTGCATTCCCGCGTGGCCGCACCCGAGATTAGTGCCAGTGCGCCAATGTCGCAGCTCACTCAGCTCCCACTCCGGCCCCCAAGATCCTTTGCGCCGGGCTGGCCCAAGCTCCTTGCCCAAAAGGGGACATTGGCATTCTATAGCTTCGCGGCCCACTGTCTGACGGATGGTGGACAAGCATACTGTCATGTAAGGAGGTTCTGACAATACGATAGATAAATGTTGAGAATTAGACGTATTACTCAGACCTTGAAAATAACGGTGTGAACGAAGTCGGATATCTTTGATCTTTGATAGTACTGGCGAGCTCCATCCGGTAGATGTAGCTGCATAGCGCAGGATGTTACATGCTATTCTTCGTCCTCCTCCACTGACGTTGTTTTGACAGCATAGCCGTCTACGAACCCATCCGGATCACAGGCCTTCTCCAGGCTGATCCCGTTCGCCCTGACCCAGTCCCAAACAGCCTCTTTACTGACCCGCACCCGGGGCACCTCCTTCTCCTTCTCGCCGTTGGTAACAGCAGCCGCTGCCTCCCCGCCGTCCCCGTCACCTGGGGAAGTGCCACGTCTAACAGGCTTCGGTGGCCCCAGCCCCGCCTCCTCCACGATGCCCATCTCCCTCAGGACAGCCAGGCAGTCCTCGGGGACGATCCACGTGGCGCGGCTGCACTCGTCGGCGTCGACGACGACCTCGTCCCCGCCGCTCGTGTCCAGCCCCAGCAGCCAGGCGGCGATCTCGCCGGCCCAGAAGCGCTTGTAGCCGCGCTTGCCGAGGTCGGAGATGGGCTTCTCGGGCCCGCCGACGACGCCCTCGCGCCGCGATATCTCGTAGCTCACGCCCATCAGCAGCGCGCCGAGGCCCTTGCGCTGCCAGGGCGGGAAGATCAGGATGCACGCCAGGTTGTTGTTGTCCCACGACAGCTTCTCCTTGGAGAAGAAGCCCACGATCTGGTGCTTGGGCGGCGGTGGCGGCTGCTGCTGCTGATCCTCATCGCCGTCCTGGGGTGGCGAGGGCGGTGATGGGCGCGGCGTCGTGTGCACCAGCAGGAAGTAGTTGAAGCCGATCACGTCGAAGAAGACGGACTTGTTGTCGAGGAATAGCTTGGCGAACAGCGACAGATTCTGGCAGAACAGCCCGTGCTCCTCCCCGTCAACCTCCCAGATGGACCACTCGCCCTGGTCTTCGACGGTGTCATTCACGGCGGGCTGGGCTGGCGTGTCTGGCGCCTTCCTCTTGCGCCCTGTACCCTTGGGCGTCGTGGCGGCGTGCCTCGCTCGCTGGCCCTTAGGGTGTGTGTAGATCTTCTTGCCAGGAACGTAGCCCCTCCTCTCGCACTGGTGGACGTGCTGCCACCATGGCACCAGCTCCTTGGAGTACTTGAAGCAGCACGGGCAGACGTACAGCCTGTCTAGCTTGTCTTCTTTCGTCTTTCGGGACGACGCGTTCCCCTGGCTGTCGTCCTTGTTATTCCCGTCCTGGGAGGAGGGCCCGTTGCTGTTGCCCGACTTGACGCTGTTCCCTGACACGTCTCCCAGTGCCTCCGTGCCGTAGGGTGAGTGGTACCATGTCGAGAAACATATGTTGCCGAACACGACCTTATCGATGTTTCGCTGGGCGGTGCTTGGCCTCTTCTGCTCTTTGCCAGGTTGCTGCTGCGTCTTCTTGGCCGGTTTTGGCGAGCGCTTAGGGGCCTGTAGAAATGGTTTGCTCGTGTTCGCTGCTACTTGATCTGGGACCCTAGCCGATCGGGAAGGAAGTTGTGTCATAGGAGCGGTAGTGCGTGTATTCGACGGCATATGTGAGTCTTGTTGCTGTTGCTGTTGCTGGTGTGGTATAGGAGGGGATGGATGCTTCGGGACAGTTCGCGGCGGTGGCTGTGAATCTTTTGGTGTTGAAGCGACAGCTGAACCTCGAGGTCTCAGGTCTGCGCTTTGCTCGACATGCATCGGCTGGACGGGGCGACTTGTGTTGGCGTGGTCGTCGTCGTCGGGTTGAGCATGATCGTGACGGTGGCGGAGGCTCCTTGCAGGCTTCAATGCCGGGCCCTGACGAGCCTGATTCGTAGCCTGCAGCACGGGCCGGCGCTGTGCTGAGCGCCCCGACGCGCTTGGGTGTGTGGGCGCAGCAGGTGCAGATGCAGGTGCTCGTGCAGATGGGCGACCCCTGAGGCTGGCCTTCTTTAACTCATGAGTCTCTCCGTCCTGGCCATCGCTCGCCTCTGGCTCTGGCTTTGGCTTTGGCTCTGGCTCTGGTTGTGCATGAGACACGGCTGCATCGGGAGGTTTGGCGCGTTTGCGGCGTGGCTCCGGGTCGGCCTTGAAGAGGAGCGGGGCATTGGAGGTGTGACGTGTTGCACGGTGGACTGGCTTGGGTGGAGACTTAGCACGAGCTGCTGCAGCATCGTGAGGTCGCTTGCGCTTGAGGGAGGACATTTGGCGATGCTTCTTGTCATAGATGGGTCAGGTCATGATGCTACAGCATGGTGCGACTGGCAGTTGCTGCTTAGTCGTGATAGTAATTGGACTTGTCGAGGGGTTCCTTTTGAAGCCGAGGGCCTCTCCTATGCACGACTAACACGAACATCCCGTCCCCCCTGTCCCCCAGGCCTTACGTAAGTACCAAAACTGGCACTAATGCTGTGTTGTATCCCCCAGACTTATTGGGCCTGGACAAATTTCGTAGGCAATCCTAGCCCATATCGCCCATGGGTGGACTGCCATTTGTTTAGCACAATTGAGGACTCGTGATCGTCCATCAAAACTCGAGATGATGGCTCATTGCCCTCTCACTTTTAACTGATTACTGATTCTCTCTGCTTTCACGGTGCTGTCTCCCTGGGCATGCTGCAACTCCGCTTCGCAAGGCATCTCACAAAGGCGCGCCATCATGTCCTCCAACCTTTAGCCGTTAGTCCTTACACATCCTGTCTGTTCTTCGGGACCACATTTATTGATATCTTGACCCAGAGGTCCTTGAGTGCTCCATTAAGCAATCGCTTTTATGCGGCTGCTGTGCAACAAGAATCCAGTCACCCCGATCACCATCATGCTCCACCTAGGAAGGCCCCGTCCGAGGGGCAACGGCGGAGGAGACTGCGTTACAGGTTGAAGCTGTCGCCCACCGACCTGCTCGTGCGCAAAGTGCGTAGCCGAGGGGAACCCTTGACATGGGATGCATGGGAGAAGACGCGGCTGGTCGCCCGCTCGCGAAGTGCACGACTGCCTGTCATGACACACCAGCTTGCACTTAGACAGGACGAGGCCAGGTTGGAGACAAGCGTCTCGACCTTCCTTCAGGACCCAGCCGAATGGAAGAGCCGCCTCAACAGGATTGCCTACAAGGGAATCAACTGGACCGATCTGGACCACTGGCTCTGGATTCTTGGGGCCGAGGACACAGATGCCAAGGTCGAGAGGTTCATTTCTACAGACCGCCATAAGCCAATATTTTTGCTTATGGCAATCCTGAGGACAGACGAACACATGCGCAAGGGCTCATCATTAGTGAGCCTGTATGATTACATCGCGAGGACCTACTTCCGGTCGGATCCCATATTCCGGCAAGAACTCCCTAAAGGAGCACTGCGGCGTTCGTTGGACGACGCTTTCAACATGACACCAACGCATTTTATGCTCTTAATTAAGCGAGTGGTGCACCACTGCCTGAAAACGTGGCCTTCGTCTATAGTCACAATCGCCAGGTTGGTAGTCAGCTACTTGCGGACCATCCCAGCCGACGCTACGCCCAACAAACCCAATCGCCGCACAGGCTATGCGCACCAGTGCAGAATATTCAACCATGCACTATGCAGCTTTCGCAGAGTCTCATCTCTCAGTCCACTAGACAACCTACAGTACAACTGGAAAGCGCAGAAAATCTTGCTGGGCTTCTCTGCCGGCCTGCGCCGCCCGCTGGTCATCAATAGGTGGAGTTACAGGGCCATCAGGGTCGTGTTGCTCGGGTTGAAGAAGTCACAAGCAGAGAAGAGAACTGCTGTTCGCCATGCAAAGACCTGGCCGCCGTACAGGAAACGATTGGATGGCACAGAGGAGAGAGAGGACCCCGAGCAGTGGCTCAGCAGAAGCGTCAGGGCCGGCATCCTCAAGAGACAAGAGGGATATTCCGATAGCACGTTGGACCATGCGCTTGACTCTCTAGGCGGAGCCGCCCTGCAGGATTCCATCACAGTGCAGACACGCTCGGGAGCACCAAGAGTCTGGTCTGGAAATCGCATGTCATTGTCGGTCTTCTCGGCTTGGGCTGCCAATGTGAAGGCGACCCGAAACGCGTACGAGGCCTGGCAAATGTGTCAAGAACCACCACTGCCCAATCTCAAACCCAATTTCCAGGTTTACGCCGAGATGTTCTCGAAGCTTTTCTCCGCGGAGATCGACTACACGTCTTCGATTCTTCCAGGAGCCGCCAAGGAGGTCTTTCCGCCGCACCATGTGAATCTCACAGAGTTTGAACGCGAGCGGTTGCGTCCGTTGTCTGTGGATGAGCTGTACGAGAGGATGCTGAGGGATGGAAATAGACCAGTCAAGCACTGTCTCACCCTACTAGTCCGTAACGCGTCGACAGTGGAGAAGGCTGCACAGTACCTTCTTGACAGTCCTCTGGACAAACGAGCTGTCGAGGACATGACGAAAGCACTCAACCCTATCTACGACAGCCTGAAGCAGATTCCCGTACGCGTCTTTCATGCCTACGTAGGGCTGCTTTGCTCCCGACAAGCGCGTCGGCGATGGGCCCACAACCCCAACGCCGCGAAACACCAGCCGCAACCACAAGTCCTCGCGAAGTACGATCATTTGAAGCGGGCAATCCAGCTTGTGTGCACTCGCTCGGGGCCAAGGAGGGCTCCAGCGCCAGCGCCCTGGCACACGGTCATGCAAGCGTTGGCCCACCGCAAACTCGTTCTCAGGCCCTGGTGTAGCCAGGAGGAAGACAATGTGGAGGCCTTGAGGACGATGCTGTCGCTCTTTGACGCTTATAAAATGAGTGAAGGCCTACATCCCATTCCTTTCGACTGCCTCGCCCGTTGTACCTGGAAAGCCCTCGGAGATGAAGGGACAGCTTGTGGGCCGGCAAAGAATGCGCAGGAGCTCATCGCAACTGCCCACCAGACTCTCAAGTCCACGCTGAGGGAGCTGACATCGCCGGTTCAGGCGCCCAGCGACAGCGTTGCGGAGTCTCTACCTCCCCTGTACCACGAGCTCAGCGCGGCGCACATCCAGACGTACCTGGAGACGCTGGCGCGACTGGGAGATGTCGACGAGGCGGTTCAGCTCATCGAGTGGGTGCTGACGTCGTGGGACCAGAACTCTGCCATCCTGGAGCACGCGAGGGATCCGGACCACAAGCAGTGGGCGATGCTGGGCGAGGCGTTTGTCTGCTTCCGGGCGTTTGCAGAGGGGCGTGTCTCGGACGAGATCATGAGCAGGATCGAGGCGAGGTTCGAGGAGCTCAAAGGCAAGGGCTCGACTTGGTTATGGCCGCAGGACGAAGATGTTTACGAGTATGTCGAGGGAAAACGTGGGCACGGTCGAGCAGGGTCGAATGGGCAGGGAGAGTATGTGTACGAGAGATGAGATACCCAATTGTGTAAACATACAGAACAGCAAATTCTATGCCATACTCTACGGAACAATCTTATGGTTTTCTGAGCATTCAGTCTCTAGTGAAATGGCATCGGCCTGTCTTCCTTGCGCTCTCCATGATGTTCTCTTCAGCTGTCACTTAAAACTTGCAAATCTGAAAATCGCTACGAATCTCTGAAAACCCATTTTGTAATTGATGCAGCAGCTGTTGAGGCGAGCATTTGAAACGATTTGTTTCTGCAAATACAACCTGCCAAACGAAGGGGAGGATACTTGCTCCCTGCACCGCAGCAGCCCCTGCGATTGGCCAATTCGTCCTCACTCCAGCCCCACAGGACCCCTGGCCTTGCAACGTGCTTGCTTGATCGCGTGTCGCACCCATCAACAAGCAATGCCGTTTCGCTCAAGCAACTTCAAACGGCGGCAATCCTTCCTCCTCGCCAGTCCGTTCTTTTCCTGGATTTTCATGGATGCATCGTTGCCAAATCTTTTTTGATGTGGGGAGTTTGGGTCTGTTTTTTATCAATACCCTCAAGCGTTTTGCATTTGCATATTGCAAGCTCCATCTACTGGCTCGATATGAGCTATTGCCTTCAGTCTGCCCCAGGTATATATATAATGCTGGTATGATGGCTCATTGCTTGAACTGGAACAAATAAAAGGCTGACCAGAAATGCCAGAGCATCACGTTCAGCCTTTTGTTTCAGCATCTCATCAAAGCCTTTGCTTTTGGCTCAACTTGAATCTCTCCAGTTTGCAAAACCATCCAAAACCTAATCTTCACCGTTGATGCCGGTTTCCATGCGTTGACATTTGCATCCTTGGCTGGGAAAGGTGCCAGGATGGATGATCTTGTGATGAGCGACCTGAACCCAGGACGGGGGAGTGGGCCTATGGATCTCGACGAAGTACTCATAATGCGAAGTCACCAGGATGACGAGGATGCGCTCGTGGAAGCAGAAGCGGAAGAGGCCGAGTTTGAAGAGACGGACCTTGAGAGCGACTTCGACAATGTGCAGCAGCACCATCCTACTTCAAAGAAACTCGTGATCGAAATCCCCAGCTCTACCCTGATTGCCCCACGGTCGGCCTTCAGAAGCCCGGCAGAGTACGCCCACATCAGCAAAGAGCATTCGGCAGTACGAAGTCTTTTGGATTCTGACCCAAGTCAGCTAAATGAAGACTTCGTTGAGTTCGAATTAGATGACTTCGTGGTGTACATTGACACCAAGAGATATCCCCAGGAGATGAGAGCCCTACACACTCATGCCACTCTAACTGGCCAACAGAAGTTCTTCTTCAACGGCACGCTCCGGCTGGGCGGGATCGAGCGTCGCGTAGAGAAGGTGCTTTTTGAGGAAATTCCTCTGGGAAACTACGGCAAAGATCACCCGACAGTGGGCGACCAGCTTTGGATTTGTTCTGACCTCAACCGGGAAAAGAACATCTACTATCAGCTGAAACGTCCGTCTTTCGAATACGCCAGATTTCACCAGGACTTCCTTTGGGTGGCAGACCTGGCGAAGCATGTGGTCGACTTTTCAGAGCACCTGATAGAGTTGGGTCAAAACGTTTCTATTCGCCATTTTCAACAATATTTCGCTCGTTGGCTCCAGACAGTCCACGGGTCCTCACCAACATTTCAGAAGTGGTACACGAAACGTGGAAGTGACGACTTTCGACAATCAATCGTGGCAAATGAACGGTTCATACGGAAAGAACTATTCGACATGTTTGAAGGCCAGAAATGGACTCACATTCACATCTTCCGGGAGATTACACACCCCTTTGGTATGTTTGGCCGCCAGGGCCATGGGTTTTTGTCGAAGGGAGACCGCGTTCCCTACACGATAGTAACTCCATACATATATGACTGCTTTTCTCATATGGAGATGGGGATGATATTGAAGCCCATGCAACCCTCAGTCAACACTAAGGAAGCCACATCTCGCTCATGGATAACAAATGGGATGCAAAGCCCGAGGTTTGTTCGAACAGCTGATGCTTTCTATCAGCACCGGGCCATGATCGACAGTATCAAACCTGGAGACACGATCTCGATAGCTCCTGATACAGAAGAGACCGATACACCATGGTCTACGAACAAAGCAGACAAGAAATGGTATGGTCTCGTACAAGGCGTATCCATGATGAAGGCCAAGATGGGGCTTCGACGATGCTTCGATATTACATGGCTGTACGATCCTGAAGACACTCCATGCTGCTCGATGAAATATCCGTGGCCCAACGAGCTCTTCCTCAGCGATCACTGTACGTGTGAGGAGAGACAGCGGCGAATTCCGGAACACGCGGTCGTCGGAGTCCACACCGTGGAATGGTTCGGAACACCCCGAACCACAGCCGAGTTCTTCATCAGACAAACATACCAGGTCGAACAGCGCAGATGGATATCCCTCCAGCAAGCGCATATATTCTGCCAACACGAAAAGAAGCAACGTCATAAGATCAGGTATCACATTGGCGAGACTGTCCTCGTGCTGACTCCTGGAACAATGTTCCTGGAGCCACGCGAAGTTTTGAGCTACGGGAAGGACAATGAATGCGTCCGTCTACGAAAGTTCATAAGACGTACAGACATTCACAGCAAGTGTGCACCAAATGACCTTATCTACACCGACGAGCAGGAATCTGTAAATGTCAGCCGCATCTATACCAGATGTATCGTGCGTTGCTACTATCCGGGCGAGACCATACCGGCGCCATACAATGCGAACGGTACTGGAAACGCTTTTATCGTTAGCCACAGAAAGTCTGCCGATGGCTCAATACACCCCTTGAGCCCAACCAACAAGCCAACAATTCGCGAAGGCTTTGACCCAACCCACTTGGTGAATAAGCTTCGCGCCATGGACCTTTTCAGTGGATGTGGAAACCTCGGCCGTGGACTCGAAGATGGAGGCGCTGTTCACTCGAAATGGGTGAACGATATTTGGGACGCAGCTATCCACACTTACATGGCCAATGTGAAAGACCCAGACTCTGTGCACCCTTTCCTCGGCTCGATAGACGACTTCTGCCTGCAAGCCTTCCAGGGCAAATTCAGCAACTCTGTTCCGTCTCCGGGTGAAGTCGATTTGATCTCTGGTGGCAGTCCTTGTCCCGGCTTCTCTATGATCACGCCAGACAAGCAAACGATCCAGCAGGTTAAAAATAGGTCTTTGGTCGCCGCGTTTGCAGCAACTATTGATTTCTACCGACCAAAATACGGTATTTTAGAAAACGTGAAAACTATCGTACAGAGCAAAGGAAACCGCACTGAGGACTACTTCTCACAACTCATCTGCGCCATTGTGGGCATGGGATATCAAGCCCAGATCATCCTCGGCGACGCCTGGTCCCACGGATCCCCCCAGGCCCGTGTGCGTGCCTTTCTCTGCTTCGCGGCTCCCGGACTTGAGCTGCCGCAGCCGCCCGACCTTTCTCACGCGCACCCTAGGAAGAAAGAATCCGGATCTTTGGGGATGATGACCAACGGGAACCCTACGTCGTGCGATCAAACAAGCCAACGCCGTTCAAGTACGTCACCGCCCTAGAAGCGACGGCCGACCTTCCCGACATCTACGACGCAAAAACAGAGACGTGCGTGGCTTTCCCAGACCATCGACTCTCGATCTCTCTGTCCTCGGGAGATCTAACCAGCGGAGTTAAATACGGCCGCGGGAAAAATGGCCGAACCCAAGGCCTCAATATGCCCATACGGCCGTTCGGAATGAATTTCTCAAGGGCCTGGCACCACATGATCAAAGATCGTCTCAGCGAGGACGCGTACCATGACATGTTTGACCACGAGCGAGACGCCTACCCCCGCCCAGGGATCCCGCGGACATCGAACATCAGCAAGGCCTGGGGCCGCGTCCACCCACACGGCCTCTTCCACACCATCACGACGGTGTGCCAGTGGACCGACGCGCGGACGGGCAGGCTGTCGCACTGGGACCAGCCGCGCCCGCTGACCGTCATGGAGGTGCGCCGGGCGCAGGGCATCCCGGACCACGAGGTCCTGCTCGGCTCGGCCAAGGACCAGTGGGAGATGGTCGGCAACGCGGTCGCGAGGCAGATCGCCGTGGCCCTCGGGCTGTCGCTGCGGAGGGCGTGGTTCGGCTCCCTGTACGAGGATGGACCGGCGGCCCCGGAGGGTGTGGACCAGGATTTGAAGAGCAGTGACGATGGCGTAGAGCACCTGACCGTGAAGGGCGATATAGCTATGTCGCTAGACTCGGATTGAATATAGCAAAATCTCAGAAATTAATTAGAGCTTCCTAGCAAAGACACTGAAAGGCCGTCAATGATTCTACATTGAAGAAGAGCCCCCTGCCCAACTACAGATTTGCTTTCACGCTGACCTGTCCGCCAATTACGTCCATGCGATCAAGAGCCCCAGGATTTCCATTGACAATGTCCGTAAATTGCTATAACCCGGCGGCTTCTTTGCCCTCGTCAAGTTTACCACCAGGCTGTACTGGCTGGACCTGGATCTTGGCTGCTGGGCGGATTATAGCTGCTGAGGATCGCATGAAGCATTGCCTGTCAACTGACGCTTTTTTGATATCTGAGTTTATAGGCTGCTGGCTGTGGCAAAGATGATAATACTGAGTCTAAGTAGCGAGGCGTTGAAAGAGGAAAGCATTTTAACCAGCCAAGCACATTAAAGTATAGGATAGTGGTGAGTTAGACAAAGGATTTTTCTTCATTTTTGGTTGTCTAGCCTAAGCTGAGTAAAAGTGAGGCAGGTGACATTATCATTACTTCGAGTGGTCTCTATACGCGCTTCATTCCCTGACACATGTCCTCTTTCCCATATAAACATTATCGTATCTCTTTTGCAATCTCGATTCTCATATATCATTCTTTCTGTCTCTGTTCCCCTCTTCCATTCTCTATTACCCCCTGACCGTCGTGGTGGCCCACTTGATCAGCGTCTCGGTCTCGGTAGCGGTCGAGACGGACGTGACGGTGATGAACACGGTCGTGGTGGGGCCGCCCGTGCTGGTGCTGGTGCTGGTGCCGCCGACTGAGTTGCCCACGAAGTTGTTGCCCTTGTGGTCTTGATCATCACCGTCGTCATCGCCATCACCGCCGAACCCTCCGAAGCCGAAGCCCGTGTCTGTCGGAGCAGGGGCGTCCTGAGGCGATGTCGAGGATGTCAGTGCCACGGGAATAACGACTAGCGATTCTGCGGCCGTCGACGAGGAGGACGAGGAAGACCGTTCTACGTCTGGTGTTGGAGTTGGGAATGACTCGGCGTCCGAGGTCGTCTGGATTGTAATTCTGGATGTAGTCGTCGTGCGTGACGTAGAAGTACTTGTGGGTTCTCGGTCTGATTCTTTGGGTGTTTCATCAGGTGATTTTTTGGTGGATGTCTCCTTAGTCACCGATGAACTTGTGGTCTCAGAAGAGAGGGTCGACCGAATGGTCGTGGTGAGTTGAATCGTGGAGAGACTAGACTTTGTCGAGCTCTCGCTCTCGGCAGTTGCTGTCACCGTCAAAGAAGGCACCGTGACAGTCGTGAAGCCTGCGTCCCCGGCAGATTTCGATGTTGAGGTAGCCTCGTCGGACGAGGCGGTTTTGGATTCGGACGTTGTCTCGATGGTGCTGGTCGCCGAGCCAAGCTGGGTTGAGGCCGAGCTCGAACTTGAGCTCGTACTCCCCTCTGGGACGGAGCCCAGGACAGCAATTACGGTCTCTCTCGGAAAGCAACGAAGGCTGACACCGCTGGTCGTATTAAGCGGCATAGCCGCGCAGACTGTGCCCTCGCTGCAGCCCACGATATCCCAGGATCCACCGGCGGAACAGTGGGCATATTCCGCGTTAACACAGGCGTACTGGCCGGAATTACACGCCGAATCTGCAGAGATCTCGGTGAACGCTGCGTTGAGCCTGATGGCCTCGGCAAGGTTCGAGGCATACTGGGAGGAAGAGACGGCAGTTGTCCCAGTAGGGACAGCCGAAGTGATCACGGATGTCGGGATGAAGGCATTGGCCGTGCCGGTCGGGGAGACCTTGCTGCTGGCTGTGGAGGTTGAAGAGCTCGTTATGCCGGCCTCCTGTGAGGTCTCCTCGCTTGTTGTTTGGGGCTCTGGGCTTGAGTCAGAAGAGGCCGTAAGCGGGCTTCCAGTCAAGGTTTGAGACGCAGATTGTACGGTCGACTGTATCGTGGTTTGGTTGGATGGAGCCAAGTTTGCATCGGGAGAGGCTTTAGCTGCATCAGATGAGGTAAGGAGCGAGGTCGATGCAGTAGCCTGAACCTGCTGTGATGATCCACCGGACTGCTTCCTTGATGATCCACCGGCGACCTGAGAAGCGCTGGGCCCAGCGGGCCCAACCTGAGTAGATGAAGCCTCTCTAGAGGCAGTCAGAGTAGAAGAGGTTTGAGTAGCCTGTTCAGCAGTGAACCCTACAAAGCCGGGAAGGGAATTGGTAGCCGCTTTTGCGCCGGCGCTTTCAGACAGATCGGCCGTCGTCGACGAGGATTGTGTGTGGCTCGTTGCGCTGGAGTTGTCATATTGTCGTTGTCGTATGCCACCTGGTTGTAGGAGCGGGCCCCTCAGAGGACCAGCCTCAACTGTTGCTAACAGAAGAAAACCGAAAACGAAGCGCTGAATGTTGTTCATTTTTGATGTTGAGTAAGGGAAAGACAGAGAAAGTAAAGAGCGACTCTGGGTGAGAAAAATGAAGTTATCCCGTGATCGACACGTAGATGAACTTCAAGAAACGGTCGTGAGCTGATCAGGTCAAAGTGCCAAATCGAAGAGTGAAAGAGAGTAGTAACACTGGCTTCAGAGCGTCAAAGAGGCCATACGCTTGTCATAAATGAAAAACAAGATTGACCCAAGGTAGAAAAGCCGAGAATGACAACTGATGACAGACTCAAAAGCAGGTTAAAGCCACAATGTTTTATGCTGAATAAACAAACAAAAGGAGATGTTTGGGAAGATCAAGTAGAGAAAACTGGTTCATCCGAGAATGACACTTGGGATCTGCAGGATACCGCACACCTTATGTAACTTGGCAATGCTTGTGACAGGAAGCGATATGCAGCTCTAGATCACGAACGGGTGGCCCACCTTGAAAGTTGGCCAGCCCGGGGGTCCCATGGGCAGTGTTCGCGGACCATGGCCCGGGAGGATTTTAAGATGAGGCCAGCAATCCAGACCTGCCTTTGTCGATCACTGAGATCCAATGCTCTGGACTGGGCCGGATTTAGAACCCGAGGTGGTCTGGTCTTGGGCGTACATACGATATGCCCATGGATATATGCCCATGGATGTGGGCAGACCAGATGCTACCTACCGGCAGCATGCTGAAGCAGGTGGTGTGTTCATAGTGCGTTGTACATGAATAGTACGCGCCGAGAGTGCGAGTGCATAATGAGGCTTGCCAGAGCCCCACGATGTTGACGAGGGTTTTCGAATGTCGTTGAAGCAGACGCGCGCCAACTGGTAATTGGAAGTGTCCCATCTGCAGGCCATGCGGCTCGGGAGCTGTGAGCGAATCAATGGCGGCCCGCTCGGCGGACCTGAGGCGAGAGAGCTGCAGCCGCCCCCTGCGCTTGCTTGGTGGCTTTGCCCTCTTCGGGAACTTGGGACTCGGGGTCGTGTTCTCGGCAGAGCATGGGTGCCCACTGCAGCGGGCGGCTGCAATAAAATAAACCTAGGCGCGGTCCCTTGGATCGGACAGGACCTCGATCTTGACCTCGACCTCGACCTCGACCTCGCCTGGCTTGAGCTCCATTGTTGACGATCCCGCTACGCCCCTCTCCAGAATCCGACCTCATTCGAATGGAGAATGATGGGCCGCGCGTTATCAACCTATTTGGTTTCTCTTAGAACTCGTTAATTTTGTTGGGCCCAATCCGCCCTGACGAAGCATAGACCGAATTAATCTGGACCGATGAATACCTTTCAAGAAAATCCAGGCCACTTATTCAAAAGTTTGCAAAATCATTTGCTTGTAACAGTCCCATCTAAGCCACAGGCGATGAGCCAAGCAGTGGCGTTACACTAGGACACAGACTGGTTGCAGATTGACATTACTTTTCCAGGTGGTGCCCATGCCTTGGGAGGATATTCTCCCAAGTTGTCAACATGTTGGCACATCTGACAAGCTGTCATGTCGATCGAGGTATCGACTAGTGCCTGGGCGGGTGATGGTGTTGCTGACGAACTCCAGGCGACTCGACCTTGATGCTTTCTTTGTCTCGAACGATTGACGTGCATACATGGGCTTGTCCTTGAGGCAACAGCTCCAACTCCTGCTTCGAACCAGAGCTGTGCGTGCCTTGGCTTTTACGAGCGTCAGTGTCGACTGAAGTTGAAATGCGTTCCCAAGGTGGTCGGACACGGGTCCCCAACCCGTTCCTTCCCTGTCAGACTTGGAAGGAGGCTTCCCTGCAATGACCGTACGCGGTAAGGAATAGACGACAAGGGTCCGCGTTCACCCACGACACGACGGCAGCACTGTCCTAGACAGCAGCTACAGAGAGGTGCTCCGTTATGGCAATCGAGACTGGTCATATCAATTGGATCTGTCTGTCATCCTGACTATGCTGGGTAGGCTGATCACACATGCCAGTGAGCCCGCTGTTTGTCTGCCACGGTCTGTCTAGCTGACCGTGCTGTCGGGTCGACAAGCCTTCACCAGTGGACCCCCACCATGCACCAGCACCAGCAACAGACTGAACAGCACCAGTTGGGCAGCGCCAGCATCCAAATTCAGCTACATAGCAGCAGATAGAGATTAGACAGCACTACTCAACACCATTCAATATCGCAGGCAGGGCAAAGGACCAAGTGCAGCGAGCAGAAATGCGAGGATGTCGCAAAAAGCATTCTCCGAGCCGTGGAGCCCAAAACGGACTAGCGCGAGAGGCTAACCCGTCTGGTCTGGTCTGATCCTGATCCTGGCCCTGGTCCGCCTGGACTGGAACTGGACAGGCTGAGGGCGAGCTGGCAGCAGGCACTGGGGCTGGAGGGCCTGAGGAGATTGATTATTGCTACAGTATTGCAGTGCTCTCATTTTCTCCCTTGACCTGACCTGCAACCTGCACGGGCATTTTCCATATCTCTCTGCCCTGACATACATTGACATACATCCATACATACATACATACATGCCTATCTACCTTTTTTGACTGGCCCTGCCGTACCTGAAATTCTGTCATTTGATGAACCCCCCATCCCTTCTCATCAACAGACAACATTCTGACCTCGCCTGCCTGCTGCGGGTCCTGGTTGAACTCGAGAGCGCTGATGAGCTAAGCCTGCGAGTGACCCACGTCCCAGAGCACGGCAGTCTTAGCTAGTCTGTCGGTTAGGTGGTCCAGTTGACGAGTCTCGGTTGCACTGGCAAAAAAAAGAGCAGCACGCAAAGCGCGAGAGAGAGAGAGAGATCCAGCACCCCCCATCCCCCATCCCCCATCTGCCTCCGCCGACGCGACAACAGCGCGACGAACCTCCAGTTTTCCCCCGGCCTTGTCATCATCAAAAATCATCCCGACTAGGCCCCTGCCCCCCACCTCGTCGCCCTGCATCACCGAACCGCACCGCACCCTACTGCACCCGCACCGCATCGCGCCCCGGCGACAACATGGCCTCGCCTGCCGATGCCGTCGCTGTCCCACAGCTCAACGGCCTTGCAGACCCCGATCCTCAGTCGCAACCCCAATCCGACCCATCCCAATCCGCGGATCCATCTGCGAAGCGGAAGCGCGAGGCCAGCGACGATGGCTCTGCCGAGCTAACAAGCATCAACGGCAATGCCAACGCCGACACCCACGACAACGACGACCACGCAGACCAAGCCAGCGACCACGAAGACGACGATGCCAAACAGGCCAAGCCTATCGTCAACGGCGAGCGCCCTCTGCGCGACGAATCCACCCTGATTCGCGATTATTTCAGTGTCCTACAGAGGTACGACGCGCCATCCCGCTCCCACCATCAATATCACATCCCTTCCCTTCCCATTCCCTTTCTTCAATTGCACCCCACAAGTTGTCGGTCCAGTCAACCGCACATGGATGCATTCATGTTCTTACTCACGTATGCAGGCACGACACAACGCCCTCTATCCTCAAGCGACCACTGCCAGAACCCTCCAACACCGAAGAGCCCCAGGCCAAGCGACAGAAGTCTGACGATGACTCCAAGGCGCTCTGCATCGCGGACAAAGTCAGCCAGGACTCCTACAAACTTCTTGACCAGCTTGTTCTGGATCTCAAGCAGGTCATTCAAGATAGGGTTGCCGAGATGCGATCCGCCCAGTCTGCCGACGCGGCCAGCTTCGACGAGGACGCCCTGACACAATTGAATGACTTCCGAGACACGGCCATGGCTTTGCACAGTCGAGAGATGTCGTATCCTGAAGGCGCTCCGCCGGCTGCAAAGGACGGCCCTTCGGCCCTGGACGATGTGGCACAGGTGCCGTCGAATGGCAGCTCTGTACTGACTCTGTTTGGCAGCGCACAACAGCCCAGGACCCTGTTCTCCAGTTTGCCCAAGAGGATATCAGACCCAGAACACCCTGATGGTGCCGTCAAGCTTCTGTCCGACGTCCGATTGCCCAACGGTCTTTCCTTGACCACTGTCCTGCCATCGACCTCAGTTGAGAAGCCAGCCCGTGTACCTACCTTAGGCGAGCTGTTCCCATCGCCGGCCAACCTGCCACCACTGCAACCGCCAAAGGCCCCAAAGACCACGACGAAAAGCAAGATTCTGGGTTTCTATCATCCGGAACTGGCAGAACGGTCGAGATACAGGCAGGGCTCTTACTTTTCCGCAGAGCTGACAACCGGTGCCTGGTTGGATTATAGCAATGCGACACCGCCATCCAAGAACAAGTCACGTCAACGTGAGCGCACCCTGAGTTTGGCGGGCCAGAAGCCATCGACGGCCGACGTGGAGATGACTGAGATGGAAGCCCTGTTCCGTGGGGCTTTCTCTAGCTTCGCACCTGAGAAGGACGACAGTGGTGCGATAGTCCCGTCGGGTGAAGTCGCTCGCATCTGGTACCAACGCCATGGACACAGGTACATGGAGCAGATGATCGAGTCTGAGTTGGCAGGAGACGAGGGTGACGATGTAAATGACGGCATCGCTCCTCTGCCGATCGACGAGGACGAAATTGCCAACATCGTGGAGACATGGGACGACAGCCTGATTGACCCGGCTTTGACCATTGATGATGTGCTGGGCAAGAAATCGGACGAGGAGAAGGAAGTTGATGATACCCTTCAGGAAATCTCAGACCTCATCGAGACGCTGTCTTCCTACCAAAGGAATCGCAACATGACACTGCCGACCAGCCAGAACCGGAGCTCGGCTGATCCTGCCAAGGCTGACATGCTCAATGGACCGCTGGCTCAGGAGCCCACCGACGAGGAACGGGATACTTACCAGATTTTGAAGGACCAGCTGGCTCTGATTATTCAGGCGCTGCCGCCTTACGCCGTGGCTCGCTTGAACTCGGACAGGCTCGAGGAGCTGAATGTCAGCACAAAGCTCGAAGTCCGCAGTGATGTTTTCAGGGGCATTTTGGACGAGGAGTCGGCATCAGCTAGACACCGACACCACCAACAAGCTGCGCAGGCGGCCCAAACTCCTCGGCAGCCGCAACGGACGCCAAGTTTCCACAGCACTACGCCGTACCAAGGTCAACCGTACAATCGCCCGTACCAGACACAGAACCAGACCCCGGTTCCGATACCCAACCATTATCAACAGTCGCCGGCGCGGCCGCCGATTCCTCCAAATTTCCCGCGGCAAGTGTCTGCCCCCATGGCAGGCATGACGCCGCAGCAACATCGGCCAGTCGCGGGACAACCTTTTGCACGACCCAATGGATACACTCCGCAGACTATGCAGCAGCCGAGGCCGTACGGCACCCCGACAGGTGTTCCTCAGTTCCAAGGCAGTCCCGGCCAGCCACGGATGGCGACCGGCTACCCGGGAGCACCTCAGCCCGGTACCCCGGGACAGAGATATCCGTCAGGCTATGCGGGATACAACGGGCAGCAGCCGCAGCCGGGAATGCAGCCTCAGTACCATCAGCAGCCAGCTAATTATGCTCCCCACATGAATGGTGCAGGCTCGATTCCGCCGCGGACCATGTCACCACAGGTGCCTCAGTACCAAGCTGGGCAGAACTACTCACCACGCCCCGGACAGCAACCGATGCCTCGAGGGCAACCTTACGGTACCCCAGGCCAACCAGGTGGACACCCGGGCGTTCCTCGCTACCCTTCCAACGGAGTTCAACAAAACCCTCCACACAGCCCTGCGCCTGGTAGTGGGCAAGGCGGATGGGCCAACCCCATGTCTCCGCAGCGGCAATACGAACAACAGCTGCAGGCTAGGAATCAGGCGGCCGCGCGCATGAATGCGTTCAGCGACAAGATACAGAACCATAGCGTAGCGGGCCTGGGAGGCATCGGCCTGGGAGGCACGCCGGCTCATATGAGGACCAACATTCCCGGAGCGGTGGGCCAATCGTCGCCGAGTCCTCGGCCAGTCTCTGCCGCAGGAGGCATGAACGGTGTGCCACAGCCGTCGCCAAGCCCGGCCTCAGTGCCAGGCGCGACTCCGTCTCCAGCACCGGCAACGGCCATGCAGCCCCAGGCGCCGGCGTAGGACGCCGATTTGCGTCTGCCGCCCATTCGGCAGTTTTCCTTAGCAGATCAAAAGATGTTGGTGGGCTGCCACCAAGGTTTATGAAAAGAGGCCAAGGCGACGAGCTGTAAACGGGGCGGAGGGCAGTCCAGTAGACACACGTTCACACTGTTCTGGGTCTTGTTCGAGTAATCCTAGCCCCAAAATTCTTAAGTATTGGCTTATGCCTCTTGTCACAGTATGGAAGCGGCAGGAAAGTCTTGCCGGAGCGGAAAGGGAGGAGGCAGGAGTTTTACGGTTCGGATAAACCTGATATGACGGGGTGCTTCTTATTCATACCCCCGGTTCATGTAAAAAGACGACTTTGGTGACTTTTTGCTGATGCAGAGCTCCCTTTAATTACTGCTGCGTAGTATAGAGAGAGGGACAAAAAAAAAAGAAAGGTGCTCTATTGTCTCATTGCTCGTCACGCCGACTTGAAATCGTGCAGACCCTGTATACCTTGTGAGGAGTGAGTCCCGTAAATTAGCTACGAATTCCGGCGGATGTTGACCGGACCGCCGAGAGATGGGCCCTGCCTACCGTCGCCGCACCGGCCTGAAATGGCCCCTGTCAGACCGGGAGAGGATGTCGATCTCTAACGGCGCGGCCACTAGGGCGGCCGGGGAGGTGCTGCCGGGACCCACCGAGGTAGGTGAGTGTCATCCTCCCGAGTCTCTCAGCTCCTGACCAGCGCGCACAGATGACGCCTGGGTCTTACGCGGGGCCATAACGGCATAAAGACGCCAAGTCTCGCTCTAGACAAGTCGCTCTGGATGCGCCATGGATGCAAGTCTTGAGAGTGGATGACCCTCAAGTTAAGTTGGGCATGGGCATGACGGATCCAAAGTATTTTCCTGTGCTCACTCACTGCTCACGGAAGTGTTGAATCCAGGAAGACACTATATGGTGGCCATTCCATACTGCAGAGGTGTGGATGTGTTCACTTTACTCTGCAGGTCAACTGAGAGAGGATATACGATTCTCATTTAAGTGGAACTCAAGCTAGGCTTCGTTCGCTGGGACTGAGTCCGGCCAAGGTCGAGGCTTGGACAGAAGAGACGCATCAACAATGCAGATAGGCTCAATAGATGTACGAACTGACGGGAGATCTTCTATTTGCGGACATGATGCCTGCTGCGTAAATGCTATTCTATGGATATTTTACAGAAGTGGGGGGTATCATTATCGGTGTCTGCATCCAATATCCAGCGTGTTCGGGAGGCTGCCACAGGCAGCCAGGTATTTAAGGGCAGCCATGTGAATAAAGGCCCTTTCTCGCCTCTCATATCCTGGCCCTCTCGAGGGCGGCGGCGACCTGGTCCTCTCTCTGCCAGGACTCCTTGTACTCGACGAAGATGCGGCGCATCTCGAACAGGACCTCGATGCAGATGAGGGCGATGATGATCTTCTCGAGGAAGGCCTCGTGGTCCGTGTCCCACATCTCGCGCATGACGGTGGCCATCTCCTGGGCGTAGTCCATGCGCTGGTTGAGCAGCTTGATGCGGTCGAGGACGTCGAGGGCCCTGCCGACCTGCTCGTAGTTCTGCTCGAGGCGCAGCTCCGAGTCCTGGTCCCAGAACATGTCGGGCAGCGAGTCGGTCAGCTCCGAGTAGAGGTTGAGCTGCGACCGCAGCTCCAGCAGCTCCCCCGTGCGCTGCAGGATGAACTTCTTGCGCACCGCCAGCCGGCCCTCGAGCAGCTGCGTCGGGATGTCCTTTGTCCGCTTGAAGTAGGCGCTCAGCAGGGCCTCGAGGAAGGCGATCTTAGTGCTGCGAGCCAAGCCCGAAGAGAAGGCGATCTTGGCGAGGGTGGGGTAGTAAGTGTAGGTGGCGTCGGCATCGTCGGGCTCCTTGGTGCCGAGGATGACGCGGTCGCGGCGCATGGTGCTAGTGGTCATGGCGGCGTCGGTCTCGAAGTCGAGGCTCTCGCGCTCGGCCGACTCGAGGTCGTGGTTGTGGGCGGCGCGCAGCAGGGTGCCCTGGGCCATGTTGATGCCGACGTCGGCGGGCAGGCCCCAGGTGACGACAGTGCCCGAGGGGAAGACGAAGACGTCGCCGTCGCCGCCGCGGCCCAGGGTGCGGGCGTGCACGACGTCGGCCGTGTCGAAGCCCAGGCCGTCCGGGTCGAGCTGGTAGCAGTGCTCAGTGAGGATGCGCACGACGAGGTCCATGTCGAAGGCCTCGGCGACGCACACGGCCCTGATCTTGGTGCTGGGGTCTTCCTCGAGCTGCTCGATCTCGGGCCCGCCGTCCCGGGCGTCACTGACAGGCTTGCGGCCAGGCCGCTGGGCGATGCTGACGACGCGACGGAGGGGATTGCTCAGGGACTTCTTGGGGCCGGCAGACGCCTTTGCCGACTTCTTCTTGCCGCTCGACCGGGCGGTTGGATGGCCATCTGGGAGGGGCTGGGAGTGTGAAGTGGGCGCACTGAGGCCATTCTCGTTGGCGTCCTTGGCTAGGAGAGGGTTGGAGGTGAAGAAGGAGCGCTGTCGAGGACGGAGGGCGGGCGAGGTCTGGTGAAAGGCTCGCAGCAGGGGACGGGCGGTGGCGGCTGGTCTGGCGCTCGAGTGCAGGCCGCGGTTGAGGCCGGCGGCTATCTCTCTCTTAGGGATGCGCATGGTGGTAGAGATGGTGCCCTTGAAGCCATTGAAGGCGAGAGCAAAGTGATGGTGTATGCTGGGATGGGCTCACCAGCAAATACCCAAGGCAGTAGAGAGGTAGAAAGGTGACAGTCCTGACGTCGTGATGGGAAACAAAAAAGTAAACCAAGAGCCTTCAAAGGAGGTCCTTATCGTTATCGGCGCTCAGAGCACGGGGGCCTACTGCAAGTGGGGCTTAGAGAAGCCGTGACCAACCACATAACATGGCTCTCATTGCTCTTTGCTCTGTGCTCTGTGCTCTGTGCAGCGTCCTCGTCGATTATTACCGTGCTGCTTCCTCAACGGACGCAACGGCGATCTGCCGCTCTCCTAGCCTGTCGGGTGCAAGGGGGGAACCTCTACTGATTTCCATTCAGACGACTGGGTGTCTTTCTCGCTTTGATGTATTTCAAGGTTTGAAAGCGATATCCGTCATGACACTCCTCTCTCACCTGTGATGTTTTTTCTCCGCCAGTTGAGTCTGGCTCCACTTGAGCACATCAATTGCATTGGAACCAGATTTTGGACACCAAGTCTAGGGTAAGTTTGCAGCTAAATTCCAGAGAGGGACTCGCATGTCGACAACACTTCTCTTTTCCACCACGATAAGTGCAGGTATGCCACAAACTCACAACTTACAGTCTCCAAACAGACGACCACAAAGTAATACAGAACGTGTTCATTTTCGTACTGGTGGGGGGTTCCAGCGCCCAGGCCCATCTCTCAATCAATCGATCAGTTGATTCTGAGACCCCCCATCTCACCACAACTACGGCTCGACGGTCAGCCATTGGGCCGGGAATCAGCAACTGAGAATCATCCGGGGTGAGAACTACGTCAGCACGCATTGGGGTCCTCGACTAGGCTTTGATTTTAGGGGTCCAATGCGGGGGGACTGGCGCCGGATATGCATGTCTCTCTGTTTGTGTGTATGCCACGGACTAGTCTGTGTGTGCAACGCTCCGTCCTGAGCATCAATGGACTGGGGACCGCCAGCATTGAGACCTTCATTGATCAGGCTAGACGCGCGCTGGTCGGCCGAGAGTCTGTGTCCTGCGAGGCACGTTGCAGAACTGTACGGTCCCAGTCCTGAACACAGTACTTGTATGCAATGCATCATGACCGAATGATGGTCAGTCAGGCAATCAATCTCTCACACAGTCTACTGTCAAACTGCCTGCGTGGGCGCGCTGTTTGCTGCTTGTTTGCCCTACAGTGTGTGCTGATGATGACTGAACAACACGGTTTGAGTGTCCTTCCTTCCCCAGAATCGAGATGCTAGGTTGAGACGAAAAGCGGGGTCTGGTGCCCGTTGTGTGAGCGTGTGTGAGCGAACTCGTGTGAACCAGAGTGTGAGAGGCGAAGTCATCACCCACCTAATGCACTCATCCAACCGCCGCTAGCCACACTCCTCCACACTCTGCAACCCACCATCCCCAGACTTTCAAGACGCCCATTTCGGACTCCTTAAGCCATTCTGGGCCCTGCAGGACCACCCTTATGATCATCACCCCACTGTCTGAGACCAGCAGCCGCCTCGCATGTCGTCACTGTGCCTAGGCCCCTCTGCCCATCCGTGAGCTAGCTACCAGTCTTCAGTCTTCATGCCCGTACTTGTAAGCCGAAACTCTCTTTCCTCTAGCTGCCGTCTTATATGAACTCTGTTCTGCCCTCATGTGCCCTCTCTCCTCGGTCCCCATGTAGTAGACCTTCATGTGGGATAGGAATAGAGAAATTGGGTGCTCTCAAACACATATCATCACCGAGTCAATCTTACTGCATTTTCGCTTAGTCGGCCTCAATAACGAACTCGCACAATGGAGACAGTACTCTGTGGGCCAATGACTTACAAAGCAGGGTTTCCAGGTCTGAAAACCGACATGGACCCCAAGGAACGCTTCTACAGGCACTTCGAAGCTCAGGCCACGGCCTTGCAGGAGGACATTGCAAACCTCGCCAACATCTCTCCAACCGGCGGCGAACGTAAGGATGCTACCGACCATGTCCTCAGTGGCATATCCAGGCTCACCAACGAGGTGTCCGACGCCTCCGAGTACGCGCCTCCTCGCGACCAGATGATTTACGGCCAGGTTTGTCCTATCTCCTGATATACAAGTTTGAGTTTCTGTTGGCGACACCACTTCTTACAACACCATAGGCCCTCAAAGCACTGCGAGAGCAGGTCAACATCCACAGCCGAGGGCTTGGCCCCAACACCGGCTTCGAGTTCACCCAAGCATCCAAAGATGCCTGGGTCGCAGCCGGGAACAAACCAGCTGCTGCCAAAGACGCCGACGCCGCCGAGGACAGCGACGCCACCGTGCAGGCCGAGCGGACAGACGCGGTGGGCGACCTCCCGAGCATCAGCGGGAGAACGGCCGCCGGCAAGGACTACAACGCCGAGATGGCGTCGCAGGCCGGGGCGGGCGTGCGCAAGCCGAGCTTCTCGCAGGCGCGCGACATCGACATCTCGAACCACCGCGGGATGCACATCATCCTGCCGGCGACGGCGTCGCGGGCCACGGCGTCGGGCACGCTGACGGAGCTGCGGGGCTGCGTGCTGGACATGTCGGAGCCGTTCAAGGCGGCGCAAAAGAAAGGCGTTCCTAGAGTGGGAGCCGCCCCCTTCGGCACGCTGGCCATCCGCAACATCTCCGGCAGCCTCATCATCGCGGGCCAGGTGGCCGGGCCCGCGCACATCACCGGCGTGCGCGACAGCGTGCTGGTCGTCAACGCGCGCCAGGTCCGCATGCACGAGTGCGCCAATGTGACTGTGTACCTGTGGTGCGGCAGCCACCCCATCGTCGAGGACTGCACGGGGGTCCGCGTCGCGCCGATTCCCGAGTCATTCCTCAAGAAGGGCCAGGACAACGGCGGGGCCAGCAACCAGTGGGACCAGGTCGACGATTTTGGCTGGCTCAAGGCTGAGCCCAGCCCCAACTGGCGGAGGCTGGGCGACGGCGAGGCCGGCGAGGAGGACCATCAGGCCCTGCCCGAGGAGTTCTGGACGAGCACCGTCAAGGGTGGGCCGAGTCTGAGTACTGAGGATATCCTGCGGTGTGCGGGCATCCACACCTGATTTTGACTTGCTTCCCTCGTGTGTGGGTAGACATCGTGTATAACAAAGGGTGGTTGGCACGGCGTTGGTCTTGTGAGCAAAGCATTGATTGGGAGTTTAGGGATACGGCCACCAATGATTCGTGGTTTAATACATCATCTAGCACACTCTTCACACCTGTGTCACTCGCACAACTACACAGCTTCATAGCACTGCAATAAAAAGCCTGGTGTTTTTGTTTATTTCATGATACGTAGTACGCGGCTTGCGCCGTGCCACCAATGTGTTTAGCTCTCTCGCAACCCGTGATTGAAGATATCTCTCAAGAGGCTCTTCCAAGATAGTAATGAGAAGCTCTTGCCGCGCCTGCCTGGGACTGTCAGCTTATCTTCCACGAAGCGCATCTAGCTGAACCACAGGCCATTTCAAATAATTATGCATGCCGTCTCACCAGCCGCACGCTCCTACAGCAACATAACCTCCTCATCAACGTCGGCATCCGGGTCGTCAGTGCCTTCGTCGTAGTAGCCAGCACTCTGCATATCCGGCTTATGAGAAGACGCCGACTCTTCCCTGATATCCGCCTCGTGCACCGGATCAGCGTCGACGTCAGTCTTGTTTTTGGCCTTGCGATTGAGACTGAGCCTGATCTTGCTCGGTGTCGCCTTTGTGGCTACCGATTTGCTGGGCGTTTTCGATGTCTTCTTTGGGGTTGCTTTCTTTGGCGCTGGTTTCTTTGGTGTGGCTTTCTTTGGGGTCTTGGTGGGCGGTGCGGGCTGGATTGGAGTTATCGACTTGATGAACCAGAGCTTGTTTCTGACCCTGCTGTAGTGCTGTGGGATGGGTATGCGCACCCAGCCATTCGTTTCATCCAGGCTGGACAATGCAGGAGTCGCACCGGTCGTGGACGCTGCTGGGGCTCGAGCCACTTCCTTGCCCTTGGGAGAAGGAGGTTGCGCGTCGAAATCCGAGAAGGATTGAGTGGGAAATTGGACTTGAGCTTGAGGTGGCTCAGTTGGGGGTTTTGTATCAACTTTTCCCAAAACAGTGCGGTCAACCTCCTCGGGCTCGATCTTCATCGTGGTCGGCAAAATGGGAGTTGTCTTTGCGCTGTGCCCCTCATGATGCTCCTCACAATACTTTTGATCGTGTACATCCCGGGTAACGGAGTCGTTCAGTATGCTGTCCCTCGACTGCATGGCGTCGATAGGCTCCGCAGAGGTAGCTTCCTTAGCTACATCCATTGCGATAGTGGCCAAGGTCTCCTGTGCAACTCCAGCTCCGCCCACGCCCTCATGAGGCTCCGCATGACCAAGGACATCATCACCCTGAATATCCTCAACAATCCCGACTGTCTGCGCGTCGGAAATATCCTTGGCTTGGCCGGAAAGGGCAGGAAGTCGGCGTGGAATAGCTGTTGAGGCGTCGTCATATTGACCGTGCGCCCCTGCTCGGTACACCACCTTCGCCCGACTTGCCGAGCCCTTCGTATCGCGCTGTGATGGTCCATCCGGTGTCATAGTCTGAGATGAACTCTGAGGTACATCCCCGGTAACATCGCCCTCGACACGCGTAGTAATAAGCCGGCCCTTGGGCGTAGGGGTAGCTGGCTTGCTCACTGGAGTATGAACTGCTCTCATTTTACCCTTTGATGCACCGGCCTCGTCACTCTTCCTCGCACACGAGACCGCAAGGCTATCCGCAGCAGCATCAGGAGTCGGAGTCCTGGGCGCCTAGCCCAAAGAATCTCCTCCGCCCTGCGCACCCGTCCCGCCCATCTCGACATCGGTACTCCCATGGCTGAACTGGATACCGAACTCCTTCAGCTGCTGCAACACTTTGCGCTGTTTCTCGATCTTCTCCTGCCACTCTTTTATCTCCACCTCTTGCTCTGCGATCGTCCTGTTGATGTCGGGCAGGGTGTGAACTGCAGCACGGGCGCGCTGGATCTTGTGCTTCAGCGGGTCGGTGGCGGCAGCGAGGTCCTTTGTCGACAATGTCTTGGTGTCGGAGCCATCACCCGGGTGGTTTGCACCTCCTGCGGGTGTGGAGCCTGGCAGGCCGCCAGCAGGTGTGTTGGCGCCAGGTTTACTGGAATCGCCGTCGCCGTTTGCAGCTGCGCCGTTCTTGTCCGTGTAGCGCAGTCGAGAGAGAATGGTGTAGAGCTCCGAGGGGACGTCGACCGAGTCTGGGGTGAGGCCGCCGGGGAGCGCGTGCGGATTCGCGTCTGGATCCGATGAGGATGCCATTTTACTGGAGAGACGATCGCAGAGGCAACGTTGAGGAAGAAGTATTATTGGTAAGAACAAGTTGTCGCAATCAAGTCAAGCTCTCTGCATAGCTACTAGGTAGGTAGGTAGTTGGTGGGCAAGTTAGCGCAGGCGCCAGTGACTGAGGTACGTACTCAAGTACCTTGCGACGTGCTAAGCTGATGGGTAAGGGGAGCAAAAAACCCTCGTATGACCAGGACAATACTTGGGATCTATCTCACAAAAATTGACTGCACACGATCTAAGCCTACACAGCCAGGTAAGAAGGTAAGACTGTGCCGTGTCAGGAGATCATCTCATGGTTCACGTAGCCACTTGGTCGATTTCATTTGGTCGATTTCGACACCAAAATCAGGTACTTCCGGGCTGAGAGCCAAAGGTGCACAGCAAGTCTGTGTTTTGTGGTCCCAAATCATATAAATATATCAACAAGGGACAACGGGCTCCAGTCTGAAGCTATGGTGGACCTTGGTGTCGATCGGTGACCTGCGACGTAAAATGCGTGCTGGGCAGGCAAGCTGGCTGGGCTTTACGGACGGGGTTCAGCGAGGAGACTGAGCTTCGGTCAGCGAGCGAGCGAGTATTTGCCCTTGAGGAAAACCCAGTCGAGGGGAGTGAGCTGATGCCCCGCGGTGATGTATTAGCACTGTCTCTTCCCCTTGTAAGTATGCGGATAGGGCAGTGCTATCGCTTTCTTATCGCCAACCGTACGGTCCAAGAGACGCAGGAGCGACGTCAGGTCATGCCAACCTGGACCCCCACCACCGACCAGAAATCACTCAACAAACGTGTGACAACAATTAGATCGAACCAGTTTGAAACTTCGAGTATTCCTATTTAAATCTCGCACTCGCTCTGCGAACACTTATCCTTTGCCCTGCTTCTAGAGTACCTCAAGAATCATAGACTATCCCTATGTCCAAGAGAAAGGCCGACGAGATGACCAAACCAGAGCAGAATGCTTGTCTAAGTACGTCCGAGTTCAAAACCCCCGCTGCTGAGCAATCCGGACATCTCATCAACCACTCCTCTTCCTACTTTTGCCAGCGCATCAATCTCTCTTGAACCACCGCCGACGACGGACAACGAGAGAAAGATGCAAAGGCATAATCAGAGGAAGAGGAAGAGGGGGGCACTGGCCGATGGAGAGCAGGCTCCCAAGGAGCGGCACAGCAGCTCCAGCAGCTCCCGCACCCGGCCAGACTACCTTCTCGTCTCATGTCTCGTCCTGATATACCTCGAGCTTTGCTGGCTGATTCTAATGCTTCTGCGCACTTACAGTCGTCATTGACGGTTGGGGAGTCCCCTCCGCCGATTCTCCCAAGAATGGAGACGCCATCACCAACGCGAAGACCCCCGTCATGGACGAGTTCGCCAAGAGCGCCACTGGATACACTCAGCTCGAGGCTTCTTCCCTTGCCGTCGGTCTCCCTGAGGGCCTCATGGGCAACTCGGAAGTCGGCCACTTGAACATTGGCGCTGGCCGTGTCGTCTGGCAGGACGTCGTGCGCATCGACCAGACCATCAAGAATGGCGAGTTCAGCAAGACTCCAAACGTCAAGAAGACCCTGGAGGCTGCCAAGAACGGCAATGGCAGGCTGCACCTGTGCGGTCTCGTCTCTCACGGTGGTGTGGTACGTAAAAGACTCAGGGACCCCAGAGTTTACATGCCGCTGACAATATCCTCGCTATTAGCACTCTAAGCAGAAGCACCTCTATGCTCTCCTCGAGGCCGCCAAGGAGTACCAGGTGCCTGAGGTCTACATCCACTTCTTCGGCGATGGCCGCGACACCGACCCCAAGTCCGGCGCCGGCTATCTGCAGGAGTTGCTGGACACCATCAAGGAGCTCGGTGTCGGCAAGCTGGCCACCATTGTCGGCCGTTACTACGCCATGGACCGTGACAAGAGGTGGGAGAGAGTCGAGCTCGCCCTCAAGGGCTTGGTTCTCGGCGAGGGTGAGGAGAGCAGTGACCCTGTGGCCACTGTCAAGGAACGATACGAGAAGGGCGAGAACGACGAGTTCCTCAAGCCCATCATCGTGAACGGTGATGCTGGTCGTATCAAGGGTAAGGCTTTCAGACACATCAACACTTTAGTACCAGCGCTAACGTGTAACAGATGACGATGTCGTCTTCTTCTTCAACTACAGGTCCGATCGTGCGCGACAAATCACACAACTTCTTGGAGACGTCGACCGATCACCAAGGCCCGACTTCAAGTACCCCAAGATCAACAGACTCGTGACCATGACTCAGTACAAGGTCGACTACCCCTTCGAGATTGCTTTCGCACCTCAGCACATGGGCAACGTCCTGGCAGAGTGGCTTGGCAAGCAGGACGTTGAGCAGGTACACGTCGCCGAGACGGAGAAGTACGCCCATGTCACTTTCTTCTTCAACGGTGGTGTCGAGAAGGTGTTCAACCTCGAGACCCGTGACGAGTCCCAGGATCTCGTCCCATCCAACAAGTCCGTCGCCACTTACGACCAGGCGCCCGAGATGTCCGCGGACGGCGTGGCCAACCAGGTGGCCAAGCGGCTGGGCGAGCACAAATTCCCCTTCGTCATGAACAACTTTGCCCCGCCAGACATGGTCGGCCACACAGGCGTGTACGAGGCGGCCGTCGTGGGTGTCGAGGCCACCGACAAGGCCATCGGCAAGATCTACGAGGCCTGCAAGAAGGAGGGCTACATTCTCTTCATCACATCCGACCACGGCAATGCCGAAGAGATGAAGTTCCCCGACGGCAAGCCCAAGACCAGCCACACCACCAACAAGGTGCCCTTCGTCATGGCCAACGCCCCCGAGGGCTGGAGCCTCAAGAATGGCGACTCCGGCGTCCTGGGAGATGTCGCCCCGACGGTCCTGGCGGCCATGGGCCTGGAGCAGCCCGAGGAGATGACGGGCAAGAGCTTGCTCGTCAAGGCATAAATAAAAAAAGCGTTTTGTGTTGAGTGTGAATTGAATGATGATTGGCATGGGTAGCACTGGGGTTCAGGGGGTTCTGGGGGGTGAGGGTTTACGGCGGCATGAAATGATACACAGAACTGATAGACGACAAATAGACGGGTCACGCAGAGGTTGTCCCGGAATGAAAAGTTCTAACATTACTTGAGACTATTGTTTACTTTGTTTCTCGTCGCTGCGTAGTGTGTGTGTGTGTGTATGCTTGCTGAACAATCCTTCATGTCCCTACCATGTCAAGCAATAAGCAAACTTCACCTTGGGCCAAATCTATGAGCAAGCTTAGGGTCAAACGTTCAGCTCATTGTCTTGCTGTTTAACTGCTATATATAGCGTTTATTTATTTACTTTTTTCTTCAGCCTCCGATTCCATGTCAGACATCGACGGCATTTGCTTGCGGGTAGCGGGGAGACTGTTGAAGGACTTGAGAGCACTGTACATCGCACGTATGCCTCTGTGTCCATCAATAACCTGAGCATAGTTTAGTAGCAAAGCAGGCTCCGAATCGGCGGCACAGTGTCGCATCGCCAAACCTCGCAGCGAAGATCGATAACAATAGGGGAATACATGTCGGTGGCGCGTCTGGCACAGGGTGGAGCGCTTGACACAACATTTACGGACGAAAACGAGCCTCAGCCTGAGATGGCACAAGATAAGGCGGTCTCAGTAGTCTCGTCGAGGGGCATTTTGTGCGCTCGACTGTCAAAGAACGGGGTAGAATGTAGCACGGATCGAAAAAGGCTCGCAGTGCGGGATGAGACAGCATAGACATGGTGCAGTGCTGCGCGAGCGAGCTGGGACGACAGGACGAAAGCCCCGCCTAGCGCAGGCTTGATCGTGGGTATTACCGTGGACTTCATGGGGAGTTAGTTGTTCAAGAAGAGACATTGGCTGGCGGTGAAGAAACAACCCGTAGGTAAGGCGTTCGACCTTGCCGGTTGTGGCGCAGAGCCGGCGACATGTGTGAGATCTGGCATGTCGCCTCAATCATAAACAAGTAAGACAACAATCTGGTCGGGCCGTTTGAACAGGTTGTTTAGACGTCCACAGTTCGCGGCAAGCATCTCATGACCTGCTCTTAATCTACCATCAGTAGGTGAGACGGACTGCAGGTTGTGCATTTGCCAGGTCATCGCGTCTCTTCTCTCTTCAGGTTGCTGACAGCGCATTAGGCTGGAGACTGGCGCGTCTGGTTGGGTATGGGTTTCTGCATCTTCACAGTAGTAATGGCAGTGACCTCGCAAGCTTAGCTTGGCTTCCACCCCAGACTGGCGGTCGTCTGGTCCAGCCCAGGCTGTGGAGGACACCTCTTGCATAAACGACTAGGGGTGCCTGGGTAGGATTTGGAATCGCTGGCTGGGAGGCCGGTAGACTGGACGACGCTATCGTGAGTTTTCCGGGGCAGCTTCTCCGGAGCTGTGGGGTCTGGAGCCGAATGTGGAGCTCCGGGGGCCTCGCCGGGCAGGGAAAAAGCTCCTGAAGCTGGCAGGCTGGCCGTGTCCTGCACCTGGAGTCTCTGGACGCAGTGATTGATAATCTGATTTGGGATTCCGGAAGCAAATCTCTTCCAGCCTTTCGCTATGGGTACGGCACCCGACTGATTGGATTGACAACTGCTGATTCCCCAGATCCAGGGGAAGTCGATTGCTGCATATTGTGCGATCCTGTCGCGTTTTGGGGCGGCAGGTTGAGACAGGGGCATGCTCGCTCGTCACGCGGCTGAACCCTCATGGCAGTAGTTCCCGTGGAATGGGCGGTCTAGAACGGTCCACGTTATGTGCCTGGTCAATCCAGACGACAAAGAGAACGGTCTGGCCCTGTGTGAAGGCAGGCTGAACGCAGTCCTTAGAGAGATGTGAAGACTATATTGTACAGTGTATACCGATCCGAAAAGCTCCACTTAATCGGCGGCGGCGGCGACGACTGCGATGGCCGGGTACAAATCCATTCCCGACGCCGTCGATGAAGAGCGACACAAACGCCTTGACGTGAGCGACTCATTCCTCGACATGGATTACTTGATCGACATGAAAAACATCCGTTTAGAATCCAGGGCTCTGTGCTTATCTCGATCGATCCCGCCAATTCAGTTTTCAGGGTCTACAGTACCTGAACTTGCTCTAGTGTGGCTACGCAGATCGGTCGTCCCCCGACTGGGATTCTCTCCACGCACGCCACTAGGGTGTTGCCGATAATCAACTCTCCGGTCGCCCTCTGGCACCCACTTTTGACAGCGCCGATCGCCGAATTGGGTGGTCTGCCAATTGCTGACAAGGCAACAGACTGTGAAGCATCAAACCACTTATCGGCCTGTTTCTCCCCACAAAGGCGGTGACGGTCAAAGACTGTATCGCAACACAGGCTTGGACGAGAGAAAGGAGTTGCCGGTTGTATCTCGATCCGTCAGATTACCCAGGACCGTCCCGAACACTTGCCGCCTAAGACTCGAATCAGCTTGGCAGATTGTCTACCAGACAGATCTCCGAGCAAGAGCAGCATCGGAGACCTGCCACGTTTCATTCCTTCCGCAAGACAATGTTACCGATGCACTGCTTAACCGCGATGCCTCAAGCACACGTGGTGGTGGACGATCAATGCTCGGGTCTACCGCCATGAGCCGCTATGTGCCGCATTCCCTTCTTCTCTACGACAGATCCAACAGTTCAGAATGTCCGGATGACATCAAAAGGCGCCGTTGATCACTCAGGGGTAGTTCAAGTAGCTGCGCTGCAAGCGGAAATGCGGGAACTAGAGGTGCAACCCAACCGAGCTGTTGGGTGTTTACGCACAGAATCTCAAAAGTAAGAGACTGATCGGACACGTAGACCTGTTCGCTCGCGTAAAAAGCGTGACTTATGCACATTGGGCATAAACAGACGTGGTTCGGTCTCGTGACGCGGGTGCAGATGCCGGTGGGGCCTGGTTGAAAGCATTTGAAATGCGGGCTTCGAGTTTCTTTGCAGGTCTTTGGGTGAGCGGATTATCCTGCTTGGCTGACGATGACGCGACGTCGTGTCAGATTCCAGAGTAGGAGCACCGCAAAAATCGTCATCGTGTGGTCGACTCGGATGGGATCGAGATTGTTGTCTGGCGGGTCACTCGCTCGAAAGGGGGGAAAATACCGTGGCGTGGACGTGGGACCCGACTCACTGCCTTGAGTGAGAGAGGAGACCCTGTACACCCATCCAATCTCTCGGGCAAGGGGCAGTCACCGTACAACATCCGGAGTAGGAAACAGTGCCGCCATCAGACCTGGAGGTTCGCAAATGAGCCGCAGTGGTCGATGGTGAGGTCGGTTGTATGCTCGCGCAAGCTTGTGCGTCGTCGGGAGATTGTCACTGTTGACGGGATCTCAGACCCCGGCATGGATCGCAATTCCTCGCAGCTGACGGTGAGATGCCACAGCACGGGTGCAGGCTCAAAGTCAGGTCCACGAGCGGCTCTTCAGGGTCCAAGGGTCCTCTCGGGCTGTCAACTGTGTGTAACTGGCACAAGACAAAATTAGCGAGGGCTGGGATCAGCAGTAGGGCTGGGCGGGTTTTGTTTTTTTCTTTTCATCGAGTCTGGCGAGAGCGGTATTCTGGGCTTCCAGTGAGTGAGCGCGTGTGTCAGAAAACGTTCCGGGTTGTGTGGGCTGTGCGGACTGGCGGACTGGCCCTGGATGGTTGGCTTGGATAGGAAGAGACAGCGACGTCGATGACAGGCAAAACGGCGATCGAGAAGAGCGGCAGGTGGGATGGCAGCTCGTGTCTTTTGAAGCGCAAAGGCCCATAGAAGCTGTGCCAGCTGGGGTCGTCGGCTATGACGTAAGAATCAGGTCATGTGTGGGTGACCTTGGAGAGACAGCAACCATGAGTCGGTTAGGGGAGCACAACGATCGCCCTCGATGTCCTGACCCTGTTGCTGATGCAAGGTACTGTGCCGACATTGTTGTGTTACTGGGTGGCACATGTGTCTGTCCATCTGTCTGTCTGTCTGTCTGTCAGTCAGTCAATCAGTCACAGTCAAGCCGATGTTGTGCAGAGTGTTTGCGTCCAGAATAGCTGAGTATGAGTCTAGAACTAGAGTGTTAGTACTCTAGGCTCTGCCAGGTCCAATGTGGAAGTAGAAATCGAAGGGGTCCATCGAGGTGTGGTAGGACCACCCCCCGGGTGTGCTACCTATTACGGAAAGAGGTGCCCTGACCTTGGGCGATGAGTCTCGATCTTGGAATCCTTGTAGCCCGTTTCTCATCGTTGGCCACACCTGGGGATCTGAGCATCTGAGGTTTTCCACACGCAACAAAATCGGATCAAGGCCGTCCTGGCACTGGCTCCTGGCTCCTGGCAGCACAGTACAGATTACAATGCCGCGCCGGTGCCAGTGGTCTGTCTTCCTGTCTGGCCTGTCCAGATCATTCCAGAACCCAGCTGTCTCGCCAGAGAACCCCTGCTGCTCCTGCTGATGTTGCTTGCATTCTCGGCTCATCACAGTACAGTGCCCCCTTCACCCTTCTCTCGCTCACCCTAACTCTCTTACCACAACGGATCGCATGGCATCGTACATAGTACAGTAGTATACCTGACCGGGTAGCAGCAGAGAGACAAGAGGTACGCCACCACCACTACGACCACCACCACCCACCCTTCTCAATCTCGATGAGCATCGTGATTGCTCTTCCACCATGCGTCACGGCCTGCGCCATGCCTTGCAAGCCTGACAAAACACACCTTCCTCGCTCCCAGCTCTAACTCACCGTCTCGGCCAGGCTCACACTTATCTCTTCACATTCTGTAGCCTTCATACTCCTCATTTGTTGGAAGTATTATTGCCCAAATCGAGAAAAGAAGAGGTCCACTGCCAGTCTACCACCCCATACGCATCATCTTACAAAACCGTCACGCTTTCAAGGCCTCCCCCGCCTCACCACATAACACACTGCAACAAGGTACGAACCAATTGTCTCGCTTCTTGCGTCATAACGACCCTTCCCACTTCCACCCCACGGGCTATGATCGCCAGGGCCCTCGGGACTCTCATACGACATCCTCACCTGGTCCTGGTGGGGCCTATTTTTTTCTTCCCCCTCGAGGCGGCTTCTTTCACACCTCGCATAGCACGTCTCGAATAGTCGACAAGGCTGAATGAAGTCTTATCCCTCTTAGTCCTCATCACCACCGTCTCCTGTCCCCCAAAGTTCTTTGGGTTGCCTGTAACAGTAGTCGCCTTCCCCCAAACGTCCGGACTGAAGTGTTCGTGAGTCCTTGACCCAGCGACATACGACTTGCACTAGCTCTTTTGGCCTGGCCCGAGTGGGCTGCATTCATACCTGTCTATTAAGCTCCCTCTGGGGCGACGTCAAGTTTGGCGTACCGTCACGCACTGAAAACTGTCGCGTAGCTCGTCGCTGCGTGCAGTGTTCGGGGATTGCACGAAACCCACCACCAACCGAGCGTCACTGCCTGGTGTTCATCTGCTGATATTGGCACAGACGTCCGTCACAATCTGGTTGATACCCTCTATCTTCCAGCTGTGTTCACAAGATACGCTACGCTAGAGGTTCCTGGCATCTGTTGTGGCATGTCATCGACGCCATGCTGCATTGGTCTTTCTTGAATCACAGAACTCGGCAAAGTATCAGACACGATGGCCGACAGTGAGGGTAGAGCTCACGGGGTGCAGCCCGGGCCGGCAATTAGTGATCGCGGTCACCCAATGCCACGGAGGGCTTCACCTCAAGGGTCCGTTACCCTTCGACACCATCGATTGGCCAGAGACGCTTCCATGAAGCCCGAGACGGGGAGCAATGCTGTCTCCGGGAGCTCACCGAGGAGGAACTCATCAGGTGAAAGCCACGTCACGGGTCAAAGTGATCCTAAGAAATGGTTTGATCTTTCCAACAGCAATGCGCCCGCGGCATTTGACCATGCTACCATGGACGGTGCGTACAGTGCCTTCTTTGAAAGTGAGGTTATTGAGCTTGGCTGACTGACAGTCGTACAGTTGATCCTCCCTTCTATCAGAAACAGTCCGACTCATCCAACGAAGAAATGCTACCGCCTGCTCGTGAAAGCGCGTACCTTCATGTTCCGACAGCCCTCCAGTCTCAACACTTCAGCAGGCCTACCATGGGAGCGCAGAGTAGCAGCGCAGAAGATTACAGGAGTGTTATTGATGACCTGACGATCGAGAACAAACGGCTCAAGGATGAATTGAAAAGATACAGGCAATTTGGACCCGAGCTCCTCCGAAAAGACAGGCTTTTTGAAATAAAAGTGCACGGTTTGGCAGGGAGTAAGAGGAGAGAACTCGAATCAACGTTGCGTGATTTTGCAGCGAGCCTAGAGGGATCACCAGCGACATCGACGCAGCGAAAGAAGGGTTCGAAGCATGCAAGCCGACTCCAGGGATCAAGTTCAAATTCCAAGCACGCGTCTTCGTCGTCGTCACATTCGCGCCCCGTCGATTCCGCCTACGCGTCAATGTCGACTGGACGCAGCTCGACTGGGGCGAACGGCGCCTCCGCCTCGCTCGGCAGGCCGTCGTTCGGTCGAACGAAATCGTCTACCGATCACAAAGTGGAGAGCTACCTTCAAGACATCCCGGAAGGCTTGTTTCCACGGCCGGTTGCGATGACAGATAAAGAGAAAAAGAAGTTGGTAGTGCGTAGGCTCGAGCAGCTTTTCACAGGCAGGATGCCTGGGAAGCACAGGTTTTCACGCAACAAATCCTTGCTGTCGGTCCAAGAGCCAAATCCTAGCGCGGTCGTTGGTCCGCCGCCGCCCCAAGACTCTGAACCTAGGGAAGCTCGCATCGAACTGCAAGGGAAGATGACTTCAGCAGAGAACCTATCAGCTTCGAATTCCAACGGCGAAAATGAGACTGGCGGGGCTCGTACGGGCAGTGGAAGTGGTAGTAACGAGCACAGGGGACAGGACACCTCGCCACAGGCCGACGAACTCGCGGAGCAGAGGGCTACAAGACCTCGAGACCTAGATCCGGATCGGGTTCAAGTACCATCAGAGAACATGCAATATATCCGGCATCTGGGTGTCACGGCTCCGAAAGACCTTGAAGAGACCAGGTTCAGGCCGCAGGACGTCTCGATTGATGCAGAAGGCTGGATTCATCTCAATCTTTTGTGCAATCTGGCACAGTTGCACATCCTAAATGTGACCCCTAGCTATATCCGAGCGGCAATCAGCGAGAGGTCTGCGAAATTCCAACTCTCCCGTGACGGTCGAAAGATCCGTTGGCGTGGTGGCGTTGAAGGGACGAAGTTCAGCAGCGACAGCAGCGGAGACAACTCGCAACGGAGTCCCGAGACGGACGTCACAGATGGCTCGAACGAGGATGGGCAGAGAAAGAGACAGAGGAAAAGCGAGTCGACTTCAGACCCCTCGAGCCAGGCCAAGCTGGGCCCTCAGAATTCAACACCCTCAGACGGCTTCCACTACAAGCCTCTCTTTCTACACAACCGTTCTTCATCTGCGGAGACCTCCATGGATGAGACGGGCTCGCAGGCGTCATACGGGGCTGTGGAGCACAGCAACTTGAACTCTCGGTCGACAGGTTTCGTCAGTGGGTCCGCATCTTCACCCAGGAAGAAGCGCCGCAACGACGGCGCAATCATCTACTACAACGGTGCACCATTCTGTACCGATCTCTCGGGTGATCCGGGAGATATATCGCCTACCACATACTTGGCGTCCTCGACCCAGGACCAAACTTCGAAGAACAGTGGAGTAGAGTCCCCTGGTCTGACCCGCACCATCTCCGGCTCATCTCTCCCGTTCCGACCACTTGTCGATGGTCCCGAGTACACAGATGTGGACATGGATCAGGAGCCTGAGCTGGTCAATGACGATGGAGAGCTGTCAGACAACGAGGCCGACTTCAACTTCCCCTGGTGCAGCGACCCTGGGACGCCCCAACTTAGGCCGCTCGAGCCTCAGCTGGAGCCATGTGGGCTCGGCGGTGTCACTCCCGAAGATCACTTCGCCATACTTGTTGTGACCCAACAGCCCATCAAGAGTTCGCAGCGCGCCCCGCCTCCCTTGGTCCGCTTAGGGTCAAACGAGACAGCGGAGTCAATCTGGAGCAGAATCGCCGCCCTGACAGAAACTTCATCACACCCGTCACCCCGGCGTCCTGATCACCCGCCTTGTGTCCCAGTGCAAGTTGTTGCTCAGAGATACAAGGCGCTCAAGCCGCTGCCTCTGCCTCCGCCCGCAATGTTTTACCCTCCGTTCACTGAAACCACTGAATCGGAAGACTCAGGTTTCGAGGATGGTTCCGAAGATGAGGACGACGACTCAGACGTCAATATGGACAGCTTCGAAGCCATCTCACAGCGAGTGAACCCAAAACAGTCTGACCAGGATTTCCTCATGAGAGGCGCTCCGAGGTCCGACTCCGGCGACGAGGACATGGGCGGCCTCAACCCGAAGATTGCGCCCAAGGCATCGTTCGCTCCTGGTGTCCGCAAGATGTCTCACGGTTCCAGCAGGCCCGGTCGAAGTCTGATCCAAGGCCAGGATGTGCATCCAGATAGTTCCGGTGCCACGGCAGGGGGGGAGGCCAGTGGCTACAGCAGCAGTGAGGAGGATGAAGCTTAGACATATGTCGGGTTGTTGGACCTGTTTGTTACTTATACTGTGCATGCGGAAAGAGTGTGTTTTGGACTATTTGTTGGTGTTTTTTATTTGTTTTTTGGCATTCTTAACGGCGTTGGGATTTAATCAGTTTGGGAACGGGCTTTGATCTCGGGGCATGATACCATTTTGTAGCGAACTGTTGTCAAAAGTCTAGCGAAATCTTTCTTGCCATGAGGCATCAAGTCTAGCGTTGTGCAGGATACTATCGGGTTACAGGGAGGCGAAATAGACGCCTTAGTCCTCATATTTGAGCGAGTGCACACATTAGCGAAATACCACGTCTGTCTGCCAATCTACCCGATTCTCTTCGTGAACTGTAGTACAAATACAAACCACAACAGCGAGGGCCAGCCGCTGTGAGCCGCTGTGAGCTTAACTGGACCGTGTGAGGCTTGTGCTCAGAACAGAGATGTTCCCAGTGTCCGGGGCGGGCCGGCAGGTCAGAGGGGCGGGCTTATGGCAGACCCCTGGGGAAGCCGACCCGTTACATGCATATGGCCTACATATCTACATAGAAGGTAGTCTGGACGCAGGGATTATCATGTCGAAGCTGCCCCACCATGAAGCTGCCCTGGCACCACCGCCACGGGCAGGTGAGCTCTGGGGAAAACCAACATCTGTCGCTGCGCACAGGTCGGACCACTGCATCTCTGTGACAGACCAAACACAAGGCGTCAACATGGCAGAAAAAGGGAAGACGGCTGCTCTGGGGTAACAATTCCCCTTCCCCTCAACAAGAAAACTAAGCAATCACTACTTGCAGGTCGCTGACGACGAGAGCTTTCGCCAACAGGAGCAAGGACACCCCCACCAACCCCCGCGGCATACCCTATGCGCCGTTCGTCGACAGGGTAGAGGACTATGTGACCTCGCGCGCCGAGACCGAGCCCACGCTGCGGAAGTTCCAGGAGATGATCGCGTGAGTCGCTGAAGAACAACGGAGGGGAAGGCTGCAGGGGGGGCCAAGGACAGGCCATGGCTGACTTGCGATGCTCGCACATTAGGAAATACCAGTACATGGAGTCGAACATGCAACGGAAAGCGGCGGGCCTCCAGGACAAGATACCAGACATTCAAAAGACGTTGGAAACAGTCCAGTTCCTCAAGACGAGAAAAGTATGTCGCCAGGCCCTACCTGCCCGTTGGCTGATCCAGGGACCTGTGGGGAGGGGGCTGACAGCGAGAACCAGGACGAGACGGACCCGATCGAGACTACCTTCGAGCTGAACGACACGTTGTTTGCCAAGGCTGAGGTGCCCCCCACCGACGAGGTGTACATATGGCTCGGTGCGAACGTCATGCTGGCATACCCAATGGACGAGGCAGAGACGCTGCTGGTTGAGAGGCTGGCCAAGGCCAAGAAGAGCCTCGGGGATTGCGAGGAGGATGCGGAATTCCTGAGAGAACAGATCACGGTGAGTAGACCCTCAAGCCGTCCCCCCTCCTCAATTCTTAATCCCATGACTGTCTATACTCACCATCATGCTAGACCATGGAGGTTGCGACAGCACGAGTGTACAACTGGGATGTGGTGCAAAAGCGGAAGGAAAAGGACGAGCAGGAAAGCAAAGAAAAGGAAGAAAAGAAGTCCGGCGGTGGCTGAACCGGCCGCGCAAGGGAACCGGGAGTCTCTGTGCAGAGAGATTTCGTTACCGACCCGTCACGGCAGCCCCCACCAGAAGGGCGCGGACGAAGACCGGGGCGCCTCGAACCACGCGCAGGCTTGTTCCACGGCCTGGGAGACCGGTGGATAGGTAGCCCGAGCGCCAGGACGGACGGCCGCGAAGAACATATGGAGAGGTCGCGGCGGATGGCGAGGTGGCTTGAAGTAAATAGATACCACAATGCTTTCCCTGTCATCTGCTTGCCGGCGTGCTACCATTTTGTGATGGTCAAGGTGAGCATCTGAACCTGCTCCTTCCGAGTGATGTCCACGGAAACAGTCGAATCTGGGAGTAAGACGGGCGTTTCGCATCACGCCGGAACGGCCTCTTGTGTACAGACAAATCACATTGGGTAAAGGGAGCCTGCTCACTCAGCGTACGACGTCGAGCCTTTGGAGGTTGACGTCAGCCGTCCCTGCTACGTATTACACCCCCATGGTCACACACATGATCCGTTCGAAGCCAGTGTGGTCGAGCATGATGCGCCACGCTTTGATGACAGGCTGTCGCATGGCCTTTCATTGTGGACACCAAAGACTAATTGGGATCAGCCGATGTCGTCTCCTCCTGTGTGCTGAGCCGTGAGGTACGTACTGCAAGGCCTGATTTGCATGTGCCCTGTTGCAGGACTGTGAGTGGTGAGCTGGGCTGGAGGTGTGGATGTGATGCTCGTGGAGACCGGGTCTGTGCCTAGATGTACTGTGCCGGGCAGGACTGTCGACAAGTCAATTAGACTACGTAAAATTCGATATCCAAACTATCACTGAGAGCTGTTCCATTCGTTAAGACTAAAATGCATGTTCAGACTCTATTCTCTCTCATTCTTCCTTTGCCTTCATTTTTTTGTTTTTCTTTGGAATTGGCTACTAATCATGTACTAGATCAGGTGTACTTTTGCACATAGTTCCTTGATTTCTTACCTCGACGGGGGAGGGTTTTGAAGCATTCAAGAAAGTCGTAAACACAGACCAAGTCCAGCAAACTTGAGGAGAAATAGGGTCTCATCTATTCATTCTCAAACTCCGGTGAAGTAGCAAGTTCAGCTGCGGGCAAGGATGAGACTCTGTGACTCTGTGACTCTGTAGTCTCGGGGCTCACTGGTACGGAGATCTGGTTGAAGGGTATCGATACGCACTTGACAACGACTGAACATTCTCTTGTGCAATAAAAAGCAAAATTAAACTGTGGGAAGGCTGCGATTCGAACGCAGGACTACCCTGGAAACCTGAGGGCTGCTCTACCCAGCTAAGCTACCTTCCCATTGCCTCAAATCTTCATCATTTGCAAGGCCATACAAGCTTTGGTCATTTGTTGATAATCCATGGTTGAAAACAGAGTTAACAGCAGGCTATGAAAAAGAAGCCCCGATACTATTCAACAAGTCCCAGCAGGAAGAGGAGCCCAGACTAATCAGCAGGTTAAATAATTTTGCGTATCTGTAAAAAACCAAATGTAGCAACCAACAGCATCTTCATTATTCAAATAGGGCTTTTCAAAAGCTTCAATATGAGATGCAGCACCAAACAATAGCACAACAAGGCAATCATATGTTAGTATTTTACGCATAACAGAACAGAGCCTTGAGTCCAGAGAACATGTTTGTTAAATGAGTTTACTGTCTTCGACAGATTCTCAAACATCTCAGTTTAATTTGTTTCTACAACAAGGTATTTTGACAAAGCTTGGTGTCATTTGAAACAAAAGTAGCGCTCCTTTTTTTTTTTTTTTTGTCATGGTGATAGTCCGCAATGCAGAAAGATGGTTTCGAGGACCAAATGACTAGAAGCAACTTCTTGCTATTTAATGCTATCTTGTGACCAATTCGACCATTACCTTACGGCTCAGCATATAGTTCATCGTGGCCTGCGTCGTCGAGGCCCAGACACAAACCAAGAAATAACCTATTCACCCTTTTAGATCCCCTGGCTTCTTACTTTTTCTTTGAGCGTCTCTCATTTATTCCCAAGACAACACAAAGCTCGAAGCCCAAGCTTTTAACCAAGAAAATTGAAGAGATCTGTGGGCAATTTGCTTCGTTCGTCAGCAAGAAGTCAAGGCTAAGAGAGTTGCTGAGGTAGGCCAAAGTAATTTTTAAAGGTTGAACACTACCCACTCGAGCATATGCAACAGAATCGACTTTTAAAAATTGTTATTGGCAATAGCAACCCGCCGACAGGACATCCACTGGAAGGCCCACAGATCATCATCAACGACATGAATGATCCCGTCAAGCTCAAGGATCTTGGGCAAAAGGCCGGATGGGTTGATTGCCCGTTCTGCAATAGACAAATGGAGACCCGGATGGAGAAGACGGGGCGCAACACACCGAAGTGAGAGTGTCCCCTTTTTATCTCGCAAAGCAGTTATATCGTTATTTCGGTAACCATATATTAATAACACCCAGGGTTGAGGGTGCATTAAATAGACCCTTTTTGACTATCCTTTTGAACCTTGTCGAAACGGTGGCCGGTGTTCGCTATTATACATATTGTCTTGTTGAAATGTTGGAGCCCTTTTTAAATTGGGAGGGTTTGCCCATTGTTCGCTAATCAGAAATTTACCCCAAGTCTATGTGTATTCCGTGGCAAGTTGAATGGCATGGGGCAATGAATTGGAAAAAGTGGGCGAGCTCGTTGGTCTCACTCTGTATCTTCCATGCGCAGCAGGAAGAGGAACAGCGCTGAAGGATCGAGCCACATACTTCAAGTTGCAGCATCGGAAACCTCCGTACACAGCGCTGGCGACAACCCTCGCAGATAGATGTTCGCCTTCGATATGAGCGAGTTCAAATGGGATTTGTGCGGCGGTGGACCTGCCATCAGCCCCGTTGCTCCGAGAAAACCCCGCTTACAAGGCTGTCATGTAGATCTACGCAAGGTAAGGAGGAATGACATGGGGTACAATGGGGAGAGTGGTGTATAATTTCCGGCTTTTCTTGACGACGCCACAAGCGGCTTTAAGGAGATGAGGGATTACGAGGTACGGTGACGGTGGTACGTGTGCTGATAACATCTCAGGCCATTTTTGTACTATTGAAAATCTGCACGCTGTAGTTGCTGTATCCGTACTGACTTTCCGTATGCATCGTTTGACATGGAAAAGCAAACCTAGGTAAATTGACACTTTTGCTCTGGCGAGACCGAGAATCATGTAATGGGCCTCATGATATCAAACTACGAGGGAGACCAATGAGAACAATAAATGCATATATATAAGCCCAGCCATGAGGATGCAATCCAAAGTACACGTGTATGTGCATTAAGGATGAGCATGTGAGTTGTATAAAGAGAATCGAGCTGGTGCCACTGCCCTGACAATCTTAACTTCGGCATGGTAAGAAAACATGGCGGTGGGTGGTGTGGGGACGGAGATTGACAGAAGTAATTAGTCGGAAAGAGGGATATTGATGAATTGTGAACTAGACTAGAAGCCAGATACTCTGATGGCAGACACAACTAGCTAGCTATAGATAGTCTAGATGTATGGGCGAAGAGCAAGGAAGCTGGAGCTGGTGCCGTGCATATGCGTGCATGGACGGCTTCTGTATTCATAGACAAGATCTGGATTAAGACCAGGTCTGAACCAAGATGGAGTACTGTATGTAGTACAGATGTGAGATGAGATGAGATCTGGAATGGGGCCCTGCCCAGCCCAGCCCTGGCCGGCCAGCCTGCCGGATGATACATAGTCCAACATTCTGACTGGGCAGTCCCCTAAAGAAGAAGAAGCGAAGCATGGAAACAGGCCTGGGGCAGTGCAGGATTTTGAGCTCGACGCCAAGGAGGAGCAGGGTGGAGCAGCGGTTGATGACGTCCCCTCCCCGGCCGAGACCCTCTCCAGCAGATCCAGTTGCCCCCCCACCACAGACAACATCAGACGGCCCAAAAACGGGGTGGCCTCAAATTAAATAGGAGAACATCACAGCGTCGACGGCCGCCTCGCTTGCTCCACCACACACCCCTGGACATTCTTTCTGGACAACACCGCTTCTTTCTTGGACTCCTACAGCTTGGCCTCCTGAGAGACCGTTCCAGTCCTGGTCTATTTTCTGGTCGCATCGGACAAGGCAAAAGACAATACTTGGCCTCGACATTCCCATACGCCTTTTCCCTTTCTTCCATCCCATCCCACCCTTCCTCTCCATCATCACCCCGCCGACTCTGCACCCCGTTGCACAGCTACTATATCTCTATCCACAATCATGGCTGCCACAACAGGAACCGCAGGCATCGACCTCGACCCCAAGTACGATGACTTCGACTTCCCCATCGTTGCTCCCGTCAAGGCCAACGGCCACCCTGGCCACTTGACCGACGAGCAGAATGCCGCAGTCAAGACGCTGCGGGAGTCGCTCGAGAAGCAGGGCTACACTGATCGCCTCGACTCCTTGACGCTGGTATGTCTACCTTGCCCTCGATCTGACGGACACGGCAATGAAGCAAGGCTGACTTTGTGACCTCCTAGCTGCGGTTCTTGCGCGCCCGGAAGTTCGACCAAGCTGCCACTGAGAAGATGTGAGGATTCCCCCCAACACCCGAAGCCCAAGACGATCAAAAAGGAGAATGGTCTGTTAACCTGCTGCAGGTTCGTCGATTCTGAGAAGTGGCGGAAAGACACCAAGCTGGACGAGCTGCTGCCCACCTGGGAGTACCCCGAGAAGGAGCAAATATTCCAGTACTACCCTCAGTACTACCACGGAACCGACAATGTACGCTATCCCTCGTGCCCATGAACGCTGTTACCGGCTATGCCGTGCCCAAGCAGTCACTGACATCTTTCTTGATCTGCAGGATGGCCGCCCAGTCTACATCGAGCAGCTCGGCAAGGTCGACATTGCAGCCATGAACAAGATCACCACCTCGGAGCGCATGCTGACCAACCTGGCCGTCGAGTACGAGCGCGTCGCCGACCCGCGTCTGCCCGCCTGCTCCCGCAAGTCCGGCCACCTCCTCGAGACATGCTGCACCATCATGGACCTCAAGGGCGTCGGCCTCGGCAAGGCCCCCTCCGTCTACGGATACCTTAAGTCGGCCTCCAACATGTCGCAGAACTACTACCCCGAGCGTCTCGGCAAGCTGTTCGTCATCAACGCCCCCTGGGGCTTCTCCACCATCTGGGGCGCCATCAAGGGCTGGATCGACCCCGTCACCGTGCAGAAGATCCACATTCTCGGCAGTGGCTACCAGAAGGAGCTGCTGCAGCACGTTTCCGCCGACAACCTGCCCAAGGCCTTTGGCGGCACATGCGAGTGCCCCGGCGGCTGCATGTTCAGCGATAAGGGCCCATGGAAGGACCCTCAGTACGCGAGACCCGCTAAGTGGGAGAAGAAGGCGGACGGTGCCGCTCCCGCTGCCACCACCACCATTGAGACGAACCAGGACAACCCTCAGGCTCCGGTCGCTGACAGCCAGGCGCCGGCCCCTGCTGCTGCTGAGGAGGGCGCCAAGGCTGACGCACCTGCGCCCCAAGCTGCATAGAGCATTTTTGTGTAGCCTGTCATCGTGGTGTTTGGGGGTTGAGGATCTGGGAGTCGTACACATAATTGTTGGGTTTGTTCAATAGTGTGGAAGCGTATGGGTAGAAAGAAGCACGGGAAAAGGGTGCGAACATGGTGGCATAAAGAGGTGCCTGCGTTTATTATTGCGCAAAAATACAAGACCCGACGAGGTCGAACTTGTTAGACTGCTGTCTGCTGTGTCCAGCTGACCATACTACATTCACGTTGTGAGGAGCAAATAACACTGTAGACAAGCCTTGTAATGAGTGGAAACCCGTAGCCAATCACTCGCGTATCAGAGTAGGACATTGATGAGTTCAAGAAGTGTCCATGATTGAAAAGTCGCCTTGGTATCATGCCAGCCGTAGAACCCCATGGCTTCCACATGTGGCCAGCCATTTCCAAAACGCCAGGAACGCCAAACATGCTTGGTAAGTTTGCCTACCTCTAAAAGACAAGATCACCTCTCCGTAACAACATACTCGCCAGCAACCCTCGCCCTCTCCATCTTGGCCACCGTGGCAGGCATCTCCCTCTTCAGGCGCCCCAGCGTCTCGACCACGCCCTCGTAGCTCGCTTCCACGCCCGCCTGCCGCTCCAGCGGCCCTATACCGTCCAGTATAGTCTTACTGCCGTTCTTCCTATCCTCTCCATCCTCCTCCTGATATTGCCCGCCGGGCAACGCAGCAGCAGCAGCAGCGGCGGCGGCATCCAACGCTTTCGCGAGCGCTTCCTCGTCCACGCGCACGCCCTCCCAGAACCCGTCGGCGTAGGTCTTGGCCGCCGCGGCGGGCACGCACCGCTTGAGCGCCGCGATCTCGCGCATCAGGTCCTCCTCCTCGCGCGCGAGCTCCTCGACGCGGGCGCGCCGCCGCGCGTCGAACGCCTCGTACTGGACTTCCTCCTGCGGCTGGGTGTCGCCGCCGCGGCGCCGGAGGTTGCGACCCGACGAGGATGATGTCGCGGGTGATCCTAGATACACGGCCGGGAAGGTCTTGGCGTCGAGGTCGAAGCCGTTGATGGAGAGGTTGGGGGCTGCGAGGGTGAATGTCTGGGAGATGTACTGTGGCACGACGGGTTAGCTTGGGGGTCTGGTCGGTCGGGATCAAGCAAGGGCTTTTCCGAAATTGGGGATTGAACCAAGAAAAAACACGCGTGTGCGCGCGTGAACGTACATCGGTGACGAGCCTCTCGATCCTCACGCGCAGCTCGTCCTCGCCCGCGGCGGCGTCGTCCTGGCCGTCGACGGGGGGGAACGCGGCGTTGATGTGCTCCTCGGCGGCGCGGCGCACGTTGTTGATGAGGAAGGTCAGGTCCTCTGGGGACTGCAGCTCGATCTTGCGGTGCGCGCCATCCATCACGTTTCCGTTGTTGCTGTTGCTGCTGTTGTTGGTTGACGAGCTAGCATTTGTTTGTTGTTGTTGTTGTTGTTCTTGGTCTTCGATGTTCTTGTACGAGGAGCGCCTTCGAGCTGGCTTGTTCATTTCTATCTACCTTTTTTATTTTTATTTTTACGAGGATATATGCAATGTCCCAAAATTTGTACGGTACGTCAATGTCTCATTATGCGTTCCGAAAAAGGAAACGAAATATAAATTCTGTACCGCAAGGCTGGATCACTCCGTCGTGCCTGTCTTGAGGACCTGTCGGCGCTTCCGCCACCACTGTCCTCCTACCCTTAGTTACGGCCGGTAGACTTGGACTGACTGGTTCTACCCGCGCACCGCGTCGAGCGTGGCCTGGGTGCCCAGCCCCAATGCGGGTCGTGCGTGACGGCGCTAAGTAACTGACAAGTACCTAGGCCCTGAACTGGGCCGAGACCGGCGCTAGCTGGTTCTTATCAGTGACCGCGGGGCTCACTTATCAGCAGGTAAGGCTGGGGCGGGCAACGCCAAAGTGGTTGCAGCTGTGACATGGGATTGCTGGAATCAGGTTTCGTCTTAGCCGGGCAGACCTGAACCATCAGTGCAGCCGCACAGAAATGGGATGCTTGGCTGTGGATATCGTGTCCTCCAAGCATTTTTTGGTCTCAAAAGTCTCTCATTGTTGGAATACGGTTTTCTTGTCTGCTGCAGGTACTTCGAAGGACCCGATCAATCCAACCCGACAACTCACACTCCCATGTGACGACGTCCGGTGTTCTGGATGGGGGTTGACCGGTGGGCTGATTAACTACGTTACGAATGACAATCTCCTGCAGAATATTTTGAAAAATGTTGGAAAGATGTACGCAAGATGTCTGCCGAGCACGCCATTATAATGCAATGCCATGTGATTGTTGTATCTCTTCCTGGAGTACAGTGTCTGAGTGGAGTTCCAACAATGTCTTATGAGCAGTCAGACGCATACAAAGCACTATTCTGTCTGGCTAGAACTAATAACGACCAGGCGACCGTGCTCCCCGTTGTGTCCATGCCCAAAGAAAAACAAAACGCCCCATCCAAGAACCCAAACACTAAGACCATGAAGTTGCATGAAAGACCGCCGTGGGGAATAGTAAGATACTACCTAAAAGGAAAATGACTCCCGGCTTCCATTCTGTAAACATGACCCTAAACCCCTGCTATGGTGGTGGCTGTAGACGTGAGCGCATCCTCCAGCGTTGCTTTGCCGGAAAGTCTCTCGTATTTCAGTCCGACCCGATGCCTCGAAGGGAAAACAAAGGACGACCATCCAGTGCGCCTGTGAGGGTGAAGACAAGTATCCTCGTGAGAATGACCGTTCTAGAGCCGTTTGATAATGGAAATGCCGAGGAGAGCCGACCCCAAGGCTAGTTGCAGGGGAACATGTTCCGGATCTCCTCATCCGTCAGGGTAATCTCCTTGACGGGCTCGCGCTTGTTCTCGAGGGGCGTATAGTCGTAATCAATGTAAGAGGGCAGGAAAAGCTCGGGATTCCATTCAAAGCCCTGGCTGGTGGAGAGGTAGGAGATCTGTTGAAGGAGCCGTGGTCAGTCTCGTCCGCGCGGCGATCATGCCCGGTCTCGGATGCTACTTACAAGCCGGGGTGGGCCGTCCTCGTCCCCGATGTTGATAGTGGTGGATTTGGACTCCGAGAGAGCGGAGCCTAAAGGTGAACACACGTCAGTACAGTACACAGTATGTGGTTGCCATATGACGTGACAAGGGGCCTGTGGGGAGACTGGAGGAGCCCGGTGCCAGCAATCGTGCAGCCGGTGACCCGACGATCAGTGAGGGAAAGAGTGTTGGGATTGACAACGCACTCAGGAGACTCTGGCGCCGCTCGTGCACCATCTTCTGTTTCTGGGCCGAGTTGGAGGACTTGGCGGGCGTGGAGGGCGAGGTCGAGTAAGTCGACGAAGACGAGCTGATGGGGCTGTGGGCCTTGGACTGCCTCTTGGATTGGGCGGGGATGTTGATGGAGGACGACATGGTGGCTGGTTGTTACCGGAAGTGCTGGCGAGGGGTCGGAGTCTGTAATAGCCAACGGTGTGGTGTTGAGAAGGTTTGTCCGGGAAGCGTGGGCTCACCGAACAACAAGCGGCTAGGATGAGGAGGGACCATCAGAGAGATGAGTAGCAGGCCGAGGCAGGCTGGAAGAAGGAAGACAAGATAACCGATGAATAGACGTGAAAGTATTAACGACGACGCAAAGGTGGAGGCCGACGACAAGTGAAGTGAAGAGTGCGAGGAAATCCCACGGCGGCGGGAATAGGCTGCAAGAAAGGAAACAGGGACAGGTTGAGGTGGTTAAGGTTCGAGAGTGGAAGTGAAGGTTGGAGTGTGGAGGATGAGTCGGACGAACAGCGGACAAGTGAGGTGACCAGTCGCAGTAGGCTCGTCAGTCACTCAGTCGTTCCTTTTGGTCCACCGGCCGTTTCGTACTGTACGGTGAGGTACTCCGTTATGTTAGGTGCCAGTCGGGGTACCTAGCTTGGAATCACCAGACACAGACTTACACTGTGGACTACCCAGGACCCTTACTTGGAGCGGCTAGCCCCAGAGGTGCCCCAGACGGCACAGCAGGCTTGAAGCAAGCAGCTGGGTATGGGTAAGGTATAGGTGCACTGGTTACGGGGAGCAAGGAGACCGCAGCGAGACTGCAACAGGCGGCAAACAGGCTTGTTAGACGTCTACTGTGTGGATATGGATAGTTGGTAGTTTAAAGGGCCGAAAATGGGACTGATGGAGTAATAAATAAGGCTCTCACCCAGGCAGATATCCGTCTACTGCCAGGCCGCCTTGTTCAGTCCGATTGATCTACTATACATGCAACGACTGCCTACCTCTATGTACGACTACGTGAGTCTCCGTCCGCAAATCGCCAGGCAGGCCACCACAGTATTGAGTCCATATGCATATGCATTTGCATTTGCATTTGCATATGCGCCCAGGTAGGTAGTGTTTGGTAGGTTGGCCTCTCACCCCTGACCGAACTGGCGATTTAATGTGGATATTGGATCTGATGCCTTGTTACTCACCCGGTCTGTTGGGGCAAATGACGGCCACCCTCAAATAGTCACCTTGGCCATCCAAGCCGTAGGAACCTCGCATTGAGAAACCACTTGCCTGTCTGGGTCTGGCGGTGCTCATAGACAGAGACGGAAAGACACACATCGTGACACATGATGGATGCTGGGAGGGCGGTTGTCTCAGGACTGCTACTGAATGAGGCATGGGTCTTGCAGCAGCTGGCCCGTCGCCCGTATCGTGCCGGCAGGGGTTGCGGGATAAGGCAACTTGCTCATGCTAGTAGGCACGGGGATTTACGGGCGCCTCCAGAACAAGCTGGGGCCGCGGATGCAAACATGGGTGGGGCCTAGAACTGCCAGCCAGCCAGCCTCACCTGTAGCTGCCCTGGCTGGCGAGTGAAGAAAAGATCCATGGGAAAGCACAGACCAGGTAGTCTAGCTACTGGAGGTGCAGAGGTGCAGAGGTGCAGACCTCCCTGCATGAGAGTGGTGGATCTGGTTGAGTCAGCAAGAGGCGTGTGGCCGCAAAGGAGCTGGCGTTGACGTTCGCGTGCCTAGAGCCCAGGCCAGAGCTAGGAACGACTTCCATCAGCTTCGCATCATTGAATAAACCCAAAACAACAACCTACCTTTTCGCATCACCGTCCCAGAACCACCTCTCTTTTGGTACGATCGGCATTAACCTCCCGTCTCCTCCTATCATCCCCAGTCGATTCTCCCGATCACACTTCCAAACCCGCAAAGATGGGTGACGTCTTGGTAGAAAACCCGGCCAGCCTCGCATCCATCAAGAAGCCGGCGCCGTCGACGATACCAGCCATCGACAACTTCGAGGGGATCGCCACAGATACCGGTGACGACTACGCAGATCTGAAGAAACTGCAACGGCAACTCGAGTACATCCAGCTGCAGGAGGAATATATCAAGGATGAGCAGCGCAGCCTCAAGCGGGAGCTCGTCCGCGCCCAGGAGGAGATCAAGAGGATCCAGAGTGTGCCTCTGGTCATTGGCCAGTTCATGGAGGCCATCGACCAGAAGTAAGTTGCTCCATCACCCTGCCCAGTGTGCACAACATACACACCTATCCTCAGCTAGCTGACATGATGCTGCGACAGTACCGGCATAGTCCAGTCCTCTACCGGCTCTAACTACGTCGTCCGCATCCTCTCCACTCTCGATCGCGAGCTCCTCAAGCCCTCATCATCGGTCGCGCTACACAGGCACTCCAATGCCCTCGTCGATATCCTGCCACCCGAGGCCGATTCCTCCATCGCCATGCTTGGTGTTGACGAGAAGCCCGACGTGACCTACGCAGACGTCGGTGGTCTGGACATGCAGAAGCAGGAGATCCGTGAGGCGGTGGAGCTTCCCCTGACGCACTTTGACCTTTACAGGCAGATCGGAATCGACCCTCCACGTGGTGTGCTACTGTACGGCCCGCCCGGTACAGGAAAGACGATGTTGGTGAAGGCGGTGGCAAATAGCACAACTGCCAACTTCATCCGCGTTGTGGGCTCAGAGTTTGTGCAGAAGTATCTGGGTGAGGGTCCTCGTATGGTGCGAGACGTGTTCCGGATGGCAAGGGAGAACTCGCCCGCAATCATCTTCATCGACGAAATCGACGCCATCGCCACGAAGCGATTCGATGCCCAGACCGGTGCCGACCGTGAGGTGCAACGTATCCTGCTCGAGCTACTAAACCAGATGGATGGTTTCGACCAGACCGCCAATGTCAAGGTCATCATGGCGACGAACCGTGCCGACACCCTCGACCCTGCGCTGCTGCGGCCCGGTCGTTTGGACCGAAAGATCGAGTTCCCTTCGTTGCGGGATCGCCGGGAGAGGCGGCTGATCTTCACAACCATCGCCTCCAAGATGAGTCTTGCGCCCGAGGTGGACCTGGACTCGCTGATTGTGCGCAATGACCCCTTGAGTGGCGCCATCATTGCTGCCATCATGCAGGAGGCTGGCCTGCGGGCTGTAAGGAAGAACAGGTACAACATCATCCAGAGCGACTTGGACGATGCGTACTCAAGCCAGGTCAAGGGCACGAGTGACGAGAACAAGTTTGAGTTCTACAAATAAGCGATGTTCGTGGAGGCATTGGGAGTCCGTCGACCGGGGGAGTCTTAGTGCATTGCAATGGATGACGATGGCATAGATGGCGGATAGGAGACAGTAAAGGATAGGACCCGTGATGGAACATATCATACGGCGTCTCTCCCAAATGTACAACATGATGATATTACTTGGCGCTTGCGCTCTGGCTTCCAGACTTCATTATCATTACCGCGCATTGGCGACAACCGCAATTTGAGAGCTTCTAGATCAGCCAGACTCGCATTTACACCAACAGTGCACCTGGCTGTTGTCTTTACTTTTTGCTACAAGCCCATGTTATGGCGACGTACCTCCATCTTCAAGTTGCAATGTGACTTAAGGACGCACTTTGATCCTCACTACGCTTAAGTAAAACCAATCCTAGTATCGCCCGCAGTAGACGACCAACAAGGCCCAACTCTTAAATTAACTATCATAGAGCACACAGCTTTTCCAGTCCAGCCAACCAGCCATCTTGGACACTATTGCGTCGCCTCAAGCTCCTCTCCCCATCCGTTCTCTTCTGACCACATTCCGCCCTTCAGCCACCCACAGACACACGTGCCCGGTAGGAGGGTAAATGGGTTTCTGCTTCATGTATCGCAAGCACGATCTTGCGTGGAGGTTTCCGCGGCCGGGTTGGTGATCCCAGCCGTGGGCTGAGTTGATTGTGTGGGATGGGTGTGTGATCCAGCGGTGATATATTCTGTTACCTGTCCCCTTGGCCGTAATGGCTGGTCTGGCGCGGGTGTCATGTCGTTTGACGTGTGATTTATTGACTTCTTACCTCCTTGTGAACGGATCGGAATAGTGATAGAAGAGGGTAGAGAAACATTCACACTTTCCCAATGTTGAACTCGACTGGGAGTGGCGGTTGGGCGTGGTGGTTTGAGTGAGCTAATAGCCTAGTAGATGAAAGCCGAGAGAGTCTGTGACTTGAGATTCCAATATGACATCTGTTCTACCTCTCAAGTCACGCATACCAGACCAGGGAGTCCAGCCTCTCTAGCTCAGACGACCAAAGCATACACTGGTAGATTTGGTCAACCTCCGTTCTGCAAGTTCCACAGAAACGCGGCGTCTCTCCTCGACACATCCAATCCAGACCCAGTCCACTGAGCGTGGAACCGCGAAAGACTCCCCCAGTGAATCAGAGGGAGCCATCGGAGACCGACAGATGTCCGGCGAGCTTCAACCATGCCACCGTGGTACCCTGGTACAGCGACAGACCGCGTCAAGTCGGATGCTCATTTCGCCCGCGGCGCAAGGCCGTTCCCAGACTTCGCCGCCCAGGCCGAGGTTGCCCGTCAAAGCGACATGACTGCGAGATTGATATGACCATGCGAGCAGGCAGAGAGACACGCTTAGGAAGTAGGATGTGCGCCAGCCCAGCCAACGCGCGCAACGAGGAAAGGAAGAGCACAGTAAGACAGGCAGTCAAGCCAAGCCAAGAGAAGCCAGCTGTTAATAGTCACAAACACGAATGAACCCATGCAGGCACGAGAGGACGTCAGCACCTGTGATGCAACAGTACAATACAACCTCAAGCCTAAATCGGGAGGATAAAAGAACCAGAAGCAACCAGAAGCAGTAGGAATAGTAGTAGTAGCAGTAATAGTAGTACATTCTCACACCACCCTCCTGTATTTATTTGCTGGCTGGCCGGTTGGTAAACTCCGATCGATCCCTATTCCCATTTCCCGTGTCTTTTTTCCTCCGTCTAGTTAGAAAAATTTTGGTATATCCTCCTCTTTTTTGTACAGTTCCCATTTCCCATCTGATACACATTTCCCATCTTGACCGAGTTCCGGGGGGGAAAAGAAAAACAAAACGCCTCGCTTTGCGCCCCGGAAGAAGAAAAAGAAAGGACAAAAAGTTTTCCCCAATCGCTTTCGCTAGTCTTTTCCCTTGCCCCCTTACCGAGGGAGAAAATAATGGCATGGCGGCCGAGGAAGGGGGTAGGAAGAGAATCATGCAGCCCCCCTTCTCTCACACTGCCCGCTGTTTCTGACACCATATCGTACAACAAAAAATATAACCCACAATCGTACACGCTACCGCCAGCAAGAAAAAAATCACGAGCTCAGCACGACGCCTAGCTCTAGTAGCAGCCTCACGAACCGCGAGTGCAGCTCGATGAAGAAGTCGGGCAGGCCCACCAGCTCAGCTAGGCCGCGCGCCTTGAGGTTGACGCCGCCGCCGCCGTACCCGCCGCCCATGCGCCGCGAAAGCCCGCCCATGCCGCCGGACAGGAACCCGCTGCCCGTCATGTTGCCGTTTTCAGGCTGGCTCTGCGATGGGTGCTGCTGCTGCTGCTGCGCGTGCATGCCACCACCGCCGTACATGGCGGCGCCGCCGGCCGACAGCGGGCTGCTGGCGGCGCTCGAGTCGTTGGCGTAGCGCTCTGCCTCTGCCTCGGCGAGCCCCTGGATCCAGGCGGCCAGCTCGCGGAAGGCGTTGGAGATGAAGGTGAAGGTCTTCATGGCCAGGCGCTCGCGGTGCGTCGACAGCGCCAGGAAGGCGTAGACGCGCTTGTGGCCCCGCGCGTGCACGTCCGGGATCCGGAAGATGTACGCCGTCGTGTACCCCGCGCCCGGGTCGCCGAAGAAGATGGGCCCGCCCGAGGCGGCCGCGCCGGGGCTGTGCGTCGTCACGAAGCCTGGCGTCGAGGGCGAGGCCGTCGGCGTGTTGCCTGTGTTGGTCGCTGTGCCGCGCGGTAGGGTCTCGAAGGACAGGGTCCGGATGCAGGATGCGCGGACGATGGAGAAGGAGGACGGGACCACGGGCTCGTGCGTCGAGGTGTAGTCCAGGTAGTGGGTGTGGCCGTTCGCCGGGGAGGATGAGCTTGCGCTCGACCGGGATGTGATCGACGTGACGGTTCCTGTCCTGCGATGGTTTGGTCTCCGCGGCGGCACATCGTCATCATCAGAGACTGTGGAGGTGGAATTGGGTGGTGAAGCGTCTCCTGGCACGCCATTGCCGTACACGCGAGCGTAAGGTGCTCTTGTGCGCAACGTTGGCCCCGTGTCCGCCTCCCCTTCTTTTGACCTGCTCTCTTGCCGTTTGGGCAGGGTGAGGGCGCAGTTATCGCATGGACCGGCCCGGCGCATGACAGTCTCGTCATATGTCCTCCTGTAACTTGACTCACGGCGCGCGTGCGATGCTCCCGTTTGTGGCGAGTCTGACGTGTACCTAGGGCTGACCGGTGGCGTGTCTACCGCCGAGGCAGATGCGATCTGGGTTGCGCGGCGGAGGGCAGAACGGTTGACGGGCGGGTCCTGCTCGGAAGCAGGCGTGGACGAGCTGCGTTTGCTGTCGATGTCGAGCCTCCTTAGGGCCTCGGTGATGGCGGCGCCAGAGTGGATGGTGGACGTTGGGGTGCTGGCGCTGGAACGTGGCCGGTCGCTGTTCGCATAGGGGGCCTCGTCATAGCATGCGCTGCATGGGACGGGCAGGCCCTCGGTGACCATCAACGGAGTGGGGCCGTGGACATCACAGTAGTGCGCCAGACATAACTGGACACCGGATATTAATATCATGATGTTGAGTCTAGCCAGGCATGCGGACCATGCCGCGAGAAACAAAGACGACAAGAGGGGGATAAGGAGAGGACAGTCGAGTCAGGCAAGGCGCTAAAGAGCGAGAACAGAGCGGCCAGCAGAGGACAACGACGTGGGTATTTAAGAAAAGGATGGAGTGTAGTGGAGGGTGTAGTGAGGTGTGAGGTGTCTGGTGTGTGTGTGGAGTTTGGTAATCAAGTCGAAGGGGCGTCAGATGTCAGACAGACGGATATAAGGTTTGGATGCCGTCTTATTAGTCGCAAGGGGGATATGCCAGAGAAACTCCGGAACAATTTCCATGACCGCAGCGACGCAGTTTGAAGGAGGTGCACGTCAGCGAGAAGCAAGGCAATAGGGCAGGTTCCGGGTGCCAGAACCCATGTGTCTCACTGCGCATTCCAATGATGCGACTTGGGAGCGTGAGCTGGTTGCCCGGGCGTTGACGCAGGTTGATGGAGGGCAAAGGGCAGGGCGAGGCGAGGCGAGGCGGTGAGGCGGTCAAGGAGAGCATGCAGCAGAGGAGGGTAGGGTAAGGGGGTACGTAGCTGGCAAAAGAAAATAAAAAAGCCAGCAAAAGCAGTACCAGCTGCACCACCAGCAGCAGGAGAAGCGTGGGATGACAAGCAGGGTAGGGTGAATGGATGCGGATGAATGGGGGTCACACCAAGGCGCCTCGCTGGAATCACCAAAGGGGAATTAGGTGAAGGGGAAGGGGGGGTGGGCGGCCCATGTAGAGGTGCAGAGGTACAGATGTGCAGATTTGCAGAGAAGGTGTGTAGGACGAGGCCGGCTACAGGCTGTCGAGACGGGACCGATCCAACTTTGGGATTCTCGGGGGTTGCCTGGATGCGGGTTATGGGAAGTTGTTTCTCCCTGCTTGTTTTGATACCTAACTGGGACCTGGCTCTGATTCCCATGTTCCACACCCTTGAGCCTTGATGGGATTGTTGGAGGGGGGGGGGAGGGATCAGAATAGCCTATAAACCCAGCCAGTCGATCCATGTACCCCGGACCACGGGGACGTCGGGTGCATCAAGCCCGAGTAATGGAGACAGTGGAGGATGGAAGGGAGGAAGGAAAGGGAAAAAAAGAGAGTTGGGCCTCGTGTGGGTTTGCATTCGCATCTGCACCCCAAGTAGACGGAAGAGGCCGAGCCAACAGAACCGAGCAGGCGGATATGCATCGCTTGATTCCGGGGTCAAGTAGCAGCAGGGGAAGAGGAAAAAAGGAGAGAGGGTGTTTTACTTACTATCGACGTCATGACGCTGCCTCTCTCTCTCTCTCTATCTTATCGGCGAGGCGAATGTAGATATGTATACGTATGTATGTATGTGTGTACTGTATGCGTGCGTGGTATGTGTGTAGGGTACGTGGACAGGCAGCCTCGATATGTACCGTACCGTGCCGTACCTTGTGGCGCTGGGCTGGGCCGTGCTGTACCGTACTGTATGTATCGTAGGATCCAAGCCTTGTGCGTGCCCCCCAAACTCGGGTCCTTGCGATGCCTGCCTGCGCAGCGTGTGGGAATGCAACTCCGGCTTGGACCAGGCTGGGGCTGGCTGGGGCTGGGCTGGTCCGTCCTGCTGTGTTCGAGGGCTGGAACCTCGGGTCAGGGAATAATATGCACACGCGCACACACACCCAGTCCTCCTTATGCGCCTTGGGACCTTTGCTGCCGCCGCCCAGAAATAGACCCGACAGCAGGTGACAGGTGACCGGCAGAAGTGACAGACACAGACACAGACTGACAGAAAGGAACGGCCGTCAGCTGTCGAGACTAAGGACCTAAGGACCAGGGACTAAGGACCAAGGCCTGGTAGCGCAGGTGCAGGCGCCAGGTGCAGGCGCAAAAAGCAGAGGCAGAGGCAGAAGCAAAAAGCAAAGGGCTGCAGCCGTCCCAGTTGGCGCGGGTCCTTGATTGTTAGGGAAAATGAGGTGGGCGCCCAGTTACCCAATACTCGGTCGTCCTAGAGTGTGGCAGCTGCAGTAGCCCGGATTGGTTGGCGACCTGATTGGGCAGGGTGTGATGCCGTGCTGCTGGGTGCTTTGCTGCAGCAAAGGTGGCGCGTGTCCCCCTTTGGATGTAAGAGTGTGGAGGGGAGTGGGAGGGCCGAAAGGAGGGATTGGAGAGGCGGTCGAGTCCCTCCCCAAGATCCAGATGCAGCTGCAGGTAGATAAGATAGGTGGCTAAGATGGGACGGATGACGGGTCGGTGGTGGATGGGTGGGCGCAATCGGGGTCGGTTGTGGTGGTGGTGGTGGTGGCCCGAACGAATGGATGGATGGGTGGGTGGATGGATAATGGGAGCGATATCCTATAACAATTCCAGATCCTTGGGGATCGTGAAAGCCGCGCGCGCTCCCGGGAAAACCGGAGGGATGATGGCACGACCAAGGCCCCGTGGGCTGACCGGCTCGGTGACGACGGGAAGGGTAGCCGATCCGTACACACACACTCGACCTCTCTCTCTCTCACGCACCCACGAGCGATGTCGGTTAGGTGGGTGGGTGGGGGTTTGGTCAGGCAGTGCCAGTGCCAATTGAAGGAAAATTGACAAATGAGTGAGAGGGTGTGTGCGATGTAAGTCGGAGATAGGATGGCAGGCCGATGGGGAGTGAGTCTGAGGGAGGCGACGGGCAGGGCAGGGCAGGACGAGGGAAATGGCTTGTGATTTCTTATTAATGAATGACAGCCTTCCTCCTTCTTGTTCCAGTCCCGCACCAGCACCACACCAGTACTCGCACCAGCAACAGCAACGACCACACTACCAGCCGCAACAAGGGGCAGCGGGCAACGGGAGCAGCAGTTTCTCTTCCCAAGCTGCCGCAGGTAAAATCAGACGAAGAGGGTCCCTGGTATTGCAAGTCGCCGAGCTGCCAGTTGGGCATCCATGAACTGAATTAGATATAATGAGAACCGACCCCCGCTGATAGTTTCGCTGACGACGTCGATGCGCAAGGGAAGGGCAAAAAAAAGAGGGCCGGGCGAGGCTGTGGATATGATATGATATGACACGGTTATGACACGGTATGATCCAGATCCAGATCCAGTCCAGGCGCCTTGGGGAGGAATAAAGAACGTCAGGCCTGTGCCGTGCACCAGTTCAGACAGCTCAAATCTCGCAGGACGAGATCTGCCAAGGGGGCTTGGGGAGCTTGGGGAGGAATCGCAGTCGTCGCGTGCGTGGCCGGGCAGTCGGCTTGGGGTGGGTTCCTTGGGATGACCTGGTCGAGGCGAGCCGAGGCGAGGCGACGGTCTTCTCGTCTTATATACTCTTGTGATTTGTGACAGATCGGATGGGGAAAGACAGAAAAGTACCATGTGCCCTGGACGAGGAGCAAAAAAAAAGGGTAAATGAAATAGACGCAGGATGGCAGCAGCAGCAGCAGAAAAAAAAAGATAGACCCAGATATTCTCGCCTGCACCACTCAAGCTGGATCGTCTGTTATGGACTAGGTTGAGGTCGTCCCCACTTGGTATCCAGGTCGGCAGTGTCCCTCGTGAAGATGGGACGGGATAGGCCCTTTTTGTCTCTAAAGAACCACACCCATCCCTGGTCCAGCCTCCGCAATGCTAAGGTCAGTCCGGTTCGACTTCGACTTCGAGGCTCTCGTCGTTGGGAAAATGGGTTGTATTCGCGTGCGGAGTTCCCCCTCCCCTCGCTGCTCCTCGGTCGCGGCCTGCTGATGATGCACCCGAGTAAGTGATGCCCGGCACGTCACATATAGGCATGTGGGCATGGCATAAATCGAAGCTCATATTAGCCTGCAGGCTGACCGTTGACCGTTGATCGAAGCTCCGGGCTTGGATTGCATTGGGGCCCGGGGTTGGCATCTCGCAGTGTTTGACCCACTCGCTTCGTGCTGCTCCCTGCCTACCCTTGATCAGCCGGCGCCGGACCCTTTCAGATGCCAGACATGGCCAGGTATGTGTCTATGTATGCATGTGTTTATGTATGTCTCAAATATCCTGCTCCCACAAAGTCTTGTGAGAAACCCTAATGACGATGCTCTGGCATGTTGTGACGCGTGCCCATGGAGGGGGTTATCTAGGGTACCGCCTGGGAGGGATGGAGGCAGTCGCAGGCCTGCCGTATCACGACGACGATGGTTGCAAATGGCCACTCTTGGAGTGGGCCTGAGTAAGCCAGGTAGTGCGACCTGACCTGTGCGTGTATGCGGGACTGATGCACGGCAACCCTCTTGCCTCTGATAATTAGACTTTCCGCCGCGGGAGGCTGTGAGGCTCGTTGGGGCTCTTGGGACTGCTGAGGCCCCGTGATACTGTGCCTCCACCTCCACCTCTGCGAGTTACAGAGTATCGACCGCCCAACTCTATTCCGAGGGACGCTGGCACGAGGGAGGAGGGGAAGGGGAAGGGGCGGAAGTAGATTGCGGGCGGGTTCATTGGCGCGAGATGGACCCAAAGCATAATAGATTCGGAACCGACCAAGGTATGGGATTGGGTGCCGGTCGTCGTCGTCGACTTGCTTTTTCCGCCCATGTGAAAGAGCAGTCGGCGGCGGCTTCGGATAAGCCCTGCGTATAGTTGACTACGTACTCCATAGACTACATGGTAACACCAACACAAGACGGTTGCCACTGGTGACCTCGGAAAGCTGCGAAAACAGATCAGGCCTACTGGGCCGTGGGCCGTGGTTGAACCCGGCTCTCCCCTCACATCTCGAGGCATGGTGGTGGGTCTTTTTTAGTAACGAGGCGCGAGGCAGGTCATTGTGGAAAACTTCTAGAACACCCGGGCATAGGCTGAAAGAAAAAAAAAAGAGAGAGCGAGACAGAACCGGGGCTCGGGCCAAAGTGTCACGAATCGCCTTGCAGGGAAATCAGCAAGGGGCCCCGCCCAACGCCAGGACAGGGCAGGGGTGCGGCGTGGTTCCAGGTCCTAGTTGGGTATTGGGCCAAACGGCAGATCTCTGTGAGATTGTCGGTGGGGATTATGAGCAGGGGGCCAAAAAGGTGGGAACACAGACGGATTTACATTACGGTACCAGGACACACGCAGGCCAACCACGCAGCGTCGAGGAGCAAAGAAGAGAGGGTACCAAGAGGGTACCAAGAGAGCAAAGGAAGATGCCGCCCCGGGCGGTTCGGCGGTTTTGGGAATTTTTCACGTGCGGAGGATGACGCTTTCTGGGACCGGCGGAAATTTGGATTGTGGCAGGATAATAGCCTGGACGGGGTGAAGTGAAAAGTCCCCTGGCGGCCTGGTGCCTTAGTACTGCCGTTGATGGACCGAACCAGTGATGAACCTGAGACGAACCTCCTTGCGGCCAAGCAAGGGAGCTAGTTGTTGGCAGAAATAGAAGCAGAAGCAGACGTACCACGCAGTAGTAGAGTGTGAGAGAACGTATGAGGTTGAGGATGATGTATGTGTGGAGGGAAATTTGCCGGCGCCAGTCAAGCCACGCATGTGTCAAGCCGGAGGATGGCCGGCACGACTTCTTCCTAGCTGATCCAACGATCCATTTTCTTCTAGTCGTCCTGTCTGGCGTACACCATCCATTCCTGATTTGGACGAGCATGGCCTGGCGTGAGTTACGACGTAAAGCATGCTCACGGATGGCGCGGTCGTGAGGGCGGCCGCGGGTATGGGGCGGCGGGAAGCCGGGTGCTACATGACAGCCTCATCGTCCAAGCTTGTGCTGGCATGGGCGGGCATCACATGGTCGCGATGAGCGCCATGGTGTTGACAATCGGCGGAAGCCCCGGTTTTGCCTGCTCCAGGGCTTGGATGAAGCCAATTTCCAGAATGGCCCGGCTCAATTACGCGCCTTTGACACGGACGGCCAGACTGAATGACTGACTGACAGGCAGACAGGCAGACCCTCGGACCGCAAGCTGTTGTTGCTGCTGCCGCCAATCCAAACCCAAACCCGACATCCGAGGAAACCATGGGTCTGGCTGCTCCGAGGTGACAGAGACATCCCGAGACCACCCCCTTCTACCATGGTTCATGCGGTTGCATCACACCTGTCACTGCCAGAAATGACCTTGCGCCGTTCCTATTTCTTTAAAGGGAAAGCGAAGAGAAGGGGAAAAAGGAGTCACCGAACTTTGAGCCCCTGGACGTCTGGCATTCAGCCTCGACCCATTGGGGTCCCTTTCCCTTTCCACGGGTCCGACGCAATGTGAAAGATGCGTCGTCAGCACGGCCTCTTGCAGAATTGATGGGCTCGGAATTGGTTCCGAGCTGGGCGCCTCGGAACTCAATCAGGATGACCGTGAAAGTGTGAAAGCGTGAATTGGCTTTTGGGTGGTGGTGGCTTGACTCGGGATTTCCATGAAACAAAGGTCAGGGCTTGCCCGAGCTGGAAGCTGAGCCAGGCTGGCTGAACTGGGCTGAGCTGAGGCCAATTGTGCCTGGGCTGGGTTTGATTAATCGAGGCTTGCAGGCGATGCTTTCTCGGTGTTGCGAGTGAGAGACATTGGAACAGGGGGCCCGACTCAGACGGTATATCGTCGGGCATCGTCAGGCTTGAAGGCGGGTTGTCATGTCATGCCGCCGCTGATCGTCATCCCCAGTGCCTCGGAGAGTAGCAGCAGTAAGCATCGTGAAATAGCTGTGCGCGACCTGCAGCCAACGTGGTGCCTGGCATTGAAGGGGCCGAGAAAGGGAAAGGGAAAAAAAAAGGGCCCCTGGTCGGGAATGTCTGTGCTCGATCTGCAGCACTTGCACATGCAGAGGATGGCAGGATGGCAGGATGGCCTGTGTGCGGTGGACACAAACCACACGAGCCTCTCGTTATTGATAATTGCGTACCCCGTACTCTATGTAACATGCCCACCATGCCCACCTTGCCCACTCCCCCTGCAACAATGTCAAGTTGCACCCAGCAGGTCGCGTGCTCGCCATGTGGTTGATTGCCCACCCAGCGCGGCGGGTGGGATATTCTTGTAATTATTGACATGTATGCTAATAATACCATGTTACAGCTCGCTCACCGTCGTTGCATCCAGTTCCCGAAAGGAAAGGAGAGGAGCATGAGGGAGAGAGAGAGAGAGAGAGAGAGAGAGAGGGACAGAGAGAGGGACAGAGAGGGAACGACAAAGCGAGGACCCTTGTCTGGGATCTTCTTGCCTGCCCTCCTCACCGACAGGCGCACCGAGCATATTGGGCGTGCCCGGTGAGCACGAATCAGGCAATGATGAGCGGTGTCGAGGTGTTTCAACATATCCGTCAGCTCGGAAGCCCCACCGCATATACATACAAACTTCCCTCATCACTGCCCAAGGCAATGCAATGCAATGCAGTGCGGCGCGGTGCGGTGCAAAGCAATGCAGGACCAAGGGGCAGGCTGCTGATTCGGTAATCCTACCTTGCTGTCTGCGTGCGTGTGTGCGCGTGTGCGTGCGTACGACCTCGGGGCCATTGACCTTCCACCAAGGAAGCATCACTTCTCACCTGCTGTCCTGCTCCTGGTCTACCCTCGAACCCTGTGTGCTCGACGTCACATCCCGCCCAGCAAGCGATTACAGCCTGTTTCTGTCGGATTCTTTTCCTTGACAGCCTGGGGTAGGGCAAAGTGCATGCAGCTAGGTACTCAGGGCGCGATCAAACCTGGCGGCGTCTGCTTTGTCGATTGGCTGATTCCGTGTCCCTGGGCGCATGGAATGACACCCTCACCTACGAAAACGACCGCGAGAACGACCACGGCGAGCGACAAGATAGAGTGACGGCAGTTCTTTTCTGCCCGTACCGTGAGACTCGGACGTAGCCGCTGATCCTGCTACGACTGTGCCATGTCGTCGCTCTTCTCGTCTCTGGAAGATTTTAGCCACAGCGGTCCGTCGGCTTATAATTTTGAGACACCCAAAGCGGCCAATCTTTCTACGTGACAGCCAAAATCCCTACTTCAGACGACGCCCATATCAGCCGCCTCGGTTGTGAAGGCCACGGATCCGCGCTCTCGTTAAGCCGCCATCTCTCAAATTTTTTTCTTCTTTCGTAGGATTTTTTTTCCTTCTCTTGGGTTGGAATTGGACCGCCCGCACGGGCTGGGCCCTGTTGTGAAACCACACCGCGCACCACCCTTCTTGATCACCACTGGCTTATCTGCCTGTCAGACTTCCACTCGCTTCGGACGAACCAGGATCTCTCGAGGCAACCACATGCGGCATCTGCTTCTTTCACTCCCGATTGGTGCCCAAATCCAAGGGACCTCGAGTCTCGGACCCGAGGGCTCGCATACTTGCCCCGGATGGTGTGTAGACGTCAATGTGATGAGGTTGTAGATGTTTGTCCCACCTGTTCCTGTCCAGGCTACTGATATGCATGTTATCATCAGGCTGTGATGACTTCAACTAGGCTTGAAATCACGGGGTTTGGCGTCATTCACTGTTGGTGCTCTGTCTTGATAGTGGCCGCGCCCGTAGTATGATGCTTTTAAAGGCTCACAGCATATAATAATACAAACAGCGGGCATAGACAAGTGTAGTATTGATACAGTAGGCCTGAGAGGAGATGTCCTACTCGCTGACTTTGATGTTGAGGTCGTAGCTGCTTTCCCTCCCTCTCGTAAATCATTACTGTTCGACCATCTTTGATCGATCCATATGCCACATATCAATGACATCCTCTGCTGCCGGGGCAAAGTCGACACCCTTGAACTTACCATTGAGGACATCCCGACTCTTCAACGTCTCATGAGCCACATCCTGCCATGCAAGTCTCTTCCCGAGAGGCACAGTCTGCTCCCCCAGGCCCTCAGGAGGGCGCTCAACCACAACATCGCACAACCTCCCACCCTCCTTCCTCACCACACCGTCGACAATCACCATCTCCACGTCCCGGATGCTAGAGTGCAGCACGACAGCAGCGACCGGGTCCTCCTGAGCCGCAACCGCCATGCCGGGGCTCAGCCCATCAAACACGACAACATCAGCCTTGTAGCCCACCTTCAGCCGCCCAACACTCCCCGCCATGCCCACCGCCTTCGCACCACACACAGTCCCCAGGTTAAACACCTCCGCGACCGTCCCCTCAGCCCGCCTCACCCACCCCCCCTCCCGCCCAACCTCCTGCGCCCTCTCCAGCCGCCGCCCCTGCAGCGCAAGCGTCATCTGCGCGGGCATGTAACTCGTGCCCCACGTGTGGCAGTCCACGCCCAGGCTCCCCACGCCACCCTCGTAGACGCCCCGCCACAGCGCGACGGGGTCGATGCCCATCTGCAGCTCCGTGTTGGGCGTGGACGACACGGCGGCGCCCGCGCCGGCCAGCGCCGCGACGTCGTCCGGCCCCAGCGCCGCCGCGTGGCTGAGCAGCACGTCCGGGCCCAGCAGGCCCGCGGCGCCCAGGATCGCCACGGCCGCGGGCGGGCCGCCGAACGCGGGGCCGCCCTGCGCGTGCGTCGTGATCAGCTGCGCGCCGGGGGCCCCGCGCAGCCGCGCGTACAGCGCCTGGAGCGACGCCCGGGGCATGTAGACGTTGTCGTTGGCGAAGCCGAGGGTCACGCGGCCGCTGCCTTGGGGGTGGGGGCTTGCTGCCAGCGCGGCGAAGTCGTCGAGGGCGGCGGGCGGCGGGTAGGGCTCCTCTTCTAGCTTTAGGGGGCTGAAGGAGGCGGTGCGCCGTGGGGCCGAGTAGCAGTAGATTGTGCGCAGGCCTGAGGTGCTGAGGGCCTGGATTGCGGTTTTGGCTGTGTGCGTGGTTAGTTTTCTGAGCTGAGAAAGAAGTGTTATATGTAGGGCTACGAAGGTGTCTCACGGTAGTCTGGCCCCAGGTTGAGGTGCGAGTGGTCGACGACTGTCGTAGTCCCGGCGTCGACCGACTCCATAGCACCAGCGAGCTGGCCCCAGAAGAGGTCCTGCGGCGTGTAGAAGGTGCCGCAGTAGCAGCCCGCAGGCATGTAATCGACCAGCGTGTGGTTGGCATGCCGGCCTTTCAGCTGCGACTGCCACAAGTGCGCGTGCGTCGAGATGAAGCCTGGTGACACGATCTTGGAAGCGCAGTCGACGACCTTGGTGGTCGAGCCCGCCGCCGGGGTGATGTCGGCCTCGATCTTGGCGATCCTGTCGCCCTCGATGAGAAGGTCTGCCCGGGTGGGCACGACGTTGTTGTTATCGTCGTGAATGAGGAGGGTGCCGCCCTTGAGGAGGATTGATGGAGATGCCATGGTTGGGGTCGTGGAGTCTGTAAGTAGTTATTGTATGTACACTGATGTTACCACTCAGTGACTGAGTCTACACTTCTATGAGATGTCGAGGTCCATTTAGGTCGTTGTCGATATCATATAAATATCCATTGTTATGGGCCGTCGATGCAGGTGACGGAGCAGGTCCAATTCCCCTGCATCAAACATGTGAATAAGCTACCCAGAATGATACACTAGGCGCTGGAGTTGGTCCATAACTCCGTGATACAAAGTCATCTCCACTCCCCACGTTCCCCGCGATGGGCTGGCTGTTGGGCAGGATCGTCAACTTTCCCATGTCGGTAGCGGATTATGTGACTTCGGACTTGTCGGATTTCGGAGGCCATAGGCCTAGGTTGTGGTCGCACTGCACACACTTAGCAGGGATCATAAGGCTTATCACACAGCCCTTTCCCGGGGTGCATGAGAGGAAATAACTACAAGTCTATGTGGTCTATGCAAGTAAGGACCTAACTAAGAGACAAAGCCCATCCTGCGGGAGCCAAGCAGCCAAGCCAGACTGCAACATCTGAAGCTCCGCAAGTACGAGCCGAAGACTACTTACAAATCACGAGCTAGGTCACTAGCTTCCACCGTAGACGCGAAGCCCCGAGACGGACTTTATCCTTTCCGCCCGGAAGAGCGAAACTGGGAAAGTAAGCCACTGGCACCGTAGGCTCGCCCTACGTACTTGTTGTATGGAGAGTGAAGATGTGCAGTCAATTCGAGCGCGGGCAAGACACATGGATCACGAGCATCCGAGTTCTGGCGTGAAAAGGGCACCACAATTCAACGCTCCGTAGGTGAAGCACCAAGATATATCTCTGGAAAAGTGGCCAAATGAGGGCTTTGGAGATATTGACTTGGATAACACATATTTCGCGTAGGAAAACTGGCATTCCACAGAGAACAGAGAGCCACAAGGCTTCAAGAGTTCCCGATGGAACGCAATATATTTCCACGAGAAAAAGATCAAAATCATATGTATGCATGCTGTGTGTATGCGTGCGCCACCGTCGCTTGAAGACAATGCTACCTCCCTGCCGCCCTTCCTCCCTTCTTCCTGGCCCTCATTCCCCAGCTCTCCTGATATCGAAGAAAGGCCAAAAGACAATGCAATGCTGTATGAGTAGAAGAAACACGAGAAAACAAAATGCTATGCTCAAAACGTGGTTCCACTGGATGGACACCTTTGAGAGACAAATACCGCCGACGCCCCATCTGCCGTCCCTGGAATGCAGGATTGAATCTATGACATGCCCGGGTCCCCCGAGAGTCTGAGCTCCCGGGAGGACCTCTTCCTCTTGTTTCCGCCTCTCCTATCGCCGTTGTAGGAAACGCTTCTCCTCTGCCGGGGGAAGTCGGGTGGTATGGGTATCAAGAACGAGCCTTCTCTGGTTTCCCTGTCGCGATCACCGCCTCTGGTATGGTGGCTGTTGCTGCCACTGCCATTGCTTCTGTTATTAGAAGACCGCCTCCTGCCGAGCTGCTGCGCCGCCCCGGGTCCCTAGGCCTGGTGGTCCTGCTGCTCGACGAACGGGTCAAACTCCTGCCGCTTGCGCGCCGGCTGCCCTGTATCGCTTTCTTCGCCACCCGCGTCGCTGGGGCCGTTGATCTTCGGCGGCGTCTGGTGGGCCCCCGTAGGGGAGGAGCCGCCTGGCCCGTACCTGTCCTCCCAGAGCTTGCGCATGACCTGGTAGATGAACAGGAACTGCGGCTCGGCCTGCACCATGCTGCGCCGCTGCTCGCGCAGCTGGTTGACAGTGTGGAAGATGAGATCGTCGCCCTCCACCTCTGTAGGCACCACCTGCTCCTCCACCTCCATCTTGCCCTCCGAGTCGTCGTCGCTTCGCTGGTGCTGGCCGTTGTTGGTGCCTTCCGTACTAGCCGAACCGCCTTCGTCCGTCCTCTTATGCCGGAAGTGCGAGGGTGAGTCCCAGTGCTCGAGGGCGCCAGCGTCCAGCTCGCGCATGAGATGCTCCAGCGCGATGAACGTCCCGCTCCGTCCTACGCCCGCGCTGCAGTGCACAATGCGGGGGTTCTCGGGGCTGGCGTTCTTCTCGCGTGAGAGGCGCATCAGTGTGAAGAAGCTGTCGAGGTCCTCGAGGGCCGGGACACCGAAGTCTGGCCATTTCTTGTAGAGGAAATGCCATACGATGCGCTCCTCGTACTTCAACGGTAGATCCTTCTGTTGCGTCTTGGTTGATTCCCCAAGGTCGACGTTGGCGCTCTTATCGTCGTTGCTGTCATCTGCAGAAAGATCGTCCTCATGGGCGGCCTTGAGAGGCGACAGCATCTTCACGTCGCCGCTACCATCAACTGCATTAACTGGCGTCGTCAATTGGTCCCTATCGCCATCGCCGCGCGTCTTCGCGATCTTCGCTGGGCTCTTGTATGATCGTATTATCAACTTTCGTAGCTCAATGGCATCTCCGGCCTCAGTCTCCTCAATCGCCTCGCAGTGCACGCTCGCCCTGAACGCATCGCCGAACTCGTCCCTCTCGTTGATCTCCAGGGGCGCATCATCGGGGCTACGCGGGAAATAAGGATAGCACTTCTCCATGTGCGCTTCGTGTGTCTCCGTCAGCATGACAATCACCGCAGGGCTCGCCAACTGCTCAACCACCATGCGCCACACGTGGTCTGTGGTCATTCGCTTGGGACCTTGCATCGCAATATATCGCTCCGGCCCGCTGCCCGCAAGGTCTGACAGCCCAACTATCGTATCCTCCTTACTGTTGCGATCTTGCGCTTGCGGTCGATTAGCCTGGTGCGGTGTCGTAGAAGACAGGATTATTGGTGACGCATTGACGTAGTCCACCTTGCCTGGCGGGACGCGCAACCTCACACGATTGTTCTCCCAAGGCTGAATGTTCATGTACCTATCCAATCTCTTTAAATGGTCGCCAGTCACGCGCGCCCACTTGAAGTCTGGCGAAGGGTTTGTCAGGCTTTGCATAATGCGATTGCGCTCCATCCATACAATCTCCTGGAACTTGGCGACAATTTCCTGAGGCGACAGGGAAAGGAAGGATGGCATCCTAGGGGGCTGACCCCCGACGGCGTCGCCGTTCATTTCCAGTGTCTGCAAATCGCCGCTGCCTCCCCGAACGGTGGGCGAGGTTGCAGGTCTGTCGTCGAACACATCGAATGTGTATGTGGCGCCGATGGGTGAACGGGGCAGGGAGCCGGCAGCGGGAGACCGTGCGCGTTTGTGGGAGCGGCTGAAGTCGCGCAGGCTGCGGAAAGGTGAGGTCTTCTTCTCTTTGTTGGGAAGGTGCGGGACCTGGAGAGGAGAGTGTGCCGAGACGGGCTCGGGGGTGGTCTTGCCGGAGCTGTGGGTGCCGTCGGTGACGATTGTAGGTCGCGAAGGTGAGGCCTTTCTGCTCTTCCGGTGAAAACCGGACCGCAAGCGGTCCATCGTGAGGGCTGGCCGGCGATGTGACGCTGTCAAGGTTATGGTGAGTGGTGTTGGGCGTCTGAGCGGCGGCTGTTGGTGGGATAGGACGAGATGGAATGCGACTGCCACGAATCGCACAGCCAGGCGACGGCAGGGGAGTCGCGATCCAAGGTGCAGGTCGATATTAAAATGCCCCCGTGTCTCTGCAAGGGAGTATGGAAATGCGGCAGCTTGGCCGACAAGTATTCGCCGTGGAGCCGGGGGCGCAGCGATCGGGAGGGTAATTTGTAAGTCTGGACGCCACCGGAAGCGAGTGGCCCGGTGGGAACTGGAGCTGGACGGGCGCGCGACGGAGGGCACAAAGGAGTGAATGTTGAGAAGTTGAGAAGCAAGCAGAGTGGTACTGCAGTGTCGCCCAGCATGCAGGAACAAAGCAAAATGCCTAGCTCGGTCGGTCGGAGGGAGTTGTTCGAGCACAAGTATCTAGTGCGCTGGTGCGAAGAAGGGTCGATTCGGCTCGATGCCGAAGCCGAAGCCAACAACGGTGACAAAGCGATTGACTGTCATGCGGCAAGTGAGCCAGGGTGTCGGGTCGTTTGTTCAGCTTCCAGGAGTGGCACTTGAGCACGTGTGGCGAGCCGAGTCCGAGTCCAGGTGCAAGTCCTCCAAGTCCAAGTCCAAGGAAGGGGGGGGGGATGGAGGCAAAGCGAGCCAAGATAGACTACGTGCGAGGCTGAGGAGCAGAGCAGACAAAGGAGTGACGAGTTGGCTTTCTTCTTCGTGTTCTTCACCTCCCTCCTCGTTTCGTCTCGTCTCGTCTCGGGCACAGGGTGGCTAGCCTATGTGGCTGACATTGTTGCAGGAGAGGTTCGGTGGCCGTCGTGATTGGTGACGCAACACTCTTCTTGTTGGTCGCGGAGGGAGCTCGCCGCCTCGCCGCCTCGCCGGGTACAAGGTTTTGCGGTCGACAGGGCCGGTGCCGAACACGACGCTGTGTGTCAGGCAGATCGCGAAAAAGGGCCTGGTCTGGTCTTGAGGGGGCCAGAGAGGGCAGGTTTGGTCGTGGCTGCAAGGTCAGGCCGTGGTATGGGACCAGAAGCTTGGAGGGAGGAATGCGATGTGCAGGTGCAGGTGCTACCTTAATTTTTCAGACCCTGGGGTAGTGTGGTAATGTATCTCATGTACCCGCAGCGTAGCGCGAGTAGCTACTTCGGAACGCAGCCTCCAGCCTGGGGGGGTGCTAGCCGTGGTCACACCCGCCCGTGCAGCCCGCCAGCCCGCCCAGCCCGTCCGAGAGATGACCTGCAGCCCACTTGCCTGCTTGCCCGTCCAGCCCGCCAGACAGCTACATGCCACCAAGCAGCCTAGGTAGAGGGTAAGGGGCCACAGGGTCTGCGGGTGTGTGTGTGTGTGACGTTGTCTGTGGGCCGCCGATCGACAACTGAGCAGAGTGAGTGGGTTTGAGAGTTGCTAAAATAAGCCTAGCAAGGCCCACACGTCGACAACTCATTTGGAGGGTCAGCCCGCAGATTGGAGGGGACGCACCTAATGGATTGGACTGACTGGTACGTGTCTGCTGCGTGCTGGGTGTAGTACTGCGTACAGGTCACAATATTTTGCTGTGGTCTATACGTGTACAGTACTTCTCTCTTGTCATCTTGCGGGCACCCTGACTCCCTCCCAGATACCTTCGACCTCATATCCGACGCCGACGGATGATGAACAGAAGCAGTCTATAATTGCAATCAATATGCTCATCACCTGGTTAGCCACTCGGGTGGCAAGATTGACATCTCTCAGCCATCCTCTCTCCTCGGGATCCGGCAGTCTGGGATGACATCTGCACATGCACCTGCACCACATCGCATCTGTCCGCACCGCACACACCCCTTCCAACCTTATTCAGACGCTGGTGCTCAGGGCCCCAGGAATGGGACTATTGTCTACTATCGAGTGTCGATCCAGGGCCTGATTCACATACTATTGCACTGACTCATCTCCCAACCAACCAAACCGTCCGTCGATCGGTGCTGCGAGTTCGTCTCCGTCCCAACGGCCCTACTGACCACTTTCGCAATATGATTCAAGAACTCGTCCGGTGTCAACTCGGGACATCCTGTCTTATAACACCCTAGATCTGAGACGACGCACACATGCTTTCGGCCAGTGTCCGAGTCAAAGGATCACCGCAAGGATATTGCCTTGCCCTCAACACCCACCTCTCGGCCGCCAGCCGCACTGCCTTACCGGGCTCACGGATACGGTCCATTTATTCTCTATTTGACACTTTCATCTCGGATCCCAATCGGCTGTGAGAGGAGAGAGCTATGCTGCTTCTGCTGTACTCATATACACGGGACATTCCAGCGTCCACTGGCTACATTTCAGGCTGTAGTAGTCGAAATGGCCTATCCAACCATGTCCGGCCCAGGACTTCCTGTTTCATCTCACTTGTCTCCCCCTTTTCGATGGAACGCCAATACCCGGAGGGCAATCATCAAAGATGCGACCGCTCCCCAAACAAAAATACACTTAAAAGTTCCGGGTCTTTGCGCTTCTCTCACCTGCACGAATTAGAGACGCAGCCCCGCCCATGCACGCCTTCAATCAATCATGACTCCCCACGTCATGTGCCAGAGTAGACAGCCGTGACGTAGCGCCCACACTCCACCCTCTGCTCCATGCTCACTTTCCTGCCCTTGCCGTCCTTGCCCAGCCTCGCCGTCTGTCTGGGTGTGATCTGGAAACGGTGCTCCTCTCCTTTCCTGCCAGCCTTCGCGTCACCTGCACCACCGTCCAGCGGGCCAATGTATATCGGCGCGTTCGAGTTGCTCCTCTTGCCGTTGCCGAGCTGGTAGAACTCGTTACCGCCCCACCACACGATGTCCGCACCCCAGTTCGTGTCGTTGTCGCCTGACTTGCCTGTCGCTTCCACGTAGGTCACATTGTCCATCACTGCCGCGGTATGCGTGCTCCCGACGGAGAGGCGTGCGAGTCGGATGGGGACGACCTGGTTTGCTTTCTCGTCCCACTCGAAGAGTCCGGACAGCGCCTTGATCTTGGTAGGGCCGCTGGATATGTGCGTCCACGCTCCGGTTCCGAGACTGCCTTTGATGCCTTCGCCTGCTGCCCACGTGTCGGCGACGATCTTGCCCAGGTCTCGCGCCGGTGCGATGTTGTCTGACGGTGATGTCTGGGAGGCGACCTTGGTAGCATCCACAGTAAAGTAAGAGTTGGCGCCACCAGCTGCGATAGAAGTGACCTTGGGCACCAGCCCAGTCGCCTTGTAGAGCTTGTTGAATGGCAGCAACGAGGGGCTGTCGATCACGGGAACCTCGGCCTCTGGAGGGAAGCCGAGCTGCCCCACTGCGTTATCGCCAAAGGCGAACACCCTGCCCTCGTCATCGAGGACCAATGAGTGATACTCCCCGGTCGCGATCTTTTTTGCCTTGAAGCCCTTGAGTGTGCCGAGTTCGTGCGGCTGGTCGAAAGGGCCTTGCGGCCTCGAAGCCCAGGTCAGCCCAGGGACACCGAGCTGGCCACGCGATGGGAAGCTCTCGGAGCTCGATGCTGCGGAGAACACACGCCCGTTGGAGGTCAGGAGCAGAGCGTGCTCCCGGCCACTGCTGACATCAACAATTTTCTCGCCCCAGCCCAGATCCTTGGGCTTGATTTCTCGATAGTTTACGGCCGTCGCAGGATTTGACCAGAATGACAACCACGATGAACTTTCATCCTGGCTGCCTCCCGACCTTTGGTCTGACCTAGCCACGGGAACCGAGTAGACCGACCCGCCGGACGATAGTGCAAGAATGCGATCCCTTGAGATCGCCAGCTTGGCGATGTCCTTTCCCTTGAGAGTGACAGCCGGCCTGGGGTCCTCTGCGAAGTAGCCAGTTCCCCATTGCACGAGATCGCCCTTTTCGGTAACGGCGGCACCAAAGTCCTGATCAAGCTTCAGATCCCGCAGCAGTTGACCATCAAAGTAAGGTATCCGTCTCGGCGTCTTGACGACGGTTTCCTTGGACTCGGGGGCGACGGCCCTGCCGACGTTTGATCCCCATGCGTAGACGCCTGGGTTCTCCCAGCTCTTGCGCACCTGAATATGCTGCGAAGAGATCAGGTCCCGGTTCTCCTCCTTGTTCCTGGGGGCCTTCCGCTTCTTCTCGAACTCGATCTCGGCCTGTGGGATCCCAGCGACGGCATTTTCGCCAAAGAACAGAGGGTAGGCCCACGCTGCGCCGGCAAGAGCCACTCCAGCAACCGCGACAACGCCAAATACCCTCCTGCCGCCCCGTGAGCGCTGCGGTGGAACCGGGTAGGAGCTCTTATGGCGGATGGACGATCGTGCGGGGCCTCGCTGCAGTGATCGTGTGAGGTTGAGGGCGAGCGATGGATGCTGCCGCAGCACGGCTCTTGACGTGAGAGATGACATGTTCACAGGACCCAGGATGCTTGGTTCTGTCGTATGTGAGTCAATGTTGATCTCAAACAGGCAACATTCACACACACCACATCGCTAAGGACCGTTATCAGGGTCTTTTTGGGGCAGCGCTGGGGCTTGAGAGTGGTGAGGTCATCCGCCGCGGGCCATCAACCTTAGTAAAGCTCAAGCTCTGAATGGAAGAGGAGCCCAGAGCCTGCAGCACAAGACCCCTGCCCCTGGTTGCATGCACGCTCCCAACGCAGCCCCACAAGAGCTTGTCCCCACTGGAGCCGGGTCCTTGCGCAGAGCCCCACGCCGATGTGCGGCTGGAGTGTGCAATCTGGCAGCCCGCCACGTCCGCGACCAACTGGCGCGACAGGGCTGAATTTCGGGAGCTACCAATTGGGAATTTGGAAGCTCAGCACAACACCCGGCGCCTTCTGGCCCCCTTTGTCGACTGCTAGGTCCCAGCCGCAAGCTCCACGGGGCTGCCGTCCTTCGCCATCGAAAATGTACGAGGACTCGTGGTACAACTCGATATTGGAGTTCCAGCAACCACAGGCACAGCAGCACCGGAGGGCTCCGTCCCAAAGCTATGCCCACCGACGCAGGAGCAGTACCCTGCTGCAGCAGCCGAACGGGACCAATGCGCCCAACGGCGGCGTGGAAGATCTCGAGGAATTGTTGGAAGAGGACGATGATGACTCCCCTCCCGAGCCAGACCTGGCACGACGAGCCCAATCCTTCTCCGACTTCCATGCTATAGTTCGCGCCGAGCTAGTGAAAGATGCGCCCCGAAAGAAGAGAAGGAGGAGAAGGAAGGGGGACGTTAATCTGGATGCTTTGGCGTTGCATGGAATAGAAAATGCCCTGGATGAAGACGACGATATCCTGCTCGACACATACCAGGATGAGCTGCTGGATGCAGGCCAACAGGAATATACCCTATACGGAGAACAGCTATCGATGACAGAGAGGCATCTGGACACATTGATAGAAGACACAAATAGTGCTTTGGAGCTGCTGGCCTCTCTGTCGGAATCTTTCCGTGGGGTAGAGGAGCAGACAACATCCTTCCAGGCCCAGTGCGAGGACCTGCTATCGGAGCAGCGACGGTTACAGAAGCTGGCCGACGAGGTGGGGACCGACCTGCACTACTACGCCTATATTGACACCATCAGCCGGCGCTTGAATGCGCCAGGGGCAAGTCGCCTGGTGGAAGATGAGTCGTTTGGGGAGATTCTGGAGAACTTGGATGCCTGTATCGCATTCATGGAGAAGAATCCCTCATACCGGGACTCCGAGTCCTACCTGGCGCGGTACCAGTCCCTCCTGACGAAAGCTCTGCACCTGCTGGAAGTCGGCCTTGAAGCAAGGCTGGAAAGAGTCTCGTCCGATATATCCAGGCAAATTGCCGCGACACAGTCCGAATCAGCCCGGCACGCCCTCGCCTATGGACGCTTCGAGGAGATGATGCTCGAAGACACGTATTCTCTGATTCCCAACGTGCAGCAAGTCGTGCATCAGGCGTACGACCCGGCTGGCAACGCCTTATCCGGCACAAACTCTGAGATCTACTCCAACACGGCCAACAACATCTTCCAGGCATACATCGCGGCCCGTGACCGTGATCTCAGACCTATCATCCAGCACGACCTGGACACATTCAAAAAGGAGGCTAAGGATGCCTCTGTCGAGACCGCATCGAGGAACTTTGTTAAACAAAGCTTCGAAAGATCTTACAACGAGGCAATGCTCTTCGCAAAGATCTTTGCAGTCGAGCCACACTACAGCACCGACCCGACATCTGCCTTTGTGACGCTCAAGTCGCACCAGAGGGTCATGGTCAACGCGACCAATGTTGTTCCCATCGCAAACAGCCTGCAGTCCGCATTGCATGCGGCGGAGTTGCAAACTATCTGTAACATCCTCGGGTGGATCACCAATGAGTACCTCGTCTCGGACTACGAAGAGGAGGAATCTGCCTTTTCAAGACACTGCCAGGAGCTTGCAGCGCGGCTACTGGCGGAGCACCTGTGGTTGTTCACAGATGCTGCCTTTGAGGCGGAGATTGGGAAGTCTATATCCAAGATCACAGTTCTGCCGGATGCGCTGAAAATCGGCCCAGTAGTCGATGGCGTCGCATCATCAAATGCCTACCCGCCGGTGAAGCGAGCCCTAGAGCTGCTGGTCATGTTCGACCAGTCCATGCCAAAAGAGCGATGCGTAAGTTTTTCTTTCCCTCCCTGTGTCCCGGCAATCCAGCTCTGACAACCCGACAGCAACGAAACAGCCCGGTGGTCTTCAAGATCGTGAAAGAGACCATCCAGGTCCTGCAACGCGCCGAGACTCGCATCAAGTCCACCAAGGGTGGCACAGACTCGGACCTCTTCATGATCAAAAACCTACTCATACTGAAGAACGAGCTGGTCTCCCTCGAGATAGGCGACGTGCGCAACCAGGAACCGGGGATGCAGTACTTCTCGCAGATCTGGAACAACATCACGCCCCAGAACCTCGTCGGCTACGTCAGCAGCTTCATCCCTGGCGCAGCGTCGTTCCTGTCGTCCCGCGGCGGCGGCGCTGCCACCACCACCCCGCAAGCACAACCGACCCCAGCGGCCGCGGACAGCGGGGACGCGAGCGAGCAGCTGGATGACCTGCTGCGGCGGGCGATCGGCTCCTTCACGCACCGCTGGGCGGTGCTGCTCAACGACTCGCGTGCGAACAAGACGGGCGGCAAGAACCTGGCCAAGGTGGAGAGGGACCTCGGGGAGATGCTGCAGACGGCGTTTAGCAACCAGCCCGAGGTGATTGGGAAGCTGAATGAGGCTATTCAGCTGCATGTGCAGTCATTGAGGAAGTAGAGGGGGATAGGACGCTGGATGGTATAGACGAGATATGGTGGTGGCTAATATCAACCACCTATTTAGAGGAGTACAGATTCCATCTGCTGATAAGTCTATGCAAAGGTCTCTGAGACTCCTGGCTGGGGCTTATTTGCTGCTTGCCCCATACGTACACGCCGCGTTTTCCGGCACGATATTTCTAAAGTCAACCTACAGCTGAGCTCAAACAGCTCTCGTCCTTGGCCCCGTAATATCCAGTGCCAAAAGTGGAGCCTAGACAGGCATTCTACTTCCAACCCAGTTCAAGATTGCACCACTGTGTTCACGGCCGATGCCATCAATAAAATTCGTGACGCCAGCGATGAAAGCGATGCAACGCTCCACGTCATTCTCTCCAGTATAGGCTGGAATACTGGCCGAATGCAAGTTCAGGTCCACGCACACGATAATGGATTTCCTGCCCTCCTTCTCCCACTCTCTCGCCATAGTGACAGACATCTGGTACAGCGCGGCCTTGGCAGCTCGGTATGCCATGCAGGTCCCGAACGAATTGCCTAAAAAGTTGGTCATTATTGAACGGTATCGCATACATCAGGGGATAAGCAGCAGAGGCTGGCCTGTAAGGGATGGGGCCTACCTGATATGAAGCTAAGGCCCGATGATATGTTGATGATCTTGGGATTTGCCGCACGCTCGAGCTTAGGGAGGAAATGTTTGATAGCAAGGTAAGAACCCTAAGGTCAAAGAACCATCAGCGAACAGTTCGTGCTCGTAATAGGCAGTATTCCGGAGAGATCGGAGTGGGACAGAAAGGTAAGGTACCGTTGCCATCATGCAGAATTTCTAATTGATGTCGCTCGCAGTCTGCTCGTACCAATGCTTCGGGTGATGAGGAAGATCTGGCAAATGAACAATTAGGTATCTCATAGCCATATGGCTGGTAATGTGTCTTAAATGCCCTACCTCCGACGTTGACGAGGATATCCAAAGGTTCCTGGTCGTAGAACCGTGTGACTCGCCTGATGTTGTCTTCATCGAGGTAGTCGAGCTCCGCAATTCTGGCTCCAGTTCGTCTCAGCTGCTCATATAAAACGAAAGCGTGAGTAATAATCAACGCTTTGAGGCGTCCATGACCTCCATGAGGCGCGCCGTTGTCATGGGCATTGCTTGACGTACATCATCCACACTTGAGTGCATTCGGTCCTGAGGCTGTGTCGTACCGGTGACAGACCACCCGCGCTCCATAATGGCCTTGACAATTTGAATACCAATGCCACGGTTCGCACCTACAGCAATAGACAGTTGAGACAGTGCCTATGACGACAGTCTTGAGGCACAGCTGTTTCTTACCGATAACGAGGACGTTCGGGGCCGCCATGCTCGCCGTCGTGTGACTGAAGGCCGAAAGCAAACCACGAGCCCAGAGGGACAGGCGTTCTAGCAGAGCTCTCGAGACTTTCAAAAAAGAATTCGAGCGAGGATCTAACGCGATAAAAGGGGGTTATGGGTGTTGTGAAGGTGTTAGTACATCAAGGTTGGGAAATGCGCGAATGGTCAAGCAAGCAGTTTGGATTGTGAAGTTCTCTGTGCCGCACCTTCCCTATACATGTGTGCTCGCAGTTTCACGCAAAAACTACGCAGGCGGCCGTCACATTTGGCCATCGAGCAAGAAGGAAGTAGAGTAATCACATTCAGCTACTTATCGTGATCGGCAGGAACGGCCTTGACAGTTGATGAGACCCTGAACGAACAGTCACTCGCTGGGGGCTTTTTGAGACTGTTCTCTTGACTTGCATTTTTCAATCAGTCACCGAAAACTATAAGAGTTCGTAGATGCACTCACTAAGGTTCTTCCGTTGAGGGAGTGCCCTTTCTGAATATTCTCGTGTCCCGAACATGTACGAACCCAATCTGAGCCAGAGCGGAACTTGCGAGAAAGCAATCTGAACTTCTCTTGTTATAACAGATTCACAGCACTTCCCATCTGGCGCATTATGTTAGATTTGCATTGCTGGTGTCAGTGCTCGCCATATTCATGATGTGTCGTGAGTTTTGTGTCGCCCCATCTTCTACTTAAACAATGCTTAAATGTACACCGTATCTTGCAATTTCGGGCCCAGACAAGGTCATACAGCAGCGGATGGACTACGTCGAGGGCTTACCTGTTCCAGATGACGAGCTGCTTCGCACTGTCGTCGAGAGCTTCCGATCTGCCCTCAGCATCTACGAGCCCTTTTACCGAATCATGCACCAAAACCCCGAGATGTCCAGCATGAAGTTGCAGACGACATCCTTGGTTGCGGGCCACCTGAACAGTTTCGGTTTCGAGATATATGGAGGCCTGGGGGCCACGGCGTTGTAGGAGTCTTCAGGAACGGCATTCGCAAGACGAAGACGCCACCGTCTCCTGCTGGGGTTTGGACCCAGGCAACGACTACGTCGCCTATATGGACTTCGTACTCGACACCAAGACGATCAAGCCAGATGCTCGGAAGCGGGCTCTGGCCGCCATTGAAAAGAGCATACGGGACGAGTGTGAAGCAGCAGGGAGCAGGGACAGCTGCCATGGCCTTAGCAGCGCTGACTTTCTTGACCAAGAATAATTCTTGAGTCAGGGTTGTCAGGACGCGGGCAGGAAGTTAAAGTATTTGTGGGTTTTCCTGTGAAAGAGAGACCAGCATTTACTTATTCTGGGAAACGCAGGTTACGTCTTCAGGAGTCTTAGGACTACGTGCCATTTTGGAAATGCGCCTTGTAGACCACGATTTCTCGCTGAATCAAGACTTTTGGGAGCGACATCTGCTTCTATCTTTTCGTGAATGCTGCTGCAATTGATATCTGTAAGCACGCCATTCTCGGCGGCCGGGGTTAGTCAGGACAAAGACTCAGGGCAGCTTCTTGCAGGGGTTTTGGAGGTCCCCGGCACCGGTGTCGGCGTTCACTCCGGGCTTGGCCTGAATTATTTGGTACTCCCGACTTATCTACACCACTGTTCTACTCTCACTCACTGACCTCTCCTCCAATCGCCAATTGACCATTTCTAAGTCAATAGCCTGACGCCTGCCTCATCCAAACACGTTGGAGAGCTCACCTACAGCGCTTCAGGCCGACAAGACCGTCAATAGCGTGGGGGTGGGGCAGCAGCAAGCAGCAACCAGCGGGCGCTCACTCAAGATGGCTGACTCTGCCGCCGACCTCGAGGCTCATCCTCACCAGCAGGGAGGCGCGAAGCAGACGGCGAAGGACCTGTTTTCTGGGGCAGCTGGCGGTGTTGCGCAGGTGCTACTGGGTAAGATGGCCTTGACATGAAAGCTGGAAGATGAGGGTTTCATTGCGACAAGATGCGTATGCACATGCAGCTGCACATGCACGTCGCCTTGATGAGAATGGCAGCTAGGGAGGAGGGAGTGGGCAAGTGCCCAACTCTCAGCCCGGCATGTCGCCTTCAAGAGAATGAAACCCTATCTTACACCAGATCAATACTCAGTATGCTATCGACAAGTAGCTAACAAATCCCCCAGGCCAACCCTTCGACATCGTCAAGGTCCGCCTGCAAACCTCCACAACAAACACATCAGCCCTGGCAACAGCAACCTCCATCCTGAAGAACGAGGGCCCACTAGCCTTCTACAAGGGCACTCTCACACCGCTGATCGGCATCGGCGCCTGCGTCTCAGTCCAGTTCGGCGGCTTCCACGCAGCACGGCGCTACTTCGAGGAGCAGAACACGGCGCGGCACGGCGCAGCGCCGGGCGCCGCCCTGGGCTACGGCCAGTACTACGCAGCGGGCGCATTCGCAGGCGTGGCCAACACGGTGCTGTCGTCGCCGATCGAGCACGTGCGCATCCGGCTGCAGACGCAGCCGCACGGCGCGGGGAGGCTGTACGCGGGGCCCTTGGACTGCGTGCGCAAGCTGACGGCCGCCCCCGGCGGCGGCCTGCTGGGCGGCGTCTACCGCGGCACCGCCGTCACCGTGCTGCGCGAGGCGCAGGCCTACGGCGTGTGGTTCCTCACGTTCGAGTGGCTCATGGCGCGGGACGCGGCGCGCAACGCCGTCGACCGCAAGGACATCCCCGCGTACAAGGTCGCCTTCTACGGCGGCCTGGCCGGCGAGGCGCTCTGGCTCTCCAGCTACCCCTTCGACGTGGTCAAGTCCAAGATGCAGACGGACGGCTTCGGCGCCGACAAGCGGTACAAGACCATGCGGGACTGCTTCGCGCAGACGTGGGCGAAGGAGGGCATGGCTGGGTTCTGGAGGGGCCTGGGCCCCACGCTGCTCAGGGCCATGCCCGTGTCTGCGGGCACGTTTGCTGTGGTGGAGCTGACGATGAGGGCGATCAACTAGGATATGAGGGGGTGACAGAAAATGACAACGGTGTCTGGCAGATAGCAAAGGTCGGCAACGAAGTAGGATTCCGGGAATTTGGGGACTGGACTATTTACTGCATACACAAGGCTCACGTGGTTCAACACTAGACACATGAAAGGGACAGCAATAGACATGGCAAAATGAGGGCAATTCCTCTGTTTCCTTATTTGAGGCTGAGTCTGAATCTAGTCACTATTTTCGACGCGCCTCTGCAAGATCATCCTAGCATTCCCAGGCTCAAGCGTGTCGACCCCAAGCTCCTCAATCACCTTCCTCGCCTCGGAATTGTCTGTGAACACGCGGTCGCTGGCCTGCTTGAGAGACATGAAGCCCTCCTCGGCTTCCACGGGCAGGTTGAGCAGCTTGACCGCGTCCGCGAGCGTGGCCATGGCCTCCGAAGCATTGGGGACGTAGCGGTCCACCATGGCAAACACAGCGTGCAGGTCACGCATGAACTGAGCGGCGCCCAGGGCCGTAAACTTGTTCTTGCGCAGGACATCGCCCCAAAGCGTGTCCTGCAGGCTGTCCAGGGCCTTGCGGATGACGCGGCGCACGACGGCGGCGCTGACAGCGTGTGTGAGGAAGTCGAAGTTACGCTTGATTATGCGCAGTGGCTCGTCTAGCTCAGCCGTGATGGCCAGCTGGTATGGGTCGATGGCGGCTGTGTCCTCGCTGACGACGGTCCACTGGGCCCGGTGGATGTAGGCGCGGAAGGCGTCCGCGTGCGACCTGATGACGGCTTCGGTCAGCAGGTCCTGCGCGGCCGTCCGCCGCTCTGTGTAAGCCTTGATAGTCTCGTCGAACAGAATGCCGCCGTCCTCGCCTGTCCCGACCGTCTGTGACGTCCGGCCCTTGACTTCGTCGTGACTCATGCCACCCGCGAGGTTGTTCTGGTCGTCAGACTTTGTGGCCCTGGCCTGCAGCCGGTCCCACAAGTCTACAAAGAACTCCTCGTTGCTCCAGTCCTTGAGAGCGTTGACGACATGATCTGTGCTGCCGAAGACCCTGCAAAGAGTCTCGAATGTCCCGGTGCCCTCCAAGGCTGCTAATTGCTCTTTAGTGGCCCCGTATACCATCTTGCCGGCAGTGGATGTCATAGCCTTGTAGGCACCTAGGGATCCATTCAAGCGGTCATGGTACGAGTCCAATATTTCCAGCTGGATTTCGATCAGGAAGCGCAACTTGTGGGAGAACCTTCTAACCCGCTCATATTGAGTCGTCACGGAGCGCAGGAGATCTGTAACGCGGACAGCACCGTACGTCGGTTTGGTCTTTCCGGGACCGTTGTACTCGTAGTCAATCTGACCAGCGTCTGGTGTGGCCATGATCCCTTTGTACCTCTCCAGGGCAAAAGTCTTCTCTGCTTCAAGCCACTTGTCAAAGTGTTTGTCCAGCACCTCAGTGGCGAGGCCACCCCAGCCTCGCTCGAGGTCGCCTCCATCGTAGTTGAATCTCGATCGCAAAGTATCGTCAAAGGTCATCAGCTGCGACATCAGGCTGCTCAAAAACACTGGATCCTTCAGGGCCACCTCCACGGCCGAGTTGACTTTCTCCCTGATAACAGGCAGCAATGAGGTAATGAGGGCGCACGTTGGGTCCATATAAACCATCTTGTTGGCCGCTGCCGTGTCGCTGAACTTTGTTGCGAGGATGAACCCAAAGTTGTCACGCATGAAGTCATCCCACTCCTCCAAGAGGGCAGTAATCCACGGGAAACACTGAGCCCCGATGACCTGCGGCTTGCTCGTGGGCTTGTCGCGGCTCATGAAATGGTAGCGGAATTCCTTGGTCCAGTTCTGCGCCATCACGTCGATGGGCAGGAGCGTGACCACACCGTCCGAATAGAGAACCTCTGGGATCTGCAGGTCCACCAGCTTCTCGAAACACACTCTCCACTCCTCGTCGATTTCTGATCGTGCGTCCACCCTCTTCGGCCAGCCTCTTTTCTTGAGGATCCCGTCCATCTCTGCCCACATGGTCCTCTTCATCTCGTCCCAGAGACTCTCCGCGATCCCAGCGACATGATTCACCAAGTGCGTAGCCGCATAGTCAGCTGGGGCCTGCAGCTCGTGCAGGTATTGCGCCAGCTGCTTCAACCTGGTGTATGGCTCAAGCGCGGCCTTTGGGCTCTTTGGCAGGTGGCTTCGCGCCTCGGTCCTCAGATTCTCAACATCCTGCAGCAACAGCAGGTATTTATGCGCCAGGTCCACCTTCTGCAGCTTGTGCATGGGGCCCTCGAGTCTGCGGATGGCCTCATCAGGTGCGTCAGAGCTCGAGACGATCTGCAGGCGGACGTCGATGCTGCGCTGCAGTGACTGAAAGTCGTCGATCTGTTTCTGCAGCGAGGCCTGCCGTTGGTCGGCAGACTGACGGGCGACCTCGAGGGCGTGGGAGGCGTCGTCGAGTTGGGACTGGAGCTGGACGTGCTGCTCTTCGACGCTGGCGAGGAGCTCGTCGAGGTTATCGAGGTCCACGGTCGACTGGAGCTTGTCGTCTAGATAGTCGTCTAACCGTACGTCGTCCGAGGACTGGGAGGGAAAGGAACGTAGCTGGACTGCCATGGTGAGAGATAGGTGTTTTCACCCGAAGTCGCGTCCAAGGCAATGGAAGGCAGCCACATAGGTCTACGGCGATGCTAATGGATGATGCGCGACGTTCAAGGAATCTTGCTGCAGCGGCCGACAGCTGTCTCCAACTTCCAGTACTCCAAGGTCGGATCTGTAACTCAGTTCCGGGGCCCACTCGGTTCCGAGCCCCACTAAATCGTGCAGGGGGTGATGGAGCTCCAGTAGATAACTGCAGGGTGTCCTTCTTCCAAATCTCTGGAGAAGCGAAGTCTACCACCGACAAATGTATTCCTAGCCGGGTATCTATCCACTCTTTGACTCAATTGGCTTGAACGAGTCAGTATGATTGACTTCAGTCGACGAAAGTGAACGGAGTACTCGGGGCTTTCGTCTATGGAAATGCCCGACTCCTTCGAGCACTGTGGAAGCCTTCAACTTCGTCTTCCCCTGTCCGGGCCCGAGCAGCTCTCGATCGTGCCAATTTGCTTTCGTTCCTCTCTTTAACTTCTCGTACACAGCTCCTTCAGCTTTACTTAGCTGAGGGTTGATGAATCCATGCCTAGTCCAAACGACGGCCATTTTGGCCCCAGTGAGTTTCATGACGACTGGCATGAGGCATGAATGTTGTGACCAACCTTCCAAATGCCGTTTACTCGGGGAATCTTAGTCTACGTCCCAAGCCTCCAGGCGGTCCGAACCCCGCAGGGTGGAAATCCGAGCTTACTGTGACGTTCCGGGCACTAGGCGGACCGCCGTAATAGTACTTGAATCAACCGAACGCCCTTTGCCAGCGACCTCCTTGCCATTTCAAATCATTGGAAATCTACCCCTGGTCCTCTTCAGTTGCGGCTGAGACTCTCGGCTACACCTCACACACGGGGTACAAAGACACATCGCTTCCCAGGCCCTGCAACACTTATTTGCAGAGCCCCTTTGACCCGTTCTGCCTCACTCTTTCGTCAACTAAGAGCAAAAGCCAGATATCCGCCGCAATTGTTTGAAACACCAAGAATTTCACCATTGTAAGATGGGATGGCCGTGGAAATTTGTCTCCTTAGATGAGGACGAGGTGAGGCTCAGGAGGCAGACTCTGGACAGATATGCTGGATATGCACAGCTGTCGGCCTTTATTCCAGTTCTGTTGTTCTTGATCTACAGGCTGGTATCCCGGGCCATCCGGGCAATTGAGGCCAAGAAGGGCGCCTACAATGCAATCCCAGAGTCTCCGTTGCGGAAAGTGAGGAGGCAAGGCCCTCTTGGAGCGTGGGAATCGCGGTATCGCTATCTGCAGTGGTGGCTTGGGGACGACGTCGTGTTCCTGGGCCAGAACTGGGGCCAGAGAGACGAGTGGGTCTTTGGGCTGGGCTGGGGGCTATGGATGGCAATCCTGACTGTGTTGGGGACCGATGATGGTGAGGCAGTCAAGATGTCTAAAGTAAAAACAGAGAGTGCTGACAAGAAGCAGATTATCTCCATCTCACAAAACGAGCTGGTGGAATAGCAATTTCTCAATTGCCTCTTCAGTACCTCCTGGCACTAAAGAGTCTCAACCCAGTCGCCTACATATTCAACTCATCACATGAGCAGATCAATCGCTACCACCGCGTGCTTGGCCGCATCATATATACGTTGCTTTTTGTCCATGCTGGCCTCTACCTCAACTTCTTTGTGGCCTCGGGCCTACTGGTACAGAAGCTGACCACATCCCGCGTCGTCATCACTGGGATTGTGGGGATCTGGATGATGAGCTTGCTGAACGCAACAACTCTGAGAATGATCCGAAACTACTCTTATAGGATATTCTTCATTGTTCATCTCACCGTGGCGATGATAATACCGCCCCTAATCTGGTTCCACGCTCACTCGTCGAGGGTGTTCCTGGTCGAGGCACTCGTGGTTTTCCTCGCCGACATTATCACCCGGAAATTCGACACTTTCACCGCCATCGCGAAGCTGGAAAAAGTACCTGGCACAGGCCTCGTCAAAATCACCGCACCAATTCCAAACAAGAAGGTTCACCGGTTCCAGAACCACCCCGGCTCGCACATCTACCTCCAAATCCCTGCTGAGGCTCGAACTTCGGACAGCCCGGCTTCAACGGACTACCTTGTTCACGAATTCCTGTATAACCCTTTCACGGTAGCAGATGTTGACGTGGAAACTGGGAATCTCACACTAGTGGCAAGGCAACTCAGTGGGCCAATGACCACGACTTTGAACCAGATTGCGACCAAGAACAGCCGTCATGATGCCACCCAGCTCCCACTATACATCGAGGGACCATATGGCGTCGCTAGCCACTTCTCAACCTTGGCTGAAGGCGAGTACGACCGCATACTGCTAGTCTCTGGGGGTGTTGGTGCCACTTACACAGTTCCTCTCTACCGCGCATTAGTCAAGGACAACCCAACTGCGCAGGTCCAGCTGATCTGGGCCGTGCGTGGCGTCGGCGATGCCTCTTGGGTCGCGTCTGGAAAAGACGGCAAGAGCTTTACCGAGGACGAGGGTGTGCAGATCTTTGTCACAGCCAATGAAGACAAGCACGGCGGCCAGGAGGCGGAGGGTGGGGATGTGGAGCTGACCACGATGCATCATGGCGGCGAGATGAGGCACCAACTCATGCGGCCGAACCTTAAGAGGGCCGTGGATGATGTATTCCAGCATGGCCAGGATGAGCGGGTGGCGGTCTTGTTTTGTGGGCCAACGGTGATGGGCCGCGACTTGAGAAATCATGTCGGAGCTTGGGTGCGCAAGGGGAGGGTGGTGTTTTGGCATAGCGAGAGCTTTGGGTGGTAGGGCAAGTAGACAACCGGCACTATCAAACTTGACGCATCAGATACGTTCTCTCCTCGTGATGCAAAGATGGTTGAGCGATTGGCCTTGAGTCGCTTCAATGCTCGCACGCTTGTTTGCTATGAATACATGGCTATTTCGAGGCCACATAAGGTGTCCAGCATATCCCCAGTTTCAACATCCACATGCTTCATGTTTTCCTCCTCTCTTATTTGTATTCAGTGCTGCCAATGTAGTTACAGGTGTGGTGGAATCCTCGTAATCCGCAATAACTTTCAATTTGTATCCATCTTCACTTTCGTGTCTGCTGTTGAAGTGGTTGACAAACTCTACAAGCTTCTCATGCGTGGGCAGACAGACCCAGCCATAATTCTTGGACGGCTGAATCCCAGCAGCTGTTGGCCCATAATCCGAGAAGTAGTCGAAGAACCCTTGCAGCGAGAATCTGCCCAAAGCCCTATGCTCGCTGGTCTCGTAGATTCTCGCCGTAAAGGGGTAAAAGTAAAAAGGTCTTGGTCTCACCCTCCACAGCCTCCGTGTGAAGGAGGGCTTCTTGTATATCTTCTGCTTGCTTGATTTCTTCTGCGACTGGCCAATGTCCAGCGGTGGAGAAGATTCTGGTCGTCTCATCAACTCAATCAACCCGGCAGCAAGGCGAACCACATCGTTTCCAGCGCAGTGCCCCCAGTTTATATGGCTTCCGACTGCATGCCGGTCGTCCCTAAACCCCAGCGCAATCATAGTATCCCGGAGACTAGGCATTCGGGAGTGGCCAGAGGCATCGGCAGCAAGCTCTTAGACATCCACCCAACTCGACAACCGCTCTAGCAGACGTGGGTAATGGATCGACAACACCCGAAGCTCGAAGCTTAAATCAAAGCCGACGAGGACGGGTTCCGGACTGGCGTTGAAGGATTCCATAATCCATAGTAATTTCTCCTCGGCAAAGTCTGCATCCACCAGATCAACCTCGCCAAACTCAAAAGCCTGGCCGCATTTTGACCGTTCCCTGCTGCGAATGTGAACGCAGCAACTCTGAATTCCATAGTGTTTCTGATATGCTTTCAACGTCCGAGGCAGGCCCGTGTCGTCGTTGTGGGTGGATTGTATGGGAGGTATGTAGGCGATGCCAAACTCGCGACACTCAAATGGGCCGCCCGCGTTCCACGGCTCGGCGTCGACGACGACGATGCCGCGTGATTCGACCTGCGACTTCAGTGTGGCGAGGTCCGATATGTTGCTTTCCCAGAGCGACTTCCAGTGCCTGGTCTTTAGTTTTTCCTCGTACCTTTTTGCGTAACGCATCGTGGAAGTTGATTCGCCCTATCAAATTGGAGGAAAGAAACTCTGAATGGCGACAGTACGGGTGGTACCCTTGGGTAGATTATTGCGAATCACCTCTGTGGAACACACCGTTGGGTGTGCTTGTCACTTAATCCTGCACACTTCAACTGCGAGAGCCAAACTGTGACTGATGTTTGGTATTGACTTGGAACTTTTTGCGTGAGTGACTGAGGTCGATGTGACAAGCTCTTATGTATTTATGGAAGGGGGTTGAGAACGACTTGATTTTGGACAAAAAATGGGGATCATCAAGGCCCAAGGACTAGTTGGAGGCTTGTGGGTTCGTCTCTACAATTTGCAGGAAATCCAAAGGTTAGCCGAATATTCAGTGCGTAGAATAGATGTTATCCTACAAGATAGAGGAGTCATTCAGAGGTTTCCCTGCACGAGATTATTCATGACCTATAGAAGGCTGGCACACAGCAGGTATCCGACCGCAAGGAGTAACATGTACTGGTCAAGTTGTATCCGAACGTTGGGATCCCTGCGGATAGTAAGTATGGTTGTGTGCTTTGGTGGGACATAAGGGTGTCATTTCGACATGAAATACACGTTGCCTGGTATCATGTCTAAACGGCCCTTGGCAAAGTCTGGCCCCTTTTTGGGACAAAATGCCCATTCCATTCGATTTCTCCTTTCCTTTTATTGCTCAATGATAGACGTCAAATCCCTTGTTCCAGTTGTACAAATCCTGCCAACGCCAATAGCCAGCCAAATCGCCGTGAAGGTATCAGAACAGACCGTCGCTCTTGTGTCCAGCGCCATCATTTTCAAGTCCATTGCGCACATGAGGATGCCGCCCCTCAGTCAGCGCGCTTCTTCGGCTCTTCGTCATGCACATCATCTACTCCATCCCAGTCATCCGGCGCATTCTCATCCCAGTTGTCGACCTCCTCCTCTAAAGTCGTTGCCTTGGTAGACGGGCCTTCGCCTGCAGCGCCTGAGGCCTCCGTAATGCCGCTCTCTTGCGCGCCAACGACGCCTTCGCCGAGCTCGATGTCGCCCTCGTCTTCCCCATCAGGAACGGCGGTGTATGTCTTGCGGCTCCTCTTCCTCTCCAACATGCGCTTGTGGTACACTGAGCACAGCCCCAGCCCCGCTAAGCTCCCCACCAGGTTGGCGACGATGTCGTAGAAGTCAAAGTCCCGACCGTTCGGTAGGAAGCCCTGTAGGAATTCGGAGCCGACGCCCAGACATAATGTGCACACCACCAAGGTGAAGTGGAGGGTTCGCCGGCGGTTGGTGTCGACGATCCAGTAGAAGACAACGGTGAGGAGGAAGAAGGTAAAGGCGTGGAGGACTTTGTCGTTGACGTAGACCCCAACCTGGAGGGAGGTCAGGCCAGCGTAGCCTGCGAGGAGGAGCAGCAGGAAGAAGACTCCTGTCGTGGCGTCAGTGTCTGCCGAGTATGGCGGGCTAGAGCTCGCCTGGGGAGCCTTGTGGAGGTGGAGTGGAGAGGGGAGCTTGCTGAGCTGAGTGAGAGCTCCAGCTGTCTACGAACCTGCGAACGGAAGGCGTATCCTCATCTCTGTAGGTTTGATGTTGCAAGGTTAATCATAAATGATCTGCGGTGATAATCATGGCTGTCGATAAATGCGGTTTGGATTTGAGACTTGGTTGGGGTGGAAAGCCCAGTTGTTGCAGCTGGTGTCTGTTGGGAGGGTTAGCTGCTGGAGTTTGCGATACGCAACGAGTTCCAGGATGAGGTGGCCTGGAGCTTGCTTGCTCGCTTGCTGCTCGCCCACCCACCACCAGGGCATCCGAGCCCCACCACGGCCCAGGTGTGACCGCCGTGTCGGGCCATCCCCACCCATCCGAGTGCCATGTGGATGGTATTTGGGGTCGTCTATGTGTGTATGCAGGTGCGCTGGAGCCTGAGTAAGACATCGGATGCTTTACTGTCACTGTTTCCTCATGGTCTAGCATGCAGATGTATCATTATCCCTACTGATGCTCATGTCGACTGTGATATCACATGCCTATTCCCATGCCCACATGCATCAATGTACCGTGTATCAGGGGCTGTTGATGGACAGGTAATCAGTGTTGCCAATCAGTGCCATCTGGATGTTCTGTTGACGCGTTGTGCTACGCCGCCAACGTCATCTGCACTGCACTGCACTTCGAAGAAGAAAACTTTCTCGCCAGCAGTATCAAACACTAGGAATCATGGTTTTTGGAATTGGCATCATGAATCGATACATGTCATAGCGCTCCCTGCCTTTCATATGAAATCGAATGACAAATGGCACTATGTTTTCCGCCCTCGACTTGACTACCAGCTGCTTGCGGGCAGGATCACCTAAGCGGCGGGATTATGTAAGGCAGCTCGACCGCGAAGTACATCGAGGACATGGTGAGATGGGATGCTGAGGGATTAGATTGTGGAGATGCAAAAGAGAACTGTGGAAATTCTCGAGAGGGAGGCACCTGAATTAAATAGCATCTTTGTACAAGCCCACGACTGCCCACAACGGCGCAGCGAGCCCCGTAGTATCGTCGAAGTGAGGCAGAGGTACCTGGCGAGGCTGCTTGGGCGCCGAGGCCCACACTCCCGTCGCGCGACGGTACTTGCTCCACCCAAAACGGGACATGCGCTCTCCAGAAACAACGTCAACCCATCACGTCCACGACCATCGCCCGTCGCAATTCCATCACCTCCACCACCACATCATCCCGAACCGACCTGCACTCCCTTCTCCCCATCTATGTCAATGACGCGCTATCACCCGGTGCCCATCTAGTCAACCGACTCCGACCGGAAGGCGGTGGAATTCCACTTCGACCTCCGGCGCATGGGTGGTCCGGCCGTGCATCAGTCCTGTCCATCACCCAGGGGCCAATATGTCTCTGCATCAATCCCAGAACGGCTGGCCAACACCAGGCGCCAGCCAGGGAAACGGAATCAAGATGAATCAGCCTCCTTCCGATGGCTCGTCGCGATCCCAGAACGATGCGACATTGTTGATGCCTGAGGCATCAGACAACCACGACGAGGACCATCGACGCGCCCATTTCGCCAACCTCTTCCGCAAAACCGATGCCAGGATTGCCTCGCTCTTCTCCGATGATGGCGACATCAATCCGACTGCCATCGAGTCCTTGAAGCGACCTCCGACCGCTGACGACTCCTTCAACCTGCCCCCGCCCACGACCGACCACGCACCCATCCAGCCACCACCCCTGAAAAAAGCGAAACGTGTGATTGATGAAGATGATTATGGAGACGACGACGAAGATGATGAGGAAGAAGAAAATAACGCTGAGAGCGCCTCTGCGCCGCCAAAATCCCAGACTGCTGCAAATGCCGCCGCTGCCAAGACATATCTCTCCCCATCCAAATCCGGTAGCTCCCCTGTCCAGTCTGTCTCTTCTCCCGGCAAAAATGGCGACAAGTCAAAAGAGGATGGCTCGTCGCAAGACCAGGCCAGATCGTCTGAAGATGCGCGCAAGGAATTGGAAGAGGCCCGCAATGCAACCGAGGAGGCTGCCAAGCGCAGCTTTCACACACTCTTTTATACCCTTGAGAATGACCGTACCGCCATGCTAGAGCAGCAGCAACTAGAAGAATCCGAGAAACAGATCCAAGCCGAGATGGACAAGAACGGCGGCAGCTCATCCAACGAAGGGGCCAGCCAGGGCCACGGATCCCTCAGCAGCGCCAACCTCGGCGCATCAAGCCTGACGCTGAAACATCTCATTGCCAGAATAGACATGAAGCGCAGTCAAGTCCAAGCGACCGATCAGGAGCTGCGTAGTCTCATGAATGAGGTTAGGAAGAATCGATCAAAATGGGCGAGCGAGGACAATGTGGGCCAGGAGGAGCTTTATGAGGCTTTGGAAAAGGTTCTCAGCGAATTGAAGGCGCACACAGAGTACTCGACACCATTCTTGCAGAAAGTGAGCAAGAGGGATGCGCCAGACTACTATAACGGTAGGCAGCACTTTACCCGCCCTAAAAGACTTACGCAAGCACTGATCACCCCCACAGTCATTAAGCAGCCAATGGATCTTGGCACCATGACCAAGAAGCTTAAGCAGCTCCAGTACAAATCGAAGGCCGATTTTGTCGCCGATCTCAGTCTGATTTGGGATAATTGTCTCCGATATAACCAGAATCTGAACAACCACCTCCCTCGCATGGCCAACGGCATGCGCAGGGAGGCCGACAAGCTCACCCCGCTAATCCCTGACTTGGTCATCAGACCTCGCGCCGAGGTTGAAGCCGAAGAACGTCGTAAGCAGAATGGTGGCGAGGATGATGCAGGCGACGATAGTGACGATGAACCCATCATATCCTCACGCGGTCGCAGCAGTGCCACCAAAGGAGCTACGAAGTCCAGAAAAGCGCCTTCAGATCAGAAGGAAGGAACGCCAAATAATGACACCAAGCCTATATTGCAACTCAATGGAATCTTGGCCAAAACAGGCCGGGAAGGGTCTGAGATGGGCGACGGCAGCAATGGTTTCGGGACACCACCTGTCGGCTCCTTCACGCCCCTGGGCCAGCACGGTCAGTCCGGACTTGGCAGCAACGCTGATGCCATGGAGATTGATGGCCCCTCCTTGAGCGGCATGGTTCTCGACCATGCGCTCGGTGAGGCTGCCGAGCAAGAGATCGAGGACGAGGAGTACAAGATCTGGAAGCAAGTCACGAAAAAGGATCGTGCTTTGGCTGCTCGGGAGCGCTACCAGCTGTTCAAAGGCAACAAGCTGAACGTCGACGAGCCAGCACTCCTGAGGACCAAGGCTGGCATGCGGAGGGTTTTTCGAAGCCAAAAGCAGGCTGAGTCTGCTGGAATCCTCACTGCATCCGGCGGCGACTCATCAGTCATTGCTGCGAAAGACGCAGCGAAACCGGTGGAAACCCTTGCCGAGGGCATGGAAGTTGAAGAAGAGCGGACTATTCCTGACTATTACGAGGTGAGCCATCTTGTGCCAGATGTCCCACCCAAGCTGCAATGGGTCGAGGACGACGAGGGCCAAGTCATCAACCAACATGAAGATGTCTTGCGAATGGTACCGCGAGGCTTCTTCATCGCCCCTCCGAGCATTCTAACGAAGAAGTTCGACGCGAATCTCCGGCAGCTACAGGAAACCAGGAAGGTTGTTTCGAAGATTGGCGTCATCAAGCAGATGCAGATCCAGTCACAGGTCTACGCGAATCAGTTTCCCAAGTACGAGCCGGAGCCCTTCGTGGAAGCTGACATCGAACCGCATTTCGTGGCTGGCGAAGCACCTGTCTTGGCGCCTGGTGTTTGCAAATCAGCACTGCAGCGTTCGGTGGCCAAAATTTTCTACCATGCTGGATTTGAAGAGCTGCAGCCATCTGCGCTGGATGTGGTTGCTGACATCGCCGGCGATTATTTCGAGAAACTCATTCGCACCTTCAATGTCTACCAGGAAGCCGAGAAGAAGAACGCCACGGGCGTATATGCGGAGCGTGGAGCCAAATTTCAACCGCGCTTCACCCAAGAGGAGGTCATCCTACACACACTCAACGAGAGCGGTCATAGCCTTGAAACTTTGGAGGGCTACGCCAAAGATGATGTCGACAGACTTGGTACCAAGCTTGGAACAATGCATGAGCGCATGAAGTCCCATCTCGCGGACTTGCTTCGACCGGCGCTCAACGACGTCGGGCCAGACGGTGCTGGAGCATTCAAGGACGGCAGTGAACAATTCGTGGGAGGTGACTTTGCCGAGGAACTCGGTGAAGACTTCTTTGGCTTCAAAGCCCTTGGCCTTGACAGAGAGCTTGGTTTGGAGATGATGTCGGTGCCTCTGCATCTACTCCAGACTCGTGTCCGGAACACGTTCCAGTCCCAGGCACAAACCGTCGACGCTGAGATCCACGATGTGTTTGAGCAGCTTCCACCTGCAGAGCCGGTCACGAAGGATAATATCCAAGACCAGATCGGGCTTGTCAAGAACTTCTTCCTCGCCAAGTTGCATGCTAATGGCGATCAACCTTTGGTAGAGGACGAGGATCTTCCTGTCAAGCAGAAGAGGCCTCGCCCTCGGCTTGGCGCCACTGGAAAGATTGTGTCACCTCAGAAACGACCACCAAAGGAACAAATCGCCCTGGCCAAGAAGAAGAAGAAGCTCGAGGCTGGCAAGGCCCAGATCACCGATCCGAAGCCCGGCGGTGCCAACTCAACACCCGAAAAAGGCAAGAAGCTGGGCAAGAACATTCCCGCTCTCCCCAATGGAGCTGCCAACTCCCTTCAGGCCCCTGCAATGGAACGCGTCGACAGCTTGCAAAGTCAAGGTGCTGCGAGCAGCCCGCCTGGCGATATCAAGGAGGAAGCTGTTGGTATGTTGAGCCCGGAGAGCAACGAACAGTAGGCGTCCGAACATCCGAGTTTACCGTCGCGAGGCGCAAGGAAACTGGAATTCATCGCGATATCCAGGCGCATCATTACTTGACACCGGCAAGAGCGGGCTTAACCGCAGTGTTATTTCGAATACTTTCTTACATTTCGGTTCCCTTTGCTTGCCACTTTTGGCAACAGGGCTCCTCCCATGCACAACAATTACGGTCCTGTGTATTGGGTATCACATGCGACGGCAAGCATCCACGTCAATCAGCTCAGCCATGCTCCATTCTTAGCATGGCTATCACCACTCGAGGCAAGCACCCAGGCCTGCAGACAAACTCTGTAGTGGGTTCCAAATCTTTAGGATTTGCATCATCAATATATTGAAGGAAAAGTCCTTTCCAGGCATCTTCATCCCTTGCTACATGCCAGGTTGACGGACAGATCTGGTCTATGAGCTTTTCACAAATCAATACCGTGTCGGTTTACGGGGTGCCTCATTGCCGCTCCACATCTCAACCTGATTACCGACCATCGACGCCCTAAGATATAAGCATAATCACTAGGCCATCCATATTCATCAACACTCTTCACCTCAACCAACATTGCTCTTTTTGGCTTTTCACAAGGCGTTCGGGAGATATACTGCATCGAAACCCAGGGAAATAAAAGGGTGGGCAGGCCACATTGTCCATTACGGCATGAAACGAAACGGGAACAAATTGATGGCTCCTTGGTTGTTGTGCCACTTCTTCCCACGCCTCAATGCCGCCCTCAAAAAGAGATACCTCGATTGACTTTTTCGCGCTTCTTCATCAGGCCAGTCTTCGGCCTTGCGTTTCATCTGTATTAAAGTTTAGACCGGTGTCTGTGTTCGGCAGGGGCGGTTCGTGTGATGCTGGGGCTGGTTCTTTTTATGGCGGGCTCTTCTCTGTGCTATCTTGTCCCGAAAGCAGGCTTGGTCCGGTTGATTGTCGGCTCGGCTGTTGGTGGTATACCTTTCTATGGGCTGCTTTGTCTGGCGAGAGACTTCTTCGGTGGGTCCCAGCTTTGACAGATGGGCTATGTTATGAACGAACTGGGCGAGGGATTCGTGCCCCGTACCTTCGAGACGGAATGAATTGGTACGCTGGGTCAGACATGTGGGCGTGTGGTCGAGGACGGAAGTGGCTCTGGCAAGTTTGTGGCTGCTGGCGGGAGACAGATAGGTGGTAGCACGAATCAATATTTGAGCCTTTTGTCTCATTAACGTCGTCGATGTGATCTGTTGAAACCGAGGCCTCGTAGCAGCGATGAAGTTTGTGTCTGAGCTCAATTTCCGCTGTATCTCATTGCTTTGTAAGGTCAGAAAGGAGCTCGCTGTACTCAAGGTAGAAAAGGCCAGCTTTAATGATGTTTATAAGTCTTATTCTTTAGATATTCCGAAGCCCTCAGAGTTTCTCATCCATAAGATTAGGAACAAAACAGGGTGATTTTCCGTGATTGATTGTTTATCTGACGATTGTATTGTACATTCTTGACTGACAACTAAAGAGTATTCTGACCCTCCCTATCTGAACATCTTTCTCAAGGCGATCAAAGTGTACAAGACCCATCTGGATCTTGTAATAGTGAAAAAGCGGCTCTTCCTTGTCCCTTCCCCTTTCACCCACTGTTCGATGACCCTACATGATGAATCCGCGCAATATCTCCCTGGGTAATTAGACGTGCTCAATCCTGAAGTATGTGTCGTATGGGTATCACCAGACTTAAACAGGACTTAGAAGGTGTGAAGAGACCAAATTCCGAGGTCCACTCTCCCTTCGCCTTTACCACCAGTGCAGTAGAGTGATGTACCTTGGAATGGGTAAAGTGCTCGTGAAGCTTTGAGTGCAGATGACTATGCAGCCTAATTCTCATCGGAAACATCAAAACCTTCCGGTCTCTGCAGCCTCGGTGCCTTCGGTGGCCTCGATCCACTGTTCAATGCGCTGCCGCTTTTTGTGAGCCTGAGACTTAGCTCAAAATTAGCCAGATATATTCATTACGGGAGAGCCGCGAAAAATTCTGGGTAATCAGTTGTAGCTTACAGAGCCAGGTCCAACGGTCATTGCCGACTTGCTTCTCTTTCCGCCCTGGAGACCCTTCGCCTGCCGCTCTACATCGGCATTCGCCTGCTGATCGTGTTCCTTCTCGGCCTCCTTCGCTCTCAACCGCTCTTGGATGTAATCCTTCCACTTGGAATTATGTTTGGAACGGGGCTTGCTCTTTAGATTGTGATACGTGCCGGCAACCGAGCCCCAAGAGCGATTCATCTGCTTTGCTATGTCCGCCCAATCGACACCATCAGTTTTGAGATCGATCAAATCGCGTATCTGAGGCTCGGTCCAAGGCATGGCCCTGCTATGGGGGGTGTCAGTGGCAATAGGAGCAGGAGGGGTAGTGAAGGTTTTGGCGGTTCGTGCGTGCGAGGGCACATCCTTATTATCCCGCTTCTCGTTGAACTTCTGTTGAATGATATCCTTCCACATAAGATCATACTCTCCAGAGGCTTTGTACCACATTCTGGACCACTTATCATTGATAGATCCGGCAGAACGGTGCATCACGCGCGATATGATGGGCGCCGAAACTCCAGCCACCTTGAGGCCGATCATTTCCCGTATCTCGGGTTCAGTCCAGGGTCCCATCATCTGGCCCTTCGACTCGTTGTAGTTCGTCTTCGCAGTCCTCTTCTTCTGAATGTAATCGCTCCAGTTGAGCTCGTTGCTCACTGTCTGCCACTTGTTGTTGATCGAAGCGACGGAGCGGTGGATTACCTCCGACACAACCAGGGAAGATGCGCCGGCGACCTTGAGATCGATAAGTAGGAGTGTCTCATTGTCATCCCAGTGTTCATGTGAGCCCTCCATGGGATGAATGTCGATGTTTTCGTTTGTGGCCAAGGTGGGCGGCTGAGGGGCCTCATCCTCCTCTTCGTCATCGCCCTCACTCTCAGCCTCACCCTCAGCCTCGCTCTCGTCGCCCAATAGGCCGCGATGGAGACGAACTGGGTCCTCGAAATTGGCATGAAGGCTGGGCAACAGCTTATTGCTGGCAATCACCTGGACCGAACCGTAGAACCAAGACTTATTGATACCGTACTTCTCGGCCACATCTACGGCCACATCACAGATTATCTCGAGGTGGACCGCCCGTTTGTCTGCAGCGAGAACCTCCAGGGGGAGAAGCCAGTGAATTCCGTCACTAATACTGTCTTTGGTCGGCTGGTCGAGATCAGTCAACTCAGGACGGTTCTCAACCATTGTGAGATGAAAGTTCAGCACGTAAAGGATCGCCCGATTTGCGATATCCGCAAGCGCTTGATGGTCCATGATCAAGGCTGACGGCGAGCGCAAGATGGATGGTGACAATTGGGAGGGAAAGGGACAACTGAGAGGGGTCAATGAATGACAGTCGCAAATCTCAAGAAATGACGAGGACTGCTAAACCTGGGGTGGTTATGGACGGATGATTGTGGTTATAGGTGAGCTGCGGTTGTGAGTTGCGGTTGTAGGCAAGGTGCGGTTATGGGTGAAGGAGTCGGCGAGCAAGTCGGTGAGTGAAGACAGGCAGTTTGAATTATGTTGAGGTCTTGTTTGAGGCAGCCTAGAGCCAGAAGTGAATAGGCAGTCCAGCGTTCGTCATGCAAACAATATTACAGCTGCACCAAGTGAAGACCGCAGTTGTCAAGCCTCTCCAATGTTGATCTCACAAAGCCCTCACCACCTATGAGGTATATCTAGGCCTCCCTCCTCTCTCTTTAGGTGTAGCCTTGTGTGTGTATGCCTGTCTATTATGACTTAATCACCTGCTCCCCCACTCCGGCCAAGATCTCTCCTGACTCTCCATGTTCTAGACCCAACGACCCTCTTCTCACCTCCATGCAGGCTCTCGACCCAAGGGATCTCTTCCTTGGGCCCATCTCGGCCCTGGTCGACCTCATCTTCTATACCTTCGTCACCATTCTGAGAAGCACGATTATAGTGGTCTTCGGTATATGCCCACGTCGGAGCATCAAACTTGCCCGACACCAGAACGATCTCCTTCCCTCCCAGGTCACTTGGCGACGGCGGCGACACCAGAGCCAAGAGGGAACGCTGAATATCGATACCGCGCACGAGGGCCAGGCCTAAGCAGCGGGAGAATTTGGGGCGAAGGGTTATTCCGTGGCGAATGTAGGGAATCTGCTCTGGCGTCCGTCGTATAAAGGTTTCGAAGTCTCCGGTTTGAGTAGTATTTGGCTCTCCTGTTCGGTCTAATACCACCGCATTATCGGCCTGTGCGGTGGTGGAGAATGCTCTGCGGTTTTCGATCTCGACAATTGCCAGGATGGTGCCATCAATGGAATCAGCGAGAAGCTCTGGTTCTGGCTGATAACCATAGCACACCACCCCGAGGATCCCACCACCAGTTCCGCTGTAGTTCAACAGAAGGGGTGGTTTAGAAGTAAGCGTTTGAGAGTCCCATCGAATGTTAGTGCCAGTGCTTAGTTTTGGGCTCATATGAAAATAGGACATTGCTTGCATGTGTCGTAGGTGCAAAGCAGTTCTGGAAGTATACTCGCTGGATTGGGATGGAAGTGTGGTGAAGTCGATTCCTCCACACACTGACTTCAAGCCTTCGACGGTGTCTTCCGGGCCATCTTCAGACATGTAAATGACCTCAGTCGGGTGAATTTTGGATATGAGATCCACGAGCAGACCTAGGCCAGTACCTTGTATCCAACCAGGAGTGTTGACCACTAGGGGATAGGCCTTGTGAGATGACTGATAGATATCATAAAGGTCTGCAACACAGTCCTGGTAGTGCTCTATATCAGATGCCGGGGTGACAGATGCTAAAGCATGTGACCTGGGTATAGATCTGATATCAAGAGATGGATGGCCGAAAGGAGGTGATAAATTTGGCTCCTCGAGCTGAACAAGAGAGATAACGCCTGGTGGTGAGAACTCGGGCTGTCCAGGATCAATATCTAGAACATCAACACCGGACCAGGCTCGCTCCTTGTTGCTTCCCCTGTCGGTCAACAATTTGTTGACCAGGAGCCGCGAGAAGGTGGATTTGCCCGACGATTTGGGACCACACACTAAGACAAGTGGAGGCTTTTGCAGCTTTTCTTTGAGCAAATGCGCAACTTTTTTGTTCCACTCAGCCGGCGATTTGAGTTCGTGGATTATGGCCTTCTTGGGACCATCTGCAGAGCTGGATAAAATCTGATAGGTCTTTCTTGTGGCATTCTCTCTTTGGCTGGCTTCATTCCACAGCACTCCGAAGAGGGGTGATAGCTTCTCCAGAGATCTGAGCTCGGTGGCACCTGGGTGGTTGTGAAGCTCAATCACAGACTGCTCTGCACATCTCAAAACAGGCAGGGCATGACAATGAGGTGCATGAACCCAGTGTATTGTCTGTGAGGGAAATAGATTGGCCCCGGCAATAGCTGCCTCGCCACTCTTGACCTTGATGCCATAGCTGCCCAGAATTACCAGACGCTGTCCTGTTATCAGCAAATCGAATTTGAAGATAGACTTGTTTAGGGCATGACCTTACCTCTCCATTTGTGAAAGTCAAGAGGGCAGTACCATTGGCTTTTAATTGAAAATTGCTCTTGGTCGGCTTGAAGGATGACAGTTGGACCACCTTGCGTTTGGGAGGCTCCTCAGCTGGCTCCGGAGTCTGTAAACTTTGCCTTACAGTCAATATCCCGATGGTGTCTTTGGATTTGGTAACAGCAAGATATGCACATACCCGTCCCCTCCAGCAGGTATCTCGGCACCTTCTAGCAGCAGCCTTTCAAATGCACCTGAGGCCTTGTCCTCTGCCCCAATTCCTCCACCAGATGCTTGGTCGCTTTCCTGAAGGGTTTTTCCATCGCCCTCAGAGGAAGTAGAAGCTGCTGAAGATCCTGTCTGCCTCTCTAGAAGCCTCTTCTTGAGGGCAGCGGCACTCAGCACTGCAAGAGAGGTCAGTCACAGTCCTCACTTTGTGAGACATCAAATCTTCCACCCAGGACAAAACCTACTTGGAGTGCCCTGGCCGACCTCGAGCTTTCTCTTCTTGCCCGATGACATTTCTAAGGCCGCAGAGATTGTAATGGGTTTATTAGGGTTCTTCCGTCATCTCGTGGGCAGCGTTCCCGCAACGGCGTCACCAGCCTCATCTCATAGGCCTCAGCCAGGTTCGAGTGCGATTGCGATTTCCAGTGCGGCCTCAACGTCAGTTGGCTCTGGCTCAGGCGATCGCGGTAGGGTGGAGGACCCCGGCCCTGCTAACATGGCCCTTGCGAGTTCCCTGTAAGTCCGCGCTTTGCCCAATCACCAGCACCAGCTATACCCCACCTTGCCCACTTCGACCCTGCCAAAAGTCGTCCCAAAGATTTCCATTTCGGAGACGCGACTTTTTGGCCGTCCCTCGAAGAAACTTTGCAAAAACTTCAACGATCACACTTCACGCTCCCACACGAGGCACGCCGCCGACTGCGTGTCTTCCCTCTTCCACCGCGCTCTTTGCTACGCAATTGGCGCAACTCTTCCCTCAACTGCCCTGACCAGCTTTCCAATACCTTTGAACCGTGCTGAGAACCTTCGTCTTTCCAGCTCGCCGAACGCGAATCGAAGAAATCACATCTTGCGCGCAGTCGCTCAACAGTCACAGTTCTACCCAGAACTCATTCAATCGGCTCAAGACGCCATGGCCGGCACCAGGGCTCCCTCTGGCAGCTTGCGCAATCATGCTTCGACCGCCAGCAAGGCGTCCAAGGGCAGCGTGTTCGGTGCTCAACCATCTGCGCCTCAGCTGAAGCCGGGCACATTCATTGGCGACAGTTCCGACAGCGACAGCGACAGCTCCAGTGACAGTGACAGCGGAAGCTCCAGCAGCGGCTCCGACTCAGGCGGCAACGGCAGGAAGACCGTTGGGCAGACGCCTCTGTCACAGAAGAAGGCAGATGTCGCAAAGGCAACACCTGCAAAGAGCCCGACCGTCAATGGCCTCAAGGCATCGATCAAGAAGGAGCAAACAAATCAAAAGATCAAGAAGGAAGTCACAAGCTCTTCAGCATCGTCTGAGAGCGGCAGTGACAGCGGCAGTGAGAGTAGCAGCGGCAGCGAGAGCGACAGCGAGAGCGCGTCCAGCAGCGAGGAGAAACCTACCAAGACGCGCGCAAAAGGCGAGGAAGTCAAGAACAGCACCAAGACAAAGCCGAAGCCCGCTGCAGCCGAAGAGTCGGAGAGCTCTAGTGACAGTGACAGTGTGAGCGACAAGGCGACGAAATTCACGGCCAAGTCCGACAAGAAGCAGGCAGCACCACCAAAACCCAAGACGAAGCCCGTCAAGCAGGACACTTCGTCCGAGTCCGAGTCCGAATCCGAGTCTGAGTCTGAGTCGCGATCCAGCTCACAAGAAAGCTCAGCTGAAAGTGAGAGTGAGAGTGGCGAAGAGAGCGAGGACCCTGAGGCTCAGATCCAGCAGCAAATCAAGAACGACCTCAAGTCGGCAAAAGCCACGACGGCTCGAAGCTCTGCCTCATCTTCTAAAGTTGAGCCTAGCAACAAGAAGGCCAAGGTCTCTAAGCCATCTGTTCTCCAAGACGGTGACGGTGATATCGAAATGTTGGACCAGTCGACTGCTCTGACGAATGGTGGCGTTCCCACTAAGGTGTAAGTTTCACAACAAATACGACACAGCCGGAAAGCTAACAGAAAGGACAGCGGCTCTGTCCCTGAGTTTGTGGCACCTGACTTCCACTTGCGCAAGATTGATGGCAGCATTGGCGCTTCTGATGTTGCTAGTTTCTTTGAGAAGGCTAAGTTGGAGGGCAAGCAAGTCTGGTACATCACTGCGCCGGCTTCCCTCCCCGTTACCGTTGTGCAAGACTTGACCATCCCCATGGATCAAGCACAGAAGGGGCTGCCTGTCCTCACCCACGACGGAGACGACTACCGTATAGCTTTCGATAATCCTTCAGCCTCCTCGTCATTCAGACTTCTCATCCCGAACAAGAAGGGACAGGAGTACTCAGAGCGTAAGCAATTTTATGTGCCAGACTTTCACTGCATGACTGACCATCTATTAGTTGGGCGGCCTGTCAACCAGACGATGCATTTCACTCGCAGCGAGACATTCCCACCTGAGGGCACCGCTAGCGTTACCACAACCCAGACAGTTTCCAAAACCACGAGACCAGCTCGGCCTCAACCGGAAGGACTTCGTGCTAGATACACTCCTCTGGGCGTGCCGGCCTCGAAACAACCATTACCCGCCATTGCCAGCCCAGAGAAGAATAAGTCTGTTGCAAACGTTGCGGCCCAAGAGGCAGCGACGATCAGCACCCCCAGATCGAGCTCCAGGAAGAAGCGAAAGCATGACGGTGAGAACGGGCCTGCGGCAACCCCTGCCCACAAGGACTCCAGCAAGAGTGCCAGCGCTGAGAAGTCCGCAAAGAAACAGAAGACCAACAGAGACCATGAGCATGTTACCGACGGACAGGCTAGCCAAAAGGAGACTCCAGTGCCTCTACCTCCCCACTTCAATGCTAGCTCCAACCCCAGCACCAACCTGTCCAGCCCGAGAGCTGGCTCAGCGGCACCCTCGGCGACGCAACCTGGTCCTGTCTCCAGGAGATCTGCCTCCCCAGGTGCTCGCCTGCCGTCCACACAGCTTTCGGCCAAGCAGACACCAGTTCCCATCCCGGTGCCAATCAAGTTGAGCAGCGCTTCAAGCCTCCCTGATATGAAGGCCTCGGAGGGAAAAGAGCGGAAAGAGAAGAAAAAGAGCAAGGCAAACTTGCCCAGCGTGGACAAGGTTGCTGCGAGATTTGGCGAGATGGCTGCGGCGAGATCCACTGAGAAATCTGAGAAGTCCCCTGAGAAGCGTCCAAGAACTCCCAAGAAGAATACGCCTATCTTGCCTCCTCGTCATGACAGCAAGGGGAGGCCAACCCCCTGAATGCATAATGGCAACAGGAGGTAGCCTGAAGTGATCAGATAAAGTGATGTTAATTTGCAGAAGCTTTGGATGGAATTGTCTATTGGAACTTTTCAACCGTCCGCTCGAGAGGGCAAGGCAGAATCTAAAGGCGAGCCCAGCAACCAACCATATCTGTGGATCTGGCTATGCGAAATCGCCCAGCTGGAGGGATGAATCCTGCAAGGATCAAAGGAAAGAAGCTAGTTGAAATAAGAGTGCCTCCAAGAAGTGGTTCTTGGATGCCAAAAGCAGTAGGAGTTTCCAAGTGCGGTCTGGACACGGAGACACATCTGAACGGAACGCACTGTTCGATGTTTTTGTTTTTCGTTTTCAAAGGAAAAGCTTGGCATAGGCTTGTTCTTCTGGACAGCACGGCGTTGTAGGAATAGCTAGGTAATTGAGATTAGTCGGCTTCGCAAGAGAGAAAGAGAGTGGCAGGCTACATTGCAAAAAGTTACTACCCCAGAGTGATTCAGTATGTCAATGACAAGGACCAAAGATTGCTGAGCCCATCGCCTGCTTCTCGGCCTTCATCCTGAACTAATAGATATACCAAAGTCAAAGCGGTCCATCTTGGAAGTTGGAGCCTGAGCTGGCAAACAGCGAATCGCGTAAGACTGAAAATATGAGCGAGGGGAATGATTTCTCGCCTTGTGCGCGTTCGATAACCGTTCTGCTAATGAATATCGACGGCTCTGTATTTGAGTAGCCTTGGGTCACTTCTCGCTAAACTACACGACTTGTCGCGGCGAGCCACTCCTAAACTTTTAGTCAATGCACAGCTTTAGTACATTTCAAAAAGACCATCATCGTCTGGCTGCGCACAGCATCATGGCTAATTGGCAACTCAATCTTCTGCCGTCGTCGAATGATGTCGTGTCAGCATGGTTTTACTGTATGCTAGGCTATATCTGTGAGAATCAGCTGGATCTCGTAATTGTATCTATTTCTCTTCAATCAAGAGAATCTACTGTCATGCGCGAGTATATGATAGTCAGCGTGCAGTTCCCTGTCCAGCGGTACGCGCACGCCCGCCGGCACTGACCAAAGCTCGCCTGAGATCTCTAACGATGTCTCACGCGCTAGCATGATCGCACCGTAAGTATTGGCCAGCTGCCCGGATAGGAGGCATTGCATCTTGTTAAGGCCGCGGCGGAGGGTGACAAATATCAGGCCGCCTTGCTTGGCTACGCGGTGTACGCGGCCCTGCACACACACCCGGCGCGCTGTTTGATCCTGGCTTGAAAGGCCATTATTTGACCCAGATGATGCGATTGGGAAGAATTGAATATGTGGAGGCCAAGTAGCGCGGCTTTCAAATGTTGGATTGCTCTGCGCCGCAGCCTTGACGGCAAACATAGTGAATCACTGGCCGCCGCATCAGTCCTCAGACCACTGAATAATGAACTATCGGAAATTCTTGCTCTCGATAAGTCTTTTTCAAGGCTGTTCGCGCATAAAGTTCTGCATTTAATGATGGGCCAAATCACAAGCCATTTATGACAATTGTTTTAAAAAGTTTAAGAATTCTTTCTCGATTTAATTACTGGCCCTGGATGTCTCTATAGTGATTGGCATTGGTTCTTATACAAGCTTTAATTGAAACTATTAAATAGCTAAAGCTGTATCAAAAAAACTTATTTGAAAATGTTTACTTTTTTTCTCTTTATTTTGAATTTACGGACTCACGGACTTTGACGGCTCCCACAACGCTGAGAGGTTTAAGTCGTCATTTTTGTCCATCTACTGTACTATAGTATGTCAAACGACTCAAGGCTATTGCAAGACAAACGCATCAAGCGGTTGTACAGCCTGAGTTCCTTTTTCCGGAGCGGCGAGTAGGACATCGACATATGGTGATAAACACCACCAACACGCTCATACCAAGCGTTCCCATTGTTGTCCATACCACGCTGCAGAATCCAAGCTTGAAACCCCGTCCCATGAACGTTTTCGTGAATATAAAGCAGCACGAGTATCAGCTCACCTTTCTGCAATGCCTTCCGAAGGTCAAGGCGAGAGACGTGCCTTAAGCCATTCGAGTGGGTGAGACATCCATGTTTTCCGTCTTGTGAGTGCACGTGATGATCCTCCTCACCCCATGGCATGGCGTAACCGAATAGTCGAATCGTATCCTCCGGGTCCCCTTCCTTTGCCGCCGCAAAGGCGTTGGGTGGGATGGCCACGGACTCAAAGCTTAGAATCTGCGGGCCATCCTCCCCCCAGGTCGAGGTACTCGCTTCCTCCCACGTCATCCAGTTGAGGTCCCTAAGCCGCCTAAGCGTTCGCCGGAATCCGGGATTCTGTACCTGAAATGCTACCCTTCTCTCGAGGGGCAACGGCAGCTTCCACTCCACTGAGCCTACCCACCCCGCCCACGACCAGGAAGGAAAGCCGTTCCTCCGCGCATTCCCACCTGGGCCGTGGTGCCAGCAGAGGCCTCCAGCGTTAAGTGTTGCGTTCTGAACGTCCGCGGGCAGTCTTTCTTCATCATCAATATCATAGTGGAAAGGCACCCCCTGCACGATGGCGATGTTCCACTTATCGAAACACATCCCGAGATCGTCCGACCGCTGTGAAGCAGTATCCTGGAAGACCTCCCACTCAACGCCGTTGACGTCCTTCAGCACAGCGCCGAACGCGCGCAGCACATCGTCCGGCATCTTCAGGCTCCGTGCCGAGTACGCGCTCACGAGGTACGCCAGCCAGCTCAGCAGGTTTGACCAATCCGCGGTGGCGAGAAAACGCGTATTGGGCCCGTTCGGCAGCCACTTGCTCGTCCAGTGCCGGTCGAAGTCGCCGGCGCCCTTCGCGCGCACCCACGAGTTCGTATCCTGGTCTAGCATTTCCCGCGCGCCCTCGGAGCACTCGAAGTAGGTGCCTTTGGCGTGGAAGACCAGCACGCGCCGCGAGATATACGACTCCTGGTACGTCCACCCGCGCGTGTTCCACACTGAGTTCACGATGGTGTCGAGGGCCACGGGGAGGTGGGTTTTATGATGATGTCGACTGGTTGTGTCGCTGTCGCTGTCGGGGACCTCACTCTCGTACCATGCTGCTACAGCCTCCTCGGCTGTGCACGGCGCCGCTAGCCCAGCATCGGCATCCGCGCCTACGGCCGCCACAATAGTCACCTCTGCATGCATATAGACCTCCTTCATATCGTCAATTTGGCGCGCCTTGACGGCCGGGTCCCCCTGATTAATACAATACTGGTCTACCCAGATGTACCGGATGCCCAGACGGTCCCGCGTCACAACGATGGCGTCCTCAATGACACGGGACACCTCGGCGGCTAGAAAACACTTGTTGCCCCCGTCGCGTGCGGCCAGGGGCTTGGGCTGTGTATTGGTGCCCCAGACGTAGCTGAGCGCGACGTACGAGACGGACGAGGTGCTGTTCATGAGCTCGCGGGTTTCGCAGTCAATAAGTGTGATGGCAATATATGGGCCGCCAGGCTTTCCGCACGCACTGTGTTCTCGGAGGCATGTTGATAGCGGCTGCAAGATCTGAGAGAGACCTGGGAATAGCGCTGCGTTTGAATCTTGGGCTTTATCACCCTGATTGTCGCTGTCTGGGGCTGGAGATGGTTTCGTCTCTGGATCCTGAAGCTGCTCATGGGAGTCGCCGCCATCCAGCGCTGGGGAGAGCTCTTCTGCAGCTTCGCAGGGAACGGCTGGCTTATCACTGGCTTTATGTTCTCCGCTAGCTTTCTCGCGACTCCGGTGGCGATGCGCCTTCATCCATGATACAATTTTCCGAAGGCATCGTGGATGCTTGTTGTGCTTCTTGTCCATTGGTGAAGTCGTCTGCGGAGACATCGTGTGCCTAAGTGAAAACTCACAACACAGCACAGGATAACTCCCCAGGCACCGAGAAATGTGGTGGTTGAGAGTCCATTTCAACACTTGGGACCTGCATGTCGAAAGAGACAGAAGTTTGGGCCCCTTAAATGTAGGTATGCGTTGTCAGTGGAGTACAGAGGCGTTCGCCGTCTTTCCTGTACAGCTAGCAAAGATCTATCCACACCTAGGGGCAGGAATTACCCACCTATTGCCCAAGCTCAGACCCCAAGTCCATGGACTTAGTTATATAATCAAGTACCCATAGGTTTATAAGTTCTTTCTAAGTGACTTCTAATAAAATCTTGATATATTATACTATTTTCAAATTTACACAAGTAATAACCGCTGGCTATAGTTAGCTAGAAGAATACTACTGAACAGAAATACTCTTAATATATATAAAGGTGCTCAGCTTACTGCTACATTACTACCTCTTATCCAGAGCCATAACATACACAACTGCTTGGTTACTGTTTAGTAGTTAAGAAAGGTACTGTGAGGCTTGCTGACTAGGTACCGCTCTGGACTTATAAGGCTGCTAGTGCAGCAGCAGACATAACCAATCATGAAAGCGGCAGCGTAGATCGCTTCACAGATATTATAATTTGAAGCCTTGGGACTATCCCTCCGCCCCGCATTCCTGGTAAGTGTCTCGAAAGCAATTGGTATACGTGATGAATGTCCAAAATTAAGGCATGGTGTCCGCAGAAACATTTTCTCACTTCGATGAGAAGTACATCATTGAAGCTCCTCCATATTCGACAATCAAGTATCGATGCCACTCAAATATTTTGGAAGTCAGAGTTCGTCGAGTCCACTGAAATGCCTAATGACGATGACAGTGAACCATCTGCTCGGTTCAAGGATTTTGACGACGCCAGCACTATCAGCGGCGCCGATCTTCTTGAGCACAAGGAAAATGGCGACGGACGGGTCGTCAAGAGAGACTACCTTCGACCTCAGATGCGAGACTTCGCCGACTGGGCATTCGGACCTGGAGGGATCGCCACGTTGCAAGTCATTGCCTGTGGGGACTATTCCTACGGGGGTCGTACACGTTGGAGAGAGCATGTTGAGGTTATTCTTTGCCGGAATAGGCAAGGGGCGGGCAACGGCTTCCGGATTCTGAACAGGAGGGATTACAGAGTGAGTGAGGAAAGGGCTAGGATCATTGATGAATATCGATATCTTCTGGAAGCCTGCCCGGTGAAACCTCTTCTTGAATTATGGTTCGACTAGGAAAAGGGTTGTGCATTGTTTGTTTCCCAAGTCTTGTTTTTGAAAATGTGAAAAACACCTGCCCTACAAAGTGATATCAAGGATGAAATACCACTACAGGTTATGAGAAGTGTGGTTCTGGCTTAATAAAAGAACTCTTAGAATGCGCAAAGTTTCCCACACGTCGTGGGAAGGATTCGCAATTGTACCACGACCAGCTCGCTACGGATCTTCCTACCAAGCAATCTGCTGGGAGAAATATGCTCTGAAGATCTCAGTAGTAGCAGCAGATGCAACCCAACAACCTGGGCGACGCTGACAGAACACAGACGAGTCCCAAGAGCAGGACACATGCAATTGGGCCCAGCGTATCGGACTGGACCCACCAACCAAGCATCCCGCTCACGACAGAGCCTCAATTTGCGCCGATCGAGATCCTCCTTCCATCTCACATGCAGCAGATCTACAGATTACATCCATGCAAGAGCAAGGAAATGTCCGCGGCCACCAACGAGAAAAGGGGGGGCAACGCGCGAAGATTTGTGGCTTATGTCGTGTAAATGTCCCCCGGAGGATCGGACACGGGATGCCGCGGACAAGGGGTCGGTTGAGGGAGTAGGCTGATGCTCCGGCGGAGGGCTCTGTCGTGCACGTACGCGTATATATGTACAGATGAGAGACTGCGCCCTCAGTGTGTATACTTTGGTCCTGGGCTTGCGTTCTTCTGTTTTCAAATTCCTGTGGCTTAACCCTTTTCCGGTTGTCTCATAATTCCCCCGATTCAGCTGCGCCGCGGCTGAGATTCCGCTCCTCCTGTGTGTCGCTCGGACATATTTAGAGACACATTTTACAGCCCTTGGAACGATGTAATAAGGCACTGTTTGCAGCAGTAGAGAGTTCTTGTATTCATTCATCTCCTGTTCTTCAATTACATCTACTACAACTATTACTTCTAAATTATACTGCCACTCGCGGCCTTCCTGCGAGGAAGCCATCTCGGGCAAGCGGACCTGCTCCTCCTGTCCCATGTTTCGGGGCCATTCCCGGCATTTCGGGAACATTATTCCCCATTTCATGGTCTTGTACCATTACTCATTCATCTAATTCATTTCCCATAAAAGTTTCCCGTTCGATGTTGTTGCGCTGCTGTGCGAAACGCCGTACAAATGCTGTTTGCTGTTGTCGAAAAAGGGATGTTGCAGGTCACGCCGCGAATCTTCGAGACACGCTCAAAGGACGATCGACCGTACAAAACAACCCAAGGGGTATCAAGTTAATTTGAAACGAGAGTTGCAGAAACAGAGCTGTGTTGGGTCTGGAACCCGGAGAGACGAAAGGTTTCCCCATGGTGGCCGTGATCGATTGCGGAGGAAGCGAATCGGTATGGTTCTGATTCAACACCAGGAAGCTGGTGCAATGATCAGATCGGCGCGATCGATGTTCTCCGCAGAGAGCAGGGCGCGATCGTCGCCCCAGGCCATCTCGGTAGCTGCCGAGAAGGATCGCTGCAGGGCCGAGGAGCGCCACGAAGCCTAGCCCGCCGCCAAGCGGCGCGATGGGCTGCTTCTCAGAGGATGGCTAACCAGGACCGTGGCTGATCACGGAAAAGACGAAGACTGATGCCTGGTCGGAAGATCCGTTTCTGACGGCGAGCACCGTACAGAATCTGAATACGACCATCAAATTGCCGTGTCGACTACCTCATCACCACGACCTCGGCGACCTCGTCTTCCCTCGCAGAGCCGCGCTCGCCACCATCCCACATCAGTTGCCCGTTCATGTTCATCGGGATCGTCACGTGGTTGAAGTCAGGCTCGGTCGGTGTCGTCGGGGACATCAAGGTAGGACTCGTGATGCTGGTGCGGGGCGAAGACGAGCTTGAGAAGCTCGAGCTGCTGCCGATGGTCCACTCGTCGTCCTCGCTCAGGTGAGTGCTCCTCCTCTCGAGCAGGCCCATGCCATATTCGCCTCCGACGCCGACGTACCCGTACTCCTCGTCCAGAGTCTTGGGCTTCTCGCCGACCTCAACGTACTCGTACTCCCAGCGGTTGCGCTTCTCGGGTTGCTGGCGCGGGAGGTAGCGCGTGCGCGCAATGTAGTAGATGGCGGTGGCGATCAGGCTGCCACCCACCAGGTCCACGGCGTAGTGGTGGTTGAGGTACATGGTTGCCCACCACAGCCAGCCGACGTACATGATGAAGAAAGCCCTCCCGCGGGGGAAGCAGAAGCTCATGAACAGCGCCTCGAGCGTGGCGTTGGCGGCGTGCAGGCTGGGGAACGCGCCAAAGGGCACGGGAGCGGTGGTGAAGCTCGTGGTGTACATGTCGACCCCGAAAAGCTTGTCAACACGGGCCAGACCGGCAGGGCTGCCGGGCATGCCGTAGTGGGCGGGCTCCAGACCGTGTTCCTTCTCGTACCAAGGCGGCGTGCATGGGAACGCCAACGACAGTGTGACGCCAGTCAGGGCGAGCCAGCCGAAGGATTTGGCGAACACGGGAGTCGTCGAAGGCGCGGCGAAGATGAAGATGAAGAGAGAGCACACAGCGGGGCCGCCGAAGTGGCCGATTCCATAGGGAAGCCATGCGAGTAGGTCGAGGACGGGGTGGGTGTGCGCAGAAAGAATGTTGGACAAGTTGGCGCCGTAGAGAACGTTTTCGAGGGCGGGCAGAACCTTTACCCAGATGTGCGGCCGGTATTGGACAGGGATAAAGCTGTTGGGGGGTTCGTTGTTAGCTGAAGATTCATGCAAGCAACGCCAACCGGACGAAAGGCGAACTCACCGACTGCAGAAAAAGTACAACAAGTATATCCAGATGGGCATCGAAGGCAAGAAGAACTGTCTCGTGGCGGGCATCAAACACACGAGCAGCGACAGGATGGGCACGGCGACCTTGACGAATATGGGCATTGGCGCTATCGCCAGGGAGAAGATCATGAAGCCAGCCAGGGCGGGATACTGGATATCCAGCCAGCCCCACCTATGGCGTTGGATTGCACGCACGCCGTCGAGAGGGTTGAAGGAGCGCTGCAGCCTCGTGATGCTGGTCGAGTCCCTGAATGGTTGCCTCCATGGCTTCTTGGATCGGCTTCTTTTACTTCTGCTGCTGGCGGGGCGGAACTGGTCGGGAATGCTGATGCTGAGAGCGCCGGGCCACTGCAGGTGTGGGATTTGCAGCTTGGGCTTGGCCTGGCTCAGGAACGAGTTGATGTCCTGCATTGTTGCAGTGGCGGCCAGTTCCGAGCTGAGGGTGTGGACGAGCAAAGAACTAGTAGCGAGCCGGCCGAGTACGGGATCGGTACTTGGGGTGGTCTGGGACTGGGAGGCTCAGCGAGCAAGTGAGAGGCGGGATGTGGCGACGACTTTTGGAGTTGGATGACGCTATTGCCTGCTCATATCATGGTCTGTGGTGGATGGACTACAGGCTCGGCTCGGACACTCGGACGCACAAAACGCAACACGGAGGGTTGACGGGAGAAAACACTCGACAGGAGACCAAAGTTGGATCCAGGGAGGCAGACGACAGGATGATAAGTAAGAGTGTGTGTGGGCGAGGTCGAGGTCGAGGTCGAGGTCAGTCCCTGTCGTCCCTTTTCATCCGAGACTCCCGCGCGGCACAGCAAGGAGCAAACAGCAAGCAGCAGGCAGCACAGGGCGAGGTGTTGTTGCTGGTGTGAGCGGGTCGCAAGGAGAGGGAAACAAAATACGGGAGAGGAGGGCACGAGACGAGTTGAAGAGCAGGGCAATCCTTTATTATTAAAGCGAAGCTGGAGGTGAGCAAGGAGGAAATGCAAGATATGGCCCAGCCCAGCCCAGCAATATGGGACGGATACACTCGAGTACTAATCAGAAGCAGAAAAGCGCACAGAAGCAGAGGTCGGGCGGACCCAAGTGCCCGAATGTCGCGAGCGCTTCACTCTCTTGCCTCTTTCTCTCTCTTTCTCCCTTCCTGCCTGCGGGCTGCGGGTGGCACATGTGCTGTTGGCGCCGGTGGTATCGGTACTTGGGCGGGCGATCCTGCAGGGACTCCCTGCGCAGATACCTTTTGGCGGTCCAAGATGGGCCCAGATGGGGTACCAAGACACGCAAATCTTGCAGAGCCTGTACCCTGGTCCCAGGCAAGCTCTTGGCCTCTTGATGTCACCCCCAAGGCCCCAAGGCACCAAAAGGCACACCTACACCCCCAGTGACCCCCTCCAGAGCTGTCTGTCTGCCGGGTGGGAGCAGGGATCAGCAAGCGCGGTGTTTCGAGGGCCCATCCGTGCCTTCCGAGAGCCCGATGGGCACGCGAGCTTGTTGTTTGGCCGGTGACTCTGGGCACGACTGGCCACGCTGGGTGAGGGTTGCCTGCCTCTTGACATTTGACAATTCTGACATCCTGATCCCATCATTCAATAGCTGCCTCACCTCACCTCAGCTCTGCATGCGGCAATCAGTAAGCAACACAGCATAACACATCCCAACCCAACCCAGCACATCACATCGACAAGAATTGTTTCATCCGACATCTACAGAACCAGACATTCATTTTCCCAGACTGGCTGTTCCGTTTTCCTCTGCCCACATCAAACAGAGAAATACTTTATCTGCTGCCCTTCCGCCCTGACGTCAAACACTCATTGACTCTGCCAAGCCCTCTAGCACTTCGCTTCCACGCCATACTACCACAGTGGTGACACACTCCATGCTGCCTCCCAGGGCTGGATTAGCTGGATTAGCCGGATCCTCTCTGGACGGGTCCCCGAGTCTGCCGGAAAGTGTCCGACCTGTTATTAGCACCGCTGGTTCTGCTGCTGCTAACCGCTGCTGACAAAAGCAAATCCTTGACCTATAGGCTAAGCAAATCCTCGTTCCTCGTACCCCGTCGTACCGCGTTTAGACTGCCTTCGACTCACGGAGATAATCTTGCTGCAAAAAACCCGCCTAGAAACTCCGAGACCCCGGCAGGATTACTACCACTACCCAACGCACTTGTCAGCAGAGCCGCCCCCGAGGTGGGTGTCGTCGGTCGGGCCACTCCGGGAAAGACACGCATAGGGCGAACAGGCGGGAGGATTGACTTCCTCGTCAGACTGTCATCTCGCTCATTTCCAATCTGTTGGTTCAAGAGATGGGATTCCAACACTCGCATCCTTTTCCCACAATAGGGTGAGCAGCCACAGCTGAAAATAACACACAGTCCCCGGCTTCCCGGCCGTCGCTTTCTCAGAATGTGTCGGAGTCGTACGACGAAGACCTTGCTGTCGATCAGGAAAAGGAAGCAATCACGAACACACGCGGCTGTCGCAACATCATCCCAGCTTTGCGGCGTGCCTCGACCCAGGCCCGCAAACCTAATCCGCGTAGGCCCACGACAAGCTGAAACCCTTCTGGTGACGGCGGACTGGATGGGATCGAAGTTAACTGTGCTCCGAATCCCGGTTCCCTGGCCGCTTCCCAATTCCATTGACTGCCAGGGGACTGCACAAGAACTCCCCAGCGCTTGGTCTTCTCGCCCTGTAGGTGGACCCAATGTACCAGTACATCCGCACACCACTAGCACATCCTGCGGTTTGTGGGTGTCACGACGGTAAAGCTCCACAGGGCCTGGCAATTGGATTTGGTGATCACCTAGCACAATTCGACAACCTAAAATGAATTGGGACGGAACGGCTTACTGTGCTACTGACCATCATAGTCGTTCAATCGCTGGCCTCGTTGAGGTGGCGGCTTTGTTGCCTTTCCTGGCCTGTGTTTAGCTCGCCTTGGAAACAAAGCAGAGACTGAGAGGCTTAGTTGATGGCGCTGGCTCTTGGCCCTGCAGACGTCGAGCTGCCATCATCACCAGTCAAACGATGCCCACATTTTCACACAGCGACAGTGCAGGGTCTCGCGCCCAACCGATCTAACCCCGATCAAGTCGGTCGGATGATTCTTCCCACTGGCTGCGGATCGGTCAACTGCAACGTTCGAGCGGGCTCCTCCACTCGGTGTCGGGATGTCAGTGACACACCCCGGTCGCGAATTCGTTAACGTATTCGCCTCTGCAGCAGGACTGCAGTGCGCCAGCTGCAGCGAATCGAATCGTATCCTACCGACGTTGTACGGTATGTGTCACGTCTTGGCTGCAGTGTTAGATACCGCCTGCGATCAATCAGTCGGGGGTGGGCGAGCAAGGCGGTGTTGGACACCGGCCTGCCAGCCAAGACAGCAAGCTAAGTAGATCTCTATGTGCCGGATCGCACGGCAAAATGACCAATACGGTAAATACGCTGAATACGCTCCCTGCGAAGCAGACATGGCCATGCACAATTTGTTTGCTGGGGAAATATTTGTGCTCATGAACGCGAGTGGTAAAGGCCATCAGTTCATCCTACTGCGTGAAAGTTCGATCTCGATCTCGCCAGGCCAGTCAGACGAGATGCTCCACAGTAGCGCCAGGAAATGCAGCTTGAAAAGATTCTCTGGCAGGCGGGTCGTGACAACAGACCGACTTACCGGCCAGCTCGGTACCGAGTCCGAGGCGCGAAGGTTTTCTGAGAACCCTCAGTCTACATGTCTGCATGTGCAAGCTCTTGAATTAAGACAACAATTTAAAATTGGCCATATTTTTTTTCTCTCAACCCATAAAACATCATATCAACTCGGGATGCCCATGCCAAACCACGCGGTCGGCTTCATTCCAGCCCCACAACTTCTGATCCTCGCGTGCTGGCATCCTATGAGTGGACATCGAACTCTTAGCCTGGAAACCCATTACCAGTAGCCTCAATTACTCTTAAGCCATGAGCTCGAACGGGCTGCAACTCTGCTGCATGCAGCCGGAGCAAGATGCGTTGGAACGACTCAATGTGGTCGTCGAGTCAAACCCCCACATCTAGAGATGCACCTAGGGATGCAGTCACAGATACTACACCTCAGACACGCGACCAAGATTGGCTGGCTGACTTGGATGACTGACTGACTGGCTTGCTCGCGCAAGCGGCAGGCCGGTAGGTCCGGACTTCAGTTCTGCAGCGATCACCGAGTGCCACGCCGGGATCACATGTGTACTGCATTCGCCCGCTGCAGGTCATTAGATTATAGCGTAGATCAACAAGAGCTTAGCAGCAACTGGAGCCAGGAACGAAAATTGAGTCAATACCGCGCCCAGAAACATAACCTTATTGCGCGATGGGGCCCTCTCGCGGCTCGGATTCGTCGGACAACCGGCGCGAAAAAGCTCTCCTTCGATCCCCTTCCCTCCCCTTTGCCTCCTGCCGGAAGTTTTCCACTTCGGCCCCGGCCCTACACACCTGCCCGCGGCGCTTGGGGGGGACCACGCGGTTACCGACACGCACGCACAGAGAGAGAGAGACGTTCACAGATGAAAGGCCGACGAACCGAAGGGAAAATTAGCATGCCCCCCCAGATTTGCTCACTGACCTCCTCAGAAAACCTCAAGTATAATAAGTACGTCATTAATTGTGGGCTACCGAGAGCCCTGAGCGCTGGCGGGTCTCGGTGAGCTTCCCTCTCTCGCAAGGCTCGCGGTTGCGCGCAAGGAGGGCAAGCGGCAGGGCGGGAACGAGGTGCCCAACTCGACGGGCGGGCTTGCCGTCGTTCCCGGGGCCGGGCTGTCCGGTCAGGCTCAGCTTCTTGGGCGGCGGGTTTGGGTTTCCTCTTCCCCCCTGGGGAACGGGCATCCTGATCCCCCGGGGGCGTGTCTTTGATGACTGGTGGGCCCCTCCGCAGCCCTGGTTATTGGCGTGGGTAATGCGACCCAGGTATATGGGCTCCTGGTAAGTGCTGGGGTTGGGTGGATGGATGACTTTGGTTTTGGCATGTGGACATCGATTTCGAGCTGCGAGGCCCTGACTTCAACCCAATCAGAATGACAGGACGATTGATGGGGCTTGTTGTTGCGCGACCGTTCTTGTGTCTTGAGCTGTGCTCGAGCTGGATTTTGTCCAACCTGAGCTCGTCGTAGATTTGATCCGGCCGTTTGAGAGAGGGAAAATCCTGGACAGGAGGGCCTATTGTTCGAGTGGCCGATGAGAAAGTGAAAGCGGCTGAATAGTCGGACTCAACTTCTTGTGAACGCCATACCTGAGGACATATTTCAATGCGGTATGACCTGTATGATGAACACAAGCTTATCCACTTGCGTATGGTATTGACCCCATCATGGTGAAATACAACTGAGTTATGTGATGCGAAGAAGACGGAAGGTTCTGGCCCAAACTTACATGGTGGCCTCCAGCGTTGCCTTTCTGAGAACCGACGTGGGCGACGATCTTGGACAGCTTCTCGCTGCTGCACCAACTAGCTGCAGCCGGTTGCCCAAATGATTGATTCCTGATGGACGCCCAATGTCTCTAGTAGCTCCCTTGGCTGTTGCATAACTCCTTTCCCCTAGTTCGAAGAAGTTCACGCGACGGTCTGTCCCTGTCTACCCAGATATATACCAAAAGAAATGCATCATATAGGCTGGATACATTCGGATATCATGAAGTGATTTCACATCTCTTGAAAACGCTGGAGCTCTCCCTCTTGCTCACTCTCTGCTGCTGCTCCGTCGCCTCGCGCCTGCTTCTACCTGCCCACCCAACTCCTATTCCGCCTCCTCATCTCCTAGGTGGCGTCCATAATCCTTTAGATGTCTCGACAACCTTGTTCACCTCCATACCCGGCCTCAAACTCACCGGCACCTGACTGGCCGACAGAGGCGGTGCTTCACCCATTGTAACGTCCCCATCGGGCTGCGTAGCATAGCCCGAGTCGTTGTTCCGACTGCTATTCATGCTCACACCGCTATCCTCCTTCTTCGCACCGCCGGCCGCGCTCGGGCTGGCCTGGCCCCTCGTGGGCTCCTGGCTCTTGGCGCCGTCCATGAGGCCGGCGGCGACCTGCCCCTCGCGCAGCTTGTTGATGGCCCTGACGGTGTCGATGGCGGCGTGCAGGGTGCGGCGGGCGTTGAAGTTCTTCTTGACGGTGGGCAGCAGGTTGGCGCCCTTGTCGGAGCCGTCGCCGGTCATGTAGCCGACAACGAAGGGGTGCTGCAGGGCCTCGTGGGCGGTCATGCGGCGGGCCGGGTCGATGGTCAGGCAGCGGCGGATGAAGTCCTTGGCGCCGTCCGACACCCCGCGCCAGTAGTCGACGGGCGTGAAGCTGTAGTCGGCGTTGAGGATGGCCTGCATCTCCTCGAAGTCGCTGTCGCGGTCGAAGGGCGTGTAGCCGCACAGCAGGAAGTAGGTGATGACGCCCAGCGCCCACAGGTCCACCGGCTTGCCGTGGCCCGACTTCTTGAAGATCTCGGGCGCCATGTAGCCCGGCGTGCCGCACGTCGTCGTCAGCACGTGGAACTGCTCCTCGTCCATGACGCGGCTGAGCCCAAAGTCCGCGATCAGCAGGTCCGCGTTGTCCTCGGGCGTGCGGAACAGCAGGTTCTCGGGCTTGAGGTCGCGGTGCACGATCCCGTGGTCGTGCAGGTACGCCACCGCCGACAGCGTCGCGCGCACCAGGTCCGCCGCGTCCGCCTCGTAGTACGACCCCTTGCGGCAGATGCGGTCGAACAGCTCGCCGCCCAGCGCCAGGTCTGTCACCAGGTAGAGGTTGTTCATCGTCTCGAAGTAGTCGACCAGGGTGAGAATGTTCTGGTGGCCCATCGAGACCTTCTTCAGCACGGCGATTTCATTGCGGACCTGGCGGTGGACGTATTAGCATCTCGTGCGGACGCGAAGCGGGCGTGCGGAGAGAAGGAGGAGTAGGAGCTTTTGGTAAAGGCTCTTGCGCACCATGTGTTCCCTCCCTGACATCAATCTTTTGTTGATGACCTTTGCGGCATAGTACCGCCCTGTGTCGATGTGCACGCATTCTTTGACCACTGAGTATGACCCTGCACCTAATGTCTTGCCGACCTTGTATCTGCATGGTTGGACTTGAGGTTGTTGCCCGCCATTGGCGCCGGCTTGTTGGACCGCTGCCGCCATTGTGTGCGTGTGTGTTCGCGCGGGCGTGTGTGTGAATGTATCCTTCTATCCGGATTGTCGGTCTGTCGGTGTGAGTCTCGAGGGGATAGGAAGAGACCGGTCTGGGTCGTGCCCCGCAGTCGAGGTCGTCGTCAGGCGATGGGCGAGGCAGCGGATTGTCGCCTGGGATGGGTGCAGCGATGACAAATGTTTACAGTTCGCTTCTGTTGGTGTTTTGTCAATACCACGCCTCTGTCATCGAGTTGTCGTCGTTGTCGTCGTCTATATCTCCTGAGACGGAGAGATTGCGCAGTCTCAGGGTCCTGCAGAAACAAGTGGCCAGGCCCAGGAGGATGTGGGTCAGCGTCTCCGTATTATTTTATCCCGGGAGAAGGCGATCGAGTTGGGCTGGGATGGCCTGGGCTTGGCTGGGCTGGCTGTTGGTTACACGAAGAAAAATGCTCGATTCCCCTCAGATCTGGATGAACCAGATTCATATGTCCGCAGCGGATCACGGGAAGCCTGATCTTCGAGAGTGAGCAATGCCCAAAGGGGACTCGCGCTGGTCCTGTTGTGTCTGGTTATGCTTTGTTGTACTGTGCTGTGTTCCCAATTGCAGCTGTGATCGCCATCAGCTGCAGCGCCGGTCTCTATCTGTAGGACTGCTTGCCCCTCACCACCGAGAACCAATCAACGAGAAACTGCAACTCCTGCTCGGCTGGGTTGCGATCGAAGGAATCAGCCAGTTCGGCTTGATCGTGTCCAATGACAATGTCCCAGCCCTTTCGTCCGTAACAAAGGCCCTTCTAAGACTGTGTTCTTATTAAAGTTGCTAGTGTCTCCTATCTCGACGTGAACAAAACCGCCACAAGGTTCATTCGTCCGAGAAGCTCTGTGAACTGTCAAAGCTCGACCCCTGGATCCTATCGAGAGCTACCATTCTAGCGTCTTAGTCCGAACTACCAACCATCTCATCCGTTGGGGCAGCTCGACCGATCTATTCGATAACTGAAGCCATTTCCTACTCGGAGCCTCCTCCCTTTCTGGACTGCTTCTTCGAGCTCTGAAATTTCTTCGCCTTCAGCCTAGATTCCCGGGATGACTTTTCCCTGGTTGGCGTTCAGCAGTCTGTGATGGTTCCTGGAACGAGAAGGAAAATGGCTTAACCTACAATGCCTTGTGCTTCTGTGTTTTCTCAGCGCTTGTGTCGCCGGGCACAGCGTCACTGTACATCCTGTGCAGCTCTTCTAGCAACTTGGCCCGATTCTCCTCGGCATTTGCGTTCCTGTCACGCTTCGTCTGCGCCTGAAAAGAGATGCAGTCCTTTCCCTTGACGTAGTTCTTGCAGGAACGCAGCAGAGGACGCATGAGCTTCGGCACGACCTGGCTCAGCTCTGACACGGGCCAGGTGGTGATTGCCTTGGTCTCAGTCCTGGGACGTGTACGGCATGTCAGTGGATCAGGGACTGGACTGACTGTCTGGAGTTGAGGAACCAATGGGTTGAGACAGACTTGTTCACATGTTGTCCTCCAGGACCACTTGACCTGGCAAAGGTTGTGCTGCCCCTCGGTAGAGCATCCTCATTGAAGGCCTGCCGCCATCTTCTGGCTTCTGCTAGATCCTCAGGATCGAACGCGGCATCAAAAGCCTGGTATCTGGCGAATCTCTTCCACGGTGCCACTTGGATGACTGAGGGAAAGTGGCGAGGCTGCGCGATGAGACCGGGAAGCCTCACCACGGATCTTGTCATGATCATGGAGTCATTGTACAAAGGCCGAATGACGGCCATCCGCGTTGCTGAGTTTGAGAGCGGAAGTCAAAATCAGATCACCGCAGACGGTACACATGCATGCACTGCACTGCACTGTACTCATTCTGTCCAAAGAGAGATGGATCAACAGAAAGATGCGTATTGCTCAGGCTTAGTCAGTCATGCGGTACAAAGCTTGGTCTACAAGCGGAGAAGAAAATGGCGAGGAAAAGGGAAAAAAAAGGATAATCCCTTTCAGACTAGCTTGACAAAGAGCTCAGCCTTTTTCCACTCGTGACGTTTTCAACCCGTTGAACTTGTTGCTAATTCACCACCATCGTCCTCCGTTCGCATCGTGCGACCTGCGGTCGGCCGCCCAATCTGACTGGTTCCAGAGATTGCGAGCAATTACCAAGCCAGATGAGCAAACTTTTTCCAGTTTCTTTCCTTGACCTGCAGGTGAAAGTGACGGTTTAGGCACCAAAGTTGAACAAGGTGCCCGCCTACCGCCCGCCGGGCTCGCCCTCAAGCTTTCAAGGTTCCCCTCCCCCACTTTAGCGCAAACTCAAACTCTACTAGACTACGCGGAGAGAGCACAAGCGCGCAGTATCTGTTTCCCCGTCCACAGCTTCCGAAGGATCTTCTGACGGACCCTCGCTTCAACTTCCAACTTCAATGAACACCAACCGTCTCTCCAAACCTACCACCACCAAGTCCCATTACAATGAACCTCTCTACACTCTGCGCCCTGTAACTGCTTTCTGAGACCCCTTGACGCCCTTCCCATCGACCTGACCCAGCCGCGCCGCGCGCTCCCTTGATGACAGACAACGAGAGCCCCAAGCTCGAGGCTGTTGCCAACCTCAGCCCCGTCTCGCCGCGCCCTCTTCATAACACATACACTCTCCCACAGGTTCTCCCAGAGCTCCAGGATCAGGCCGAAGATCCAGACGTAGTCCCCCTCGAGCCGGACACCTTCCGCACGGCCGCAGCAGCCATGGCCCCAAACCCTGACCCTCCCGTGAACGCCCTTGACAACAATGTTGCCGAGGGATCCTCCTCCGACTCGACTGGCAACGACGCCCAGTCGCAGGACGTTAGCATCGCCGACGACGACAGCTTCGAATACGACGAAGACGGGAATGGTCAAGAGCAGGAGAACCCACAGCAGGAAGGGACAGCAGTCGGCCCTGAGCCGGAGATCGATGACTATGCGAGAACCTTTGATTCTCCCAAGGAACAGGCCGATGTCGCAGATGAGGAAGGAGAGGCTCAACAACCACAACATGAAGATGTAACAAAGACGCCAGAATCCATGAACATTTCCGAGCAGCTTGCAGGTGTACCAGAGCAGTCTGCCGCCCAAATTGTCTCTGCTGATGCCACCGCCCTCGGCGCGCCCGCCCAAGGCTCCCAACCAACCCACACCGCATACCCGGCCCAAGACGCCCTCGTCCCTCCAGAGAGCGATCAGCAGCCTACCCCAGCCTTCCAAGACGCGCTCCCACATGCCTCCGCCAGCGCTTCTCCCAGCCTACCCCAGCAGTCGGTGTCATCTCCCGATCCGGACAAGGTAGACCCCGATAAGCTAGACACGGCTGTCCCCAGCAATGAGCAGCCCGACGTCCAGCCCGAGGACGTCGACATGAACATGGGAGGTGATTCCGATGCCACTGCCATTGATATTCAGAAACTTGTCGATGAGATAACTGCCAAAGCCGAGGCCGAGGCTGAGGCTGAGGCTTCGTCCGAGCAGCCACCTGCTAAGCCATCCGCATCCCTTCAGACCCCGTCATCTTCTTCTATGGATGTAGACCTGCCTTCTCTTCCTCCCAAGCCTGCCCTGACCCAAGAGCAGTCCCAGCAAACATACTCCCCAGCCACTTACCACCATGCTTCTGTGCCCAATGCCCCTCCTTATTCATCTGCACCCACTGGTCTTCCCTCTCAACCTGCATTCAGCGCCGCCAACGGTACGCCAGGCGCCCACATGTCGCAGCCACCCACTTACAATCCCACTCCCTCCTTTGCCTCCTACCCAAATGCTTATCCACCCGGCACCGCACCACCTTCACAAGCCCCTGCAAACAATGGAGCTGGTCTGCAGCAGACATATGACGAGTTCCTGGCAGACGAGCGGAAGCACATGTCTGAGGCCAAATGGGAACGATTTCCTGATGGGTCCCGAATCTTCATTGGTAAGTGATTCAAGCCGATCGATGCCGCTCTAGAAGCCTGGGTCCTAACAAAACACACAGGCAATCTGTCGCAGGAAAGAGTCTCCAAGCGCGATGTTTTTGAGTTGTTTCACCATTACGGACGTTTGGCCCAGATTTCTCTCAAGTCCGCATACGGCTTCGTCCAGTATCATACGAATACTGATGCCCAGGCTGCAATGAGTGCTCTGCAGGGAGCCGAAGTCAAGGGTCGCAAGATTAGTATGCCATTTTGCCCCGTGCTTGGGATGAGTCCCCACTAACAACATTTAGATCTTGAGGTCTCCAAGACTCAAAAGTCCAAGAAGGATCGTGATCATTCTCCCGAGCGCAAGAATCGTGACCGAGGCGGCAAAGGTGCCGACCGGTACGACGGACGGGACAGTCGTCGTTCTCGAGGTGGGGACGACTATCGCCCTGGCCGTTCACCATCTCCCCCAAGGCGTGGTGATCATCGTGGGAGGCAGGACTCTTACAACCGTGAACGTGGTGGCGGGCACCATGACTCGTTCAACCGCAAACGATCACGTTCTCCAGAGGCATTCGGAAGACACGGACACGAATCATATAGGCGTCGGAGCCCGAGTCCTTATGGGCGTTCCCGCCAAGGAAGTGACAACCTTGACATACCTCGCCGCTACGGAAATGACGTTCCCGACGTTCAAATCCTTCTGATGCAAGATGTCCACAAGGACTTTGTCGAGTGGGTGCAGAGGGCGTTCATGGATGCACGTCTCCGGGTGACCGCCATGTTCTTGAACCCTCGGTTTCCTCGCGATGCCGTTATCCAGCGGCAGGTTCTCGAAGGCGTCCATGCTGTTGTCGAGCTGGACATGCGCGCTCAGACAACGGCCAAAATCCCACTCCAAGTGTTTGATCGCTCTGCCGGCAACAACGTTCGTTTCGACCAGTACCAGGAGCTAGACCCACCAATTGCTGCCCAGCTGGTTCTGCGTACGAAGGGCTCCGTTGCCTCGCAGCCAACCTACCCACCGCAAGCCAGCTACCCACCCCAACCTTATGCGACGCCGGCACCGTACGGTGCTTATCAGCAGCCCGCAGCACCGGCCCAGCAGTATCCCGCGGCCGCGCCAGACCTAACGAGCATCATGAGCCAGCTTAGTCAGATGGGCAATGTCGACAGCGCGACCCTGCAGACAATCCTCGCTTCACTCCAACAGCCTCCTCAGCCTCACACACCCTCTCCGGCCATGCATCCCGCTCACTCCATGGGTGCTCAAGCTGCGCCCAACGCAGGAGTCGATCTCAACGCGCTGATCAATAACCTCGCTGCAGCGTCCGCTAATAATGCGCCGTCTGCTGGGGCGGCTTCCGGCATGCCTGGGTATCCCGCTCCTGCCTACCAACAGGCTCCCCGTGGACCGGCTATGCCTCCTGCTGCAGGATCGTCGGACCCGGCCCGTGACGTTCAGAACATAATGGACACGCTTGCTAGGATCAGGCAATGAACGGCCTAAGCCTGAACGCAAAGCGCACTATGATGACGAAGATGACAAGGCTGTTTGCTATTGTTCTACACTGAGCATGGTGTTTAGAAATGATTTGATAAGAACTGCCCCATGAGGCAGACTTTTGCTTTTGCGAAGACTCGTTGGACCAACGGGTTCAAGTTGCACAGAAAGGAGTCAGTTTCAAGGTGATCAGAGACCCTGAGAATAGGGCAGTTAGAACAGGCGAGAGGTACGGGTGCGTGTGATAGATAATCAAAACCTTGTACATTTCACTTTTATGCCGTGGCCTATAATCTCTGTCCCCCGTGTGAGTGGAGAGACATAGCTATATATATACAATAATGCTGGAACAACCCAAATTTATTTGTACACAGACATGCCCCGGGGCAAGCTTTCGAGCCGCTAGTGGCACTTGCTCGCCCAACCTGCCTACCATTTGACCTTGCCTGTCAGTGCTTCAAGCTCTTGCCTTTCCAAGGGCCACTTTTGCGCCGCCAGCAACGACACCATGAGCGCCTCTCTCTCGGCCACTGCCTCAGGGCTCCAAAGGCTGTCGCCCTCGCCGGCTTCCTGCTGGCCAGGAGAGTCCGGCTCCGCCAAGGCCATCCACCGCCCCAGCGACTTCCGCAACTCCGCGGCCGACCTGTCGAGCACAGGCAGGCCGCGGTCCTCACAAGCCAGCGCGACCTCTTCGTCCTCGAGCGCGGCGACACCGCCCGCCTGGGAAAGGAGGTGGTTGTCCCGGTCGAGGAACGTAACGCGGCCGCGCACCCTGCGCGAGGCAAGCAAGGCGACGAGCGAGTCCGGGGCGCGGAGGCGGTCCCAGATCGGCGACACGAGGCCCAGCGAGCGGGCGACGTGGGCCGTGACCGCGGCGCGGGACAGGGGCGCGCCAGAGTCATGTTCCTGCTGTAACCTCGCGAGCGACGCCTCCCGCCGCGCCTCGGCCGCCCGCCGTAGCTGCTCGACCTGCCGCGGGATGCGGCACGTCAGCGGCACGACGCCCGGCAGCGCCAGCACGACCAGCGGCGTGAACTCGCCGCATATGACAAACATGACCGCAAAAAGCGCTAATATGTGTTAATCACCTGCTACGGATCCCAAAGTGATACATTCTAGAACATTCCAAAGCACAAAGATCAAGGAACTGTAGCAGGAGAAGAATAGTACTTACGGAGCCGCCGGACGTCGTGGCGCCACCGCCGCTTGAGCAGCTCGGTCGACCGCGTCGTCGCGGCGGGGCGCAGCGTCGGCGGCGAGGCGGTGGTGCCCGGGGCGGGCGTGTCGGGCGGGATGCCCGAGGCGGAGCGCAGCGACCAGACGAGCCGCGTGTTGATGTAGATCTGCTTGAAGCCTGTCTTGTAGAAGGCCAGGTAGGCCTTGCCTGTCAGGAAGAGGTGGCGGAACCTGCTGGCGGCTGGGTCGCGCGCGGGGAGGGCCAGTGGGGGAGGGCGCGTCGAGGCTGGCGGGTTGGCTGCTGTTGGGGAGGTGGTCTGTGTCGGCTGGAGGGGGTCGCGGTCAGGATGCTGCGCTGTCTTGTCTGCTGTGAAGGCCATGTTGGCCTTTTTGGGCTTCCGGCGGGTGCATGGCGTGGATGAGAAGGGGCGCGGCGCGCATGGTGGTTGATGTGGGCGAGGTTGGGCTCGCTGGCTCGCAGTTGCGTGCAGCTGACAATAGCCGGGTCGCAGTGGCAGTGGGAATGGGGAGGAGCGTAGTGAGGTGCGCAGAATGCGCAATTGGGTAGTTGAGGTCATCTCATCGCTAGGCTGTGAGGTGAGGGTATTCAAGAAATGGTTGTGAAGGTTCTCAAAGATTCACAAAAAATGCGACTGTAAGACGGATGGAAATTTTGGCCAGCGGCATGGAATTCATGTGTAGCATTACGTCAATCACATTTTGGGGCTGCCGGATCTTAGATCGGGAGGGTCTAGGCCATGCAAGACCCCTGAAATCTGACCAGAACCCCTGTTCATCATTTTCCTAGGGTTCTATTCCCTATGAAATAGTATCCGTCTCTGTTCCTCCGCCGTTTTCCTAGCATTCATCCTCGATCCAATGTCGAATGCACTCACAATTTGGACAGTGACTTCGAAAGAACCCTGCGAGAGTCTCAGCTTCCAATCCCACGACACGACTCAGGCCTGGCTAGTTCAAATACGCTGTGCATTCAATCTCAACATCGGTGTTGAAAGGGAGCTGTTTGACAGCGACACAAGTCCGGGCCTGCAGTAGAGCTTTTCTTAGTGCAACGCTCTCTATGTTCGTAGTGGGTCAACTTACAGGCTTCGGTTCAAATGAGAAGAACTCATCATATGCCTCGTTCATTGTGGCGAAGTCGTCCATTGTGGTGATGAAGATGTTGACCTTGAGCACGTTTCTCTTGCTGCTTCCGGATGCTTCAAGGACAGCCTCGAGGTTGCTCAGAGCTTGCCTCTGCGATAATTGTCAGCTTACGTCCTGTATTGTCTTTCTGACGGTACGAGCTTAAGCTCGGATATCCGCTTCGCGGCCACAGTATCTCTGTGATGAATAAGTCAAATAGAAAGGGGAATAATAGGATAATCCGCCATAGGATAAGCAACTGTGGAACAACCTCTTATAGGATAACCTCCCTTGGGGTAACCTCCCTGGGATGAATTCCCTTGGAATAACCTTTCTTGGGATAGTCTCCCTTGGGATAACCTCTTTTACAGGACTTTGATATTGAATAGCCTTTCAAACGGGGACGTAAATAAATCATAGGGGTTTCCGCAGTGACATTTTCGCATTTTCTTTGAGTGTGGCGTTGTTGTTGCAATAGCTTATGTGAAGGGTAGACATACCGTCCTGTCCTTGACAGTCCCCTCCACCGCGATAGACGTCGCCGGGTGGAGGCCAATGTTGCCGGAGCAGTAGACTAGGCCATTGTACTTGATGGCCTGGGAGAATTGAGGGAGCGGCTTGGGGGCCTTGTCTGTCAGGACGCTCTCGATCTTGCTCATCTTGACAGTGGGTTCAGAGACAAATGCTTGAATGAGTGTTGAGGTGAAAGAGTCTACGAGGTTATCGATGTTGCAGAAACGTCCTTGCACAGCACACGGTCAATTTCAAATGCTGAAGAAAAAGGCAGAGGATTGTCTATCACGCCCTTCGCCGTTGCGATACTGGATTGCTGACTGGGCAGAGACAGGCGGCGGCTAGGAGCGGGCCACGATCCGATGTCGTGCCGGAGTAGCTTTTATGAACCAATCAATTGGATAAGCCGGCAAGGGGCTTCGCTGTCAAAGAGTGAAAGCGGGGATTTATTCTTCAACGTCCTGTGTTCTTATCTTTTCATCATGACACCACATCCCTGAGCCTCCTTCCATTTCAGCATCACACCAAATTGAGTAAAGAAATATCCATGAGCCTCGACACTGACTACAAATACATAAGAGCAGTGCGATTGCGAACAGCACGCACTCACTACTAACCATGGCGACACGTCGCCCCCGCCACCACCACTGACGAGGTGGAGGATATCTTGTGGAAAAACAAACAAATGAAATGAGCTCCAGACTCCCCACAACCTGCAAATGCTCGGACCCCAACGCCAAACGGGAGCCCAGTCCTCGACAGGTCAACCTGGGATGAGATGAGATGAACCAGCAGGGATCAGCCCCGACGGCCCACGCGAATGTTCCAGCGCTCGGTCCGATCCGAGGCTAAGCCCAGCAACTCCACAATGAGACCCAGCCAGTCGGGACCAAGCACATGATGGCCTGTCGGCCGCGGCGAGGATGACTGTCATCAAAGTTAAGCCTTTGGCATTGACATCAAGGGGGGTTGGACCTCACCAACGAGTAACCGACCGACCGCTCGCCCCCCAACCTCGGAACTTCGTGACAATCAATAGGTCCCGTCACGGTACGCATCGAACTGTGCACCTATGCCGCGAAGATCGTTCTCCACAGGCGGCTTCGATGTTATAATGGCTCTAGCTGAACGGTCGTGCTGGACCGTGGAGTCGACGGCAGCTTGCTTCTTGTGGACTTTGTGGCTTTCGGTGATAACGGAGTACTCGAGACTGGGCTGCTGCGTCCTAGCGTCTGTCGATGTGGCATCGGTCCTGCTATGGGCTTTTGTGTCAGTTCAACCGAAAAGACTCCAAAAGATTTTGCGAACGCTACTTGGATCATCCCATCAATTGTCTTGTTTTCGAATAAAGAGAAGGGCGAGGCACATCGACTGTTCGACAGCCAGTGCCAGTGCCGGTATCTGTGGAAACACAGATGATATATGATGAAAACCGAAGCGCAGAGCTCTTGTTCTTTGTCGGAGAATATTTCAGGAAGGATAACTTAGCACAAATCTTACCAATACATGGCAATGCGTGCTGTCATAGGGGGGGGGGCGAAGATTTGCAGCTAAGAGATGGCAGCTCGACGCTGGTTCCTAGCACAGCCCGGTGCACCGAGGATGAGAGCACGACAGGTTGGAGGATGACGAGAAAACTATCCGGGAACGACAATATGGAAAATCGGACGTGCCTTGATGCAGCCGAACCAGCGTTAGCTTGGGTCGACATAGTTGCAGAGAGGTGGAAATGCCCAGACTGGACGGGTGGACGGGTGGACGGGCAGCGGCTGGAAGGGGTAGAGGGAGAAGGCGTTTATAAGCATGTAAAAGGAGAAGGAACCAGATGACGAGAACATGAAATTCCACAGCAGAGTGTCTTTGTGCCAAAGGTCCACAAACAAGTTGGCTCCATCTTGTCGGCGGGGAGAGGGCCTTTTTGAGATCGAACGTTGGTTACGAAGACAGGTGGTGCGACTGAGTAGCCGTTGGGAGGACCGAACCACGTAGTAGTGCCAAACCGACCGCTCCATAGAATGAAGGTAGGAAGATGCTCCAGATCGACATCCAGACCGATCTCCCACCCATACCCCGGCGGCGTGTCGAGGCAGAAATACCTGGGCAGCATCCCTGCTCGCAATTTGATACTAGAGGGAGGGAGGGTGGGCCATCATCCGCCGTCATCCGCACTCCTATTCACTCCCACACCCGTCCATCCTAAAGCAGGGGTGAGCGTGGGCGGGCTGCCGAGGGGGCCACTGCTGGCTGCTGACCTCTGATCCACCGCTGCAATTCCTGTACCCCAATAGCCTGTTCTGATTTCCATCGACAACTGTTTATTTTTTCATCCCTCCCTCCTTTCCGTTCCACACGCATGCCGCAGACTCAGCCTCGATTGAGCGCGTCAGAACCATCACTTGCATCCAGCATTCTCATCCAGCCATACCCTCGCGGAAAATCGCGGGGAAAATGTTGCCCTTAATTGAAACGTGTCGGGCACGGTACTACTGACTGACATGGCGCCCCTTGTGGAAAGCGTATACAGTGATTGGATCCCGAATGCTGGGCTTAAGGGACGAGGCCCACAGGGAGGCCTGTTTGCGGCATCAATCATCGTGTGTAGCTGGTCGCTACTCTCTCAATAAGCTTCCGCGGCCTCTGAATAGGAGACCAGGAGGTTCATTAATGCGGCACGAGAAAATATTAGAGAAAACAGGGACGAAGAATTTCCCGGTCGCAAATGGCGGGATGAGGCTCCAAACCTTGGTAGACCGCCCCCGGGGTGGTAGAATGACTCGGTATCAATGTACCATAGTTGTTGACAGGGTACAAGGGATAAATGGCCTGCTCCTGAGACGTCCAGGGATCACTAGATAGGGCCTGCAAGTTGGGAGCACGGCCAAAGAGATGGCGGTCGAGCTAGGCCAAAGAGAGAGCGGTCGAGCTAAGAGGGGGGTCGGCAAGCGGCACTAGGGGAAAGGAGGATCCCTGGCGGTCGAGACAGCTCTTCTGCCTTGCAGGGTCCGGGACATTTGTCTCTTGACGGACTGGCATTGACAGGACTGGATCAGGGTCGATGGGGCAACTCTTGAAGGGCAACTCACGATCAAGGTTGGGGGATGAGGGTGTCCCAGAAAGACGGAGCGTGTAGGATCGGAGGGCCGGAGGATGCTACTGCAACACTTGCAGGCTTACACTGAACTGCAGGACACTAGTTTGGGCAACGTCTCATCACACCGTGGGTCTTTTCCCTCCCACGGCATCCCCAGACTGCCTTCTTGAGCGCAGACGCGGCTTTCACCTGCATTACGGCTCGGCTTCCTCGCTGTGGGGAACCACTGTGCAGTCACCAGTGCTTGAACGGATCCGCCCCGTCGAGTAATCTGCCTAGCTGCTAGCCGGATTCTTCCCTGGCTCCTAACCACTGGCTGTCTCGTTTACTATAAGCTTCTATAAGCTTCGTGAAGGGGGTGGGGAGGGGGGTGCGCGCATTAAGCAATGCATGGTGGCGCGACCCCCCCGGCGCTGATCACCTACTGCCTAAACGAAACGCGATTTGGCGCTACCGGTAAGGAACCGATCGACCAGCTGCACAAAATAGGTAAGAATTGTCACGTACGTATCCATTCCAGTGTTATAATTTTGAATGGAGCAAGTATGTTCGGTCGTTGCGTCGGTTCGGCGTGAGGAGCGCGCGACGAATGCCCCTGAGAGTGAGTGCCCACAACACACAGACGCGCACGCCCGCGGTATCCAATGACTGTCTTGGCTGCTGCATGAAATACCACCAGCAAGTGCTTCCAGCCAGGCTGTCATGAGAGGAACAAGGTCGCGATCTGACAGGGTGGTAGTCTCAGTCCAGCGGGCCAGCCGAAGCATGACGAGTAGAATGGCTGCCTCAGACCGTATATCCAGCTCTCGGAAACGCTCCCGGGGCCATGGCAGCAAGAAAATCTGGAGAATTCCTCATGCAGGGTGTTAGGGGTTAGGCATAATGCTGGGCCACGCTAGTCGTCCAGATATCACGGGCATGGTCGGCGTCCAAGCTGCAGCTGCCTCATTTGCATGTTGTGTCCGCCATGGAAGTGTGGGACGTGCCGTCGATTCGACCTCGACAGGCCGGCGCCAGCAGCCTGTGACCCCCGACATTGTGCCGCCTTTCCGGACAGCTGCAAGGCACGTGCGGCGTCGGTCTGCATCTGCTTTGGGACTCCATTCCACGAAGGATCCCTCGTTCAAGCTGCAGATCTTCGTTGATGACTCGCAAACATTTGGTATGGGACGCCGATATCTTGGCGCTCTCCCTATGATGCAGCTAGCTGTGACCGTTGTCCACACCCAATGAGCAGGGGTCATTGCCGGGGGAGGCTGGGTACTAACCGCATCAGTCGCCCTCCTTCTTGCATCAACAGCCGTCCTGGGGGGCGGGCGGCCCCCGGCTCACAAGCCACAAATCTGTACATCATCCCTGAGGGAACGGAGCCTCGTCGGCCCAACTGTGGCTTGTGAGTCGAATTGAGTGGGGATGGTTTCCGGCGCATGCAGTGTCCCTCCTCAATAGTTGACGATGAGTGGTGAACGTCGCACAGCAACTCCATCCAGGTCTGCGTTGGCGAGCTGCAGACGTCGCCCAACATCTGCATGTGTCCATCCAAGATGTCGGTCTAGTCTCGGACTCATTTCCACGGATCCTTGGGCCGGACGATGCTCCTACCGTCACCAGCCACTCGTCGCCTCTTCACGAGCCACACTTGATACTGCCAACTAGGCTTCAGCCGGTACATCCGGCCGAAGCTCTGGAGATACGTGGAAGATGGGAGCTTCTGTATGGCTTCTAAACGATCGTGAGATGACAATCTGCTTCAGGAAGACGGCAAGGGGATGGGATCCCTCTTGAAGATGCCGAGCTGTCCCGTTTGATATGTGACCAGAGAGTGGTCGGCGAACCACGTGAGTGGACAGGTGTGGCGGTGCAGGCTGAATTGTGAGGCATATCCAACTCTGAAAATCGTACAGATTCGGCCGAGCCATTTGTGAGACACCTTGCCTGAATTGGCAGGGAGCTAGGCTTCTGGAACAATTCCTGTGATCCAGCTGTGGCCAATCATTGTTTGGTTACAGTGGTTCTGAGCCCTATCCACTGCATGATCAATCAGTACATGGTGTTGATGGCTTGATGTAACGGCAGTTGTGAGGCCTCGATAGGTGTCGATCTCTCTGAAAAGTACTCGTGCCTCCGAAAAATGTCGCTCACCCCCACGGAAGATGTTCCCGGGTACCTAGGCATCTGACCATCATTGTTGAACCGTTCAAGCACGACGTGCATGACTTCAGGGATTTCATGGCAAGGGTGTAAACTCGCTTTCCAACAAATCACATAGACTCAATTAGAAAGGGAAGCACTTGCGTCAAGGCGCCGTCCAATTGTGATTGTTTACATCCTGGAGAAGAAAATTGCCAGACCGGAATGGGGTGGGGTTGAAAATGATATCATTGCAGGGGAGGTCCCCGCACATCCGATAAGATCGATAAGATAACAAGCATCCTGATCCCACTTCCTTGTTCCCGCCGAGCAGGGACCACAATCAAACCTAAATACAACGACTGCAAGCCATGACCACACAGCTTTAGCGACAACCTTGCGAGTGCCCTGCGCTTCAACCTCAAGCTTGCGACGATACATCAACCGAGGATGCCCACACCAAGCTCTGCATTCAAATCTCTCTACAACAGCCGGATGTCAGATCTGTTGGCATCCCATGCAGGGGCCCGAGCGCCCATCACATACACTATTAGAAGAACACCGCCACATTCTCAAAATTGACAACAAGGCATTGCGGAGAACCCTGTGGCTAACATCACCCTACAGGTTTTTCCTACGAGAAAGTATCCTATAGCCAATTATCCCAAAGAAAAAAAACGCCACAAGTTTATCCCATAGGAGGTTATCGTATAGGATGTTGTCCTGTACTTCCCCTTTCAATTATTCCAGAGATACTGTGGCCGCGAAGCGGTCAGCCGACCTTAAGCTTGTGGACCTGCTGTGAACTCGCGGGCCGTGGTCGAGTATCCCAAGCTCAGACGACATCACTTCTGTCGAGAGTAAACAGCCTTTCATCGTGATTTAGGAATGTCTCGGACACTCACCTTCCCACATTTGACCATGCGCTGTTCGCCGCTAAGGCCACTCGAGTCCACTGCGAACTGTGTCCCGACGCCATAGAGCCAGGCTGAGGATACGGCACCACTGCCCGAGGCTCCTGTTGAAGTGGATGGGGTGCTCTCATTGAACGCTGCATCGACCCTCTGGACCTGGGACGACATCATGCTCCGTTGCCGCTGGGCGACCTGAGCGGCTGTCAAATTCGAAACGGCTGCGCGTGCGATAACGTTGTCAAAGTTCAAAGTCGAATCTTGGACACTGCCGCCACATGTCCGAGTCTTCTCGAAGCTGCCACCACTACAAGACTATCAGCTGGGTGAAGGTCCATGTTGCAACTCATGTGGCCCTACGTGGTGCTCACATAACCAAAGACCCGGACGCGATGAGAGGACAGAGGATGCAGGGGCAGCAAGCCTCAACGACAAGAGCAGACTTTCATCGCTCGCTTATGCATGAATATTACAGAGAGCACCGTGCCAAGGCCTTGATACCCGGAATGGGTGAAGCAGATGGAGACACTGGTCGAACAGCGGCGGTGACGCCGGCTTTGTCCATCGGGCAGGTGCTGCTATTGGCAACACCAATGTGCCAACCCCGACCAATTTAGTCCACAATAATTCTGAACAACGGAAATTGGTATCAAATGTGATTGAGAAAAGTTGGTGTTGGAGATGCGTCACTTGCATCAAGAGCTGCGGAGCACCAAGTACAGATAGAGAAGAGAAACAATAACAAGCAGAGGGATGCCGAATCTGGGAAGGGGTAGGGAAAGCGGGTAGTGTGGAAGAAATAGAATAGTTCATGGCATTATCGACATACCTCGCTGCTAAACTCTGATCCGCCCGGGGAGACATGATTGTGGAACCCTACAGGTCGCAATTTGGGCTCGAAATCCAGCCAACTAGACTAGAGACACAAGATATGAACAGAAAGCGCAAAGGGCAGAGAGATAAGAAAGAAGAAAACAACAAGGCAGCCTTCAACAAGGAATCAAGACCTGAGAGGTGAAAACGAGGACAGGTCAGACCCCTGAATTTCTCAGCGTCTTCGAGGACAGGTTGCCGCGAACGTGTCTGGGGAATCTACAAGCACGTAGGATGAATGAATTGAGGACAGGAGCAAGAGCAGTCCATGATGGAATGGGAGCACCCATTTTATAATAAATTTGTAGACGAAGGTTGGTGTATGGGCGGAGTTTCGTGTGTTTTTGAGTCTCGCCGGATCGCACAGCCATGGAGTGAGCCAGGTTGTGAGTGAGTTGAGCCAGGTTACGAGTGAGTTGAGCCAAGTCTGGTGAGATAACGGCATCAACAGGGGCTACGGACGGCCGTGTGTGCCACATGCAGATCCTGTGGGCCGCGACCCAGATCTTTCGACTTAGTACCTAGGTACTCTTGGGCATGGATTCGGATCTTTCTGCAAAGCAACCTACCAAATTGCGACGTTGTGCATTACGTTTGGCAACAAGGACAGGATGCACGTTTTGAGCGTGTGAGCGCCAGTCAGAAAAGCAAAACGTGTACGGCAGGCAGAGCCTGCCGGCTGTCTTGTCGCTTCATAGCTGATAGGAGGCACAGTTTCGACAAGGAGAGCGAAGGTAGGCAGCGCCCGCGATAGCAATGCATCTTCTTCAAGTTGATTCAAACTAATACTTCAATATTTGAAATTTCCAAAAAAGGTAGCTGTACGTCAATGCGTAACTCATCTTATTGGAATATCTCAGGTGGCACTTCTGTTTGCGTGGACCGTACCGGGTTCTGTCTGGCCGCTGGCTATCGCAGCATGTTGTGGTGAGGCGAATCTCTGGACCCCGTTGTGGACCGATCGCATTGAGGGAGACCGATAAACCAGAGAATGGGAGTTCATCCGGACGCAGGTGGCCACATCAGTCCTGGCCACGCCGGCATTCTTCACAAACAAGCTGCAGGTCATAAAATCCGGGATCTAGCGCTCGAGAGTTTGAGATGGCGCCAAGCGGGCTATGGGTGGCCATCAAATAATGTAACAGCCTGGGAGGCTCGGCTTACTATGCCGCCAGCTAGGAAGACGGAGTTGCACCAGCTCTCGAGACCGACTTCGAGTCCTGTTCCAGGCACACCGAACATTCACCATTTTGCCCAGAATGTGTGCTGATTTCTATTCCCGGCCAGTCATGATTCGTGGACCCATCAGGACTCTTGGACGCCTACATTCTGCCTTTCAGCCGCAAATATGTCCAGGAGGCTACGCTGCAGAAAAGTGTCAGACGTTCTTGGCTGCCCTCTTTTAATCTTGGTTGCCTTCTTCGCCGAGGGCCGCTTACACGTAAGTTACTCGTGGCTGCCGTCTTTTATTTTTGGTTGCCTTCTTCGTTGAAGCCGTCTACACGGATCGGCCAGGGCCATCCTTGCCCAATGCAACGCATTGGGAAGTTACTCGTGGCTGCACCAGCAGAGCGCATGGCAGTGCCAGCAGTGCCAGCAGTGCGAACCTGCGCGCAGGGGCACTCAATCAGAACTGCAGCCATTTAGGCTAGCCTTCCGTGGCTAGGTTTGTTCTCCCAGATGTACAATGATCCACTCATTTTTGCCACGATCATGGCTTCCAGATCATTCAAAGTGTCTCACGGACTCACACCACAACCGAAATCAGCTCTTCCCTTTAACCCCTCTCCCCCACTGTCGGCTCTACCAGGACCTTACGGCGGCCAGGGAAAGAAGACAAAAATCTAGAAGCGTGATCCTCGTCGAGATGGCGCACAATGGTTGGTTCGTGACTGGCATGGGGCCACGGAATGACTAGGATGGGCGGACGTCCAAGTGCTTTTCGCATATCATTCTGGTCAACACTTTATTTGGGATTTTCTGCTACCTCACTAAGTCCTTAACCATGATCGGAGACGTCTTCGGTTACCGCAAAGCTGCGGGAAACCCTTGGGCGACTCCCTGCTCTCGTATGGAGGTACCATTCTTTTTCCCTTCTCGTCTGCTCGATGACATTGACGGCTCAGTCAGAGCCTATTCTCTCAGGACGTGCAGGCGTCACTCTATCATGGCATACCATTTTCAACTTTGCCAACAGTCCTCCCGCATGTACACGTGATCGGCTTCGGCTACCTGCACACATGCTGCAACATCCAAACGACACCACATAATTACCCATGATTCCTACACAAGCAGCTCAAGTCGAGCACTTATTGATACTCCAGATCCAGTGTTCTTGGGGCAATTGTTCAGGACGGCAGGTCATCTCCCTCATCACCATCATCTGCAAAAGTCTCGTCCAAGGCAGCCAGCGTGATGCTCTCCACAGACTCGAGTGCGGGATCGCGGAGATGGTCGGGCAGACCACGACGGTAGTCCCACAGCTTCCAAATGTTCTGAATCATTGTACCGTTCTGTTCATTGTTCGAAAGTCTGCGCAGGAACTGTCTCGTCAGCGGGAATCCTCCGCCCTGGTAGTCGTGGTGAACGTAGGTAGTCCACGCGTTGTACACACTCCTGACGCCGGGCCTGCGCGCGCCCTTGGCGAGCAGAAGGAACTGCTTGCGCTCCATTCTCATGGCGTGGAATTTAGGGCACTCGTCCAGCATGTGCTCGTCGTTATTGCACGCGATACAGACGGGCTTGTCGAAGTGAATCGGGTCCCACTTGATGCACGTATCAGCCTCATGGCCGTAGCGGTTGCAGTAGTCGCACAGGTTCATGCCCGTCTTGTCCTGAAAGCGGTGCGGCTCGTCCTCGTGCGCGCGCAGGAGCTCCGCGAGCTGGCTGTCGGGCTGGTTGGCGGGCTCTGCCGGGAGAGGGTCTTCCTCCTGGTCGTCAATGTCGTCGCTGTCGTCGATGTCGTCACTGTCGTCGCTGCCGTCGCTGCCGGTTGCGCTACCCATTGCGACGCCCTCATCTTGGGCTAGCTTATCCTCTGCAAAGGCGAAGAATGACTGGGCGGCAGCTGCTAGCTGCGGGTCACCGGTGTTGGGATTCTGCATCTGTGGGAACTGGCTGACATGTTGCTGAAGTCCTTGGGATGGCACAGACTGGCCAAGACCGTACATGTTGTCGAGATCACCAAGTATGTTACCATATGAGTCAAAGATTGGCCTGTTGATGTGGGGAATGGGAACACTCTGGAATCTATACCCATTATTGAACTGCTGGTTGTTGCTTTGATCCTGGTAGTTGCCCAGGGCGGCTCTATTGTTCTGGCCAAATCCTTGAAATGTGCCGGGCTGAGAAGCCTGGAAGTTGAATTGGTCTTGGGGAAACGACATCGTCGATCCAACACCCTGGTATGGAGCAACTGACATGCCAGCGTTGAATTGTGGCTGCTGACCTTGTGCGCCAAATGAACCACTCTGTCCATAAACACCCATGTTGTTCTGTTGGGTAAACATAGGCTGCTGGCTGTTGTTTGGGATCTGCTGGGTCAGAGCAAATTGCTCGTTGATATTTGAGATCTGCTGCGCAAAGGCGGGCTGTGGATTGTTGATTGGGTTCTGCTGAGTAAAGACAGACTGCTGATTGTTGTTGTTGCGGTTATGCTGGGCCGGCTGCAAAGAAGCTGGGGCTGCCTGAGTTGATCCACCTGCCGTAAAGCCACCGTTGTGGGCAAATCTCGGTGCGAACATGTTTGAATTGGGTATGGCAACGACATGCCAAGTCTGCTTGGTCAATCCATTGAGGACATCTTGCTCTGCACGAAGTTTGAGTTCTTCCGCAAGATTTTGGAGGACAAAAACACGGTTGCCACCGATACTGTTTGGCATGACAATAGTCAGCAAATGTACAAGTCTGAGCTGAAGCAAATTACAGATCATCACAAATAGTGAATGATGATCACCAATTGCCGGGGATGGTCAGCGATCTGAAGAGCCTTCAAGGTAGCATTGAGGCTTTGGCGCCAATACTGGCTCAATTGCAAAAAGCATTTGGCTCCTTTTTGGGGTTGGGCATGTGTTTTAGGAAGTGACTCACGCAAATTCACCGCCATTGTTGATCTGCTTCGCAATGTAGTCGCCCTGGGGTACATAGTCCAAGACCAGGTAACGACGGCCCTGATTGTCAAACATAGCCTTTGTCTGGATCTGGTTCGGGGCAACCTGTATCGGACCACCCTCACTTCGTCCAAGTAGATCATCAGTAGCCCGCTGGGACTGGCCGCCAGTGAAATAGTTGGACCCGTTGCCAGGGTCCATTGTTGCTGTTTGGTGAGGCTGTGTGTCACTGGCCTCAGGCTTGCTGTTGGTGGGGTCACGATCGCGCGCGCGAGCGCTGGCAGGGTGAGAGCTTGCAAAGCAGGCAGACTCGAAGAGCTGCCACAATGGTGTCAGGGAAAACATTCGAGGTCATACCCCTTTGAGCGGATGAGACCGTGTTGCATACTTCGGGGAAGACGTGTGTTTTTCGAAGCAGGAGAATGGCTTACCTGTCACCGGATTGTCACCGGATTGTCACTGCTGTGAATGTGTGATGTTTTGCAAACTTGCGTGGGCGTAGCTTGTCTGGTTAGGAGGGAGGGTTACTTGAATTGAAGCATGCTGCAAGTTTACAACTCATGCTGCGGAAAATGACTGCCAGGTAGCGGGGTCATAAGTGGCAGCAAAGTTGTGCGATTTTGGCCTACTGAAACATTTAGTTGAACCAGAGCTTAAATCAATGTACTGTTCTGTTGACTATGGTATACACGAACTCATGGCTGCCAGTCAAGAAGGCAACCAATGGTACCAACCCTGGGCTTTAAAATCTCCAAATCAGGTGGACCTTTCCGTAGAGAGTATGAAGCAGTCTATGCCTCTTAACTTCTTCCTCCCCAGTCTTGAAAGACAGCTACTGGTCTTACGTTCGTCTTGGTTGCTTGAGAAAAGCTGATGTGTTCCACCCCGTACACCCTAAATCAAGCACCTTTCTCCTACTACCTGCTTCCGGCTTCCGCTACCTACAGCACGCCTCTTTTATCCGGGGTTGGCTTCTTTGATTTCTGCCACAAATCTTCATTTCCTTCACAAAGTAGCATCTGTGTCCCATAATTAGAGTTAAGTCTGTAGTGAATTGTTGTGCGGAAATTGCACCACAATGTCAAAGATCTCAGCGGGGCTCTCCGGATTGACCAAGCAGACTTCACTTGTTGCAATCAGAAGGGGCCATGTACCGCCGCGCATAGAATCCCTGGCTGGGACTGCAAGGGCTATCTTCATGGTCACCCACAGCCTCAGATTCATCCTCCGAGCTCCGAATGGACTGAATTGAGGCGTAGCTGGTCTCACGGGCCGGCTTTGCCTGGTTGTTGCCATTGGAGCTGGCGCCACCATCGAGTTCACCCTTACTGAAAAGGGAGACCTGTTGGTCATCACCATTAGTATTTGCAGTGTCGATGTTGTTTTCGTTATCGATGCCGGCTTCATCCTCTTCAATGCTCTCCACGGGAATATCCCGGAGCAGACAACTCTGAACCGTCTGCAACTGCACTGCATCGAGGTCGGGTGCTTCACCTTCCTCGGCATCCCAGGAGCTCTCCGGCGAAGGCGGAGGCGGAGGCGGAGGTGGAGTGCAAAGGGCCTTTAGGAAGTCGCCCTCTAGCACAGCCCGGATCGTGCTAGTCACGTACTGAGACCTGGCATAGGTAGGGTTGAAGTCTTCCTCGGGAATGTCGTACAGACGCTGCTCAGTGTCTTGATCCTTCAGCTTCTGTCGTATTCGGTAGTTTCTCTCATCGTTGAGGAACCATTGTTGAACAAGACTGTCCAGTTTGTTCTCCACGTACTTTTGGATTCTGCAGGTATCACTCAGCCAAATTGACTTGTACCTCTCGACGGGAAGGTAGGAAGTGCCGAAAGAAATTCCCTCCAAAATGCGCAAAAGAAATTGAATATCCCACAACTGCAAGTAGAAGAGGAACCTCGAGTTGGGTACGTTATCCCGGGGTGCAGTAGCTTCGTATCCCTCTTTCACGAAGTTGGCATGAAGCAAGTCCTCAAGCATGACGATGTCGGGATGAAATCTAGCTCCTCGCTTCTGTGAAATGAATAGGTATGAATCAGCGTGGACCAACACCCTTTCCTGTGGTGTGTCTTCCTCCAATAACAGAGTCTCGGCCAACAGATCCACGTCGTTCAAGTCAGCGTCATTCAGATCTGGCATTGTCCCCATCGGTGGGACGTGCACCCCGACACGCATCCACACGATAAACTGCAACATGTAACGAAGAAGGATGGCATTGCCCCGGAAAATAGGATGGACCAGCACAGTGGTCAACTTATCGCAGAACTCCGGGCTCAGAAGCTTCTTTCGAGGAAGTCGCAAGTTGTCTGGATGGGGACGGAGGCCGTAGGTGAAGATGTCGCTCAGGGGCACTCCATAACGGTCGAAGCATGCGGTCCAGAGCATCGCGTTGCTGGTGACAGGGACGTCGCATCCGTCGGTGACGGCGAGACAGTCCTTCCGTAACTGTTCATCCTCCTCTCGCGACCACATAGTTCTGACGTAGCGCAGCTCATGCCAGACTCGCAAGTCGGTACGATCTGCATCGAACTTGCTGTCCTGAAGCGAAATCATGTTGCGCGAGGGAGCACCGCTTGCTCGGCTGACGATGTTGCTCTGCACGTTGACTGGGTGTCTGTTCGGTTCAACTTCCTCGTCCTCGAGTGAAGAGTCTGGGTCGATGCTTGAGGTCTGATTTTGCTGTCGCGTTAGGTAAGTATACTTCAAAATCCGTCTTCAAGCTCTACAAACCTCATCGAAATCGGAATCGGAATCCATCCTCTTCTTCTTGGATGGATAGCTACCATGGCTCTGGACCTCTGAGTTGGGCGAGCTGAGGCTGGCCACAGGTATGCCCATGCTTCTTCGGATCGCACGCATCTCACGCTGAGAAGGAGCGACCGCAGCCGTAGCTCCATCAATCTGGCGAAGCATCGGGTTCGTTTGGTCGATACCGTGATTAGTAGCGAGCGCGGCGTCCGTGTCTTCGCGCTGGCGGTCCTCCGAAGGCGAACTCGGAAAGGAAGGCATCTTCACGTGCATGGAATCGTTCATCAGCTTGTTGATATTTTCGTATGGTTCCGTTTTGTTCGGGTCAGGTTCGGATGATGTCGATGTTTTTGGAGGGATCGCAAGGGCGGTGCCTGGAGGATGCTGCCTTTGATATGGGGCTCGACAAGCAACCTGTGTCAAGCAGTTGCTTAGATGACCAAGCTTGCATTCACCACCACGTAATGGTGCGTGATGTTGTCCAAGGCCTTCACCTTGGCCAGAATACGTTCGTGAAAGTGAATGAAGATGCGCGTTTGTGACGCGGTCTATCGAACCCTGACGAGCGCGAAAGCTCTCCAATACTGGATCTTCTGTTCGGGTGGATGTTGCCAGATGATATGTCCGCGACCACAAAACGAGCTGTTTCATTCTTCGCCAGTGAAGAGTCAATAGATGGATACTTCTTATGCACCACTGCTGAACAGCACGCAGTTCAGGAGATCCTTCCAGCATCTCTCGCACCGACCGTCCCATCTGCAACATTCGAAGTAAATCAGACCTTCCTTTCTTAGGATTTTGCGGCAGAATCATCTTCATGTTGTACCAGACTTGGACATGAATGCTCACAGACCAAAACTTCTTGGTGCCTGGTCAGCTACGAATCGGTAGACAAATCAGGGGCGTGCAGGGGAGATTCATCATACACGCTGGTCTCGTTCAACCTGAGAGCAGCTTGCTTTCGCAAGAGCTCTCAGTACTTACATAGACTCCAAAGCTGTTGGAAGACTCGACTTTGGATTAATATCCATATTCATTTGATGCGGGCACAAAGACGACCTCAAAGACTCCTCTGGTGTGAGAAGGTTGTTTTCAAAACGACAATTCCCTCCTTCCAGCACTTCGATCCGCTGCCCTGTACTTCGTGACGGCTCAGTGTTGAGACGCGGCAACATATAGATTGCAGGTCTGAAGGTCCGAAGAGTATGCTATTGCGTCCTCTCAAGTAATTTCTTGAAGATCTTCCACACCGGGCGGGTCAAACATCAAAAGCATATTGACTTGGTTGCCCACTTCGCAGCCACAGTATCACTGGAGAAAATAAGCCGAGAAAGGAAAAGGGAGCTGCAGGATGTCCAGGCTATGACCAGCCATATAATAATTTCTTGTGAGATGAACTCTCTTGTGATCACCTCTTTTGGGACAGCCTCCCTTGGGATAGCTTTTTACATAGTACTTTCCTGTTGGATGACCTTCTACCCGGGGATATGAATAAACCACAGATGGTCTCCGAAATGACATGTTGCGAATTTTGAGAACGTAGCGGTGTTGTTCCAATGGTGTATGTGAAGATATCGGGTTGCTGAATGGAGGACGGAGCGCCTGAACCGTCCATTGACACTTCGATGGCCTTCGCTAGTAAGTAGAAATGTCGACGACTTGTAAACTTTTCTAATCTCCTTGCCTACTGGCATCTTCCAGTGACCCAGCCAAATTTGACGCGAACTCTAGATGTAACCTCTTGAAAAGCAAAGTTGCTTTTGTTAGTACTTCCCAGGTATTTTGCACCACCCTGCCTGTTAGTTGATCACATGCCCATTCATACGACCAACAGGTATTGGCAGACGGAGAGCTAGGCACACCTACAGAAGCTGTGCGCTAAGGCCGAGCCTATGCGGCAAGGAATGATCGCCCGGCAGTGTTCAGGACCTCGGGAGGACGCATGACGGCATGACGGGTGAGGCTAGGATGAACTACAATACATGCCCACTATTCTCAGCACCAAGGCTAGACTGTTTTGAAACAGATATCTGGCGAATGAATCTGTGAAGCAAGGGTTGATCCACGTTAGAGATAAACCTTAATCACCAGTATACTAGAATGCATAAAACACAGGTCTGTGCTAAAGAAGCACTATTTGATGAGTTCAAAGCACAGGGCGACCAAAGCTATCTCTTTGCTCCTTTACCTCCTCATTCATTTCTCACTCAAAAGCAATGGTTAGAAGGTTCAGCTCTCTTTTCTTCCGTCAAAACAGTCGAGATGGAGTGGCTTCAGCCGCTGCCGGCGAAGTGCATGCTAGTGCATCACGTCCTGGAGTGGCGCTCAACCCGATCCAGCGCACTGACTTGCCCCAAAAAACAGTGCGCCATGTCAAATCAAGCGGAGCCTTACTGGGGACATTACGCTCATTGCAGTACAACATCCAACCTCAACCACCTGTACCAACTCCATCTGCCAGAGGACTCGGCGAGCTGCAGGAGTGCTTCTGGTTAGAGGACAGCCTACACCGAACGACATCGCAACTTGACCGCTGCTCGGACCAGCTTGATCAAATACAAGGCTCAGCGGCCGAAGTGAGGCAGGAGCTCAAGAGCCTCCAGGTTGAGCTTGATCTCTTAAAGACGAAGATGCAACGTGGTGAGGAGGGACGGGAATCAATCAGTGAACCACCGAAGCCAGTAGAGATCACACCGGAACGACCGACTCCTGCCAAAGCAAGCAGTATTCAGCAGAGAATCCAGTTCTTCAGCAAAATAGCGGGTAGCTGATACCAAGATGGCGCAGAACAATGGCACCCAGGCTGACGCTCTTACCCGAGAGTGATCTGTATACGCAGAGTGTTGACGACTAAGACTTTCTGTATCCTTCTTTCTGCGTTTCACCTTTTTTGCAAGATGAGTCTGGCATGGTGGTGTTCCGGTGTTTCGGTCGGCTAAAGTCAGGGGTCGATTCTGCTGTGATGTCAAGGGAAAAGGACGGGTCAGGAATACCAAAATGACGTGCTAGGCAAATAAAAGGATATGATGAATAATGTAGATGTTTCCGGTATACATTTGCTACCAAAATCTAGTCTGTTTGGATGGTAGGGGACACGCCATCGCGTCTACGCCAACCAGAACCAAGCCTTCTCTAGCCAATTCCTCGGAACTGGTGGTACATCCTCAGCCTCCAAGGCGTCCATCTCCCGCACACCAGTGATCACGTCGATATCTTCAATAGGTCTCGCGAATGGTGTCCGGAAGCACAGCTTGTGGCCAATATACAAGGCCAAGAAGATAGGCAAAGTGATGTACGCAGCCAAGAAGCCCCCGATGCTCCACTCGCTCGGGAAGAAGACGGCAAACCCATTGGTAAGCGTCAGCACGATTAAGACGCCTAGCACAAAGTAGGTCGCGTAGGGCTGGAGCGGGGTCTTGTAGGGCAGAGTGTGCAACAATCCACGGAAGTTCATCGCCTTCCTGAAGCGGATGTACGTGATGATGCAGACGATCCAAGCGATGAAGCCGCTGATAGTGGAGATGTTCACGAACCAGTCGAAGACTACGGCGCTGGTCTGGCTCACGCTCAGGAAGGACAGAAGCCCGATGGCCCAGGTGGCAAGGATGGCCATGTACGGGGTCTTGAGGTTGCCCGTCCTAGCGAAGATTTTGGGTGCCTGGCCGTTCAGGGCAAGACTGTAGAGGATTCTGGAACCTGAGTAGAGGAACGCATTGCCAGCGGACCACGCGGATGTGAGCACTGCAGCGTTGATGATGTGGTTGAGCACCGGAATACCCCTGAGGGTAATCCCGATCACCCAGGGGCTGGCCGTGGCGTCGGATGTGTCGCTGAGTAGACGCGGGTCGTCCGCGGGACAGATCGAGCCGATCATGAAAGCGCCCAGCCCATAGAAAATAGCGAGTCGCCAGACGAATCGACGGGCGGCTTTGGGGATGTTGCGTCGTGGTGCCTGGGTCTCTCCCGCGGCGAGCGCGATGAGTTCAGGCGAGGTGATGAAGGCGAAACCTGCCTTCGCGAAGGCCGCCCAGAAGGCGAGGAAGCGGCCTGTATTTCCTGGGACAAGATACTCCTTCATCGGGCCATCTTTTTGCCAATACCAAAAGCCGATAGCCTCTCCATCTGGTGCTCCGCCGCACATGATCACAAGGCCTGTAAGGATGAGACCGATAATGGTGATAAGCTTGATGCTTGCGAACCAGAATTCCGCCTCTCCAAAGATCTTGACCGCAAATATGTTCAGTCCGAGGTTGACACCAAGGATGATGGCGATCCATACTGCAGGGGGAACGGCACTTTTCCAGTAATCCAAGATAATGGAACCCGCACTAGCCTCAGCTGTATTATATCAAGTCAGCTATCAAGAAAATACAACGATGAGGGATTTGGTGAGCTCATATGTGTCTCAAACTGAGGGCCCAACAAAGCTTTTTGGAGCGTATGTGAGCTGGAAGACAGTCCACTCGACGGAAAAGGACGTACCGGCCACCAAAATTGCGTAGGCATACCAGTAATTCCATCCGGCAGCAAACGCAAGACTCGGCTCAACAAAGCGCTCAACAAAGTAAGGGATTGTTGCGCCCTTCAGGGGAAGGTAGACGGCTATTTCACCAAGGTTGTTCATGATGTTCCACACCAATGCCATCATGCCCAAATCTATCAGTGTTTTTGGTTAGACATGTTTCTCGGCGCAAGTTATACCAAGACGCAGGATCTGAAGAGGCTTCGACTGATACTTACATCCAAGGAGCAGGGATAGCGGGCCGGTCATCTCAAGGATAGCACCGGAGCCTATGAAAAGGCCAGTACCGATACTAGAACATCGATCAGCGACATATTGTTGTTGCTCTCCCTCGTTGAGGAAACTCACGCTCCGCCGAGGGCCAAGAACTGGATATGCCGACTCTTCAGACCTCGCTCAAGCTGATCCTGAGCACCAACCAGGTTGCGGGTGCCATCGTCCAGGACCCTGACTTCGCCAAGCTCCTCATCTTTTCCTTCCTTCGAGTCTGGCCACTGAGCTGGCAGATCTGTCGTGCTGTCGCGCTTCATTACTGCGGCTGCGTCAGGCTGAAGCCTCGGGTTAATGTGTGTATGTGGAGTGTCGTCGGAGAGAGCTGTCAGAGCCGGCAGTCTGTTCTCTCTTTTATCCCTCTGTGCTTGGCATGGAAGAAAATTACGCCAAGTCCCAGCTAGGATCGACTCGAAGGGCGTCAGATGTCAGCTCGCCTTAAACCACAACGAGGTGCTTGATGACGACGTCTGCTGTCGGTGAATTGATGCACATCAGCTTTCAGCCTACTCATCAGGAAGCAAAGCGACCGTTCTTAAGCATGTATGATTCAGTTGTTTGTGGTGTCTGACTTGTGCACTGTGGTTCCTGGCCAAGCTTGAGGCCCGTTGGTAGCCGACCCCGGATATCAAAGCACCTAGTTTTGCGGGGACCCAGATACCGTGTGTGGAGTGGCAGCAAACTGTTAGTCAAGGTAACGTAAATTCACGGCCCTCATTGGGCTCACGCGACCAGTTGATCTGCATCAGATCTAAGATAGGTAAGTAGACCCTATCGTTATCTGTCTTCTTTTGCGCCGAGAATTACATAGAGTTTGTCGTCAAATAACCCAAAACTTGGCTTCTACACCCATACAACAGGAGCACAACCCGCGCGAGTCAAAGCCCAGGTGCCTGCATGTTGGTTTGATCCTCAGATCCTCTTGATTAGCAGGGTTCTCATCTCGCTTTCCATCGCTCTACCATGACCGCCCAATTCCACTGACGTGATCCTTTGATCAATCCTGCAGGAACTTCAAAGGCTATGCATTATGGCCTGGTCAGTCATACTATGCAGCTCGTCCGTGGTCTTCCCGGGCTGCTATTTTCTCCGTGTTCGAGACAGCCTTGCTGGCATCCGACAATGAGCCCAAATTCCGGCTCCTAGCTTGACCAGCACAGTGGGACGACCGCCAATGGGCAACATTTACACACGAATTTTGGACAAGTTGACGCAGAACGCCCCGTTGTTGCATGTCTGATGAGGTGGGGACAGGATGTGGCCGCCGCACCAAAGTCGCCTCAGAGGACAGCTGGCTTCGGCTTGCAACCTGGACAAACCATCCACTTTGTTAACGCCGAGCGGCATTGTGATTCAGCTGATGTTAGGTAGTGGGCTGTGAGGGTAAGTGGGACCCGGCCCACTTGCAATAATCACTGCATGTCCGCCGACTACAGGAACGTGGCCATCTCTTAGGTTGTCATGACTGCCATTTATCTGGTCTCATAATGCTTTGTGGGCGGGAGTGAATCTGAACTTGTAGCCAGGTTTTGCAGCAGAGAGAGGTAAGTGACATGGCAGAATCTATTGTACATCGTGCAGAAGCGAGTGCGACGAGGCAATGTAGATATTTATAGAGGAGGGACCAAGACCGCAGGTGCGCACAGTGCCATATCCCAGAATGCATTATGACTCTATACTCACCTCGCGGAAGTTCATTCTACAGTCTACTCAACATGGATCTGTCTACAGAAACTCTGACATTCAATGTTCGTCACTATTTGCAAGTCACCCGTAGACATTTGGGGGATGAAAGAAAACGGTGATAAGTGCAAACCTCGAGGCAACTTTTTTCCACATTGTTTTTAATCAGCTCCAGAGATACTGGAGAACAGAAGATCCCCACCCTGATCAGATGACACCACTGAGTCTAAATCTTGCAAAATTAACTGCGCCAGGCGGCCAACGGCCATGGCATCATTACTCTAAAATCTTCGTGCCCAGAGCCAATACAGAGGAGATAAAAACAACTACGAAGGTATATCAAAACTACCTAGGTATTTTACTGGTCACTTCACAACATTGGAGCTTACCTCATGGAATATTCTCTCACAGGAGGTTAATCTATAACCTTTAAAACATCATCATACAGGGAGTTAACCTACGGGAAGCTATCCCACAGGAGGTTATCCCACGGAGGGTTACCCCACAGGGGATTATCCCATGATAGGTTATTCTACAGGAGGTTAGCTTACAAGAGGCTGTTCCACAGGAGATTATTCTATGGAAGATTATCTTATAGGAAGTTATCCTATAAAAGGTTGTCCTATAGGAGGTTATTCAACAGAGGAGAATCCTATAGCAGATTATCCTGCAGCAGATTCTTGTACTCGATGTTCACGTATAGAAGGGAGTACAGCTGCAAGAAGCAGTATGCTCCAGATGCAAGAAATTCCAAGAGAATCAGAGCAACCGCCTTGTTCAATGGTCCATCATATTATGGTTTTGAATGTAATTTTGAAAACCAAGCTTTCTGGGGATAATGACTGAGTGGTTGGGGCCGATTATCCCCAAGTGTCCATGCCATGTACCGGAAGTACAAGCTCCCAAGAACCCCGATTTGACCTGTCATTATGGTTCAACCCAAGAATGTGATCACGTCCTAGGCATTGCCACCACCTAATCCAAAAATTGTCTTCAGCGCGAGCATCGTGTGCAGGGCAAGCAATGTCCTCCTCAGCAGTGGCAACCCTAACATACAGTATGTGTACCGGAAAATTCTTAAACCTAGAACATACCTCAATCAAATTAAACATATCACCCTATCATGATTCTTATCGAAAGAGCTTATAAGACGGGAGGACTCCTGTCCATGACATCCCTTAGCAATGTAGCTATCTATCCAGGGCATTTGCCTTGATCTAGGTGGAGGGCCAATACGACGACATCACATAAATAAACTGTCTGCAAGGTGATCTCCTCTTTTCAGCTACTTTCTAGAGGATAACATTTCATCTGTGGGATAAATAACTATCGGTGGGGTGAGCTTTAGTCTGTGAGACAACCTGGTCAAGAGGTGTGTCTCGAGCTCATTCATTTCGAATATCTTCACGCAGAAGTATACAACAAAGCCTTTAATGCCATAATTGTATCACATTATATTACACATCCTTTGTTCGATGCGTTGAAGAATCACTTTCATCATGTACAACCACTTGTATAATATATGTGCTTAGCCTAGAGCAGGTGGTTATGAAATGCACTTGGAGAATGCAGTAAAGTGCTCAAATAAAGATTCAGAATACAGAAATGATTCTTATGAAGACTCTGATCACGTGGGTTCAAACAAAGCAGACATATTGAATACGTCAACTACACCAAGCCAACACAACATTCTATGAAGAACACAGGCAATGGAGACCTAAACTAGCGAACTATGAACCTGAGAGCATGAATGGAGACTGCTTATGTAATTTGCTTATGTAAGCGAGCTGCCATACACACCTGTACACCAGACTCATTCACAAATCCAGTTTGGAGGCAAAATGACTCCCTCTGGACCTCTCCAAAGAAACTATATGATTTTATGAGAATTCCTTCATTTAATCTCTGGTCCTTTGGCGCAATGGTAGCGCGTTACTTTCCGGTGGTAAAGGTTCACGGTTCGAGTCCGTGGAGGATCGTGTTGTTTTGTTTTGCTGGTGTGGTGAGGTATATATATAGTGGAGTTATATGGGACACTTGGCCCCACAGATACCTCCAGACCTACCACGCCATATGTCTGATAACAAGATTACTGGCATCTGAAAGCGCAAGATGCGACGGTGCTATACATACCTAAATTTTGTGCGGAGATGTTTCACTCCTGCGTTGGATACCCATTCTTTGTAGAATGTAAGTACACTTGATTGCTACCTTTGCAGCTGTCTTTAAATGCCATTTTAAATGTTACCCTGTACAAGTGCATTTCGAAAGAGCTTATCTTACCGAAGCTGTCCTATGGAGAGTGTTCCTATGGAGGGTCTTCCATTGAAGGTGTTCCCAATGAGGCTATCCTATGGAAAATATTACCATACACAGAAGGTTATCCCACAACCCACAGCAGGTTATCCCACAGAAGGTTATCCCACAGATAACCAGCCGATTATCCTACAGACAGCTGGTTATCCCAGAGATAGAAGGATATCCCATAACAAAAGTCTGGAGGCTGCCTAAGTGGCCCTGCCAAAGCAGACCCAGATGGGCACTTAGACACAGACCTATGAATGCAGACGTTCATTGTAATTGACTCGATCATGGCTTAGACTATTCATCAACATCGTGTTCGAGACCTGGTGTTGTATCTGCGGGTCAGGTTTGGTTGTGGATATGCACTTAACAGATATTTAGTTGCCAAGGTGACCCCTATAGCTTGAGGGTCTGGGTGAAATGACCGCATCTGACCCTTGCAGGTGGACACAGAAAATGGCACCACCTGACTAAGTTTACTCGCTTCTGTCTATGTTTATGTACCACAACACAGACCACGCCAACGATTATCCTTTATAAGACTATCGACTACATCTTCAGAGCATGGAAGCAGGCCCTCGGACTTTCCGCGGCTAACCTTCGGCTCGGTTTCCACAGGCGCATCTGTTGATCCACGTTCTTGACCGTGCCATCAAAGACGAGCTACATCAAGCAACGCATGGTGCTAAGCAGTGCCGCGGAGATGCCAATTAACACCAGAGCCATGGACGATGATCTTGATTACGTGTCACGCCGCCGCCAAAGACCTCCACGGTCTGCCATCGCCGCGCTGCTCGGTTTACTTTTGCTGGTCAACCTCGCCGCGAGCCTGTACCAGTTGCCCCTGAACAGGGTGGTTGAAAGGCGTCTCTGCCAGGAATACTACAGCTACCATGATCCGTCAATCATTGGACCGGGCGGTGACATCGAGGAAACCTTTTGCAAGGCAGATCCGGTACAGGCGGGCCTGGGCCGAATTCAGGGTTTCATGGACACAGCTTGGATTGTTGGTGGTGAGTGATGGTCAATAGACATCCCTCCTTTTTCATATGCATGTGTTGATAACGCGAAGATTTCGTGATGACGATACCTCTTGGTTTTGTGGCAGAAAGATATGGCCGAAGAGCCCTGCTTTGGCTTAACCTCGTTCCCAGGGTGTTTATGCTCGCCTGGGCCGTTATCGTCGGGAACTTCGACCAGGTTCTGCCGACGAAGGCCATCTTAGCAGGTCCGACTTTATCCTTTTTAGGGGGCGACTGCGTTTTCAACTCGATAACCTACTCACTGGCCGCTGGAATCACGGACGACTACGTGCTTCGCGCGTCCTACTTCGGATACATGAGCTCCATTTCATATGTCGTCAATTTGTTGGGACCAGCACTGGCCTCTGCATCGATGACATTACTTCTTTGGCTTCCTTTCTGGATCGGCATCACGCTCCTTATTATGGCCATTCCAGTCATCTCGATGCTTCCCGACCACAACACGGCATTTGACGGCCGAGACGAGCAGTCTCAGCCCCTGCTATCTTCCCCACTCCTTAAAGCCCAGGACTCAGGGCCTTCATTTTTACATTCAGTCATTGATCGCTTCCACGTGCTCCGCGCGGCACTGGCCAGCCATCCTCGGAACTTCTCCCTGCTGCTAGCCTGCTTCCTGCTCGCATCGCTGGCCAGCTCCGACACTAAGCTCCTCGTCCAATACATCTCCAAGCGGTACCAGTGGACATTTGCGTCGGCAGGCTACCTCCTCTCTGGAAAGGCAGTTGTCAACTTCGTCCTCCTGACCATCGTCGTACCTCGTGTCCTCCGCTCGGTCGCCGGGAAAGGGTCCCCAAATGCGTCAGACCATATCAACTTCAGATTTGCCAACCTTTGCTTCGGCGTCTCGGTCCTGGGCGCTCTAGCCATCGCAGTTTCAGCGGCCATTTGGCTGCTCGTGCCAGCACTACTTGTCTATGCGCTTGGCTCCGCCCTCCCGATCTTCACGCTATCGTTGCTCAAGTCGCCAGCCATTTGTTCTTCCAGCGCGAATAACCAGACTGACGAAGACCAACAGTCACCTTCGCCGGGCGCGGACGCGGAAACGCATATCTTCTCTATCGTAATGCTGGTCAAGACACTGGGCTCGCTTCTGGGCGCGCCGCTGATGGCGTTCCTGTGGGTTCGAGGCATTGGCCTCGGCGGCGCTGCGTTGGGAATGCCATACTTCGTAAGCGCTGGGTGCTATGCTGTGGCAATCTTCATCTTTTGTCGTATTAGGATCGTATGATATCCACCATGACCTCATGATCAGTCTTGCTGGAGTGTGCGGCGCTTGAACTTCCGGAAGTCGGTATGTATGTCGTCAAAAATAGTACTCAAGTACTGGTCGTTGGCAAGAGTCCATCTACTAGTGATCTCCTCGCCTGCGGTTCTCCCATACCAAAGATCCCAGTTCTCGTCCGTGATTTTGTAAAGGCGCGAGTCTTTACCTGCTTCCTCCCGCTCCTCGAGCCTGCGCAACCACTCTCGCTTTGCTTCCGGACCGTCTCCGGGGTATACCAGGGCGACGTAATAGCCCTCCCTCGCCAGTTGCGTAGGCAGGCCTCTATGGGTTGAGATTAGGATGACGCAAGGCTTCTCTGCCCTCTTCCGGATTTCAGCGATATAGTTCTCTGGAAACCCTGGTTTCGAGCTATAGCTGCTCGAGTCTAAGTCGAAGATTTCCATGCCGAGGCCCTGCTGCAGATTGTCCTTGGTGGATGAGAAATGGGTCTTTCCGATGGCGCAAAATCCAGAGATGATGATCGCTTTGTGCTTGTCGACGATCTCATCCGCGCTCCTCGTTGTTCTTGGTTTCCCGCCGGCCCTCAGGCATGCGATTGATGCGCCCATGAATGTATGAGACCTGGCAGGCAGTAGTATATGGGTCCGGATTGAGACAGGCAGACTTGGACAGCGGTGGAGCGACGCCGGGAATATGTTGAGCGACATTTGCGTTTGCCGCTTTGACTCTCTGTCTAGTCTCAGGTATCGGGGCTAGTTATAGGCGGACCTGCAAGACGGGGATGTTTGTGTGCGCGAGCAATTCGTCCAAGATTTCTGAGGAGGGTCAACCGTCTGTCAGCTGGGACTTGAGACGATGGCACATATGAGCTTTCCTCTGAGGTCAAACGATGAGTCCCACGATGAATTGTGGCGTTCAAATATGGTGGTTACCTAAGGTCGCAATCATGCGCACATGTGGCACAGCCCCAATTCACTGCGACTCACACATCCGGTTTGGTCATCCGGGGATACAAGTGGTCAGCCCTGGGAGGCGACTAGCCGCAGGGAATGCCCAGGCCGGTCTAAGTACACTTGCGGCCCCGAGGCCTCAGTGGCAGTGGCGTCGGAAACCGAGGCTCTAGGCTACCTAGGTGCGCTGCAGGTGAGGCAATCGTAGTACATTCGCTGCGACATAAGGATGTTTTTGGCTTGGGTCCTCCACTAATTACTACTGCACTAGCCTGAATTCTTGCCACGATCTGGATTGACGACCTAAGGATCGCCATTTGTACGATGAGAGCAGTTCACTCGAAACACGAAGTAGAAAAAGGAAGAATAAATTTCACAGTAGAATCGTGCCGAAAGCAGGGGGAAAGACACCTATACCCATGTGACAGCATCACGGACGGCTGCCACGAGCACCCAAGCCAACCTTAGTTAGGGAATGACAGCACGCGACCTCGAGAATGCACGTTACATGACCAGCATAATTGATGCATTCGCTTAACGACTTATAATCGTCACGAAATCTATCAAGTTTTGCGGGTGTTGACACCATGTCAGTCATCGAGACAGGCAATGCATGGTCGCAATTCACGGTCACAATCAAGCCAAAGACTGGAAATTCAATTTTTGTCACCCCGTGGATGATACTTCTTCATTCAGAGGGCTTGAAGACATCAGCCAGAACCCCTTCCCTCCAGACCATGCTGATGGGCAAGCATAACGCGTTCTCATCTACCATGGTCTTCCTGACATCGCCCTCTAGCAAAACGAGATCCGCAAGCCTTCCGGGTTCAATCACGCCCCGGTCACTAAATCCAAACCTCTCCGCAGTCAAAGACGTGGCACTCCTGAGAGCCTCTTCCGGCTGCATTCCAATCTCATGCACCAGCTGGTAGATATCCATGTGCACCCCAAGCCCGAAAGCCGACCCGACGGCCTGGCCAGCCGCATCGGAGCCCACGATGAGCGGTATTCCGGCTTGGTACAATGTCCTCGTATTCTCGTAGACGTTTTCGATACTCGCATTGTGCCGGCTGTTACACGCGAGCCCGATATCCAGCTGAGGCCGCGGGTCAAATTGCATCCGCCGCGACAGGGGATCCTCCGCAAAGCGCTGCTGCAACGGGCCTCCTTGTCCCGTCTGTGATGCACACAGCGATAGGGTTGGGCTGCAGTGCATTCCCTTCTCCTTCATTGTTTTGATCCACTCGTTGTCCGCAGGCTTGTCGAGGAAGCAGTGCGCGAGCCCGTCGACGCCAGCGGCGAGCAGGTCCATCGCGCCGGCGTGGCTGAGTGCGTGGCCTACTGCTATGATCCCACGCTCGTGGGCAGCGTCGACGACTGCGCTTTGGATGTCCAGTGGTGGGCGTGGAAGGTCGGTCATAGATAGCGTGTCGCCGAGCTCGTGCATGAGCTTGATGTACGACGCGCCGCTGTCGTCGATTTGTGACTGGACGAAGGCGGGTGCTTCGCTGGCAGACGCGAGCCTAGGCCACGCGGAAATCATGGTATCGGCCTGTGATGATTGGTTTTAGACACACTTTTGCGGCTTATTGATGAGCTAATGTCGACGGATGGCCTACAATCTCTGGTTTGCCAGCTTGCTCGAATACTTTCCGGACCACAGGCTCTGGCCAACCCCCTTTGACCATGGCACCTAGCCCAGCACACTTGAAATCTGAGTACTTTCCTTTGGTCGAGGGCTCAGCTGAGAGCTACAGATGATATGATGACCTATCAGCATCGTGAACTGCAAGAGTAACAAAAAGGGCTGATTGTATCCTAACCTTTCTCAAATGAACATTGTGCTCGGCTTCGTTATGCATATCGAGGACTGTAGTGACCCCAAACCTGATGGACTGTTCGATGGAATGAACATCTCCGCCGAGGGCATGGACATGCGCGTCGATGAGTCCAGGTATGACAGTGCAGCCTGGTTTGCTGTATGTAGGGACATCTGTCGGCGTCACTGGCAACCCTGAGCCCAGCTCTTTGATTTTTCCATTCGTCACAACAACATAGCCCTTCTCGATAAAGTTCTTCCCGTCAAATATCAAGATATCCTGTATTACAAAAGTATCTGATGTTCCCCTGAGAATAGACATATTGTGACTGTTGTGAAAAGTCCGTTTGGTACACGGGTACTCTCTAGTGGCATGTAACCTCGACGACTACGAAACTCTACATGATATTACGAGCCCTGTTCTGGCAGCTATGCTATATAAGATCTCGCGCCGTGGCATGCCGTTTCACGGAAAAGTTTCTTCGGCGACTTCTGAGCATGACACGCGTTTCTGAATCCTTCAAAGCCCGATTTGCCGGATTTAGAGGCCAGATAGTCGGACTTACAGCCAGTAAGCTGTGCTCTTTCATCTAATTATCAAGGCAAGACAGGCCCCTAGTTTCGATCCATTGGCAGCATGTTGGCAATATTCTTGGCTTTGTCGCTCTTCGGCCCTTGTTGACTCCTAAATCCATCCGGAGTGGTCCCACTTTCACTCCACTACCATCGTAGCGTCACCACCAAAAGCCGTGATTTCAAATGACGAAATTACCGTACTTTGTCTACTACAATTGGTATCTCATTCTTGCAAGAATCATAAGGAAACTTATGCAAGGTAGCTCACATCCGCTTGCATTTTTGATGCGACTTTTACTTTGACCTGTTCTATATCAGTGTGCAACAATTTATTTTGGACATCAACGAAGGCAGTTAATGCTCGCACTTGAGTTGTGAAAAGTTCAGCTTCCGAATCACAGGGCATTTGCCATGAACCTTTGCTCAGTACTTGGCCAATATGATGCATGATCGACCACCACATGCTCAGATGGTGTGGATTGCGCAAGCCGGCATGTTTCAATTGTCTGGCGCCAGTCTGCTGAAAGCGTGAGCGGCATTACAAATCGAATACATAGTCCGGTACACGTTCGGAGGAACAAGTTGGGTGACATGACAAACGTGGCACCACCCCCGCATTCCCATTTCAAGTCCTAGGCGGGGAGTATGCTGTAGCTGCTCTATAGTCAATCAAAGCTGATTTCCGTGGTAAGCGGATACATGGATTTGCCTTATTTGGCAGCCGTCTCATTCACGACTTGCTGAACAATGGTATCCAAATCCTCATCTTGCAAGCTAAGAAGGTCCATGGCGAAGTCAGGCCTCGTCTCCCAGTTTCCGTTGATAGCCCCCAGGACGAAAACCAAATCCTCGATGGCGTCTTTGTTGCCCTGATCGGCCAAGGCCTTCTTTTCACGAATAAACTTCTCGGACTCAACATATTCGACCTCCCACTTGACACCCATTGCTTTCTCCAGAGACCGCAGAACGTCGTTCTGGCTGACGCAGAAGCTCTGGATAAATAGCATCTTATTCTTCGTCACTTCCGGCCGCTGCAGGATACTCACTGTCGCCTTGGCGATTTGCGCCAGAGTCGCCTGGGAGCTCTTCGTGTTGCCATCGTCGATGATCTCCGCCTTTCTAGTCTTCAGATCGAAGTGTAGGAAGCTCTCCCGCAGCCCCCAGTCGAAGAAGTGCCCGTTGACCAGGCTCGTCCAGCTGAAGCCCTCGTGCTCCTCTGCCAGCTTCTGCAGGCTCTCACGGATCTGCTGCTTGAGGTCAAAGAGCTTGACAAGCTCCCTCTCCCTCTTGCCGTTGCTGTCGCAGCTGCCGAAATCGGCGGGGATGAGCCTCTTGACCCCGGCGGCGGCTGCCGCCTCCCCGAACTTGATCTGCTCGGAGGCGTCTTTTGCCCGGTAGCAGACAACCACAGCATCTTGGCCGCGTAGCTTCTCTGTAAGCTCGTCTATTGGCAGGCTGTCGGATATGGTATCGACTTGGACCTTGTCGAGGTGCCCGGGTTTTGATTTGGATGAGGCACGCTGAAGAACTGTGATCTTGAAGACGCCTTCATTGACCAGAGCATCAAGGATGGGTTCTCCCAGATTTCCTGTCGCACCGACGAGGGTCACCTTGACAATAGACATGGCGAACTGCAATCCAAGCTGTGCAGCAAGCCGTTGGGAGCGTTTGCGCGTTTGCGATAACGGATGAACGTTACAAGCCGGCACAGGATTGTCTGGAAGCGGTATCACAATTTTCGAAGATCAAGAGCGAGTACAGGCCTGTTTGAGAGTACGAAGAACCAATGATAACTGATTAACTTGTACGGCCTGTTGTCTGGGCTTGGGAAGTTTTGCGAATTTCCAGGATCGGTGATGACATTGAGCTTCTACCGCAGACGTCCCGACTCAAGCCGTCTCCGGCGCGCTAACGGCGAAAGCTAGAGCGCGCCCGATTAGGGTTGGACCCTGAAGAGGCTCAGCGAGTACGGAAGTTGAATTCATCAGCGTTGGCGGCCAAATTCCGCGCTCCTCACTGTGTATGTGTAAGCTGCCGCTATCCAACATCACCTATCCCGGTATACCTCAATGCCTCTTTTTCTATTGTCAGCAGTTCCGCGATTCCGCCTGCTTGATAATATTCTATAATCTATGTGAAGCTGTGTTCTGAGGAACACTCGCATGACCTCCAAGCAGCAGTATAAATATGGATGCCCTTGCTCTTCAGATCTGGCAGCATGCGCCATTCAAATCAAACCTCATTCGATCTAAGAACTATCAAGCTACGAAACCCCCTTACTGAATCAAAGTTCTCAAGATGTCTTCCGAAGGAACAATCGACGCCGACGCCTGTATGTCACTTGTACAACAATTTCTCTTTTAAGTCCTAACTACAAGTCATTCGTGGATCACTGCATGTGCCGCCTTACATTTGGAGGTTGAAACAAGGAGCTTTGCTGCACTTAAACGAGAATGTACTAACGCTTAGGGGTGATAGACACGGCACCCTTCATGCTCACCAAATCCATACATCGTGACGTTTATCCAGTCATCGATCCAGCCCGCAACCCAGGTGTCAGAGCTGATGGCAAGGTTGTTGTCGTAAATGGTGCGACCGGTGGATTAGGATTTGTCAGTTTCTTTCTATTGCATTTCTTTGCTCCCGGAGATGCCAGAAGAATTATGTGATGCTGATGTAACAATATGTAGGCCGTCGCTCGATCTTTCCTGACTGCTGGCGCCAAAGGGGTTGCGCTTGTTGGCCGCAACCTGGAAAAGTTGAGGCTTGCAGCAGATGAGCTCGGTGCAGGCGCCAAGGTGCTTCCCATTACTGCGAATAGTATTGTTCAAGATGAGGTGGATTCGATTTTCACTCAGACTCGCGAGCACTTTGGCCGCGTCGACTTTCTTGTCAACGCCGCTGGTACTATGAGTGTAGGGCCCATCGGAACGCTTTCGTCTTCGGACTGGTGGCAGAACTTCGTGAGTATTATCTCTTCAGTAGCTGGCATATAAGACTGACTAATTGACACGCGATGTAGGAGGTCAATGTCCATGGCGTTTACAATATGTGCCATGGATTCATCAAGGAGACCAATGGGCAAGGCACCATCATCAACCTCGTCAGCCTGGGTGCATCGTTCCTGATGCCCGGAATGTCGGGCTATAGTGCTTCCCAGCTAGCCACCATCAAGCTCGGAGAGTTCCTCGACCTGGAGCAGCCCAAGCTTCGCGTCTTCTCTGTCCACCCTGGCATGGTTGAAGCTGAGAATGGCCGCGGGATGGTCGTTGAACCCCTCCTGCCGTTCTCGAAGGACAAAGCTGGTTTGACTGGAGCTCTCACAGTATATCTTACGACTGATAAAGCAGATTTCTTAAGGGGAGGGTACCTTCATGCTAACTGGGACGTGGAGGAACTTGAGGCCCACAAGGACGAAATTGCCGAGAAGAAGCTCGTGAAGCTTGGTTTCATCAATGGGAACATGCAGCCGGGTGGATATCCGTGGTCATCTTGACAGGTTCGATATGGTCCGGTAATTTTATATCACTCTCAAATAACATAAAATCATGTTGCTTGCTTTTATTTCATTGATTCAGTCTCAAGGTTTCTCAGATTCATCTGTAGCTTTGCTTCATGCAATAACCTTCCTGCCCCCAGCATCTGCAGACGTACCTGCAGCACACCGCTATGCCCCTCAAGATGTAGCTGGGCTGTGAAGTTGAAAGCAGATGCATGCAGTGGTCAAAATGGAGTGAACCGGAGTTTTGTTGCGATGAGACTCATATGCCGCCCCGGTGCGTTCTGTGGAGAACGTAAGCCAATTAGCCTCCCGGTCCCGGTCCCGAAACCACGGAAGTCCCCACGTAACCTCCCGTTGCACAGTAAGACAGACGGCGGAGTAACTATGAATCAGGTGGAACAGCGCTACGGTAACCTTCTGCGCTTTGGATGTTCGGACCCCGAAGCCCCTCTCCATTCGAGCTTACGAAGGCGCAATCTCGATGTCAAGTCTGTGAGATGTGGGGACTTTCTGAGAAACGCCAAGCACAAACCGTTCACTCAAAGACATCGTCGAAGCTTGGCTAGTGCTGCAAGAAGTGATCGTTAGATATTTTTCAACAAAAAGACCAAAATCATCATGCTCGATGCGAGGAGTGTTTTCGGCGTTGACGGCATTGTAGCCGTCGTGACCGGCGGGGGCACAGGTTCGAACACACCCATCCTAATACCTATTTTGCCTCCATGAATGCTGTTCTGGACGCTCACTAACCACCTAACAGGCATCGGTTGGAACATGGCTGAAGCATTGGCCGTCAATGGCGCTCGCAAGGTATATCTCCTCGGTCGTCGTCCCGATGTGATCAAGCAAGCCGCCGCAAAGCACCCAGATGTCATGGTCCCCATCGTCTGCGATGTGACTTCCAAAGAATCCCTCCAGTCCGCTGTAGACCAAATTTCCGGAGAGACCGGGTATATAAATCTCCTGATCGCGAACAGCGGCATCACTGGACCGAGGAACACTTACGATTCCTCCTTGTCCGTGGGCGAACTCCGTACGCAGCTTCTCGGTCCTTCAATGGAAGATTTCACTCAGACGTTCAACGTGAACGTCACCGGGGCCTGGTTCACCATGGCGAGTTTTCTGGAGTTGCTGGATGCGGGCAACAAACACGCTGTATCCGGCGAAGCTGGGGCCTTTGGCGCACCCATTAACGGAAATAAGAGCCCGAGCATCCAGAGCCAAGTCGTCTTCGTCGCGAGCCTGGCGGCGTTCTCGAGAGCTTACTTCACAGCCCCAGCATATGGAGGTAGCAAAGCCGCCATTTTGCACCTTATGAAGCATACCGCCACAAATCTGGCCCCGTACGGCATACGAGCAAACGCTTTAGCACCGGGACGTGAGTACTCACCTTTGATTGTGCCAGAGGATCTAGCCCAAAATGGAGACTGACAGGTGAAAATAGTCTTCCCCTCGGAAATGACAACCAACATGTTGAGCGGCCGCAATCCAGATGAGGAGACACGAGACAACCCATTCTGGATCCCGACGCAGAAGTTTGGCGGCGAGGAGGAAATGGCTGGGGCGATTCTGTACCTGGCCAGTCGCGCAGGGTCGTTCACTCACGGCAATGTTATTCTGAACGACGGCGGCCGTGGATCAGTCATCCCAGCGACCTATTGAGCATTATCAGCCGCGCTTGTTGGTCGGCAATCCATGTGCATGCGAACGGGATATGTGAAAGATGATGATGTTGGTTCGAATAGGCCGTGATGCGCAGGGTTCCGGAGCTGGCAGCCCCCAAGTCGTCGGTTGCAGTTTCTGGGAGGCCGAACAATTTTTGATATGTAGTCATCTTCCTGGTAATCCGTTTTCGTGCACGGGAGCGATCGGGCTGGAAAGCGCCATTATATCCTGGCTGACGAAAGGCTGTTTGCGCTGGAGATTTGTTTCGGGATCCGCCTCCACAAAACGATGGTTCGACAGCACCCAAATTGGCCCCACATGTCAGACCATAATCACTCCATCCAAGGAGACAGCCTCAATTGTCAGCAGAGAAACAGAAAACACATGATGTCAATTTATTTGGCTACTCAATTAAAATCCACGCGTTACAAATTATCGTGTTAAGTGCAACTTATAAATTTATCAATTGCGACTCTGAGATGATAATCTAGTCAACAAGAGGTTCTCAAAGACACACGCTATTTGCAATTCAAATCGTCGCACAGCCAATTCCAGATACTTACTCGAACTGCACAACATGGGGCCATTCATGGGATTCAGACCGATGCGCCACATCGACCGGAAGGACCTCTACACAAATTTAGAAGCCAGAGTTCAATATCTTCACACATTCTTAGATTTCGGCTCAAGTAAGAGCAAAAACAGCACTTTAGTCATTCACGCTCATACTAACTCCGATATAGATGACATCGAGGCGCTCATTACCGGCTCAAAATACATCAAACAGCTAATACCAGCCATTGTGAACGTACGTCCTCTTTGAATGCGCACCTCCACACCGCCCTCGACATCTGATTTCGAAAGCCGAAGAGCCTTTGCAGGATGCTTTTGGAACGGTTCAATTGTTCAATTCACTGACAACAAATCGACAGATTGTCTATCACAAGCTTCTGCAATATGATATTACTGCGCGTGCTTTCGAGACGAGGAGTACGAGCTACGAGGGTCCAGTCGACCCGGCTCTGAACGAGAACAGTCCGCAGGTGAGCGCCCAAGATTTTGCGTAGATCCCCATCACATGGCCGTTCCTCGCAATTCTAATCATAAGCTCTACTAGATCATGCACAGAAAAATGTTTCTACGAGCCTACCTGAACAAATTATGTTCTGATCCTAGCACAATGGAATTCTGGTATTACCTGGACAAAGTCGGGTAAGTTTTCACGATAGCTAAGCGCAGCAATTGCAGGCGCTAACAATATCCTGTTACTAGCATGATGCACGTTGGTCGTGGAAGAGAGCACCCATTGCATGTGGAGTATGTCCACATTGGAGCCTGTCTGGGATTCATCCAAGACACATTGACAGAGGCCTTGCTATCACATCCACGCATTAAGATGGACAGGAAGATCGCGCTAGTGAAGGCTCTGAACAAGGTCATATGGATCCAGAATGATCTATTTGCCAAATGGTATGTCCGGGATGGTGATGAGTTCCGCGATGATATGGAGGTGCCAGAGTATGAGAAGGAGGGCTACCTGGATGGGCAAAAGGTCCTGGATGATATCGACGAGGACGCGGCAGAGGGCTCTGGCTCCTCGAGTAGCGCCCCCAAGAGCCCGACGACGCCGAAAACTTGCCCATTCTCCGGCATTCCTATACGAGCAAAAGGCGAAGCTAGTCCGCCCAAGGTTGGAAAACCGTCTTCAGAGAATGGGGAGAAGCCAGTGGCCTAGTCATCCGGGAATAAGCTGTGTTACGATATCTATCTAGAGCGCATGGGAATAGAAAGCTGTAAATTAAATAAATTGAAATTTTCAAGGAACTCGATGTAGTGATCAACGACCTGCATATGAAAGTGTCTCTGCAGCAGCACTAACTAGGTTTATCACCTAGTACTGTGACTCAGTAGTAAGAGAAATAAAGGAGTAGTTTCAGGTTTCAAATTAGGAAAGTTATCTTCCCATACACTCACACAGTAAGTTATCCTAGACACTTGTCCACCAGGATCGCACGGTGAGTCATCCCACGTAAGTTATCCTATGGTAGGTCTTCCTATAGTAGAATATCCCACGATGTCTGACCACATGGTGGGCCCTCCATGGAAGGTGATCTTACAGTAGATTATCCCACAGGAGGTTGTCCTGCAAAAGATCATGCCACGAGAGGTTCTCCTAAAGAGCAGTGTGTAGTCTGTCACCTAGATTGTGGCCGAACTTTTAGGGTCTTGGCTTCATAGCTTATTGGGTTGTATATTATGTCCAAGTGTCTCGAAGTCCAATATATTTAGCTGCATAATGAACCACAAGTATATACACATCGGTCGGCCTCAAATAATGTCAAGAGAAATTAAGACACCCAGAGGAGCTTGGCTCCAACCACCTCCAATGTCGAGCCCGATTTTCCACCGACCTAGCACCCACTGGTCTTGATCGAAGCAGTCGCGCAAGCCGTGCCGCTGGGGCCGGAGCCAATCTTGGTAGGCTCGTCACCGTTGCTGTTGCCGGTGTACAGCCAGCAGAGGGCGCCGCCGAGGACGCACGAGTTGGAGATGGTGGTGGCGTCGCCGTAGTTGACGTTGACGCCGGCGACGACCTTGCCGCTGCTGACCTTGACGTTGGAGAAGGTGCTCTTGCGCGCGTACTGCGTGTCGCAGTTGCCGCACGACCGGTACAGCTTGCCGATGTCGCTGGCCAGGAAGTTCTTGACCGCCACCGTGCCGCCGCCGTTGTGCTGCAGCACCTTGTCCTCTGCGCCGCGCGCGCCGCCGCCGTTGACGTACGACGTGCCCGAGGATTGCTTGAAGGTTGCTGCGTCTTCGCAGACGTCGGTCCACCAGCTGTTGTTGCGATGTGTTAGCTAATTACGCGATGTGTGCAATGTGAAATAGGCATTCAATGAGTCGTGTGACTTACACATTGTTCAGAGTGCAAGTGCCCTTGCAGTGGACACCTTCTCCATTGTTGGGTCCAATGATGACATTGCTCAGCACGGCTCCGTCCTCCAGGAGGAAGACTGCATCAGCGTCACCGCCTTCTGCCTGTTCACTGCATGTCGAAGGGCTACGGTCCCACTGCTTCAGACCTCCGTCGAAGCTCTGGCCTGCGGAGATGGTCTTGACCGCAGCCAGGGCAGTGGTACCTGACGAGGCAGGGAATGCGGTCTGCAGATTAGTGTTGGTTGCTGCAAGAGCTGCTCCCAGCGCCACGGGGGCGGCGGACAACAGAGTGAAGAGCTTTGAAACCATCTTGACGACAGACGGGAGGCTTTCTTCAGGAAATTAAGTGGTAATTGGTCTGATGATGGCTGAATCGGGATTTTGCTGTTGAGCAGAAGCACAGACATCAACAGCCAAGAACATCCCCTGTGGCCATACTTATATGTGCGAAGCTCGCTACGCGCTCGAACAGTTCCATTTGTTTGTGCTTTTGACCTCGTATGATGCCCCATCTCTTGGCAATACCTCCTTCACCAAGCACTTTATCACCAACACATTGCCCCCTTCCTAATTCAGATCCCAGCGATTCTGTTGGTCGTACATGAAACGTTGGCGTTGAACACTTCCAGATCGTGGCAGATACTACGGTAAGATTTAGGCGACCATAGATAGATGACCGAGAGACAATGTGACATCCGGTACGAACACTTCCTTCTTGGCTCGTTGGAGGGATCAAGACGACTGCGCATAGGAGCAAATGCACGACTTAGAAGTTCCACCAATAATCGCAGTGTGTAAGATCCTCGATCAGATTCCAACAAATGGCTGCGACTAAAGGCTCAGGACTGGCTAGAATAGTGCTCAAGTAGTCAGCCTAGTCTTATTCATCCGTAGGGATTCGACTGTGTGGATCCGTCTGGTAGGGAATACCTCACTGAACGCCGAATAGGTACACTGAACCGGTGGACAGTCACGATGGATTTGTCTTAATACATCGAATATTATTGACCATTATGGAGAGCGGCTCTCGACTAAGCCACTTTCAGGGCCGCACGGGATGTGGTTGTCTTGGCAGTAACATGGGGTTGGGCATTACCCCGGACGGCACTCAAGCTTGACACGCTGAAACGATCGGGTTGGTGGAATTTGATGGGGAGACTGATCGCCATCTTCCCAATTCATTTGCTAGGCCGAAGAAATGGATCACTTCTTCTATGCCAAGAGGCGAACCGGCAGTATAGGAACCCACGCCCCGGGTCGAAGCTAAGATCAACTTGGCACTTGAAGTCGAGCCTGATGGCAAAGCTTGGCCAAACTTATGTCGATCCCGACGCACCCAAGAGGAACCTGCATTTCAGTGATAAGGAGTGTCGTACGGAACTCGGTCTAGAACCGCGTAGCAACTCCGTCCATTCTCAAATCCCTCGCGCATTTCAGCCGTGCTTGCTGCAAACTCGGCTGCAAGGTGTCGTCAGGTGATGCCCACTCGCTTCAGTAGCGACCGTCAAGCTGTAGTCGTCCAACAGGAGGACAGCAACACAATCAAAGACGCCCTTGATCAACTTGGCTGCACCGGGCAATGCCAATTTTAGAACTTTTGTCTCGTTCGCAAAATTAACTTTCCTCCAAAATGCCTTTTCCCCTCATCGTCCAACCGGTGCAACTTTTTTTCATTTTCTGACAACCCTGTACTAGACATTCGGACAAGTATTGAAAGCCTTCTTCAAATGAAAGCTATGCGAGCCATTCGCTCCTGCTGCTCGCGCAAATCAGCCCACGTGCGAAGCTCTTGTTCCTCATCCTCACAGGTCATCGTGCCACCGGTCTGTCCGCCAGGGCTGGGAGCGGTGCCAGTGCCCGTCTTTTCCAGGCGCGTCAAGATCTCCAGAAATACCCTGAGGTACTCTTCATTTTGCAGCTCATACGAGCGCTTGCGATCAGCCGGATCACCAAGTAACGTAACCGCAACTTGTCGGATCTTGCTGATTAGCGAGGCGCCGTTGGGCTCCATGTTGTGTTGATCAATTGACATTAACACGGTGAAAAAGTTGTGCACAACTTCGTCCCGTTCCGCGAAGAACATGTCGTCGATGCTGTCATTGATCTGCTCGGTGACAGCTTGCACAGCGGCTGCTGCCAGTGATGAAGATGACATATCTGGGGCTGTTCTGTAGATCACACTGCCTCCAGGACCGTTTAGACGGGCTTGTTCAGCACGCTTGTTGACGAGATAGATTTCGCGGAGAGCCATATATCGCTCGACATAGTGGGACCGTGTTGCTACTATTGAGGCATAGAGGTTTGCCTTTTGGATCTCATACTGCAGATAGCGTTTTTTCTTCTCATCAGCTGCGAACAGGTGCCTGACATCGTTGGTCGGCTGATTGTTCGGGTAGGCAGGAGGAACGTATTGGTAAGCCGAGGCCTCGCTTGAACTCTTCTGCACAAGTCTTGCATAAGTTTTCGTGGGCGTGTGGGCGCTCAGGTCAAGTTTGAGGGCCGGTGGAAGGTTCTGCTCAACGGCCTTAACTTTGACAAGGGATTCATGCAAGTAATGCTTCTGTTGCTCCCAGGTATATGCCGATGTGCCATGTGCGAGCTCTATGCGCACAAGGCCATCCATGGTCTGGTAATTTTGGATGCATCTCACAAAGCCAGTCAAAATGGAAACAGTCCCTTCAGGCTGGGGCAGAATTCTGTCGGGTAAGATGTACTGATCATCGACCTCTCGAGGACAGTCAGGATACGACGTATTCGGCGTGGCGGGTGGAATGATTAGGTCGCGGGATGAAGCACCCAATTGGGTCATGGATCTAGACACATTTAGGCACAGAGCTGATAGCTGCATTGAATATCACGGAACTTACCGGACACCAAAGAAAAGCGTCCAGTATATGCGCTTCCCAATCTCCTCGGTAATAAAATCGTTAGGTTGGTCATCGGGGCGCTCGTTCAAGGAAAGAGACGTTGGAGGAGGCCTCCTCCTATGGAAGCCCATTTCGCGCAAAAAACGCAGCGACTCTCCCATGTACCGTCGGCATTGGTTCCATCGCATGGTGTAGCCCATTGCGAGACAAATAAAGTAGCTGACGGAAGCATCGTTCACAGTAACAGTATCCTTGAGCATCGTCTCGGCATTGCGCATATCGAGAGCCACCTTGACACAACGGTCGACCAGCATTATAGATCGGGGGAATTTCTCGTAGCTGTGTGAAGCCTTCAGATGAAGGCGTGCCGATCGCGGGAAGGACGCCACCAGAGCCGCGACCATGCCTGCCAACAAGGCTAAAAAGTCGGGATTTGTCCGGTCTTCGCGATTCTCGAATGCCGCACGGAAGGTCGGCTCGTGGGGAAACGGACAAAGGGGGTGTATATACGTGTAGAAATCGTCGACAAAGAGTTTGAGGATGCCGAGAGGCGCGATGCATTGCTCTGCGTCCATGACTGTTGGCGTGCCCGGAGCACCCAAAGAGACGAGGGCCTGGGCGGCATGTTGATGGGGCGGAGTTGAGTCGCTTAGACCGTCAATTTCGAGTCTCTGGCGTTTCTCAGCCTGCTTGGCAGCTTCGGCAGCTCGATTAGGAGGGCCTCGCCGCTTCTTGACGCGGTCGTATGTACATGGAACACCGAGGTCTCTGCAAGGCGCGCAGGGAGGCGTTCCACCTTCGCACTACACAGTATAAGTAAGTATTGCTCTCACCCAAAGACCCGATCTCCAAAGTAAACAAGACAGGAGCGGGAAGCAGCCTACCTTAACTTTGCGCGTGCTGCATAGATCGCAAGCCCTCGGTATCCTGGTGTTCTTCTTCGAAGGCGCAGAGGATGTCGAGGCGGCGGGCGTTGGAGCCTGCTGGCTCTGAGGACTGGCGGACGAGGCATGGCCCCCAGGAGGAGAGTACTGGCCGGCCGGGGCTCTGATGTGTTGTGACTGTGGCGGTGATGGGTGGATTTGCTGGTGATGTTGATGCTGGGCTGAGGTATTCACGATGCCGTGGGGAGTGATGGGGACTTGTAGAGCAGATGTCAGGCTGTCGTGAGCACTGGCAGCATATGCAGAGGACGGCCCTTGTGTGCGTCCATTGTGAGAGAGGGCGTGTGGTGTGTGAGCAGCGGCTGGATTGGGTGGGGAGAGGTAGGGAGGCACGCTGGCGGCCGGCTTGGTGTGTTGCTGGTGCTGGTGCTGGTGCTGGTGCTGGTGCGGGAGCGGGTTTGTGAGGGAGTGTACTGCTGATGTACCAGACACCAGATGATTCTCATGATATCCAGACATCACAAGTAATCACATTAGGCGCACACGGCGCAAGACAGGGGGGTGGATGAAGGGGGTGTTGACCGGTAGAAGTGCGGTCTATGTCCGGGTGATGTTCGGGTACTGTGATTGACGTTGCAAAAAGTGGTTCCAGTCCCCAGCCCAGATGCGGGGTGCACGGACACTACCACGGGTGCACAGGTCGAGAGCACTCGAGAGCACACGTCCCCACCTGCCCACTGCAGCAGCTGCAGCAGCTAGGTAAGCCACAAGCTCCAAGCTCCCAAGCTGCGACCTCGACCTAAGAGAGCTCCGATCCACTCGGATCCCTCCGTTTTCTACCATTTTGACCACCTCGTCCACCCCAACGAGAGGTAACCCCCCTGGCAGGTAGATTTCCTGTCACTACAAGATAGACGCCGTGATGCATGTTAACATCCCTCACTGCCTCTTGCAGACCAAGGTTGGTGACCCCACGTATCCGAAAGCTACCCAAGAGTCTCGGCAGCTGCTGCTCCTTTGCATGAGTACCTCGCACAACATATGTTGTTGGGGCATAGTACCAATCAGCCGGCTTCTTGATCAATGATCTTGTTACTATCCCAACTGTTGGTCGTTCAGGGCTTGATTGAGAGGTTTGTGAGCCCCCAACACACAATTCACAGCATAATATACACAGACACATTAAGTCTCTTAAAGCACCGAACAGTTTATGAGTATCCACATACGGAGAATTTGGGTATTTAAGCTAATGACAGGCAGATTCCAGATGCAAGAGACGAGGATCATTGTCACACGAGCCTCTTCATGCAACGTGGACAAGGTTGTTGTAAAGTCGTAATTTGTAGATGTGATGTACCCAAAACAGAAAAGGAACAGACAACTTGAAACAATACCGCTCAGGTAAAAGACAATCCCCCCAAACACCTCATCTTGTTATTTTAAGTGACCCACTCACAAGGAGTGTTATGTCGTGACTTGAAGCCGATGGCCACGAGGCCGTCGTCTTCGGACGCAAAGGAAGTTTAATTAACCGCTCTGAACAGAGTCAGTGAAACTGCCTCAAATGGACGATCATAGGCACAATGGCCAGGCTTCGAGCTGATGCTTACCATGGACCCATTAGTACCTGGCTGGAGGATGTTGACCGTAGCCTCCCTGATCAAGTGGAGAGACGGGCTGGGGTTCGTGGGTGCCCCGGCCGTAGTTGTACCCATCCAGAGGAACTTCGTCCATGGGGCTCACAGGCTGCTGACCCATCCCGCTGGGGGCATGGGTCGGGGGGTAGCCGCCAGCCATTCCGCCCTGCTGCTCCCTAGGGAAGGAGTTCTCCCGGGACGCGAGCCCCGAGTCGGTTTCACTCCATCCGGCCTCGGACTTGCCGTGGCCAAAGCTGAATCCGCCGATGGCCCGGTTATGCGCGTCGCTGCCGCGCTGCTTCTCCGCGAAGAACTCGTAGATCCAGTAGAACACCACCAGTAGCATCAGCGCGAAGGCCGCCCAGGACAGCGCGATGAATTTGCCGCCGCGAACCGCGGACAGGCCAATACCGTCACCGAGCTCGGTTACCTTCTCGACGACCTTGCCGCTCCCAATGGTAGTGATGAGGTTGCCTACCAGCAGGAAAAAGAGTGCAACACCGGCAAGGCCCAGGTTACCCATCACGATCTTGGATCCGGCTGAGTTGGGAATGAGGGCGATGGCACCAATGGATGCAAACAAAGACAAGGCAATGAAGATGGCTGCGATAATGTACATCGCCACGATAGCCTGGATAATCTTCGGGACATCGTCGAGCTTGTCCTGGATGTCATTTGTAAGGCCCAAATCAGCCAAGTTCAGGGAGAAAGGTCCAACACTGAGCTGCTTGTCGAGCAACGCAGAGATGTTGAGCAGGTCTGCGAATACCATATCAGCGATCTGCTTTCCTTGTCGCTGGTAATAGGGAGTCACTTACTGTAGTTGAACGGCTCGGTGCAGTTCGACACGTCGAAAGTGGCCTCGGGATCGGTAGCCTTGGGTGTGAAGTCACCTTGGCACAGGTCGACCAGGTGAATCGAATAAAACTCCTTGATACCAAGCTTCTTGGCCAGCTCGTCTGCGAGATTGTTCTGAATGTCCGACAGGGCGTCAAGACCTTTGCCGACCGCTTCAGTGGCAGCAGCTCCAGCTGCAGTGGCGACGTTCCCCACTGCGGAGCCTGCTTGATTAGCCACACTGTTAATACCGTTTCCTATGTCGTTGAGTCCACCACCGATATCAATACGCTTCTCCGGGGCCTCGTGGAAGCGGTTGAGGAGAGTTGGAGGTGCCGTGGGCTCTGGCATGGGTGCCCGGGCCTTGAGCTTTGGGACAAGGTTCTCGCCTAGTGTTGAAGTATTAAACTGTAATATGTGTTAGAGAATTTCGTGACTCAAATGATCGGACATGAGAGACTGACGTAAAGAATGTGGTAATCCTCCATGTATCCGGGCTTGTTGCCGGCGAAGATGGTCAACATCACCAGCACGAAGCTGACGATGGTAAGGAGTGCGGAGACTCCTGCGATGGGATACATCTTAGTGAAATCTGTATTATCGAGTACCTGCTCGTGAAATGAAAGGTATTCGACTGTGAAGGTACTTCGAAAATGAAAGAGAACAAAACGAAAGGAATGTGAGCTGCCAAAACTGTGGGGATGAAAATCTGTGGCTTGACGCCTAGATAAATATCAGAGACTGCATCATTTGAATGATCTCAGGTAGCTGAGGCTGTAGTGACGAAACTCCAAGCTCAAAAGTTCGACGGTCACTGTTTCTAGTATGGCCCTATGGGAGGCAAAAGATGGCAATCGTGTCAGATTCGGGTGTCTGCTGATGGCCGCCTTGCTTCAGCCATGGAGTCGTGACAATGCCGCCCTTTGAGAAGCCCATCTTGGTTGGACGCAGATAAAGGTCTGGAGGGTCCAAACAAATTTTCAGACGACGAATGTCGAGTAGGGTCAATTCGTTGGTGAATGAGAACAAAGAAGGCGGCGGGTCAAGGCCACTCAGTTCTCAACCCTCGAAAACCGGCCAGGGCAGGTGACCTGTGTCATCAACGGCGAGCCGATGGCACAAAGCCCATGCCCCTGAATGAATCAATGAGCGTTGTTGGGTGGCCGCTTTGTAGGCCCACTATCTCCATTGTTGAAACATCTTCTGCCAATGATTCGACGCTGCGGCGCTGCATTGCTGACAATCTGGACATACGGTCATCAATTGGGCCGCCACGCTCCTCCCCGGCTCAGACCCGAAACACTTAACGGCTTGCGAGCCGGCGAGACCGCGATACAAACGGCAAATCAAGCACCGATGATACTGCCCGGTAGAACTTGACCTGGCCGTTGCGGTGGCCACCCCCCAAAGATCTTGGATGCTCACACCGGCGGTTCCGATCGGCCAAGGCACGCCGGGCGCCGCTTACACTCAAATTTGAAGTTCGCAACCATTTTCACATAGCAAAACGTTGAAATTAACAGCGACTTGCAGCAATAACTCGCCCGAATTTGTGATCGCACTTAGTGGGCAGCTTGTAAATTTATCATTTCTTGGGCTGTGTTCAATTTGAACGAAAACTTCACCAGGGATTGTCAGCACTCACTCACCCTGCTTGGCATCACAGTTATGTAGGTCAGCCTGTTTCCGGAAGGATCTCGAACCGTTTTCGCCGCGCAGGCAGACATAGTATGTCGCCACACGTGGTTTGACGTCGATCCGGGCCGGTGGTTTCATTGAATCCGCCGGAGCAAGCCGGTCTCGGGATGCCCCCGATTTGAGTTCGAAGCTACGCGGTTAAGTCCGGCAACTAGCAGGCAACGTAAGGCTCGATAACAGGAACTTGACAACATGACAACATGACAACATGACAACCTGCTGTGCCGTAGGGCAGAATTAAGCCGTGAACCCCATTTGGCTTGATGACGATGATCTCCAACACTTCTTCCGGCGCTAGGACTGGCCTACCTGTGGCTAATGCAACACTGCCGTTCTGGCGGACTGAGCTCCATGAGTTGGATTCCTTTCGATCATCGGAGGCGCTTCCTTCAGAATGTGATATACTCGTGATGGGCGCCGGTTATGCTGGAGTCAGTACCTTATACCATCTTCTCGATTCCAGCGATGCCCCGGATCCGTCCAAGATAGTCCTTCTCGAAGCACGCGAGGCTTGCTCAGGAGCGTCTGGGCGCAATGGTAAGAGAGCGATCCGTATCTTATCCAACCCGAACCAAGTCTGACTCCTTCAGGCGGTCATATCAAGCCTGATGTGTATTACAATATCCTGAAGTACACCAAGAAATATGGAGCAGATAACGCGGCCGCTTTTGCTCGCTTTGAGGCATCGAATGTGCTCGCGGTAAAGGAGTTGGTAGAACGAGAGAGTATCGACTGTAACTTCGTGCTGACGAGAGCTATTGATGTGTATCTGGACGAGGCACATGCCAAATCAACACATGCTGCGTATCAGGAGTTACGAAGAGTTGGAGCCGCTGACCTTGGAGATGTCCATTATGTGCAAGGTCCAGATGCGGAAGCCGTGAGTTGTTCATATCCGAGTACGGAAAGTTCCCACAAATCATTCTAACACAATCCAAGATATCGGGAGTAAAGGATGCGAAGTGCTGCTTCTCTTTCACTGCAGCTCATCTATGGCCCTACAAACTCGTCATGAGTCTGCTCTCCAAGATTGTGGCCAAAGGTGTCAATCTGCAAACTAACACCCCGGTCACATCTGTCTCGTCAGAAACGGACTCAGCAGGACACTGGACAGTCACGACCCCGCGCGGCTCGATACTGGCAAAGAAGATCATCTTCGCGACAAATGGCTATACTGCAGCCATCGCCCCACAATTCGAGCATAAAATCGTCCCCGTCCGCGGAATATGTAGCCGTATTATTCCCACGGCGCCGGAAAACACTTCTCGTCTAGTGCACACCTACTCTCTTCGCTACGGTCCTGCCTTATACGACTACATGATTTCACGCTTGGACAAGTCGATAGTCATTGGCGGAGCGAAACAACCTTTCTGGCACGACAAGTCACATTGGTACGGAGTGACAGATGACAGCAAACTTATTGAGCCCGCTACCACATACTTCGACGGGCTGATGCAACGCCACTTCAGCGGCTGGGAGGATTCTGGTGCCTGCACAGACAAGGTCTGGAGCGGCATCATGGGGTGGACATCTGACTTCATGCCATATATTGGCGAAGTGCCCGGAAAGAAGTCTCAGTATATCGCAGCGGGCTTCAGTGGACATGGCATGCCTTTGATACATTTGGCTTCGAAGTCTTTGGCTGAGATCATCAGGGGAGAGAAGACATTTGAGGAGACAGAATTGCCGGCTGTGTTCAAGCCTACTATAGAGAGGCTGCAAAGCACCAAGAATGAAATTCTTGGTGTATAGGTTTTGGACATTACTCATGCATAGACAAGGAAAAACAACCAGATTCCCCTATTTAAGTCAATATGACATACTTCAAGCAAGTCCACACGTGCAGTCCTCAAAGCAATCGTGCCCATCGTCTTGGGTACCCGCTGACGTCGAAAGAACGATTTTAGGCTACCCCAGCTTCGATTATTTCTCGTCAGAAAATTGCTACAATCTTAGCCCATTTTCAACCACCAGAATTCCAGTAATAAGCTCGCCCGCAGGTTACCAATTAGGACATCGTGGCTCGCAACAATCACTGCATCAGAGGGTGGGAATGAATGTGCTAGACCTGATCCGTGTCTGATGGTGACTACTAACGGAGTAGCATCGGCCAACTCATCTTGCCAGATTCATGCCGCTGTCTGTGGCAAGCGAAATGCCGCCCCCCCCCCTGTCGTTTAAGCCGTGCCGCAAAATCAATGCAAATTTGGTAGCAACATCGGCAACTCACAAATATCCTCATAAAATCATCAAAATCTCATTGCGCATTATCATTAACTCTATTCTATATATATCTTTAAAAAGCTCTAAAAGCATAGAATTAGTTTTAGCTAGTTGCATCCTAATTAAATATATATGCAGTATGCTATAAAGGATATTTAAGTTCAAGTTAATATTTGCAAATCTTGATTAGTAATTAAGATTTGCTTAGTAATTAAGATTTGTAAATATCAACTTAAACTTATAAAATCATCAAAATCTCATTGCGCATTATCATTAAGTTTATTTTATATACATATTTAGAAAGCTTTAGAAGTGTAGAATCTATTCTAGTTGATTGCATCCTGATTGAGCGTATACGCAGCGTGTTATGGAGGATATTTGTGAGTTGCCGATGTTGCTACCAAATTTGCATTGTTTCTGCGGCACGGCTTAAACGACAGGGGGGGGGCGGCATTTCGCTTGCCACAGACAGCGCCTGCCGCAGCCCGCGGAAACAAGTGCGATTCAGGGACCCGCATTGGAGCTACGCGACGTGTAATTAGCCCGCGTGAGGGGATCGATCCCGCGGTAAAGTTTACTAGCCTGCTGCCGAGAGATCAGTCCCGATAGGGCCCATGCGCCCAGGTGGAACACACTGTGGAAATGCATCGTGGTCAACGTGAATGGTGATCTTCCAATACCTCGCCGCTCTGATTTCGCAGGTGTAATGGCCCCATAAGCCATGCTCCACAGAGAAGGATACCATACTCCAGGACCGACTATGGATACAGCTTTGGATCCACAGAACTCCATCTCCCAAAAGAATCAACAAGTTGTAGACCTCTATGACAACTATGTAGCAGGGGGCTTCGCACCATATCCAGTATGTCATCTCTAGTTCTCCTAGCTGAACCTAACACCAACACGCTGGGTAGACCGCCCTCGTCAGGGCTCAAGGATCCAAAGCATGGGATGTCGACGGAAAAGAGTACATCGATTTTCTCTCAATGTACTCAGTCACAAACTTCGGCCACAGCCACCCCAAGATCGTCGCTGCTGCTACCAAGGCTGCTTCTGAGTGCGCGGTTGTGAACATGGTAATTAACGCCTTCCTTTCCCGGTAGCCTCTTCGATTCTCACCAGCTCTCAATGTTCGGGTCCTGCCCATCACAATGAGCTTCGCAACATGCGACGCTCGAAGCAAGTTCATCAATATCCATTGAAACTCCGCTGATCGAGTGTGTGATAGCCATTCCACAACCCATACTACGGGCAGTTGGCAAAACGACTCCATGATTTATTCGGATATGACAAATTCGTGGCGCTGACAAGCGGAGCAGAGGCCGCAGATGCTGCTGTCAAGATCGCCAGGAAGTGGGGCTATTTGCAAAAGGGGATTCCAGAAGGTGAGGCGTGGGTGTTAACGGCCGGACGCTGTTACCATGGTGCGACGCTAAGCACGGTGGCGATGAGAAGCGACCACCAGAAGAGTCCTCGTAAGTCTGGGTTGGAGGCTCGGTCTTCCTGGTGAGAATAGCTCTGACAATTCTCACCAGTATACGGGCCGTTCATGCCACAAGTCGGCCCTTTCTCGCCCGCTGGCAGGCCAATACGCTTTGGTGAGATTGACGATATTCGCGAGGCGTTCGAACTCGACGGTGGAAGGATCGCTGCCTTCATAGTGGAACCGATACAGGGCTCGGCCGGGTGAGACGTCCGGACCAAAATGCGTGAGGATATAGCTGACTGGAGCAGAGTTATGGTGCCCCCGACAGGCTACCTGAAGGAAGTTGAGAGACTCTGCAAGAAATATAACATCCTTTTCATCGCTGATGAAGTACAATGTGGCCTTGGAAGAGCTGGTGCCAATCTAGCATATCAAAGAGATGGTGTTCGTCCTGATCTTGTGGTCATCGCGAAAGCTCTGGCAGGAGGTATAGTATACCTGGCTCGTCCCCAATGGCATCGCTGATTGACCTAGGCATGTATCCAATTTCGGGAGTAATGGGAGACAAAGCCACAATGGACCTGGTCGGCCCCTATGAGTATGTTTTCAGCCACTCAGAAGTTGAAGCCAAGTTAACAGCCCATCAGGATCGGATCAACCATGGCGGCAACCCCAATAGCATGCTCATCAGCCTTGGCAGCTCTTGATGTGCTTGTCGACGAGGACCTGGCCGAGAGAGCGAATCATATGGGAGAGCTGCTTATATCGACATTGAAAAAAGCGAACCCACCACACGTTGCAGGTTATATGGGTGCTGGGTTATTTTGGGCTATGATTCTGGATACGTCATCAGCCAGAGTCACGCCAAAGAGGCTCGCGTCTTTGACAGCACAGAGAGGACTTCTCACTGGCGCAGCGGGACGCGACAGAATGCGGATATGCCCTCCTCTTACAATATCAGAGGAAGAGATGCTCCGGGGTGCGAATGTCCTCATCGGTGCCCTGAAAGACCTGGAGAGCGCTGGACCGTTGCCAGCAGAGTAGACCTCTAAATGTAAATCATGGACACGGTTCAATTCGACGCCCATGGAGTGTCCTTTGTGAACACTGGTGACAAGTCCTGCAGAAAATTCCAGTCTGCATCCCAGTCGAACTCTTCGATGCCACTCAGAGCAGCGTTGTCCATCAAGGGAGCAGGTGCTTCAGGCTCGACTGTCAGCGACTCGGACGACACCGGCGTGCTCCAAGACGGCGGCCCCTCAGGGAAAAGTAGCTTCCGCAATTTTTCAGTGGTCTCGGCCTCTGGAACTTTGTGAGGTGAGAGGATGTCGGCCATAATTCTCACCCTGAATGCAACAGTAACCTCATCGACAATCGGCATAAGGTATTTGGAGCAAAGAGCAGCGTCATCCCAAGATTCACCGACTTTGGTCAGAAGCATCAGGCAGTCTGGTATGGTAACCGCCAGAATCTGCCTGGCTTCTTGCCTTGCTGGCACGTAATCCCGCAAGGCCCAGCAAGCCTCTAGCATGACGATCGCTGCCTCGTAGAGAATGTGCACAGCATGCCAAGGGTAGAACAGACGCCGCCGTTTAGTCTGCTGCTGGTAATCATCCACCAAGGCCGAGCAGGCAACGAAGCAGGCGTGGCGGTCCTCGGGCGTTCTGACCTCTAGTCGCGGTGTGGGGCGGTAGACACGGGACTTGACAGACGAGTGCTGGACCATCCTGAACTCGAACATTTGGTATTTAGAGAAGCCTTTTGCTGTCTCAAGCCACTCGTCTAGCCGGTTTGTTATGTTGTTGATCCAAGCGTCAAGGTCTGTAAGCTCCCCCTGAGCCTTGGAGTCCTGCAGGTACAAGACGCGGTAAATCTCGGTTTCCATCGCTCGTAGACGGTACAGATGAGTCGCAGATGATTGCCTTTTAGTTTCATCATTGTTGATAGCATTGAAATTCGGTATGTGCAGGGAAGCAGTGATAGATTCCTCAGGAAAAGAAAGAGGAAGCCTGAGAAGAGTGCAATGTGAGCGTTCCATGCCATACAGAACCCAAAACAGCTGGCCGTGCGAGGCAGAATCGGGGGAGCGTTTGTGGAGGCCAAGTTCGAGTGCAATTCTTGCTCCGTTCCATATGCAAGCCCAATTATCAACCTTGCTCGGGCTCATGTGGGCATAGTGAGCGAGGAGAAGCGAAATTTGAAGCTTCTGAATTTCGGTAGCACCGAGGACAAGCCGGAGATGCTGGAGTGAGATTGCAAAGAACGCGTTAGAGGCAGTCCGCGCCTGGGCCTCATTCTTCCAGGTCAGTGTGATCGAAGAAATGGCAAGGGAGACGAAGGCGACAAAGTAGTCGAAGTGGGACAGGCCGGACTCAGGGGGTATGCCCAGAGTCAAAGCAGCATCTGTGTCTCCGCCGTGAGTGACAAACACACGCGAGAAGACCTGGCGCAGCCATTGCTCTTGCACGCATGGATACTGTGGCAGGTGGATGTTGGTGTAGTTCCAGATCATCTGGTCAAGAGCAGCTGGTGGAATCTGTCCAAGGTTCGTAGATATCGAAGGCCCATCGCGAGGTGGCGTTCGAACCTGCCGGGGATCTGGCTGAGACACGTCTGGCTTGATTCTCGATATCAACAGCGGAGGACAACTTGGCCTGAGGAAGAACGCTGGCGAAAGGGAGGAAAGAAAGAAGGATGTTGTCGAGGGACTGTCTGCTGCGAGCGTGGCATGAGCCAGTCTTGAGGTCAAGGCTACGGCGACGCTGTTGGGTGAGTGCTGGAGACCCGCTGCCTCACGCTCCAATTGAGCGACGTGGTTTTCAAGAGCGCGTACAAGACTGAATTCACGAGTCAACTAGCTGATTTGGACAATATGAATGTGGTGAAAGACTTACCTCCGGGGTAGTTCTTCGCCACCTGAGCCGTACCCTCTGCACACTGCGCCCGCTTTCGTGCAGCTTCCACAGGACGGCCAGGCCGAGTCACACTGTGGGGATGATGTCAGCATGTGCTTGTAGAGGAAGAAGCTCAGATGAAGTCGGATTATAGACCAACTCTCGATGAGCCTCATGTGGAGCAGAACCAGGCGATTCAGATCTCACGTGGCTGTGGGCCATGATGGTAGGAAGGGGATCCTTCTGTTGGTTGTGCGTACCTTTGTCTTCCTTTTCTTGCACCTCGCGCAAACCTTAGAAGAATGCCGGCCCGAAGCTGCCAGCTGAATATCTGGTATACTGTCCATTCTATCACTTTTGGGTTGAAAGCTGACTTCCCCTGACTCTACTGGCGTCTGTCACAAATGAGTCGAAGACGATGAGCTTGATGACCACATGCAGTAAATGAGGTTTGGAACCCCCGATGATCCGATCCCCAGGTTCTTCAAGCCCCAGACGGTCTCGATTTCTCATGGTGCTGCTGGTGTGTGGGCAGGGGATGCCCTGGTAGGCCCTCGAGTCATTCTCCCCCTCGAACCTAGCAGCTGAGTTGAGCTTCCCCATTCAACCTCTAGGACTAACCTTACCAGCTGGAGAGACGTGCAGGGGGCAAGGGGTAGCGCATTTGCTTCTCACCAAACAAAACATGCAGATTTCAACAGCATCGTCTTCTCACCTGCGCCTGGATCACACACCTATTGCCAAGCTTCGGGAAGTGATCGCAGCTCCTGTTGCTCGGATCCGTTAGTCAGAGATCATGCTCAAAACATGTACCAGATGCCGCACCAGGCGCATAAAGGCAAGTCCTCCATTCTCCGGTCCCAGGTGGAAGTGTGGTTATCATCTTGAGGCGTAGGTGCTTTGCCACGCACTGTGTGTTGACTTTACAGTACCCAGTGTGATGCCCGTCTCCCAGCTTGTCAGAATTGTCATAAATCCGGCCTCTCATGCTCTTTCTACGACGATGTGCTGCAGCAAGATGTTCCGAGAAGTCACATCAAGAGCCTCTATGACCGCATTGAGGAGCTCAAGGCTATCGTTGCAGTCCATCACACACATTCTCAGAACAACGACAACACTACATCGGGCCCCACAGATTCCGGCGGTGCATTCCAATTCGTCTTGCCTTCCCGCAATGGCACCCTTTTTCTCGAGCAGTCTCCTCCAGTCATCATAGGCGATGCCACCGTCCGCAAGCTGCTTAACCAGGGTGTTAAGATCGAGTCACCTTTTCTGGTCCCGGGCAATCTGAACCCCGAAGAAGAGGGCATCAACGTTTTTGCAGCATCTAGGTTCGATAGGGCCTCAGTAACACCCAACACGGTTCGCTTGTTACTAGCTCACTACGTTCGGTGCGTCGAGCCGGCTCTCCCGGCTAGTATCACCCTGCCTGACGAGAATGAGGCGAGCCTGAAGCAAATGGGAGAAGCAGACAGGTGCTGCGTTCTTCTAGCCTGCGCAATCGCTGCTACTCACAAGAGCTATTACGCGCCGGCCTGGAAAATTGTAGCGTCAACCTGCCGTGAGTGGGGCGGTGAGCTCGCTGCTCAGTTCGTGACGAAGCCGAATGATCATATCGTCGTCATTTTGCTGCTGCTCATCATCTATGAGCTTGCGGATCCTGAAAGAGGCCTCATATGGGAGCTTTTAAGCTTCGCAACCAGGTCCTGCCTGGAACTCGGCTGGCATCGCACGGACGAGCAAGCCATACACCCATTACCAGGGCCCACATTACCGGCAAGCTCTCAAACGAGACGACTGCCGCCAGAAACCAAGAAGCGAACGCTGTCTGTGCTGATCTATATTGAAAGGTGAGATTCTTGTCTTACATACCTACGCATTTGACCTCGTAGCCCCCGTTTTTAGCTGACAAAAGTACAGAATGATGAATATTCTGGTTCATCGAACAAGCGTGCTCAGTTGCAGCATACCGTGGAATCAAGCTGATAGCGATGTTGCTTACAACTACTGCATAAAGCTCATGCACCAGCTCTTTGATCCCCCATTCCCTGACGAGGTATCACCGCACTGCCCGCTGCGTAGTTCACTGGCCCATGCTGTTGAGACTCTCCAGTTGATGCCGCCGTCAGAAGTACTAACGCACCTGGGCTGGGTCCTGCTGCAACCAGCACTTTTGAATCACCCACCATGTGAAGTCTGCTCCACTTTTTCAACAATTGGTCGTTCAAATCATTATCCATCTCTTCAAGCCAGGGTCTTGTCCGAGGCAGCGTGCTTAGTTGATGCAGCGCATTCAATTGTGGTGTCTCGGGACATATTTCTACCGCCAGTCTTTGCAACCTTGCGAGCTTTCGTGGGAGGATGCGTCCTTATGACCGGAACTTCTTGCCTTTGGCCTACTGCAGAAACGTACTCAGCGTATTTGCTGAAGTGTTCGGAAGTGCTCGCCTTCACCTTGCCCTTATGGAGAGGCGGAAAGGATTATTATGATGTCTGGCGCCAGATATCGCGGGCAATGTGAGATATTTAGGCGGGAGCTATTGATGACGAACCGAGGGAATGGAAACGGGAATTATTAAGGCTGATCCTGTTCGCTTTCAAATCAAATGCCGAAGTCATCACGAGAGAGTGTCATCATGGTCTCCTGGCTACTGCAAAACTGCGGGCCTCGGAGTCCGGCGTCTGGGGCAGAGGATCCACCGGGCAATGCCGAAGCCATTTACTAGGACTTTCTGCATGTCTCCAAACAATCTAAGCACATCATATCCTTTTCAGTTTGTTGTGGGCAAACTTTGCCATTTGAAACGACCAAATTATCTGCTAAACCACAGATATCATGGCCTAGCGTTCTCAATTCTTGGCTTCGTCTCGTCCACACTCTCTCGCCACCATGGCAGATCTGCCAGCACTGTCCGTGACGCCAATACTGGCATATCTCTCTATGGTAATATGCATTTCTTTACTGATTTACCTGCGTTTCTTCTATGTCGACTTTGCTGCTATCAAAAGCATTCCGGAAATCCCAGGCGGCTCCCTGCTGCATGGGCACCTCTATATGCTTGGACAAGACCACGCAACCACAGCAGAGAAATGGGCCCAGGATTATAGTTGGCCAATTTATCAAGTCAGACTCGGCAACCGGCGAGTGATCTTCCTCAACGGTTTCGAGGTAGCGAGAGAGTGGCTAGTGACTCGTCAGAGTTATACCATCGACAGACCTTCACTATACACATTTCATGGCATCGTCTCCAAGACATCAGGTAAGACAGGTGAACCTCTTTCTCATGAGGTAGAGAGCTGAATTGTATCAAGCCTCGACGATTGGGAGCAATCCTTGGAACGAGCGCACCAAGAAGCAAAGACGAGTCGTCGGCTCGTTGACAACCTCTCCAGCAATCAAGAGACTTACCGGTATGCTGGATCTGGAAACCTCACGGATGGTCGAAGGAATCTTCAAGGCGAGCCATGGGGGCAAAGCAGTCTCGCCTCATATTTACCAGAAGCGTTTGGCGTTGAATGTCGTTCTAATGTTTTGTTACGGGAGGCGTTTTGAAGACATCGCTGACCCACTTCTACTTGGCATCTTGGGTGATGCCAAGGTTATATCGAGGTTCGTACACTTCAAAAAGTCTCTCTCATTGGCACTAACATGGCAAACTTACAGTTTTCGATCCACGAATTCGAATGCACAGGACTACATACCATATCTTAGGTCTTGCTTCTTTCGCGACGAGACTCGCTCTTCCATCGCAAATCAGGTCAGGGGTCGAAGGGATAAGTGGCTTGCTACACTTCTCGAAGAAACCAAGGAGAGCATTGCGGCGGAGGGCAGCAAACATTGTGTGGCCACAGGCCTCCTCACTGATACACAGGAGAATTTGACGAAAGGTGAGTTGTCTCCGCGGATCGCGTCTTTCACGTTCTGACGATAGCCCCCCCAGATGATGTTCGCACAATTCTAGGTGGCCTGATGTCAGGTGGCTTCGAGACAATATTGACAACGGCGATTGCTGGCATCGCCTACCTGGCTGGTCCCGAAGGCCAAGCCATGCAAGAGAAGGCTTACTTAGAGATGCTTGGCTCATCAGGCGACATTGAAGCCGCTTTCCAGCAAGCTGTCGAGATGGAGAACTCCTCATATGTGGCTGCATTCGTGCGGGAGACGCTTCGCTACTATCCTCCGCTTCATATCCTGCCGCCCCGACAAACATACCAGGATTTCGAATGGAACGGTGCGAGAGTACCAAAGGGAGTGATGGTTTTAGTGAACGCGCAAGCAACAAACCATGGTATGAGCAATTCTGTACGGCTTACCTTGTTTATCTTCATGGCTGACAGTGGCAGACCCGGCAATTTACGGTCCGGACGCACACATTTTCCGCCCAGAGAGATGGACTGAGCCAGAGTTGGCTAGCAAAGTGCCCGCGCCGTACCAATTTTCATACGGTGCCGGTGGACGTGGATGCACTGCAGTCAGCTTTTCTAATCGGATTCTGTACACTATCTTCGCGCGCCTGATTTTGTCGTTCAAAATCAAGCAGAACGAGGCCAAGCCCCCGTGCCTGGACTATGTGCAGTGTATGTATTACCTCCTCTCCGCTTTTCCAACATATCTCAGGAGATCTCGTGGCTGACTCGAAGAATTGAAGACAACGAAGATACCACTGCACAATCCGCCACGCCCAAGGCTTTCGAAGCCTACTTCGAGGTGAGAGACAGAAGGGCTTTCGATGCCTGCTTAAAGCAATCTGAGGAAAACACCAGGAATGTTACGAATGGTATGGTCAGATGATTACTAGGATCTTGTTATACTTGTCACCGCAGCACGTAGTAGGTGCACCCATTAATTCGGAGGAATTGGAAAGGCAACAGACAGCATAATAAGTTGTAAACCGGCGACTCAACGTTGACTGTAGAGGTCTAGCGTTAAAGGCTACTTGGGCAGGCTTGTTGACCATCTGTAGGCTAGCCTATCTTGCCGCCGGCCGACCCCTTCCTCAGCAGATGGCGGGATAGTCAGCAATTGATGCGCAATTTGATTTACACGTAACATGACGCTATGTCTTTCCTCAAAATAGACCCCTGACGCCAAACTTAACGCCCGTGGCGCCGAGAAATCTGGGGGATCCTAGTCACGAAGTTCCGAACCTTATCGACATTCATCTCCGCCCTTTCCGCCCCATCAAAGCGGGCGATAGCAGTCCTATCGACCCCTCGTAAACCCCTACAACGTTGCTGGCATGACGGAGATAAGAGCACAACCCCCAGATCAGCACGCAGATTGCCGGAAACCAATTTGTGCGCGATTGAGGGGTCAATTTATGGTTCAGGGCCTCCCCGACCTCATTCACCGCCGGTTTTGCACTTGCGGGCGTGCTAATGGCGAATGGGTGATTATTGCTCACTCATGAACGACATTCTAGTACAATAACATCCACGTGTCTTGAGCCGTGTTGCATCGTTGCTTGGCTTGGCCCAAGAACTGTCCTTGAGGCTATTTCGTGCGGCTCAGCCGCGCCGCCACACAGCAGCTCAAGTCAATTTTCATGATGGCGGCCAACGATGAAAAGAGCGCCACTGCAGACGTGTCATCGGCGCAGGACTCGGGAGATGACACTTCCGGAGCCGTATTGGAGAATGGAAACATCATTGGTGAGCTGGAGCCTGCTCTTCACAGCCAGCAGGGAGATTTACTAATGCCCAGCATAGATGATGGCCTGCAGCGGGGCCTCAAGAACCGTCACCTCATCATGATCTCCTTTGGCGGTGTAGTCGGTGCGAGTATCTGGTATGGAACGGGCTACGCCATTGCCTACAGTGGCCCAGTCGGGGCTCTGATATGCTTCTTCATAATCGGCGTTGATGTCTACTTCGTGATGCAGTGCTTGGGAGAAATGAGCACACTTTTTCCTATTCAAGGCGCTTTCATCGAGCTGGCCGGGAGATTCGTCGACCCTTCACTTGCGTTTTCCCTGGGCTGGAATTACTTTTACCTGTGGGTCACTAATGTCGCCGGCGATTTCAACGCAAGCTCGATAATAATGGGATATTGGACCGACAAAGTACCAACTTATGGATGGATTCTCTGCTGGTGGGCATTTTACCAGGTCACTTCCCTGCTCGGTGTCGTTGTGTGGGGAGAGATGGAGTTCTACTTCGCCTGCTGGAAGCTATTTTGCATCCTGGGAGGATTCCTCTGCGCGATTCTGCTCAATACTGGCGCCATCGGTGGCGAGTACATAGGATTTCGGTATTGGAGAGACCCAGGTCCTATCGCCAACGGCATCGACGGCTTTGGACAGTGTTTCCTGCTTGCAGCAGTGTACTATTGCGGCACAGAGATGCTGGCACTCACCGCGGCTGAGTCTAAAAATCCGACCAGAGACCTGCCTAGGGCTATCAAGCAAACTTTCTGGAGAGTCCTGATTATATTCATGTGAGTTGGTCCCAAGCAAAGTTATTGTGAACTCGAATTAACCCTCTGTTCCAGGGGCTTGGTCTTTTTCGCAGGCATTATCGTACCGTCAAACAGCCCTGATCTCCTCACAGCTGCCACTAGATCTGGGAAATCACCTTGGACAATTGCCTTTGCAAATGCTGGTGCGCCTCAGCTTGGTAACGTGGTCAACGTTGTAATGTAAGGAGTTTCCTCTTTAAGAATACTCATTTAGCCTCTAATGTGACTTTACTTCAGGATCACCGCCCAACTTTCTTCGATGAACTCGGCCCTATATGTGGCATCGCGGAGTCTTGTGTCACTGGCCAAAGAGGGACGCGCACCAAAATTCTTCGCGAAGACCACCAAGAATGGGACGCCAGCAAATGCTCTCATCTTCTCAAACTTTCTTGGTCTCATTGCCATGCTCAATTACACAGCAGGCCCGGGCAAAGTTTTCAGCTACCTGACCAGCATCAGTGGCTCGGCTACGTATATCGCATGGGCCGTGATAGGCGTTACTCATGTTCGATTTCGAAAAGGCTGGGTTGCCCAGGGAAACCGCGTAGAGGATCTGCCGTTCCGCGCGCTATGGTATCCCTACGGCACGATTTTCGTCATCGCGATCAACACATTCCTTGTGTTCATTGCCGGCTATGGCGTTTTCATTGGAGGTTTCGATGCAGTTGGTTTCGTTATCAACTACATTGTCATCGCAGTCTTTATTGTGTTGTTTTGCGGGTGGAAGATTCTCAAGAGGACGAAGATCGTGCCACTGATGGAGATGGACCTGACTACCGGCAGGAGGGAGGTCCCAAGGACTGTGGAAAGCGATGACACCAATTGGGAGAAGAGAAAGATTCCTTGGTATATTAAAGTCAAGCGCTTCATATTTAGCTAAGAAAGCGATATGCTGTGTAATTAGATTAAGGGGGTAGAGGGGGCCTCGCGAAAGACATAGATCTGTTGACGGGCTGGGGTTGAATTCGATTTTTTACGCTGTGAATCCTATAATGTGTGCATACTTACTTATATGGGCTTGCATGAGCCTGTCATGCCTCATGAGCTGCTCAGAATAGTAATAAGAAATCAAGTCGCAATACATTAATAATACTTCTAGCAAGCGGGCAAATAGTCTAGTGGTGAATCGAACTTTCACCCGCTTCAATTGCACAGGATGTACTCAGAAGCCAAAGAAACCGTTGCAAAGGCCCTCAATCTCGATCAATTGCAAAGTAATGCAGTTTACGAGCGGATTGCATGGCATATCAAGGGGGCTGCCGTTGTTACTTCCTATCTCGCAATAGAAAGTGCCGGGGCCGGCCCGTGCAGTGGAGACGGACCGGTGACTGGTCCGGCGAGTCACGACAACATCCGGCGCACTTCTTGGTAACCTTATTTTGACACCTCACAAAGCTTGGAAGTAACACAAACACCCCACACACTCAATATTTGTCGCAACCACATTGAAACAGATCGACGAAACAGACCGCCGCCTTCAGCCAAACAACTCTTTACAAGCCTTAGCTCCTCTCAGACGGTCCATCCGCAATAACAATGGCCAGCGGCGGTAAGCACGTCGTCTTCGACATCGTCGGGACATGCGTGGGGTACGAGGCTTTCTTCGATATCCTGGACGCCCGCATCGGCGACAAACTCCGCGCACACGGGATCAGCCCCAAGATCTTCGGCTTCTCGTGGATGGAATGTGCGGAGCGGGAGTTCACCTTCCTCGACCTCTCCGGCCGCTACAAGCCCTTCTTTCCCATCTTCAGGCCGCTCTTCTTCCGCGTGCTCGGCCAGGTGGGGATCCCCAAGCCGAGGGAGCTCTTCAGCGAGGAGGATGCTGAGGTCTGCGCCGAAGGGTACAAGGCGCTCAAGGCGAGGCCCGGCGTTCAGGAGGCCTGGCAGAAGCTGAGGGATGCGGGATTTACGGTCTGGGCGCTTACCACGGGCGACAAGACAAGAGTCAAGAATTACCTGGCTGGAGCAGGCCTGCACTGCCCTGACGAAAATTTCTTCACGTGCGATGGATTGGACGTCAGGAAACCCGTGCCCAAGGCTTACGAATTTGTTTTGAACCAATTCAAGGGCGCTGATCAGACGTGGTTTGCCGCCGCCCACATGTGGGATGCGTCAGGAGCAAAGGCGAATGGGTGAGTTACATCCTACTTTTGATCGGTCCTTCAACTTGTTCTAGGCATCTGACAAGGGCTTTCTATCAGATTCAAGGCTGCCTGGTGCTCGGTATGGGAGATCGAACCAGTGCCTGAGGTCTTTGGCGAGGTCGATGTGGTTGCAGACAGCCTCGTGGAGATGGCGGAGAAAATCATTGAGGCATCGAACAAATGAGAAAAGTTCATTTTCGCATTGCCCTCGGCGGTCCAGATTCCAGGACTCAAGGCAATCGCCCTTGATTAATGCCGATGTGGCGTGGAAGAAGGTGCCCGCCCTTTTACTGTGAAACATATGGCAGATCTGCAGATTCCAAGAATTTAATCCATGCCTCAGCCAGTTGACCGATGCCTTTCGGACAGAAAGATATTGAATTCTCACTTACCTTGTGTGCGAAGGTGCCTGATGAAACTCATAAGATCCTTTTTCCGCCTCTGTTGAGAGCACAGTAAATGTAGTCGAGTACTTAAGTAGGTTAGTTCAAGCTTAATGGGTCAGAAAGAAGGATAAGGAGTTCTGCTTTTGCGAAAAGCGAACTTAGAGCTAACTCCACAGCAGTGTTTTTGACAGGGCCCGTAATTGAGGTCGCACCTTCGAGACAGTCGGAAGTGCCTTGAAATAGAGCTTCTGAAGAGTCTGCCATAAGATGCTAGCTCCCGGTTGATGCATACTCACATAGATGCTGCCTTTAACCCTGTGGATCCCCAACAGATGCTTGTTATATGCTACATTGATGAGCTGTGCCTGGCGGTTAATATGTATATATTCACTTCTAGGGCATATAGTCAAGAGCTAGATCATTTCGTAAGTGTCTTGTGAGCCAGTACCTCATGCCTTCTTCTGTTGTTGATTCCAGAGAAGAGTGCGGCCCATCGTGTTGTTTTCGCGATTTGCAACTCTTTCAAAAGACACAAGAAGGTCTTGAGAGGTCATATATGGGCTTGAAAGAATGCTTACTAATACTTCTTCTACTTTCATTGCTATTCCAGGCATACTCTGTGGCAAATATGCAGGTGAAAAATAAGTGTGGATTTGGTTGGCTGTCAACATCTTTTCCAGCACTTGTGGCTGTCTGACTGCATCTCTGTGCCTCGCAGCTGCGTCACTGAACACGCCTCAACGACGTGAGCAAAACGGGCTTCTTTTACCCCTCATCATTGGCACCCAAAGGTTCTTGATTTCTCCCTCCATTTCCCCAAGGTCTAGCAAGCAAGCAAGCAAGCAAGCGTATATCCCTTACCTAGGTACTCGTGTTGAGCCATGTCTGGTTTCGATGTGGCTGCCGGTGCTGCCGGTATAGTATCATTGGGATTCCAGCTCATTGAAACTTCCATAAAGCTCAACAGGATCGTCAAGGCTGTCAAAGATGCGCCACGCACGGTGGAGAAACTGGTCGAAGAGCTGAAGACCATGGGCATGTTTCTGCAGCATATTCAACAGGATCACCAATACTGTCCTCCCAGTGGCGCCATTTTGGATCAATGCCTGGTCATTTTCCAACATTCGACTTTTGAATTACGAGAACTGGTCGACAAGATGGAGACCTGTCTCGCCAAACGTCCCCGGCTAGGCGGCAAGTTGTACGTTGCATACAAAGATCACGACATCAAGGAGCTACTTGGAGACCTGGAAAGAGCCAAAACCTCGCTCGGGTTTGCTTTCAAAATGCATTGCGATGAGATACAGAGGCAGCAACGACAAACGTCCCTCATCGCTCTGACCCAGCTTGTTACTACCGAGAACGCAAACATCTCGCGACAACTGAGCCCTATTGCGGAGGCCACTACCGAGCTTCGTCGACTACAAAGCATGATGTCCGAGTCCCAAAGGCAACGAAATCAAGCATACACCACCGCTCTAGCCCAAGTTGCTTCCGAGACCGCCGACATCTCGCGACAACTAAAAGCTTTTACGGAATATTCTGCAGAACTCCGTCAAATACATAGTATTATGTCCCGCACAACTAGCCAAGCTCTTGCAGACTTGTCCTCCACGGGGTGCAAGATTGATATATCATGCGAAACCACACCAATCAAGAGACAAAATACTGCTATTTCTGTTAAGGCTCAACGAAAGGGCGCAGAAACGAGATACCAGACCTGGAAATTGCGACTACCAACCTGGCTTTGTCGTCGTGTCTTGGACGTCACTTTTTCAGTTTCCTGCTCTCCTTGGACGATCTATACATACAATGTCTTACCAGCCGACTCACCAATATTTCGCCTGTGCGAGAGGGGCAACCTTCAAGGGGTTCGAAAGCTGATTGAAAGTGGAATGGCATCTCCCCTGGACGTCCGTAGTGCTGAAAGTGTCTTTTTTGACAGGAAGCACTATGCTGGGTCCTGGGAAACGCTTGTCGAGGTAGCACTATTAATCCTATACTGGAATCGTATCGGTTGCTAACGAATCTTAGGTGGCTGCTAAGCATGGGCAATTAGACATCTGCCAATATCTTCTTGGTCAGACAATTTGGCCAGACCACACCACTGTCCTGAATAGCGCTCTTGGCCGATTTTCATTATGGAATAGGCGGCGCAAAACAGATATGTATCGTCTATTCATGGACGATCCAGGCTTTCATGCCGACCTCGAAGCGGACTCTCGATATTTGTGGCTGCACTGGTGTGAGGATGTTGGAGCCCTTGATGTCGTGTTACAAACACAGCTCTTGAGCTTCAAGACTCAGCCGGCCGAGTTGAGGTTTGAAATAGTCTCACGTGTCAGGTTTCTATCTGCCTCGGCCTTCATTCGATGCATCGGCTTGGACCCATCAGAACCAGAACTCGCTAATCTGCAAAGCCAGAAGGGGCTGACTGTATTGCACTATGTGGCTAGTCATCTTTGGAGGCTTGCACAAGCCAATTCTGCTGCCCACGGTGAGGAAGTCCTCTCGTGGGTGAGTATTGGAGCCAGTGTCTTGCGGAATGGTGCCAAACCTTGCGCTATTGCAGACATCGAGAACGATTTGTGGCTGGCACATGGCGATTCACAATCAGCCTCTAGATGGCATAGACAGGAAGTCTTTACAAAAGTCACAAGAACCACGCCACTCATGATCTGCGTTGGACATCCTGATTGGCAAATCCGGACAGCCGGTTCTGCTGAATGTGTTCATAATTTCCGCAGAATCTCCAAGACACTGAGAATTTGGGTTGAAATGGTACAGAACGCTGGATTTGACCTCGAAAACTACGGATCTGAGGAGTTGGAGGCATGGAAGAGCCTTCCCGACTCTGAAAGTTATTTGCGTCCCAATAAAGTCGCAAACCCGTATTTCAGAGACTTTCCCAGAATAACCCACCTTGTATACGGGCCTACGCCGGCAGACTGGACTTTCAAAACTTTTCATCCTCTTCGAGTGGATATTCACCAACTGAAAAGGACACCAGGTGACTTTCCAGACAGCCAACTACGACCCAGAACTATCATGTGGCGTCCAACTCATGAAGAGGACCAGGAAGGAATTTGGGAATTGACGAAGAGGCACACTCTCTTGACTAGGCACATTGGACTCGATGAATCATTGGACATTACCGAAGCCGGAGCCCATTTTCGCAAACTTCTTGAGAGCTCACAAGATGACACAGGTCTGATCATTCTCATGCAAGGCCGAGCTTCCCATCCTCGGTTGCCGAATTCTATGCATAGATCTTACAGCCAGCCCCCTTTGCTTCGAAGAAGGGAATGGGAACATTACTCAGCATACCGGCCAAGGGGACGTTTCTGGATGAAAAAAATTCACCTTTGTCCTGTTGAATTTCATTGGAAGTTTCACAGTGATGCGGGAAAACGGCAGGATTTTGTTGGCAATGGAGTGCTGAATGGCAATCTGCCCGGATGTTCGTTCGATGCTCGGAGCTGCATTAGTTGTAAATTTTCCCAAGATACGTCCTTCCAACAATCGTGGTCTTGGGAGAATTGGAGCTTCCTGTCTCACATTGCTTCTTGTCAAGACGGTGAAGAAGGAAACTTGGGTCTTCGCAGATTTGGGCATACGTTTAACCGCGATTGTCCGCGGGGTTGCGGCAAAGTTCACTTGGACAGGATGCATGTACCAGAGCCTTTGTCATATTTTCACCCCAGAAGAAAGTATGGAGATGTAGAAGACTAAGTACCCAGAGCCAATCTTCTGACTTCTTCACTGTAATAGGCACAATTACAATGACCCTGTCACATGCCCTAAGTAGCTCAAGGAAGACTTTATCAGCGTGCTCAGGAAACTTGAGCAAATATTCACGCCATTGCGGTTTTCATGCCCACAGAACCCGATAGCACCAAACTGACGAGGTTGTCTCAGCACCATATGAAGGCCGGTATCGACAAGTCACAATACGACTTCCCACCAGTCTCTGGTATCTCTGCCAGTCCGGGAAAGTGCATGCGACAATGAGCTTACACCGATCAATTGCCACTTCATTAGCCACACCTGGCACTTTGCCAGCTCTTAGCTTTGCTTTCAGTGTTCACTGTCGAGCTTAATAAGCCTTCAATATAATTACATTGTGATTTATAAAATATTAAAATCTAGTGATTTATACCTTATTAGTTATGCAAAAGATTTAATTTAAAATGTAGAATAAATAGTGATCATTTGTATAATACTTTAGATAACTCAGATTATGAGATCTAAGATTACAGTCTTGGATTAATGCTAGTATTTCCTTGGAAATAGTCACCCTAGTATTGTGAAATATACAAGAACTTTGCAGATTTGATGCATTCAGGCCAGACTGCACCCACTTGATCTTTAATTTTCAGGCATGAACAAGTCAAACTTCTGATTCATCTTCTCTGGAAAGGCGCCAGAAAGTCTATTTTAGCCAAGGTAAATTTAGACAAAAGTTTCTACGATATACAGAAGCATACCCATTTTAATATGTTCAGTGCTGCCTTGGTTCAAACTTACATAAACCAAGATGAATTTTGCCACCACCTACGCATAGGACATCTCGCTGAGTACCGCTCAGCAGGGGCAACTTGTTCCCCGGCGGCCATCACGTCGGCGTCCAGCGCCCAGAAGTCCACGGTTTTGGCCCCCGCCACCGAAATGCAGCAACCTTGGCACCCTTGTCACCCTGGGCGCGAGCAAAATGATCGCCGAACTGTCCCCAACCGGCCAAGATACCGTCTGAGGTCGCACCAGGGAGCGGAGCAGCAGTAGATGGTCACTTCCATCCTGGGCGGGATGGGAGGCCTGAAGACCATGACCAACAACGTCACCAGTCTTCACGTAGATGAGTATCCTCCCATCAAATTGAAAATCGAGAAGACCTTGGTCAGCGGCTTTCCAGTCGACAAACTGGTGATGGCGCGGCTAACTGCCTTCGGTTATTCTGCGCTTCACAACGTCGGCTAGTGCTGTGGCCTAGTGGACAGAGATCCTCGCCTCGTGCTCTACCAAGGCTCAGCTCGTGGGGAAAGGATTCAATTTCAAAATTTATATGATTATATCGCAGTTTTAATGTGATTAGATGGAGAAATCGAATGGTTCGCGCCTTAGTAGCATTGCCAAAGGCCCAAATTTTGTCTAGACGTTCAAAGATGACACGAGCGCGAAAAAGAGCACACTGTATGATCAAAATCGGAGGCAAATCCAACGTTTCTCCCAATTCAGTGTTCGGCTTGATGTTCTCTTTTCATTTTCGAGAGTGGACCGAAAGTAATAAAGTGAAGAAATTCGGGTACCGCTACATGTACCATTATGTCGGGCTTATGTGGTTGAGCGCCACGGCCGACGCCAAAATGAAGCGGAACGTTCCGTCGCGGAGAGGATGAGCGATCCATTGCCTCTCCCTGTTATGCGAGTCTCAAACTTGGTCCCAGCCGTTGCACAAGCAATTCGAAGGGATGACCAGATCAGCCCACCGATTAGCGGTCAAAAGCCGTTGCAGCAGTAAATTTGAGATCACTGTGGGGTCACTGTTGTGCAACGAGAATACTGTGGTACTTGACACCAATTATTATGTGCAGACTGCATGGCCATGGGCCGTGTCGTGTTCGGACACGCCCGCGCCGTCCGCATCAGACCGATGAACTAAAGGAAAGTGTTCAATTGACATTGCATGTGAAATTATCTCTTAAAAGTTGAACAAGGCGAGATACTTTGAAGCATTTTGGTCTGTGAGGAACGGGATAGGAATACGAGATGTGAAAATTGATGTGATATGATCGTCAAAGCAACGGCCATTGGTATTACAAATGCGCCACTGGGTCGATGCACTCGCAGCGCGGCACGGCCGGAATCTTAACCCGTCCAAGTTGAGTTAAAGTGAGAGGCGTCGTAGCATCATAGGATTCCGCCTCGCTTGTTGGCGCTACTAAAGACTTAATCTATTTCTCTGAAAGCTCGGTAGAAGCCTATGGAGCGTTCTCGTCTCTTTGGCTTGGCACAAAGTCCCCCGGCCTCATGCGGTGCGGCTACAGTTGCTCGATTCTACTTGCAACATTATCATCATTGAGGAGAGTGACAGATTGTCTATTTCTGACCTGTCCGCCGTAGATCACTCTATCAATACACGCCCCCCCCCCCTTCATCGCGCAATCTGTTTTGCTCTTCTGCCAGGGGCGAATCCAAAGAGACTGTAGTTCAATTTGGGCGAAGCTCTGCAGGACACTCAGGGTTGCAACCAAAAGTCAATGTATATGTTTCAAAGCGGGTTGCATTGTGGCTTGCAATTGCTGCAGGAGAGACGCGGGGCGCTTCCGGCCACGTGCAATTCTTTACATGTACATTCAGTCGGTGAATAACCAATGTGGACGCAAAGACAATGCGCCGTTGAGTCTCCAGCGTCTCGTGTTCATTTTGGGCGGATCTTGAGACCTTCAGAGCCTTTGGGAGTAGTTGGAGCATGCTCAGTCAACCTCTGGCGAGTCCAAGTTGTCCGAATTGACAGGGCTATCCTGCTGCTCATCTTGCTTCTCACAGTCTCCATTTTCTTTCTGCTTGGGCACCGGAGGCTTTGGTATCCTCATCTCAATCCTCTGCAGCTCAATCTCTAGTACAGGAGTGCCCTCAGAAAGTTTTGACTGCAATCGATCATTCTCAACGTCAAAGTATAGGGCCCAAAAGTTCCCTTCCTGGACGGCGAGAAAGCCCTCCCAACCACCCAGTGTAAGTCTCCGATCTTGTCTTGTGCAGTCGAATGGCGCTTTGAAGTTTGGCTCGGCCCAGTCTCGTGCCCCAAACTTGACCTCGTAAGTCTGGCGATCGATATAGATCCAATTCCTAATGATGGCAGTCAGTAATGTGTCGTAGTAGACAAATGGGGACAGGCCGAGGTGAAACGCAGTATTCTTCAATTAAAGTTGCTTACATGACAGGAGGGTCGTCCATTATCGTGGAGACAAGACCATCATGCTGAGTATCTGGAAAAGGGAGAAAATATCCAGCAAAGCGATGGCCGAAAGGAATGTCATACTCTGTCCCCGTGTCGATATAGAGCTGCAAATGATATCTGGATCAACTGCCGGTCTAGGCGGGGCACTCCAAGGGGCCACAAAGCCGGTAGAAGGAGAACATACCTTGTTGCCTGAGAGAATCACATGTTTCCCTTCGAGTGAGGAGCTGTACCGCGAAGACTTGATACAATGTACAACAAGATTGTTCTTTCTGCTGCGATGTTCCTGCCTGCGGGCCCTCGCTTGCGTTTGACGAATAGCTTCCGCTGCCCCGAAGACCGAGGCAAAGGCGACGATGAATGATACCTGCTGCGACATGCTGTTTAGCGAGCTGAAACAACCAACAACCCACACTAACGGGTGTTCCTTCTGAGTATGGAAGGCCTCGCAGCTGCCCCGCGGATTTATGTGAAGGGACTGCCGGAGCCCAGATTGACTCGAGGTGACACAGCACAAGCCATCGTTCGATGTCTTCATCCGAGGCGCCCTTGTGTGACGTGGTTAGCCCAATCGGTATGGTAAACGTGGAAGGTGAAGCATAAAGGTAGATCCCCGCAAGGTGTGCCATCTTAGCCGTGCAAATAATGTCCCGACGGGGATGAACCGGGCATGACGGGCTGATCGCTGCCGTGTACCAGGCTTGGCACCGGGCTGCAGCACCGAAGTTGCTTTTGTGGCTGACTCGGTGGGTGACACTAGCATTCGAGACTACTCTAGCACCTGCGTGTAGCTTCAAGCCGACGGTGCTTCCCTTGAGCATCGCATGAAAAACATTCGATATACCAGATGTGGCTTGACTCGGAAGGGAGAACCGCATCTTCGACGGGCCTTCCCGTCGGCCGAGCTGTAGATCGATTCTCGCTGCTGCCCGACGAAGTGCACGGGTGTGACCCGGGTCGGGTTGGCTGGCTCTAGACCTCTGATATTGCTCCATGCCGAGCGGTCAAGGTTAGAAGGCCAGGAATCTCCAGGCGTGAGATTAGATACAGATGCAATGAAGGACAACTATAAAGACCATATGCCTCCCTGAGCAATTGAAAATGTGATATTCCAGAGCCTGCAGGGCACAGACGGCCAGATTCATTGGAGCTTTACATCTTCATCAACCAAGATATCCATTCCAAGATCAGCCCGATTCCCCCCAGACTATCCAACCGAAACAATATCTTTCCAAAGCTTTCACGGTAGACCGTTCGGAGCAGCGATGTCTTCCCCGTGAGTGACTGCAGTCCTGTGGTTCAAGGCGTCACGCCCATCTAACCCATAGCAACCCACAGAACAAAGACTACTCCCGCCCCTCCTACAGGCCCTTCATCGAGCTCTACATCTGGTCCTCTCAACAGCGCCCCACGCTTGGGGGCACACAACGAAGACCGGGAACGGGACCGGGACAACAAACTCACCAATAGCCATCACCATCTTCCGATGCCGGGTCTCTCCGGTAGCCCAAACTCAGCAGTTGGTATGCTCTCCTGCCGGTTTTCTCTGCACTACGCAAGCCTTGAAATTCAAACATCTCGCTAATGAACCAAGTAGGCAATCTTTTGAAAGGTGCAGTCGACTCTTCTGGTGAATTCAAAGATGCCGCCCTCCAGGTTGGAATCAAATTGGATCTGGTAGGTTTGAACAATCATGCAGGAGACGGTTGGCGACGCTGACAAGGAGAGTCTTGCAGGAAGCAGAGGTCCACCTCACAGCACGTGTGCGCGGTGATATCATTGTTGGGCTTTATTAAAGGCTCACGAACAAACTTTTATCACCTCCCTGGCGACGCTCATTTGGGAATTGGGACTATTTTTCAGGGCGTGGTTATTGGTCTTGGAGACATTGCAATTGCTTTCCTGTCACTCACTCTTGATTTCTGCATTAAGGGTCCCCGGGGATTTGCACTTGGAGCTCTCAAATTGGAATTAGCTACATTCATTTAGAATAATACTATTCACTTCGTTTCCCAGGGGCTTGCATCATGGACCACTCATATTGTGTGATTGAAGATGCGATCTTTTCAGTGGAAATCTTTAAGGCATCTGCTTTAGCTAAGCCAAAAGGACTAAATTTATCTGGAGTCGTTGCAAGTGACTTCTTTGCGGCATGCATGTATATAGGGGACTGGCTGACAGTGGGTGTATGGCAATTAGACAATTAACTTACACAACGCACTTACATAAGCCGTCACAACACCCAAATTTATTACACACCCTCTGTGCATCCTACGTTTCCACATTTAGTGTCTTCTCCTGAGTTAACGAGGTAGCCTCAACGAATTCAGACCGAACCTGATCTAAAAACCAATCTGCGATAGTTTCTGAGACTGGAAGGTCGTATTTGACGACGTAGAAACGTTCAGCCACAGATCTGAAGGTGAAGTACCGAGGATCTGTCCCCCCATGAGATGTGTCATTTTCCAATGCCGTTGGGGTATCACACCATACCTACCCGAGACCAACCTAGACATCTGCGGACGCCACGACAGATCCGCGCGATGAAAGCAGCCCACGGAATCGGAACTTAGATCGGTTCGGTACACTCAGATGCGGTAGCCTGCAGCGCCTTCCTTGAGGCGTGCATCTGGATTGTAATGTTTTTCCAAGCTATCATGGCGCAAATGCGCTGAAGAGCCGAAGTCTACGAGACAACTGCCGTAACATGCCACTGTCTGTCTACCTACATTGTAGGAAATTTCAGGGCTGTGATTTCTTGGGGGAAAGATTCCAAATCAGGGGTTTCGCGCTGCGCAAGTCGGATTGTCCTTTTTAAAAGCGTCAGCATGCCAACTAGACAGCTGTGTGTTTGCAGGAGAGGATTCTCCGATGGAAAATTAGAGGAGGTCCGGGCCACGGCCGCCGCCGCCGCAGCGTGGCACAGCAGCTGACTAGCCGCCAGAAGTGAAAACAGTCACTCGGATGGGAAAGTTTTTCCAGTTGGCTTACAGTGGCTGGCGTCTTGATGACTTTTAGACCCTATGGCGTCTCGTGGCTTCTACGCTACGATAACTTCTTCGAAAAGCATGGACTCGTAGCCTGTGCGCTTTTGGTCTGCTATTGAGACGTGACAGTCCTGCCAAGATTGTCATCTTATGATAGTTCCGGCGGTTCGGGCCACTATTGGGAACTAAAAAGTGATGGCTGTTTCGTTTTGCCATCAAAAGTTGGGGCTGAAATTCCTACTGGACGGCGGCAAAAAGCGCGTCTAAGGGGCTCGCACGGGTAGATCCTTAATTGAAACGGACTAGCCTTTTCGTCACGGCACCCTGCATACAGGTATTTTCGGCAGGGCTCCCGTGCCTCACTTTTCGAGCTGGACAGGAAGGAGCCGAAAACGGTAATTTGTATATCATCAAAGATGTTTCCCGAAAGGCAAGCACCTCTGTGTGCACCAGGTGTCGCTTCACGCCATCACACTCCTTTTTAGTCATTCTTTTCAGTCACTCCTTAGACACCTCAAGCATCAGGATGCCTTCATTCACAGCAACTGTGTTGTTCTTCCCCCTTCTCGGGCTTTGCAGTGCCAAATGCATTCCTGCTGCGGTGCCACAAGCCACTTCTCCTCCAGCCGCCAACGAAGGCTCATCAGTGCCTGCTGTCGGCCAGAACGCCACTTCAGCAACGAAGACTCCGAATGGGTTTGAACCAGGGGTCAAGTGGCAGATTAACATTCAGAATCCAGTTGATCCACGGGCCGGTCTGCAGCCAGCTGATGCTAAAGTCATCGATGTCGATCTTTTTCAAGCGAGCAAAGACCCCACTCTCATACCAGCACTCCATGTACGGACAGCCAGAATGTTCTTCCTTATGTGTGCATTATGTGTTCTGACGGGCAATAGGCAGCTGGGGCCACAGTGTTGTGCTATTTCAACCTGGGCGCAGTCCAGACTACGGATTGTGACTGGTCGAGTTGGAATAACGATGGGCTCATGAAGGGACAAGTCGTGGAAAATTATTCTCAGGAAAAATACGTCGATGTCACGGATGAAAAGGTCCTGGAGCTCCACAAAGCCCGCATTGATCTTGCTCACAGTATCGGGTGCGACGGACTCGATCCCGACAACATAGACACATTCGAGCTGTCTCCGGATGAGTCCATTGGCAAGCAAATCACACAAGACGACATGATCACCTTCCTGACTACTATTTCGGAATATGCTCACTCTAAGACAACAACCCTTGGCCATTCCCTCATGATCGGACAGAAGAATGCAGTGGGAATCACGGAAAGTATCCATACATTCATGGACTTTGCTATTTCAGAGAATTGTGTTGGATCTGTCAATACTGGCTCAAACAGAGGTGCACCTGATGAGTTCTGTACCACCTTCCAGAAGTGTGAGTTTGTTTCTCCTATTGTATATCAACGCTGCTCGACGCCAGGAGCATTCGGTCCGAAGAGGCTCTGTCTTTTTGTATCGAATTCTTGATGCAGTCGGCGTAGAGCTTTCCATTTTTGTCTCTGAATCTCTCTTCACTTCCTGTCCCGGTTGTTAATTCTTGGCTATGAAATACAGACTATGCCGACAATGGCAAGCCGGTCTTTGATATCGAGTATCCCTCCAGTCTCGCAAGCGGCGGCAGCAGCAAGGCTCGACGAGACGACAGTACTACCGATGGTTCTGAAGCTGGATGCTCCGCCGGTGTGAGTCAGGGCGATATCACTGCCTATTGCACCTCGCAAGCAAGTAGCACTGGCATCAGCCGGATCCTGAAGCTCGACAATGACGAACATGGTCTAAACGGCTGCACGCAATACTGTGACGAGGCTACTTCATTCGTCATGGCAACGTACGCGTCCAACGATACCAACTCTTGCGGATAGTCCACTGTTGTTGTTGAGTGGAAAGCTAAACTGTTTTCCCGGAGAAACTCAAACGGGCAGAATGCAGCACTCACGTCTGCTCTGATGATGATTTTGCTTCTATGAATACATGTATCCCTTGATTGCTTTTGGGGGAGATTACGTGTATGACCTGTTTTTTGCTCAAGCGTTTTTCAACCCAGACACAGAAGATCATGTATTTTCTGAGGAGCTGCTAGAACAGTATCCAAGTGCTGTAGATACTCCAAAAAAGAAAATTGACACAAATGAGCAGACCTAAAATGCTCGAGATCATTCAAAGTTTAGCATCGGGTTCGACAAATAACATTGTTCTCAGAGAGTGAAACACAAAAAAGGGGAAAAGATCGAATGGCATCCTTGTGGCCCAAAGTTGAGATGAGCTTGTGGAAAAGAAGCAGACCAAGCTGGTCGTGTGATCTGACGTTGTTCTCGAAAAAATATCGCAACTTGATTCGCTCTGCGATAATTGGTAGGCCCACTGTGCAATTGGTACTGCTACCCAGATATATGCTATATAGTCCTTTGTGGCAAATTGCCTAGCTCTTTTCTTGTTCAGTCATCTTCCATTTTAGAGGAAACAAGGTGCATGAAGTGTATCTCGGTTGACTGATAATATCGAAGAGACAGCTTGAACTCCTGATGGAGACAGTAGTTCAGACTTAAATAACTATTGGTGGATACAAGGAACAACGGCAGGAGAAACAATCGAAAAGGACATTGTATCAAGGCATCAGTATTTGTCTGTCACTGTCAACCACTGAATTAGTCCATGGGTCCTGTTCTAAGGTATTCAATACAAGATGGTATAGTACGCGACGTACTTGTGTACGTTGTTGTTGACTGATGTACTTGATAACATATTAATGGATTGTATTTCTAGCCTTTATTAAAAAGGCATGTGAGTTTGATTTATTTCCACTTTTGTACTGTGCAAGGTGGGTACCAGGCAGTAGCGAGTCAGCAATGCTATGCTGAAAGAACAACGATTATGACTCTCTTTCAACATGTATCTCTTTTTTTATAAAAGAATAATAGAAAGCCTGCACTCAAATGCTGTCAAGACGGAAGCCTGACAAAGAGAGCCACCGCAAGAAAATACAGCATCCTTGTGGTCCGCACAGAAACGTGTGAGGTGGCGATCGTCCATCTATTGCTAACGCGAGTGGGTGGTTGTAGCTTTTTATAAGAGAGCTAAAGAAGGTCGAGATAACATATATGGCTCCAAAGGGGTACTTATGCATGCAACTCGTTCAATAAAACATTCAAAATAGCAAAATTCGAATCCTACTAAATCACGATTGCTTGGTCTAAAAATCGCAAAAATGATCTGTGCAGGGGTCGAACCTGCAATCTCCTGATTTCGAATTCCAGTGAACTTCACTAGTCGTAGTCAGACGCCTTGCCATTGGGCCAACAGACCATATCATACACATCCGTGCAAAAAGAATACTATAGTCATTCCTCAAGTTTGAATTCAAGAGGTGTTCCACACAAATATCTGTTATATATAGAACACAGATATATATAATGTATTTATAAAAGGTTTTGAAATTGTATTGACGAAATCTCTCATCTCGGTATTTCTTTCTGGAAAACAAATTATAGCAATAGAAAATACCACGAAAACCTCGTTCTATAAACTCTCTAAACGTCGACGGAATGCTCTGTAACGAGGAAACCAAAACAACGGGAATGAAGAGATGAGAGGAAAATAAAGGTACATGGGATCTGATCAATGTACAAATGTCAAGATAATACACAATATGTATGAAAATTCGATAGTATGTGTTTAATTGATTGTGTAGGGTGAAAACTGCGGTTTTGCAAACAACGCCGCTTCTGAAGCCTCTGATCACAGGAACCCGGAGCCAGTTAATCTGCAAGCCTGCGACATGCCCAACGACGCTGTTTTAAACTTTATATATCATAATATATCTGATTGCTTTTAATGAGTGCCGGCCGCCCAGGAAGTGTTGTCACCGGAAGTTGTAGCTGGAGAGGTAGCACATCGGGCGTGACCAGGATCTAAATATTGAATGCCTGAGCAATTTTAGAGTCGCACTAATTGCCTGGATTAGACGTAGTGCATACAGTAAATCATAATTGTCTCCCATCAATTCCTGTAGCGTTGCACTTATTATTGACCACTGACTCATCCTATCTCAGCAAGCGATGTATGAGAGAATTTCAGGATAAGAATCGATATTTATTCAATATTTCAAAGAGCTTTGCCAAATGAGACAGCGAATAGCTAATTGAAAAGAACAGCGGGCGGTAGAAACTAGTAAGACGATTTTGGAGATATGCCCAAGTTGATTATGGGCATCATGTCTGCCCCTGACTGTATCTTCGCTTTTTTCTTAATTCCGCAGCTCGCTTCATTGATGTCGAGCTGGATAATTGAGTATATTATAATCATCAGTGTGCTGATGTATGTACGAAACACCAGCAGCGAGCAGAAAAATGGTCCTTCCAACAGCAGCACTGACATTGGAGAAGTCACGTTGAAGATATGAACACCCCATGCTAGAACTTGCTATAGCTTTTGGCGCCGGCAAGAATTTCACACTGTCAGACAAGGCCAACGGTCACTTGGTAACGTCCGGGTCGTGGCTTGTAGCATAATTCACATCGCGAGCTAGCAAGATTCGTGGTGACACAGTCGTATATGAAGTATAATTACAATAAATAAATATTATGTTGCATAGTTTGAATCGAAGGAAGATAGACCATATGCTTGATGACACCACACTCATCAACGATTCACCGCGGGTTCTAGGTTCGAAGCACCCGTGGACTTCTCCGCGCTCGTACTTGACACATTATCTCGAGCTCAGATGTTCTCTCACAGGAAGGATAATACCCTGAACGGTGCCCGACTTCAGGTTCATCTAGCAGGAAACTACCACACCCAATCGGTGAGTATGTATCCGCAGATGTACTGTTCGGACGCCCCAGGCTTATAGCAACTCCATCCAGAATGGCCTCATCCTCCCAGCCGCCGCAATGCTGGACGAGCTCTGCGCCGCCGTCCCTGTCTCGCTCGAGGACCCACTCCTTGTCGACGTTCCAGACGAAGTTACCCCACTCGCCGTGGAGTTGAGGCCTCCGAGCCCAGTGCCAGTCGCCGACGCAGTCGAGTTGCCGGACGCCGCGCCGGACGAGGTCGACGACGAGCTCGAGGAATCACTTGTGCAGTTGGCCGTGAAGAAGACGTAGTTGGCGGCGCACCCGATCCCGCCGCACCCGGACTCGCAAGGGTAGTCCACGAACACGGTGGGGATGGCGGACGGGCAGTCGCAGGACTGGGTGAGGGGCTCCAGCTCAACGCAGTCGGGCGTCGCGCACGAGTGGCAAATGTTGCTGGTGAGGGTCACGGTGGGACATCCTTCCTGAGAGGTTGATGAGGAGGTGGAGGCGGACGATGTGAGGGTGGCTGTAAGGCCGGAGACTGTCGTCGTGGGCTTGCTGGACGAGGTCGAGGATGGGGTTTGTCCGTGCGCCGGGATGCTGTGTCAATTGTCAGTCGTGTGTTGTTTTTCACGCGTTTCTGGCGCAATCTGATTGGACTAACTCACGCCGCGGTCAAAGCCACCAGAATGTGGCCGTAAAGCTTCATCGTGAATGTTCCCAAACTCGCTCTTGTTCTGTCGGTCGAAAGTCAAAGGACGTGGCCGCCCAGGTTCGATCGACTTGACTGCTACCAAATGCTGCGTAAAGCTCCGTTGTGTGAAGGATGCAAGATCTGGACACCCGCAGCTGAGTCCACAGACGTGAAGGGCCTGCTAGAAGGTGATTTCGTTGGTGGAGGGTTGCATCATGACGTAGAAGGCGCATTTGGACGCCACTAGGCTGCAGAATCATCTCCTATCGTACTGCATGTTTATGACGGGGCATCCCGAACTGCATGTTGTTGTCTTGGCGATCCTCGATGTTCTCGGACCCTCATACGTCCTGCTTGGGTGCCTCCTGAGCTTTACTCCCGGCGCTCAGGACACTACCTCGGTAGAGTATCAGTTCACCACAACGCCACCCTACACCGCCAGAGGTCAGCCATGGAAGGCAACTTGAGCATAAATCGCTGGCCCGGATGCATGGTCAAGAATCACCAGCGCTGCATAATTCTTGTAGACGGGCATCCTACTTCAGCACACTTCTACCAGCGAAAACCTTTAGCTTCCGCGCTGTGCGTGCATAGAGGTATTGTTGCTCTTGTGGTATTCTCTTCGGATATGGGTTTCGGGCATGACCTTTCACGCTTTCAACAAAGCCCTTTTAAAGGAGCTAATCATTCATCAGTGACCGAAGTAAAGTCGAGGGAGGTCGCACAATCTCCCGTTTTTCACTGCGAAAGTGGTATGCAATAGGACATTGATAGGATTGGTATTGACGTTCACAACATCCGAGCCAGACGTCCTCATATAAATATCTTCTGACAGACATTGCCGCAACTGACCGAAACAGTGTTGTTAACAAGGCTTGATAGTCCGCACGCATTATGCTGAGCCCCGAGATCTGGTGCATTTCACGTTGAAAGTAGTTGCATATAGTAGTAGTATTTGTGAGGACTTCCGAACCAAATATGCAAATGTCGCAGATTCTATACATAGAGACCAGATCGGTCTTCTAGTTTCCCTTTTTCTCTCATATAACTCCAGGGTTAGATAGCAATAGACGCTGTCCCTCCTACGATGTAAGTCGAATCTGGGCTGCCCACGATGGAGGCCCGCCTCCCCTTCCAGAACTGAGCTGCCTCTTCCCTATTTCTGAATACAAACCGCTCAACAGCCGTGAACTCAAGCCACGAACCTCCCGAGAACTGAGTCTCCCGGAAGAATGAGTCCGTATCCTTGGGGGTGACATCCTTCCAAATACTGTACTCCCGCAACAGATTTCCTTCTCCAGCCAGCCCTTTAGCTAGCTGAAGTCGCTCGTCAACCCATGCGCCATCAACCTCGTCGCCGTCCCCTTCCCGGTGGTGAAACACATGCACAGCAAACCCGCCATCCTCCACGAACCTCTCCGTCACCGCGCCCACCTCCCCGACTTTCCTCGCCAGCAGGCCCTTCTGGTCTAGGCGGCAGAAGACGTGCTTGCCCGCCGTCTCGCGGTACGCCGGGTTCTGGAACCCTTTCCAGACGACAAAGGTGTTGGGCCAATACAGACACGTCACGAAGTCCCACGCGTCGGCCGGGTTATTCTCGTCCGGTAGATCCCTCGCGCCGACCTGCACGTAGCTCAAGGGTAGCTTTGTGTGGTTGTGGCCCTCGCGCGCCAGGTCCACGTGCACCTTTTGGTACTCGTGCAGGAAGCGTTCCTGAGTCCACGACGGTTCCTTCTGCACTGCGATGAACCACATCACCTCATTTTGGGTGTCGTATTGCGGCTGGCTCGGACCTGACATTTTGGAAAGTGATGTTCTGTTTGCGGATAGTATCGGAATGAGCTCCACGGATCGGAGGGACAGGCTTCCTAGACTGTAAAAGGAAAAATACCGCCTTGACAAGGAAGTGGATTCTGTTCAGACTTTTTTGATTATATTCAGAAGAAAAAAGACTTCACACCTTTGCTCAAGTGATTTGACTTGCTGCTGGGAGACACTTCGCCCTTGTATTCTCATCTTGGCCCCCGGCAAGTGGGGGAGTACACAGCGCTCCGACGCGGACAGCCGCAAGACCGTCACTCCTCATCGGGGTCGGAATAACAAACTAGTGCGAGTACCGAGTATGTAAATCCGGGAAAGACGGTCAAATTTCATCCCATCTTTGACCGAGGCCTAGAGTTGTCGTTTTTGAGCACACAAATCGGTGCGAAGTAGGCGCCCGGAGTGAACGCGACACGAAAGCCCCCAGGTACGCATTTGGGGTCGAGCACGCTGATCATTTGGGCAAGAAACTGCAACTGGCACAAACATTCGCATCACAGCAGCATCGGATAAGAAATTGAATTCAGATGTGAATGCCGTCTAGTCTAGAGAAAATGCTACAGATGCAATACCAAACGCAGTAACACAGTAGACAAAATGTTAACAATACAGTAGTCCAACTTGAAAATGCAACGCACCACCACCACTGCTAACGTCTAAATGAAGAGATAGTCGCCACGGTATTTGGCAGTCTGCGCATATTTGTTTGTCTCCACACTGTTCGCCCGCAAGGCATCAGAATCACGCTTGGGAAAGCCCTTGAAAGAGGCCGCATAGGTGGCCACGCTGTGTGCGACCAGCTTCGTGTTGAGCTCCCAGGCCGTGACATTCACATTGCCCGTGTCGTCGCAGAGCAAGTGATAACACTCGTCGAATGCCTCTCCAGCCTTGCCGCCAAAAAGCTCGCGTTCCTCGTCGGTCTTGATAACCTCAGCGCCAGTGGCGATTCCACCCGCAGGGATTCCGGCCCGGATGAAACCATCGTAGTCGCTGCGGCCGTCGAATGGGATGAAGGTGTAATTGAGATCGTGGGCCTCGTACCAGTCAACGTAGAGATCACGGAGCTCCTCTGACCCAACGGGATGAGCATCGTTGGTGGCATTGTAGACTTGATAGGCGAAGTTAGGGCTCGCAAGCATATCGTAATCCATAAACAAGCGGACCTTGAGGTTTTCATCGGAAGACAGGTTGGATGCGTAGTAGCTGGACCCGACCAGGCCCTCCTCCTCGGCAGACCACCAAGCAAAGCGCACGCAGTTGTTCACACGGAATTTGGTGAGCTGCTTCGCGACTTCGAGGAGAGAGAGCGTGCCAGATCCGTCATCGTTAATACCGGGACCTGCCTCAACGCTATCAGAATGGGCACCAAGGGCGACACAGTTGTCCGGGTCGCCCTCGACAGTCTGGATCACGATATTCTTCGTGATGGCGTTGGTGACCCATGAGCTGATGTACGCTATCGCGTCAACCGTTTCCTTATCCTCCAGCTTCTTGAGGAGAGGCTTGGCGTCGACCAGAGGAATGCCGAAAGTAGCGACGTGGTTGTCATCAGGGGTGCCGAGAGTCCCGGAGAGCTCGCCTTTCTCGTTGTTGTATATGACGGCGGCGATGGCGCCCGCCTTGCCTGCCAGAGCAGACTTGTCACCGAAGGCGCAAGTCCCGCGGCGAATGAATGCGATGTTCCCCTTAACACTGGATGGGTAATCCTCTGACGAGCATCCGCTGTTATCAACAAGAACCAGATCCCCGCGGACGGGCTCCCGGTCCTTGGTCGGCGGGGTGAGACTCATGGGCTGTGCTGCCTCATAGAAATCATTGCCGATCACGAGACGGAACTCCTGAACCCAGCCAACATAAGCAGGGAATGGCTGTTCCACTATCTCATAGTAGTCCCCCAGTTCCGAGATGGATTTGCGGATGTAATCCAGTGTCCCTAGATGGCCCTCACTCCCGATGACGCGAGTTGGTCGATTGTACTCATGTGAGCTGAGGTTGGCGATTTCATACAGGTCTTGGGCACCCTTGACAAGTCTGTCTATCGAGATACTGTCCTGCAGGGCCTGGCTGTCAACCAGAGGCTTTTTTGCCTGAGCCAAAGCTGCTTGATGGCCATCGTCGAACAACGGCTGCTGCAACTGGGCTGAGGAAGCAGAGACAGCGTGAAGGGAGGTGGTAGCGAGGGAGGCCAGACCGAAAAGCCGGGACGCCGCCATGGTAGATATGGTGTCGAGGGGAGGTCAACAAAGGGTCTTGCTTGTTGTTGCTTGAAAGAATGTGAAAGACGTCGCCATGCAGGTAGATAGATAGAGTCACAAGCTGATAAGGCGTGGGTGTCGTGACGTTGCGGCAGTGGATCCCGGCAGGCAAGGGGGAGAGGCTGGGGAAATGCAGGGGTAGCGCAGGGGGTGTATCCGCGGCTCAGATGACCAGTGAGAGGGAAGATCAAACACGCAACATGTTGATTCAGTGCTGCTTGGGTACTGACATCGATGACCCATCGATACAAAGACACGGGGTTAATAGCCCATGGACACAAATTCACTTCACACTCGAGTTACAGCCCACATGTCAATCTATGTATCACAAAGCCCTAACATGGTCTGCCAAAATCCCAAAGTGCTTTTGAGCTAGGGCACCTGAGTACCTGCATCACAGGGGCAGAGTGCGCTAACCGCTTTGTGCGAATTGGTGGGCACTTCCCCAAATGCACGCAGCATGTCAACTTACTTTTCCCTTCGTTTGATTCAGATTTCATCGCCATTTCGTCAAAGCTGTTCGACCTGTTCTTACCTTCATAGCGTTTCTGTTGCATGGGATCTTCAGCGCACTCATTTCAATTTGACATCGACTCACGTTGCCCCGGTGTCTTGCTCCACTATCAGCCAAGGTCATAGCTAAGCAGAGGCCACCTTTCCGCACCCGTTTCATCAGGAGAACGACCCCAAAAGAGGTAGGTCCTCACGTGCCATTTGCATCGGGAGATTGGGACACTGAAACTCTGACAGGCCTTCAGCTGGGATCGATTAATTGACGAGTGCACGGTTTGGAACGCACGAAAGAATGGCAACCCAGCCGGCTGAGGCCGCGGACAACCAACCACGAACAATCACATTGCTTCGCCACGGCCATGCCTGGAACAACATGCTGTCAGGTTTTCCATGCCGTGATCCCATCCTGACCGAGCGAGGACGGCGCCAGGCCTCAGCAGTCCAGCTCTCCCAGCCACCTGACCTCATCGTCGTCTCGCCTTTGACGCGCACCCTCGAGACAGCCATCATCGCGTTCGGCCCCCTTATCCGCGGCGCCGGCGGGCCCAACGCATCTGTCCCCGTCCAGGTGTGGCCGTCACTGCGCGAATGTGGCGACAGGCCCTTCAACCACTGTCGAACCCGGTCGCAGCTTGAGAGGCGGTATCCCTTCCTGGACTTTGCAGAGTGCAGCCGGTCCGGCGTCTACGACAACAGCAGCGAGCGGAGGGGCCACCGGCGGGCCCGCCGCGTGCGCAGGCGTCTCATGGAGCTGTCGCAGACGTACAACCACATCGTCGTGGTCAGTCACCAGGGTTTTATCCACAGGCTGAACGGGGGCTCCGGAAGGTACCGCAACTGCGAGTGCTGGACCTACAGGGTTGGCGTCGACTTCAGCATCACGGGAGACGGAGACCTCGCTGCCCCCTCGGGATCCAATGGACCGACGCAGGTGGCGGTGGGTGAGGAGAGCGAGGTCAATGAGGCGGACTGAACGGTGACGCGGCCAACAGGGGATAGCGGTACAGTGTTGGGCAAGGGCGTGGGCTGTATTCCATGTGACCGTTGCTACATGACACCCGCGAACGGGTCCTAGACACAAGTTCGCTGCAGTGATGGCCCTTCGGGTAGCTGATATACGGTCCTTTCGCTTCTCGTCGGCGAAGGCAGCACGGAGCTAGGAGCAAGGCTATTTACGTCAACTCTTGTCTCGTTGATGTAGTGCCGGGGGTGGACTCACAGGCTAGTTTAGGCGGTAACAGAGCCGCAGGTCGAGGAAGTTCTCTGTAGCTGCAGGCATTTCAAGGCGTCTGGTAGGCGGATATGCGGCTTTGTGCTGTTTTGACTGAAGATGCCCACGTTTGTACACCCTCAAATACATACTCTGCGACTCCCAACAATCACTTCTGCTTGTGGTTGCTCATCAGGGTGCAAAACAAAGAGAAGGAAGTCTGTCGACAGGTAGCGAGACAAGCCACATCTTCAACTCATCATGGAAAAGATTTATCGCCCTCACTCACCACGTTCTCGGTTCCCGCGAACCATGATCGACTATTTCAAGGGGGAAAAAACGAAAGAAAAAGAAAACACTGTGCAGCTTTAGACTTGACCGGGAGGGGAGCGGGTAAAGCTTGGACAAACCCTAAGAGCGCCAGCATGAGAGACCGTTGCTTGAAAAGATTCCTCGTTCTTCTGCGAGCTGCAACGGGCTTTCTTTTTATGGTTTCTTTTGTGTCATTCTTTCTTGTTTTCACTCGCCGTCCTTGCACTTGCTACAAGCAACATCATGTTCCTCTTGTGGACTCCCGTGTGAGAAGTGTCGCCTTTACTCTCGAAGGAAAGATCTTACTGATGGCTGACAAACCCCCGCTCTATCGTACCCAAAGCCACCTGCAAAAACTGTCCAGCGGCGACGAGAAATGAGAAGGAAGCCACCTCTCTAGCCAAATGTACTACCGACGCGCAGCCACTCTCATCTCGCCATTTTGAAAGCCCATGTCGGTAATGAGATCAAGATGCCTCCAGACAGCCTAGCATACCTGGAAGAACAGGCGCAAGTCGCGCGCACCCGCCGTGAGGAGCGAGAGCTTGCGAAGCAGAATAAGATCATCATGAAGGAGCTCGGCGTACGTGTCGAGCATTTTGGGCCCCATTGGAATTGGATTAATGACCTCAGTTGCAATCGGACATGGGGGCTGGGAAGATTTTCTCAGGTTTGTTGCTTGTTTGGAAAGCTCAAGAAGGCAGGGCTGCACCCAACCCTTGTGAAGCGCCGACACATTATCAACGCGGTCACTGTGCCGTTTCCGGTGGATGGCGACCGTCAGAACAAGTGGGAGAAACGCGTCAAGCGAAGGATCTGTCAGCTCTACCAATACGTCCAAAGGAGAGCTACGAGGGAAGTTGTCGTCCGCCAAGAGGCCCAGGAGGGCGAATCATCCGCCGACCCGACCAAAACGCCACCGCTGATCGTGGGCGAGCAGATACGGAGATATGACCACAAAGCCATTGCGAGGACTTTCTTCGGCCCTTTCAACCTGAAGAGTGGACAGATTGACCCCTTCCGCCTGGATCCACGCACCAGCGTCCACCAAGTCTACTTGTCTTTCCCTGACGGAGAGCGCTATCACCCGACTTTCCTCGTCTGCCCGTCGATTCAAGAGCGTGCTAATCTCGAGACCCCTACCATGGCGTTCGACATGGCTGCTCAGATCGCACAGATTCCATCGTCCGTCCCTGAAAGCATCAAAAAGACCGTCGTCGACGCCATCGAGACCACCGATCTGCGGAGGAAGCCGTCCAGTCTTCAATGCATGGCCCGTATCAGAACGGCCTCCCTGACTGACGACGGGAAGGCTTCAATGACCGATATTTTGCATGTCTTGGCTCACGCCCATTGGATTTTTGAGCACGAGGGCACATATACGCGCTTTTATCGGCAGATTCGGTCCATGGGACTTGAGGATGTCGTTGACTATCAATTCAACTGGGGCAATATCAGGGATAACACCGTCCTTGATGAACGTGGACGAGAGCTAAGAATTACCACCAATGTTCCTAAAAGAAAGCCCAGACTCTCGGTGAGAAAGGCGTTGAAGGAGATACTTGAAAGTCTGCGATAGAGCCTTAGACGTGTACGAATAGAACGGACTTTCTTTCGACAGTGGACATCGATTTGGAAAGGTGCACCAAGGTATTAGGCGCCTCAGTCACGAGTCGGAGACTTACAAAATTGAATTATCAGACCTTTCAGACAGACAGATCAGTCTGGCACGTTTGATTGGGAGAGACTTAGGTGACAACGCCGAATTTCTCAAATCTTCAGTATTCATTATACCGTTCTGCTTTGAGCTCTCGCCCATCTCAACAGTCCTCGCACTTAGAGCTTGCGTGTGATGCCGAGATCGGGCGTGGGTCTGAAATTTCGAGTGGCCGGTAGTTGCCAGGCTGAGCGCCTAGGCAGAGTCAGGGTGGTTCGTCGGGAGCTCCGCTGATTGCTTGTCTCCTCGAAGGATTGGAGTACAATAGCACATGGCAGTGATCACCTGTCTTTTCGCGAATGACAAACGAAAATAGAGTTCCACAGGGCTTGAAGCTATCCGAACTAAGGAACTTGATCTTGATGAACTGCTCCGCTATGACTGTCAGGTATAAAAGGCCAGGGATTTAGCTATTCTCGTGGGTTCCGGCGTCGACGCTGATTCAGTGTTCCAATGAGAACGCTTGCACAAGCGATTCAACTCCATGACTGTGTGATTCGCTTTAATCAAAAGCTCACGCTGAGGGTGGTGGAATTGTCCAACCTGAAACTCTGCTTGTCTTCGATGGGCAAGATCCAGAGAGGACTATTGTTTGTAGACGCTGCGGAGGATCCAAGTGTAGTGCACGCGGTCTGGTCAATAATCCAAACGATATTCTCGTAGCGAGGGCCCATAAAGCAGACGTTAGATGCAGCTACCACTTGCTAGCTAAGCTCAGGCGTGCGTGGATAGTGTTGCGAGAAAGGTGCAAGCCATGGAGCGCTGGCCCACAAGAGTTCAACACCCTCTGCCCCTCGGACTGCAAACAGTCACCAGAGCCTGTGTCCTAGGTAGCAACTGGGTCGGGGCAAAATGTCCTGTTCAGAAGCCGTGCCATGGGTTGAGATGATTGAGGAACTTGAATGATGCAACCAGCACTATCATCGGATCAATATTATGGGTACAGGACTGATAAGGACAGCGAGAGTTTCGTTTACCTGCAGTGCCGCTGCCAATTAGGCTCGTGCTGCTGAATATTCGGCTGGTGCATTCCGCCAGCGAGGAGACCTACTGCTCGAGCTGAGGACTTGGGTATGACGATACTTGTCTGCTTTGGCGCTGGACTACTCGACCAGTCTGTAGTCGAGACATGGGTCTCGTTCGTCTTGTTGTTGAGGCCGTCGTTTGACACTCAGGTATTTGAAGACCTGCCGTATGTTAGAGAATTATCAATCAACATGTCCGTTGAACATACCCAATTCAAAGTTCCACGGAAGCAGAGCTATGTGATGTGCGTACTGCCACGAGAACAGCCGCGTGGGTGCGCCAAACGAACTCGGTATCAAATGACACGAACGAAAGTCGGCCAAGCCAGCGCACCAGCTCACCGGACGACCCGAATACAAGTCCCTCCGAAGATTTAGGACAAAAAAAAGGTGCGAACTGTCACGAGGGCAGCCGCAGTGGGTCTGCTCAATTCGCTAGTGAGATAATCGATCGTGTGCCCGACAGAAGGAAGAAGGGACGGAATCATATCTGGCAGCCAGCCGCTCTAGAAAAGGTGGAAGCCGACCCCCTGATCGCTCTTATCTCTCATCGATGGTCTCGTTCAAAGCTTCTTATCATCATTATCACAATTGCACAGCTCGCAGGGGTCCTAAACACATGGGTTCGGTCATGATTGGACTAGCAATATGATGGTGCTCCCTCCTGGAGGACCTTCTTCCGCGGGACGACTTCTCTTGATCAGAATTCTATGGGACAAGTGTTTGTGGAACATGTTTCTGCGGGAAACCTTTTGTGCCATGGGAAAAGCTTCCTGTCGATGAACACCCTGTCGGCTAGCTTTCTATAGATAACACTCTGCGTGTTCCCTTCTAAAGTTGAGTGAGAGAACCACCTGTGAGATCCTCCTGCTGGACAAGATCTGATTGTCTCCCATGTCATAAAGAATGACCCACAAGATGTTGTTTAAGTAGGCAAGTATTGTCTTCTCATCCTTTCTACGCACTATAGGTGCCCAAGAAAAGTATTGGAACCTATGAGGGGTTTCAACTTTTGCTTCCTGGTTTCCCCTTCTTGACTTTGTTGCCGAGTACCTCGGGAACGTCTCGGACACTACATGATTTAAAACTGCGTCATCCTGCTCACAAAATCGGCCACCAGCGGAACTTATTGGAAGCCTGTGTGCGGATGCTTTTCTTGATCAATAGCCGGCCAGTGGAGCTCTTGCATGCCGGCACGATACAAGGTCCGTTATGTAGTCGAGGGGAGCAAGTTCTCCAGCATTTCCCATCTCCTACTGAATGTGAAGGCGAAAGTCTTTGTAAGATCCTAATGATCCGTGATATCTAGAAGCGGTAGCGCAGGTCCAACCTCCGGCCCTCTACACAGCCACAGACACTGAGAACCTCAAAGAGATGTGCACAGGATTGGTGGTACTTCTCAGCGTTGCGCTGTCTAGATCACAAAGTAGATTCCAAACCCTGCATTTGTCTTGTTCTGAGTTTGGGCAGCCCTATCCGTCGACGCTGTTGCACACAAGAGATGGACGTTGAATAATTCGTAACGCAACGGTAGCTCAATGCCTTGTGGTTTTGCCTTCATGATACGTATGGAACGTTGTAAGCCGTCTCAGCTTAACCAACAAAGCGATGAAATTTTTATCAGATCAAGGTTCGTGGTCTCCGATATCTCCAACGTCGCATTGTGCTTGCTAGTTGTTGGTTCAACAATCAGAATGTACCCTTGCAATTGGCCTTGGACATCTCGCTGCACCTGTGGACGACACCCTTAGAATCGCCAGACGTCGTGACGGACTTTGGAGAAGCTGATTTAACCACGAATCAGGGTCATTCATATCACGCTGGGACCCAATGTCATGTGGACGCGTTCATGTCCACATCCCGCGGGCCACTTGCCGCAATTGGCTGATGGCTGTGCTGGACAGGGCATCCCTCCCGATTGGGGGGGAATTGCAGTCCGGGGGCCGGGGTTGAAGTGCCGGCGACCTCAAGCCTTGACACCATAGCTATGAGCATAGGAGATGTATGATTTGCTTCTGATTGGAGGATTGAAATATTTCCCTGATATGGCGGGTATGAGCCCAAATGGAGCAAATTGACGGCCCTGTTCCGCAGACTACTCAGACCGCCGTGACGCGTTCCTATCACCAGACAATCTCACGATGGAGGCGAGCACATATATATAAGGCTGCCAAGGTGCCAAGACGACCACGATCTCTGGAGTATCTGCCTTGGCATAAGACACTGCCGTGATTCGTTCTTGGCACCGTCACGATCCAACATGACTCCCTTCAGTTGCTGGTCCCTGCTCGTTGCAGCTTTCACGGCCTCCGTGATTGCTTCGCCCGTCGCCGAGCCGGCGCCGGCCATCACCCCTGCCCCTAGCCCCGACAAGATCAAGAGAGCCACCAGCTGTACCTTCTCGGGCTCGTCTGGTGCTTCGCTCGCCAGCGTCAGCCAGAAGTCATGCGCTACTATTGTCTTGTCGTCGCTCGTCGTTCCGTCTGGCACTACCCTGGATCTCTCCAGCCTCGAGGATGACACCACTGTCAGTGAACAGTCCCTTGTATGTCCCTCATCCATATTCGGGCACTCATCTCACAAAACCTTGACAGGTCATATTCGAAGGCACGACAACCTGGGGCTACGCCGCGTGGGCCGGCCCTCTGCTGCAGATCGAGGGAAAATCCATCACGGTTCAGGGCGCGTCAGGGGCGCTCCTCGACGGTGGCGGCTCCAAGTACTGGGATGGCGAGGGTGGCTCCGGAGGCGTAACAAAGCCCAAGTTCTTCTACGCGCATGATCTCACTGATTCGACCATCACCAACCTGCACATCCAGAACACACCTATCCAAGCCGTTAGCATCAACGGTGCGAGCGGGCTGACCATCACCGACATGACCATTGACAACTCCGCGGGTGACAGCAAGGGGAAGAACACTGACTGCTTCGATATTGGGAGTTCGTCCAATGTTGTCATTACCGGTGCGAATTGCTATAACCAGGATGACTGCGTTGCTGTCAACTCTGGAACTGTGAGTATAGTGCCTAATATTCTTGTTTTTTTGTTTTTGGCAGTCAGAATTGATGGCTCCGAATAGGATATCACATTTGAGAACTCGGTTTGCTCCGGCGGTCACGGCTTGTCGATTGGCTCGGTCGGCGGTCGAAGCGACAATGTGGTTGACACGGTGACCTTCTACAACAACGAGGTTAAGAACTCAGTCAATGGTAAGTATTTCAGAACTATCCCACACGATCTTTCTGGAGTGTGCCATCTAACGCTCGATCAGGCATCCGAGTCAAGGCCACCGAGGGTGACACTGGCACAATCAAGGGGGTCACTTACCAGAAGATTACATTGTCAAGCATCTCGAAGTAAGTACACCAAGGCCCAAGCCCAGAAAGAACGAGAATGAGACAACATGTTCTTGTTGCTAACTCACAATTCCTCTTCCCAGGTATGGCATCCTCATCGAACAGAACTACGACGGTGGAGACCTCGATGGCGGCACACCTACCTCGGGCATCCCCATCACGGGCTTGACCCTGAACACCATCTCTGGCTCTGGCGCTGTCTCCAGCAGCGGGTATGACGTTGTGGTTGTCTGTGGCAGTGGTGCTTGCACCGGATGGACCTGGGAGAGCGTGACCGTGACCGGCGGCAAGAAGTACAGCAGCTGCACAAACGTTCCAAGTGGTGTGGCTTGCTCATAAATTGACCGGCACGCTGTTTCATCCTCGGATTGAGGAGGCATGCGTGTTAAGCGGCGGGGTGCTGAATCCCGGACAGTTCATTTCTCTGTTTGGGTAGCTTATCAATGCTAGATTGTATGTACCTTGTCATAGTTATGGGGAGACCAGATCGGATCCGAGTCTGCCTTTGCAGCACAGACGCACAATGGGAAATTTGTGACTGTTGTGATGATATAACAATTTTCCTCCGCACTAGTCCACACCAGATGAGTTTGGAAACAATTATCTGATCTGAACCCGATGTTACTAACCCTTTATCCTATGGACAAATGCCCAGACTCATTGAGTAATCATCTGCTAAAACCCGCAAGGGGATCAGACGAGACAAGCTCCACGTGCGCGTAGAACGAATGTGCCTTCTATGATTCGCAGTCTTACAAGCTACCACAGCTCATATTTTCACACTAATACAAAAGACTTCCATAGGTAATCCACCACTCGTGATTTTTCGGTTTTGTGCGATTCTTTGGAGTCAGTTCCCAGTCTTTATTACCGTTCTTTAATTGTCTGAGGGGCTGAACATAGGGTAGTCCGAGGTTTGTGTTTGGGACAGACCAGATGGTCTAGGCTCAGTTATGGTCAGGCTCAGTTCCGGGGTGTCGGATTCCGACGGAGGCTCGATTGTAGGAAGTGGGTATGGAATTGGGAGCGTTTGAATGCGACCATCGCTCCTGGTGATCGTTGTCATTGTCTCGGTGTGAGCATCCGTCCTGTCAATGGGGGGAGGGGTGCTGGAGCTCGAACTCCGCTTCGTCAGGTGGGTGACGAGAGACGACTTCGCTGGAGACAACTATTAGCACAGGCAAAGCACAGCTCATGACAGCTCGGCGGAAGAGCTTACAGCTTGTGGTTGACGTCCCCACGTTTGGCTGTCCGCCCACTCCCTGGGTCGTTACTGTTGGCGGAATCGCAAAGTCAGCCTGTGTGCGCTGCGGCAAGCACAAGGCATCGTGGACCAGCATTATGCTAGTGATGACGAGAATATTGAAGTTTGCAACCATATTGAACATCGATGATAAACGTCGAGATGAGTCAGAATTCACGGGTTCACAGTGAACTGAGCATGTTGAAGAGTCCTTTCTTCGCTCGACCTACCATGTATATGAGTGGGGAGCGAGCAAACCAAAGTACCTGTGCAAAAGTTGCCGAGGACGTCTGTTGGAAAGAGCGCCTTTGCGAAGAAACCGGTCATAATGCAGTGGCCAATAATCGTTCGTCCTCGTTGTGAACAAGTTCCTCTCGAGCACCGCACCTACCCAGGCACTTGGCAAGGAGGTGACGGACTGTGTTGTAGCGCAATTTACAGTTTCCCAATGCGATGGTCCAATTCTTTTGGGGCAAGTTCTGGAACAGGCATTCGTGATTAAACTTCTCTGTTCGCGGTCTTTGGTTTAGCAGTGTACAGCGGTTCGATCTTGCCCGTCCTTAACTCTGCTTCCACTCTGGAAGACACCTCTTTCCATCTGGAGATCGTATCAGCTTCAGCATCATATGCATACAGCCATCTGTTACGCATTTTGACAGATTCCGGGTCAATCTCTACACCCTCTTCCAACCCTTTGAGAGCATTGTGCCAGCGATCACGAAGATCTTCTCCGGCCGTCTGGCTTTGCCTGGTCCGTGCAAACCGGATCTTCTCGTATGACCTCGTCTATTGGCGAAGAAGTCAGTGCGAGGCTACTTTAGTTGACAGCTGTCTATGGCAAATCTGGAATGATTATGGACCGACTTACAGCTAGTGGGATTTCGTCGCTTCCTGCCAGCCTTAGACACACTGCCAATACCGCGGCGCTTTCTGTTGCCTGACTCGCGCCTTGCGCGCTCGTGGGAAGATGTGGGTGGCAACTGTCACCGAGAAGTGCAATATTGTGTTGCTTTGACACCCAAGTCGGTAATGGATCTCGGTAGCAGATCTTCCAATCCAGGAGCGCTGGAGTTTTTTCAACTGCCGCTGCAATCCTCGGGTCTAAACCCTCGATATGCTTGCGCACGTCAGCCATGTCTCCTTCCTGAAACCAGGACTCCTTGATCTCCATATCAGCCTCATGGGAGAGCTTGCGTGTTATTATCCAATTGAACTCGTCGCCACCACGGAGAGTATTTTGAACGAGGTGCGTATCTGAGCCAATCCTTCGTAAGTTAGAATATATGGCAATTGGAAAGGCGGAAAAGTTGAAAAAGAAAGGTAAGAAGAACGAAATACCAGATATTGACGCAATCATGATCAATGAAGTCTTGACACAACGCGTCGCCCTTTAGATGTTCACCAGGGAAATATGCTCTCCAGCACGAGTAGCCGCTGCTCTTCGGCGCATCTGTAAAGCCCAAGACAAGCTCTCGTGCACGGCTCTTTATTCCGTCTGCGCCGACAATCAGATCTGCTCTCACCACTGTCCCGTCCTTAAATATGACGCTTGGTCTTGCATCCTCGCCGTCACCTTCACCAAACCCGACTACCTCATACCCCATTTTGATCTCGATGCCGGCATCACGAACACCTTGCAAGAAAGCCTCATGGTAGTCCCCACGGTGGCCTATGTGTCCCGCCATGTCCATCAACGGTTGCTGGGCCAGGATCGTCCCATCGTGCCACCTACGTATCTGCATGTCCTCTGATTGGTTGCCAATCGAGGTAAGAGAATGATACAAGGTATCGCCACCCCAGCGACGTAGCAGCTTGAGTGCGTTTTCGCCCAGGCCAAGGGAGTCGCCTAATCGGCGGAAGTTTGTGAGCTTTTCATACACAATCACATCATGACCGTGATGTTTCATGGCAAGTGCTGCGGCGCATCCGCCTAAACCAGCCCCAATCACAATGACTATACTTCGTCAGTGTCTTCTCAAGGTCGTTAACATATTCGAGCTTCCGATGAAGTACTCACCCTCGATGCCGGTAGGTTCTATATCAGTGGCAGCCATACCGATTACTCAGCTCTACGAATCCTGACGACCGAGGAAATGCTACTAAGAAACGTGTCCAGTGTATAAGCTATTTCACTCGACAATGAGTTAGTTGTTTCACTGAAATATATTTGGTGTAATTTTCAGAGTCACAGTTGCTGCTGCTAATTACGTTCTACTCCGCTCTCGCTACGAGGACCTCCACCTACCCCGCGAAACGAGGCTCACGGCCAGAGATGACCACTTGGAGCACGCGCACGGGAGAGGGGCTCGATATACCCGGGTGATCAGCCATCGGCAACGTTAGGTTCTCAAATGCCGGACCGGGACAACGTTGAAATCTCCGAACGTGTAAACGCCTATAATGGTGACCAGGAGCAGAAGCATTGACTCCTGGTCTTCGGATTCACTAAACCTGACCCATGGCCGTTCTCATCACACTGAAACAATCAGTTCAAATCTCATCTCCTTCACATATTGCACTAGTCACACGTGCTGCATTTTAAGAATCACGGTCGTCTGAGGCAATGAAGCTGAGGATCCGTTGGTGCGTTGCTATTAAACTATTTCCTCGAAGAAGGCCGGACTAGATACAGAACAGGCCTTTTCAGGCCGATGAATTGAACTTTTCGGTAGATCTTTTATCTCTTCTGGGCTCACAAGCTTCACTTTGAGAACATTGACCCAGAGACTGCTGTCTGACTTGAAGAGTCGTCATCTGAAGTCCAAAAGCCGATTCCAGCGCCTTAGTCGCAGCCGCCCCCGGCGGAACTAAAGGCATCTGGAATAAGCACGCTGCGTAAGACTGTTAGTAAGTGTGGAAAAGTATAAAGTGTAGAAGACTTACCTGTCGATCAAGTGCCCGACGCCATTTGACAGCAGAATATCGGCAGCGATCACAGTTGCGTCGTTGATAGTGATAACACCATCGGTATTTGTCCAAGTATTGTGCTCGCCAAGAGCACTCTCGACAACAGTATCACCAGCGGGGATACTGGGAGAGTATACAACCGATCCTAAGACAATATGCTTTAGAAGCACTTCCTGCAGCTGCTCCGTGGTTAGATCGGCCACCGTGTCGGCAATGGCCGCGAATGCGGCATTAGAAGGAATGAAGATAGTGACGTCCGGCTCGCTGTCGAAGAATTCGACTTCCCCGGCGCTGGTCAGAGCGTCTGCGATGCTGGTGAGCCCTGCAGCAATAGCTGTGGTGGAGGCGTTGGTGGGAAGGGTGAGGACCGAGTCAATCTTGTGAATTGTTGCCCCTCCAACGACAATGTCCTGTGCTCCTTGTCAATATGCATGGATGTTGGCATGAAAGGTGATGGATTTCTAAGAGCTCACAGCTTGAGTAACAGTTGAAGTTGCGAGATTTCCAGAGCGGAGGATTACACTGGATCCGTTGAGCTGGGCACCTAGGTTCTGCGCAGGGGTTACAAGTGTTGCCGCAGCACCCCCGATCACGTTTTCAGGGGTGAGAAGAGTCGGCACAAACTGAGGCGTAGCTGTGATCGCAGAGCTAGGGATAGTCTTTGGCAACACGTGGTAGGACAGTACCGAGGCGATGCCATCGATGTCGCTGTTACTGATTGCCTGCCCAGCTTGACTAGCCGGGTCGACAGCCTCAAACGCGGCGTTGACTGGAGCAAAGATCGTGATGCCTTCAGCGGCATCGAGCTGGTCCGCAAGACCAGGGACAGCAGAGATGGCGCTCAAGACGGCACTCAAATCAGGGTCCGCCTGTAAAGCTGCAACCAAGTCCTGGGCATTTGCACAGGCGGTGAGCGCCAGAGTTATGGTTGCAGAGGAAAGTCTCATGTTGTCCAAGAGTAATTTCACAATCTAGTAAGGTCCACTGATGGTATTCGGGGCGGAGATTGATGCTGCATGTCCATTCATGCCATAATTGATGTAAACGGGAATTTGACAACATAAATATACATTCTAACCTTGTATTCTTCTCCATCATTCAGAGAACCATTTTCGCTTTCTCTGAAAACACACAGTGATCCGTGATCAAAGGTTTTGTGGAGTCGTCATAGACTGCTGGCAATCAATCTCGCAGAGGCTTTCGTACAAGACGCAAAGCTGCGCCTGCCAACGATGTTACCCATGAGAAGGAAGGAGAAGTATCGCATCTCATTGCCTCGCTATGATTGAACCGATCTGTCACGGATCATCCCTGGACTTGAAAAGCGTGTACCTGTCGCGGCCCCCATTCTCCACAGCCTCAACACAAACGAAAAGTACAGTGATGTGTCTCCATCCTGCCGATCTGTATTGATGCCAAGCCGGGAGAGCGGGAGGTACTGCTTCGAGGACATATTTTATACGGGCCAATTGATCCCGAGTTCTATTTATGTTTATCCGTCGACAAGCTGTAGGAATGCAGACACACACCATAGATCAATAATGGGGCTTGGTATGACAGCATGCTTTTGGTGATCTTGAAACTACAATCTGGGCTGATTCCTTGTAGAATGTCGCAACACAGCGTGGAGAGGCTGGAAAATGTACTCGTCATGACAAGAACTATCCTGGTGGAGTAGTGCATGGGTCCAAACCTTGGATCCGAAAGCCAAGTGCCCGGCCAGGCTCCAAAATGCTAACTTAGACGGCCTGTCGTGATTGATTCTTGGACCACGTTGTGCATATTCCTTGATGGATGGAGTCAAAGTCTGAGAAAGGAATTCGGACCATTCTCAGACCCATGATCTTATTGAAGCTATGCTGCGGCGCTCCTCGGCCGTCGCCTCCTGCATCTCAAGACATCTTCAAAGATTCACGTGGATGCATTGAAAACTTCCTCGGAGCGAGAAACTGCCCCAGAGAATCTTTGATGTAGCCATATGGGGAAGCAACTCACTTACACCTCGCTGATATTTCTGCAACGCTTATTGCACCAGCTAAGCCCAGTCATTCCATCAGCTTGGTAGCTCCCTTGGAACTCGCCTACAAGCCCCATTTGGGCTACATATCCCCAGCACATTCAATTATGAAATGATATGCCCATCTTACCTTGCCTAAATGGTATAATCTGATTGCCCCTAACGTCGAAGGCAGCGATATAAACAGTCGTGTTTTAGATGAGCGTAGGATGAGACGTACATACAATTTTGAAGCGCAAATATGCCAATCTCGTCCAAAGGCGTGGGACTCAGCATTGGCAAGTTGGCAAAAGCTGGGCGTGGATCAAAAAGAGGCGTGAGTCTCGAAAGCAGAGATTCGATTCTCAGGTTCGTGCTCTATATTGTATTCAAAGGCTAAGGAAGTGGGTGGTTGACTGAAAGGACTCTCAGAGGTGGAGGAATTCCCGTCTTCATCCGAGAAACTGCCGTCAGCGTGTCTATAGGTGCCGATGTCGACATGCCATTAGCCTTGATCACTGCAGCGTACCAAACGTCAAGTAAAGATCCCTGCTGTTCAACAACCGGGTTAATGTGTACATGAGAACCAATGAATGTGTCGTAGTGGGATTGATACTTGTAATTGCCCCTGAAAGAGGATTCCGTAACAGTAAACCCCTTTTGGGCATTTCTTTCATACCTTCCAACTTCTTCCACAGGTTTGTAGGTGATGTTGTGAACGTGGTCGTGATTATTTGGAGCATTACCTATACTGTAGCTGCTACAATGCACAACGGGCCCCTTGTAAGAGTTTATTTAAATTGTTGTGGAGTTAATTGTATTCTGGGTTGTAATGCACTGCTCCAATTTTCCAGTCAAGATATTTGAACGGGAGAACGCACAAAAACTGCAAAATTAGCAGCAACTTCGAATCATCTTGTAATTTAATGCTGTAAACGACTAAAGATCCATGATAATGCAAAGTCGTAAGCTCATGATACATCATCAGCATACATGTAATCCATGTGTCAAAATCATACTTCTAAAGAATGGCGAAACACAAAAACACTTCAACCCGTGATGAATTACAATCCTTGCGCCCAACACCTAGCGCCGTCATTCTGTTGCGAAGGCGGCCCTGTGGCAACTTGGACAGCTACATTGTTGTTGTTTCCGGGCAGCGGGAACCGCCAGATTTGTCCACTTAAGTTCTCAGAGCCATAGAAATAGCCATACTCGCCTGGGTAAAGGGCACCGAAGCCGCTATTGATGGTCAGGCCAAGAAGAGCTCCGTAATTAGTCGATGCGACCCATGTTTTGCTGGTCAGATCGAACCGATAGAGTTGGAACCCGGCAATTGTTAGACCAGTCGCAACCGTCCACTGTGAAACAAAGTTGGTTAGTTCTCTAATGTTGCATATTCAGCCAGGGAGGTGGGAGAGAGGCTGAGACCTACCATGCTTTGGCCTCCTTCCGGCAGATAAACCCAATCGTACACCCCTAAGGTAAGAGGGAAGGCTGCTGAACCACTCGCGATCTGTTTCCCATAGCTGGTCGAGTTGGGGTACAAGTTAACCTCTGTCCAGTATATAAGGCCAGCTTGATTGGTTGAAGCTGCCCAAAAGTTCCCGGCTCCATCGAAGTCTGCAATCCTCAAAGGATATGGCACGCTCAATCCCGGTGTCAGGGTCTTTGTCGTCGATAATGCCGAAATCTGGAGTATGTTTTCCGTTGTGCCTGGTCCTACCACTCCATATATGAAATTGTCGAAGACATTATAGCCAATAGCATTAATGGTGGCTGATGGGTATGCTAGATCAGTAGTGAGAGTGGTATATGCCCCGGAAGAGACGTCCACCCTGACGAAATCATTACCCCCTTGAACAAGATAACCATACTGATCACACCCGAACGTCGGGTATGGTGAAAACACTGTGGCTGTTCCAGATGCTGTCTGAGTGTATGTAGTTGTTCCCGTTGTATATGTCGTGAAGACTGTGAGAATGGACCGTGTGGATGAGGAGCTGGAGCTGGAGCTGGAGCTAGTACTTGACCGTGAACTGGTAGAATTCGAAGACGAAGACGAACTCGACCTCGTGCTTGAACTTGAGGAGCTGGAGCTTGACGATGAACTTGAGGTTGTAGTGGTCCGCGGCACCGTAGTCGCGCTAGACGAGCTGGAGCTTGAGGAACTGGAAGAACTCGAACTTGAAGTAGTCGTGATAACCGGTGCGGCTGTGCTAGAGCTTGATGAACTAGAACTGGACGAACTTGAGCTTGATGAGCGTGAGCTGGATGATGAGCTCGGACTGGTCGACAAGGAGCTTGAACTAGTCGAGTTCGCTGGCCTTAAAGTCGTAGTGATGAAGGTGCTGGACGAACTGGAGCTTGAAGAGCTAGAAGTCGAAGAGCTAGAAGTCGAAGAGCTAGAAGTCGAAGAGCTAGAGCTAGAGGTGGTTGGGATTGTAGAGCTAGATGAACTCGAACTCAAAGAGCTGGAGCTGAAGCTGCTAGTAGTAGGGGCTGTCGACGAGGAGCTAGACGAGCTTAAACTTGAAGAACCGAAGTTGGTCTTAATAGGGCCTATTGACAACGAACTTGAGCTTGAAGAGCTAGAGCTGGTTGTAGTAAGGGCTGTCGATGAGGAACTCGAACTTGAAAAACTAGAACTAGTTGTAATAGGGGCTATCGATAATGAACTTGAACTGGAGCTGGTTGTAGCAGGGGCTGTCGAAGATGGACTCGAGCTCGAAGAACTAGAGCTAGTTGTAGTAGGGGCTGTTGATGATGAACTTGAACTTGAGCTTGAAGAACTAGAACTAGTCGTAACAAGGGCTGTCGATGATGAACTTGAACTGGAGCTAGTTGTAGTTGAAGCCGTTGATGATGAACTTGAACTTGAGCTTGAAGAACTAGAGCTGGTCGTAGTAGGGGCTGTTGGCGACGAACTTGAACTAGAGCTAGTTATAGTTGAAGCTGTTGATGATGAACTTGAACTTGAGCTTGAAGAACCGAAGTTAGACTTAATAGGGCCTATTGACGATGAACTCGAGCTCGAAGAACTAGAGCTAGTTGTAGTCGGAGCTGTTGATGAGGAGCTGGATGGGCTTGAACTTGAAGAGCTGGAGCTGGTTGTTGTGGGGGCTGTTGACGAGGAACTGGCTGAGCTGGAAGTACTAGTCGTGGGGGCTGTTGATGAAGAACTCGATAAGCTGGGAGAACTTAAGCTTGAGCTGCTAGTTGTGGGGGCTGTCGAGCTTGAAGTTGAACTTGAGCTTGGGCTACTAGTTGGACTTGAGCTTGAAGTTGAACTTGAGCTTGAAGTTGAACTTGAGCTTGAAGTCGAACTTGAGCTTGGGCTGCTAGTCGTGGGAGCTGTTGAACTTGAAGTTGAACTGGAGCTGGAGCTGCTAGTCGTGGGCGCTGTTGATGAAGAGCCGGATGGGTTAGCGGTTGTCGTTTCAAAACCTGTTTTTGGGGTGGATATCCCCTCAAAAGAGGTGCTTAATGAAGTGCTCGATAAACCGGAGGAGCTTGTGGTCGTTAGTTCGGCACTACTAGGAGTTGAGGTCGAAGTACTAGTAGGTGAAGCTGTGCTCGAACTTGAAGTTGATGAGCTTGGACTTGATGAGCTTGGACTTGATGAGCTTGGACTTGATGAGCTTGGACTTGTAGTTTGTTCAGTGGCGGAGGAAAAGCTCGTAGTAGTAGTAGGTGAAGCCGTACTCGAGCTCGAACTTGATAAACTTGAACTTGATGAGCTTGAACTTGTAGTTTGTTCAACTATGGAGGAAGAGCTCGTGGTAGAGGGTTTCTCTGAACCGGAGCTTGAGCTTGAGAAACCTGTCGATGCAGACGTGCTAGACAGGCTTGAAGAAGTTGTGCTTGTTGACTGGCTTGAAGAAGTTGTGCTAGTTGGCTGGCTTGTACTTGAACTTGAACTTAATGAGCTGGTTGTCTGTTCGGCTGAAGAAGTTGAGCTAGTCGGCTGGCCTGTACTTGGACTTGAACTTGACGAGCTGGTCGTCTGTCCAGCTGAAGAGGATGTGCTAGTTGTTGAGGTAGTTTGCTCAGCTGTGCTTGGACTCGAGCTTGTACTTGACTCAACACTCGAGGATAAATTAGAGGAGCTTGTAGTTTCCTGAGCGGTACTTGAGCCTGAACTTGTCGTTGGCTTGGTACTTGAAAATGAACTGGAAGAAGTAGAAGTCTCCAGGGTGGTACTTGAGCTCAAAGTAGTAGGTAAAACAGTACCAGAAGAGCTTGTAGTCTGTTCAGCAGAGCTTGAACTTATGCTAGCTGTACTGGATCCAGTAGCTGATGAAGTGCTGAAAGAGCTCGTGGCCTGGGTTTGTGATACCAAACTAGACGAAGTGGTCGTCTCAGACTCCGAGGAACTACTGCCGCTTGACGATGAGATTGAGCTTGAGCTTGAAGATGACAAGCTGGCTGTACTTCCCGACTCTGTGGAAGAGCTGGACGGGCTAGCGGTTGTCGTTTCAAAACCCGTTTTTGGGGTGGATAGCCCCTCGAAAGAGGTGCTTGATGAAGTACTTGTCGGGGCCCCTGTGCTCGTACTTGAAATGCTCGGCAGACTAAATGATGTCGATTCGCTAGTGGATGTCGTTTCAGATGAACTTCCAGTTGTCGTCACCTCAGATGAAGTTGCTAATGTTGGTGTAGCGCTGCTGCTGCTACTCCCCGATGTCGATTCTGTGGAGCTCAGGCTACTGCTTGTTGTAGCAGGTGTGCTGCTGCTCGCGGAAGTTTCAAAAGATGTAGTTCCAGATGCCGTGCTGATGCTACTGGTAGTAGTTCCTCCAGGTGACGTTGACTCGGAGCTCGTCCCACTGCTGCTGGTAGCCTCCCCAGAAGACGTTGGCTCAGGGCTACTGCTAGTGCTACTACTGGTTAGACTTCCTGAAGATGTTTGTTCAGTGCTGACACTTGTGGGCCCTTCAGAACTTGAAGCACTGGTACTGCTTGTAGACCCTCCAGAAGATGTTGCCCCGGAAGTGCTGCTACTGCTTGGGCTCTCAGTTGAGGTTGGCTCAGCGCTACTGCTAATGCTACTACTCGTTAGACTTCCTGAAGATGTTTGCTCAGTGCGAGTGCTTGTTGGTCTCTCCGACGTTGTCTGTTCAGTGCTGGTACTTGTAGGCGCTTCAGAACTTGAGGCACTGCTACTGCTTGTGGACTCTCCAGAAGATGTTGCCTCGGAGATACTGCTGCTGGTTGGTCCCTCAGATGAGGTTGGCTCAGAGCTCGTACCGCTGAAACTACTCGTAGATTCTCCCGATGACGTGGGCTCGGAGCTCGTTCCACTACTACTTCCTGTGGATTCCGCAGTTGATATTGGTTCCGTACTCGTAGCACCGGTGGTAGTAGACTCTCCAGAAGAGGTTGCCTCCGAAGTACTGCTACTAGTTGGACTCTCGGAAGAGGTCGCTTCGGAACTCGTGCCGCTGATACTACTCGTAGATTCTCCAGATGACGTGGGCTCGGAGCTCGTTCCGCTGCTACTTCCTGTAAATTCTGCGGATGAAGTTGGCTCTGTACTTGTACTTGTGACACCACTGCTCGTGGATTCCCCAGAGGAGGTTGACTCAGTGCTTGTGGATTCCCCGGAGGACGTTGGTTCCGTACTCGTGATACCACTGCTCGTAGATTCCGCAGACGAGGTTGGCTCCGTACTCGTGGACTCCACAGATGAGGTTTGCTCTGTACTTGTGCTACCACTACTCGTGGGTTCCCCGGAAGAAGTTGACTCCGCACTTGTGCTCTCGCTGCTCGTGGATTCTCCAGAGGATGTTGACTCTGTACTCGTGCCAGCGCTGGTTGTAGGTTCTGCAGATGAGGTGGTCCCCGTGCTCGTGGCGCCGCTGGTGGTAGACTCTCCAGAAGACGTTGGTTCCGCACTTGTACTCTCGTTGCTTGTAGATTCTACAGATGAGGTAGGCTCCGTGCTGGTTCCACTGCTGCTTGTGGATGCTCCAGATGAGGTGGCCTCCGTGGTCGTGACGCCGCTAGTCGTGGATTCACCTGAGGATGTCGATTCAGAAGTCGCGCCGGTCGTAGTACTAGAAGACTCTTCAGAAGAAGTGGGTAGTCCAGTTGGGACGCTACTGAGGTCCGTCGAAGCCGTTGAAGAGGCCTCTGAAGAGCTTGTTGTCTCTATTGAAGAGCTGGATGGGCTAGCAGTTGTCGTTTCAAAACCTGTTTTTGGGGTGGATATCCCCTCGAAAGAGGAGCTTGATGAAGTGCTAGTACTGCTGGGGAATGGTTCGGAAGAGCTTATCTCAGATGAACTCGTTTCCAAAGAGCTTGATGTCGCGATTGTACTGCTCTGTTCAGACGACGTTCCAGAGAAGCCCGTTTCGCTTGAGCTGGGTTGGGAAGAATTTTCTGTGGAGGAAGACGTTCCAAGAGAGCTGGTTTCGGAGGCGCTTGACTCCGAAGTAGATGTGGTCAACTCAGAGTTGCTGCTGGTGGTGGTCAATTCGCTGCTGCTAGTCGAAATAATCCCGGAGCTTGTTTCCGTAGAACTGGGGCCAAGCGAAGTGGATTCAGAGGACGTAGCTGCTGTTGAAGTTTGTTCAGAGAAAGTAGACTCGGAAGACACAGATTCAGTTGAGCTTTGTCCGGAAGACGTGGATGTGGCTTCAGTTGACGTTTGCCCAGATGATGCGGTTTCGGAAGAAGTAGGTTCACTCGAACTCTGTTCGATAGAAGTGGCTGTAGGTTGACTCGAAGTTTGTCCGGGAGACGTGGTCGCAGAGGAGCTAAATTCAGTTGAGGTTGATCCAAGCGATGTAGACTCCGATGATGCAAGCTCAGAAGACGTAGGCTCGCTTGATGTTTGTCCAGATGACGTAGATTCAGATGAGCTTTGTTCAGTTGTCGTTGAAGCGAGCGATGTAGATTCTGAAGAGGCAGCTTCAGTCGATGTCTGCCCAGTCGACAGGGCACTACTTGATGCTGTAGAGCTTGCTTCTGTAGAGCTTGCTTCTGTAGAGCTTGCTTCTGTAGAACTAACTCCTGCAGAGCTGTTCTCTGTAGAACTGACTCCTGTTGAGCTGGGTTCCGTAGAGCTAGCTTCTGTAGAGCTTGGAACTGTTGTACTTTCCCCAGTCGTGCTCTGTTCCGACGAGCTCAACTCTGTCGACGTTGGTACAGATGATGTGGGTTCTGATGAACTAGGCTCTGTGGAGCTTGGCCCAGAAGAGCTTGATCCTGACGAACTCGGACCCTCCGAACTGGTTCCTGTCGAACTCTCTGCAGAGGAACTTTGCTCTATTGACGTTGTCCCAAATGACGTGGATTCAGATGACGATGGCTCAGTGGAACTCGAGCCAGGAGTGCTGGGTTCGGTGGAACTTGATTCGACGGATGTAGCTGAAGACGCGCCAGAAGACGCCACGGTGGTTGATTCTAAGGTGCTCGTGGACTCGGTCGATGAGGCTGCGGAGCTGAAGGAGCTCGAAACCTCTTGTTCCGAGGACGTCGTGACAGAAGACACTTGAGAGCTGGATGGGCTAGCGGTTGTCGTTTCAAAACCTGTCTTTGGGGTGGATATCCCCTCGAAAGAGGAACTTGATGAAGTGCTGGAAGGTATAGGGCTGGTTGCGCCGGGAGAGCTCGACTGCGTCTCACTTGTCTCTGACGGGCTTAAACTCGAGGTTGTGAGGGATTCACTCGGCGTGCTACTAGAGAGTTCATCTGAAGAAGTCGATGCCGAGCTGCTAGCTGATGTGGAGCTCGGATTCTGGCTTGTAGACTCGCTGCTTTCGCTGCTCGTTTGTTGATCTGAAGACGTAGATGACACCGAGCTGCTCGCTTCAGACGTACTGGGCCCCGAGCTGGTGAGAGATTCGCTTGAGAAGGTACTCTCCCCTTGACTTGAAGAAGAGCTTGATTCTATGCTACTAGTCAGAGAGGGAGTGAGAGCCGTAGAAGGGCCACCGGATTCTTGACTCGATACTGAGCTTGATGGCGTGAGGCTCGGCTCTGAAGAGATAGAGCCAGTGGAGACACTGCTGGATTCTTGATATGACGAAGAGCTGGATGGGCTAGCGGTTGTCGTTTCAAAACCTGTTTTCGGGGTGGATAACCCCTCGAAAGAGGAGCTCGATGAAGAGATAGACGACACGTCACTCGTTTGGGAGGAGCTTGAAGTTGGTATTGTTGCCGCTATCGTGCTACTGGCTTCAGTGGAACTTTGACCGATAGTTGAAGATGTCACATCGATACTGCTAGTTGGGGAACTGAATGCTCCGCTGGTTGAAAGAGGCGACGTAGTGCTTACTTCGCTGCCTGAGCTCGAACCTTCGATCGTGCTGGTTGAAAGTTGTGATTCAGTGGCGGTCGAAGTAGTCCCCTCATTACTGGATGTGCCAGAACTGCCACCCGGGATCTCAATTGAGCTTGTCAGGCTAATTGACTCAGAGCCTGTGAAAGATGAGGATAATCCATTTGTAGAAGTCGATATTGGGCTCTGAGACTCTGTTGAGGTTCCAGCAGAGGTGTCCAAATTTCCAGGGGATACGAATGGAACACTCGTTGTAATCGTGCTCCTAGACTCGGTTGAGGGCGTGCTACTTCCTGAAAGAGTACTTGTTGGCCCCGAGGACAATGGAGTGCCACTACTGGGACTCGTATTTTGGGGCCCGCTCGATGGCAGAGAGGTAGAGAGGCTCGTGATGCCACTGAAAGAGGATGTTGCTTGTGTGGATAGGGAGGAGGGGCCAGGCGTAGACCCGGAGGTGACCACTGAGCCAGTGCTGCTAGTGCTCGCTCCAGTCGTGGCTGGAATTGAGGTAGATTGTACGGACTCGGTTGACAAGCTCAGTGGGGTCGATACACTTGTTTGGCCGGGGGAACTCGACAGCGATTGGCTTGCTGCAGTAGACGAGCCAATTTGGCTCGACACGGGTTGCCCTGATGAGCTCACCGGTTGGCTCGTTGAGCCTGCAAGGCTGGAAGTAATTCCAGTACTGGAACCGCCTATTGACTGCGAGGTCGATATTGAGCCGCCTGATCCAGAAAGACTCTGAGTGCTTGGTGTAGCTGCTGAAAAGGGACCACTTGTTACAGGAACTAACGTCTGGGGGGGTTCCAGTCCTGGAGATGACAAAGTTGGGGAAGAAGAAGTTGCCAAAGATGTCGTAGCTCCTGAAGTTGGTCGTGAGCTTGACGAGCCACTGGTTGATGGACTTTGTATACTTTGGCTTGATAGGGCTGTTGACAACGAGGAAGTGGAAGAACGTGTTGTTGATTGGGCGACGGATGATCCGCCGCTTGAAACAGAAGCTACAGACTGTGTCGTGGAAATTGAACTGGTTCTTGACGTGGACGATATCGCTGATGACCGCGAAGATGCACTTGATACCCCAGACGACGATGGCGCTCCAGAAGACAGCGGTGTGGAAGTTGATGAGATTGACGAGGTCGTAGAGCTCCCTGGCATAACAATCACATAGAACATCTGGATATAAGGAACTCCCAACTGGCCAGTGACACTCAAAGACACTGCAAATGACCCTGTGATAGCCGTGGTCGGGACTACACCAGTGATCTGCTTTTGGCCGGCGTTCAAATCATCCTGAAGGAATCCTAGTAGACTCGGAAGTGAGACAAGACCGGTAATTGTGTCTGCAGCGTTTGCCAAGTATTGCGACAGCGAAATGGTGAAAGGCTGCCCAACGGTAATGATATTCGATGGAACAACGCGAACGTAAACCTGCTTGACATACAGACCAGCTTGGCCTTGCACATTAAGCGACATCACAACGAGACCCGCAGGTGCGTTTAGAGGAACAGTGCCAACGATTTGCTTGTTGGCCGCGTCCAGTAAATCGCCCAGGAAAGGCGACACAGGATTAGTGCTGATGCCTGTGATGGTGTCTGCCGGGTTGTTCAGGTACTGTGAAAGAGCTATGTTGAACGACAGGCCAGCAATGACAGTCTGGGTTGGGTTTGACCCAGAGCCGGAAGCTGATGGAGTCGCGATGCTTGGCGAAGCCGATGTTCCGGACCCGGTCCCAATAGTTGGCAACTCATTCGGCGTACCGATGACAGAGGGCAGCACAGGTGACGTGCCAGTGCCGCTTGCCGGCGGAGAACTGAGGGAGAGGGACGCTGTCGATGGTGCCGCCGAGGGGGCAGAAGGTTGTATACTGGGCAATCCACTGACAGAAGCAGCTGGCGACGATGGAACTGAGGGTATCCCACTTGACTGTGAGGGAACAGACCCTGAAGAAGCCGCTACTGGTGAAGACACTTGGGAAGATCCCCGAGACACACTAGTTGTGGAAACGGGGTTTGGTATTGTGGCCGACGGTATCGCGGCCGTGGATGGCAACTGCGTGACTGGGGGAATACCACTAACAACACCATTGACACAGCTGTCCACTAATTCTATGTCAATATCCTTCAGAAGAACCTGATGGGAAAATGCAAGGAGGATCTGGAGCAAAACTGACGTGGAAGTAAAACGAGGTCGACGGTGACACAGCCCGCAGGTCGTCCCGACGAGGTGAAGGTGGCATAGATCGCACTACCGACCACACAGAATGTAGCCTGGCCATTATAGAACAATGGATTAAACCACTGCAATAAACCATCCACAATACTAAACGTGGTTGAAATAGAGCCCTGGCCAGCGAGTGTGAAGTTGATGAACGGCACACCCACGTTGACGGATAATGCCAACCCAGTGTATAGATCAATAAATTGGCCATTTATTCGCTGGTAAGGGGCTGCATTGGAACAAGTCTTCGTGACATTAGTTTGGGCAACGTAACCAAGGTTAGTATTTGCTGTAGGGTCAAAAACAGCGCGCCGATTCTGTGGTGCTGGTTGTGCCACAGGCGTCAAAGCCTCTACGTTGAGAATCCAGAAATCTTGATTTCCGTACGAGTTGGGCGGAAGCAGCGTTTCCGCCGGTGGTACGGGTGAGTTACCGTAGGAGACGACCGGAGGTGGCGCAGGCTCGGTGCCATAGTTCGGAGGTGGCGCCGGTGAGTTTCCATAAGAGTCTGGCGGAGGCGACGGAGGTTGCGGTGCTGGCGGGTTGCCATACGAGTTGGGTGGCAGCTGCTGCTCAGGCGGGCTGCCATAAGAGTCTCCCGGGCTACCATAAGAGTCTCCCGGGCTGCCATAGAAGTCTGGGCCGTTGCCATAGAAGTCTGGGCCGCTTCCATAAGAGTCTGGCCCGCTGCCATAAGAGTCTGCAGGAGGCGATGGAGCTTGCGGTGCTGGTGGGTTACCATATGGATTGGGTGGAGGCTGCGTGTATAGTGGTTCAGGTTGGTTCCCATGGGATCTGGGTGGAAGCCCAGGTGGGATCTCCAGGAAGGCTCCTTTGCACCATGTCAGTCATCATCGCGAGAATTTGACAACTCGCAGTTGGGCCTCATTTACCTGCGCTCAACGAAGGCCCGCCACCCTGTGCGAGAGTGGCCTTCCCAGGCTCTAGAGTAGCCAGGTATGTCGTAACATACGTGATGCAAATTGATTCTGATTCATCTTGAGAGCCACCGTTTTGCCGTGGCTCTATCGGATTTTGGACGAGCCTGCTCAGGCAGAGCCCAAATGCGGGAACGAGCGCAACAAAGGAGGACCTCATTGCTACGCGCATACACCCAGACGACGTGAAAGAGTAAAGACGGCAAAGTCGTAGGTGAAGGAAGGACACGATCTTCTACGATGCACCAGGGTCTAGAGGATTCATAAGTCTACCTTGGCTACTTCCGGGTACACATCCTACCGGTCAAGCAGGCTTGACACGGAGTTGTCGATCACCATCAATCGAAGAAATTGTGATGTTGTGTATACACATCGGGATTTGCATAGCAACCACGGAGAGACGGTGAGTCCTTGGAGCGACGAATCGAACTTTCGGTATGATTTGGCGGCCCGCCAAGCCACTGCATGGTGGCTGAAGTGGATAGAGTCAAGCTCTAATTTGTTTCTTTCGGGACAAATCACTTGCAAGAGCACTCAGGGAGCTATCACTCCGAGTGACACTACAGTTACCTCCGGTCCAGGTGGGGCATGGCATCACCTCGAAGGAATGATGGATGGTTTAGACGGAAAAAGCCATGGCCGTTAAGTTTCAGTCGACTCAACGGGTAAACCTTCCTCTTAAAATACACGGCCTTGATGCCATCCGGCCGTCTTCGCAACAGTCCTTGTAAGACACCGCTACTAGCCTTGCAACAACTCAAGCGGCCCTTCGCTTTGAACTCAACCAAGGGACAATACCTGTATTTTCAAAAAATTGAATTTGTGCATTCAAAACGAAAATTAAGGAATAGTGTGAACGGTTGTCTCGCTGGAATGCTACCTTCACATCACCCCATCTTCGCGGGAGCTAGTGCCTAAAGAATGTCTTATGCGGTACATTTAAACTGCCACGCGTCGATCTGTCTTCCTTTGCCGCTCCACTAGTTTCGTAGATCAGGGACAGTCATTATAGACCTCTTTGAAATTCAGCCAACATTCCGGATACGAGAACACCGGCAGAATTGTATGACCAAGGACGAAGCCCGCGGAGTGATGATGAACAACAATAAGCTGCCATTCTAAGACAGCCTCATTACACAATGTGCATATCACTTCAGCTCAAGTTCCACTGTCGCAGGTGACTTTTGTGAGAAAGAAACATAACTTAGCTGCCTCGCCACGCACGGTCCCAGCCATCATGAACGTCGTGTGTTTTGAGCGTTTAGGGAGCTCGCTTATCACGCAACAGATGAAGACGAAATAAAAGCATCTAACACACCCGAACAGCAGACACCTAGACTCGGAACAGTGATGCCGAGTTGAGCTGCACCTGACTATAATCGCTTAGCATTGGGTGTTCTGATATAAACAAATCGCTTGTTTCCTTGATGCAACGTTTTTATGACTGGAATGCAGATAAACTTCTTCAATGCCAAAAGTTAATAATCCTCAACCAACAATACTGCAATGTTTACATTCTGAACTGTATGGCTACGTGTATGTTATGGCTCGGTAGAGGACTTCCGGGTCCGACCGAAAATAAGAGCCCCTAGTGAATCAACCAACATGTATCATTGGAACTAGAACGAACGTTTCGGTGTGTGGCAACTAGGATCAAAATCAAGTAGCTATCGTCTCGTCGTATCTCGTACTGCAACTGGTCTACACAATCAACCATGTGTGAAATATACATTAAGCTATGGAACCTATCGTGATGCATCTACGTCAGTATTATGTGCCTAGCTCAGCTATTCCACGGTTCTTCGTGTCAAGCATAGGCGATGGTTGAAGACTGAACCGTTATGAACGAAAGGCAGCGTGAATTCAAGCACCTGTACATATTTTGGCGCTGACATGGTGGTCACCTGGCACATGGAATGGCAAGCGTGGGGGTCCCATATAATATTTCGGTGTGCCGGGTCAACAACTTGCAGATCTTGCTGGGAGAGAGGGAGCAGTCCCGATGACTGGAGCGACATTGTGCCTAGAAAGGCTAGTAAATAGATAATCGCATAGTAGACGAGGCGACACTGGCATGAGACATAGAAAGATCCATCACTTAGATCTGCGGGACCTGACCACTGGCACGATTGACGCGTTCTTGGCCCGGAGGCACCTCCGGTTTTGTTTAGAAATGACTCTTGTCTCTGCTTGAAACACATTGAAGAGCATATTCCAATTGAATAAATAAGAATATAAAGAAAAGAAAACCTTGCGAACACGTCATTTCGTCTCTGCTTCCCGAGCGTGTACGTATGGACAGGATTTATGACTTAATTTGTCTTCTCAGCTCTAACCCCCTAGACGAAACTTTTCTAACCCTTGTGGAATAGCCCCGTCGGCTTCATATCTGCCTGATAATCACATTCACAATCAGACGGATAACGAAAGCGGCATGACATTTAATCCGAAAGGCGAAGCTTTTTCAATGATACAACCAAGGGGTCGTGTGGGTGGCAGTATATAGTTTTCTCATACATTAATAATTGTTTTACAGAACTGTCATGATTATCCAAGAGGGTTCTCACGCGCGAGACGATGTCGTTCGCGTTCAAATGATCAAGCAGTGCGCTACGCAAATATATGAAAAGTCTAGGATCTATGGCCCATGTAATGAAGGTGTAATCCGGTCTAATGTCGGTGAAGTACGAGTACCAGTGTTGTTAGAGCCCGGTGCAATCCTGCTCTCAGGTACTGACATCCTACAGTAATTGTACGAATGTATGTCTTGTCAACTGAAACGGTCTGGGGCTGTTAGCTTTGGCTTCGTCGCGACACTCTTTCATTATTTTCGCAGGAGCCGCGCGTCACCAACAGATACGGTCCGGTCGTTGATCTCGCTGTCAAAGGACAGAAGAGCTCAAAAAACACATCACGCATAATGATACGCAGTCGAGTATGAACCGATCTGATTCGCGCAACGATATGACTGGTTGCACACGTGCGCAAGCCCATCTTCGGACAGGACGCGACCACGAAGTCAATCGAGGTCTGCACCCTAGCTTTCGAATGCAAATAGCAGAGCCTTCAAATGACTCGTTGGAGTTCTATTATCAATGGACAAGGCAGTCAGCATGATAATTACTGTATACCGACTCCCGAGGCAATGTGTGAGGCTCAAGCGCCTATCTTATCTCGACCGGAACGGTGATCACCGGGTACCCCGGCTATCTTGTCGCGGCGGCGCGGCGTTGGGGACATCGACGGTTGCCGGCCCCAAGATCACATAGCAATCGGCAATCAAGGATATCGGGCTCGTGACTGCTTTCTGTCGCGTGCGCAATGTTGCAGGCTGGCCCCCACGCCCCATTCAATATTCAAGTCAGCGTGCATGTGTGTGGATCTCGCTTGCCCAACTCGTCTGAATCGTCTCGGATGGATGGGCCCTCTACTGTAAGACGAATCACGCCTCCTGCAATTGTAATAAAGTCCACCCCAGCATTGGCTGTCAACCTCTAGACTCCACGTTCGAGGTAACATTTCGGTTTTTGACAGGCACCGTTTCCAAGTTATTGACAGAATATATCAGTTTGACGAGGCCCATCTCTCAACTTTCATTACATTAGAGGGCAGTCTGCCCCTCTGCCTTGCCTCCTTTTGTCTGCTCGCCCGACCATCCTCCTTCTCCCTCATATTCTTTGTCCTTCTCTCACCATGGCTGCATCAGATTACAAAAGTGACCCAGCGAAAGTCGCAGCCATGCCCGAAAATGCGACCGACGTCGTCCGCGTCAGCTCGAACGAGGAGACTCAGGTCATCGATGTCGACACGGCCTACCTCACTAGCAGCCCTAGTACAAAATTTTTTCGGAGTGTATTATTTCAGATGATCCTCTTTGGAGCTTTGTCTTTTGTTGGCCCGGCTATGGGAGATGCCATCTCGAACCTCGGCGGTGGTGGCCTATCGTCTCCTTACCTTGGAAACTTGGCCCAAGCACTCAACTATGCAGCCGGATGCCTTGTTACTCTCTTTGGTGGGCCACTTATCAACAAGATTGGCATCAAATGGAGCTGCATGATCGCAGCCTTGACGTTCCCCTTGGCGGGATCCGGATATTACACAGCTGCAAGATATGGGACACAGTGGTACCTGCTGTTCGAGACAATTCTGGGCGGGTTCACAGGCGGCTTCTTGTACGTGGGAGAGACTACCGCTATGCTGTCATACCCACCTCAAGACGACCGCGGCCTCTACCTTGGGATCTGGTCTGCAATGAGGAGCTCAGGCAGTATCATCGGTGGTGCCATTAACTTCGCCACGAACTACGCCAAAGACTCCGCTGGTGGGATCGCGTGGTCGACATATCTGATCTTCGTCGGCCTTGAGTGCACCGGTGTCATCTGGGCATTTTTGTTGTCGCCGACCAAGCTGGTCCGACGGAAGGATGGAACCGCAGTGCCGACTACTGGGACTGTCACGTGGAAGGGTGAGCTGCACGCCCTATGGCAGCACGCGCAGCGAAAGAAGACTTGGCTTGTCTTCCTGCCCGCATTCTACAGCTTCTTCTACGGCGGCACGATGGGGACGTACTTGTCTCTACATTTTTCGGTCCGGTCCCGCGCCCTTTCCACACTTATCGTACCGATTTCTACGATCATTATGGTTCTCTCGTACGGAAAGATGTTGGATATGAAGCGTTGGTCCCAATCCAGACGCGCCTGGACCGCGTGGGTGATGTGGCTGGTGCCACAAATTGGCTGCTTTATATGGATCGGGATAGAGTACTCAAAGTTCGGGACATCAAAGACTGGGCTCGACTACGGCATAGACGGCAGACGGTGGGCTGAGGCCTACCTGCCTTACTTGATCATCTTCACGACCGGGTATTGGACACAGCTGTCCCTCTACTGGATCTTGGGCACATTCTCGACAGACGTCAAGTCGAGTGCCAGAACGGGCGGTCTTTTCCGTGCTTTTGAAACCGCAGGTCAGGCCACCTCGTATGCCATCAACTCACATTACGGCAGCGACCCGCGTACGCCTTTCTACGTCAACTGCGCGGTGCTGGCGCTGACAATCCCGTGCATGATCTTCCTCATTAAAATGGTGCCGGAGGCACCGGCTGAGATCGATATTGATGCCGTGGAAATTCCCCGGGGCGAAACAGACAACAAGGCGGTCGAGACCTAAGTCGGGGGAGGAGATGGTCATCTTTGGCTGGTAAATTATTGATTGAGTTATTCCGCTGAGCCTCAGGCCTAATTCATTTCCATTACAGTATACGTTCCCGGCATGACTCTGAATTCGTAACAATCATCGTGAATGAGTCAGTGGGGACAGGGAACCCGGGGGCAGCACTTAGCCGCCGTCAGTGACTGACAATCTCTCTGACAGACCCGGTACAGCCGAGGCGGCACAGCTCATGTTGACGGCGGACACCACTTGTCTGAAGGTCTGCGAGCGTGCCTATCAGCTGGTATCCCGGCAAGCACCGTTGGAATGCCACGACTATTACAACGGAACGGTTGCTTATCAGATCCGGGGTGATTTTGATTGTGGAGGCGGCCCGGGTGACCGGTACTATCAGATCGTTTCCGGTCAGGGGTAGACCCACAGGGCTCCACACCGAGGCTGATACTGCCGGGGAATGCTCATCGGGGCAAGGCCTCTGCGCTTCCGAATCCGATCTCGCCAGCGTGTCGATAGTCTGTGCCTGGGGATCCGGATCGAGGCGTGTGTGAATGAGTCCACTCTCGTCCCACCTTACATTTGGCCCTCCATTGAAAAGATGATACGTCCGCAAGGCGGAAGAATCTCTGGGCAGAGGCAGAATCATCTTACCGCCTCAATTCATCTGGCCTTCAATCTCGCCACTGCACACGCAGACAAGTCAACGCGAGCCAAACAGAGCAAACGCATCGGCGAAACCGACTGCTAACTTCCACTACTGTTGACACACATCACATATGCTCGCAGTGCAGCTCTATAAATCGACCATCTCGCAAGCTCGTTCTGGACGACCAATGGTCCATGCAAACAACTGCACCACTTTTTAGTCAACACCATGGTCCTCCCTATTACCAACCCATCTAAGTCCTACTGGATCGAGGCCGCTGAGTCTCCCTTGAGGAATTTTCAGTCTACCCCCGACCTTCCCAAGGAAACAGACGTTGTGATTGTTGGGAGTGGTTACACTGGCACCACAACTGCATACTGGTTGCACAAAGTGAGCAGATGAAACAGCAATATCCGTCAATGAGATTCTGACAACGGGAACAGCACACCGCCAAAAATGGCACAACTCCACGAATGCTCATGCTCGAGGCAAGAGACGTATGTGGAGGCGCGACAGGGCGGAACGGTAAGTGCCGAGCTGAGACTCCCCGGGGGAATGTTGTTTGAAAGAAAAGCAATGGACGCAGAGCTAACACTATCATTCCCTCCCAGGCGGCCAGCTCCGACCTCATGCCTACTCCCGTTATCCAAACTGGTCTAGTCGATTTGGCCCTGATGGAGCTTTGAAATTGATCAAGCATGAGATGGCTCACCTCAACGCTTTCAAGGCTCTCTTGACCGAGGAGGGAGTCGCAGAGGAGGTCTGTTTCAAACTCGGTGAGACATTTGACGCAGCGATGACGCCGGAAGCTTGGGAGCGTCTGAAGGGAGCACATGAAGCTTTTGTGAAAGACCACGGCAGGGACGGCGAAGTGATCCGAGAATGCCGCGTAGTTGAGGACCCTGCGGAGGCGGAAGCCATAACCCAAATGAAGGGATGCATTGGAGCTATTCTGCATCCTACTGGTCAAGTGTTAGTGATCCAATCCGCATGCTATGACTTGATTTGTTCCGGCTGACCTCGTGGATATAGCTGGCCGTACAAGTTTGTTCACGCAGTTCTTCGCATTGTACTGGATACCGGCAAACTCAACCTCCAAGCCAACACTCCAGTTCTGAAGGTGTCCGAAAGGGATGAAGATGGATACATCACTGTGTCGACATCTCGGGGCGATGTCCGCACCAAGACTGTTGTCCACGCTACGGTACGTGTATACTTGTTACCTCAAAAAAGCCGGAAACTCAAAGGCTGACGCTCACTGTCCCTAGAACCGATGGGCCTCTCATCTGCTCCCAGAATACTCTAACCTAATTTTCCCTTCCGTCTGTACCATCGGTGCGATCAAAGCCCCTGAAGGCTTCATCAAACGCACTGGCGCTCAACATTGGGACAGCCATGTCAACAACTACCACGTCCAGCTTCCTCCTCCGTACAACACACTCATAATCGGCGGTGCCAAAGCTGTCGTCGCGCACTACCCCCACGATTGGATCCGAACAGATTCAGAGGACAAACTCCAGCCTGGTGTCGCCGAATTCTACAAGACATGGCCGAAGAGCGACATCGTAGACTGGCCAGGTAAAGAAGACGAGGCGGAGCTGGCACTGAACACAACTGAAGGCGGCAACTGGACGGGGGTAGAGTCAACTAGTATTGACTCGTTTCCATTTGTTGGGCCAGCTCCTGGACACACTGGCCAGTTTGTGGCGGCCGGATTCAATGGCCACGGCATGCCAAGAATCCTTCTTTCAACGGCTCATATCACGCCGCTAATCCTGGAGGAGCTCGGAGTCAAGTGGACCGCTCCTGACCTGGTGGCATCATATCCGCCTCTTCCCGAGCCGTTCGTCGTCACAGATGAGCGCGTCAAGGCGTTCACGGAAGCAGATGCTAAGAAGAACTACGAGGCAAGTGTAAGTGCTCATGAAGCAAGTGCGGTAAAACCATTCTGCAACGAACCTCGGTGCTTGTTCTGGAAGAAGGGAGCAATCACGAAGCTGGACCTTCCTGTGCAGACTCAGGGGCCTCCTCCTGCTCAGCATGGCATAGTAGACGAGAAGACCTACTTGAACCACGCTCTCAATGGAAATGGAAATGTTGGAGTGGTAAGCCAGGCATGAGAGCGCCTTGTTGACAAGCAATCTGAGGAGTTACTGGGCGTCAAATGCTGCATCACCACGCTTCTTGTCTGTAACTGTTCGGGAAAAGCAGGTGAACAAAAAGCCACAGAAAAGCAAGCAAACAACAGCGGGGGCGTAAAGCATTAGGATCATTTCTCATAGTATACAAAAGCAAGGTTTCTATTGCTTGATGACAAAAACCCAATCCTGGATCGCTGTGTGAGATGATCCCAACTTTGACTTGAGCCAGCAGACATCAGACCCGGCGACGCTTGAGTCTGGCTGATAAAAACCCCAGCCGGCACCCACGCAACTATCGTTTGAAGCACACATATCAATGCAATCTTCGGCTCGGTCCGCCTCCATGTGAACCAAGTCCTTAGTATTTGCGTCCGCGTTACCATTGTAATCGATCGCACAGTAGATAATGAATTCGGTGTCTTTTGTCGTCGAAGTGTAGGTTGTCTGATTTGCTGAAGGGCATGATATAGAAGACTCTGGGGTAGATGTCGATGAAGCGCTTGGTGTTGATGAGGCAGAAGCGCTGCTATTACCAGTTTAGCATTGTTGGATGTTCTATCGGCCTGAAACATCAACGGTCTCTGGAAGCTTACCTGCTCGACCCACCACTACTTTGATTTAATCCCAGGCCGAGCCCGAGAGCGAGAGCTATCCCCACGACGAGCACGGCAATGAGACCGCCTACTATCAGCCAGAACCTCTTCTTCGGCATCCGAAAGATGAGGTCTTTGCTTGAGGACTTCTCCGCCCCCACCGGTGGCGGTCTCTCGAACGGTGTTTTGCCATCACTCCCCGGAGTCCAGCCGGAGAAGGATGAACCTGTGTATGCTGATTGCCGGTAGGGATCGAACGGGGGAGGCGCTCCGGGTTGCTGGGCATTGTAATTTAAGAAAGGAGGGCTATGCTGTGTGTTTTGATTGTATATCGTAGTCGGCTGTGCGTGATTGTATTCCAGGCCCTGCTCATAAACCACCCTGCGCAGCTTGTCAGATAACCTGGCTATCAAGATTTCATGCGTACTTGGCCTTTGGGCGGAGACTTAAAAGTGGTGGGGAATATCCGGTATGAACATACTGGGGAGCTTCAACTCCAGGGGCAACCTCTAATCCGGGCTGCTCTTCATGGGCGCGGTAATGAGCCATCGCGCAGATACGCAAGACCGTCCAGTCGACAACGCCCTCTCTATTGAGCTGCTGTACGTGTTCGAGTGCACTGTTGGAAAAGAGGAGACGAATGTGACATCAGTGGGAAGAATTTGTTGTCGACCTGAGTCGGAATGAAAATTGACAGGTTCCCGGATTCTCGACGGTTTCCTTTTCTCAGAGTTGTTGCGAAGGATCCGAGATCTGCACATCATGACCCTCAGGATCCTTGCCAGCGCGTGGATGGAGCTTCTGGAACAGGATTAGACGAGCCGCAAGCGCTTACTTCTTAGCCCCGAAATTAGAAAACCGGTGTTAGCTGGGCGCGATTCATTGGGCCTGGATCTCTGCCCCTGCCTGAAGTGGCGTTTGACATATCTCCTTGAAGTACGATATAATCTGGCTGCCTTCGCTGTCAATTAAGAATCAAGCATCTGATGCATGCCCCCAATTCGGCGACACAGTGCATCATGTAATACGCGGAGCACGCATCCCGCCTAGGCGTGAAGATCAGGCCTTTTTCCGCGAACACTGAAGATCAAGAACAAGAAGAATAGTTCTCTGAACTTACTCTTATATACACACCGCTATCTCGAAAAGCAACGCACAATGACGCCACGCGACGAATCCTTGTCCAGACGGGGGCGGCCGCCTTTGGAGCCCTAATCCAACAACCTTCAGCTAGGCCCAGCCCCGAGCTTGATAGTTGTGTAGGGAAGTAAAATTAAATGCAGCGCCTCAATTATCTGTAGGCTCACTGACTGCTGTTTTCAGCCGCATATCACCGCCGAGGGGCACACTGAGATGTTTTAATGTGGCTTCGTTCGATATGAAGGGAAGCACATAGCACTGAGACTACATATGCACTTACTTGCGAACGAAACACTTGTTATACATGCCCGTCACACCCTATTACAGCCGTCATTAAGCCAGATTGCCTAACATTTTATCTTGTATCTCGTCTTTATGGTGCAGATCATTTTCATCGGAGGTTCGAGCCCTTTAGAAGAATCATGCTATAATGCAGCCAGGGTCGGGTTGAGAATTCGACCGATGAAAATAGAGATTCAATCATCCGAGACATTTGACCACTTCTACTTAACAAGTGCATCGAAAATCGGGGAAGAATAGAGGCTACATGTGTCGTGTTCCCATGCTGTTATATTTCCATTGTCAGTGTCGAAGGGAAGGGAATTTCAAATTTAAGGCTGAAGGGCCGCGCCATGCCCATTCGCAATGACCTAGAACTCTCCGCTGCCAGCCAGCTCTACGTGAGCTTGCCTCTCTTTGCATGAGCCCCCCCCCCCCGGGGCCCCCATGAAAACACTACATGGAAAATTTGAATTCTACTTTAGCTGCCTCGATTAGGCCCGGAGCTCGCTTTATCAAGCCGGAGAATCGTATATGGCTCCCTCAATAAATGTCGAAAAAGCAGACACACTAAGTCGGCAAGAGGAGATGTAAAAGTCAACATATGTTGCATGGAATGATAATGAAGCTCTCTTGAGCTCATTTTGAATATGTACATGAAAGAAGGTCCCACATATCTACAAGTTCCCAAGGCAGTATTCTCTCGTGCTCTTCTGCCCCATAGCCCCCATCACAAACCTTGTTCAGGGGTGGTACGTCTTCAGCAACGAATCGTAGTACTTGTACCCAGTTCCAGAAGGAGGCTCATATCCATAGATGTAGTCTCCCCACCATGGGCCGCCTCCCCACCAGAGAGCGCCCAGCCAGACGTCGCTATTGGACTTCAGGTAGTTGAGCATACCTGTGACAGCGGTCTTGCACTGGTCGTTCGCACCGCCCGCAAACTCCCCGATAATACCAATCTTGCCGTTCGTCTTGAGCCATTGGGTCGCGCTGGTAACGCGCTCCTGTCCAATGGTACCAGATACACATGTGGCGGATGTGCCAGATCCGTCTGAGTCAAGGTACTGATGCATTTCGTAGACGATCTTGTTCTGTGGGTCGGTCAGGGCTTTCAGGTTGTCGTTGACGGTCGTCCAGGTCCAAGCTCCTGAGTAAGAGTTGCCTTCGACAAAGATGTACTGAGACGTGGCGCCCGCAGCTCGAATGCCGTTGATGGCAGCTTGGTTCAGGTTCAGGACGAGGGTCTGGTCCATATCATGGTACTCATTGTTGGTATCGAAGATAACCTTAGAGTTGCTCTTGTAGACGCTGGCAAGGTTCTTCCAGAAAGTTTGAAAGCCGGTCGTATCAGTGATGATGTTGCCGTAGAAGCGCCCAAAATTGTGTGGGTCAACAATGGCGTAGGCACCGGCATTGGTAATGAAGTTAACGGTCGCGGTCAAATTGTTGAGGTATGCAGTTGCCAATGAGGACGAAACCGAAGTGCCGGTGACCATACGCTCCATGGCGAAGGGAATCCGAAAGATATTGTAGCCCGAGCTGATGAGCGTCTGATACAAGGTTAGTTCTCATTTGCAGCTTAATTTCACGGAAGGGTATCGTTGATAGGAGACGAAGAGCCGGCAACATACTTGGAGAGCCGTGTTATCAGGGAAGATAAAGTCCTTGCCCCAGAGTCCAGGATAGCTGTTCGAACCAAACTCGGCACCGGACTCGTCCACGCCGAGGAATTTGAAGCCCGTCGCGGATGGAGCATTCGAGGTCGTCGAACTCGGCTGAGAGGTTGAGGATGGTTGGGTCGTTGAGGTAGACAGCGTAGTTGCCGCTGTGCCTGGAAGGCACTGAGAGTAATATTGGTTTGAGTAAGTACATGTGTATCCGGTCACACATGTTGTCGCTCCAGTCCAGCCCTGACCGCCACATTGTGCGTAGGCAGCACCTTGCGCAAGAGCGCCGGCAATGAAGACGGTTGAGGCGATCAAGGACTTCATGATGAGGGCTGGAATTTGCAATCCTTGGTGTCTACAAGTCACACAGGGACTCTGTTAGAAGTGCGATGCGGGACACCATTGCCATTTATACAAGTGGAAACATCCATGCCACCTGTTTGGTGTGAAGCCAAGCAAAGCCGATGCAATCTTCAATGCGATGCTAATCTTGCTCAAGACGTAATGGGGCGGGAGCAGGGACGCCGACAGGCCACATTAAGACGAGCATCTAAGGACAGAAGATTTGTCCTCATTAGCTTGTTCGTCCTCGGAATCCCCAGCCGACATCAGTGCCACTTAGAAGTGTCCCCTGCCTGCCGTTAGTGGCGGGCTCTCGTGAGCCGCATACCACGATGAGCTTGGGCTTGAACCTTTGGTCCCTGCAGCGTTACTATAGCGGGCACCCAAGGACGGAGAACCGGTGAGACTTTGTCTGAGTCCAGAGCTGGTGGCACAACGCCATGGTTGACATGATGATTTAAACCGGGGTAGCTATTGTAGCCCGGCCCCGTGATGCTGCTTTTCCTGTCAGGCAGTGGCAGCATCCGGCGAGTCATCTGGGATGATGGGCGGTTTTCTCCGTAGAAGGCGGATGCAGAGTCTCCGTTGACACTTTCGGGTATCACGCACCCTCATCTTAACCTTTAGCCATCCAATCATTTGACTTCTTGGCGGAAGTCCTGCCTTATATAATCAGTGCTTTACTGACAAAACAGCATATCGTTTCCACCAGACAAGTCAAAGACCAACAGTGAAAAGAAAAATTGTAGAATAATTTTGATGCTGTTCTAGCTTTGCATCTGTCTAAACGCGGGAACCGGGGAACCGATTCCGGAGACTGTTCTTGCCCTCTGAACCACAAAGTTGGCCACTGGCATCTACTTCTCAGGCGGAACGTGTATCCGAATTCTACTCTCCGCATTACCTGAGCCAATACTGCTGCCAAAAGTCCGTAATCACGTGTCCTAAGGCATGGAATTCGAGAGCCACTGATTTGGGGCCTTCGTGTGTACCTAGATAGTCCGGTGAGCGTGTCCCTGCGAGTGAGCGGAATTCTTAGCAAGTCGGGATCACTCTGTACACTGCACCATTTCGATGGGATAACTTTCTGGGTACCTTTGAAAGCTGTTCGTTAAACTCTATCGCAGCGAAGAACTTTTGTGACGTCTGATCTCGAGTGTGGCTGCTAAGGGGTAAGTCCAAATGGTTCATTTCCGCTACTCACGCCACGAGTTCACCATGACCAGGCGTTGGACATGCCATATCACCCATCTCTCCGGACTTTCGAGGTCAACAGTCATGTGAGATAATTTTGAATTCTTCAATCGCTGATCAATTGGCTGCGCAGCCCTTGATCGTTCGATTTATTGAGGAATCTGACACGGTAATACAAATATCTCATCTTCGACAGTGAGACCATGAATTGGTCTATCTGTCAAGTGACGACTGAACAACTGTTCTCCAGCTACTCCTCCTCTCAACACGTCATGCACAATGACTACCGCATTTCATGTTTTACGAATGTCACTCGTCTCACAATTGCTCATTTGAGTTGTCGCCTGGCAGTGTCATCAGAACTCGGCCATAGCCTCCGTCCGTGCGAAGCAAGACACACAGCGGACGGATCAGTAATATTAAAACTGTGAGAATCCGCCCAAAGATGCATCCGGAATCCTCCGGGGGTTAGTCTGGCCAATGATAGTTCAGTACTCATCTAGCTCTCACGGGGATTGGATCTAATGTCGCAGCCATAGAATGTGATCCGATTTCGTGAGACAATCTCCAAAAGCGCCACATGTGATGTTTTACATGGCTCTTACTCGTAGACATGCAATGTCTCTACTGATAGCGTCATCTGATAGTCAAATAGTAGTTGTGATTACCTGTATTTGGGCAGACATGTAAGCGCTCATGTGGTCGGCAGAAGATTCTTGCCAATGGGAGTTCCTTCTGAGTGCCAGTGGATCCGTCGAAAGCAACACAATGACATATTCTTGTTTGGTTCTTGAGTTCAAAACCTTGGTTGCCAAAATTGTAATCATCACGAAGCTCAGGTGATCTGCTTCTAATATTGCTATACTTGCGTCGCTCAGCAAGGGCTTGACCGTAGAAGTCGCCGATACGGCATGAGTGCTAGTCTAAGTAACAACCTGCATGAGAATATGAGTAATCTCAGGCCAGACTGTGAAAGTTGCATTTCCGTTGGAGCGTCCAGAGCTCATCGCAGAAATACGTATTTGCATAGATTTCAATGGATCTGGAGCTGGTTCAATACAAGCACCAAGATCCGGCAAGATTAGTCGTCGAGGCCGATTACAGAGACACATAGAGGAGCCTGAAACTCTTATAAATTATACTGCATAATAGCCAGCTATCTAGTCCTCGGTTCAAACTATTACCGCACTATATCGTCCCTCAGCTCTGCTACTTTGCTTATAATTCACCTGGACTTTGTTTGAACGCTCCTCTATAATACATCATGGCTTTCGGAGACCCAGGAATGGCCGCGTCGGCTGCAGAGCTTCTTAACCGCAATGAGTAAACTAAACGCAGATCATGAGCGATATCGTTCGGAACAACTAATTTCAATCCAGAGATGCCGCCAAGGTTCATCGACCTGAGCCCCTACTAAAGGAGAGACCAGCTGGCTCTCCGAAGCCCAAGACGTTCATCTGTAGGTCTACATGTTCTCACAACATAATAATGAAAACTAAAGTATTATCAGTCTGCTGCTTCGACCCACGAGTTGACCCGACCACCTTTCTTGGACTGAATCCTTGGGGTAAGATCCCATTCGCTGCCGCTCTGCTTACAGGGACAATATCTCTACGTGTCTCAAAGGGAAAGCGGCCCTGGATAATGCGACGAGCGCACCACATTGTGCTGTAATGAGTAATTAATAATGGATACAGATGCACTCATCGTGAGAAACGGTGGAGGTGCCGTGGGCTCTCAGCTTCAGATTCTCCTCGCTATGGACTACTTCCTCGGCACACTCGAGGATGTGTTTGTTATCCAACACACAGGCATGTTTCAGTAACAATGAACGTTTTGTGGCCATCTGCTAACGTGGTACAGATTGCGGTGCGTTGCACATGACTGAAGAAGGCATCAAAGGATATTTGAAAGATCGGCACTTGGGTAGTGAGGAGCAAATTGAAGAGCTTGTGTTCGAAGTTGGAAATCAGTAGGTGCAAAGCTTCTGACTGGACGGACCATGGCTACGCATAAAAGATTAACCCGCATCACAGATTGGAGCAGCGCGTCCGGGACAATGTCAAGCTTATCAAGGATTCGCCCTTCGTCCGTGAAGAGCTCAAGGCCCGCACAAAGGGATTGATTTACGACATTAAGACGGGTGTGCTTATGGAGGTCAAGTAGAGACATTGTGTGCCACAGCTTGATGCTTGATATCCAGGTGAAGGTGATGCTCAAAGCGCCCATGCTCCTAGTCGTTGCGAAGAACGTGGGATTTTCGTCTCTACTGCATTCATTCATGGGGTTCCATCCTTCGGCTGCATGTCGGGCATGTATGTTAGATCTTCAATTACAAGCGAACCTCTGAACGGGATTTGGCTACTGATGAGGCACCCTCGGAGTACCAAATTTTGGTTCGAAGACACTCATTCAAGATTGTGTTAAGGACTGCGCATTTACGATCGCTTGACGCGGCAACCGCATGCAGGCTTTGTGATTTGACCTGATCAGACTTATGCTCTAACAAGATTCTCCTTCTCAAAGCGACTCGAGTCGTGGTAGTGCTGTTCATATTCAAAGGCACGCATCTGTATGCCAATATGGCGTCGTAGCGTTGCGACCATAAATGCCCAACGGAACGCTTGCCGTAGAAACAATGAGACTGCCGGCTGAGAGTCACGTCTCATCAAATAATATCAGCGTGTCCGACAGGTGCTTCGCAGGTATAATTTTCTACCTGCGTAGGCACGTCCGTCTATGTATCATCGTTGCGCAGATACCTTGAATGCTGAACTGGATTGATCCTGCGAACAGGGAGTGAGGCTCACCGTCGTTTCATATCACGTCTGGTATTTCTACATGAGACAGACCGACCTCCTTCCGGATGCTCACATCATCCTCCACCCCAGTAACGAGCCCTAAAAGCCAGCAGCTCGAAGAATTGTCGGCCCCTATGAGAACGACTAAGGAGCTACGCAGACATGTGAACAGACTCAAAGATTGAAAATGTCAGATTAATCATCTCAAGGGTCGCATAGCGAAATGAACAGGAGAAATTTGATTTGGCTCGATCTAGGCCTTCTACTGACCAGCTTCTACTGACCAGGGACTGGGTTAGCCACGGTCTTAAATCGTGTGTTGTCGTGATCTCGGGAGTAGCGGCAAGCAGGAGGGAGGCTAGCAATCCGATAGAGATCTCATGTTCAAACAGGTCTCCTGACTAGGCCACATCTTCAACTATCCATGCCTGGTTAATCACAGTGGGAAAGGCTTTAACAACCAAGGCCTCAACCTTGCGGAGAGAGGCCAAAGCACGTGAGCAATATATCGCCGTGTGTCTTCATCTCCGGTCTCAACGTTACTGACCTTGAGCAAGGGCTTAATGGCATTCGTCTAATTGGTCGAATCAGACATATTCCTGGTAGAGCACTTTGCCATGTGCGCATCTTCCGGCCCCGGCCCAAGACCTGGGTAAAATGAAACGGGGGAGCCGCAAATGCGAGAGCTTGCTCACAGTGAGGTGTTCCCTGGAATTACCACATTAAAAGCAATCACATATCACACTTCCAGCCTCGGCCTTTTATGATGGCGGGAGCGACGCGGCATGCTGATCGATGTGAGGATCGAGGAGGCTCACACAGGGTCTAGAACACATTGTAGTCTATGTTCTGGCTGGACAACGGGAGTTATGGGGTTCGTAGGTAGGGCTGACCATGCACGTCCTCGCCTTGGATCCCGGTCAAGAACCGAGCGTCTGTGATACATGAGTCGTGAGCAGCTGTTAGCAAATTGCAGCTGCGTTGCCGCAGTGTTGAGGTCATCAATTTGCTTGTATATTACGGTGGTAGGCAAGCAATTCGAGTAAGGATGGCTGGTCCCTTGCAGGAACAGTTCATCTCATGTTGGGCTCATGTGGAGGCGATCTCAGGTTATGGACCCTGTCAGACCGGGTCGGCCGGGGGGGATACCCCTGAGTTTGCTCATTTGACACCACCACTTGGTGAAACGAGTGCGGAAATGAGCCCCAGATTGTGGTCAAAATAAACTCATGTCGATTCGTCTTACCTACAGCTCTTCCGTCGGCTGCACTGCTAGTCGAGGCCCTCGCGTAGAGATTATTTCAGATGAGTACCCAGTTCAACCTCTACCCATGGTTCCACTGTGGACGCCCGCCTTATCAGGATTTCTCCGTCACTTGTCACCAGCCGCTGCCAGCACCAGCGCCCCCATGAGCTGGCATGGTAAGGATCCCTCTCATCAGGATCCCTTATAGGATCAGACAACGCTGTGTCCCGGCGGCGCGGCACACCTCCCATCTCCCGGGCGGATGCCGACCCGCCAATCCAAGATGACCCAAGATTCGTGGCGTGCGCCAATCGATGTGACTCGGAAGAGCTAGAACCCAAGCGAACTTGCAAAATATACTAGGCCTCATTTGCTTGAAACGCGCAACCGCCCCAGTCCTGTTAAATGAGTGCGCGAAAAATCCTCCAACCCTTGCTTCCGCACACAGAGCTGCCAGGCCTTCACTTGACAGGAAAACACTGCGAAGAAGCAAGAAACCGGCAAATTGACATTGTTACTGCAGGATGTGATGACGTGCCCCGCCTTGCCCCAGATATCCCATGGTCCCTGGATCCCGGGCGGCATCACACCCACAATCAGGTACAAATGTACCGCGAGCCCACGATACTTCCATCATGTTTCCTTTTTGGCTTCACCACTGAGCAAGCCTCACAGCGTCTGTCTCTCTTTCAGCCCATCGGCATTCCGACGTCACGACACTCATTTGAAAAAATACCCATCCGCGGCAGAGCCAGCTTGAACAAAGTTCTCAGATCTCACCGTTGAGCCACTATCGCAAACACATCACGATCCTTCAGTACAGTCACGCAATCACAATGCAGTTCTCAACTCGCTCAGCCCTAGCGGCCCTCCTCATGGCCACTGATGCTCTGGCCTGCGGCAAGGGCTACCACCACAAGCACAAGTACACGACACTGTCGACCTCGACCCTGTCCGCCTCTGTCGTGCCCTCCTCTACGCCTATCGCCGAGGCTCCTGCGGTTCCCACCATCCTCCCCACAAGCGTCGAGAGCTCGTCCTCAGTTGTGATTGTGCCCAGCACGACTTCGTCGTCGTCCTCCGCTGCTGCGACGACCACGACACCTGCCTCATCCGGCCTCACCACCGATGAGCAGGCGGCTCTGGACAGCCAGAACAGTGCCCGTTCCGACGTCGGCGCGACCGCCCTCACCTGGGACGCCACTCTGGCCAGCGATGCTCTCGAGTGGGCCCAGCACCTTGCCTCGTCAGGCGGGTCTTCCGGCACTCTGACCCACTCCACGACCACGAGTGACGGTGAGAACCTGTACTGGCAGAGCAACTCCGACTCGCCATACGTCAACGCTGCCAACGCCTGGGTTGGTGAGAAGGACAAGTACAACGGAGAAGCCATTACTGGTAGCGGAAACTTTGAGGAGTATGGCCACTACAGTACGTTCTGCATGCACCTAATATTAGCCTTTTATGTGAAGATGATATACTGACTACTTCACAGCTCAAGTTATCTGGGCCTCTACCTCCAAGGTCGGTATGGCCGTTGCATCTGACGGAAGCGGTGGATACTACGTCGTCGCTCGCTACAACCCTGCGGGCAACATGTAAGCGCTCTCAATTCTTCCCAACAACCATAGCACAACGCTGACATGCAAATCTAGTATCGGCGAGACCCCCTCTTCTGGTTAAGCCAGCAAAGAAAAGGGTTTGGATAGGCCAGCGGTTACTCAAGCTTGATTGCGCAGCATCTGGGAGGCAAAAGCGTTCACGGTGTTGACTCCCGCGGTTCTTGGGAACTTGTTCGGGTCAAGACTCAGGCATAAACTCATCAAGATGACTTTCATCATTCACGGATGGCAGAGTAAAACAAACTCGCTTATCCATGTGCGCAACCTCACCTATTTTGGTGTTTGATCCCTCACGGGACGGTCCCGCATACTTTTGTTTCGTTCCCCTGTACATATTTGCATACCACGATCATCACGAACGAGATCACGTTGAAAACATCGTCTCGGTAAATGTGTGCCAGGAAGTTGATTGTGAAACATTGTGACCCTAACAAAGTACACGTGATAAGATGAGGCTCCGTTGCGGATGACATGCTGCAGTCAGGTATGCATGAATGTAATTCTACCTGGGTACTGTGGTCTACAAGGTCAATTACATGACAATCTCGGAACGATATGCGATACATTCATGCAATGAATTGTAAGCCGGACTTACTCGATTTCTTCTATATTTCTGCATACTATGTCTTCAAGATTGACTGGATCCCAGCATGTCGGTGGCGACTTGGTCTAGAGCTTGCCCCGACATTCCGATGTATCGCGACAGTTCGTTCAAAGTTGGCCCACGACCAAGCCCAAGAATCAGACGCCAACCAACACTCTGGAATTTTCTAGGCACGCTGATGCATCGAGTCTGTATGGTCATTAATGTTCGAAAATAAAATAAAAAGTACTGTATGTAGGTCCGCAAGAGCGGGATTGCAAGGGCAAAGCGCGCAATCATATCCAGCGCGGGAGTGGAAATCCTGAAGAACATTTTCTTAGGTGCCTCACCATTCGCTAGAGCGCCAGGCATGGCATGATCGGAGGACTCTCCGCTCTCGCAATGATTCGCAAAGCTTGCTTTATTGCTACAAATAACTAATCATGTCTCTTTCGCCAGTTACTCCCACCTTCGTGATTCACCCCACGTTAGGATTGTCGTTGAGAATTCCCCCTGCCACTTGGCCAGGGTCTCCATATGGTCGAGGGCAGCAGCAGGCCCTCAAGATACCTCGATCGGCGCAACTAGCCGCCACCGACAGCCTGTGGGCCCGGAGACCTAGGCGCAGCCCCCACCGGTATGGCATGAGTGCGTTTCGGGTGGGCGTCGATGCCCACTGGTGCCGGACGCACGTCAAGAGTCCGAGGACCAATTGCTACACCGACTATTGCTTGGGTATCATTCTGCTTCTCAGTGATACACAAGGCCACTGTCGGGGCATCACCCAACGCCTGAGAGCAGGGTGATGATGGCTGTCAGGTATGTGTTTGTAAACATTCGGGTAATACATTGGCACCTGGTCTTCGCCACTGGGCAAATATCTGCAGTCGCCTGTATTGATTAGCCCACGAGAAGTTAATCTGACCATGTCCACAGCCTCAAAAGTTCGTGCAGAAAATAGATTTTAATATCTCCAACAGGCCCTCAACCTCCTTCATTGACCATGATCTGCTTTTCACTCCGAGCGCGGAAGCTGTCATGCATTAAATGGTGCTCTCTCTCCACATGCGAATTCGTGTCACCGGGTCTGTACGGAGATGCGGTTCAATGTTCTAATGGCGAGGCTTGTTAGGACAAGGGCTACTGCAACTTACTTACAGTACCCTGGATTTGAGTATGGCTGAAAGACCGACCGATGTCCGGAGATGGAAACAGCGTCGTGAAGACACATAAGTATCTGGTGTCTGGGTACAGAGACAAGAAATGTGTTTCTTACCTCGTTTATAGCCCTCTTATCCGGCAACATCTACGAAACTCAATGAACACCCTAATTTGACGATATGATTTCAGACGATGCCGACAGAGGCGCACGCAGTGGTGCGATGGGTTTCTGGGGAACCAACCTGGCTTTCACAACATCGATTGCTCACCCCTGCAGGACAAGATCCTATCAGAGCCCCCCAGACGATCATTGTGGCGACTCAAGGTGCTCCATGTGGTGTGCGGGCGACTGCGGCCTAAACGGATACGATTCTCGCCTGACATGTCAACAAATCGTTTCCAATGATCGGAGCCGATCGTTAAAGCTGTCAACCAGTCCGTTGCAAGCAGTGGCTCAATCGGCCTGGTCGTACCACGCCCAGAATTTAGTGATTGCCATCAGTGGGGAGGGATGGGGCGGCTCCAGGCTATAACGGCATCGCTGAGGCTTACCGTCGGTCACAACATCCTCATTGATCTTTGTGGTCGCGCTGGACGAACCCATGATCCGGGGCATTGTACATATAGGTATCTATTGTGGTTGTGGGAGCAGCCACAACTGCCACATTAGCCCTAGTGGAAGGTATAGCCGACGGTTGCATTACTGTGGTAGGAAAATGCCAAATACTCTGGCTCGCTCGACTGGGTCTATCTAACCAACAGACAAGGCTTGGCGTGCGCGGATACGGGGCATGTACATGGAACCTTTCCGTGGTCTTCTATCGGATGCTGATGCCGAGTCATTCCATGGGTTCTCACCATCGTCTCTACAAATATTCATAATGTTCTAAATCGCTCAGATCTCAAGCAAAGGCGTATTCTGTCCCATTTTGAATTTCTCTGCAGTGAACAGTTTTGCATCCTGGCAGTCTCTGCAACCTCAATGCCGGAGTCCCAAGCTATTGACGCCACATCTCCTGATGCCAGCATGTGAGCACTGAGACGCAAATCGCCTCAGCCGTCCTTCGATCAACGGCAATGAACGCCTTGCTGGCCTCTAGTAGTCGAGCTCCCGCCAATTGCTCCCCGATAACGCGGCTCGGTTTGTCTCAGCCACCTCGGCGCTCCCTCCGAGCAAGACCAGCCAGTGTGCGTCCGATTTTAAGGTGACATGCAGGAAGATGGAGTCTGGTCTAAGCCGTAAGGAGAAGCAAAGGGACAGATGGTGGGGATAGCCCAGCCCCGTTTTGTGGGATCTGCAAGTGATAGATGATTCTGGCGGCAAATGAAGAGGTCGAATCAAGCGTTTGCATACAGTCCCATTGCGAATGCTTGGTATTTTCCGTGGCTCTCTGCACTCCCATATAAGGCACATAACAAAATACGAGTAGCATTTTCCAAAAAGGACGAGGGACCTGGCTTGGATATACCCGACAGTGAACCTGAAAGCTTAATGTTTGTCCTCTTAAGCACCCAGGCCGTTTGACTGATTCACAGTGTTCGGAATCGTACACTTCATGTAGACATGATCGACGTCGCGATTCAAATATTAAAGACAACGGATCCACGTTCCTTGGGTATGATGTTGCCACAATCATGTTTGGTTTGATTCGCTGATACATCACCGGCTTTGCCATGCCCGGATACCACTCTCCCACTCAAGACCGAAGATTTGCCATGGCCCCTCCCCTCTTCACAATGTTGGTAATCCCATATCCGGTGCTGTTCACCGGCCATTCCTTTCGTGTTCCAGCAGTGGCGTCTGGTAGCCGAGCTTGGTGAGGTAATACGCAGGGAGGTGATTAAAACTAAGCGGTGACTGGGCCGCATGTAGACCACCCTGAAAAAGGCTCCCCAGTCCCGCATTAAACTGCTACATCAAGCATGGCCTTCGTGTCTGGACGACGTTGAGCCTCAACGGTTACGCCCGGCAGGCACGCGCCCCAGCTTCGAGTTATTGCTGCTGGTACCAAGTTGTGTAAGACCACACGTCCTATCATAGCTGCATTGGCGGAGGGGCAGATGGAAGGGGGGTATCTTGGCTGTCAAAAGCAGACACCTTGCATATGTGTGGCGAGTTCGACAGACCGATCAGCGACTACTAGCAGGGCCTAGAACCTCCTGGGTCACCACTCATGCAGTCAGTTTGCTTGTGGCTAAGCCGTATGCAGACAGAAGAAAAGACAGCTTGCGAGCGCACCCCACCATCGGTGTGGTCCGGACGGTACTCAACAGATGGCATTCCACCGATGGCATTCCAGAATTCCCATGTAGCAAGATCGATGACATTCACAGGGCATGTGATGAAATCTCGATCTACATATCTATCGTAAAGATTCGCACATGCGTGGGCTTTTTAAAGGTCAGGGTGAGACAAGTCAGGCTGCCAGCCTGAAGGAAGGGGGTGTCTCTAGATGTGTGCTTATCCAGGCGTTACTGTCTGCCTCACTCACTCGTCGAGCATATGCACGCCGACGGAATTTCCCATGCTCTCGATTGAAGTCAATCAAGCGCAGATTAAGTCGCCCTCCGATCTTCATCATGGTCAGAACCTTTTTTTGTCCCTCGTCCTTTCCTTTTAGCCCTTCTGAATTCTGTATAGGACTTCTTTCGACTACCCTTGAAGTCTGCTATAAGAAAAGTCGAAACTTTTGTGCCTCTGAATTCAGTATTTTCCGGCATTTTCAGACATCGTTGAAACGATTTCTCGAAGTTAAATTTAGGAACACGAACGGAGTCCATCGGTGACCTTGGTTGATATTGTTGTCCGAACAGAGTCCTGTGTTGATATCATCGTCCGAACAGAGTCTGATCGCCTCTTCGAATACTTATTGCCCAACCTAGGTTGCTCTATCCCGAACGATTCTTTCCAAGTCACAAATACCTAGCTAGGCAGTTTCATAGACCCAAGCTAGACCATTGCAGATCCACGTCTTGCCCCGTTGCTATGGCTCCAAGTATCGAGCCACCCTGGCGGTCAGTCAATGGACCTTCTTCCCCAAAGAATGTCCACTGTCTCTCCGGAGGAATAGTCAACGCGGACAAGAAGCGGCAAAACATTGGCAAGCCTCTATCACCTCCACGGAGTTCGAGTCCTCATGCGCCATCTGCGATTGACGGCGACTCTGACTCGTCCGATGGATCTATTCCCGACACTCCACCCCGAGTAACATCGTCCGATACGACTGGCCCGAACGTGGGGCTGAATCAATCGAAATGTCGACCGGACAATTCGGCAACTTCTCTTCTTTCGCCTGTTCCCCTTTCGAATAGGGGGATAACTGAAGGACCGAAAGAACAAATCAGAAAATTGCAGGGCATAGAAAACAGGCATCAGCACAATTGGAACGGAACTCATGACAGCCATCATGGTGTGCTTGCCAAATCATATTCTCCTCAACATGCAGAAAAGAGCAAGGAACATGATATTATCGGCAATGAACTCACAAGGATCAGGTTGCCGTCTCTTGATATTCCGAGCAATAGTACCAGCTCAAACAACCAAGTGATGGGCCACAATGATTACTATCTGGACCGATCATCATCCTTTGGGCCACGCTCAAGTAGTACCCCCGATAGCGTGCGAAGAGCGTCCTCGGCCTCGGAGGGAATGCGTTGGTCATCCTCCTCGCCCACCTCGATGCCGCCGCCTCCATTACCGTTGCAAGTCTGCGCTACCCACGTGGAGTCGTTACCCCGAGCCCTCGAGAGGGCACCAGGAGTGCCTCGACCCAACCCTCTTTCAGTTTCTGAGCTGATCCACCGGGAATCAACGGGCTCAGCACCGACACCTACGCCGGCCACGAACGGCAGCACAGGCACTAGCGACCAAGTTCCTTCGCTTGCGAATGATTTAATGGATATTCTGAAGCTACGGGAAAGAGTATCGGATGCCGACAGGCCAGCGTTTCTCGAAGAATTAAATCACCAGCTATCATTGACCGGCCTCCTCCGCGAGGCCCGAGAGGTCATCTGCGGCACATTCGATCTGACGGAAAGACAACGCGAGATCTTCATCCAGCAGTCCATGGGTATGCTCACGATGGACAAACCCGCCCGTGAGATGAGGGAGGTCATCTCTCGGGCGGTCGTCGGGATGAGCCCGCGAGACATGGCAGACTTCGCCTGGGAAGTAGTCCACATGCTCAACGGCAGTGTGCAGAAGTCGACGAGCCCCGACCGCGAGGCAATCAGCTGCGCTGCCCACGCCGCCAAGTTTCCAGAGGACCAGCAGTCCGAACTTATACGGCAGCTCAAGAACATGCCGCCGGCGGCGTTCCAGCCTCGACAGCCGCACACAGTCGCGAAGGATAACACGCAGTCGCCAGGGCGTAGTCTCCCGCCGCTCCGAGAGTGGGAAAAGCTTGCCGACCTCCGACGAGCTGGAACGGCTGGCGCCAAGGGCCAGCAAGATCCCATCAAGCCTCGACCGAATTATAGTCTGAGGGAGTTCCCAATATTTCCGAGCCACTGAGAAATTGCAGACCGCGAGACTTGGCTTGGTACGGGTGGATCGATGCAAGACTTGCTCGCCTGAATTTAGGAGGGCATATCAAGCACAAGCCTCCTCAAATCTCCTGAAACTGCAGGTGGAAAGGATTCACCATGGCATATTTACGCCAGGATCGCAGGCACAATGCTGGTTTTTGCGATAATCTCACGAATGATGATCAACGAACCGAGTTGGAAACATGGGCCGTCGCACACCAAAGGACTACCCTGAGGCCTGAGTTAGCCTAGGTGTTTCCTTTTGTTCGCCGTCTTTGATTCATATATTTTTCAATGGTGCTCTAGCCGCTCTAGGAATATGATTTGGAGGGGCAGTAAAACTAGACAGTCCGGCGGATGATCAGCTGGGTGCATTAATGTGCACTTATGGAATCCAAGGACATACAAAATGGTTCTGAAGAGAGCATAGCGTGAATTTGAAGTTTACCTTCCAGAATAGCCTCAGACACACAGCACGCTGCCTCCCCAACTGACAATTGGGAAGGACTGTGGATCTGATCTTGTCTACAATTTAGATACTGAACTTGCTTGCAGTTGCCCTAGAGTTTCGGATTGGCAGCTGCAGAGACCCGATATAGAGCAAGCCCAAGACTTGCCTCGACAACTGTCTGCGGGCAACGCGGAGCTGCCAACCGATTGCCCTTGACCACGCGGCCTCTTGTTTCAATTTATCACTGGCCATCTGCAATGTGGTGATTAGCTATAGTAGAAACTCTTCAGACTGCTTCTGAATTGATTCAAGTTCCCGGGGATTTGCGTGACGATGGCGGTTTTGCTGCAGGCCTGATGTTGAAACCCGTATGTTGCTTTACTACCTATCAACATTCACAACAGACAGTTTGAAGTTCAAGAATGCCCGTCTTCGGTGGAGATCGGAGTGGAGATACCCTGCATTGGGTGTAAAGCAGGATCTTCGTACGATAGATGCTGAACGGCAACGTTGTCCACCCATAAGAGGGGCGGTTCCGTAATAAGATCGACGGATAACCGCAGGTCCCAACAACCTCGCACGACTTACAAGTCTTGGCGGCATATCTCCACTAGCCCAATGTTTAGCCGCAAGGACATCTCTACCAAGGACCGCTGGCCTGCTTATCAATATCTCCCCAGAGTACGCCCACTCGGGATAGTAGTTCAGCCATATCGCCCGCGGTGAAGTGTTGATATCTCTAGTGTTGTGAAGAGAAGTCTACTAGGTAGGAGCCGCTAGGATAGTCAATTCAATGCAATCTTCTTGCCATTGGATTACCGAATCACAATTTGCTGGTATTCTTGAACTCATGCATTGAGACCTTCAAGTGCGGATCGTGGAGGAAATCTGACGAGGCCGAGAGGAGAACGTTCATTCGTGGCGGCGACAGGCTAACGTTGGTTTGATTCGAAATGACCGAATAATTCTAAATGTGTCAATTTCTCGCAGCAGATGGTCTTTGATTGACAGTGTGGTTGATTTTGTCTTTGAATTGACTAGAATGGGATGTAAGAGAAGCAGCTTAGCAAGTCTGAAGCTCTGTCGGTACGGGGGAGGGGGGTCGACTGTGCTATGTGCGGGTTAAGGGAGGATGAGATTGGCTGGCACTCGCCAACTAGCAAGCGTCGCGAAGCTCTCTTGCCTTCCTGACTTCCTACCTTGAGACTGCGACAGCCGCAAGTGCTGAAGCAAACATTGAAGCCGACGATGCAGCCTTTCGTCACATTCGCACCCAACCTGATGAGCGGTTGGCCAACAAATGCAGACGCAGGTACAAATGGATGCACATGCAGGAACAGCACGGCCTGGGCCCACAGTTTCGAAGCCGGATGGCCAAACGACGGCGCCAGTGGGCGCTCAGGCGGCCAGGCACGGCCAGGCACGGTTCGCATGAACAACAATCAAATCCACCATCCCACATCGACGTCCACATCGATGCCCACTCATCCGCCGACGCCAACTCCACGGCCTGACAGCTCAGCAGCTGCGCCCCCCTTCTCGAGGCCCACCAGCAACGCGACGACGGGCCGACAAAGTGGAAATTCCCCGAGGTCATCTCCGCCCCATCATGGCCAGCTCCACAAGACGCCCATCAGCGGGATTGATCACCCTCAGTGCCTCCGTCCCACAGTGTCCCAAAGCTCCCGCCAGTCCGCCAGACCACGCGCAGTCTGTGCAGCCTGGCAATCGGTGCAACTCGGGCCATGCAACACCTCGCTTCATGATGAGGACGGGCTTCAGCGAGAGTAAAGGTGCAAGTGCACGGTTCTTCTGATCCTCTAAGCCGGCGCACGAGATGACGCCAGCGCTCGGCGTGGACAGCACGCTGTCATTCGATAGTACAGCACCAAACCCACCTGTAATCTTCTTCCTGATTGCAAGACTCAGACTGCCTACAATCGTGCTCCAGTTCCCAACACCGGCCAGTCTGCAGCTGGGGGGATGTCGACGGCTACTGCATTGATGTTATACCAAAAAGTGGACTTCGATGGCCTTCTCCGATGACGGTGGATATGGACAAGCCGGTGGCGTCCTATTCGCGGGAGCTATTTTTGTCGTTGAATTTCGCCCTCTTTGGACCTCGGGTGCTCGCTAACTTGGCGCGAACCTGGATGCGACTCATTCGCCACCACGCTTTTTGGCTTTTTGGTCCTCGACAGTATTATTCAATTAAAGTTACGATACGAGCCCCGGCTGACGGGGTCTCGGTTGACCCGGCAAAAGGACGGCGCAACCAGCCAACATCCAAGCCTAACGGCTATGACCACGCAGTCGGTCTGGCGGTCTGCCGATGCATTCTGTTTCTATTGGACGAGATGGGGTGTCCGTATGCAAGGTTTGACGAATCGAGAATTGTGTTTTGTGATTTTCAGGACTTCCAGCGCCATATGTCTTTCACAGTTCAGTGTCTGTTCGCTCCAAGCGAGACCTGTCATCTGATCACGGGATGTCCATCTAAACTGTGGGATAAGCTTATTCAACACACGCACGCCGATCACTGTGTCGACACACGCGCAAGAACCGGGACAGTGCACGGCCCCGACGAGACAGCCCTACTTTGTGCAGGTAGAGGCCGCCAGGAAAGCCGCCTGGCCTGGGTGTCGACCGTCCAACCCGTCTCAAGGCGTGATTTGCCAGCCATCTTGCGGGTGATCCGCCGCCTGTGTTTACCCCATCGTTCAATCACATTGGACAATATGACAGGCCAGCAGGGGAAATTGCGACGTCAAGCCGGGCAGACCAGACAGCGGACGGGGAGGGTCCTACCTTTCCAATTTGCCCCTGAATCTTAGTCCAATAGCCCCGGGCTGTGCCTGGGCCGAGTCATTTCTCACTAAGGCGATGGATGGCCCCTGAACACCCCCGCATAAGCAGACGCAGGTCCCGCCTACGCTGGCTGCGACGATACGACGATGGCCTCCACCTGACTGAGCAACGAGGCGTTAGTTGAGGCGCAAGGTCCAAATAAAACTCTCGCCCCAATCGACGCCGGCTTACTTTCACGAAACTCTTCCTTCTTTCCTCTTCACCCCCGAAGTAGAAACCGGTCCTGTATAATCGCCCGGAATCATTCACCAGTCACTCTTTTACACGAATTATTACAATTCTGCCGCTCTTTAATCACCTGCTGTTTTCCAGTTAAATCTGCCCTCTCGTCTTCAATATCCAACAAATATAATTCATAAACAAAAGCCAAAATGCGTGTCACCATCACTGCTGCTACCCTCCTCGCCTGGGTCTCCGCCGCCCTGGCTCAGACTGCTGGCTTCGATGCCATCTCTCTGCCCGCCAAGGACGAGTCCGTCTCGGCTGGCTCTACCTACACCGTCAAGTGGGATTACTCTGCCACCTACGCTGGTACCGTTTCGATCCAGCTGCTCCAGGGTGCTGATGCCACCACTCTTCAGCTTGGACCTGTTGTTGCCAGTATGTCTCCTCATCCTGTAAATACTCTTACTATAAAAACAAGTCACTCACAACGTTTTCACTAGGCGGCATTGACAACAGTGCCGGTTCTTACGCCTGGGCCGTCGACTCCGCCCTCGGTGCTGATGCCACCTACGGCCTGAAGATCACCTACGACTCCAACCCCGAGGTCTTCCAGTACTCCTTCCCCTTCCACATCGCCAAGGGCACGGCGTCCTCCGCTGCGGAGACCACCGCCGCTCCGGCTACCACCGCCGCCGCCGGCGTTCCCGCCAACGTCAACGTCGAGTCGACCGTCTACTCCACCGAGCTGGTCACCATCACCTCGTGCGCCGCCACCGTGACCGACTGCCCGGCCCGCTCCACCGTCGTGAGCTCCACCCTGAAGCCCGTCACCAGCAGCGTCGCCCCCGTCGCATCTGCTCCTTCGGCTCCCGCCCCCGTCGCGTCTGCTGGCAGCTCGGTTCCCCCTCCCGCCCAGCCCCAGACCACCCTCACCCCGGTCTACCCCGTTGGTAACTCCACCACCCCCGGCGGTGCTGTCGGAACCGTCACCCTGAAGACCTCCTCCGTCGCTGCCGGCACTGGCTCCCTGCCCTCCGCCACCGCCACTGGCTCCGTCCCCGTCACCGCCAACGGTGCTGGCCGTGTTGCCGCTGGCTCCGTTGGTCTGTTCGCTGGTCTCATGGCCGCCGTCTTCGCTCTGTAAGATGGGTTCATGTGATTCTGCAAGACATGTGGTTATTGGACGATGGAGGAAACGTTGAACATAATGTTTGGATACCCACCCTAGATGCCCCCGCCAGGCAGCCAGGTCAATTAAAATGAAGACGAATTTTTTCGTATCCCGATTTATGATTATTGAAATGTGCATGTCTACGCTGCTACAAGTGCTATGCTTGGTGTTTCGTCGAAAACCGCAGTAGCAGACCCTTGCGGAAATCTCGGGGGCTAGGACTTACTTGGTCTGCCGTCTAGCAAGTTCTCATGTGAGCTATGACAAAGTTAAAAACAGGAAAGTGTACTAAAGAGGCCAGCCAAACTCTAAGCTGCTTTCTGATGTGAGCCAAGCTTGTAGCTCCGGCCTGTGATCATGTCACCCTGTTGGAATTTCCATGGCGAGCCCCATATGTCGACAGGCCGATTGTTCAATTATAGACAAGGCACGCAGCTTTTGGGAAACTATTCAGGTTTCCAGCTCCGATTACTGGCACCTGAGACTTCCATCCCTTAGGTTGGCAATGTAAGCCGTACGTATGTTCTGAAGTTGGCGTGCGCAACGCACCGGCTGAGGCATGACAAAACAGAAAGCAGCATCTCGTAATTTGATCAAATGTTCGTATGATGAGCATCGTGCCCGAGAATTCGATAAGCTATAGCATCGCTCTGAAAATCCTCTTGTCAAGATACCAAACCTGGGAGTCCCAAAACATTTGCCTACCTGGCCAGGTTTCTGGCACGGAATTGTCGACTGCTGCAAGCCACCCTCAAATCGAGTTTCACCTCCACCTGCAGCACATTTGTTGATACGGGCATAAAGAATACATTTGAATACCAAGTAATAGCACCTGTCCGGGCAAGAGTTTGAATTAGCAAATCATCGTGTTCCGTCTGATCCGCCTCACTGAGATTCCGTCAAACCACAACATTGGAAATATGACAGTTGTGCCACGGACCCGAACCTATCTGGCTTCACCACGGTCAGGAGCACCAGCAGGCCACCCGCCGGTCACAGTCTTTAGAAGAGACTTGATAGACGGGCAAGCGCAGTCGTTGCACCACTTTCGTGTTCCTAGCGAGAATGGGTCGAGCGTCATATCGCATTTTTTTACTTTAGATGTCAAATTCGAGTTCAGTTTGCCACAGCCAGTGCATTTGAAGCTGGCACGGTCCCGAATTGATTGGCCGTGATAGATAGCCCAGGCTTCGGAGACACAGAGCTCTTCCAATCCACCAATCACGAACTCGTTTGTGGCCTGAGGAAAATGGAGGGCAACCAGTACGGTGGATACGTCTTGCTGGAATTCGGGAATGGCTTTCATAAGATTCCACATGATGTGCGCTGGTAGATGCTCGCGCAAGCCACAGGCGAAAACGGCGAACAGTTTGTGAAGCTCTCGTGCACCTGGGCGTTTATAGATCTTGGTGACTGCTTTAGGGAAAACAGTGAAAAGGCTGTCGATGACGTCTTTGTTATCGACAAGCTGATGGTGGGCAGCCTTAGACGCGATCAGAGAAAGGCTGAAATCGTGGAAGAACGCCAGCGTAGCGGCAAATCTGTCGAGAAGGCACTCCTGGATGTCGGCCTTCAGATCCGGCAGCAGAAAGAAGTCAGCAGTGCACCACAGAGCAACGTTGCTTTCTAGAACGGAAGCCAGAATGCATGCGGGCTTGCGTGCTGGGACTGGTATGTATCCTGAGATGACAAGTCAATTCCTTCCTGCAACGTTCAGGAGGAGGCAACATGGCTCACGGCCTGAGTAAATGAACTTCAAAAGCTCATGGACTTGCTCTGGTCTTTCCTCTTCTAGACTGATCCGGCCTGTCTTTGCTTCCTAATACAAATCAGCCAGGTCTAGATAAAATGAGAATAGCTGGGACATAATTACCTGCCAATTGTCTGTGAAGGCCTTTTCAAACCAGGAGCATCGGCTTCGTAGGATAACTTTATGCACCTTCCATGTTCTTCCATTGCACACGACTTCAGCATCTGCGAGATTCCCAGACTCAAAGAGGCTATGCTCGAGATTAGCAAAGCTACTTAGAAGAAACGGCAACCTCGAGGGAGGGACAAGGGGAGGGGAACAGCACATACTCAAGGTTCTGCTTGACTAATCTGTCCAGCTTGGCTGTCATCTTGTGAGGATGTTTCGATGCATGAGAATCGAACGCTGGTGTCGTCCTTCACAAGAGTGAATCGAAGGATTGATGAGAGTAATTTCCAATCAAGCACGACCGATGTGCTTATTGAGAATCTGGAAGATGCAGGGCGAGTCGTCTCATCGCAGAGATGTCAAATTGGTAGGTGAGGCATTCAGAGGCGGCTTTGGAGGAAGAAAGGAATTTTCGAGGCTGCTCACGTTGGAGAGAAAGGTTTGATGTGACAACTGCGCACGCCTGAAAATGCTCTGTCTGCACTCTTGCGACGTTCTTTCCCTTTTTGCACTCGATCAAACCCAAGACGCAAGTGTGCTGGCAGGCATCTTGGGAAGGTGCAAAGCAGGGGGCGCTCCCATGATCTGATATTGGCACACGCCTAGGTGCTCTGGAGAGACTGCTCCCTGCGAAGAGACTCAGATTGATCTCGATGAATTTATCCTGGTACTTTGCGATGCAAATATGTTCTATCAGTTCTTCAGCTTGCTGGTGGGTAAAAATTGCAAGTTGACGTCATTGGCGTAGTGCTACAAAAGGAGTTTGCTCCGTCACCAGTAAGTTCGCCACAGTCTTCCAACCCTCAAACCCAACATCAATCATGTCTTCACCGACTGGTCCTGAATTAAGGAGCACCGTACACGGAGACGAGGCCTTGAAGGAAGAGGACATCACCTGGAGAACAGAGCACCCATACCAAAAGCCTTTGCAGGATGATGACTTCAAGGCGAAGTGGGAAGGATCATGCCACTGTGGAAGTATCCAATACCAGCTAGGTAGAGAGAAACCGCTGTCCTCGAAATATTGTCACTGCGTTGATTGCCAGAGGATGCACGCGGTGAGTGAACACCCTGAGTAGCTGGAGGAACCAGGCACCGTTCCTGGGAGATGCGAATGGATTCTAACATGTCGTCACAGGCCCCATTCCAGTGGGCCGCCATCTTTCACAAGTCCGACTTCCGCTTCCAGAATGGCGCTCAGGGATTGAACTTTTATTCCCCTTCTCTGCGGCGGCCTCTCCATGACCTACCTTGCAAGGTGTACTGCGAGACGTGCCACACTCCTATCATGGATGAGGGAAGGCGGATGGTCATGCTTTTCCCTGAGCTTCTGAAGGGCATCCACTCTGATAGGGGGAAGAAGGCGTTCAAAGTCGCAGACCACATCTGCTGGGGTGGTCGGGTCGTGGACGAAGGCGTGTTCGAGGGAGACGGCGTCAGGAAATGGAAGGGAGTCGACAAGCAAAGCGAGTTGCTTGATGACGGTCACGGTGGGAAGTCATAGATGAGGAATAGAAATGCCGTAATATCGAATTGAAGTATTCAATTATGATCATTCATCATAATGCTACTCCTACTGGCAGCGCGACGACCTGCTCATTAGTCAGGTACCCACAGCGCGCCACTGTTGCTGTTGCGTTGCCATCAACGACACCGGTCTGGCTCTCAGTGACGCACAGGCCACTTGCAGCATTTATCAGGTTGCCAGAGACGAAGTAGTCCCATCTGTTCTCCTTCCCGGCAGCGCATCCTGTCTCCCGAGACACAAGTTGGCCCTGGCTGTCGACAGCCAGACACTGCTTCGTGCTCGATAGACTGCTGATGTGCCCGTCCGGCCTGACCTTCCAGACCTGAGCATCGCTGCCGCGACATTTGGACCATGTCGCAAACCCAGAGAGTGAGTGAGTCAAACAATTCAGCGAGAAGGTGTTGAAAATCAGTCCAGTTGAAAAGGTCCGGATGCCGTCTCCTACCGAGGGATTCGAAAGACGGAACACGGCCGTTCCACGAGACGGGACAGCTATAGCCTTGATGCCGCCTGCATCTAGAGATACTGTTGTCGTCTGACCCGTCCACAGGTCTTTCACATTGATCGAAGACGGCGTGGGCAATTCGTCAGGGAAAATGCCAATCCGGGCCCAAGAGACTTGGATGTCTCCAGATACGTTCCCGCGGTTCAGCATCGTGACCAACCGATCTCCGTTGTACAAGCTCTTTGTTAGCACGTCCCAGATGCCATCCTGGCTGACCAACGTCGCTTGCTGCACCAAGGGATCCTGATCCACGGCTATCAGGTCCCTGTTCGTGAGGTATTCGACCTCGGCATCCGTGATATTAAGAAGATCCGTGCTGAGGATCAAGGGCGCCGAAAGACTGCACCACAAGGCAAAGTGACTCTTCTTCTCGGTCAGGGTATAGTCAAAATGGTCCACATTGAGGAAGTCCGGGTCATTGAAGTATCCAGGGCGCTGAAATCGCGCCAGCCGGACCTCCTGCCCGTAGTTGAACAGGACGGAATCCCAGCCGGTGATGTCTGGCCAATAGTTGGTGCTGTTCCATACCAGACTGTCCCTTGAGTGTCTTGCGAGCTCGCCGTACTGCGGGACCCACTCCATCACTGCGTACCAGCTGGTGAGATTGGCAGCTTCTGCGAAATATGCCGGGGCAGACTCGGAGAATATCATTTGCTTGGGCCACATTGCAGAGAGGATGTCATGCCACTTCCCGTACACCCTCCTGTACGTCCCTTCTGTGGTGTCTGGCATGTTACACCCATCCAGCTTCAGGTACTCGAAGCCCCAGTCCACAAAGTCCCGAGCGTCGATCTCCTCGTACCCATACGCGCCAGGGTAGCCACCACAGGATTTGTTCCCAGCATCTGTGTAGATGCCCGGGATGAAGCCCTTGGATTTTATGAAATCCGTCAGCCACGGTAGGCCGCGTGGGAACTTGGCCTCGTCCCATGCCATTGAGCCGTTGGGCAGACGCTCCATCAGGGACCACTCATCGTCGAGATTCAGGCGGTTATAGCCTGCTGTGAGAAGACCTTTGGCGATCATTGCCTCAGCTGTATCGACGAAGAGGGACTCATTCAACCCTCCCATGTACCTGGCCCAATTATTGAACCCCATCGGCGGTAAGGGTGACAGCACACCAGGGGGGTTGAAGCCTGCTGTGACATGGCTTGCAAGCAGGAGCTGGGCTATTGCGACGAGCATCATGGTCTTTGCTTAGTTCTCTGGAGCCGGTGCTGTCTGATCTGAAGCCGTAGTGACAGGTCAAGAAAGAGAGACAGTTGACAAAGACCGAGAGCTCCTACGGAAGCAGTTGGGAGGCTAGCAGCCCGAATTCCATATCTCGCAATTCCCAGATGCGGCGTTGAGAAAAACGCCCCGTCGTCTAATGTAGCCATGATGCTCTCCTCGCGCCAAGCTAGCTGGCCGCCTGTTGAACCATTGATGCATATATTGAATACGTACATGCACTCAATCGAAGCTCAGTGGTCGCCGTGTGCAAAGGGAGGGTCGGAGCTGGAATTTGGAGCGGGGTCGATATCGTATCCGGCCTGACAGACCCTGGCGCCGCGGGCCAGCGGCGGGTCTGCCGGTTAGCAGCAGCATAGTGCAGCGAGGTAAGCCTTGTAACGTTCCATGCATATGACTGGAGTTGTGATGCGCGACCGTATTGATGACCTGCAGTGGCTAGTGGAGCTCAATTCAAGGAGCGAGGATGATCTTTTAAACCCCCGAACCACAGCAGCGCGGATCAAACCCGTTTGCGGTCTTTCTGAACAGGGGGTCCCGTACCTAACTTTATGTCAACCTCACTCCAACAAGCACCAACCACCATCGAGGAATAACTCAGCTGCCAATCCTCGATCCCACCCGATCCAGCAAAGGCAACTTTAAAGTCACTTCCATATCATAAGCTACGCGTCTTTCGTAATGGCTGCCGACTCTCTTCTCGAACGACTCAATCGCGACGGCTTCGTCGTCGTGCCATCGGCTATCACACCTGACCAGCTCACCAAACTGCGCGAGGCCACCGCCCAAGTCACATCCCTAGCCAGGGAGGGAAAGTGGCCCTCTGTCCGCACACTTCCCAAGCAGTTTCCACCATGGCCCAAAAATAGCCCAGAGGTAGCCAAAGGTGGCATATGGGGAGTGCAGGGCATGATGCACCCAGACCTCCCCAACAGCTCCACATTCGTCCAGGTGTACTTCAGCGACGCCATCGTCAACCCGACAAAGGAGCTGCTGCAGTGCAGCGACGACGAGCTGGTCATGGAGTTGTTCAACCTTCTGGTGCGGCCGGACCAAGACTTCGAGCTGAGGTGGCATCGCGATGACATCCCTGCCACCGCCACGCCGGAGGAGGAGCTCGAGAGGCTGAACAAGCCCGCGTTCTCGGCGCAGTGGAACCTTGCACTGTACGATGACGCTAGTCTCATCGCGGTGCCAGGCAGTCACACGAGGGCAAGGACGGATGTCGAGAGGAATGCGGACCCCTTTGAAAAGGAGATCCCTGGGCAGATGAGCGTCAAGCTCAAGGCTGGCGATGTGGTATTCTACAACAACAATATCCTGCACCGCGGAGTGTACAGCTCGGGGACAGAGAGGATGACGCTACATGGGAGCGCTGGGCACGTCGAGGGCTCAACGCTGAGAGCGAGGAATGTGCTCCAGCATGGGCTCAGGGACTGGATAGATCGGGTGGATTTCAGTGGCCTGGACGAGAAGACGCTCACACGGGCTCAGAAGATGAAGGCAAGTCTTGTCAAACTTGGTCAGGAAGCTGGGGACGTTGGATACTCTTTAGACGGGTGAGGGGGCTCGCTGAAAGAAATAAAGGTGTCAACTTGAGACCTAGCATACACACAGCTTCTCTATGTGATCCTCGATCTAATTCCGCCCTGATGGTTGGGCTCGTAAGATGCACAGCGTGGCGTAATTGAGGTAAACTCCATGTATCAGACATCGGCAAGTCCATTGAGCTGCAACGTCCTTCTCCTTCAGCAGGCAACGACAATCCGGAAAAGAAAAGTGTACCTTCCAAGGCACAAAACTGTTTCTATTGCGAAACGTATTGATGCCTGCTGTCCTTATTTTGTATTGGCCTCGGTGGCGACCAAGGCTTGTCTAGCAGCTAGCTGCCACATCCCCTACAAAACAAATCTTTGTTAATTGGTGTACTTTGTGGACTGTTATGCCTGGATAGTTGATATCAATTGTACCAGGTGTCAGGCTTACGCCGATCTGCTAGATGTATAAGAAAGAATCCCGAACTGTTCATGGCTCAACTGCCAGCTCATTCCGCACTACGGTCCCGCCGAAGACCCCATATGCAACATTAGTCTTAACGCAATTCAAAGATGACTAAGTCTGTCTCAGCGAAAGTAGCCATGTGGCTGATTCCAGATAAACCCAAGAGGCTTGAGAAGCCAGATGAACTAGCCGCCGGCTCGAAACCTTCGGGTTCGGACCCAAAGGCTGATATCAGGTGGCGTTACACCTGATGAAATATTTTCAAGTGCTGCGCAATTGATTTTAGTCTTCAGAATGCTCGACACTGGGTACTTTGCCGACTGTACTGTGATCAGCAGAGATAAAAAATGGGAGGCTCACAAAGTCATCCTGAGCCGGAGCCCCTACTTCGCACAAGCTTTCTCCACAAAGAATGGTTTCAAGGTATGGTCTCTTCGAGGCGACTGAGTCTTCTCTAAGCCTTGAAACCAATCGTTAACCCTCTATCCCTTCTACAGGAAGCTCTCGAATCAAAAATCACGATCGAAGGCTTCGAGCCGTTCGAAATATCTTGGTTGCTGCGGTACATATATGGATTGCGTAAGGACATTCTTGGACTATCAGTTGTAATTCATGGTTCCCTAAAACTCCAAACCTGCCTAACGAAAGGCATTCATGCAGGAATCGATGTCGAGCAAGCCAAAGAGACCAGCCCAAACAAGTCGTTCCTCGAAACCTGCACAGTTCTTTGGAGCATTGGTGATTATTTCCGCCTTGAGGAGCTCAGCCAGTCTGCTCTGTCCCAGCTCCAGACTCGTTGCCGGGCCCTTCTCCTCCAGACTCATTGTGTATCTACGATGCTCAAAGAGATCAAATTTCTTCCTGATCTAGAGGCGGGCATCCGCGCGGCTTGGAGTTCTGAGAGAGTTGCAGGTCCAATGCGGCAGGATATCATGAGCCTCTGTGTTGGCATACATCCGTTCATCAAGGATCATGCTTCCTTCATTGAGCTCCTCGACGAGATGTCTGATTTCTCTACGCAGTACCTCAAAGCACTCTTGGGCTGCCCTGGAATGCAGAGCAACGAAACGCACGTGCCGCTTGGGACCGATTGTACCCAATGTCTAAAACCGGTTTTCGATGACAAAGGAAGAAAGGTGCCCGCTGAAACGTTTGCCTGGATTCCGACATCACTCAATTTCTGGGACAACTACCCTTGCTGGTTCTGCTCGAGGCACTGTTATAACACACTAGTCGGTAAGGTGCTGCGAGGATATCGAAACTGTAAATAAAAAACATGGCAACGACCTAGATAGCCTTCAATGTTGCCAAGGTGAATCAGGAGGCTGCGGGATGTTGAGGGGGGCCAGGGGAGGGGGCCGCACATGGTTGCCTACCTGCTAGACGGATAGATTGGGTTGCTGCCAGGAAGAAATAGGCCTTTTTGCAAGTGATCTGGAATACATTTCTACGACTGAGGGTTGCCCAGTATCACATGAAAGAATAGACTAGAGAAGGTCCTGTCGTGTTTCCAAGACAGTCCGTCAAAAGTCTTTACTTCATTTGCTAGTGAGAGCAAGACGCTAGGTAATCAGGTATATCATGCAGATCTTCTCCCTGTGATATACGGATGGCCAGGTCCTCTTCAATATTCAATGGCTACAACAGAAAAGCCGGGCTTCACTCACTTCCGCTGCATTGTGTCTAGATAGCAGCAATCTGACATCCGGAGCCTGCTCTCTGTTGGGTTCCAAGCTGAGACTGTCAGACCGTTTGGCTCACTGCACACAATACCTTGTCTTAGAGTGTTCCAGCATTCCGCAAGTTACCTTTGCAGACAGGACCAGGCCCTACGGGGTCTTTGCAGCGGCGCGTAGACCGTGAGTGGTCCCAAGTTTGCAATCTATCAACTTCCAACGCTCAACTCAAAGTAATTTTCAAGTCACAGTTGATTGCCAATGTTTTGGTTCCCCAACGTTCAATTGGGAACCCCATCCTTAGACCGCTCTACCCATTCAGCGACTCGTTTCCTTCGCAAGCGCACTTTCACTCAAACTCGATCTCGACGTACTTCGCGGACATGGCCGCCTCTTCGCAAACTTTTGAGGCGCCTGAGGGGTTCATGAAGCCTGAGCAGCAGGCGGCAAACTCGGACTCGCCCGCCTCAGAATGCGACAAGGCCAACCTTGTGACGGCTGTTGTGAACAGAGCACATCTGGACTCCGACCTCAGGTAGATTCTCAATGACCGCCCTCATGAGCCGAGTAAGCGCTAATCCAGGAAACTAGGATGCTGGAAAGCGGCGCCCTTTCCGACTTCACAGTGGTCTGTGGCATCCAAGAGTGGAAGGTGCACAGATTCGTTCTAAGTCGATGCCCCTACTTCAAACCTATGGTTTCTAAGGAAAGTGCCTTCAAGGTACGCCATTTTGTTGAAGGGATTACCACGAAAGCACTGGCCAAGGCTTAACTTGAAGGTCTAGGAGAATCTCGAGTCTCGCGTTACGATCACAGGTTTCGAGCCGTTTGAGATTGAGTGGTTGCTTCGGTACATCTACAGCCTGCGTAAGTTCAACTCTTTGAGCAAGAGGAGATGGAATGGGAGGGACCGTTGAACATCAACACGTCCGCTAATGGCCACTTTCTTCAGAACTCAATGTTGAACAGACTCAGACCACCAGTCCGAATCAGTCATACTTAGAGACATGCGTTCATCTTTGGAGTATCGGAGATTTCTTTGATCTTAATGATCTCTGTCATTTAGCCTTGTTCTGGTTGACCCGCCAATGCAAGACGCTTTACGTCGAATCTCGAAGTATCTCTGCCATGCTCGATAACATCAGCTTTTTGCCTGATCTCGAAGCTGGCATTCGCGCAGCCTGGCGACCTGATCGTTTTACTCAGCCTGTACGGGGACCGCTTATGACCGTGTGTAGCGGTCTTCAACCGTTTCTACGAGATCACAAATCGTTCATGAGTCTTCCCGGAGAACTCCCAGAGTTCGCAACAGATTTTGTCCAGGCTCTCATGGGATGTGGTGGGATGCAGATGGATGTTGGAAAGACTGAACGATTCTATTGCTCCACATGCAACTCCACTGTCTTCGACGCAACCCGGGAAAAGGGCAAAGAGTTCGTTGACGGAGCTTTCATTTGGACACCGATTTCACTGGAGCTCCATTCTGGTTCGTGTCAAGCTTTCTTCTGCTCCAAGGAATGCTACAACAGTGGCCGCCACAGGGACTATCAGTATCATAAGTAGCTTCTTACAGTACGCAGGCGCGATTGATATACACGGCAGGGTATTCTGATACGGCAAAACTCGGCACATAAGAATGCTTTCAGAATCAGTTGTGGACCACCTGATCATGATGTTGTCGGTCCACTCGACCGGGCGAATTGTACGGCGAAGATTTATTGGAAACCTCGGGAGATGTGTTTGAGTGGAGTTCCAGTACTCGAGGGATTCTTGCCCAGATGTTGAGGGAGATGATCCCACGTCCCTACTCTCTTTGGCAGATAAGAAGACTCTTAGTGTAACTTCTCCTCACAATGACCGAAAACACATATCCGCGGACATATGGAGACTTGCCCCCTTCAGGTCGGATTACAGAATGTTAACGAGTTGACTGACGCTTCATGGGTGTCACCGAACGCATGAAGACCTGAGCGTGCTGGATAGGCGGGATGACATTGTGCCTTCTTACACTACTATGAACGATTGCTCGACACATCTGAGCTGACCTCTTGCTCAATGCTCCCTACGCTAGGTGCGCTCCGTCGAACGTAACACACCTCAATGTCGTTGTCCACGTTGGACTGCACACGATATGTGGTGATACCCTGGCCCTCCTTGATCTCGTCATCCATCTCGAGGTAGTGATCAATTACCTCGCCCTCGATCATCCGATTCACACCGTTTATGACGCTTCTCGCTCCCAGCTGCTCCACATACTCGTCCTGTGCGATGATCCGACAAACGGAGTAGTCCTTGGGGATCTGCAGATCAATGTCACCGACGAACCGTTGTTTCTCCTCTTCGCGCGTGATGACCACCGGTTTCGCGAGCTCCTTGCCAAGCTCCGTCAAGTACTTGTGGGCCACGGCAGCCTGTTCTGCTTCCGAGAAGGTCAAGAACGGGACGAATTCGGTGATACGTCCTGTCAGAGGTGCGCCGAAGGTTGAGATAGACTCGGTTCGAAGAGTCTTGCAAAGGCCTTTGACGAGTTTCTCCGAGGCAGCCTGGCCTGTAGATTGAAAGAGACTTGCTTGATTGTTCTTGCAAAACTCGTGGATGGTGTCATCAAAGGCATTAGTGGCCAGAATCCAGATCGCCTTAGAACAGTCCACGGTCGCCTTGGCCTTCCTGTCTTCGTATTCACCTAGTAATCCCCACAGTCACATTAATGTTCTAAAACATTCTAGACGCAATTTTCTTGGGATGGGGATCTTACCGTTCTGGAATGGAAGCAGCAACGTTTGGTGAACTCCCTTGGTCGTCTTCTCGAATTCATCCACGAAGACAATGCATCTCTTTCCAGCATTTCGAGCCAGGAAGCTATTCAGCGGGGAGCTGTTCTCCCAACCCTGGTAGGGAGCTCTCGCACCGAACATCTCCTTCTCATCGCTCTTGTTCGTGCAATCAACAATCTCCATCTCAAGGGACACGAGTTCTCCGAGCCGCCGGGCAAGCTCTGTCTTGCCGTGACCAGACGGACCAGCGAAGACCATGACTAAGGGCGATTTGGATGGCTTCGCGAGATGACGAAGGAGTCGCTTGATGAGGAACTGTCCCGCTGGTGTTTGTCCGATGAGAAAATAGGGAACGCCTAGGAGGTTGTCTGCATCCTTGTACCACGTCACCTGTTTGGCTCGATTTCCGTGGGATTTGAGGATGCTGGCCATGTGCATGTAGTACCGCTGCCTGTAGTTTATGCGATCGGCAATCAGAGCTCGCGCAGATGGAGTGCACCATGACATCTCATCTTGCGTCAGTTCAGGCATCTCTTGGAGTGATGGACCGTCGGAAGCCAGGTCTCGTGTGAGAGGGAAGTAGAAAGCCATGGGAAGAACTTTCGGGTTTGCACCAACACTGAGCAGTGTAGCGACTAGATCAGTGGTGTCGTTGCTGAATGAACCGCCCAAAGCTACAGCATAGGCAAGCAATGGCACGCCCTTAGACAGTCCAGAGGAGGCAGTCATGTTGACGTCTCCGCCATACTTGCACCAAAGCCTGATAAGCTCGGCGTTACGCGTCTCTGCAACGTAGAAGACTGCTGGAAACCCTTCGATAGCTGTGTTAATCTGTGCTCGTACTGCGTCGGTGTCATAGAAAGCCAGGTAGTTTCGGACTCTCTCGCAGCTCTCTCCCTCCTGGATGGCTCCGACGAGCTCATTGAGGAAGAAGTTGCCACTTCCATCTTCGCCTCCGTTTGTGAGTATCTCGGGAGCTGGAACGCGTGGAAGAGCGAAGTTCCACTCGACAGGGTCATCTTCTGAGTCTGAGGTCGAGGTCTCCGATGAAGGCGTTGGACTAGCCGTGACGGAGTCCAACACATCTTCTTCGTTCGCTTGTGAATCAAAAGCGGTGTGTTGATTCTCCATCTTGGGCTTCGGAGGCGGTAGAGGCAAAGCCACGATAATCTTGCGGTACGATTGGATCGCCTCGTCAACATTGTGGTTGTTGCTTCGGAGGAGGGCTCGAGCTCTGCCGATGCTGATGCCAAGAGTCTCGGCCACATGCGTTTCGGTCTTTTGAGGATCCATACTAGGCATCTTGACTTGCCTTTGTCAAATAGGGAGTGGCTGAAGGGTTCAGCAGATTGGCGTTTCTGCGGACAGATAAGCAGGAAGTTTATGAGAGTTGGTCAAGCGTTTTGTCCAAGCCTCGAAGTAAAGTAGAGCAGAGTACAAAATATGAAAATATTCACTTGTTCGAAGATTGTACTTGGAGTGAATCCTTGGTGAGGAAATCATTGAATTCCTAGGTACAACAAACGCGGTCGGCCTCCTGCGTCTCTAGTGTGGAGCCCTGCAAGCCATGTGAAAGTGAATATCGCCCATATCTTGGACTGTTGCTGACCCCTCTAATGATGTTTGCATTGCCATAAAAGGCTCGATTCACTGCCGTTCGATTTGTATTCAATGAGATAAATCTGAATATCAAAACATTCTACATCCTACCAATTTCCTGGCAACCACTCCACAACGACTGGGATCTGGAGTGTCCCACGAGATTGCCAATCGACCGCATGCCTATGTCCTCAACCGCACCGCAAGAATTGAGTCAAGCAAACCTGAACGGCAGAACCCGCATCAAATCGAAACTTGAATCATCAGCATGAAGCCACAAGCCGATCCTCGGCGCAATCGCCCATCCGCAGAGCAAAACGGCAGCACGTCTGCGGCTTTTGCCTTCGCAACGGAGCCAACAGAGCTATGTCAACATCCTCAGCCAGTCCCGCCCACGAATGGAGCAAACCTTGATACGAAATTGATCGCCAATTCTGTTACGCCAGCGCCGACCAGTCCACACAGCACGACAAACATACCCTCAAGCGGCCATGAAGATGATGAAGTGACCCCCGCTGCGGCGGGCGCAGCAGCTGATGAGATCGACCAATTGGAGAACGAGGTGATCCACTTTATGAACCTTTCATTGGAAGAGAAAGAGAAATCAGAGATGCTCTCTGGACGTCTCGCATCGGTGACACAGGAGAAGGAGCATCTGGAGCGTCAGGTTGACGAGCTTGATCAGGATCTTGGCAGCGATGAGTGGCAGGACAGTGAAATCCTTCCCGCCGATACGGGAGATGCGATATCACGACTGAACGCGAAGATCACCAAGCTGAGAGCCTCAGCTCAGCAACATGAGAGTGACTTGAGCACTCTGACCAAAGACAATGACCAACACACCAAGACTATCACTCAGCTGGTATACCAACTCAGCTTCGCAAGAGATGAGCTCGCCCAGAAGACACAGGAAGAAGAGCGTCTGCGCAAGGAACTCGAGCACACTACAAAGACTCTGAAATCCGAAGAACAGACCAACGAAGAGCTGCTGGGTGACATAAAGGCAATCGAGCAAGAGTGCGATGAGCTCCGCACGTCGAATGCCTCGAGTGGGAAGAAGCTGGCCGATGCGGAGCAGACTGCAGATACTCTGAGCGATTTGGTCAAGCGAAAGATTGCCGAGCTGCAGAATGTCCAAAAAGCTGGGGCAGCTCAGGCTGAGAAGATGCGTCTGGAGATCGATCTCAAGCAGAAAGAAATCGAGCGTTTGAAGACGGAAAAGACCACTATCAGGGCCAGATGCGAGGGATTTGAGCCTGCTCCCAAGAGAATGAAAGTAGGATGGAGATTAGTAGAGCCAGACGAGGTGGTTGAAACCGTCTCCCCCGATGAAGACAAGGATGACAAGATCAAGAAGCTCACTGAGGAGCTCCAGCGTCACCAGAAACGCCGCGTGCGTGCTATTGCCATTGCCATCGACCTCAGCGGCAGCGCGGCCGGCAGTCTCACCGAAGGCATCAAACGCTTCTATGCCCATCTTCTCAACGAGCTTAAGAGCTCGCCTTGCCAGACCTACATCATGACGGTCGTCCATGGGCCTGGTAACACTGCGACTGTGAAATCCCAGTTTAGTGATTCCTGGGCCACACATGAGAGCGTGCTAGCCGATCAACAGGCCATTGGACGTCAGCAACATGTTGCATGCCTCAGGAAGATCAAAGAAGTGGCAGTGACAACAGGACTGGTCCTAGATCTGCAGGTTGTTTTGATTGGAGATGGTGATACCGATGGGGACTCGCCTGATGGATCGCGTGCTGTCTGTACAGATTTCGCTTCCAGCAACCCGACAGTTCACATCCATTCGGCCGTGGTAAGAACAGGGAGTGCGGAGGAGAGTGATAAATACTGGAGCAACCTGGAGCAGTGGCACACCTGGAACTATGCGAGCGGCACCGGAGGTAACATGATGGTTTGGTGGCAGAATAATCCGCTTCCCGATCTGAGGGATCTCGTACTCTGATCGAAAACACCATAACGATCTTGAGACAGAAGCTATCCGAGTGGAACATTAGGATGTAAGATCCGCAGCTGGGTATAGGGCCACGTCAATAACAAGTTGTGGGCCTCCAGATTGAATAAAAATCCGAGGCGTGCTAAAATGTCTCATGATACTACAGGCCGGGCTTGCAGGCACGTCAAGTCCATACATGACTAAGTAAACGGGCTCAAGTTCTTCCTACATTACTAAAGATCAAACACTTGCATCGTGCAGCCTATGAATACATTTTTGCAGTGCGAGACTTGACGAACTTGCGTTTCGAGATCTGCCCACAATTAGATACTTAAACATTGTTGATGAGGCGGAACAACTGACCACTGGACAACACAACACAGCTAGCACTGAAAGTTGCTGAGGAGCATATGTGGTTCTATTGGGTTTGTCTTGCCTTTCAAAGAGGCCACCGGCCTTTGCTTGACACTAGATCAGAGGGCTCGACAGGCTCGACTAGGCCACTCGTTCTTCCTCGGCTTACTCTTGAGCATTAAAAAGCAGTTGAATATGATAATCTTGGGCAGTCCGACATAAGCTTTCGTCCCACACCGTTCATTCGAACTAGACACAGGTGGGAAGTTGATGTGACCTCCCCGGCGCATGTCGACCCACAGAGAGGTGCCTGCAGGCATGCATGTACTATTACGACGCTATTGCTTCCGACGAGATGAAATGAAACACTTCCGTTCTTCGAGACGGACCGCCGTGATTCCTTGCAGAGGCATCCCACGATCTCGGAACCACTCGATCGTCTGTTCACTGTATCTGTCAATGTTCGGCTCAAAGGAATTCAGGTGCCGGGTGGGGCCGTTTCGGGTAGCCACGAGCTGATGGAGCATTCATGTTGAGCTTCGGTGTTGATTGTCACAGAGGCCAAGACCACATGCGGTCTTATCATTCGAGATAACCCCCGGGAATCTGGACCATCACCCTGTCGGTGCTATCACCTTTCGGTGAGCACGGTGACATAGTTCACGCTATGACACCGTATTCCCTGTATTATGCTTATTTCGGAACATAAGAGGGGCCTCCCAGCGTCAAACGAGCACCGATTGAGTCCACGTGTTGTGCCGCCATGCCGGGGAACCAAAGCATGTTCCTCATATTCGCAGCACGATCGTTTCTTCCTGCTGTCTAGTCGTTTCGTCATGGGGGGAAAGTGATGTGATAAGAGCTTTCCCAAAGTGATCTGCGGTCGGCCTATAAAAGATCACGATTATAGTCCTCCCCTGACTGTAACCCTTCCAAACGTAGCTTTCTGCACATCCCCACACATTACGCACTGCAGAGCTCGGGAAACGGCATTGGCAATGGGCACTTTCGCCCAATCACCAGCACTACCGCTTCCGCGGGGGTCGAGTTAGCACAAAAAGAGCCTCCCTGTCACCAGGAACAGGCAAACAGGATGAGGCTAAAGCGCTGCTAGTCCCCGAGCCACAGCTTCCTCCACGCGAGGAGAAGCCAGGTTTGCCTGCACCAACGGTCGCGCTACCTTTTTCGGGATTTTGCGCCGCACGGCACATGAGGATCGACTCCACAGCAACGGTCTCGCTCGCTCGCACGGCCGTGCGGCCAAGTTCGGCGAGGGACGAGGGAATGCAAAGGCCATGCAGACATGGTGAAGCGAGATATGTCATGTGGCGCGGGACGAGCTCGATGTTGCATTGGATAACACTTTCGATGCTGGGCACAGCGAAAGCGGTTGGCGACATGGGCCCTGATCCGCGTTGGCTCTAGTCTGTATTGTCTATCGATCGACAATCTGGCTGCACGATGAATAAAAGCGAGCACGGCCGTCTTTCTCGCCCACCTGATCAGTGGAACCAGAGATCTGCTCTGTTCTAATTTTCTATTGCGTTCCATTCTGAGCGCCCCCATTTTTTAATATGGCCTCACAAGGCCAGTTGTCGCCGGAGATGGCGGCCGAGAACAAAGGTCCCGGGATCTTGGCTGCATGCTACACGGTGGAGGTGATCGCCAGCTTGTTCGTTGCTGCTCGTCTCTTTGTGCGCGGGCGGATGATGGGCAAGTGGCAGCTCGATGACTGGCTTATCATCTTGTCTATGGTTCGTAGCCCTTCGATCTGCGTAAAGGTCATCCAAATTGTAGTGACTAACATGCTCGGCATAGCTTTTTGGATGGATCGCCGTTGCTTTCACAACTGCTGCCGTCGCGAGCGGCAGTGGCAAGCACTTCGAGGTGCTGACAGAAAGCCAACACTCGAAGGCCATCTTTTGGACTGTCATGGGCTTCGGCCCAGGCGTCATGTCGTTCGGCATACCTAAGCTCGCCGTCGTCGCTTTTCTCACACACATCATGAACCCGAGCAGGGTCCACCGCATCATCATGTGGATGATGGCATCGCTCTGCGTTTTTAATTTGTTTATTTGTGTTGTCTTTCATTTTGCCCAATGCTCGCCGGCCGCGTCACAATGGGATTTCTCGCTTGAGAGACGGTGCTGGAGTCCATGGATATTGATATGGTGGGCGACCTGGTCCGGCTGTGAGTTTCAACTGCCATTGATGTGCGGTCTCTGGTTACTGACCTTTCAGCACAGACTTCTCCGCTTTCCTTGATCTATATTTCGCCGTGTACCCATCAATTGTGCTGTACAAGCTACAAATGAACCGCAAAAAGAAGCTTGCCCTCTGTGCAGCCCTGGGGATCGGGTCAATGTGTGTACCTGGATCCTGTGCCCCAGCCAAAACTGTGGCAAAGTTAACAAATTGTCTAGTTCCACCATCGTCGCCGTATACAAAACCACCCGACTACCCTCGCTGGCAAGCGGGGACTTCACCTTCTCGACATCCGACCTCGTCGTCTTCACCATCGCCGAAGGCGGCACCATCATAATAGCAGCATGCATCCCCGTCCTGCAGCCACTGCTCGAGATGATCACGGGCAAGCGCGGCTGGCTGAGCAGCGACCGGACGTCGGGCGGCCGGCCGTACCAGCAGCACTACGGGCGCGGCGCGCCGAGCTACGGGGCGGAGAAGTCGGTGCGGTCCGAGTTCGAGCCGCGGCGCAAGCGGCGGGTGGAGGACGACGACGACCTGCTGATGACGAGCGTCGAGATCGAGCGCGCCCAGGCGGCTAGGGAAGGCTTCTGGCCCCCCGCGGGCGAGCACCCGCCGCCGCGGAGCGCGGCCCTGCCCAGGACGCCGTCGCGGGCGTCCTCGAGGACGAGCATCCGGGCCAACACGAGGCTGGCGTGCACGGCACGTGGCATCTTTTCCCGGCCCCGCAGGAGTGAGGACGCGAAGTCTGTTACACCGGTCATTACCAAGACACAGAGCATCATGGTTGAGTACGAGCCTTACAACGGCCGCTCGGGTTCGTGGCCGCTTTCGCAGGATCCATTTCCTATGGGAGATTCTTCAGACCCTGAGGGAGGAGATTCTGCTCCCGTCACACAACGCTCATTTTCCTTAGGGAGCGTCACGTCGCACTCTGGTGCTTGGAAAAGCTCATAGTCCCTGTGATAGAACACGTGATCATCAGTCATAATAGCTGCAGCGATTAATTGTACAACATTCATTACTTCACCGACTGTTCACTACACGATTAGGTCTTGTCCCCTGCCTGCGCGTCAGCCTTGCAACAGGTGCGCTACAGAGATTGATTGCTCATCTGGACAGAGAGGATAGATGTCTTCCGAACATGATCATGGTCAGACAATTCTTGATAGGTCTAGGCAGCTTCTGAGCTGTTGAGGGATCATTGTTTGTTGACCTCGTAAGCGTCTTGCAATTTAGACATTAGGTATGCTGAATGTCCATGTGGTTCACGGACCATCCCCCTTTTCAACCCTCCTTATCCTCACCTGCCGGGTATCTGTATTGGCAACTTAAAATCCAGAAAAGCCTTTTCCAAGCCGAAACGCCTGCTGTCATCACACACCATTCTCAAACATGTTCATCGCCTCTCAAGCATGGATAGCCTGCTGCACATGTGGGTAAACCTGGACCATCTGGTGATAAAGATCGCCATGGTCGCGGATCATCACCTCGGGGTCCCAGGCCGAAGCCACGAAGATGGTGTCGATGCCGCTGCTTAGCGGGGTGGTGAAGATGTTGCAAATCTGCAGGCCGATGAGGAACGCAAAGGCGACAATGACCACCGTGTACTGGCCGTTCGAGTTATACGCCGGGTTCGTGAATTCGAGGTACAAGAATGCGAGCAGAGCAGTGGCGAAACCAATGAACGTGGCGCCAAACGAGAAGACGGGCCCAATGAGGCATTCGTTGACGAGTGCATCAATGCCACGGTCCTTGATCATCCTGTGAAGCGCGTCAGTGATTCTGCAATAGCAAAGATTGTTGATTGAAGGTGAAACACATACTTCCAGGTATCCTTGGCTGATTGGAAATAAGGACGGCCGTAGAGGGCAATATGGGAGAAGGCATATCGGTTGACAAATTCGATGACCCATTGGAGGACAGAGATGAGGCAGCTGAGAACGCAGAAGAAAATGTAGGCGATCATGTCTCCTGACTGTCCGCTCTGATCACGCGCCGTCTGGGCCAGCATCCTGAGGAAATTCACAATGGCGACAATGAGACTGCCCAGGCTGATGGACCCGAAGCTGTAAGTCAAAGACCGCTTCAGCGCGCCACGAGTCACTCCGGTTGGATACGCGCGAGAGTTGAAGTACCAAGACCCATAGACACCGGAGACGGTTGTGTGAATCGTGTTTTTCAGCCACTCAGAGAACCAGTACGAGCAGAACGTGATGAATACAATGAGACCAGTGACTTTGGCGTAGCTGCAGCCACTTGCTCCAGTGCTGCAAGCTGGATTATCGTTACTGGGCGAGAATTTGACGTAGACGGCCGTAAAAGTGACGGCGAACCAGGCTGCGAAAGCTGCACCCACGAGGCCGCCAACAAAACTGACCATGTAAACATGGCCGTGGTGGTTGGCGACGTTGATGGCGGTACGCAGCATGAGCGCACTAAATGGTATTCGGGGGATCCACGAGATGAAGGCGAAGATAAGAAAGACGACAAAGATCAGGAACACGATGCCTCCGGCATAGTATTTCCTGTAAAGCATGTAGATGGCAGTTCCCAAGCCCCAGACGATGTTCAGGATGCCCGTTGCCCAGATGAGTTGCTTGGGAAGAGTTCGGGCGAGGAGGACGTAGCCATAGCTGAAGACAATGGCGACACAGAGACAGAAGATAAATAGCAGAAGAGTGTTGGTGTTGATGCTGATATCGCTACTATTGCCGTTGTAGATGCCGGTGCCGTTGGAGCTTCGAGTAGCGGCTAGGAAGGAGCAGAGATCAGTTGTCAGCAGTGATATTGTGAGAAAATACTGCAAGAAAGGCAGAGATCCTTACCGTAGCCCTGGATCGCAATGCCTGACACGACAACGTAGCCAGCCATGGTGAGCACGAACAGGATGCCGGCCCAGATGTCGTTGTACTTGGGCTGCTCGATCTTGAAGGCTTGCTCGAAAGGGACCTTCTCGTCGCCGTAGCCGCCATTATTAGGCGGAGGTGGAGCCTGGGAGTAGCCATACTGCTGCTCTTGACTGGGAGGTGGACCGTATCCCTGGGGAGGATATTGCTGCTGTTGATTATAATCCTGAGGCGGATATCCCTGGGGAGGGGGATATCCTTGAGGAGGATATCCTTGCTGTTGCATGATGCCGGTATGGAGCTGTTGATCGACGATTGTGGCGCAAAAAGATGCTGTGGAAATCTACAGCGTCTGCGTAAAAGGGGATGCCTTGAAGTCGGGTACGTCGATGGTGTTGCGGGAGAAGAAGGGCGTGAAAGGTGGAATGTGTTTGTTTTGTCCTGGGCGTGGACAACGATGGTGGGGAGATTTGGTGTGACCTCATCCAAAACAATGAGAGGGAACCATAGCGGAAAGAGCGAAGCAGGAGGATAAACGGCAGGTGGGATGTGATGAGAATGAACAGGGATCAGCAGCCGGGACTCCACCGAACTTTGTTTTTAGCGACTCGCTAAGGCTGAAACGGGTCTGGCGGGGAGTGGCCCTAGCTTCTGATACAACCTCCGACCTCGTCGACCTGTGAAGTTCTCTGGCCAGCTGGACTGACAGACTGAGAACGACGTGGCTGTGGGTACCGAGCTGGCTGTCTGCAAGCCCACGGAAGAAGATGCCGTCTTGGTGACATGTTCTGCGGGCGGCTGAGGCTGGGCATTTGACTTGCCAATGTCTGTCGGTGGGCCGCCAGGCCTCCCGAACCAGGGAAGCAAGCTCAGGGGGTGGGGTCAAGAAATGAGGGGTCGGTGTAGACAGAGGCTAGGGCATCAGGCACATTGCACCAGCTAGATGGACACTATCAAAGTTTGATCATGGTCAGAATCTTGAGCACGATTGGGCAATGGTTGCTGGGTCTAGGCCAGATTGCATCTCCAGTAGGCCTAGTACATCATGACGATCCTTGCCAGAAGACCCTGACAAGCTGAGCCAGTTTGCGCCGCATGTGTGAAGCACTACGGCTCCCTCTTTCATCCTTTCCATCCCATGTCCAACAACAAAACTGGTGTTCATAGAAGATTGACCGTCAATCATTGGCGGGAAGCTGTTGCTCGCCTGACTTTGGTGTTGCGATGTGGTCTGTCGATCAATCTAGAAACAGACACAACACGTTGGGCAGTCCTCCAAGAAAACGGTCATTGGCTGATGGAGCACACAAAAATGCACATTGCAGCTGGCCTGAACGTCGCAGTCACAGATTGGTACGGCACGGACCGTGTGGCTCTAGGCATTGTGTTATTGCGATATTCAGACCCCCGAACAGCAAGGATTCCTTCTTTCGACGTGTCATATTTTCACACTATGCACAGTCTCAACATGTTATAACATTGCCTCATGCTATGATTTTAATATTCTTGGAGCGATCACAGTTTGCTTTTCTCTTCAGGAGATTTTACCTCGACAAGAAGTTTTCCTACAGAAGTTAGCTTCACAACAGATCCACGGGCGAGAAGAGGACAGCGTCTTACCAGTATTTCCTCCCTTGAACAGGTCCAGGAGTGCTTGCTCAGCTACCTTGAGTCCGCCCTTTACGACAGTCTCTTGCCTCTTGATCTTGCCCTCGGCGAGCCACTGCGCCAGCTGCTTCCGAGCTGCTGGGTACTCCTTAACAAAGTCGAATACGATGAAGCCCTCCATGCGTACTCTTTGTGTGATGACTTTGGAAATTTGCTGGACCAATTGTCAGTGTCAAAACAGAATGCAAGAAGCACAGTAACCATCACAAAGACATACCCTTGGCCCCTTTGGATCTGTCGAGTTGTACTGGGAGATTGCACCACACATTATGAATCGCGCTTTCTTGTTTGCCCGGCTCAGCGCCGCGTCGAGGATCTCCCCACCAACTGTAGGTCAAAGCATCAGTCAAGTTGCCCAGATTACATCACCTCCGGAACCACTTCTCAAGAGAAGACTTACCGTTGTCGAAGTAGACATCAATATACTTTGGCGTCGCCTCCTTGAACTTCTTCCTGAAGTCAGGATCCTTATAGTTCAGGCAAACATCAAACCCAAGCTCCTTCTCCAGCCACGCACACTTCGCATCAGACCCCGCCAGGCCGACGACTCTCCCCCCAGCAATCTTAGCCATCTGTGCAGCAACACTGCCCGTGGCTCCAGCCGCCCCAGAGACGACGACCGTCTCCCCAGGCTTGACATTCCCAATCGTCGTCATGCCAAAGTAAGCCGTGAGGCCAGTCATGCCCAGCACGCCCTGCAGGTCCGTCACCTTGCCATTCTTGGGCAGCGGGATATCCGACACCGAATCGAACTCCTTGGGCCCCACGATGGCGACCTCGCGCCAACCCGTGGACGCGGTGACGAGGTCACCATCCTTGACGCGCGGGGACTTCGAGGCGAGTACGCGTGCGATCGCGGACCCGCGCATCACCTCGCCGATCTGCACCGGCGGCACGTAGCTTCGCACGTCGTCCAGCCATCCTCGCATCGCCGGGTCCAGGGACAAGTAGAGCGTCTCGACTAGGATCTGACCATCCTTGAGGTCCTCAGCTTTCGGCGCTGGCCCTTGCTTCTGCTGGAAGGTTTTCCCGGGCACGATGTCGCCCTTCGGGCGCTCGGCCAGGACTACTGAGGTGATTTGACGGCTCATGATGGAAATACTTCTGCTAGATCCACAGATTTGAGGCGAGTCGGACGGAGCGATGTGCAAGGGATGGTGTTGAATTGTATGCTCAGTATTGCGTTGACCTCGGGACCAGCAAAAGGGGCAGGGGTTAGCGATTAGTGAACCGCGGCCATGACTCTGCGAGCCGAGGTCCCACGGTGTATCGTCCCTCCGAACCCCGACATCGAGTCGGTGTTAACCACCGCATGGATGGTCAACATCTAAATCAACATTCGCTCCCATGATTGTCAACTGCATTAGATACTACACGTATATGCGGTCACTGCATGAATTGAAACCTCGCCGAACTTTGTATATCATTCTATTGGTAGGATCAGTCCCCATGAGCTTATTTCAACACCACAATCCCTGATTTGAAGTATCAGTGCAAGCCTATTCGAATCCTTGGAGTAACAACGACCCAAACGAAGACTCATCATAAAAATTGCAAGACTGGCGCAAACTCCGGGCTTTCTTCCCTTTCTCATTCTCGCGTGCTCTAAGTCGTCGGATCTGCATGACTGTAAACGACTACTCGAGCACACACACTGCCGGTACAACTGTATTTCCAAGAAAATGACTCCTCAATCTGCTTGAGGGCAGGAGAGGAGGACCAATAACTCTAACAGGGTCTAACTGAATGTTACGGAAGTCTGGGTGTCGGCGAGGTGGGCTGCATCTGATCTCTCTTCGCCCCGAACTACCTATCAGAACGCTTAAATGTATAACATGGGACAAACATGACGGAGCGAAGCAAAGAGAAACATACCCCTTCCAACCTATGCACGAATGAACTGAAATAATAAAGCAGTGTCGCAACAGGCTCAGCTTGAGTTGGTTGTTCGCCCAGTGGGAAAGATCCTCGTGGTCACAAAACCAGCTGTGCTACCCGCTGGGCGAACCTCTCGCCGCAGAGAAAGTATCCTGTAGAGCGTTTCAAATCTTACGGACATTCACGATAGAGAGACAAGTTCGAGTATGGCAGAGATAAACACTTGTTGGATCAGGACAAGCAGCATGCGGCGGTGTCAAGCTTCAACGATTAGGTCTAACCTTCAATCACTTGCTGAATTCTGCCACTCGATGATCTGCATCGTGTTGAGACTATTCGCTAGGCAGTAGTACCCGTCGAAAAGTTGGTAAGCTGAGAGTTGCGGTCAGGTATCAAATCGAATTTGTGTCTCTCAATCCTTTCATTACTGGTAGTATTATTGTCGAAGTCCGTCGGATATATTATTAGTGACAGCTCGCAAGTCTTGCAAGCACACTGTCTCATAAGCTCCCCACGAACAGTCAGACTATACTGGAAGACATCCAAATTATGAATCGCCAGCCACGGTCTCATGCGTGCCCGTCCAGCAAGTAGTTGCCTTCGTCGATGTAATTTGCAGTCAAGCAGCCAGAACATGCCTCACATGTTCCAGCGCATCCTTCTTGATCTCCTCGAGAGGCCGGTCGACATTGATAGTAAACACATCACCCTCATCTTGCGCCGGGCGTTCCAGACTATCAAATTGCGAATGCACCAGATTGCTCCCGGCAAAGTGTCCCTTGCGCTCCGCGGCCCGTTTTGTAAGGACCTCCTCCGGGGCATCAAGAAAGATGAACCGAATGCGCAGATTCTGCGCCTGCTCGGACCCTTTGCGCAGAATATCGCGGTAATGACGTTTCAGCGCTGAACAGGTCATGACGAGGTGCAGTGACGTTTCCCCTGGCGGATGCATGTTCTCGTGGTCGCGCAGCGCCTCGAGCCAACCTTGGCGATCCTCGTCGGTGAGAGCCTCCCCGTGGTGCATCTTCTCTACGTTGGCTTTTGGATGGAACTATCAAGACGTGGTCAGCTGGGTCGGTGGTGCTGAAAAAGTGGAAGGACAGCCGTACGTCGTCACCCTCCAGGAAGGTGAGGTTCAAGTTGTCGGCCACATGTTTTGCGATGGTCGACTTGCCGCATGCCGTGGCGCCTGTGAAGAAGAAGACATAACGCGGCCGCTCTACTGTTGGCTTCTCAGTCATTTTGTGGCTTTGGATCGGCTGGTGACTTTGACTCTTGCGCCTGTCACTCTGAAAGGCATTTGAAAGGCATGAAGCTGGAACCAAAACGAGGCCCTGGCTACTCGAGCCACGGATGGACCATGACGTAGGTCGAAGTCCCGGATCGCCCGGGTGGAGACGGTGAATGTGGACTATCCCGGTTCTGAGAGACAGAGACGTTAAAGACAGATCCAGTGCGTGCTAGGTATTCTGGACGAAGTGGATGAGGTCTTTTGGCATCAAGGCTTCCATTTGACGATGCAACAGTCTAAGAGAATGGGGTCGTACAGAACATATATTCAGGTGTGGTACTCAGTTACTCCGTATACCACAGTAGATCTTGCAGCAAATTGCCAAGCCGGGCCTGGCCGGTGACATGCATCTGCCAAGCTGAAATCGGGTGGATCGTGGAACACTCCCCTTGACTCCACGAGCAGCATTACTTGTATGTACAATCGACAGCCGGAGGCCTGGTCCCAAAGTTGCGAGCAGCAAATAGCCTGCGTCTATTTATTTCGGTGACTACAAGTTTGTTCCCAAAGTTGGTCGATTGGCAAGGAAAACCCGACAATAGGAGAAGATGACGTGGTTCCTGACATCATGGAGACGTCGGACCGGTTCAAGAGTCTCGTCACCCCTTGATGCGCAGCTAGTCTAGACTAGAGTAAATGCCCATGCCCTACGGTATTCTAGACGGCGGCCAGGAACCTGTGTCCCTGGTGCATGCTCCGTACGAACCATTCAACCCCACCCGTCGTCACACCTCCATTCAATGCTCCAGTACCCCGGATGATCTGCTTGTATCTGCCGAAGAATCGATCTATTTAAGCTCAGAAAGCTTGGCATCTTCAGTTCTGAACCTCAACTCTGTCTTCATCCAAAATACAATCAGTGTGATATAAACATACCAGGCAACGAAACGGCCTCACCCCTCAATAACCCCTCATCTAATAGACTTCGAACGCCCCACCGCCGCAATCATGGTCTGGCAGCACGGAGACGAGCATCAGATCCCAGATGCCCACAAGGTCCACAAGTAAGTCTTTCTCTCGTCCTCATATTCATTCTCTCACAGACTCGATTGCTGACTTCGTTCAGGCCCGGCGCCTGGCTGCCTGCGGACAGCCGTGTCCACAAGGAATGGCTCAACAAGCAGGTCGAGCACGTCGACAAGAACCCCAAGGAACTCATCCCAGTCCTGCAAGAGTTCAGGACCTTCATCGAGACTAATCCACGGATTCGTATGCTCTTCACCCAGATGTGGGATGAGGTCCCCGTGAAGAAGCCCTACAACAAGGACCCCACAGGGCACAAGGCTATCAGGGACTACGGCCACATGCTCGCAGTCCTGAACCACGTCTTCTCGCGTGCCCCCGAATGGACTGACGCCGCTGAGAGTGTGGGCATGGTCGGTGTCCCCATGTGTGCCATTTTTGACTATGCCATGGCAACACCTAGTGGCCATGCCGCATTTTTGGATACGGAGGTGAACAAGATGTTGAAGAAGGTTATGAATGAATGGGGCAAATTTCTCAAGGTAGGTCGCCAATACCCTGTCTGCTGGTCAAGATTTCATGGTACTGATCACGTCTTCAGACTCCCAAGTCTGCCGAAGTCCTTAGCGACCACCGCCTTGGCTGGTTTGGAGAGCACGGCAAAAGAGACCTGATGCAGGTCGCTAATGCACCTCTGAAAACGGATCACAAATTCGAAGACATGTATATCTGCGAGCCATCCAAGGACAAGTACGGTTTCACCTCGTGGGACGACTTCTTCACTCGCAAGCTTCAAGAGAGCGCCCGACCGGTGGCATCCCCAGATGACGACAACGTCATCGCCAATTGCTGTGAGTCGCGACCTTACGCTGTAGAGCACAACGTCAAATTGCGCGACAAATTCTGGGTCAAGGGACAACCCTACTCCATCGCCGACATGCTGGCAAACGATCCCTTGTCCGAGCAATTCAAGAACGGCACCATCTATCAGGCCTTCCTTTCAGCCCTCTCGTATCACAGGTGGCACTCGCCCGTCTCGGGAACTGTTAAGAAGGCCTATCTCGTGGACGGGACATACTTCAGCGAGCCACTTTACGCCGGCGGCGACATGAGCAGTGCCGACGAACTGGCCCAGATGAAACAGGGCATCTCGGCTGCGCAGGGTTACCTGTCCGCGCTGGCCGCGCGGGCTATCATCTTCATCGAGGCTGACAACCCTGCGATTGGGCTGATGGCGTTCATTGGCATTGGTATGGATGAGGTCAGCACCTGTGAGATCACCGTCAAGGAGGGTCAGCACATCAAGAAGGGTGACCAGACGGGTATGTTCCATTTTGGTGGTTCGACCCACTGCCTGATCTTCAGGCACGGTGTGAACGTGGAGGGGTTCCCAGAGCCTGGCCGCAAGGAGAACGTGCCTGTGAGAAGCCAGGTGGCTGTTGTCAAAGCCTAAATGAGTGCCCTCGTATTGGTTCTTGAATATCAAAAGCGTGTGTTATTTTGTGAAGAGCTATTGTCCCTGACCTGTTGAAATAAGTCAAACTTGACATGTGACTGTCATGTACGTGACTCGCACCTTTCGATGTGCCCCAAGCCCACCATATCTCTTCCCAGGTTTATCAAGACCACCAAGGCCGCAAGACAGCTGTAAACAAATGACCTCCAATTTCCTTAAGGCGTTTAAACCACACCTAAAATGAGGCTACTGTAGCCGGCGTATACATGTGATCCCTCGCCTTATGAAGAATTAATTTATGTCCGAAGAAATGGGGAATCTGTATGAAAGTAGACAAGTAATTTCTTGATAACATGATTGCTCAAATTCGTACTGGAGCATCATGGCGGCCATATTGGACAGCTTGCAAAACAGTCTCCTTCTGTCATCGCCTATGTATGAGATGACCATGAGTGCCTGTTGAAGAGAGGGTGTACCGAGCACCGACGATTCCTTTCACTCTGGACACCGACTCGGCTCGTCCATGGCAACTGGGGGTTGCAGAAAATTCAAGACATATTGCACCACTGTGTATAGGACAATATTTGAGCAAGATATGTTTGACATTGTAGTATGCATCTACATCTGCGCGTTGGCTCGAGCCTGCCCAGCAACTTCGAACATGCCACCTGAACCGTGATCATAGGTGACACATATAGCTCACTCAGCGGCGGCGGCCCTAGCATGGCTAAAGTTTTCGGCCGGGAAAGTATACATGTGGTGCAGCCTCATACCGCCAACCTTCAAGGAGTGACTGAGGTGCTCGGTAAATCACTGGAGACACTATGCAAGACTTAGGGTCCTTCTCGTATATACTCCAACGGTTGCTCACTAATTATCATGAGTATGGCCACAAATGAAAGAATATAAATATCAGCTGCATTCCTCCCGAAATCCTTTGAAAGGCGCGGAGACAGAAGACGTTAATGGCGCCTATTTGACCCGTTTTGACAACGTGGAGAAACACTGCATTCAACGATAAACTACCAAACTTGAGAAACGTTAGGGTGGTAAGCATAACCTTAAGACCGAGGAGACAGATTATGCTCGCAACTGATACACTGCGATAGGATACGACTCCGCTGGCCTCCGTATCAAGATGACAAAGAAGCACCACCAGCAGTCAGGCAGCAACATTGCCATCAAGGGGGTGGAGTATTTTGCCTTACAATCATCATACTACGAGCCCATCCGGAAGAAGCACCATGTCAATCACAAGAAGCCCCATAGCCATCATAAGGAGCACCATGACCATCATAAGCTCTCAAGCTTTGATCACACCACCGCGCCTCCACCGCCGCCTGTATGTGATGCTCGATCAATAGTTGGAGAGCATACTGACACTTCTCGACAATAGCAACTCGGCACTCCTCAAACCGACTTAGACCAGCAAACAGATCGTGTCCAGGGCCAGGAATACGCAGAACGCTCCAACGACCCAAGCCCTCGGGGTACAGGTTGTTGAGGCTGGGCTCACGATAAGGGCTTCAGCTGTGCAGAGCTCAGCACAGGAGATGAAGACTGCAGAGAAGTATAATGCAACATCCAGCCAATGCGCGTGGTTTCACAACACCGTAGCCTTTGCCGCTGACCATATGTTCACTAGGAGACTATGGGTCTGGCTCCGGGAGGGTTGAAGATGGGCGGAGGGACTTGAAGGATGAAGCTTTGGCGGTTACATTGAGGTAGACTCTGAGGATGGTGGTCTGATCACCCTCGCTTAATCGTTTATCTTTTCGCAGTGTTTCTGCGCTCTAGCTTTGGAAGAGATAAAAGTCGATTTCTGCAATGCCATATCACCTGTGGATGCGTTCGTCTATGATGCATGATCAAGCCCAATCTGTTGAACGATCAAGAATGAATATTGCCAATCGAACTCCTATGTCCTTGCTCCAGAAAGCAAGAGCAGTGCCGCTCACCAGAACCCGCCATGAACATCTCGTCGCCTTGGTCTTGCCAAAGTGCTAATATTGACACCTTCCGCCACCAGGGCTTGGCCGAGTCTTTGAGACAGGTCTTGCAAATTTGTATTTGTCACCACATTTGCCGGCGGTGCGTAGCCTGGAGGAAACTGCTCCTTCTCTGTTTATTGCAAATTAGAAACACACTTCACTGCCTTCAGGTGGAACAGACATGTCGTAGCACAACTGAAACTTACCGAAAAAGAATTGCACAGGAGCCTTGGGAGCAACGCCAGTCTGCACATCTCCGAAGACCATGATGAACGCCACGGACTCGCCAGTAGTGAACGCTTGGGCAAGCCGAGACAGGCCAAACTCAGGATTAGTCGCGTTGGATGTGCGGATGCGAGCGGCCCGGCCTTTTGCGGATGTGTTAACGCTGATCGTATCCTCCGTCCACTGCGCGAGTGTTTCGTCGAAGATCGTCTGGTTGAAGGGATTCGGGTCACCGAAGAAGGCATCTTGACGACTGCCTCGACTTAGTTGACGTAGATTATCTCAGCACGGCAGAATACTCACCTCAAGCTAGCATCGTGCTCCAGAATGTTGTGGCTGCCGAGATCAGGCAAGGAAAATGTCACATTGTCTTTGCTCGGGTTTGTCTGTGCTGCTGCCCGGAAGAGCAGGACCGAAATGCTCTCGTCTTGGTTCACACCCTGGCGCATTGCGGTGACAAGGTCGGCCTGTGTGATGTTCTTCCCACTTCGTGGTAATAGACCATGGTTGGCCAAGGTGTTGAGACCCGGACACGGACCTCGGACTACAAGATCGTCAGCAGTGTATCTGCCTCCTGTTACTCAAGGCGCAACTTACCGTCATCAGGCCCAGGAGGGGCAAAAGTAGGTATTTGGGCTGAGACAAGCCCCGCGAGGAAGATGGTCAGCTTCATAATGGTAGATATAAAGGTGTGTACAGTCCTGTTTGGTATGCGGTGGTACAGAGTCGTCCCAAGGTTGATTTTATATGATTCACCAGCGACACACCTGATATATACTCGGAGTATGTTATTGGGAAAATGGGCATCCGTAAAAGCAAAGAAAGCAAAGAGGCTGTGGACGAGATCGACGAAACCAAGCTCATGGGAGATGCTGGATACGCTTTGAGTTCCGATTCGACAAAATGCAGGTTCGCATCACAAATGCGAAACATCTCTCTAGATTGCAATCCCATGAGCCGAGGTCAATGCAAAGGCGGGAGCTGCCTTCTGTCTGAGGCCATGAATTCCATTGCTTCTGTGCAGGTCTATGACAGAGTTGGGATGAACGCGTTGAGAGACATCTGGAGTGTGAGTTAAGCTAATGCAGCAGAAAGTCTACTAGGTCTTGATGGAATGCGATTGGAACAAAAGTAGGGCATGAAACAGGGTCCTACCTAGATATTTGGGGGACGGCTGCCCCCGTCCCTTGCTAGTTCCGAGCTACAGCAATCGTTGCCAGTGCTGCTGATTAACTCCGTGCGTTTCCCTTTCTCTGAACATGCTCCAAGTTGCTTGATCACTCGCACTCTGTCAAGCAGGACATAAAAGCACTTTACTAATTTCATTCACAATCATTTGTGCTTGTGCCCTAAAATCCGTCAAGCTGAAGTTTGGGGGAAAGGTGCTATTTAGACCACCCAATACATCTAAATTTTACACTTATAGGTTATCACCTTAGGCCGCCTCCACAGTTACATACAGAGAAGCCAATAAATGATAAAATACAAAAAAGGAGGAGCTTGAGTATCTGTACTCAGTGACCATCTGTATCTCCAAGGCCGTAGAAAACGGAACTCGCCAGCACACTTTGTTGCTAAGTGATTCGCGTGGCTACATGGGAGAAAAGGCGTGACTGTTCTGAAATACATTCTGCTGCTTTATGCACGGAGATTCCTCATTTTTATCTACCCGTTCGCTAGATTGCGTTGTCACTTTGTCTTTTCTAAAGCTCAGACGACTCCGTTTGCCTTGACCTTTTATCCTCTTTTGTTTGCTTTCTAAGCCCATGAAACCCCTGTGTTGAATAAAGACTGTCGTTCTAGTTCCCTTGGCCTACTCAGGCATATATCGATGTCCATTTGCTGATAATTTGCATGTCGTTGTCTTCTCTTCTTTCTAATTGATGGATCGTGCGGAGCGACGATGTTTCTATCTGGATAATCTTGGCAGAAAATCTACAACCCAAGAAACATGCGTCTTCTATATAAACTTTCTGAGACCTTTCTCTTCGTCTTGCAATTCTCTCCTTAGAGACGGACGAGGAAGCTCAAACGTGTCTCGTACTCGGCTGTATGAGATGCCTCCAAGCTGCACCACAGGACGCAGAGCGTCAAGATCCACATTATCACGAGCCTCGTTAATTGCATCTTCTTGTATCCAAAATCTCTTGGCTTCGATGATAGCCAGGGCACCTGTGGGTTTGCCCTTCGCTGCATGACCGTGGTAATCAAGACTCTTCATCTCGAGAAGTTTTCCCTCGATGGAGAAGACGGCTTCCTGGACTCTTTTTGGACAAACAGTCGCCGAGTCCCTGGGTGTCAGACCTGACAGTTCCCATTCCGAGGTCTCGTAAGGGACATCGAGAGAGGTAGCGTTGGCGGCCTCGACAAAGTGTTCGGACAAGACACTTATGACACATTCGCCAGTCTCTTCTAGGTTTCTCCGGGTGTCTTTCGGACGGCCCGGCCGTGCTGAGAAGCCAATGACAAGAGTGACTGGGTCATGGTCGACGATTTGAAAATAGCTAAACGGTGCTAGGTTTGGCGTACCATCTTTCGAAAGTGTACTGACGAAGCTCACGGGTCGTGGGATCGCAGACACGAGAAGCTTGTAGTTTGAAATCATGAGTCGGCCTTCTTCATTCGGGTTGACCTCGATATGGGATTTCTTTAGAGATGAGCAATCGCTGGAGCCATCTCCATACTTCCAATTCGGGGCTGGGGTCTGGGCGACAGAGACCCTCAAGGATGGGTCGAATGGCTCGCGTGACGCCTCAATCTTCTTAAATTGCTCCGGCGATGAGCCGAGCAAGAAGGGGTTTTGGGCTGGCGCTGCTGTGTTCTTCATTCGTCCGGCCATGGCTGGACGGGCTGCTCTGACAGCCGCCCGTGTGGGAACGTTTATGGCCAAGCCGCCAGGTCTGGGTCGCAGAATGTTCATCCTGGATCATTGCCAGCATGTGTTGTGTCCGCCTCACCAGTCTTTAAAGCAAATTGTGACGCACCACGGGTGTTGTTGTCGAATTGTGAAATAAGACATAGAGGTGAATAGATGTCACATAAAATTGGTAGGTAATTCCTTTAGAGGTCGATTTCGTGCTGAATGCATATAATGACAAATCCTTGGAACTGAACTCAGAGGATGGACTCCTGCAGGTGGGTCCCGGGATCACTTTTCGCCAGGTGACTAAGCCAGGCTATTAGCCCACCACATCCAAGCACAAGCGTCGTCTCCGGTTGTTTACAAGTCATTGAGTGGGTGGCATGCCAAGACGTCAATTGCGAAGTGATTAGCCTCTGCGTGCAGAATGTTTATAGCCCCGTCAACGCTGGCCACATGCTGACCATCCCCAGCCCGATTGGGTCGGGATCATGAGCAGCCTGGAACGGACTGTGAGTATCAGACATCAGGTTGTCCTGGACTGCATGCTCGAAGCAGTGGAATCAATGAGGATGCGGATGACTGAACTGTGGAAACGGCACCGATAACAAGGGAGAATAGAAGATCTGGATCTCATCAGTATCGTGTGACAGGAGGTGGTATTGTTGGGTGATTGATTATGTACTGATCGTCGACTAAGCACCTCCATGATGGCCTTGGTACAAACGTTGCATCGGAGCACATACGGACAAGGACGCTGGCTGCTTCTGGTGATCTGTTGACGTGTTTGCATCTCAAAATTCGTCCTGTCGAACTCGAAGAAGGCAATGCTGGAATTATCAGGGAAGAGGGGCGAACCGAAGCTGAAGACCAGAAGATGAGATGAAAAATTGCTGCGATTTTGAGGGAGTGACTTCACAAGGAAAAGCCGCACTGATTTTAGCTAATGATGAGAAGTCTTTAACCTTGAGAATGACCGTTAAAATGAAAACCCATTGATGTTTCCCACCCCTTGAGGCGCGTCCATCTCGCGAGCTTGATCACCACGCCCAAGAACTCATCGGGCTCGACTGGGTATTGGACATGCATGCCCTCCAAATTCTCTCTTCTGGTAACTATGAGACATCCATTTAGACCCGCTCGCACCTCTCGCCACCATCGCCATTGCCGCAGCGGAGGGGAAGAAGACAGCAGCCGGCGTCGACTCCCGCAGGGTCGGTAAACTGTTCCAGGCCGTTGTCACCTTCTCCAAGGGACTCGCAGTCGGGTCCGTCAGGAAAGCCACAGCTGTTTGCGCGGACAACCAGTCAGTTCCATGCTCCTTGGACGTCGCGCAACTTTTGCAACTTCTTTGAGGGTCCCAGACTTACTTGTCATTCTTGTTGTTCTGGGCCAGGACGCCAGCGGCCAAGGTGGCGATGAGGATAGTGAGGTACTTCATTTTGTATTTTAAAGAAGGTTTATGTCTGCGCAGCAGATTCTTCAAGAAAGACAGAATATTATGAATTCAAGAATGAGAGAGAACAGAATGAATGATGATGTAGATGTAAAGCGAATCTCTGCATCTAAACCGAGGACGACGTTAAGATTTTATATACCACGAACACAGCACTCGATTCCTATGAGCCTTTTTTTTGTGCTACCAGTTATTCACGATTGCCTCGTATTCGCCCTTTGCAAGTGCCCCCCAAGGCGTCACAGCCCTGCCAAGATCGCCTGATCTGCAGCGACAAACACGACTCATCTGGGGTTTCGCATCGACCCCAGACGGCTTGGCACCCGGTCCAAAATGCCATCCAACGTTCGGCCGCCAGTACGACAATGCTTCATTGGCTCCTGTGTCTGTTTCGGCCGATAAAGTTGAGATGGCACAGGGGCCGACTGGCTCGCGGGCTGGTTTAAGCTTGTCTGGCCCTTGTGGATAGGATCTTCTGGAACGTCGCTGCAGATCACACGCGTGCCACGCCCTGCGGCTGCGCCGAGGAACCCGGCGGCGCTTCCTTTTACGTAAATCTCGTAGTGCCATGTACGAAAGAGTTAACTGCACCGACAGCCGTGTACGCTGAACCGTGCTAGGCTCGCATTGCCGAGACAGGAGCCCAGGGGACAGCTTCAAGTAATTGAGGAGTCTGGTATCGCATCTTGACAGTGGAGAGAGTTACAGGAGGAGATGGGACGACTCAGAGAGGAACTATGTAACAACACCAATAATATACACATGGTACAAATATTGAGATGAATGATCAAAACCTGGCCTGCTAAGAACCAAGCGCGCGCTCCAAGGCCAGCTCTGACACAGATCTGAAAATCGTTTACCGACTTGCTGCTCTTGATGGATCTCACTAACAATTAACTTGTCTGCTGGTTTTCTCGGTTGATACCATCTCAAGCACCATTTTGGCTTCTTGTGAAGGAATGAGGGTCATTCAGCGGTGACACATTTTGGGAGTGTCTATATATTGTAGGTAACGCAGCTTCTCTATTCATCATTGTAGCTGCGCCCCCCTGCCTGTACTTAGTTAGGGTTGGACCAGATGTTCTTACCAATAGATACGTGCTTCTTGAAACTCTGTCTTCCTTAAACAATGTATCCACTGAGCCTGGACCTATTACTACTGTGTGGGGCGCTGACATTTGTCTGAGGCGTTGGATAAGCATATCGTAGAGCACTATGCAGGCGAAAGCAGTCCCAAGCAGACGGCAGGATTGATCTAAGCTTATCATCTCTTACGAGAAACTAGCCAGCATACGCCTATGACGAAGTATCTATGACCAGATGCTATATACCTGTGGAATTGGCGTAATGAGTCTGGAGGAGCTGGAGCCTAAGCCTGAAAGGACTGCACGTGGTCCCTCGATGCTGAAGGGAGGGGGTGGCGCCCGCGACGGCTGATATTTGAAACATGAATGTACAGAACATGACCTAGGAAGTCTACAATTTGGTCCCACTTATCATAGGCATACAGCCCAGGATTCTGCGCCGCTATTATCCTGATCTAGGGGTACCCTCCCTCACACAGACCATTGCTATTCAGCATCAGGACGGGTCTCGGATTGTGATGAGTTCCCGGGCCTGAGACGGCCGTCTATTTGCTGTTCACATGGGAAGAGGAAATCCAGAGTGATATTCTATAGTCTGCTAAACGTGAAGGTTTTGCCAGTCTCAAATAGGATGGCAGAATGGCTCCACAGGGAGCTGACGGAGAAGCGCGAAGACAGGGGACAGGCGAAATGTCAGCTCCGAGATGAGCTGTTTGGCTCGTTTTGCACCGATGGCGAGCCGGCCCAAGTGCGTACCTTTAACCCGAATGGAGTTGATGCTCAAAAGATCGAGGCAGTCCTGAGAGAGGTTTCTGACCGAGAGAATCCGAGGATATTGGCTTGCATAGCGGTAGGCACACACTCGCCCAGGACGATCAACTCCCGTCATTTGGGTCCATGTCTACGTGCGAATTCGAGGTAAGCCGTGCTTCAGTTGTGCCTGCATCATAACACAAGCTATGCATCATAGCAGGACTTGCTGACGAACCCATTCCTCGAAAAGGACGTCCTGGAAGTTTTCCCAGGGTCCGTGGGCACTTCCACTGCTGTCATATCTCAAGACTGATACCAAGTCAGGGCAAATCATTACGAGCTTCATTGCGTCTTCCATGCAACAGTCTACCCAACATTAAACACAACCAGACCGCAAAGCTCGAAGTAATATCATTGAGAAGCGCCGAGGGTATCTTGCGTACAACATGCTATGCTTCAAATCCAACTCGCTCTCCACCACACAATGGGGCCCTGTCCTTATGCAATTGGCCTGTTCCTCTTGTCCAAACAGTTTCAGATACCTTTGATAGAGTCCGTAATCGTACCCAAGTGATCTTCTCTCCTCGTATCGGGGACGCTTTCCCCAATCCATCGCCTACCCACCGAACATTTGCCTATTCTACCAGGGAAGACTCCGTGAGCCCAGCAATCTCCTCTGCCCTGCGCTCCGTCTTCAGAACAACTGCATGCCTCTTCGCATGGACCTTGACATCTTCCGGGTGGAATGGATTGTACACCGTGTCGCACAATTTGCACTCCCTCATCCCTGCACTGCTGCCGATCGAAAGGCTCAGCGTCGTTTGGACCCCATCTTTACGCTTGGGCGGTGCCTTGCGCTTCTTGTGAGAGGTCTGCTTATCATAGCTGCCGCTATGGAGGGTAAGCCGTCGCTTCGTCTTGGGGGCTGGGGCTGGTTTATGTGGCTTCGGTGTCTCGGCCTGTGTAGCGTCCGTCTTGACGTCCTGCTTGGCCGTGGGCGATGATGAGGGAGTGACCAGCTGGATGCTCTCATCCGTACTTGTTGAGGATGAAGAGTCTCTCTTTAGTCTTGGCGTCTTGTTCACCGTGTTTTGGTCGCCCTCTTGCAAGCCGATCGCAGCGATGGACAAATCAGTGGCCGTAGATCGGTATTCTGTACTCGATACGACCTTTTCAACGGTGACATCAGTCCCAAGGCCTGAAAGACCACATGGGCCGGAGGTAGATGCCCCAGTGCTGGGTCCAGTTTCGTGCACCACGGTCTGAGTCGTGTGTTTCTCGTCGAAGTGCGTCAAGATCGTGTCCTTGGTGGACTCAAACTGGTCTTGACAGCTCGCCGAACTCGAGACGCGCTGTGCAGAATCGCGAAATTCACCAGAATTTGAGGGCACGTGTGGACTGATAGATGGTGAACCGGGGCCCGTCTCGTTTTTCGGCTGCTGCGACGCGACGCAGTCAACATCCTCTACTCTGCACGGGCAAGCTGTGATGCAATCGTGCTCGCTGATAGGAAGGCACGATATCAGTTCCGTTGATCTTCTGGGTGCCATGGTCCGCGTGCCATTGGGCTCTGGAGAAAGAGGTGCGAAAGATTTGGTCGCGGGTCGCGGCTGTGGTGATTCCGCCAGGCGACGCCTCTTCGCCGGCCGCACAGAGGACGAAGGGTGAGTTTGAGAGGATGATGTTGAGTTGGGCTGGTCGGAGGAAATCTTAGTCGACCTGGCCCGAGAGCTCTCGGATGCAGTTCTCGTGATTTGGACAAGGCGACTCCATGCGGACGAGGGTGTTGTTGTCGTTGAGGCAGAGGATGGGGACGCGTTGGCCATGACCGGTGACCGCCGAGTCCGGGGTATTTGATGGTAACCGTAGAATTGCGAATTGAGAACGTGCCTGTCTAGGATCGTGTTACAAAGTTAGGAGGCGACCTTCTGTTGCAGAGGCGACCTTTTGTTGCAGAGGCTCACCGACGTGGCGGCAAATAACCGGCCGGAGGAAAAGTCGGGGTTCGGGACGCGTCTGCAGCGCTCAGGAGACGCGTCGCACTTTAGCGTGTTGACGCGTGAATAGGAGCGCAGGCAGCGGATGATGTAATCCCTGTCAACACCACATTATGCGTCTACCCTTCTTAAAGTGGGACATGAGGGGCATCATGCCGACTTTCGAGAGGCACGGAAATGTGTGCCATAAATTTTATCTTCGGATAAGGTACCACAGGAGCACTTCAGCGGAAGACCAGGAGCCAACATGACTGAAGGCCCGACAGCTTCAGACCGGTGCTACCCGTGCTGTTCTACACGCATCTTGGGAAGACCTCCTTGGCGCTGGCTGCACTATGTATCAGAAGTGCAAAAGTGGAAACGTTGGCGACGAGGGGCCAAATGTGTTCGCTTGCCGGCTCTCCATGATAATAGCCTGCCATTTGACAGACGCAGGAGCTGTCAAGAACAGTTGGAAAAGCTGATCACCGCAAGGAACAGCCGATGCAAGATTACTCTCGCCACTGAGATAGGAACCATTGTAATATTGGGTTCTTGTGCATCTCCAAGTGGCCTCAAGTACCCTCCTTTCGGACCTTCCTCTGCCTTGCTCCTGATATACCTGGGTTCTTCTTCTCTGACGGTACTTCTTTAGTCTCTGCGTCTTTGCTTACCACCCAAGTGTCCACGATCTCCTTGACCTCCTTGATCTTGGCATCCTTCTTCCTCGCTTGCCCTATATGCCACACATATCCTGAGTATACAGCGACTTCTGCAATCGCTACAATCAGAGTTCCTCCCAGGGTCAAAAACAACCGCGCTGGTGTGCTCCACCACCTGGCCACAATCCACAAAGTCGCAGCGCACCCGAATATGGTTACGAGGAAGTTTATCACCAGCATGACCTGCCTGTGCACATCGTTCATTGTCACGTCATCGTCGCCTAGGTCTGCCTTGCCTGCAGGACGGTTGATTTCGGCGAACTGCTGGGACAAGTTGGGTGGCGCATCGAGGGAGGAGGGCTGTGAGACCATTCGTTGGTATTTTCGCTCTTCTTCCTCGCGGCGAAGGCGGGCCATCAAGGCTTTGTATTCGTTCGACTGGAAGAAAAGAAGATGTCAGCACGAGCATCGATCAAGGCAGGGGTAAAGACAAGAGCTGGAAGGGTAAAACAAGAACGGTCGTACCGGCTCGGGTTTTGCAGGAGCTGGTGGAACATAGACTCTCGCACCCCAGAGGAGGTTCTCCAAAGTATAGCTGCGTGCATCGTAGTCCTTCAACAACCTCCACAGCTGGATGATTTGGCCATGCGAGATTGGCTTGCCGATTGCCGGGCTCTGAAGTGATGGATCGGCTTCAGGAGCGGCCTGCGACTGTGGCTGGATTTCTGCCTCGATGTCCTTCAACTTGCTGATGGCCCCTACAATGAAGGGCGTCATCGTCAAGAGAACCATTTTGATGCTGTGGTTGAGAAGTTGGACATGACCTGAGATGAAAAGCTGCTGGTTCTCTCGTTGCTCGGAGCTGGAATTGTGTCCAGCCAGAGGCAACCCCAAGCTCAAGCTGCAATCCGCAGCGGCCTGGTTCGTGCTGCATGCAACCTTGCAAGGGTTGGCCGGCTAGATCCGAGGACCCATGTCGATAAGCGCATTGACTTTTTCCGAGGTTGCTTGTTGCTGGGGCTGGACTTGGAGAAGCTCGATAGACGATCCTGGGTCGGGAAAAAAAGATCGAAGAATCATCAGATCTCGAGTGACGACACCCACAGAGCTCCAACAACCCCACCAGCGAACACGGGACGACCTTACTACTGCTTTAACAGCGTACTTCACACGATCGCGATCCCATCGAGTACACAATAAAAACCAATTGGTCCGTCACAGAGGAGATAGTGACTGGAAATGTCGCTCCAGCTCCGGCCGGGAGCTCCGGTCTTACGCGCCTCCAGGAGGACGACAACTGCATTATCTCAACACGTACGATGTGCGCAAAGCATACGGAAAGACACATTAGACGTGAGGATAAGATGGCAGCAAAGAGCTCTCTATCACTCCACGGACCCGAGGTCGTCGGCCTTTGGCGCAGCCGTTGCCGTGGCCAAGAACGCCGTTAGCAATGCGATATCACGAGGGAAGCCCAACGACGTCAGCATCGACCCTCTGAGGATTGTGGCCAAGGAGATGAAGTTCTTGACTGGCAATATCCGAAATCTTTTGGGATCAGGGCACCCATCCCTCGACAGAGTCGCAAAATATTACACCCAAGCCGAAGGCAAACACATGCGCCCCTTGATCGTGCTACTGATGTCGCGAGCTACATACCTCTGTCCCAAGGACCCTATACCGCCACCGAACCAACAGAATGCCTCACCAATACAGTCAATACCTATCGACACCTCTATATCCCCTCTGTCAATCCTCCGCGACGTGAACCCATCCACCAGAACACCAACAACCGCAGAGACCGACGCCACATCCGAGACAGACATCCTCCCTTCCCAGCGGCGACTCGCAGAGATCACTGAGCTCATCCACACTGCTTCTCTCCTACACGACGACGTCATCGATCACTCAGTCTCCCGCCGCGGCTCTCCCAGCGCAAACCTCGAATTCGGCAACAAAATGGCCGTCCTAGCCGGCGACTTTCTTTTGGGGCGCGCCTCTGTCGCCCTTGCGCGCCTCCGAAACGCCGAAGTCGTCGAGCTGCTGGCTACGGTCATCGCGAACCTTGTGGAAGGCGAGTTCATGCAGCTCAAGAACACAGCACAGGACGAGGCGCGGCCGCAGTGGAGCGAGGACACCCTGGGCTACTACCTCAACAAGACATATCTCAAGACGGCTTCGCTGATCAGCAAAAGTTGTCGCGCGTCAGCCCTGCTAGGCGGAGCGAGCGCTGAGACTGTGGAGGCGGCGTATGCCTATGGTAAGAACCTGGGGCTGGCGTTCCAGCTGGTCGACGACATGCTGGACTACACACTGTCTGCCGCGGACCTCGGCAAGCCGGCTGGGGCGGATCTCGAGCTGGGTCTTGCGACTGCGCCTTTGCTTTTTGCATGGAAGACGAGACCAGAGCTAGGGGAGCTGGTAGGGAGGAAGTTTGCCGGGGAGGGTGATGTTTTGAGGGTGAGTAAATAAACACTGTCGAGCTGGTACACAGGAGACAATTCGTATACACACAGTTTTACTGACAATTGCACAAAGGCACGACAACTCGTCCTTGAAACAAACGGCATCGAACAGACACGAGCATTAGCGGAGGACTATGCCGAGAAGGCCATCCAGAGCATCAGCGATTTCCCCGAAAGCGAAGCCAAGGATGGATTGGTCGAGATGGCTGTGAAGACGATCAAGAGGCGGAAGTAGACGAAAGAGGAGGAAGAATACCAAATGAAAACTGCTGACGGGCACGTCAAAAATAGAAAAGTCAAAGACGGGGCTTTGGCCCCCAGTGTACAAGGTCACTGCTGTATCCATACGGTACCTTATAGACTCCTCTCCCATACAGGCTGTGCGGACTGTCGAATTGGCGAATGCGGGATCAGCATGGAGGCGCATATCCCACATGGGTAGACGGCGAGGCGCCAAGAGGAAGTGTATCACCACGCATTTATATCAGGAGCTTGTGGGCATTCAGGGCATACATAGACTTGCACTTTTCTGCTCAACAATGACCAGCTTAAATATTCACTTCGGAAGGATTGGTCCGTTTTCTTTTGGATATGAAATTTGCACCACGAGTAGGAATGATCCGCACTTCTCGGGCACAGTATGCTGGACGTGCCACCAGTTCCGGAAGACAGCGGCTCCGTTGTGGGCTATTGCCGGGCCTTCAACATGAGGCAATGATGTTTTGATGTTATTGATGCAATAGTCTGAACTCACATTTTCTCAATCAATTCTATGGCTTCCACGAAACAAGCGGTGCTTTATCTTACCAAACTTCTCAGAAGCACTGTTCTCAATGAGGTTTTGGTCTCCAGACACCTTTCAAAGTATGGACAGCAGTCACCTAAGGCAAGTTAGAACGGAATGTCGGGACCGATAGGGAGCAAACATTGATGTGGCCCTTATAGATTATGCAACAGAAAGGATGGGCACGTTATTAACACAATCAAGGAAAATTTGTCAAGTCTGTCATCTCCTCCTGGACTCCTGAATATTCATGCTACCTAACCCTGCTATGTGATATCCCTCCTTGAATGACCTCTTCACGTATGTCCTGAACGGCGCCCTGTTTCCCTTGATATCTGCCCTTACTTCAAGGGACGATAGACTGACTAATGCCTTGTTTCCTCCACAACCACCGCCACCTTTCGAGGCTCGCGTCGACTACGCTCGGCATTTCCCTATCTGCGAAAAATGTTCTGGAAAAAGAAGTTGGGAGTGACAGACTGTGTCGCGGCGGACGAGTTGGATGAGGGATGGGCACTGTCCAAAGCCAAGGGCGCAGATCCGGCAAAATTGTTGTTCGATGGATGTTGACGCTGCTGCTGCTCTTGCTGAACACGTGTAAACTGATCCTGGTATTGATGCTTGGAACTCTCCAAGTAGATGGAGCTCAGAGTACATTTTGGATTGCCGCATGAGAACCCCACGAGCTCAACTTGGCACAAAACCCGTTCCATTACTCTGATGCTGGCTTGGTCGCACCTCCGCTGATATGCATTACAATAAGTGAAGTCGTCTGGTTTCGCCTGCGTCCCGCAGTGGTTGCAGTTAGGCTTGGTCTGGATACACATTTTGGCGGTACTGGGAATTTTCTTGCTGTGCGTGCAGGTGATGTTGTTGATGTGTGGTGTTTGTTTTGGTTGATCGATTCGTTGGTAGAGAACAGTTTCATGTATAGACAGCTAGGATGGGAACACACGGTATAATTATATCCGAGTGAAGCATCAATATATGCCTTTGAGATGTTCGTATGGCCCCTGGTTTCATGGCCATGTCCTTTTCCGCCGTTCTAGAATCTTGGTTCTTCCTTTCTTTCTTTTGACTTCTTGAAACTGTTTCATCGTAGATGGCTATCGGACGTAATAAAGGATGAGACAGCGCTCGACGGTGACAGGCTTGTAAGACTAGACTGAATGCCCGACTCAGTACCGAATGAAAAGAAGCCTGAGTCCGTTGAATTAGTGCTGATCCCGCAATCAAGGCAATCTTGTTTGTCGACCCTCCTTAGACAGGCTCGCTTGTTGAGTTTGTTGTAGGCGTCAGATGCTAGACAGGAAGGGACAGGTCGGCGCTCGGTCATCTTTTTTCTCGTCGAACTGCGCCTCACATTGGCGCATATCGGCGAGGATGGATTGTGTTGTAGCTGGGCTTCAAGACAATGAGAAATCTCCGGAGCAGTCACATTTCGTGGCGCTTGCAAGTGACTGTAGGTTTACCGTCTCGAAAAGGTATAGCAGGCCCCCTTGCCGTGGCATCAACATGGACCAAAAGGAACCAACACGGACCGACATGGACAAAGAGCCCAAGATGAACTAAATCTGGGATCTCATGCTTCTCTTGATCCATATTTGTCGGGGGTCATCATCTCGTTGCCGTAACTGCTTCCTCATTTGGCTGTTTATATCGCCATGGGTCCAACAATGGGTGTCCGTATCCATTTGTGTGATAGGGGCACTTATGTGTCGCGGATATACAATCTCATAGAAACCCAGGATTAACGACGATCATCACAGCCAAGACTTTAGCACTTGTTAAATTTTGACATGGCCAATTCCATTTTCATCTCCGACATACGCTTTTACTACACTTAGACGTCTGTCCTGACTCCATCCGTTTTATCATCTGTCGGCATCTCTTCACAACACTGTGCTTTGTGCTTTCCTTTCAGAAATGACCTTCAAAAATCGTCATAAACAGCAGGCTTACGTTGACCTAAGCCAGAGGAGTCATCCAGCCTGTGAGTTCTTTTTCTTTTCTAGACCGCCTGCGACCTTGCCGTTCTGCTTCCATCCAGAGATTTGATCCTGCTGCACTTCCCAAGAATGGTCACCACTTGAGCACCGATTCCGCCGCCTTTTCCGACATCTTTCCAGGCACTAAAATCACCGTGGAGTATTTCTCTAGGAGGAGCTCAAATATGAGACCAACATCTGCGCAGGCAGTGGGGTGTTGTCGTAGACTTTGGCCAGCATGTCCGAGTAGAAGTCTAAGAGTTCCATGTCAGCTTCAGGGATATTAGCAATGTGCAACCGTGGCAATTTGCATATATGGATAAATATATCCCGACTATGGCATCCAGTATGGTCCACCAAGTGAGGGAGACCGGATAGACGCTCCACCCCTTCAATTTCCCTCGACCTTTAGTGCTAGAGAACCTCTGCCACGTGCGCTAGAAGAAGTTTTGTGCCTTGGCCACCTATATCCTGTACTGGAGTGTGAAAGTCGTAGGACGATGAACCCATAACGCAAGCTTGCGCGGTTCGGGCCTCTTCAAGAAGTAAGTAGCGACATTGCACGGCTAACTACGTATGTTTCGTTTATTTTGTATAACAGCAAGACCAAATACTTAACCCTAAACAATCCAAGCACAACATATACCCTAGAAATATTCTAAATCCCAAGCTTAGTCTATATCCCTAACTGAATATCTATCCCAAGACCATTCTATACAAGAGTTAACTTGATAAAAAGAAGCAGACAGCGAAACCTTCAGTGCTCTAAGAGCACATATCAAAGTTTATAATAAGAATTCCTTTATAGGCTATCTCGTTTCATCCAACAACGAATGATTTATATCTCTCCAGATGCTTACCGACTTCTCCTGTGACTGAACACGGACGGTCTCCAAACTCGGCCGCTTGATGCCGATCCGGAACCGAGATATGCGGGATGCCTTCTCCAGCGACACGGTCGGCACCCGCAGTACAGTCTCGCGGTAGAAAGTTTGGGTTGTCCAGTCGTAGGAGCAGCCCACCGCTCGCTGCTTACCACCCTCGCTGCCGCAGAAGAGAAGGACGTTCGGTGGGCGAGCGGCCTCAAAGATGGTCACCTCCAGGTTGTAGGTATCGACGAGGGTGAAGATCTGTAGGGCTTGGTCAGCACTGGGGCTTATCTACAGCAAAAGACTAAGTCGTTACTCACCCTCATCTCCCCCGGTCTGGCCACCTTCGCGGTGTCGACGATTTTTCTGGTGTCTACATCCACACATGGGTCGATGCCAACCCTTTCCTTGTGCTCGTTGATTCGCGATCGGCTGAGTAGGCTGCCATTGGTAGACCACTTGAAACGGCCAAAGCTGCCCCCGAAGATGAGACGTTCGACCGTCGTTGTATTGAGGTATCCCTCCACGCCAAAAAAGGCCCCCTGAACGTCCTCGATCTTTCCGGCCAGTGCGGTGCGCACCAGTAATGGGGTAAACAGGACAGTGGCGAACCAGATACCTAAGAACAACGCACTGATTCCGAGTAAATAATAGAAACTAACCTTGAAGCTGTTTCCGATCGAATTATTCCCAACTTGACCGATTATTAATGCGATAATGCCGAGAAAGCCAAGGAAGATGCCGAAGGAGAGAAAAGCCCAGCCAAAGCGTAAAACCAATGAACAAATCAACCTCTTCCACGAGGGACCGGTAGAGTACCAAATACAATCAAGTCTGGACCATTCAATGGTTGCGCCTCGCGCACCATCAAGCACGACTGTGTCGTTGTCGCAGATGGCGGCTACTTGACATACAGGATCAATGTCCCACAGTGAAGAGCCATACGCATCTGTCATTTCGTACCATGGCTGGTTTGGCTCCTTGGGAAGGGTGCAGATGTAGCGTTCGAGAAGTTTATCGCTGTCATTTGCGAGAGATAGCCTGGGGGTACTTCTTAGGGAAATATTGTGGATACAGCTGGGTCTTCAACGCACCTGGCAAAGGCTTGGAATTGACTGTCCGTTCGGTCAATTTGAGGACGTACACGCAGGAGACCCATGAGTGCATAAGCGTGGTCACCTGCTAAAAACGGGGTTGTCTGCCGGGCGTACAGACATCTCAGGGCCAGAACAGCGAGCTCTAGCCTACTCAGAGTGATAGTGCCCAGGTAATGATCGAGGAGTTGCCTTGAGAATTCACCATCTTGTGGCCACAGAATCGACGCAACCTGGTTCTTTGGGATGACGTATGGCTTGCTTGGATCGTCATTGCGACAGTACACCGAGGTTGGCTTGTCTGAGCTGAGGAGGGCTTCAGGAAATGTCCACATGCGGGAGCCCCATGTTCGGAGTGCATCAAAGGGCAATGTTTTTGAGAAGTCAGTACCGATATCTTTCATCGACGGACTCACGGCAATGATCATGCGCTCAGCACCGCGTACAACGTCCGAGATTCGGTAGACCTTAGGCAGAGTCAGCCACCAAATCTGTCCACGAAGGAAAGGGCTGAATGAATAGTGCTCACGTCGTTCTCAAGTTCGGCCTCATTTCGCATGCAACTGCCGGACACCCAGAAAGCGTCAACGCCGACGCTGCGGGCCGCAACCATCCCAATATTGTGCAAATCCACCATGTCCTGATAGACTCTGTGATCAAAATGCTCGCTAGAGTAAGCGACGAATACGTATGACAATGTCTCTCCCGTCTCGCTCTCCCACTGGGCCACTTCGATGTGTTTAAAGCTATTCTCCGTCAATAGACAGAGGCTGCGAGGCTTTAGCCATCTGTATACGGTCGTATTGCGAGCGAGTTGAGAAAGCTCCCGCGAGTTCTCTAGGAGATTGCTCCAAACCTTGGCGTCTCCCCAGTATATATGGAGAACAGGCGGGTATTTGCCGTCGTACAGCCTACCCGGAGCAAGCCCCCCCAAGCACTGCATGCCAGTCAGCCCGATGACACCGGTCAACCAGAAATGTGGACTGACTTACCAGAATCATTGTGACTAGAGAAACAGGGATTGTACGCAAGACTTGGACGCACCAACCTATCCAGCTCTGTGAGTCATGGGTATAATCAATTGTCCAAATAGCCAAGCGGATGTAGTATGGCGAAGGTTTTCGCACGTAGGTACGACACCACGTGGTCATCCCCTGAGCCTCGTAAACATCATCGGTGCACTGGACGATGAGTCGGCTTAGCTTGCCACTCCCGAGTTTGAGCTGGGCATCATGAAGTGGCAGCATCTCGACTCGGCTGGCGAAGTCTCGATGACGGTAAATACTGGTGTCTCTGTACCTGCAACTATTGGTGCGATAGGCGAAAGTGAAAGCTGCCCAAGCCCCATGATGTCTCCAGGTTCTTAAGGGTATAAGATCGTCTTGGTCGTACTCCTGTGATAAAAGAGTAAGTCCGGGGTCTGGCTCACTAGGGTAGACTGAAGGGAGACTTTTACATACCAATGAAACGTCCGACTCCTCGGATTTTGCACCCAAGATAAGTCCTTTTGTCATGTTATTGGTTTGTCCTCTGTAGGACTCATTTGATTGTTCGGGTTGATGGCGGGATTCGTGCTCCTGTTGCGACGCAAGAGTCCCCTGTTCACACTGGGGAAACTCGTATCGCTGCATCGTGATGAACGATCACGGGTACGTCAGTAAGTTTAAGAGTACTTGTGATTATTCAAAGCTTTAGGACTATGTTGTTCGATAAGCTCAAATGTTAGTTTACCGATCCTGTCAAAGTAGATTTCCACGAACTACGGTACCAAAGTAGGTCACAGGGAAACTGACAGGCGTTGGCGTCCAGTCACCACCATGCCTTGGCGGAGAAGCAACCTGCTCCGGCTGTGGATGCGACTGCTGATTGCGCGGTGAGAGACTACACCGTTGGGCGTGGGCGTTTTGCTGCGTCGTGAAGGCGGAGAAGGATGACTGCAGCAATGGAGCTGTGCCTGTTGGACTCGCTCTGACCTGGTATGGACTCAGTCCGCATCCCGAAGCTACATTAAAACGTTCCGCAGTGAGACAGAAGGCATTGAGATGACTTACAGATTCTGGTGTCCAATTGCCCCCGTGCCTTGAATGAAGCGGAGCTTGTCCGGACGACAATTGCTGGGGGTAGTTACGCTGCTGCTGAGGAACCCCTAGCTGCGTAATTGAACAGAACGCAGTTGGTGAGGGCGGTGGGGCATGCGTTACTGAGTATTCCTTGGCCTAGATCGATGTGGAATTAGATTGTTGAAACTAGGTATTCATGGGCTGTCTTCTCGATGCACAGGACTTACCGCTGCAGGCGTCCACGAACCGCCGTGTTTTGGTGCTGCTCCGCTCGCCTGCAAATATGAAATGTATCAGCTTTGTACGGTGGTAATTGAACGGTCAAGAAATAATGTAGGATAAGTATTTGAGGCGGATTCTTAATACCATGTATATCAGAGCCGAACTTGCAGGACTTGATCTGTGGCTCGACGGGCGCTTGACTTGTCTTCTCACAGACTTTCTTGGGTGGGCCATGTAGGACAATATATAAGAAAACACTTGTGACCAGAGACCGCTTTTAGGAGCAGAGCCTTGTAAGCTACATATCCTGACTAGCTCCACCTCTTCGATATTATCAATTCCTCTCCTCTCCGGGTGTCTTAGGCAAACTGTTTCGGGCACCTGGTCCGCATTTGCGTATACTGCATACTTGCGTCGTCAAACTATGTCACTTATTATTAGAGTATTTTGAAACGATCATGAACGAGGCTGCTTGATTCCAGGCTGGGGAAGGAGTGTTACACAACGCAGAGTGATACAACTACTCGTGGGGGCCTCAGAACAGCTGGCCGGACCCTGGCCAGTATATGTTGTCCCATTCACTGATCACATCCGCTGGTCAATTTAAGGGTCACACATAACGGACCCCATAATATTTATAGTTCGCGTTGTTACAGACCTTTGGCTTCCTTCTGCAGCCGAATGATGCACAATACAAGCGTACTAGTCTGGGACGAGGACATGTGCTGCAGCTTTCATTGGTTCTTGGTCATGCATATAGGCACATATGGTCAGACATATTCTGGGACGCGAGATGCTCAGCCGTCCTCATAACGCTGCTGGAAGGCCCTGTTCTGTAGATGACTGTCATAACAAGCCACCATCTTCACATATAGTATCTACCATCGAACGCTTCCCCCCGGCTCCTCTAGTCTTTCTCTAAAGTACAGAAGTTGAACATTATCTAAACTCATTTCATGATGTCGCAGCTGCTTGCCGGTACGACCTCGACATCAATACCTTCACGGCCCATTCGACAGGCTCTCCTTCAACCCTGGCACACAGTGGATTTGTTGGAACGGGGCCCGTACCCAGACCTCAAACGCAAGCTCAACGTCGAGACTGGCAACTTGGCTCAAGCCATCGATTCTGCTGCAAGCCTGCGCATCGTGTAAGCGATTGTCCCGGATCTCGACAACTTGCGTCGGATGTATCATTCTGACCGACGAGCAGAATTGGCCTCTCTGATGTCGAAGATGAGTGGTGCTCCCGCTCGCTGGGACGTCTCTACGAGTTTTTCAAAATTCCTGATGAGTTTACTTCAGAGAGGGTGCAGTCAGTCAGCCATAGCTTTGGGTCAAGCTCCGTCAACAATGAATTCTGCTCTTGGTTTCACTTTTTATGCAGATATATCCCAACTCAAGGCGCGGGACTAGTCGGGGCGGTGCGGTACTGGAAGGCCGGCTTCTTCATACGGAGATCAGCTTCCTTGGGAACGACTCTTGTGTGCTTTGCACCCCTACCTGAAGTTCTGGAAAGGCTGGAGCTGTTCATAGACAGCCCCTCGTGGTCCACAGCCTGCAAAACGCCCTACATCTTATTCAACGTGATCCTGGGTGCTCTATTTCTGGAAGTTGACGAGATGGTCTGGACGATGGGTACCATTTTCAATGGGCTCGAAAGGGTGAGATAACATTCAATGTCCTCTGATCTAGATTTCGAAACCTGCTTCGTGGCATGATACCAACTATGAAATCGCAGGAAATAACCGATCATGTCGATGGAGCATCCAATTTCCGGAAACAACAGTACTACAAGCCACCGTTTGGCACACTTCATCGTTATGCTAACGATCTTGCCTACCTCAAGGAGACGATAGAATCCAACCTGCTCGTCGCCGAAGCCATGCTAGATCGCACGAGGAAAAGGAAACTTGATAATCCGGCACAGGACAAGCTGCCACCAACGGAGGAGGATCTTCTCGAAGAAGGCTTGCTATATCACCGATCGCTATTTCGCTCAACGCAGCTGCGCCTCTGCAGCCTGGACAAGCGCATCCAGAACGCCAACAACCTCGCCTTTAACATGGTGACACAACAAGACTCGCTCATCATGATGCAGGACTCGGCGTCGGTGGCCATCTTGTCTACGGTGGCAGCTGCGTTCCTGCCCATCACGTCCATCGCTACTGTAGTTGGCAGCCAGCTTTTCGACACCCGCCAGGATAACCAAGGCAATTGGACCATCGTCGCGAATCCGCTGATACGCTACCTCTATATCATTGGTATCCCACTTACACTCGTCGTCTTTATTGCCTCCTATCTCTGGTCCATTCGGCATCCTATGAGTGCCAACACTTGGATGAAATCATGTTTCAAGCTTCGACTTCGAAGTGGCGACGTCAAGCGGAGCTAGCCGGGCTATGCATGTGAGCGTGGGTGTTCCAAATGATTTATAACATTTGATTTACCTTTTATATACCATGTCTGTTGACTGAACCGGTCCCTACGTCGTCACAGCGGAAAGGCTGGATTTGGCTGTAGGAATATCTTGATTTCAATCAAGGGTTGCTCATCAAGAAAAGGAGTTGGAAGAAGAAGAAAAGAAGAAGCAGAAGCAGAAGAAGCAGAAGCAGTGGCAGCTACGCGCACGCATTTCAGACTATTTGCAGGCTGTCTGATAATGTGGAACATTTCGCCTTTATTTTCCCATCAACTAGCTAATTTGGTCCATGGGATTGCTTCATGTTTGGAAGCACCTAGTCGAATCTTTTGGCACCGTTCATTCAAAAGATGCCTCAATAGAAAGGAGGAATAATCGCTTAAAATGAATCAAAGAATCCTGTCGCGCCGAGTGCTCAGATCCGTTTGACTATCAGACCTCTCCATGCAGCTGGAATGTATATACTCAAAACGCAAACTGTGTCAACGCCCAAATAGAGGCGCCCCCCTCCTTTGTTCTTTCCACAGCCGTACCCCAAGTATGGCCAACCTCAAATTATTAGAAAATCATATTCGATGAAGTCACACTGCCAGTATAGCCCAGGAGCCTTTGACTTATCAATACAGCGTAGTCCATTGGGCACCTCACACAGCCAGTAATTCGGCTAGCCCTCGTTGTGAACAAAAGTTGAGATAAACAGCATGTGTTCAAGGGGTCTTCAGAGAAAGGTGCCAAATCTATTACCTAGGCCAAAGCTGACAATCGTCATAGTATGTGTACATGTTGAGCGTGCTTGCTCGCTTGTCGTTAAGTACCCAGCTAGTCTACGAGAAATAGAATGGACCAAGGAGCTGCACTGCTGACAATGCATTCATTTCTATGCGATGGAAGCTATTATTATCAGCCTTGCAAATGACACTATCTTCACACGCAAATTGAATAGGTATGGATTGATCTCAAGTTTAAACACGTCTGGTAATAACTCGGAGCCGAAGTCTTCCCATCTAGGGAATGCGAGACGCGAAGAAAAATTTCCTCCTGATTTACTACTGACCATGGGCCACCCTTTGTACCGACATAACAAATGACAAATACAATGAGGTGACGCTAACTATTTTTTGACACCAGAGCCTGGAAATCCGCGTTCTGTCCTTGAGAGAAGTCTTGATTCCAGTAACCGAAAAGATCGTGGACACCAAAGCTCGACGTGTTTGAGGACGGCGTCGATGGAGCGGTCGACGAGTATGCGAAGGCCAGCCTGTTGGAGCCGTTTGGGTTGAGTGTTGTCGTCGATCCCGAGGAACTTGTCCACGAGGTGCATCCACTACACTTCAGCGTGACCTCCCAGTGCGTAGAGTTGACCTTGGTACCGGTTTTCAGGACCTGAAGTGTCTCCCCGGCATATGCAGTTGGTTGAGAGCGTTGACTGTGTACCAGTCAGTAAATGGTGAACTAATCCAAAACAACCGGGTGGGTTTTGTGTACGTGGCAAGTCGACTTGATATAGTGACAGTGTTTCCGTTAGGCCAAACAACAGTCAAGGGGTTATTGAGCATTGTCCCTCCCCAAGACAACCCAAGCCATGCCACCTCTTTGAGGGCCGTCAACTGTAGGACAACATCATACGGAGCCGTCGCCGATGTAGGGACGGCGGTTCGAAAGGTTATGACGTTCGGACTCTGGTATTTGTAGTTTGCATTGTATTGAGAAAACGTAAAGCCGGTGTCGGGATCCTTATACACAATGCTGTCGGCCGCCAAACCTACGTCGGATAATGTAGTCAGATTAGAGAAGACTTTGGGGGGAATACGTAGTAGCAGCTTTCCGTACCGGTTCCCACTATTGATAGGATGTGAAGGAGAATAGATAGCCAAGGCATTATTACACGCGTACTCTCGGGTTCTCCTAGTTTTTGAATGACAGCAGAGGCCGCAGAAGTTGTAGGACACGAGAGGGGCCGCAGGCCTTTAGATGAAGAACGATTGGAATGGGGAGGCAGCGTCAGGAACCATTAAACGATAGATGGAGGCAATGCTGTATTAAATTGATTTCCAAAGATCCAATGCATGATTTGGTCGTACTGGGCTTTTCTCGTTTCGGTCGAAGAACGCTCAGGATCCGCAATCCTCACAGAATTTTGCTAATCCGGGTTCTGGTGAACCATCCGCTTTCAGATTCTCGTCCAAGACATGATAGGGAGGCTAAATGCTCATAATATCCGATTAATTACTTTTTCACGTGTGCAGGCCTCAATACCACCCAGCCATCCATCTGTTTAGCTGCAAAACGGTCACCCACATTGTACATAATATCATTGGCCAAAATGGTAGACAGCCTCAAGGTCCGAGGCCTCTTTAGTCTATGTTATATGATACTACGGCAGCACTTCGTTACTCTTCCAAGGCAAGGATCGCAAGTGCTATCAAGTTCCGATCGATTGCTTGTTGGCCTTGCAGCATATGAGCAGTTGTCGAAGAATGGCTATGTCTCTGAGATATTCAACGAAATCAAGTTAAAATGCCTGCAGCGGAGTATGCTACTCAGCAATGCTTGGAACAGATCTGCACTCTATGCATGAGCGGTTCCATCTCTTGCAAATGTCATGGTTGGATAAATATATGCTTTCAGGTTGACAATCAATCGGAGGCAATGCCGCCGCCATGACTCTGATCAAGGATTCTAGAGGTGATGTCATGTCCAAAGATAGCATTGATGCTGCTTGCATTATGACAAGCTCCAATATATCAATATCGCTACCACAGAGCTCTAGTCACCGACACTCGTGTCCGGTTAAATTGTGCTACTGCCGATGTCGTGTGATCCCTGAGAGAAAGGAGGGGAGGGGGGTAGCTGTACTGTACAACGTGGGGTTTGATGTATGCAAGAGGGAGCAAAAACTAGTTGCGGCATGTGTCAGCGAATGAGGGACTGTGTCATCAGTGAGCTAGGGTTAGAAACCAGAAGCAGAGCGGAGGCACTGCGAGGGATGAACGACTCGGATGGATTTAAAAGTCTTATTATGGACAAGTCGACATGGGAAAGCACATCTGTTGGGCAAGATGCTTTGTTGGCGCCGTTGGTCCGAGTAGTCAGGCACAGTGAAGCAAGGCATCAGATGCGGTCGTAGATTTGTGGCCGAGGCGGGAGACCTGTCCCCGATGTTCCCAGAGAAGGAATCTCTTGAAAGTACGCTCAAGACAGTACTCATGGTAATTTACATGAAAGACGGCCTTATCTCATATGCATGCAGTTGAATATCTTGATCACCACCACTCATAAAGCTGTTCGTAGGAGACCTGACTCGATCTATCTCGTGGTCCTCAGGATTGGCTACTTGTTCAAAGCACACTTTGAGTGCGTACCAATGCAGCCCGTGCATACTGCGATCATTCTGCCCATGTTTTGTATTGATTCCACATCCCAATTTCGTATCTGTGGTGACTGTATCAGTGATTGCCCTTCATCAGGCTTTGTTCTATATTAACATGCCAGATCAGCTGAGCCCGGCAGCATGCTCTTCGGTCCCACAGTGTCGGGAAGTCCAGACATCAACGGACTGGCTGCATGTGTGTGTGAATCATAGGAGCAATCTATCAGCGCTGATTTCCGTAATGAGGTGTCATTTGGTCTATTGTTGGTTCAATGTGGCGGAAGGCAAAGCTACTGTTCTGTGTGTCCCCGTCACCTGGTTCGCAGCAATGCCTTGGTATTTGATGCAAAGGTTTGAACACCGATGCTTCCCCCTTTAAAAATCTTGTTTGCTGTCATTAAAAGATGCATTATCATATTAAGGCCTACCCTTTTCTCATCCATGGAGAGGAATGCACCAGACCACTGCAACAGCAATAATTGCATTGAGTAGTCCCTGCCATCCCATCAAGCCAAACATTGTCCATTGTCACCGCCACCGTCTGTGGGAACGAGATCCGAAAAGCAAGCTCCGTACCTGGTTTGATATTAGGACGAGGTACTCTGACCGAGCAAACGTGCTTCGTTTACATACGCAATATCGATGTTTGTACCATCTCCCAGGAAGTACTGGCCCGAGAGGCCATCGCTAGCAGTATCTAGACAGCATTCGTCGATGATTCGGTTGACCCAGGCTGCGACTTCTGTGCATTTCTTGGTGATGGCGTACGAGTTGTCCTACGCACAGGAGCGGGAGGTTAGATTGTGATTCAACCAGAAGGGGCAGGCAAGAGGTTGGTGGCGCTTACATTGCAAATCTGTCCGCAAAGTACAATTTTAGTAAATGTGGCCGGTAACATTGATTTATTCAACAGTGCTGGATTGGCTTACCCAGATGTTGGTGGAGGTCTCCTCGTCACAAGCTACACCCAAGCACGACGAATTTGCTGGTGGGTCTGCGTTCTCAATGCCCTCGACGGTGAACTCTTTGCCCCATTGACCTTTATCACACGTTTCAAGTTGTTTTGAAAGTCGCATGGCAGCATCACGATGGCCAGTTGCGAAATTACCACAGAACTTCCAGGCATTGCGAGGCTGAACGGTTGTCTCTCGGCCTTGGACCAAAATGATGCCGGTGCACAACAGGTCGAAGATCAGAGAAATCATAATACCCTCCAGGAGCTCACGAAGGGCATTTAGTTTGGTCTTGTCTCAAATGAATTCGGAGGTACGGAATTTTTCTCACGAAATTTCCAAAGAGTTTGCTCAAGTGCGGGTAGTGGAAGGCGAAGAAAAAGAAAGTGTGTGACGAAGGGACCGCGCTGCGTGTCATACAGGACGACCACGAATCACAAAGTGCTTGCTGCCATGCTTTTGCAATGGCCAGTGAGTGACTGGCAATGACCGGACAATTTAGTCGAGGACTCGAAGTAAAGGTACCTCTGACTAAAAGGAGGAGGGCATCAGAGGAAGTGGACAGTCAGAAAGCTATTCGTAGTTGCGTGGACTAGCCTGTTGGCATAATGCGACTTCATGCTGAAGCGGTTACGGCCATGTCCCTTATGGCCCAGAAAGCTATGAGCGATGTCGTTCTCACTGATTGCAGTATTCCCAGAGCTAGGCCAACATCCGATCTGACCACAAACTCTTCCAAAAAAAATCTTATTATGATTTTACGAATTCTATGACAATTCTTTTTATCTGTCTACTTGTTTTGCTTAAAATTATCGTGAAGTTGCATAGGCTAGGCCGCGCCTCAAGTGCATTTACTTGGCACAGATTGGTAAGCAGGGGAGGGATGTGACTCCTGTGGGATTGGGAATATGGTCGATAGCTTCGAAGGACAAGTGTCTCGACTCCGCACACAATTAACGGCTTGATCAATTCTGACTCCCACACCCAAACAAGATGTTGACGCTACTGCATCAGGAAATTCCGAGTGACAATTCGACCCTCGAGGTTCTGGTCATCCTGTTTCCCGGCTTCAACACGCTGGACATGAATGGGCCATTCGACGTGCTCACGAAATTCGGCACCAACACTTCGTTTAATCTCCAAGTCGCTTCGGAATCAACAGACCGTTGTGGAATAACGAAGTCGACAGAAGGCGTCAAAGTCCAGGTCAGGCTTTTTGTTGCAGTCCTCTCCCAAGCAAAGTTGGACTTCTGAGACTCATAACCTTTCAGCATGACATTCGACTGGACGATGCACTGATAGCCTCTCTGGATCGCTACGACGTCCTTATTGTCCCGGGAGGGTCTCCCGAGGCTGTTTCCGAAAAAGCCAAAGAGCTCGATTCTGCCTTCATGCAACTCATCACCGCCTTCTCAAAGCTGCCGCCACGTTCTACACATCATCCTCGCGTGCTACTGTAAGTGAATTGTAATAGTTCGTGCCACGAATTCTGATGGTCTGACTGCAACCAGGTCGATTTGCACTGGTGCTCTGTTCTTGGGAACCCTCGGAATCTTCAACGGAAAGTTCTGTACCACGCACTGGTTTGCGTACGATGATCTGAAAGAGAGGGTCAAATCAGCTGCATCCGCGAGCGGTGGCCAGCCCGGAAGAGTGATCAAGGCTCGATTTGTAGACTCTGGGCTGAACGATTCGAAGGTACGTATAATCAGCAGCGGCGGTATTTCTTGCGGGATTGATGCGAGCCTGTATCTCGTCAAATTCCTGCTGGGTGAGAAAGAGGCCATATCGACGGCTGAGATCTTGGATTATGCGTACCGCAAGACGGAGGGTGTTGTCATCGACGATGAGTAGGAAGACAATGGTTACGAATAGGGTTGACGGGAGGCAAATTCGGTTCAAAATAGAACAAGGTACATACCATGACCTGCCGGGTAGTGCGTAGATGCCTTCGTGTCGCAATGTTACTCAACTTGTATTCTCTTCTAAACTTATCCTAAACTGATCATTGCTGGAACTGTTGCCCTCGTAGTCTCAGTGTACAACTTCCACATTGGTGTAAGCGCTGCAGTTGGCCTGCGCTTCCCTCATAGTCCAGAAACAAGTAAGTAGGAACATGATGTAAAATGCTTGAGCCGCAGACGAATTCAGCTTCATCTTCCTAAGCCTGATTTTCGCGACCATTACAGGTCTGACTAATTTCGGCTTCATTGTTCATGTAAAATCGAGAATATCTTCCACGAGTGATGAGCACTAATAGAAAGAGTGACGTTCGCCAGTCAGGATGCAGTGACGTTGACAAGTTCCAGTCAATGGGAACTGTACTCGGGCTGTAGCTCAGGTAAAGGCGAGCGCTTACACAGAGTTGCACAGTGTGACGTTTAGCTGGAATTGTGAACGATCCCAACCTGCAGCAATCAACTAAACTGTGCTTCTCGGAATGCTCACCTATCATTTTGAAGGTGGCAAGAATGGGGAACAGCTATGAGGGATGGGGAAGCGAATTTAAGCTACGATAAGCTGCAGCATGCCGCCAGGATGTTAGGGTTCAAGGATGGGGGCTGACAGACGGGACGAAGTGTGGCTGGCCCGTGACCGTGCAGTAGCACTCTGAGAGGCTCACTGTATCAAGTAGACTGAGACGCGAACTTCGAGGCGAAAGTGAGGGGATGAAGCTGCCTATCAAGTCTCCCTTGCATCCGGCACTGCTTGGGAGGCAAACCATCAGGGGTGGGGAAGCAATCACCATACCGTCAGTTCAACGTGACCCTCGTGATGAATTATGTTTGATTTTATCAGATATTCATGATTTGCTTCATGAATGATTTGGCATGACAGTATGGCGCTTCCTATCCTTCCCACGGCACCACCGCAGAGCTCAGCTCCGTCCGCATCAACCTTGGATCACGATGCACAGAAACTTGGGCCCCTGATCAATTCAGTGTACAAGTCGCCGGACATAACGTTTTACTTGAATGGACGGCGCACAGTTCTGACCAATCCAAACCCACAATGGACACTGCTCGACTATCTGCGGTCTCGACCGGGGCTAAAAGGCACCAAGCTGGGCTGTGGCGAGGGAGGATGTGGTGCCTGCACTGTGGTGATGCAAGTCGGCCAACAGTCTCCCAGAAGACGGATCAATCACATTTCCGTCAATGCGTGTCTTTTTCCGCTATTGGGATGCGAAGGAAAGCATATCATTACAGTCGAGGGCATTGGCTCCATCGCGAGCCCGCATCCGCTGCAAGAGAGGATGGCCAAGATGCATGGAAGCCAGTGCGGTTTCTGCACTCCAGGAATCGTCATGAGTCTGTATGCCTTGGTTAGAAATGCCTGGGATCCAGAAGAAGGTGTGTTCAGGCTGAGTGAGAGGGATGTAGAGCTGCAGGGGGCACTGGACGGAAACCTATGCCGATGCACAGGCTACAAGACAATATTGGAGGCGGCGAAAACATTTGTCACCGAAGATCTCAAAGGAAAGGTTGTCGGATCAACAGGAGAGGATCTTAAAGGCGACATTGAGGAGGATATGAGCGCACTGGCCGTCAGCCAAAGCCCTTCATCATTACCCTCCTGTGGCCGGCCAGGTGGATGCTGCAGAGACAACCAAGGGGCTTCGTGCGGCAGCAGCGCTACCAAAGACCGGTCTTCATCGTCGGAAAGCCTCGAAAAGATCAACAGCGGCTCCTCAGAGAATGGCTCAACTGATGAAAGCGCACCTTCTCTCAGCACCTCTGTTTCGAGCCAAGAAAACGTCAAACCTAACCCGGTTCTAGAGCTCGGCGGCACGGTAATCACACAGAAAGACCATTACGACTTCCAGCCATATGAGCCTGACACAGACCTCATTTTCCCACCCTCACTGTGGAAACACGAGCCAAAGCCCATCTGCTATGGGGATAGCACAATGCTTTGGTTTAGACCGACGAACCTTGCTCAACTCTTGGAAATAAAGTCGATCTACCCACCAGCAAAAGTAGTCAGCGGAGCGAGCGAAGTCGCAATCGAGCAAAGATTCAAAAGCGCCGAATTCCCAGTCATGGTGTATGTTGGGGACATAGATGAGCTCAGGAGCTCAACTCTGGTTCTTGCCGATGCGCCGGACACAAACTGGCAAAGCCTGAACGAGGTGGTGTTCCCTGCCAACGTTTCTTTGACAAATATCGAACGGCTATGCAAAGAGGCACAGGCAAAAATGGGAAAGCGAGCACAAGTGTTGGAAGCATTGCGCAAACAACTGCGGTATTTTGGGGGCAGACAAATCCGGAACGTTGCGACGCTGGCAGGGAATATCGCCACTGCCAGTCCCATCTCAGATGCACTTCCGGTTCTGATGGCTTCCGGGGCCAGTGTAACGATCGAAAGACTGGATAAGGATTCTGGAGACGTGATCGCGAAGGAGGTGCCACTATCGGAGTTTGTGAAGGGGTATCGACGGACAACCTTGACGCAGGAGATTCAGGACGGGGTCCTTACTACGGTTCGGATGCCCTTGTCGCCGACAAGCAGCAATGAGACTATAAAAGCCTACAAGCAAGCCAAGCGCAAGGAAGATGATATCGCGATCGTCACCGCATGCTTCAGGGTGCGCCTGGACAATGCCGGACTGGTGGAGGACGCAGTCTTCGCATACGGAGGAATGGCACCAACGACAAGACTGTCTCCAGAAACCCAGATTCTGCTGAAAGGACTGCCCTGGACCGACCACTCAACGCTTGAAAGAGCTATAGAGTCGCTCCAAAAAGAGCTTTGGCTACCATTCGACGTCCCCGGAGGAATGGCTCAATACCGGACAACCCTAGCCTGTTCGCTTTTCATGCGATTCTGGCACGAGTCTTTGTCAGATCTTGGCCTGTCCATGGAATCAGCGGCGGATGTCTCTGAACTCGAACATGGACTTTCTTTCGGAACCAGAGACATGCCGCACCTCCCTGCCAACACTAGCACGAAAAACGCATCAACAATGGGCAAACCCGTCCCACATCTGTCATCCCTGGCCCAAACGACGGGACAAGCCGAGTACGTCGATGATATTCCGGCTCAGTCCGAGGAGCTGTTTGTCGGGCTGGTCCTCTCAACTCGTTCCCATGCTCGCATCATTTCTGTCGACTGGTCCGCTGCATTAGAACTGCCTGGCGTGGTGGGCTATCTGGACCATAAAGCTCTCTCATCGCCGGACCTTAACTTGTGGGGCAGCTTGAAGCACGACGAGCCTTTCTTTGCCACAGAAACCGTAGACAGCCATGGTCAGGTCATCGGTGTGATTCTCGCAGAAACGCAACTGGGAGCAAGAATAGCTGCAAAGAAGGTGAAGATCGAGTACAAAGACCTGCCTGCGGTGATCACTATCGACCAGGCGATCCAGGCCGGAAGCTTCTTTACGTACGGGAAGGAATTGCGTAAGGGCGAGTCGGCCTTAAAGCAAGATCTGAGCGGGCCGTTCGAGGCGTGTGATTGTATATTTGAGGGCACGACGAGGTTAGGGGGACAGGAGCAGTTCTATCTGGAAACAAACGCTGCGCTCGCCATCCCAAAGAGCGAGGACGGACAGATGGAAGTATGGTCAAGTACCCAAAATACGTGAGTTACTGGCTCTTATGCGTTGCCTTATTCATTCTCTAACAGATAAAACAGCATGGAAACGCAAACATTTGTCTCCCAGATCCTCACCGTCCCAAACCACAAGATCAATGTGCGGGTCAAGCGCCTGGGCGGCGGCTTTGGCGGCAAAGAATCGCGCAGTGTACCTATCGCATGCTACTGCGCCCTCGGTGCAGCAAAGTACAACCGCCCGGTGCGCATCATGCTTACTCGCGAGGAAGATATGGCGACATCGGGCCAGCGTCACCCGTTCAAGGCCAAGTGGCGGGTTGGCGTTACCAACGAAGGGAAGTTGATGGTGCTTGAGGCTGACTTGTACAACAACGCCGGGTACACCGTTGACATGTCCACTGCTGTCATGGATCGAGCTCTGACACACGTTGACAACTGCTATGAGATTCCGGACGTCTGGGTGCGTGGACATGTCTGCAAGACAAACACTCACAGTAACACTGCATTCCGGGGTTTTGGTGGGCCGCAGGGTATGTACATCACCGAGAGCATAATATCTGCGGTGGCTGAAGGACTCGATATCCCTGTGGACGAGATTCGTCGCAAGAATCTCTATGTTGAAGGGCAGAGGACGCCATTCCTCCAACACATCAACGAGGACTGGCACGTGCCAACTATGCTTGAACAAGTCCGCCGCAACACGCGATTTGACGACCGGAAGAAAGCTATCGAAGCATACAATGCCGATCCCAAGAACCGTTGGAGGAAGAAGGGGATCGCAATGATTCCTACCAAATTTGGTCTCTCCTTTGCCACGGCGTTGCATTTGAATCAAGCCTCAGCATATGTGCAGATCTACACGGACGGGACTGTGCTTCTCTCTCATGGAGGAACGGAGATGGGGCAAGGACTGTACACCAAGATGTGTCAGGTCGCGGCGGCAGAGCTCGGAGTGCCGCTCAGGGACGTGTACACAAGTGACAGCTCGACATACTCTATCGCCAACGCATCACCGACAGCAGCAAGCTCTGGAAGCGACCTGAATGGCATGGCTGTTAAGGCGGCCTGTGAAAAGTTGAGGGAGAGGCTAAAGCCCTACCGCCAGGAGCTGGGAGAGCAAGCTTCCATGAAGGAGCTGGCAATGGCCGCATATCGTGACCGTGTGAGCCTGATTGCAAGCGGCTTCTGGAGTAAGCCACTTTACCCCTTCTGGAATTTGGGAGGCGGTATACTAACCAGTTGTGTAGAAATGCCCAGAATTGGATATATCTGGAACGACTTCGAGAATCTGAATCCGAAGCCCATGTACTACTACTGGACACAGGGCGTAGCAGTGACTGAAGTCGAGCTAGACGTCCTGACCGGTGACCACCATGTCTTGAGGACAGACATCATGATGGTAAGTTTGAATTACTTTGCAATATCCCATGCATCTCAGATTAACTTGAGTCAGGACGTTGGAAACTCGATCAATCCCGCCCTCGACTACGGCCAGATCGAAGGGGCATTCATTCAGGGCCAAGGCCTCTTCACGCTCGAAGAATCCCTCTGGAACTCGAAGACCGGCTGCTTGTCGACGACTGGCCCAGGGACGTACAAGATCCCGGGATTCGGTGACATCCCTCGTGAGTTCAACGTCAGCATGCTAAAGCAGGACACCGAAGGCAACCCAATCAGCTGGAAGCACCTGCGTTCGATCGCAAGCAGCAAGGGAGTCGGCGAGCCACCTTTGTTCCTGGGCTCGACGGTGTTCTTCGCACTGAGAGAGGCTGTCAGGGCCGCAAGGAAGCAGAATGGACTTGGCGACAGTGGTTTAGTGCTGGACAGCCCGGCGACTGCAGAGGCACTGAGATGTGCCGTAGGGGACCAGCTGAGTAGAAAATGCGTTGTTGAGCAGGTGGAGGAACAAAGGTCATTCTTTATAAGAGCATCTTGAGGTTGAGTAACACGTATCCACCTCCGCCCTGTTTCGGACGTGAGCGTGCCATAGATGTTCTGTGTCGATGCCAAGCAGTACAGTAAATTTATTGTGTTGGTTCTTGGCAGTCTATTGTTGTGGCATGGGAAATCAGACAACGTCTTTTTTGGCCCACATGCCTATGCGAGTCCAAGACTTGCGCGTCTGCGAAACCGCAATCCTGTTCCCATCATCGACTATCATCCGTCTCCACCCCCACAAGTGATTACGCGGGGAATATTTGGGGTCTCCACGGCTGCAATGAACCTTTACCTAAGGCAGTAATCCGAGCTCACCGTCGGCATATCGACGTGTGGTACTTTGTGGAGAATATGGGCAGACGTTTGTGCGGGGGACAGTGTCTTCCCCATACCCCCAAGCAGTGGTAGTGGGTTGGTGGCCGGCGGCGACTGCGAACTTCGGGCAGATTTCGTCCGACGTCAAGTGATGTGTGCAAAGGTTTTTGGTTCGATGAACTGTGCTTGATGGTTATAAGCTTCGTCTTGCCGCTTTGGTGTCACATCGGTAATCAAGATTAGTGCCGCCATCATCACCGCAGCGCTCAACGCGAACGACCCGCCAAGATGGACCACAAAGCTGCTTCGCCGGAGGAACCACTGCCAGAAAAGGTCGAGCTGGAGACGGGGAAGCTGGGCAAGGCCTCCCAAGATACTACACGTATTGCACATCTTGAGCATTTTGAAAATGAAGATGCATCGCAGCACAAAGCCCGGACGACGAAGCTCCTGCGAAAGATCGACCTGCATCTCCTCCCATTCCTCATCGTGATGTACCTTCTCAATTTTCTGGACCGATCGAATCTTGCGCAGGCCCGGCAGGGCTCGCTAGAGAAGGATCTGGGCATGAAAGGGACGGATTTCAATCTCGCGACGTCGATCTTCTTTGTTGGATACTTGTTGATGCAGCTGCCGTCGAACATGCTGATCACGCGAGTACAGCCGAGGGTGTACTTGAGCACTGCAATGGTGCTGTGGGGTGTAGTCAGCACCTGCAATGCTGCAACGCACTCGTTCGGGGCGCTGGTCGCGGTCAGGTTCTTCCTAGGGTTCGTCGAGGCACCATTCTTCCCCGGTGCCATCTTTCTGATGAGCTCTTGGTACACCCGAGCTGAGCTGGTCAAGCGGATCGCATGGTTCTATTCTGGCAACGCTCTGGCTAACATGTTTGGTGGCCTGTTGGGGGCTGCTATCCTGGGCAATCTGGACGGGGACTTGGGACTCTCCAGCTGGAGATGGCTGTTCATAATTGTGAGGTTCTTCTTCCGTCTGCCAAGTTGTGATAGAAAACTGATTGCAATCTTTGTTTGCAGGAAGGGACAATCACGATCGGCATCGCCATCATCTCCGGCTTCTTTCTGCCCAACTACCCAGCCACAACACCCTGGCTGAACGATGAGGAGAAACACTTCGCAGCATGGCGCCTCCTTGCCGATATTAACGAAGAAGATGAGCGGCATGCCACATCCACGACGGCTGGGCTCAAGCTGGCCCTCGCAGACTACAGGCTGTATCTCTTTGTGCTTCTGCAGCACGTCAGCCTGCTCAGCCAGACATTCCAATACTTCTTCCCTTCCATCGTCGGAACGTTGGGGTATGGAAGCATTGACACAATTTGGCTGACGGCTCCCGTCTGGGTAAGGGCTACTTGCCTTGCAGAGTGATGATATACTTCTTGCTGACCAAGCCTATCAGTTCGCGACGTTTCTCGTTTCCATCTTCGTGACCTGGACATCATCCAGAACCAAAGACCGATCGATCCACATTGTCTGCCTTATGCTGGTCGCAGCAGTCGGGAACGCCATCGCGACAGGCACAACAAACATCGGTGCTCGCTTCTTCGCCATGTTCCTTATGCCGATGGGTGCAGTCTCCGCTTGTAAGTCCCTTGCTCCCTTCCCCGAGCCGGAACGCTTTGCAACTTTCCGGGCCAAGAGTTTCATGGCATCTGACAGGTTATCATGACAAACAGATCAGATTATAGTGTCCTGGGTAGCCAACTCATTCCCGCGGCCCCTGGTCAAACGCTCCATCTCGATCGCGATCGCAAATATGATCGGCAACACGGCGAGCATATACGGCTCGTATATGTACCCGGCCACAGCGGCGCCGCGATATATACCCGGAGGAACAGCGAATACTGTCATATGTCTCATGGTCGCGCTTCTGGCGTTGCTCCTGCGTTTTGTGCATCTGAGGGAGAACAGGGAGCTGGAGAAATTGGAAGAGCGGGAGCTTGCAGATGGTGACCAGGGTGGAAACGGGGGCGGTGGGGGCAGGAGGGCGGTTGGCTTCAGATATGTTTATTGAACAGCGGAAAAGGAACCGCCCTGCACCAAATATGCTAGCCCAACAATATATTTTGAGAACGTCTCATTGAGGTTTCGGTCTGTGCCAGTGTTGGTGAAAGTCCATGCGCGGGTTGCGTGCATTGCGGATGCGCCTCCGCGGAATCAGATCTCCTGCGCCCTTACGGCTGCATCGAGGCATCGTTCAGCCAAGATGATCATGGTTTCTTTTTGCGATCCTACTTCGGGGAAATCAAGGCCATTGCACGGCTTGTCGGCTCAGTCCCGATGCTTCCGCGCGAGAGCGTTTGCAGATAACCCATGTGTGCCTGCTGCAGCTTCCGATGCGCCTGCAGGGCCGCAGCAGGGGTTTACAGCCAGCGGCGGAACACGCCCTCTCCGCCAGCTCGCCAGCAGTGTAACCTGCAGCCGTCTGCGGTCCCCTTTCGAGTCTCTTGCAACAAAGCATGTGATACGTCTGATATGGCGGCTTCGGTAAGATTCAACCTCTCGCGAATCTTAGCACTGCTCCCAGCCAGCCCATCATCACCCGCAAGGTTGCAGGCAGGAGCTTACCGGTGAAGACGTGCATGCAAAAGCAATGTGCACCGGCTGATGACGATGCCCCTCTAACAATCAGATCGCTAAAACTTTCACTTCGAAAACACTGGGCGAGGTCTAGGCGAGAAAAAAAAAATAAGAAACGGGTGAGACCCATTGGAGACGATGATTCTGGAGGATGCCCTCATCGTCTCATCACCCCTGTGGCCGTTAGCTTGATATTGCTTTTGTTCACATATGTTGTCCGTCTCGTTCTCAAGTCTCCAGCTCTCCTTGAAAAGGAAAATGTTCCGAGCTGTTCTCTCCTGGACCGTTCGTCTCGTCTCTCGTCTCCAACTTATAGCCCGTCTCCGAGCCAGGCTGAGAATAAGCCCGTCTTCGAAATGCGACCAGGAGCGCGCATTGCTCTTCCCGAACGAAGTTATTCTTTACCGCCGCTGTACCTTCACTCTCCTGAGCCTCTTCACGCTGTATCTACTTCAAGTAGTCTTCCATCTGTGGTGATGGGACCAAGCACGCCCAAACTTTTCCCTTGGATACATCTCCCACACCAAATTCGACAACGGATCCTGTCGTATGCCGTCCTCCCAGATGGCCCTGGCACACCCCTTATCATTGGGAAATTAGATCACGGCACCCATCTTAGACATGTTGCAGTACCCATCTTCCTCGCCCTCGGCTCTTGGCTAGCATACGTTGATGCCGTGCCTATCTTGTACCACGAGGTTCACGTGAACCTCTCGATCCATCGGCGCAGCTCAATGGTCTTCCTCACCTCACCCGTCTCTCCCCGTCCTAGGGGCATGGTTGTCAAATTGCGAATGTACATTGACATCAAGAAGAGTCTGCATCTTTTCGACTCGGGCTTTACAATTGCTCAATCAAAAGGAAAGTTGATCAAGATGAATGTCCCAACCGCGTTGCGTTGCATGAAAGTGCACGGACAGCTATCCAAGGTCGAGTTCCTCATCGATAGCCTCGCAGCCACGGCTGAGATGGAGCAGTGTATTCCAGAGAATTACCTCCCGATGGCAGAGATCCAGCTTGGCAGCCGGGGATCTATACCGATTTCAGACGATTGCATGGTATCCTCGAGTGCAGGTGTACGATCCGATGTCAAACAGGCGGAGACTGTTATAGCGCCTGCCTTCCTTGCCTGTCGGGCATGGCAATCTGGAATATTACCGTTGCTTGAAGATGGCACGTTCCAACAAAGTGCATCACTGGGCTTGGTGCTCAACCGTCAATTTTCCCACCAGGAGCGGATTGACGGGGACGACAATGAACATTCGATTCTGCGTATTGATGCAGCCAGCCTCATGCGGTATTGGCTTGGTGGTACGATAGTCGAGCTGCTAGACGGAATAGGGCAGTCGTCGTCTTGGGTCGATCCTTTTACACTCTGTCCTCGACATGTTGAGGCTCTCGACGGTTCGAATATCAACATGGCCAGCGAGTTCCTGTCGCACGAGAATGTCGCAGTTGATTCGATCGAGGGCGAGAACGATATGTCCCCGTCACCTATCAAGATCCTCGAAAGCTCGTTGGAACCTGCCTTGACAGATGATGAGGACGGAGGAGAAGAGTCGCAGAGTCTTCTCAATCCGCAGAACCTGCTAGTTGACGCGCGAATGGAGCACAGTGCCAGTCACGATGATCAGGAAGCGCCCAAGAGGTATGACACACCTTCCGAGGACGGAAACGCGAGTGACGAAGGGGAGATGCGAATCTTCCACCAGAGTTTCGGGGTCGGCTCGATGGCCATCGAAAATAGGACCTCCATTTCTCTCAGCTACTCAAGGTCTTCCACAACCTCAGCACTGGTCACCACCACTTGTGGAAGCATCAATCCACCGACCTCGAACTTAGAGCCCGAAGGGCGCGCGACGACTTCACAGAGATCAATGTCCTTGGGCGAAGACCTCGATGTTAACTCAGTTGTCGGGTACTTGACAGACGCCAGCTCTGGGCCAGGTCCGGACGATGCAGAGTCTCCGGAAACGCCACCGCGACAAGTTACAGCACCGCCCGAAAGATCCTCACCAGAGAAGATCAATGGCCATGCGAGTCCTATGATTCAAAGCTCACCGCTGAATGATACCGATTGCTCCCCAACTGGTGGCGCAAAGAGGATAAAGGAGGCCAAGCAAACAGGCGATATGTCAGAGACGAGTTGTCAGCTTCTGAGCGAAACATTGGATGCCAGTTTCAGAGATGCCAACGAAATTACTCTGAGTCACCAAAAGACAACTCAGGCGAGTCTTGCGCAAGAGGCAACGAGAGATCTGCTCAAAGGACTCTCCGTGTTAGACATAGCGGAATCTGAAAACGCTGTTGAGCACAGAGACACAACTTCTCCTCGGCTGGGTAGAGAGATCGATTCGGACACTGCGGCCAGACTGGCGACAGCTGCCACGATAGCGGCCAGTAGGGCAGCCAGGAGAGAGGCAAAGAAAGCCGCAAAAAAGGAGAAGAAGAGGAGGAAGCGAGAAGCGAAGTTGAGAGCGGAGGTAGACGGCGTTCATGCAGACACCGCCAACGCAGTCTCTCAGGCGCCAGAACAGACTGTCCTCAGGACAGAATCCGAGGGACTCCCGCCTCAACCTACCCTTTCAGTGCCAAATGTCAATTCCGAAGACGGCCAGGGTACATATCGGTGCTATGCGCTCACCAAGTCCCAAAGCAAACGGGCAAAGGCGGCCACTCCTCCAGCCACACCAAACAAGCACTCCTCTAAGAAGCGCAAGGGACCGCCGCCGCAGGGCGACGCGTCTGCTTCACCTCGGCATTCGAAACGCAGTCGCAGGCGCGCACGCGAGCTCAAGGAGAAGCAGCTGGGGTTGCTGAAAAATTTGGAGGCTGCAGCGTGGGATAGAGAGCAGACGCTGACCAAGTGAGTTTCTGATGGCTGGTTCGTTTCTCGTTGTGACACGGGGTAGTTGTGAGGACTTCACAATGTCAAAATCTGTGTTGGTAGAATCAACGTTGAGACTGTTTTTGTGCATCCGTATCAAAACTGTTGATATGTACGCAGAGGCCGACGCAGTTGACAGACATCATCTGCTCGTATGCACAGTAAGAATCGCACCGTGATACACCTTTACAACTCGATCGTGGGTGACTCATGGGTATTGTATTTGCACCTGTCTATCACTGTTGAGGAGGATGAGCTCGTGTACGATGCAATTGACCCGAGGCCCCTGTCAGTCGACACCTTCCACCCGCTCAAGTTGCGACGGCATTTATTGCCGACTTCCACAATGCGCAATGATGAGAATGTCTCGTAGGTCTATGGCAGGTTTGTCGGTATTCGCCAAAGGAATGCCATAGTATTTTTAGAGGCGACTGTTGGGCAGTCTTACCGTGAAGATTGGTCCTTGTCTTCCTCTGTCTCCTCGCCATTTTCTTGGAACAGTGTTTCTTGCGCTGCGCCTCGTCAGTATATGGGTTTTCTCTCAAAGTCATCAATTCCAATGATGCACTTACCACTCCAAAGCTCAGAATACACTCCTCCTTGGTCCACCAATTCCCGATGAGTGCCACTCTCCACAACAGTCCCACCCTGCAGCACAATGATCAAGTCGGCATCGTATATCGTCCTCAGCCGATGTGCTACGAACACGCTGGTCCGGTTCTTCTCCTTGAGGATGGAGTTGATGTTCTGCATCAAGGTCTGCTCCGTGTGAGTGTCGAGGGCGCTAGTAGCCTCGTCGAAAAATAGCAGAGGTGGATCCTTGAGAAGCAACCGTGATACTGCGAGACGCTGCTTCTCGCCTCCTGAGATCATGAGACCGCGTTCGCCAACCTTGGTGTTGTAGCCATCTTTCAGGGACTCGATCGTGTCATGGATGCGAGCACGCTTGGCAGCGGCGACAATGCGCTCCTCCGGCGCGTTGATGTCACCATAGCGGATGTTGTGCTCAATGGTGTCGTTGAAGAGTGGCGTGTCTTGCGGTACGACACCGATGGCGCGCCGTAAACTGTCCAGCTGGACCTGCCGAATGTCTTGGTCGTCGATCAACACGCGGCCTTCCTGCGCGTCATAGTATCTAAACAGCAACCTTAGCAAGGTCGATTTTCCGCACCCGGAAGGTCCGACTATGGCAACCTTCTTCCCGGCGGGAATAACGAGGTTAAGATTGCGAAGAATGGGTCTGTCGGCATGATAGCCGAATGTGACGTTCTCAAAACGGATCTCACCACCCTTGGGGAGTGCCAGCGGGCGTGCGTTGGGTGGCTCAGTGATGGTGACATTGACTTTTTGAAGGTTGAAGAGAGTCTCCATATCCAACAGACTCTGCCTCAGCTCACGATACACTGACCCCAGGAAGTTGAGCGGCACTGACAGCTGGAATACAAGCTGATTGATCATGACCAAGTCACCAACTGTCAGGCTGCCGGTAGCTATGCCGTTGGCGCCAAGGTACATCATCGCTGTGAGGGCAGTAGAGAAGATGACGTTCTGCCCCGAGTTGAGGAAGGCGAGAGACGTGGCAACTTTAATTGACGACTTCTCATACTGTTGCAGCGCCTTGTCGTATCGTGCAATCTCGAACTTCTCGTTGTTAAAGTACTTGACTGCCTCATAGTTGATGAGCGAATCGACAGCTACAGTAGACGCCTTATTGTCGGCTGCATTGGTCTGCCTTCGAAACTTGGTCCTCCACGCGGTCGTCCAGATTGTGAAGGCGCTGTACGTCGCCATAGTGATGGCGGTGATGGCCGCAAAAGAACCACCATATTGGTACGTCAGAATACCGCAGACCATCGTGATTTCCAGAGCGGTCGGTATGACGTGGAAGACCATACTGGTCAGAAGGAAGCTGATGCCCTTCGTTCCGCGGTCGATGGCCCTCGTCAAACCGCCAGTCTGCTTGGAAAGATGGAAGCTCAGATCTAGCCGTAACAGATGGTCGAAGACATCGCAGGCCACCTTCCGAATGGCTTTCTGGGCCACAGACGCAAATACGGCATTCCGAAGCTCCTGGAAGACGGTAGCTCCTATCCTTGTCGCGCCGTATGCGAAGATCATGGTGCTTGCGACTGTGACAACGGTGCCCCCCGTAGATGCAACGTCGATGTTCATTGCGTCTACAATACTCTTGAAGTAGAAGGGCACTTGGACGTTCAAGACCTTAGCACCTACGAGCAAGGACACGGCCAGTCCGACACGCAACTTAGTCCCAAAACTATCTTTCGGCCAGAGGTAATGGGACATTTCTTTGATGATCGCCCAGTCTGCTTTGCGTTGTTCTTGGACTGATTTTTCTATTGGTGCCAATGGATCGACCGCTGGATTCGGTGTAGAAGATGCTTTCGTGGGCTTGGTTTCGCCATTTTTTGCAGGCTGGCTCGTGGAGGGACTGGTTAAGGAAGAGGCGGAGGCGGATGTCGTTCTGGGAGTTTTGGGAGATTCTGCTAGATATTTTGTCGATGAGAGTACTCGTATTCTTGCGGCGCTTGTGATCTGAGGTGGCAATTGCCTGCGCCATTGGAATTGATGATGAGCCCGCGAGCAGCAGAGCGCCGAGTGGGCTCCCCGCGGGAGCAGGGCGGATCGTAATATCATTGTGTTGTTGTTTTTGCCGCAGCCAGCTCAGCTTCCCTCTCTCCAGCACCGTAGGGGAGCGTAACTAGAACTCCATTATAGGCGACGGCGAGATTGGCGTCTCGTTGTTGATTGTGTGGACTCCGACTGCGCGGTTTAGTTGCAGATGGAAGGCTGAGGAGGGATGGCGGGCCAAATGACGACGATGTCGCAATGGAGCTCGAGCTCTTAGCTCGGGGCGGGTCCCTTGTCTGAGCCTCGCGGGGCACCTGCAGCTCTCCTGCCAGGGGCACAGGCACCTAACCCTGGGACATATGCTCGCCCTTCATCTCGCATGGGCGGAGTGGGGGCCCAGTTGCTCCTACATGTACGAAAGGTCCGCTCTTCAATTGTTCTTCAGTCTTTCGTCTCGCACGATTTCAAGTTACTTCGCTCAGCTTTAGCATCGTCTTCCTTCTCCTCACATGCTCATATCGATAGAAACAGTCATTGTTTGGTGCACAGACTTCTATTATCCGTCTGCTCAAGGCTTCAATGTTGATTTTCAAGGCCAGCTGACTCTGTACATCCGAGACATTTCGACCCGCGATTTTCCTATTTTGATCTCCCTAGGTGCCTCTCGAAGAATGTGTTGGTGAGCTCCTCTAGACAGAGCCGCATCGAATTCCGTGGCCACCACAGCAAGCGCTCGGTCCAGCCATGATCGATGAGCTTGGAGGTCTGGCGAAGCGTTCTGGTCAAGTTGATACTTGATGCCGTTTCTGACAGATTCACGCCCCTCATCCGCATGCTCTAGAGCGGTGCTGACTCCTAAGAGTGCCTGAGCTAGACCGACAAAGGTTTGTTCCAGGCCGAACTCTGGGATCCGTGTGTCCTGGACCCCGTGAATTGCTAACTGCGTGGCGGCGTACACAATGTAGTAAAAAGTCAGCTTGCTCAGCTCGGCCATGTCGCGGCCTCTCCATCCGAAATGCTGCCAGTTCGGGCCAACTCGGTTGGGCACGAACGTGATACTGATGGCGGCGTTGCCGAGAAGCAAGTCTTGGTCGACGCCTTGCTCAGACGTCAGCTGCTGCACAAGATCCTCTGCCCACAGCTTGTTGTATTCAGGTCTGTCGTAGATGTCCTGCTGCCACTCCGTCATCACGTGGAAGTAGGCAGTCTTCGAGCCCTTCTTCAGGTGCAGAAGTCCGAACATGGGCACCTCTCCGTCTGGCGTGCTGTCGTCCTGCCATGGGAAGTGAACGGGGATGAGAAGATGGTCGAAAATTTGACCGTGCTGCCGCCATGGCTGGAAGACCCCGAGCACTCCTTGCCTCCAGACCTGATCTCCATACTTCTGGCCGAGGCCGTAGTGAAGTGGACTGAGTTCGCCCTCGTCCGTGCGGATTGTCTTTGATGAGATGTCGAAAGGAACGAGGCACCATCTCGGCAATGGCGGCCAGAATATGTATGGGAGCACATGGCGTTGTTGGTTGAAAGACAGTTCGCCCTCAAGGTAGATCAGAGCATCGCATGCTCCTTTCAACCCCTGTGCGGTTTCTTTTGCACGCGGATCTCGACGTTTGCTTTTCCCGACTTGAGTGTAGAGCTTCCAAAACCTTGGTCGAACTAATTCTTGACTTCTTCGTGTGGCAAATGGTGATAGCTCGCCAGATGCCATGTCTTCTGGGTCGAATCTCCTCTTCCGAGACATTCTTGACATGTGAAGATACCGAGAGGCGTGCTTTGAAATCGAGCTTTCTGGATGATCCCACTTGAAATTCTGGATGGGCATAAAACACAAGAAGTAAGACGGCCTTCTTATCCGACGGTTCAGTGATGTGCAGGGGAGGGGCTCGGAGAGAAAAGATTCCCTGAAGTGTGAAAAAAAGCTGATTTTGTATACCAACGGCGTGGTCATTGGACATAGGTGTTGTCCTTGAACTCGGTCCGGCTTTGTTTGTTTGTGAGACAGAGAGGGAAAACAGTTCGTTGTCGAGTTCGGAACAGAGAAATTCGAATGATGGAAAATGAGGCATAGCATTGGCCCCGGACAAAGATCGCAAGGCAAGGCAGTGAAGGCCTACCACTGCTCCAGTGAGCATTGATTCAGTGAGAGCTCCCATTATCCATGATTCTAGCACGGAAGCACTGTATGTTGGGCAGTGTATTCAAGCAGTGGAAATTGGGGATCGCAGACTGCCAGTCGTCTTTTGAACCAACAGGTTGGTTGAGGAGATGCGCCTCGTGTATCTGTGGAGAACAGCTTTCTGATGAGGACACAGGCAGTCAGAATTCAGGCAGTCTACATGCAGGATTTACCCACTGTGAATTCAGAGACTTTGAGGTCTTCTATAAGATCAAATATTAACCCATCATGACGCGAAACACTCTCTCAGGAAGCCTGTCACATTATGCTGTTGAAGGATGGGGATGGTCACAGAGATGGGATTGTCACGGATAATCAACTATCAACTATGACAGAGAATGAATTTTCATAAAGAATGCAGCGTCACAGAGAATGACTCATCGCAGAGATTGAATTATCACAGATATTGAACTGTCACAGAGAGTACCGTAACAGAGCGTGGACCGTCAGAGAGCGTGGACAGTCAGAGCGCGTGGAAGTACTAATAGAGAATGCACCGTCACAGCGAATTAATCTTCTTGTCATCAAAATCATCCACAACCCCAGATGGACACTTCATTATGTGATGTGCGAATACATTTCTGCACTAGCTACCAATTCCTGAAAGCGTTTTTGAGATGAATCTTGGCGGCCAAGACAGAATGAGGGTTGCAATTTATATCAAACAATCTTGTCCGCATCCCCAGGTCATTCGAACAGAAGGCTACTTTGCTGTAACCATGGTCCAAGACATCTTACATTCTCTCAATTCACTTATTCTTTCCCTCGTAAGGATCAATAAAAAGCCCCGCCTCAACCGGCGCAGACAAAAGCTGATCCCTCTGAATCTCCTGGATAAGCTCGCTATCATAGTCATCAATTCCGAGGTCAACATAGCCCCTCGGCGCCCACTTCCTAGCAGAGACAAAGAACGAGTGCCCATTGATGCTGATGTCGGAAAGGATATGGAGCAAGCACTGGCCCGCATCCTCAACAGTTGCGAACTCGACCCCGACGCGGGACACGTTCTGGAACGCCTCCTCGGAGAGGATGCTGGTCCGAACGTACCATGGCGAGATTACGTTCACGCGGCTGCCGTAGTAGTGCGTGGTCCGCCGCAGCGAGTGCATAATGCCCCTCGCGGCCCACTTGGATGCCGAGTATTGCGGGCCCCTGGGACAGTCGAGGAAGGCGGCGCCCGACCCGATGAGGATGAGGCATGTGTCCTGCTGTGCCGGCGAGGGCTGCTGGCCGTTTTGCTTGACGAAGTAGTGGAAGGCGAGCTTGGCGGTGTACAAGGTGCCCGTGATGTTGACGTCTGTGATGCTGAGGTCGGGCTTCGTGGGCTCTTGGCCGTCACCTAGTAGGCATTAGTTGGAGAGTCACCTTGTGAAGCGATGGTGCAGGAATCTTTGGGGGTCGACGGTACCGGAGTAGGAAAAGACTTCATCAGCGCGAGCGATTCCAGCGTTGGCTACGACATATGATATACGGCCATCATCGGAGAAGCTCGCCGCAGTGCGAAACAGCTCCAACTGATCTTCCCACTTGGTGGTGTCACACTTGACGAACTTTGTTCTGGACTTACAGTTAGCTTAGTGACTCGCAAAACGAAATAGAACTGTCATATCTCGTACCCGGCTAGTTCCGCCTCTAGGCTCTTTCCTCTCTCGAGATTAATATCGCCTATGATCACTTTGCAGCTGAGAACAGGTCAACCTAAGTGGTCCTTCGAAACGTTGGAAACTGTTCGAGCAGCTTACCCGGCGGACTGGAGAGCTCTGACATATGCTTCGCCGAGTCCATTGGCGCCTGGGTCTCCATCAGCAGCCGCGAAAACGGCGGAATTAACCAGTGTAAGGGCATCCTACCTCCTGTCACAATCGCTAGTTTTCCTCGGACGATATTGGGATCGAAGTCTGCCTGGGAATCGACAGGGCCATCATGCTTATAAACTGGCATGTTGGAAAGATTGAATGGTTCAAATACTTAAAATACTGGGATGACAGGCCTTAAGCAAGGGAAAACATTTAACAATTTCATAGTACAATCTTATAGTTCAAATACGCGTATTTTGAGATGGGACTATGTGTGGGTTTTATAGGACGATATCGGCTTTAGGTGTAAAATCCGATATCAATGCCACCTCTGGCGCCACACAAGCTTCCTTAAACCTTTTTGGCTCCATTCTGGCCATGCTATACGCATCTTGGCAAGGTCCACTGCCTGCAAACGTTGCACTGATCAAATCTTCTGCGGTTCTTAAAGCCTAAGTCCTGATGATAACGGAATCACGACATCTGGGCCAGCAAGCACATGAGCGTCGTCAGTTGCAGAAGACTTGCCCGGGGTGATGGCAAAAACATCAGAGATGTGCTTATTTTTTATCTCAAAGCAGACTTTTTATCCCATGTGTATCGGATGCTGCCATTTGCCATGTAGATACATAGATACCCTCCTGCAAGCTTCGCGTTCGCTCTCGAATTCGTGTTCATAGCCCACACCCTGAACATCGTTGCAAAAGTAGACAACAGAATCAAATCATGCCCACTCCAAATTTTTCTCATCCTTCTTTTTCCACCAGTGTTTCCCACCCGGACACTCAAAATGTGTCCACAGCTATGACTGATGTACCAGGTATCGTGAATAGAACAAAAAATGCCATCAAGAACTTTACGCAGTTCGTCATCACTCACTCAATTTTCTTCAGCACAATTTCACTCCGAAATTTCCCCCTTTTGTACTCACAGATTCTGCTTGGTCTTCTTGGATGTGTCCGAACCAGTCTTCTTGAGACCACCAAGCGTACCAGGATCACTCGCCAGAATCTTCTCGGCAAGGATCATCGAGCTGCTCTGCTTGACAAGTTCCTCCGGGTATCCCTTGAAGCATTTATGGACGTGAGGCGCCACAATCCTGGCTGGATAGGGGGTCTCTCTCCTCGTATCCAAGAGCTTGATGAGGCCCTGCTCGGCAGCGAAGCTGGAGAAGATACCACTGCCAAGGGAAGCATTGACCCTCTTGCGACAGTGCTCCTGGATGAGCGACCACAGCTTCATGAAGGCAGGGCTTCCCTTTTGGAGCTCCTCAGCAAACACAGTGAGATCCCTCTTTTTCTTGGATGGGAGATTTATCTCGACCTCAGCAGCCTGGCTGAGAATCACCGTAGTCCAGGTTGACGGCTGGCTACCCACATCACAGTCCTCGTGAGAACAGAGGTAGTCCTCATCATCTCGAGCATCGGAGTGCTTAATCCGAAGCAGAGGGTAAGCTTCCTTCCACATCTCTGAGCAGGTAGAATCCAGTGCTGCCCAATCGAACCCGACATCTGCAAGGTCGACGGCGAGATACATCTGTGTCAGTTCAAGGATGTCCTGTAGTGTCCAGCTTTGCAGCCGGCTAGTCCAAGTCGCCACGAATGCCTTGGTCTGATCCTCACCCATGTCAAGCATGCGTGCAAGGCGATTCAGAGCGTCTTGGCTGTGCATGGTCCTGACCATTTCCATGAAATTGTCGTGTGCAGCTGCTCGATGAACATCGCAACAATTCATTCTGGATGAAATGAAAGTGCCCAAGACACTGTTGTCTCTCAAAGGCCGCCACCGCTTGTAGTTGATAAAGGAACGAAAGGTACAGCACTGTATGTGACCCAAATCTCTGTAGGAGTAACCAGCAGAAGAGTTTCCCAAGGCCAATAGCCATTTCCGGGCTGCCCACTGGAGATCGGTCGGTCGTCCTCCGAAGAAGACATACTTTTCGTCCTGCTGATAGAGCAAGAACTCCATATCGGGCCACGCGAGTGAGTCTGGGAAGACCGATCGACCAGCAGCATAGATGTACATCATAGTCCAGATGTCACGGTTGTCGTCAGTATTTTGGTGCAGCGCACTCCTAGGTTTGGCAAGTCAGGCGAGGACGAAACAGAGGCACTCCTTGTGAGCAGCCAGAAAGGGTTGGTATGGGGGAGGGGGCTTACGACTGGCGCGATCGGTAAATATCATACTTGATCATACCGCAGTGAAGAGGATTCATCTTGAGTAAGTCAAAATCAGGTGCATTACAGCAGTCTGATCCACATTGGCATCCAGCAGTCGCTTGGAGAACCCATTTGAGAGCCACAAAGACATCTCCTTCGTACCGGTCGTAACCACATCTTAGATAGGCATCACACGAACTGGTCTCCTCTGCCTGGTCTTCCTTCAAAAGCTTCTTCTTTGGCAGCCTCTTCTTCATCATGCCTTTCTTTCGCGGACCCTCTGTGGATCTGACCTTATCCAGCATGCTTGTGGCCTTGCTTGCAGGAGTCGTTTTGTGCTTAACGCGAGGCTCCTTGGGCGAGTCCTCATAGACGGGTCCGTTAAGCAAAGGGAGGTGACGACAGTCGGATTGATGATGCCAGTGGGATGGAGGGGTGCTAAATAGCTTTGAGACGTGTTCGGAAGCATCTTTCCAAGGTATGAATAGACAGTTGTGAAGGATGTCTTCCATGTCGAGCAAGACTGTGAGGGCAAATGTGGTCCAGATTGGGACCTTTCCGCTCTGTAAAGCCTCCCTCACACCTCTGGTTATGTCGTCCTCGTATGGTGGTCGTTCCTCTACGATCGAGCCGAAACGGAGGATCTTGTTGGCCAATCGCCTGATTTCGCTGTTCAAAACAAACTCCATGCTAATCTCGAAACCATCCTCATGATCCATGAAGAAGCACCAGGCCTTGAGGGTTCTATTACGGATTAGTCACCTGTTACAGACCCTGAGCTGTTGCATTCTGGAAGAGTTTTATAAAAGACGGATGAGCAACTGTTGCGGGAGAAGGAATATACTTACGCATAGGTATTGTAAAGCGTGAGCTCATTCTGAGGGCCCGAAATCACAACAAATCGGTCAAGAGGTGCATCGACAAGATCGTCAAGGTTGGTTGGAGAGCCCTTGCAACGCTGCTGCGCGCCAACAAGCAGGGCAGGAAATGTGCGGACCGGATACTTGTGTTCGGGAAACCTCTTGGGGCGCTTCACTTGCAGACCCAGCTCGATCTCTGATCGGCGGATGAGGTCGATGGCCATGCGAGTTCCAAAAGTGGCCATGATAAGGTGGCTCTCGGTACCTTTGTAATCTTGCCAGTAGCGCTTCACCTCTTCTCGGACCTTTTGTTGCTCTTGAAGGAACGACTGTATGGCAAACCAGAATTCCTCCTCGATTTGAGTTTCATCTGGGATGATAGTGGCGGGTGGTGCCATGTGCGAGGATTTGGATTTCTTTCCTTGTAAAGGCCAGCCAGTCAACGAAGAGCTTTGGATATCTGCTGCGTCCAGCTCGCTGCCATCATCGCCACCTGCATCAACGTAAAGGGCGGCAAAACGATTGGACGGGACGAAAGCTTTGTCTCTAGCAGTTGCAGTCTCATCTTGAGTTGTCTTTTCCTTGCGGAATGGGAGAGGCTTCCTCGGATGAGGCTTCGGCCTGTTGGTGGAGGCACGGAGGAGAATATCCCAGCAAGTCAACAAGAGGTTGGTAAAGTCTATTAGATGTCAATTTAGTGCCTCCGTGATATACCCTCTGGCGTGAAATTTGAGCTTACAGGCATGGCTTTGGTTGTTTTCCCACTGGCCCTCGGTGTTTTCCTCGTACCAAGCAGTACACTCGTTACGAGCAACAATAGCTCGACGAAATGCGAGATGAATGGCTGGGTGCAGAGTGAACCCACCCTGCTTCACATTTGCAACAATCTGCTGGGCCACTGCATCAACAACGAGGTCAGCAATCAGTGTCATTTGCCATTTGGGGGGCTTCCATCCTGCCAAACAGAGTGGAAGAAGTCCTTTGTAGAAGATATGCGAAACATGGTCCTTCTAGGGAGAGTGAACATTCTCAAGATGCGTAGTCACTGTGGAGAGGAAAGAAAGGAGGAGGACATATGGAGAGCGAAGACCCCAAGAAGGGATCATGAAGACACTCACTGGGAACAAAGTCTGAGGTACGTATGGCTGTTCCATCTTGACCGTCAAACTTGTAGCCGTGTTTGACTGCGTTTGCCTTGAGCCAGCCTGCAATCGTCTCAGTGTCGGCCTTGTACTGCTTGTAGATGCAGAGCAGACCAAGGCTGAGTGGTGGCTGCGATGATGTCGCTGTCGAAGGCATGGTGAAGGTGAGGCAGAAACAGACCTCCGCACACAGAAGAGAACCAAGACACCTGCCTTATTTGTGTCCAACAGATGTCTATAATCCTGAGGGCAGAAGTGACGAGGAGGTGTTTTGTCGACAAAGACGAAGAGTAGAAGTTGAGCATGGAGCATGAAACGCGTGGTCCGTGGAAGGCACAACCAGCAAACGCGTCAGGCCAGAAAATGGCAGTCACAGACAAAGAGCATATCTGATACCTGGATTAGGCATCTTACAGGGGCACATATGGCCCGTGCACGATCCTCTCAGAGACCTCAAAGGCAGGAGGAGGAGGAGACTGAAGGCTCAGCTGTGAGAGGGTGCCGCCAGAGATGCATCTTGAGTCTTACAGCCCTGTTGCCCTCAGATATCATTCTGAGCTGCAAAATAAAATCCTCAAACCTTTCAACTCATTATTTTGGGGTGTGTGAGATGAGATACGTCACCCATTGGGAGCGTTTGCTCCAGGATGTCTGCTCGTGAGGCCGTTTGACCAAGTTGAGCAGCCACCGCCAAGTGCTGCAGTTGCCCTTTCCATTGGAGATTGTGGTTGAGTCCAAACAGCACACATCATCGGAAGCTTACTGTGCTACCTCAATTATCAGTTTTTTTCGTGCACCGCTTCAGTTTCATCTCCTTCACTTGTAGCTGAGACGATAAGAAATATATAAGCCGGGACGAAGTTGGGCCCGGAAGTCGGAGCCTGGATCGGCATCGGCTTCGGAGTCGGAGAATGGCGGACGATTGACGCCCAAGATGCCTTAAGCTCAACTATCCTCCTGGCGCCCCAGGTCTTGCTGATCTCCGAACTTTTTTTCCACTCGAGATCAATCATAAATCGCTTCCGCACTGTACAGTGTGTCTTTCTGTATGTCACTGCATGTTGTAGAAGTCCCCGCAATCCAATTCCGGTGTCCTAAGCGTTGAGCTCTGAGCCGAAACCTCATCATGGCCGAGCCGGAGCGCCGTCGAAGGCGACCCACAACGTGAGTTATAAGCCCCACGAGTTGATATATTGAGGCTGTCGACTTCTTTTTTGCGAATGAAGCTAATTGGAAAATCCCGTATAGGTCTTGCTCAGTCTGCAGGAGACGCAAGACAAGATGCAATCGCCAGAGCCCATGCAGCAACTGTGCCCGGTCCAGGACAAAAGAGCCATGTGTCTACGATCAGGAGCCACAGCCAGCACGACCTGGACCACGATCAATCCAGCCTGACCTTCGTCGTGCTCCTGGGCAAGTGCCCAGAGTGGCGGCGTCGGCCACTCCAACATGCCCGGATTCATCAGCTACTACTGCAGCAGAGCCCGCCTCTCCCGCGACTGATGCTGCCCAAATTCCGGCTCGTAACCTCGACTTGATGCAGAGCAGGATTGAACAGCTGGAGCAGCAGCTGTATAAGGCTACGTCGAGGCCTACACCCGCCGCGCAAATTAAAACTCCTGCCTCCGAGATCGAGACAACATCATCCAAATTCGCAGGCACATTCCATGTGCACCGAACCAGCAGCTTGTTCGGCCGCTCTGAGTTGATGTCCCGAAGTATCTCCCACAAAACACGCTTGCTTGGCCAAAGCCATTGGATGAACAGTGCTATTCCCGTGGTGAGTACTTGCACGGCTCGGCCGACTCCGCCTTTGCTCCCTCATAATCTGACGTTGCTAGACCAAAAACTTTGTCGCCATAATCGAGCCGTATCTCCGGGAAGGCAAGCCCAAAGTGTTGGACATCGTAGACAAATGCAAGACTCTCGCACGGATCATCAAGAGCCAACGAGCACCTCCATGGCCCACGCCACCAACCACGGATCTGCCTCCAAGGCATCTTGCTGATATTCTTGTTAACCGATATCTCGAGACTATTGAGACGGTGTACAGGGTTTTGCACATTCCGTCGTTCAAGAGAGACTATGAAGCTATCTGGACCAACCCAAGCACCAAGCCCGAGACTCACTTCATCGTCCAACTCAAGCTCGTTCTCGCTCTGGGCGCTGTCACCTACGACCAGAATTTCTCTTTGCGACCTGAAGCAACAAGATGGATCTATGAAGCCCAGACCTACCTCTCCGAGCCTATTTTTAAACCTCGTCTCAGAATCCAGGTCGTTCAGACCCGTATTCTCCTCCTACTCGCCATGGAGAATGTCGATGTCAGCGGCGACAGCGTCTGGATCGCGGCAGGCTCGCTCATACGGACAGTCGTAACAATGGGTCTTCACCGTGACCCAAGCCGTCTTCCCGAGATGACACCGTTTGCTGCAGAGATGAGGCGGCGGCTGTGGAACACCATCCTGGAGATATCCCTGCAGGCAAGCATCTCCAAGGGTGGACCACCGCTGCTTTCAACCGACGACTTCGATGCAGAGGCACCAAGGAATATCGACGACGAGGCGCTTACGGCTGGGCTCAACCAGGTACCCATCGACAACAACGGTCCAACTTCTGTGTCGGTCGCAAGAGCATTGCGGGCTACATACCCTGTGAGACTAAAGGTCGCCAAATTCCTGAACGACCTCAACATAACAGGCCCGACATACGAGGAAACGCTGCAGCTCGATGCCGAAGTCAGGGAAGCGTTCAAAGAGTTTCGCCGCAGTCTCCATCCGCTCCGAAACCAGCCATCGATGAAATTCGCAATCGACGCCTCCGAGTTCATCATGAACCGGTACCTCTCCTCGCTGCACATGCCCTACTTCGCAGCGTCGCTCCGCTCCCCAGCCTACGCGTTTTCGCGACAGGTCGTGGTCGACGTTCTTCTCAAGATCTGGTGCGCGGCCTGGCCAACCTCGTCCATCGCCAGCCCGACAATCTCGGCACCGACTTCCAACCCAACGCCACCAACAGGCCGGTCAGAAACTAGCGAGGACCTCCTCGCGAGGCTCATCACCTGCGGGTCGGGCTTCTTCCGCTCCGTCGCCATCCAGGTCTCGTTTACAATACCGACGGAGCTGCACGCGCATCTGCAGGACGACGAGGGCCTCGGCCCGACGCGCCTGAGGCGGGACCTCGCGGCCGTGACAGAGGAGGTCCATGCCTGGTCCTGGCGCTGCATGGAGGCGGGTGAGGTCAGCGTCAAGGGCTTCCTGATGTCAGGCCTGATGATGGCCCAGACCAAGGTCCTCCAGAGCGGGGGAACAATGGACGGGGACGAGCTCGCGAGATTCCTGACCGAGGAGGGCGAGAAGGCTGCGGAGGGGTGCGTGCCGCTCCTGGAGGCCATGGTGGAGAGGACCAAACAGAACGGGGACGGCGCGCCGGCCCTGGTGGACGATTTGGGCCCGTCGCCGGGCTTGACGGAGGACTGGGACGTCACGGTCAGTATTTCCCTTTCTTTCTCCGCCTCCACCCCCCCCCCCCCACCCCCAAGCGCTGTGAGTCAGCTAAGTCTTGGGCAATACTGATGATCTGTAGCGTATGACCGACGCAATGTTCATGCCTGAAGGTCAGGGTTCTATGAGCTGGTTTGACACGGACACCATGCCAGGCCTGTATTTCTGGTGAGTGCGACTGGGACTGTACGATGTGTGTGCCATGGAATAGAGCTTTTGATTCTAGATTCTCTCTTGGCGCGTTTGTATAGAAATTGAATTTTGGGCTATGTTCAATAGAGGTGTCATTGTGGTATCATGGGTGCGAATCTATATCATCATTAAATGTCATCACCGTCATGGTGCCTTTCGGCCATATACAGAATAACTGTGGAGTGGGGGGACGCACTTGTCAGCCAGCGGGCACAGCGGAAAGGGGGGTGGGGACTTCCACCGGGGCGGGTTGAACTTACACAATATAGTAGAAGTGAATTTTCGTGTTCCTGAGGTCCTTCCTCACATCCATCAGCATCAGCTCCACCTCCTCGGCCGCCATGCCTAGCATCTTGGTGAAAAGCCCGATCGAAAAGCCGTGCAGCCCGTCCAGGATGTTCTCCATCTGCATCATGCCCAGCATCTTTTGGTCCTCACCCTTAGCCCACGGGTTGCCGGGAAGGGCAAACTTCCTCTCGACGACGTCCACAAAACCGGCATCCAGCATCTGCGCCTTGAACCGCGCGGCGGCCAGCCCGTTCTTGCCCATGCGGCGCACGCCCTCGAGCACGCAGTCGTTCCAGCGCTCGAGGGCGGTCCCCACCAGCGACTCGTCCATGCACTGCAGCTTGACGTAGTAGTCCTGGAACTCGGCCCAGCCGCCCGGCTCGAGGTTCTCGAGGCAGGAGCGGAAGATCTCGGGGAAGTTGCCGAAGCTGCCGCACATGAAGCGCGCGTGGATGTAGTCGAAGCGGTGGTTGAAGACCCACTCGTCCTCGGCGTCGTCGACCTCGAAGCGGCAGTTGGGCGGCACGTACTCGGGCTGGATGGGCGACAGGTCCGTGCCCAGCACGTCCGACTCCGGGTGCTCGTTGGCGAACTCGATCGCCCAGATCCCCGTCCCCGTGCCGATGTCCAGCACCCGGTTCGGCCGCTCGATCGGCGCCAGGCTCAGGCCCCCGAACAGCCGCACGCTGATCGAGTGCTGCAGCTCCAGCCGCTCCTGCTCCGGGATGTCGTTGGGCATGAAGTACTTGCCCTCGTGGTACCGGTGCCATGTCCGCCCGTGCTCCTCGACGAAGTCGAAGATGGACGATGACGCCGACATGGACGACGACTGTGCGCGTACCGACCCCAACGCCGAGTCGGCGTCGCTGTCGTCCGTGTCGATGCTCAGCCCCACCGAGAAGCTCGATGGCGCGTTGAGACTGGCGTTGTCTGAGTCCGGGTGGGTGCTGCTCCCGGGGGCGCCGGATGAGGAGCCGGGTCCGGACCCGGAGGCCACGGCGGCGGAGTCGTGATAAGTTAACTCATCCTCGTATGACTGAGATATGTCTTTCGATGAGTCTGGATGTGCTGCTTGTTTGCCGTCTTCCGGCGCGTGAGTTGGCGCATCCCCATCGTGAGGCGTGGGCGCAGAGCCAAGAGCAGCGCGGATTTCGGCTGCCGCTGAAGATTGATCGGCTGTCGCTTCGGCCGCGTGGTGCCCAGCGGCTTCTTGGGGTCGCGCGGCAGCTGCTGTGCCGTCCTGGTTTGCGACCATGTCGGGCGGCGGATCTATCAACAAGTCGCGGATGTCCATCGTGCCTCGACCAAGACGGGACAGACGGCGCCTAAATAATGAATTTCAATCTCTCTCTTCCAGGGTAGGAAGACTTGATCGGCAGACAGGAGCTGTTGTGAAAAGGCGGGAGGGGTCCTCTTGCCGCGGGGCCCTCTCACATCAGCCCAGCAGCCCCGGCGAGCCCAGCGCAGCACCTAGGCTGCAGTCAGCAAGATGGCCCGGCTTGGGAGCCTCAACGAGTGGTCCCCTGTGCGAATCCGCGAACCCACGTGAGGAAAAGCGCGGCTTGGGCCTTGGCCGGCCAGTCGCAGCCAGTCAGGGGCAGCCCGACTCAAGATTCCAAGCTGCTCTACTTGACAGTAGTGCGTGCGCCACAGACAAAAGCTGGGTTAGAAAAAGCACGGCGAGAAACGGGGAGCGCCACGTTTTTTTTTTCTTTTTCCGATCTCATGGAAGCAAAGGAGAAGACGATCAGACAATGCGGCTCTTTGGCTGCGCCGCTGCGGGCGTGCGGTGTGTATATGTATATGTGTGTGTGTGTCTGACCGTCTGTGCGTGTGGATTTTGCTGAGTCTGGCCCGGGACATTGGGGGCTCAAATATCTCCCCCGGGGATGCACGTCGACATTTACATTCAACCAACAGCTGCGTTATCAGAAAGCATGAAGACAGGTTTGAGAGGCGCAGTATGCCGACCGCCATCAATGTCCGGGCGCTCTCGAGCGGGGGGAACAGCGGAACACAGGAAGAGTGGATTCACACATTCGCAGATTTTCCTCGCGGACCATCGGCGTTACAACGTATTGGCGGCTGTAGCCTCCTCGTTGAGGAAATTCGACCGACGTGGTGCGAGCGCAACGCGATGCAGTGTAATGTGAGGCCATGCAGGCATGCAGCCAAACAAAGCACCAACTCATGTACCGACACTGCGAGCCCGACCAGCGGTTGGTCACCAGCTCAAGCTCCGGCTCCAGCTTCAGCTTGGCCAACAAATCTGCATCATCAAGGTCTAAAAGTCCGTCGGGCGAGTGGCAATGACGCGTTGGACTACCTCTCGCTACCAGATGACGGGCTCATGATTACACACGATAGATGCAAGGGACGGCAGTGCTGGCAGGCTGTGTGGATGCTGCTGTGAGTTCAATGTTGATCGTGACGACTTCAGATCTGACTGTATGTGTGTCTCTCTCCCCATCTCCCGTCTGTTGTCATCAGCTGTCAAGTCCCGCGGAAGACCCGACTGGATTTAGATCCAGATGCCCGATCCACTATCTGATCCTGCCGTACAGGCTGACAGGCCTCAATACCACTGTGTCATCTGTCATTCCAGCCCAGTGGGCCCTGGACCCTTCCCCTCTCCTCCCGTGTCGCATCAGACGGGCGGAAAAGGCCCATCCTCACTCAGCCTCCTGACTAAGCTCGGCCAACATCGCCTCAACTGCTGTATCAATTCTTACTTCCTCTCACCCGCCCCCACTGTACCGCCCCGGCCCTCCCCACCTGTAAGTTTGACAGTCCTCAAGATGGATATTGATCTTCGCTATTCGAGGCTCCAGGCACTCGTCTCCCGCCTTCTCCTCAAGATTGGCCAGCGGGAGTGAGTGAGGATCCCACGGTCTCTCCGTCTTGCATCTTTTCCCCGCCCCGGGCGGAGACGTTGGTGGATTGCCAGAATTTCTTGACCACGAACCCTGCAATGCACTCTGGGATATTTTGTATCTTGGCAGCCAGAACTATGGCTATCTCTAAACAACCAAGACTCGCACGTCTAGTTGATCAGACCACAATCGATGAATCGCGTACGTTGGCGGCCAACCTCGGCTGTCTGGCAAGGTCCACCTCCCCAGACAGGACGCGGTCGAATGATGCCGGTCTCTCCACTCAAAATTCCCGCCTGCAGCTTGTGGTAGTAAGTTCCGGCCGGAGCACGCAAGATATTCGGTTGAGGTCGGCGACCTCGGAAAGAACTGTGGCTGGTCTATCGAGGGGCCAACACCAATGCAGCCGAGATTTGGGGTTGCTCCAGACACTACTACGGATATGACGGAAACCGATCCCTAGACAGCCGTGTTAGTAGTCACCCACCATACTGCAGCCACCGGAGGATCTTCAGGGCCGTTGTTTGATATCACGCAGATAAAAGTCCTCTCAATCTGTGGCTGCAGGAAGACAATCAACCGAGTTACACACCAACGGGATACACACAACGTCTTCGCATGCTTTCACCTTTCATCTCTAGGAGCTTGTCCATAAATGGACATAAGCTGTGGTGGATCCATAGATGGCATGATCGGATGAAAACGAGCACGACTTTCATCGATTCGTAGCTTCCTTGAGAATTGTTTCGTCGGACAATGCAACAAGAGCCGCATAGTGCTAGCTGTTGTGAGGAATACTGAGCGAGTCACCGTGGCTATATCGTGGCATAGTATAGTCTATTAACTTATTCTGATCCTATCGGACAAACGCACCGTGTAGAAAACTCAGAGAGAAATAATAAAACCACTCTCCCCTCTTTTTAGATAAGCCTGTCCGCATCAAACCCCGCCTAGACGCGCGAGAAATTGATGGTGAGCTGCTTGGGCATCCCTCTTTCTTGATTCAGCTTCAAGTTCGGCCTTGAAGCCCAGACCGCTGTTCTTTCGGCTTCCAGCCAAGGTCGCGCCAAGAAAGCTCTTTTTCCATCTTTGTAGCCTCCGCAGATGACTCCACCAAGATTCACCAAAGTCCCTGTGCATATATATTGGCAAAGCAAGCTTGAAAAGTCTCGGTCCGCTCCAAACTGGCTGAAGAGACGTTGTTGGTGAAGGCAGACGCTCGAGCTTTTTCTGTTCCACGTGCCTGTCAACTAAAAGCCATCTCGTGACATTCTGATGCCGAGAACTCAATCTTACTGCACTGCGCAGCAAACCATCGTCGTTCACATAGCACAATGCAGCCCCGGATCGGACCAGGCACCTCACCACGTCCAAACTTCCCCAAGCACAAGCAGCCATCAGCAGAGACCCGTAACGACATCCTTCTGAATCCAGCTCTGCACCCATGGTGATAAGGGCTTCCACTCCCTCCGCTGCGGCACTCGACGCTGCCAAATACAAAGGGCTTCCAGCTCCATGCTTTATACGAGTTATGATGGTCGCGAAGACGCCAGTCGCCAGGGGACGGTGAAGCTTGTTAATGAAGCAAATACTGCCGGGATCGCCCGCTCAGGCCGCAGAGATAAATGCAAGTGCTAGTGGCTCTTCAGCCGACTGTAATGGTAAACCTGAGTTGAGAATAAATCCACTCAACGAAAACTGAGGTTTAATATGAACCGTGATCGCCGACGTTGCGAGTTTTATCACAGTTGTCCGTTTCATTGTGCGCTGCGATGTGCATGGCGGTCGTTTTTTTGTGATGTGTGGCGCCGCCTTGAGAGAAACCAAGGGGATTTCGCAGACGCCATCCAGAATGACGCGGGTGGATTTGAGGAAATCAAAGGTTGTATATACCGAAGATCACCTGTCTCAGCTGCAGAATTAAGTAATGTCCACCTGTCACCCCCACGATGCGTAAAGTCGGCGCTCCTTAAGACCAGCAGTGCCACAATATCTTGACGATGAGTATGAGAGACCAAAGCCAGAGCCGTTTCTGCTACTGCATCGTCAACCTCCGAGTCGATGCTGGCGCCAAATTGAAGAAGTTATTCAATCTTTGCCAAGTACCTTGGGGTATTTCCAGAGACCACCCGGTGTATTAAGTGTGGTGAAGCTAGTCCCTGGGCACAGCAGCTCATACTATCGTGTTGGCGCTTTTGCGCCCACGCATTTATACAATGGAATAATTGAGGATTGGGTATACTCTAGCAATGGAGACCTTTTCTATAGTCTGAGTACTTGGGAAAAACGATCCTTGGTTTGGGAAAGGAAACTATAGCAGTCATCCTGATCTTAGTAGAACTTTTGTTGGGCTTGGAATAAAATGGGTAATACACCTGAGAAAACAAGGGTGTGCCAGGTCTGCTTTCACGTAAACATCCATTGTTCTTAGTGAATGAAAAGTTGACCTCGTAATGTCGATCGCTTAGATACTTCAAAGCTCTTGCAGGTGTGCATAATTAAAAAAAAAATCATTCATAAAATATCCGACCTCTCCCAGCTGATTGCTGCTTTGCTCTGGCGGTTCCTATTGATAATTTGTCCGCGAGATATGACTTCTTCCTCAGCTCTGAGAACAAGGCTCATTGAAGCAACCTCGAGCATTATGAGAGGCTAGGCTCATAAATGATATTAGATGGAGTCTTTGATTAAAAATCATCTTCAGCACCTATTTCTCACAGCTACCAGCACATTGACCCCTGCTGAATGGCTTCAATCGATCTTGCAATTGGCTCAGTTTTAAAATCCTAGTTGACTCTTGATTTCCAATTTTTATCCCGATCTGAACTTCATACTTGTCACACAAAGGATATGATATCTACGCGACTTAAACGCGTCAGTAAAGCAGTTACGAGAAAAAGAATCGCCTCTTGAGTCAAGATTGAACTCGGCATAGGAGGTGTATAGACTGCCCTGTACATCTCAGCAGGCAAGCCCAGTCAGTCATTATCAAAGCGACCGAGAAAATGACTGACCAAAAATACTTGGCCCGTAGGCGTGGCCGAGTTGGCGGACTCCGATGGCTCCGAGGGCAAGCACTGAAGGCTTGCACAATATTGCGCACCAAACGAGGATCAATGTGACCCGCGTAGCACTCACGATTGAACAACTGAATTGTATCGATTCGAGTTCCTTGAAATTCTCGTTGACATGACCGTGATGATTTGATCACCGAGTCAGGGGGGATAATTCTTGACTTCGGAGACAAGTTCTTCTAACTTGATTCCCGGTATTCCCAGCGCCAACAGCGCGATCATGCATCGGGTTTCTTTCCAGAAGCAGTCACTTTGATGGTGAGGCTCCTCAGTTCGGCTAGTGCGGCAAAGAAAAGCTATTTTCAATCCCATCTTAAGACTTTACTGAGGGAATTACTTGTTTGTGCCTGGGATTCTGATGTTTATTTTTCGCCTTCCATGATGCTCTGTCCTCAATTCTGAATTTCTTCGCCTCCTTCAACTAGCTCCGGTGTATGTTGAATGAATCGCAATGTGTCGCTATCGCCTGAAAAGTATCATTGAATGACGTACGCACCATTCTGACCAAGCCCGCAATCTCAACAATGGGTTTTGGGCCGAAGATTGTCCTAGAGTGATTCCCGTGTTTCTTGTCGCACTTATGACTGCCGAATTGCCGTTGTCTACCCAGATCATCACTCATTACGTTCGTCACGACCCCACGTCCATTAGATTGAAGGGGCCAAGAGGTGACGACGGTGAATGAGTATTCATACGGCTGGGCCGGTCGAATTTCGTAGAATGAAGCACGGAGAAGGATTACCCCATTAATCGACATGAGGTCCACTCACTAACTGCGGGTACCACCTCACGGGAAGCTGGGTATCCTCCCGCTGAAGGATTTCGCTGCCGGAGCATCATCACGAGGCCCACCGCCGCATCCTGCTTTCAATTGCAGCCAGCAAATCGCGGTGTATGCCCAACCAAGACCTCATGGGCAGATATGACACCGGTCAGCACTGCTGCCGCCTGATATTGAGCTGGCTGAAGCATTGATGTCACCGCGTCTCAGATTATCAGCCTGGATGATCAAGTCTCGGAGAGGTTTCAATGTCAACCCTTCAGACGACCCCAGCAGCCCTGCAGTCCCTGAAAGCGTTATGGACATGAGTCGCTGCCGAGGATCGTGGAGAAGGGTGGAGACACAACGGTGGCACCGACTTGCAGGCGAAGGAAATCCCGTTGCACTGGCTCAGCCTGGTTGGAATACTGGTGTACCACGTGGTGGGATTTTGAATGTCTTCTGACAAGTCCCACACTCGTCATTGTCTACTCTCCTGGGGCGCAATAGGTCTAAGTAGATAGCTATCTGTCGAATGATTTTCTTGCAGTATAGGCTTCAGTCCTCCGATCTTTGCATGTTTAGTCATGATGCGGCTCAATGCGGCCAAGTTCACGGCACATGAAAGACTCCTAGAAGAACAAAAAAGAAGGTTTGATCTGGTAGGAATTCAGATCATCTGCAGCAGCAAGGGGGCTAACGGCAAGGATGGCGATCTTTGATCTGCCGCTGAAGGCGAGGCTTCGCCTACAGCTGGCGGGCACGAGTCAGCCAATTGGTATGATCACCCTCCTACTCATCCTGATTTGCTGTCGAGAGCCAATGGGCGCAGATTCGATTCTAACTTTGGAACTGATGCCCGGCATTTCAGCTTGCCCAGGACTTGTCGGACGGTGGCAGTTCATCTACAGTTGTCCACCATCGGCAAGTCTATCCGTTTGCCCTCTGTGCGTCGTGTCAGTACCACAACACACATGGCTTCCCCAAACGGGGCCTCGGGAAATTGCCACAGACTCGATGATCCATTACCTCACGGAGTTCAACCTGTTTGACCTTCAGCCCACTCCTGTTTCTTCCGAGCTCGCCTAGATACGTTGATTTTGTAAAAGCCTGGGGGTTCGCACCCTTGCTCATTGATCCTGTAAAGCGTGACTTTTCCCTTTCCTTGCATTCTCACCATGCTGGACATTTACTGAGAGGTAACATCTCCCACGTTCGTTTTCAGGAACTCCAAGAAGGCCATTGGAGCCGGCTCTCCAACCTTCGCTTCTGCAAGCAGGAGGCTTTGACATTCGAGAGCAGCCTCTCTGTCAGTCATCAATACCGCCCGAACAAATAAGAACGAGCGATATCAAAAGGTCCTACCAATAACGTACCGACCCCACAAGAACCAAGGAACTTTCCGTTCACAGGATCCTATCTCTGCGGAAAATTATTGTCAACATGTACGAACCGTGGGTTGCAATCCCAACCCTCGTGTGCAGCTCGCTATCTGCGGTTGCCACGGGGTTGGTCATCCTGATGTGGGCGTTCTCCAGCCACGACGAGAAACACTCCTTTCGATACGCATTGGTAATGAACTTGACAATCGCTGGTAAGTGGCGAGCCTGATCAGCCAACTCCCCATGTCACATATATGTACTAACTCTCACTTTATAGAGTTCATCAACTCGTTCAACAACACTATTTCCGGAAGTATAGTCGTAACGACACAAAAGTGGCTCAAGCTCGGCATGAGCTGCAACATGAACGGCTGGCTCGGCCAGGTCTCGGTGCAAGCCGCGGACTTCTCCGTCCTGGCCATCGCGGTCGTAACCCTGCTAACGGTCAACTTCAACGGCTGGATCATGCATTGCAGTACGACTGAGCAGCGGCTGATATGTCTGTTTGTGTGGGTGGTGCCCTTCTTCACTGCCTCTCTGGCCCTGGTATTGGACAAGATCGAGCCCGTGACGGGCAACTGGTGTTGGATCGCGCAGGACCCTCCCTACCTGAGATACGCTCTTGGCCACGGTTGGCGCTTCGCCATCTTCCTAGCCGTCATCGGCATCTACGTCGCCGTCTTTCTGAGCGTGCGCCGCCGCCTCTCGAAGCGCAACCAGGAGCCTAAGCTGCAGCGGAGCTACTCTTTCAGCATGTATACCGATTCCGCGTCCGACGTGAACGCTGTCATGAGCAACAATGAGCTTATCCGCGGGAAGCACACCATGCCCACGACTGTGCGCGAGGCTGTGACTAGGACAAGCTCCGACAGAAATAAGACGACTGGCCTCGAGGCCGCGCAGGAGTCCAAGCTCAGCGCGCAGCAGCGGCTCGGGATCAAGCCGCGCATCAGGGTTATCCGGAGCAGCCAGCTCGACCACGACACACGGCACTGGCTCCTGCTATCATTGTTTCCTATGGCATATATCGTGGTCTGGCTGCCGGGACTGGCCAACCGATTCGCAGAGCTGGCCGGACGGCACGATCAATGGCTTATCGCGGCCCAGGCGACGACGCAACTTACTGGACTGGTGAACGCGATGGTGTACGGATTCAAGGAACATCGTCATATGATGAAGAGGCGGAAGAGATCTCAAGAGCTAATAAAGCAAAACGGCCTGGATCTGGACATATGACTTCGGTTGGAGTGATATCCACTGTCGTTGTTTGTCGGACATGGATTATCGGAGGACTCAAGTTGTGGACTAGTGGACGTCAGCCTAATTGTAGAGCCAACAAAGAGCAGGGGGCGTAATTATGTAAAATATATGAGCGAATGAGAAATGCCTTGATGATGTAAGATGCCCATTTGTCTGTCTGCTGCTGCAGATATTGCGGCCTCAACCCTTCCAGCTCTTAGTATGATTGTCCGGAACAGCCTCGTCGATCGCGATTATGACGAGGCAATAGTGGTGACAGAGACCGTACTGTAATGGATATCGCAGTGGTGACTGCCTAGAGTCACTGCACTGCTGACTGACTATCAGTCAGAACTTGGTCCATGACGCAGACTTCCATTGCTGCCCAGGCGGCGTCGTTTCACCCCACATTTTGGCCGACAACGTATCACATGCTCTTTCCGAAGATATGATTGGCATCAGGCACTATGCGTGGCGCGGCGGTGTTTCAATCCGATCCTGGCACCAACAAAATTCAGGTATTTGCTGCTTCATTTCACGTCCACAGCTATCTCATTTTGACCGCACGCCAAGGTCAATCGACTCATAATTCGATCGGACCCTACTCTTAATTGTCAACTAAGCCGAGCACCACAGAATTATCGTGGCTGAGAGAAAGCCAGACACTGTGCGTCCTGTTTTTCTTGGTGATGCTTTGCCTCCAATCTTCTGGCTCTCTTAATATGATAGACTCTATTTGTGACTTGCTTAATCATTTGCATTGCATAGTGCTTAACATTAGCCTCGGATGTGGCCAGGAGCACCTTGATCTGTTCCGGCGTCCAGACAAGGTTATACGACGTGGAAAACGCTGCAGTCTGTTCCATCATCAATTGAAATGATCAAACACCACCAAGTCTGTGATACTTTTTGAAGCTGAGAGAAGAACTTACTGAAGGATCAAAGTCAGGTCTCACGGCATTGGGTAACAGAGGGCAGTATACAATGTAGATCTCATGACCATTTTGTCTTCTGCCATGGAACACTCCAGCATACTTCTGCAAAAATTTCCTCTCCACTTCTACAGCAGCTGCAGAGAACTCCGTGTTGTCCGCAACGGCGCGTGGGCGTGGCTGATCGAATGACGCAGTGATATCTTCCAGCTCTATGTTACAGTCTTCTGCGAAGTTGTGCATTCGTCTAGTAGCTGCTCCGGTCTGTACATCTGACGACGTGTCAAATGAAATGATAATGTCAGCATCTCTCTCGGGGCGCGCTAAAACATGATTTGGAAGGTTGTTAGACATTCCGCCATCCATGAGCCGGATTTTGGTCTGCCGCTCCCACTCTGGCGCATGCCCGTAGAAGGGGTTTGGGTCGTGCCCTGCGCGGATCGGATTCCCCCAAAATTTCTCCCATCGCTTCATCCGGGCAAAATTGTTGAGAAGAAGAAGAATGCGGGACATCAGAGTGCCTTTGGGGAGTGAGGCCAGCAGCGCAGATATGTAGCCAGAGACGGGGCCGGCTGGTGCGCTTGTGCATTGCCCGAGGATGAGGGAGAGGGATTGTTCGGAACAGCGATTGATGGATTTTCCGGATTGGAAGGTTCGACCCCAGGCCCATGTTGGAATGTAGGAGCGGTTATCAGTATTGCCAATTTCGACTGGCGATATCTCCATCCACTGGAAAAAGCCATTGGCAAGAGAGCTGTCCAATTCATCGTGGGTTTTCTTTGGAGATTGAGGTTGCTTATGTCGTGGAATTTTAGTGGTCAGATTTGACTCGTGCTGTCTCATTGCTCTTTCTGGCGGTCGACCTTTACTAATAGAGGAATCTGCATGTGGTTCAACACCAGGCTCATTGGGAGGAGCCCTCCTCACGGCCGTCAAGATAGGCATCGGTTCAGCCCCGTGAGAGAGTCGAGCGCGTTTCCAAATCTTTGAAAATTGGAATGTCGCTCTACTTAGTTTCGATCTGGGCCGGCGAGACAGAAACTGGTACGTCGTTGTCAGAGTAGCGTACAGATCCATCACAACAAGACCGATGTCCCTGCTAGGGCTGTTGACTTTTCGGATCAGTGGGCCAAGGAGAAAGTAGATGCCCTGACTACTTCGTGCCACCGTATCAAGGGCATGTAAACTTAGAGGATGGGCCAACTCCCTCGCGACAGCCAGATAGTGCTGTGTGAGCCTCAAGATGCTTTGTTCCGCAAAGGTGTAATATCCTGCCAAAGTCCAACAGCTCCCACTGACACCTGCCGTCCAGACGAGACAGCCCCACAGGCCCATCTCCTTGGACGCTGAGATGAAAGCGGCGAAGCCATACATAGCTCTGTATCCGCCACCTGAGCCTCCCAAGGCGATGAGGGGAACGTCTGAGGGGTCGACGATCTCATCTTCAGCCAGGCCCAGAAATGTATGCAAATATTTGTCTCCCTGACAAGAAATGCGATGCCGTCGCGTCTTGATGAAGTCCTCCTCGTCTTGGTGTAACGAAGACGATCGCCGAACAAAAGCATCGAGTTTGACTTCTGGAAAGGTCTTCAGGTCGGTCTCATCGCGGCGCAGTAGACTCTTGATTCGGGCGAGATCTACTGCTCTCTGCTGCCATCTGTGAAGGATAGCCATCACTCGAGAGATTCCTAGGCTCTTTTGGCATTGGGCGTGTGAGCTTTCAAGTCTGTCCTGCTCGGGAGAATGTGCCAAATGCAGGCTCTTCTTGATCCGCGGAAGTTGTGATGAGACGGGCGTGGTCTGGAAGAGAGACACAAGAGCGCACAGACAGTAGCTTTTTAAGTAGAGGTAGGCCGGAGTCTGGCGGATAGTCGTGAGAATCACCATTGTATCTTACCACTCCCATTGTGGTGCAGGAAGTTGTGAATGGAATCCATAGCCAAATTGAGGTTCTCAATTTGGAGGACTATTGAGTGTCGATGAAGGTGGACTTGACTCGAGCTGGACTACCGATACTGTAAAGACCGCACTAGCTAGCAGGGTCCACGGGTTACGTCAGAAGTCTTTCTTCCATTAAGAGCCCGACAACTACCCACGTGGTCTGCGACCCGTCTCTGCGTACAAATATCCATTTGTATTCATGTTTCATTGGTATGAAAAACACGATGTGTGGGCTTTTTTTTTTTTAATCTTATGTCCAAAGTAGAAATTTAGGGTTTGATCTTGGCCGGATTCAAACGTTGGATTGCACCTCTCGAGCCAGCCGTTGGGGGCTTTTTGCCTGTCACAGGACTCCTTGGGAAAAATGCATGTGGCTTAAGTGTGATCTTCTGTAAACTAGTAGCCTGATCAAGGCATCCAAGTGTCTTTATAAGGAGATCAAGAGATACTCATGAACATCTGAATGAAACATTGCTGAATAACATTCTTCTCCCAGCTTGTTGGCTGCACCATACAGCATATGTCATTGATCCTGAAGTCTAAGACATTCGCCCTGGCTGCCTGACAAAATCAAGAAGTATCAGCAACAGATCCAGGAAGTCATTCAAAATCGCTCAAGCAGCAGGCCGTTTCGAATGAGGCATTAGGGTGTCGAATTTTATACTGATTATAGCTTGTTCGTTTAACCAATTCATACCATAAAATAGTTGTGCGTTCTTGAGTGCTCGAGATCCCGACCAGGGCTGCTGCTTACTTAACGTTCTTGAGCTGTTTCGAGTAGCTCCCAGTGTAGGGTGCTCTGTGGCCGTTCCTGGACCTTCGCCTGTTCAGGCAAACTCCCTTGTTGAAGACTTGGGTCTTGAGGACAAACAAATCAAGATTTCCACCACCTTGCGTATGTCAAACCCGGATTTTGACCAACCCGCTAGAGCTTCGTCTTCCTTGGCCCTTTTCTGACTTTCAAACATTGTCTTGAGCTTTCCTGGTCTTTCTAATTTCCACTGACCACGGCGTCATAGTCTCGCCCTAGACCTACCCAGCTGCACCCTGGACAGCTTCGACTGCTTGTTGCCTAGAAAGCCGGATTTTCCTTCCTACCTTCCAGATTTCCAACTTTCCAACTTCACAGCCTACCTGATCACACTCAGCGAAGCGCCTTTCGTGACAAGTCAGTCATTTCATCCCGAAATGGCACTGGTAATAGTGCACGAGAGCCACAAGTCAGTTGTTGAGCTTTGAGCACACAGTAAGATGCAGATCACCAATGAAGGCGGAAAGCCCACAGCAGACCACTGTTATCATGGTGGAAACCAATACTACATATCGCTGCTTTTTTGCCACTAAATCTCATGCCTTGCTGTCCCACTGGAGACCACTACGTGAGCAGAAAACTTCAGGTGTGTCCGATCGGCTGGCCTTCTAATGTAAAATAGACCCAGCAATAATACATTCCCGCCGACGCTGCAATATAGAAAAAAAAAAAGTAGCGACATCGTTTCCAAGCTCAAAGCCGTGCCGCAGCTTTCAATTGCTTCGGGCCCTGTTCGTTGGCCTCTGCACCGCAATGCCAGCGAATGTGTACTCGCTAGTTGGCAAAGACTTGAGCGCAGGCTTTTCAGTTCTCTGAACCTCCTCGGTCGCATCTGGGAACCGAAGTGTGTGAACTGTTGTTTGTCATCCAAGATCAGTCACTTGAGCACCCGCCTCTTTGAACCCGAGACTAGGAAATCTAGCCGCAGCAGCCGACATCCCAACACGTCGGCTCCAGACATTTCCAGTGTCTACCATTGGGACAGCCACACACACAATCTTTAAAGTCAGGAGAGCTAACTCGCAGCCCACTTCGAACCTGAACCACGCTGTTCGACCGTGTCAAAAGCGATCATGAATGACGAGCGTGAGCGCCAGCAACACGACTTGGAGCGCGCCACCCTGCTGCTCGAGATCATGTCGCGAGATGAAATGTTTGAGATGCTCCATGACATCCTTTTCAATGAGCGGTCGGATGACACACGCAAATTGTCGGGTTGGATGGCATTCCAGATCATCATACAGGACGAGACGCGCGACGCGCGCAAGCTACTGGCAGAGCTTGGCAAGGCATGAATTACACAACTATCTGTCGCGTGAGGCTCTGAGCAATGTGCTGCTCTGCTTCATTGTGAAAATTTCCGTCTCCCAGGCTCAAAAGGTCGGTTTCCAACATATCGGACTGCTAATTGATCTGGCCCAGGACGGAAGGAATCACCGCAAAGCGGAAACAGACAAGGTGCCTCTTGCCGACAGTGATGACCCTGCGATCTCGAGACTCAAACATGAAGGACAAGATGGACGCATGGAAGAAGACTTGAAGTCAAGCGCATCGTCCGGGACATGCCCCGATCTTGACGACCTCGAGTCATCGCCAGCGCCTAAAACTGCTACTATCGGCATCCTGCAGACGACGGTTACCACAGATGAAGAAGGAACGATTCCCGAGGCTCGTGACCTTAGTGGCCCATCTTTGAAAATGAGGAAAACGCAGGTCGGCGATGAGGTGATCCATCAAGAGAATTCTTCGGCAGGAGTGAAGGGACTGGATATCGGCAGCACGAATCGTCCTTCCTGGTTCCAGTGGCTCAAAGCCATTTTCCATCGCGGTCCTCGACCCTCTTTGGACTCTAACACGACCAAGCTCAAGAATCTACATCTCCATGAGAGCCTTACCAGCTCCAACCCGGCAGTACTTAGCTCAGCGTCCCATCAAGACACTCCTTCTCCAGCGGCCCGTCCACAGGCATCTGGAAAGTTCAGCAAAGCTTGGGTGAAGACCAAAGCATTGAAAACGACGAATCAATTGTGTCATCAGAACCTGGAGGAATTGTACTCAAGATTCGAGCGGATTTACTTAGAGCGTCCAGATAGGTGGCAAGCAGATGCAATGAATTCCGATCCCTGCGATGCGCACATTCGCGATTTGTCTCTGCTAGCAGTCAATCAACCCTTACAGGACAAGAAGAAGATGCAATGCCAGTTCTGCAATCTTTACTTCGAGGATAGGGAGAATTTGCGGAATCTCGATAATGGATCACCTCCATGTTCCTATCACCCGGGTAAGACTTACATCGAGCACCCTATGGTTCAGCAACTAATGGTAGTACCTCTTCCGCAGGTGTACCTGTGTACTTTGTGTCAGATCTTCGCCCTTTCCAATATGCCTGGTCTTGCTGCCATGGTAAAGTATCTTTGGGATGAGATTAAGTCTGACCAGTGGAATAAAACGCCAGGATGCGCTACTGGCTACCATTATGCGATGGACAAGACCCGATGTCATGTCTGTGAGCAGCTCTTCACACCTCGGGAAAACACACGACAGCTAGACGGCCCATCACCATGCTCATATCACCCAGGTCAGTTGGTGTTGGCCGTCCTTTCCGCAGCAACTTGCAACGACCTGACTAGCGGCCATGTGACCATGTGTAGGCTGGCCGGTATCTGATGGAAACGATGGTCAAATTTGGACGTGCTGTCAAGAGAAAGCGATATCGAAGGGCCAGCTGTGGGATCAAGGTCTGGATCCCAAGTCTCCAGGTTGCAAAAAGATATACCATCAGAGTCGTCGCGATTCTTGGAGAGGGGAGTTCGGACTACGGAAACCAACACCTTTTCCTTGAATGACGCTCCTGACATCAAGTCATCGTCAATTCATCCCTGTCTTGCTTGCGATAGAAACTCGCGAAACGTGCTCCTAGCCCAATTAGTACTATGGTGCAAGGCTCTGGAAATCTCTGCTTCTTAGAACCAGGCGATCTGATTTGCAATAGGGTAGATCACGAAAGTTTGTCCTCATGACATGACTCCTTGGCTTCTCATGACTTGTAAAGGCGTCATGAACGGCTCCATTGGAGATTTTAATGGTGCAGTAGATTACAGACGTGAGACGTTCCCGCCCAATATTCATGACAGAAGCTCCATTAGTCTCCGGTGTCAAATTCGTACCGGTCCGAATGTTTTGACGACAACGAGTCCTTGTTGCGATGCTTGGACACTCCGGTACCAGTCCCCTAGCTTGATTTGTCTTCCGTCCAGCTCTCTGGGCTTCTAGTGCCGTCGACGAACGCGCTCGATTTTCAGACCTCAATCGTAGCTGCAACATGTGCTGAATCCAGCAACCCAGCCTGCACCTCATCTTCAAACTTGCAAGCTTCCCTCACTTATTCTAGCGAGAGCTTTAAAAGTGTCCGCAGTCTCGTACTGCGGTAAGTCGTCCGTATCTCTTGCGGTGCCTGCTTCAAAAACTCGATCTGGACATTTTCCCTTGCCCACTTCCTCATGAAGGCTCCCTCTTTTCCACTTTTCGTTGATGCATATCCCCATCTTGCGAACTCATACCTTAGAGTTTCAATTTAAAACCCACTTCCCAATCGACTGCCAATTTGGCACACACCATTGGAATCTCGCATTCGATACTCCTCTCATCAGCGGTCCCCACGATGTACGAGTCCTCACCGCGGTCCAGAGAGGTCGCGAACGCTCTCTTTCAGATCGACAAGCTCACGGAGGACCAAGTTCGGGCAGTGCTCCGACATCTGACGATCGAAGATGCTGTGCTGAATGAGGCACAGTGCTCGCACATTGCGTGCGTCGTGAACGGCACTCTACACAAGCTGCCTCGCGAAGGTGTCAATGCGTCGCTTACCTGTAGCACGAACTTGGATGCCGCCTCTCACTGGGAGAAACACTTTGCGAGCCATCCTGGCGTGAGTCTCATCATGCGATGGCCTTTCGAAACTCAGAGCAATACTGACAAAGCATCTCATGCAGCATGTCTCCGCTACCTTTAGGAGCAACGCAGTCGCCGACGGAGAGCAGACCGACGAGTCCATGAAGCAGGTGACGCTGTTTAAAGCTGAAGAGAAGGCTGAGGAGACTGCGCTTGCTGCGACCAACGGCATGCCTGCAGATACTAAACCTTCCGTCGGTGATTTTCCAGAGGCAAAGGGTCTCACAATCATCAATCAAGGGCAGATGACTCTCCACTATCACTCGTACCACGAAGCCTCATCTCTGGCGCAGCAGTCGGCCACAGTGCCTCGCAAGCGCACTTTGGAAAGAAGTGAAGATGAAGAGTACTCTGAGGCGCTCGCCTCATTGATGCATTGTAACCTATCTGCTTCAAATGACCCTAGCAATCTGGCCACTTCGAAGCGCCGGCGGCTGGAGGCACCTGAGACTGAGAGGGTGGAGCCTCAGGCTCGAAAGCAGCAGGAGGAAGTGAAGCAGGAGAGAGATGAGCCCAATCCGAATGCGAAGAAAGCATTTTGCAAGAGATGCGGAGTGGCATTCAGACTCTCCCAGAACAGTGGTTCCAAGACTCCTTGCAACTTCCATCCAGGTGCGTGAAAATGCAAACGCGGGCTATTACCATTGGACAATCAAAGGGTGTCTCCTTAAAACTTCTCCACATTAACACTGATCATTTCTCTCAGGCACACTCAAAAATCATCCAAACGGATTGAAGAGATGGAGGAAGAATGGCATGAGAAAGAAGCCTCTGTACGAGGCTTGGAGCTGTTGCCATATGGGCCCCAAATCAAAGGGATGCACTCAGGACAAGCACGAGGAGGCTCTCAGTTGAGATTATCACTTCCAGGATGAGCAATGGACCAGAATATGGCGTCCTAACCTTGGGAATTTCCGAGGGGCTGCGGGTCCAGCAAATTTCTTCCTGCCTTGCGAGGTTTCGCCACTTTTCTTCATTGGCAAAATGACCATTGGACACGGGTGAGGCGATGGTACCCTTGAAGTTATTCATTGTGCTCCTTCTGAGGGGCCGGTCCTCGCAGTGAGGCTCGGCAGGCGGAAGCAAGGGCAGAGGCGCGGTTGACGAGACTGGGCCACGGTACCTTAGGTAGATTCGGAGTTCTTCTCATACCGGTGGAGTATCGCGTTGGAGATCTGAACAGTACGAAGTTGGCGACATCTTTTGATTCCTGTCAAGAAGATCGGTATCTTGCTTGCCCACGGTTGGCGATTTTAATGGGACGGGTCTGTTCACGCCGTATTTGGAAGCTGCATCAGGATTTCAAAGCTTCAGGATTGGAGACCTGGCTTCCTTCCTCAGCCTTTCGTCATGCGATCAATTACCTTCACGGTTTCCAAGATCTAGAAGCTCAATGATCGCAAAGTCTTTTTTATTTCTCTAAATTTTCATTGAACTCACCTATCCTTTCGCCCATGTCGGCACCTACCTACACCTACGCAATTGGGTGTTCGTCGCACGCCCAGTGAACCATAGCTTTCTACTGCCTCCTGCGACAACCTCTATCTTCAACCATCATAAGCAATTTTCCTACAGTCGGGATGTGAGATTCGCCCCCTTTTGAACCATGGCCTTGAACGGATATGGTGACGAGGTCCACGAGCGCGTGGTGGATGAGACTTTGGATCTGATCGACGATCTCGACTTGGACCAAGCGCGCAGCATTCTCCGCTGCTTCACTATCGATGAAGAAAACTTCGACAGGCGTGCACTCGTGGCAATTATGAACACTGTGCGCGCGACCCGTGACAGGTCGCAAAGCGACTACGACGCGCTGGTTCACTTTCCCGACTGCAGAGTGGCGAAGCTGAACAGGGAGCATTTGTTGAAGTCTCAGGCCATAGCGGCAGAGGCAGAGAGGATCGTGAGTGCTTGCCTCCAGCTTTCTATGTGGTTGAAAATATCGTGACCTGACCTTTTGTAGGCCCAACAAGCTGTTGAGGATGCTCAGAGATCAACCCACTCCAGCCAAGCCCCGGCGATCGTTCCCGACATCGACAACAACGAGGATGGATCTTATGATCAACACCATGGTACAGAGGCCTCAACCTCCATCCCTGACCTTGGAGACCCGGGATTCGAAAATGTTGAGACCAGACGCTTTATGAGCGGCGCCAACGTCACTATCAACCATTACTACATGAACAAAGGCACCGATGTCCAGACTGAGCCCAAGGCCGAGCCTCAGGCACAGCCCAAGGAACAGCCCATGAAACAGCCCAAGGCAGAGCCCGAGCTCAAGCGCAAGCGCTGTCCTAAGCCGGAGCCTATGCCAAATTGGCTACTCTGTGCCCTTTGCGAAGATTGGTACCTAGAGGCGGACAATGTGCTCCAGGAAGATGGAAGACCTCCCTGCGGTTATCACACCGGTATGTGCCGTCCACTGAGGACAAATGCTGGCTACCCACTAATAATTGTCTCGTTTCCATCTCCAGGACAAATTGTCAACTACGGCAACAACGAATATCGCGCTTTGCAGAACTATGGCATCCGCATGACGGGCAGAGCGTGGAACTGTTGTCGGCGTAGTCCCCAAGCGGCGGGCTGTCATCCTGAATTCCATGAGCAGGCCGAGTGACGACGTAAAGAAAAGGAGACATCTGTGTTTGGCGACGGTTAGCATGTTGTGAATCTCAAAATCACGGTGTATGAGAACAGAGTCTGGGTTGGTTGAGTACAAGGATCGTAGATGTCTTCTTGCTGTCGGGCATGTCATTTCATTAGCTTCTCAGGCTGTTCTCACACCTGTCCCAAAAAAAAAAAAGATCGGTGGATGTAGGGAAGACTCGGGACAATTTCGCAATTTTGATCAATACAACAAGGCTGTTGTTCTCGAGTCTGAGGAGTTTCGCCCGGGACAAAGCCCGATGAATGCACACCTGCTATTTAAATCCTCATGGAAAACATTGAGACATACTGAAGGTTACCTGCCTGGGTGATGTACAGGTTTTTCATTTTGCATTGTTGTCTTTGTTGGCCGAGGCAACAAGTACCACCTAGGCTTCGACAGCTTGTTCACACGAGCTTACCTGTCCTCCGTTTTCCAGCATTCAACCTACCAACGTTCAAGCTGTCTTTTTGCGTTGCCTAACCCCCAGCTTGCCCACCTCAAAAGTCTCTTGCTTCCCTTTCTCAGAGCAGACACCTCTCGAGCACGCCTCGCGACTGTGCACACTGCCCAACTGGGCCGTCCTGCCTCACCTCCCAAAACAAACACTCGAATGCTAGCCGAAGTACAATCGCGTCTTTAGTTGACACGACAACGCCTCAGCCACAGTCATGTCAAACGACGGCGAGGGCCTTCTTGGTCGGCCAGTAGGCGAGCTATGGGTGGAACTGGAACAAGACGAGAAACAGGATTTGTGCGACTACCTCATCTACTGTAACAATTCCGACGTGATGCAAGAGTTTGTCTCCCAGGTACGACACCGAAGCTATCTCAAGGCGCGACGGACTGGATCACTGCTGTCCTCGAAGGACGCACGCTCTGGTCCAGTCTCTTCAAGTGCGGGCGAGACATCTTCGGGTGGGGGAAAGAAGCGCAAGAACGACGGCGCAGACTTGTCCGACCAGGCAGAGAAGAAAGCCCAATTCTCTAGTTGTTCAGGATCGGCCACCAATACTATCTTGCCTATCTCGAGCAGCCAAACAGCTCCACTGCCAGAGCCCGCGGCAGGCGGTACGCTCACCACATCTGCTACGACCTCATCGAATCTGAACCTTTCCGTACTACATCCCGTCGCTCAGTCGAGCCAGACTCCTTCAATTCAATCTCCTACGGCCACGGCCAATGCCTCCTGTATCGCAGCGCCGCGAAGCAGATCCGATTTCGACACTTCCTCCACCACGAATAACCGCGATCATCCCTTCAAATATTCGAATGCCCCAACAATAAATTCGAATCAAAATAGGAGCGGTCAGTCCATGGCTTCACCTCGGCCTCTCTCAGCAATTGTAGGAGCCACAAGCAACTCTGAAACGGGCACAAACGTGGAAGTGCCCTCTGGAACTGCTGTACTGGCTTTCTCTCCTCTCTTGGAGAGGGAACCACACAGCACCTCAGAGAACTCCTTCCAGAGCATACTGTTCCAGGATCCGTACAAGAGGTTTTCCGCAGAAGAGCTGAGAATGGCAGACTATGCTCAGGGTCGACAGTACGGCAACGGACTAGCAGGCGGTAGCGGCCCACTTGGAATAACCTCTTGGTTGGGTGGAGGCCCAGGCAAGTTTGGTACCCAAAACACCTTTGGAAACACCAACACTGGCGGTGGCTTCGTCGGAACCACCCAAAATAACACCGCGGGATCTGGACAGGTCGCGACATCAGTTCAGCCTGCGGTCCTTGGTAACACAGCAGTCTCCCAATCCCCTCGACCTGCGATTTCAACCCCTGATGAGGGTTTGCTCGCACATGGCCAACAACGCCAGCACCGTCAGTACTTGTCAGTCTCAAGAGGCAGGCGATCACGACGACCTCGGACTCGAGGAGGTTCAGGCCAGAACGGGTATTATTGAACCAAGATTCGATCGGCCGACCGCCTTTGGGAGGCACCCACCCCTACGAAACATATATTCCAGACGAACAAGTTTCTGGCCTCCATGCTAATTGCAGAATGCGTCGATTCTCTCAACTTTGAGGCCGTGGCATCTCTAAAAGTTACATCGACTCCAAAGCATGGATCATTTGATTCTCCTTCAACCATCATTGTTTTTGATCACAGCAACGGGACGGCAATCGCCACTCTATCTTATCTCCACTAAGACTGCTGGCGCATCTACGGCACCACACAGAGGTTAGATCCCAACTCGTTGCCGGTTCAGACGAGGGAGTCCTTTTCAAGCCACATGAAAAGAAGTACGAGTTCAGAAGAAGTGGGGTTGTTTGCGCAGCTTGATTTGAATACGAAGTCATGGATTTGTTCAGCAGGTGGAGGTGGCATGGTACTACAGAAACCTAAGTTCGGATAGATCCACGTTTCGTCTATTGGGAGGCTGCAAAGGATCATGGACACCATTCCAGACTGGTTGAAATTGTACAATATTCTATAGATGAGCTTCATTCAACAGAGGAGACAAGTGTAGAAGAAAAGTCGAAAATGGGGAGGGGAATTGAAAGTCAACCTATTAATTTTCTAAAGGATCAACATGCCCAGGTGCCTACTGCATGCTATGGTCCATCAGAGTATCTACAATGTAGTGGAATGCAATCACTCCATCGTCCGAAATTCTCAATCCAGTCTGCAGATGATATTGGCAGAGAGCAGCTACGGATGAAGCTTTCCCATACTCCGCGACATGTAAGCCACGCACAAGCCAGGGAAGCTGCAGGAGCCCGTGCCAGCCCTGAATAAGGGCTTGTGGGGACAGTGGATATCGCGACAACGAGTGGATCTGGTTTCGGACTGCCCCAGAAATTGAGGCGGTGACGTGTCAGCTGTTCTGAGTAACATGTTGAGAAATCTTGAACAAGCCTGACGCGCGGATACTTGGAAATGGACACTTCCTTTTAGAACCCTTCATACTACCATTTATTTCCAAACAATTCGAGACTCGCATTTACAAATTCACTCAATTCAACTCTTCTTACTGGAAGACTATATATCATCGTCTCAAAGTTCACCCATTATGGCAAGAGGCAGGCGAACAGGAGAGGACGACGGTACTTGGAGGCCGTCGGCCGAAGACGCCTACATAGAGGAAGCTGACGAGGTGTTGGAGGAAGAAGTGATGAACGATGGGCCCAAAGAGGACAAGGGTCGTTCGTCACGAAAGACGACGCCAGTCGTTGAGCGGAAGACCTCGCCTGCTGTTGAGCGAAAGACAACGCCTGCCACTGAGCGCAAGAAGGTCACCAGACGACCAAAGCGCCAGGAGGATGAGGCCTGGAAGCCTACTGATGAGGAACTTGAGGATGAAGAGCTCGAGGTCCAGGAGATGGTCAATGAGCAGTTACTCAACGAGGAGCTGGAACACGTAAAGTCGCCCCCGAAGGCTGCAGCAACCCCCGAACGCAAGAAGCCGAAGCCTCGAACCAAGCATGAGGAAGATGACGCTTGGAGGCCCGAAGACGAAGAGTCCGAAGATGAGTATTTGGATTACGAGGCTCTGGAGGACAAGTCTGGTGCAGACGATAAACCTTCGAAAGAAAAGGGCACACCCCCGAGGAAGTCCAAAAAGCGACCTGCCGTGGTGTCCGCTGGGAGTCCCGAGTATCACAAGAAGCCGGAGCCTGCGCCTCTTCCCCTGCGCAAACACAAACTTGCGCCGGCAAGCAACGAGGTGGCTCCTGACTTCATTGTAACAGGCCAGAACTCAAAAGCGCCTTTCACTTTCGCAGTGTATAGGGGAGAGGGTATGTGTATGCTGGCTCTGGACTGGAAGAATGGCACGCCACCGGATGACTTCGTCGGGTTCGTCATCGAGTACCTGGAGCCCCAGGCGACTGAATGGCGGGCTATTCCAAACTTTATCACTTTTCCCGGTGATGCACCTCAGTCAGGTCCTGATGCTCGTTCGAGCCGTCGGTACCCGATCCAAAGATTCCGTTGGGTGCACTTCCCTTACACAGTGGATGTTCCTGGCCATTTCCGCTATCGTGTCACTCCCGTTTTCATGAAGGGTGACGCCGATGACCACAATCTAAGCTATGGAGAGGAACAAGAGGTGCGTATTCAGATCATGGCCCAGACGTATCCCGGCAGGATGAATATTGCCTTCACCCGAGGCTTCGTCTCCTCAAAGGCATTTGTCAAGAAGTTCGGAAGCGATGGCGGTGTCGGAAGCATACTGCCCGTAAAGGCCGATGACGGTCTCGAATTCAGACCAGAAGACCCAGAGCTACAAGAAAAGGCACTGTCATGGATGGGATTTGAAGCTCGCGAGGTATTGCTCGGCGCGCTTGATTCGGCCATCGAAGATACTACTGCCCAAGTTCGAGTCCTGGCGTACGACTTGAACAACCCTGAGATCGTCCTCCGCCTCAAGAAGCTCGGGAAGCGATTGAAGATCATTATTGATGACTCTGATCCGCACAAAGCGCCCGAGGATGCCGAAACAAAAGCAGCTGAAATGCTGGAGAAGTCTGCGGGTAAAAATAACGTTCAGCGCCAGCATATGGGAGGTCTGCATCACAACAAGGTCATCATTGTGGACGGGGAGAAGACTCAGATTGCCATTGGCGGTTCAACCAATTTCTCGTGGCGTGGCATTTATGTGCAGAACAACAACCTCATCGCCCTTGAAGGACGTCAGCCGGTGGAGGTGTTTACCAAGGCTTTCGACAATTACTGGGAGCACCCCAACGATACTGACGGTTTCTACAACACCGAGTCTGCACAGTGGAAAGACCTTGGTCTGCCCGGGGTCGATGCCCAGGTGACATTCTCGCCGCACAGCTCCAAAGCAGGCACACTGGACGGGATTGCTGCCGACATCGAGGGCGCCGAGTCGAGCCTCTTCTACTCCCTGGCTTTCCTCTATCAAACGCCGGGTGTCATAAGAGACGCCATCGTGAAGAAGACGAAGCAGAAGGGCGTGATGGTCTACGGCCTTTCGGACAAGTCCGTCGATGAGCTGGAGCTACAGAGCAACGACGGCAACCCGCCCGTCGCCTACCCAGAGAGTTTCGACCACGAGTCCGCGGGCGGGTCGGGCGCGAGGATGCATCACAAGTTCGTCGTGATTGATTTCAACACACCAAATGCGCGCGTCTACACGGGCTCTCACAACTTCAGCACGGCGGCCGACACAAAGAACGCTGAGAACCTGTTCCTCATCAAGGACCAGCGTGTGGCGACGGCGTACATGATCGAGGCTGTGTCCATGTTTGATCATTATGAAGTCCGTAACCATGTGCAGAGTAAGGAGAAGGCCGAAGCCAAGGGTGAGAAACATACCATCCATTTGAGACTGCCACCAAACAGAAAGAAGGGGGAGAAGCCTTGGTGGGACCAGTACTGGACGGTCAAGCAGAAGATACATGACCGCGAGATGTTTGGGGTTTGAAAGCCTGATTGCCACTGTGGTAGCTCACCTTAGACAGCTCCTACTAGAATTGCCAGATCCACCAATTTCGTCTTTGATGCAGCGATTGCTGCTTGGACTGTTGCCTGCCCTGCGTGCCTCAGTAAAACCATCTCTCCTGTTTTTTTGACGCAAGCTCCTGGCCGCACCTTCCCAAAAGCCTGCTCCAATACCCGTCTCGATTTTCTTTCCCCACCCCCCAGAAGACTGTCTGAGCCTCGAATGTTTCTTCTCCTGTCGAAATATTCAGTAGGAAGCAGGGTTGCTCGAGATTCATCTCCGATTTCCGTCGTCAAACTTCTCCCTGTCAATCATTTTGTCAGAGACGGCCGTTTAGATCAGATTTGAATTTGTTTTCATTTCCGTTTCGCCCACCTTCAACAAAACCTTCACTTTAGGCTCCAAATTCCGTTGCACCTCGTTTCTAAGTGTTCATTACCATCGCAATGGAGACAGAGGCAGACAAGACGGTGTCACTCAATAAGAAATGGGAGGGCCTCACCGATGGCGCCAAGAAAACAATCTGCGACTCTTTGGCTAAGTATAACGGCCCTGATGTCAGCGCATACTTTGTGAACCAGATTAACTGGGAGCATGCAAAGACGCTCGCCATGGAGCCCATGATGCAGGTGGCATCGACTGAGAAGCGCAAGCGGGATGACAGCGACGGTCTCGAGCTGCCATGCACTGTGGGCAAGAAAGCCAGACTCGAAGAGACCACGGCTTCATCGCAATCTGCAGGCGTTAGCCTCTTCTCTCCAAGTTATCTCTTTGCATGGCCTAAGTTTCGACAGTCGCCAATCACCTTCGGTCAGCCTACCCTCTCTTCCGCGACTGCTGGGAGCCCACCAACTGTCACGCCGCCACCACTCGCTACACCAGCCGATGCGAGACATATCACGCCATTCACCGACCATGCTCTGGACAAAACCCCAACTCGGAGTATCTTTTCCCCATCGCGGGCAGCCAAAGCCAAGAAGGCAGTCCGACCAGAGCCAGAGTGTGATGAGCAGTTCACCTTTGCCGACCGCAGATCTCGTAGCCCGCAGCCCTACGCTGGACCAGGCAGTACCCAGCGGCACAATCCAGAAGCTCGCAGCACACTTTTCGGCCAAGCGTCATCAGCATCCTTTACCGCCGCCACACAGGGTACGCAAATTTCGGCAACCGTGCCTACCGCTTCCAAGGCCCCATCCCTGGGAGTCGACATGTCGTCTTTGAAGATCCCGGCCAACTCTAATGTCAGTCTTACCATGAACGTCTTCCAAGCCCCTTCAGTAGTGCAGCAAAGCAAGATCAGTGCCGAACCAAAGATGCTCAAGTGCATTCAATGCAAGGAATTCTACCATGAAGCTCAAAACGCGGCGATGGAGTGCCGCAGGCACACAGGTATGGAGCCTTATCTCACAGTCCTGCCAGCTCTCACAGGTTGGCACACAAAGGGAATTGATGGCTTGCTAACTTTTCTCTGCAGGCGCTGTCATTGCTGCCAACAATGAGAAGCTTCGGGGCCAAAGCCTTCGGAGCCGAGCAAACGGAGTTTGGGACTGTTGCCGAAGAGGACCACAAAGTCGAGGTTGCTACCCTTGCAACCATTACGCTGGATGAGTGATAAGGAAAGACATGTACAAGAGATTCTGTAACATGAAAGCCCGGGACAACGATGAGTGTAAGATGGGAGCCATTTGTGTCAACAATTTGCTGTTTTTATCAAGCGCAATTTGTCGGTGATCGACCGAGAGAAAGGGGGGTTGGAGCCAAGGATGGCGGAAGAGAAATGTGAGGCTGAGCACTGAGCAGCTGAGCACTGAGCAGTTGTATTCCATGATAGCAAGTCCAGCAAAGGAACTCCGCACAATAATAATCGTACTTTGTAACAAGAATGCCCGTGCGACGTGCTTAGAAACCCTTTCACTCAGCCTTTCTCACCTTATCCCGTGCCGGATCAAAGTCTCGGACTACAGCCCCACCCCTGACAATATACGACTTCCCGTCCGGTTCCTCGATCTCGTAGTCTACAATCTGCGTTCTCTGGCGTGGTCGCGGAGGATGCGATTTCTGATTGTTGCTTTCGCTCCTACTGTTAGTTGGCTGGCCACGGGACCGTCCAGCTGTCGTGTTGTTGGCGCCATAATTGTTTCCTCGTGGATCGGGGCATTGACGCTGGGGGTTCGATCGATTGGGCTGGGCTGTCCTGTACTGGGGCGGAGGCGGCGCTTGTTGTTGGTTTCGCTGAGCGTTTTGCGCGGGAGCTCCATGCCTCGGTGACGCGTGATGCTGTTGATGCTGAGGAGTTTTCTTGGGGCGTGCTGGGTACAGTTGGAGCTCGTCAGTACTTTGTGAGCTCAAAATTCGGGATCAATTTCTCGGGGAACCTGAGAGAAGGGTCAGGTGAGAGAAGACGAACGTGTTGCTTGCGCAGAGTTCGACCGCCGGAGCTGGTCGTGCTCAGTTCGGTAGCCCTTGAGCCTTTGTGAAAATGTCCAGTCAGTCGTGGGCGCTTGACACATGGAGCTATGTGAGGATCTTCGAACTTACTGATCGAAGAGCTCATTCAATATGTCTCGGCTTCTCATCTTGTCGTACCGATCCCGGGCTTTGTCGTACTCTGTCTTCTCGCGCGCTATAGCATCATCGAGATCACCCAGTTTCCGGACGAGGTAGTCGAGCCGGGTTGACATTCTGAGGAGTTTTACTCTCTAAGTTGGAATTAGTCAAGAAAGAGTTGTGCCCAAGTCGTATCTGTACTCAATACAATATGGGGCAAGTCGGCGGATATGAAGCATCGAGCTACATGTTGACACAGCATGGAAATTCTCTTATATATGACATACGGTCCCCAGAGAACCCTGATTTCTTGTTGTCTCAATGACATCTTGCTGAATTGCTGCTAACGTTGCCAAACCCATATTCTTGAAGGATCAACACTTGTTCATGTTTCTGCGGCCTAGAAGGATTAGACGCACCGTGGGCCTCTCAAGCTCGACCAAACTTCAGTACAAGACCGAGTCGCAGTTGAAGAGACTTGCCTACTTATCCCGATTAACATTGGGTTGAATCATAAACTGGTCGTCGCATTGGCCCCATACGATGTAGTGTTTCGAAGTCTCGTCAGGCATGTCAGACTCTAGGGTCGGTCTCGATCCGGCCTACTTCACCCGGCCGCCTGTGGCCCAGCCATCCGACCCGACAAGTTTTTGATGGCAAGGTCACTTTCTCTCCTATCTGTCGAGTTTCTGAGGTTAATGTATTGAAATTGGCCAAAAAGGTACGCCATACCCTTCCAAAATTCAGATTGCCCTCGAGTCGGGAGTCGCTGGTGTGTATTACACGTTTCCGACTGGAACCTCTCTATGAGTAAGACATGAATGGCGCGTTGCTCATGCTATATTCAGATCGCCTATAATTATAATAAAAACTTTCTCAAAGAATATGTCTGGTACCGTCTTGTAGAATAACCTCTGGGATAATCTCTCCGGGATAACCTCCCGAGGTCTCCAGGATAACCTCAATGGGATAACCTGAAGTGTTCTCTGGGATGGCCGCTCTAGGATAACCTCTGAGAACATCTCTGGAGAACCTCTTAGGATAACCTCATTGGATAGTATCTCTGCAGTAGCAATTACCCAAGTATTCTGTAAGATGATGCCCTGTATTTCCTACAGGAGCTGTTTTGTATCAGTGCTCGATGATCTGGTACGTGAGCTTCTGTTAAGCGGTTATTGTTCAGCATCTGTCACACATCTCATTACCTACCTAGGAATGGAGGTGCTGCAGGAGCTTGGTCGATGTTTTCGAGCAGCTCATTGACGATATAGGGCTGCACCACTTCTTCTAGGCTACCTTTACTAGTAAGAGCTGAGAACTTCAATTGTACCATTTGGTCTTGTGAGCCACCGACCATTGAAGCCATATGATCTGGCCGATAGAGCCCAGCGGTAGATAAGGTAGTAAAGTGTTGCTGTCTTGACCCAAGACATCCCTCGACAAGCTTCCATCAAGCCAGGCCCCACTTGCTAGGGGTACCAACAACAAGCTGACCGCAGGCTTTGGAAGCAGGGCTCAGGACTCGACAACTCAGCTCGCCGAAAAGGTGACACCAGCTCCTGATTTCAAGGCCATGAGTATCGCCCACAAACCCCTGCCTGAGACACCCAAATACCTTCTAAGGTTGGTACTGAAAGTTTTGGAAGATGTAAGGCTTCCCCACGAAAGTCCCTACAAGCATTTCCTGCTTTCCAATCACACCTTCCTTCTAGGAGTCTACGGACCTTGGGTGTTTTAACATGAATTTTCTCTTCAAGCCCAACCGTCTTTCGATCCAACATCGCCTCCGTTCACGCGTTCTTTCGATCTCTTTGGCGCCCTTCCACCAGGGTGCACACGATACTCTCGTTCTCACCACGATCTACACCTTCTCAATCTCTCTCTGACTTTCGGTCTACGCGACCCGCACCAAATACGCGACTTCACGTCCATCTCCGCTTCTCCGACCGCCCAGCGCACAAGCTTGATCCATTGGACCACCTCGACTTGGCCATTGACTCTACACGCGTCTCGCGCATTTTCCCTCATTGCAGCAGTATCTAAGCCTTTTCTGGCAACTGCGATTCATGCAGCCACCTACAAATGCACGCAATCAAGTACATCCCAACAGCAGGCTCACGAACTCTTCTCGGCGCATCTTACAAAAATGAACAATCCCGAGAAGCTGAGCATTCTTGAGCGAGTAGATCAATGCGACGAAACCCAGGCAAAGAGGGCGCTCAAGCACATGATCCTCAAGTGTAGCACCAAAACTTCGACAATCGCATCTGCCATCAAGGATGCCTTGGAACGGCACGCACCGACTCCCATCATTTCATACCAGGAGCCAGCATCTCAAGATGAAGATGAGACGGCTACTGTGAAGCCTGAGAAGAAGAGCCACAAGAAGAAGAACGATCATGGCAATCAAAGTGACAGCAAGGAAGACATATCAACCCCCACATCGCGAATGCATCGCAAGACCTCTCGTGGAGACATCAATGCTGATCCCGTCGTGAGCGAGCTGATCCTGGGGGAAACGAAAATTAAGCGCGATAAGCGCAAGAAGCATCGTAAGGGAAGAGATGACCGCGATGAGCATCAGAAGAAGCCCAAATCGTCCAAGAGTAAGAAAGCCAAAAAAGAGTCTGGCAGGCAAGCCGAAGCCGATGAGCACATTTCTGAAGACTCCGTGAAAAACCCTTCCGGCCAGAACGATCCGATCGTCGTCGATCTTCTCAACTCATCCGAGCCCGAGAAACGCGACAACGAGCACTCGGTGGATGAGGATGAGGATCTTACTGAAGAAAGCTCAAATAATGACAGTTCGCACAATGACGGCTCAGATGGTGCCTCTGGGAGCAACAGAGACGGAAACGAGGTTGTAGATGCTGGACGGCCCGCCGGGGTTGCCCTCGACAAAGATGTTACGCGCTTTAAAGATACTGGCAACGGGGAAACCACTGCAGCGATTGCTACCAATCGGGATGATGGCCATGTTACTGCTCAGTTGAGCACAAACACCAGAAACAGACCATCGAAACAGAAAGACGGTATTTGGTTCAGCTCTCTTGGCTCGACAAGGAAGCGGAAGGCGCCAGAGAGTCATGTGGACGACGCCAATATCAATCAAACTGCCAAAACAGCTGCTGATACCCAGGCTCACAAGAGAGCTATGCAGGAGGACCCGCAGATCCCACAGAATTCACCAGAAGATCGAACTTGTCGGAAGTGTGGTGTGGGATTTCCATCGATTGGCCAACTCTTCAGGCATCGACTATATTGCAGAGGCCTGGTCGCAACATTTGCTGATAATCTCCACTCCGAGCTCCCGCCGACCGGTCCTTCAAATGAAGCCAAGAAGTCACAGAAAGCAGACAATGCGGCAGGCTCCATCGTCACGAATGCGCCCCACAACACTATACAGCTTCCCTCGAGGCCCATCCCAAGAGCCCCAGCAGCTCGAGAGTCGTCAATGCCTCCGCCCAGTTTCGTCCGCGGCCCAAACAGGTTCCCACGCGGTCCCACTCCCTTGCCAATGGTTTTGGCCCGCCAGGCTCCGGGCGTGAAGACTTTGCCACCAAAGCTGGATCACGGCCCAGTGGCAGGTGCCAACCCTGATCGTTCTTCGGAGTTAAAGTCGCTCAACCAAGATCTCACCCAGCCCAAAAAGACTACCAATCCGCCGCCTGGCGCCATCCATCGAGGCAACGTTGAGTTTGAGTTTCAATGCAAATTCTGCGCAAAGTGGTTCAAGACCCGCGACAACTTGCCTGGTGCCTGCCGCAGCCATCCTGGTAAGTGATCAATTATCTGTGAGGAAGTCTTCATTGAATGTAGTTAATCGATTTTTGTTAGGCGAATACCGTACTGTCACAGGTGAACCGCTTAGCCCCGGCAACTTTCGCGACCGCATGGGTCTTCCTCGGACCTTTCGAGCTTGGACATGCTGCCACAGAGTAGGCAGGTATGCATCAACTTGCAACAAATATATGGTGCATTTGGGTGGCAGGAAGAGGGAGGTGCAATCTCATCGTAATGCATAATGCTGGCAGTGTGGGGACTATTGAGACACTCTAGATAGTGGGTTGCACTATTGCAGAGGCCTAGCAGCGCCTTTCATTTCTGGGTGCCATGAGTTCTGAGACAGTTGCATATGATCCAGAATAGCTTGCTGGAGCTTTACATAGTCGAAGCTTTCGCGTTGAGTACAGAGACCGAATAAGTAGTCACTGCTAATGAGATCCCTGGATTAGATTCGAATACATGGCCAATCATCTTCTAGGGGCGTTGTTTTAACCTTCTTGCGGCTTGAACTCAAAGGGAGAAGTTGAACGCTGAAATTGTGCTCGCCTTCATGGTTAAAGCGAGCTCAGTTGTGAAAGGTCTCAGCACCGGTCGGTCCCGAAGGAGTGCCGAGCTGCATTCCTCCGCCCACGCGGGTCCGTCGGTGGGCGTGATGCAAGCTGACGGACGGTCTGCAAAAATATCCGGCCGTATCTCCAACTCTGAATCAAAACTGTTCAACCACAGAATATGCCAAAACTTTTTAGTAATTCTCAAAGTCAGAATATATTGTCTTATAATACGTCGAATAATTATGCTATGCGAGGGGATGGTAGATCAATAGTTGCAAGTCTGGTGAATGTAGTTATTTTAGGATCGAGCTACGGTCGGTTTCTTCGGCTGACCGTGTGGGCTGATGCCCCCAGCAGCCGCGGACCGATCCGGACTTTCACGGACATCCCCAAGACATACATAAGCGCATTGCGGCTGGAACCACAACGTCACTCCAATCTATGAGCAGTTGCCCGCCCTATTTACAACCATAAATCAGCGATTGATCAGTAGTTGAATTTCACCCATCATGAACCCCTTCCGAATATTCACCCAACGGCTACGGCCAGCACTCAACGGCAAGATGGCGACACAAGAACTTGTCAGCACGTATGGGTCGACGGTGGTCAAGAGCCTGGCGGTTGCTGGTATAGGAGGGGCGGTTCTCTCGCAATTCATGAGAAAGGCAGAGGCGGAATCGGGAGAACCAAAGAAGATATTCCCACGACCAGGGCCCTCATTCACCAGACTCACCCTTGAGAAGGCCGAAGATGTCAACCACAACACCAAGAGGCTGCGGTTTGCGCTGCCCGGCGAGAACGATGTCAGCGGGCTCCCATTGACATGTGAGCCTCAAACCCTCATTCTGAGATCTCGAGCCGCAAGAAGGAGCTGACACTCATCATAGCTGCGCTTCTCACTGTTGCTGTGCCCAAGGGTAGGATCCTCCCGGTGCTCAGGCCTTATACGCCCATCACGACCTCAGATACGCCAGGCCACATGGACCTGCTGGTGAAGCGATATCCACAGGGTGCGCAATCTACGCATCTGCACTCCCTGGCCCCGGGCGACTCGGTCATGTTCGCAGTGTGCATTCCGGGCTACAAGTGGGCGCCCAACAAGCACGACTCCGTCACACTCATTGCCGGTGGCGCGGGCATCACACCCATCTACCAGCTTGTCCAGGGCATCCTCAACAACCCAGAGGACAAGACCAGGATCACCCTCGTCTTCGGCGTCAACAGTGAGCAGGACGTGCTGCTGAACGACGAGTTCAAGAAGTACGAGGCGAGCCACCCGGAGCAGTTTAAGGCTGTATACGCGGTCAGCGGCCTAAAGGACGAGAGCGACAGCCGCTTCAGAAAGGGCTATGTTACTGAGGCTCTGCTGAAGGACGTTGCGGCGCCGGCTTCGGATGCGAACACAAAGGTCATGGTCTGTGGGCCGCCTGCGATGGAGGAGGTGCTGCTTGGCAAGAAGGGCTGGGGAGGCAAGAGCGGTGGTATTCTGGAGAAGCTGGGGTATCGCAAGGACCAGATTCACCAGTTCTGAGCTTCATGTGGGCATTGAGAGTCCGTGTATAGTTCACACAAAGAGTGGGCGCATACCTTGTCATTTGGTCGGTAGAAAACGCCGCGGCGCACGCACAAATGGCGGCTGGCTTGAGTTTTTGTATCTTGGGATCGGATTTCATTTGTTCTTTCCGGAATCGAGCAGGAAAAATCATGGAGGCCATAAACCTCTCTTTCAAACACCTTCCCAACATCACTGAATGCGTGAACGGCTTCCTAATGATGATGATGCGCGATTGATGAATCGCTACGATCCATTTCTGACTTATCAATTGCTCCTGTTTCTAAATTGCTTGGCATCTATCTGCTACCTATCCTGGGCGACTACCAAATTTGCTCTGTTGCTCGGCCTAATCGCCCAGGCACTCAAGCACGCAGACCCATCTCAGGCATTCTGCGTGCGGCGACGGCTCCGATGCACATACTCACCACCACCTTTGGTAGCTTCTGTGAAACGTACCCAGACATTCTCTAAAGACTACTCGAGATAATTCACACGACCTTGCCTCACAAAATGTCAGCACCCAGTCCTGGAGGGAGCCGTGCTGGCAACACGGCTCGTCAAATGCGAATCGCGCGTGAAGGCGCGCGGCAGGTAAGTCTAAGCGCGTCCTCGAGGCCAACTTTCCAACTTACCTGCTGTCTCCATAGATGACGCGTCCGAGGCTTGAAGCTAGACTGGGTAGATCAAGACAAAATCAAGTACCTGCCTTTGAGGAGCCCTCATGCTCGGCTGCCTGCGACAAAAAGAACCGAGATCCATTTTATCACATTGGAAGATCCCTCGAATTCCGTGCTGTCGAGCGACGAGTCAACCTTGGCAATCAGCGTCGCCCCCGTCGCTCGCGCAAAAATCGTCAAAGTGAGGGAGAGCACAAGGTGTTGGCATGTGATGGAAGCTTCAAGGAGGCAGAGCAGGCAAGAATTTCGGTGGACGTTGTTACTGAAACGTATCACGGTCCTGAGGAGCGACCCGTCTATTGGAAATTATTGCAAAAGGTCCTCGCCGACTTGGACCTTACGGTTGAGCAGTGGAGGACGCTTTATGCCGTTCACTGAAAAGATTGAATGGGAAGTATTCGATTTGGATTAAGGGATCTCATTGGCTGCTGAAAACGCAAAGTCGGGATGGGAGCGAATACTTGAATGGGAGGCTGGTGTATTGTTTATTTGCAGTGCCTACTTAAAGAACGCACACTTCATCTCAGCTCCAGGTTTTCGAAGACAAATTTTGACGGTCTGTCAGAGCTGCAGTACTTGTCAACTTTGGAGGTTCTCAACAGGCGTTCAGTCAATCACGTTTGACCTCTCTTGAAATCATACATCGATTGCCACACAGTCAATCATTTCGGTTCTCTACTGGGCTTGCGCAATGGCATCATCATCTACTCCCGAAGTCCAGTTGCCTCCCAAACCCCTCTCTCCTGTCAATTCCGCCTTGATCTCATTGACAGTCACAAACGTGGCTCTCAAGTATGGTGTGCGAAATAGCGAGCTGCCTCCCGCTCCGCAATTGACGTACGATTCGTGCAAGCATTGGATGCGGGTGATGGAGCATTCCTACGAGATGTCGCAGAACCAAGTCAACGAACACTACGTCCGCCAACTTTCTATGACCAACCCAGCGTCCCCGACATTCAGCCCTCAAATGACTGTCAAGGAGGCTTCTGAAGATATCCACAAGATCAATCCCCATGGAATCGAGTTTCGCCTCGCCCGAAACCCCGACGCGCTCGCCGCACTGCGCCGCACCCGCAAGCTTCGATACCGCAACAACCTCAAGCTCCTCAAAATGTCATTCAAAATGGCACATGAGCCGGCTTGGAAGCCCAAGCGTGATGAGGGCCCGGTCGCGCAGTCTCACAACTTGACAGATGCCGAGTGGAAGGCACAGAAGGAGCTCGCAGACAAGAAGAAGGCTGAGATGACGGTCGAGGAGATGAAGTACATTGCGGAGATGAAGTCCGCAAAGGTGAAAGCTGCCGCAGACCAGAGACTCCAGCTTGCAAAGGACAGGGTTGCAGAGCAGGAGGCAATGAAAAAGCAGGCTGGAAAGAAGCGTGTTGGAATTAAGCCAAAGCCCGCTGCGAACAAGCCCGTTGCGACCAAGCCTATTGCGAACACGTCAATCGCACACAAGCACACCACAAACAAGATTGTTGCAAAGCAGCAGGAGCAGCAGGTTGCAGAGAAGCACGTCACAGAAAAGATAGCCGAGAAGCCCAAGGCAGAGACCTGCACGACGACAGAGGTCAAACATGAGACTCCAGCCTGGCTCAAATGGTTGAACGATGAGGAGGCCGCGGCAAAGTCGAAGAAGTAATGTCAAGAGTCGTAAGTGGACGGGGAGCTATGAAAAGGTGTAGGAATTTCCATAAATTAAGACTAGCATGAAACGATGCTTATCATACATTTTCAGGGAGCTTCTCAAATCGAACTTATGTCTTCCACTCAGGTGTTCTCTTTTCCGTGAAAGCTCTCATTCCTTCCTTGGCGTCCTCACTCTGCGCATGCATCGCCATGACATTTCCCGCCCATTTCGCAGCAACCTCGTAACCGTCTCCGCCATCCTCTGCACCGTCGTTTTTGAACCCTAACTGTGCCCAGTAAGCCCACTTCCCAAAGGCCTGCGGCTGCCCCGCTGTCTCTTCCGCAAGCCTCTTCACCACAGCCTCCACCCTCGCTTCGAAGGCGAGGGCGGCGGTGTCAGTAGACTCGGCGTGCTCTGGTACGGGTACAACGTCCAGTACTCCACTGCCCAGCTCATGCGCAGAAATATTCTCGCCCGTTGCAAACAGCCTGTACGCAAGACCGGGCGGCAGGCGGCGAGAGACAGCCGTCGCGGGACTGGTGCAGGGCAGGCCGATTCGCATCCCCGGGAGCTGGAACGTTGTGCTTCCCAGCGCGATGGGGTAATCGGCCGTCATCGCGAGCTGGAACCCGGCGGCGGTGGCGAGGCCCTGGACGGGGCAAACAACGGGCGCGGGCGACCTTCTGATGAGGGTCATGACCTCGGCGCAGAGCGCAAACGTCTCCTTGGCCTCGGCGGGCGAGGCGTGCTGCAGCTCCGACAGGTCGTGGCCTGCGCTGAAGACGGGCCCCTCGCTGCGGAGGACTAGCACATTCGGCAGGCCCTCGCGCTCCTCACGCCAGGCGACGCTGTCCGTGAGCCATTTGAATGGGCTATGCTTGTTATTTTGTATCTTTAGCTGATCGAGCGTCTCTCGCCTGAACGGTGGGAGAAGCAGCAGGTTGCCTGTCTTTGGCGAGGTGAGGTGGCGATGGAGCTGGGAGCGGAGATCCCGCAGGACGGCTATGCTGAGTGCGTTGCGCTTCCTGGGGTTGTTGAGGTGGATGTACGCTGCTTTGGCGGGAAGCTTGGGAAAGGCCATTGGTTATTCTGCTAGAAGATATGGGCTCCTATGTCTCAAACAGTATTTCCGACGGGTTGTGGCGAAGATCTCAGGGTCATGGCCTTCGATAGTTGAGGCTCTGGGGATTCCCTAACCCTTCTGACGACACTCTGCCTACGAAATGAGTAGACCTCACGTAGACTATACCTGTCACTTGAGCACTGCATGAAATTTATATTTGAAACGGACGGACACTTTGTTGCCCTGGTTCAAGGCGTTTCATTATTTGGGGAAATTATTTGTCTCATGAGGTGTCTTTCCTGGCCTCATTGAGTACATGTGCTCCCCACTACCAGCTCCATCTTCGGGTTTTTTCCGCCATCAACAGTCATGACCCTTCATCGCCTCTTTTCCGATAGACATCTCGAAGCTTATACGGTAACAATATTCTCCAAATCTCAATCCCCCTAGGAGCCCCATACAGCGCCTCTTCACTCCTCCATGCGGTCATCGTACCTCCTGAAAGTCTGCGCAACATCATCCCACTTTACTCGGTGCCGCTCGGATTCCCAATGCTCTTCTCATCAGCCGCACAGTAAATTATCTACTGTTCCCGCTTCTTCAATCAGATCTCGTCGTGATGGTCCTCGCTGCGACGGCTTTGCGCTCAGAACATCCGCGCCGGGTCCTCAAGTATCTCACGACTCGGTCACCCGCTTCCCTGGTGACTGGCGTCCTCCGACATTGGCATTTCTTGAACCCGCTTAGCCTCATTGTCGGCTGAGCTGGACTTCTTTTTTTGGGAGATGCCAGATCTGAAGACGTGAGTTCGCTACCTCCGAAGGGAAGTCCGCGCCCGCTTGCTTGGTGTGTGCGATGCGTTTGGGCTTTCGTAGTCATCATCGCCATCACTCTGCATCTCCTCATACGCGGCACGGTCTCGCTTCAAGCGAAGAGCTGCTGCGCGCTGGCCAGCGATGAATCGGCTGCTGGTAGTAGGTGTCGGAAGTTGTTGAGGCGGCGATGGGGTCTGTGACGTGGGTTGTCTCACTCCCACATCCGACTGAACCCCTGGAGACATTGTCAGGCGAGGCGGAGGAGGTGAGACTGCTGCTCGGGTCCTTGAAGGTTTGGCAGACTGAGCGATCCTGGGGACATTAAGGGGAGCATCGGGCATGACTTCATTAGGTGTGGCGTCTGCTGCCTCGCGACGTCGTGCCATCCTCACGGGGCTGTCACTCTTGACCTCTGCCTCCACTGCATTGGGAGCTCCGGCTAGCTCATCAGGCTGAACCAGACCCAGTTGGACACCGTCGACGTTCTCCATGTGCTGCCGAATACTCTGGTAGAAGGCCATCGCGACTGATGGGGGAAAGGCATTGCCGATTTGTTTCTTGATGTAGGAGCCCTCGAATTGATGGTACGTTGGGAATCCCTGAAGACAGGCAAGCTCTCTGATGGTGAATTCTCGCTCGCCGTCTGGGTGAGAGAAGACCGATCCGCCGCCGCTGATGGTAGTGCCAAGTGGCTTGTCTGCATTTCTTGCTGACCGATTGACGGTACGAAGCTCCTCCGGATTGTGTAGCGAATGGAGCTCAGGTCTGAGACTGCCAATGGCTTCCTCTTCCGTCTTGAATGGCTGCTGATCTCCCGTCGGGGCAAGACTGTGAGTGGCTGTAGGCCATGTGGGCAGTGTTTCGCCTGGGCCCGCACCGATCATGATGAATCGCTTGCGTGTTTGCGGAAGGCCGTAATCGACCATGTGGACGAGCTTCCACTGGACAGAGTAGCCGAGTTCTGTGAAGCTTTGGATGATTGCGTTGAGGAATGCCATTTTTTGCTCGCTTGTTATTGTAGGAAGTTGTTCCATGGTGAAGAATCGTGGGTGAAAGTTGTTCATTAGATCCGTGCAGAATTTCTGGGCGACATCATGGTCATCTTCTGCGGCACTCAAAGCTGAGGAAGATATGTGAAGGATGTCGACTACCCGCTGATCACCACCTGTGGCAAACTCTGTCGCTTCCATCTCGTAGAGCTCAGTGTCTGGGAAGTTGGATCGGTAGGTGTTGCATGCATGATTGCAAGACTCCGTTGCCAGAACCACCGTCAAACCGCCCATTTCAGCGCCACGAGAGGCGCCACCGGCTCCGCCTGAGACTTCAGCAAAAGAGTACTTCTGGACGCGTGCGGGTATGTTGTCCGTGTTTTCGTCTTTGATTAGGTCCGGTTCGATCAACGCTGATCCACCAGGGATTGTTTCATCGCGCCAAGCTTGTGAACGCTCCTTGTCAATTCCAAGATTGCGCCTCTTGATCTTATGGCTGTCGTGTTCTGACATGTGTTCAAGAGCCTGGCCTTGGTGGCGGCCGGCGCGTCGCTGAGAAGCGTCTTTGTACTCGAGGCGCATCTTCCACCGGCAAGTGAGGGGAGCCTGTGTCTCTCTCTGCTCTGGTGTGGAGTATCCGACCGGGTCGAAGCGGCAGTGAGGAAATGACTTGTTTGTGGTGGTCAGAACCCTCCGCTTAAGAATTTCCTCAGGTCGTATCTCAAGGAGCCCCTGCTCTTCGTCCGCACGAGTGTCATTATCGTCGATCTCGAGGATCAGGCAGACTTCGTTTTGCTTTCGAGGAAGACAGCCGTGAAGGTTTCGAGTGCGGGAATAGGGAAGACCTCGAATGACGATATCTCCTGTGCTTTTATGAATGTAGATGAACTTGATCTCGACAAACTCCGTCTGTGTCTTGGAGTTAGTCCTTTTCCTTTCCTCTCAGATGGCTTGTTTGAGCAAGAATGTGACCCCGCTTACGCTGTGCTCGCCAACAGGCTCGCCGAGCTCAACAAACTGTCCAACCTTGTACTGTTCTTCCTTCACTGCCATTTCCTCTACAGACCGATGGTCGGCTTCCAGCACGCGGTTGCGGAGGAACTTGTTGAGACGTGGCGCATTTTGGCTAGGGTGATCAAGTTCGACTTCATCATCGGCGGTGAGATCGATGAGTGTCAGGCCATCAAGCTGCTGCAGTAAGCCTGTTTAGCTATCATTCGGTCAAAGTTGCCTATGCACAAATTGCACTCACCTCGCTGGCTTGAATGAAGGAATCTGATTGAAAAGCTCTGCCAGCGTGATTCAAGGCTTGGTAGTTCTGAATGCTAGCCATCTCTACGTGCTTCAGGTTTTCAAATACAGGCGAGCTTTGCCAAGAGCTTGAGAAGAGAATGAAATACGACAGCAGCTCTTATGAACTTGGGTGCGCACAATCCAAGAGGAGTACTCGCGATTGCTTGAGGAGGAGAGGACAGACGCTCGGGCTTGAGGGCGAATTTTGGTCAAGACAAAAGCATGGCAGAAGGACGGTCGTTTGTAAAGGTTGATGAAAGAAGGACAACGAGATTAGTCGTGGTAGGAGGGATGGTTTTTAAATTCGAAGGGTGTACTGGTAAGCGTTGGGAAACAAGTGGATTTGGTCCGAACAGTTTAATGTCTTCGTTGCTGGAGGGGTGGTAAGGTTGGTGAGTTCAGGCCCCGCCACACCCCAGCCTGCGTATGCGACATATACGGTAGCACTTGCAATTACGGTCGAAGTCAGTACACTTCTTGAGACACCCGGAACCGGGGTCGATATCATATTGTCTATCATGAAATAGCGCTAGAAATGTGCACGTAACGCATCACATATACACGAAGCAGGACTATGTCCAGGAAACAAAGTGTCAGAATTCATCAGCAGAACATGGAATCATTCAGAGATGGGGCCTCCTGGGCCACTCAAGCAGTAACGCCCTTGATGATATCGGCGGCCTATGAAGCAGTCAGCACAAGGACAAGACACTCGGGAATGATGAAGCAGGGACTAAAGCGGCGGCTTACCTTCTCAGCAACGCCGTAAACGGCCGTCATGATATGCGTCGCAGGGAGCATAGGGATGACACTGGAGTCCACGATCCGCAAGTTAGCGGCACCGTAGACCTTGAGGTCAGTGCCGACAACACCACCCTCCTCGCGGGGGCCCAGCTTGCAGCTGCCAGCGGGGTGGAACAGGGTGGCGGCGTTCTGGCGGATGAAGGTCTCGATATCGGCATCGCTGGTAATGTTCGCACCCGGAAGGACCTCGAAAGGCTGCAGGGTCTGGATGGCGGCCGTGTTGCGGACAACGCGGCTGAACTTGACAGCTTCGACGAGGAGCTGCAGGTCGAGTGGGTTGGCGAGCTGGCCGGCGCTGGCGATGGGCAGGTCGAAGGTGCTGCTCGAAGCGGCCTTGACATTGCCGCGGGAGAAAGGGTGCTGCAGACCCAGGACGAGCACGCCTGCGTCCCAGATGAGTTCGAGGACGGCCGACTCGTTCGACGACAGCTTCTCGGCCAGAATGGCTTGCTGCTTCTTGTATCCGAGAACGACCTCAGGAGGGGTGTCTGCGGGAAGGTACTGTGTGCCGTTCTGTGCAGCGGCCTTTGCGGCAATGAGGGATGAGGCGTTGCTGTAGGTATTCAGGGGCAGGAACAGGAGGAAGTCACCGGTGGGCGACGAGTAAGGGCCAGTCTTCTGGTCCTTGTACTCGGCCAAGGCCTCGGCAGCGAAGGTGGAGTTGCTGGTGAGTTGAGAAGAAGTGATCTGGTCAGTGGTGACGGTAGCGACGGTCGTGAGAAGGACGTGGTCCTCGAAGTTGTGGCCCACAGCTGGGAGGTCGATGACGGTGTCAACGCCAATCTCGCTAAGCAGTGTGCTGTCGCCTATTCCGGACACCTGCAAGATCTGGGGTGTGAAGAGAGCGCCAGCTGCCAGAATAGCCTCCTTGTTAACGCCAACCGTTGACTTGGCTGCATCAGCCGAGGCGGCGAACTAATATGTGGTCAGCTACGCTTCTACTCTATGTATACATTAGATATAAGCTCACCTCGACACCAGTGACTGTAACTCCCGAACCATAACCGGTCGAGTTGCTACCCGTGACCAGCTTGGTAACCTGTTGTCCTGTGACAATGTGCAGGTTCGTCCTCGATTCTGCAGAGTTGTAGTACGCTTCTCGGGCTGAAGATCTCGTGACATTGGTAATGTCAATGTTGTGTGGGCAGAAGTAGCCACCAATGGGAAGTCCAGAGGCCTGGTCCGTTGGGATGCGGATACCCAACTCGTTCGTTGCATCGATGATGTTGCCTGGAATTGTTCAGGGAAACATTCGTAAAGTAGTACAGTGGAGGGGGAGAAAACTCACGGGTCAGGGGCCAGAAGAAAGGTGAGTATGTGACATTAATGTTTCCAGAATCACCATGAGACTCTGCGTCATACTGGACACCCCATTCCTGTGCAATAGCATCGCTTGGTGGTGTGAATATCTCTTGCTATGGCATTGTTAGCACCTACTTCTTGACATCGAAGCAATTATCAGCCTGCTCACCTTCTTGAAGTAAGGGAAGAGACCATCGTAGTCCCAACCGGGGTTTCCCAACTCAGCCCATCGATCAAAATCTGATTTTGAGCCACGGTCGAATACCATTCGGTTCAGTTTCGTGCCACCTCCGACGATCTTTCCTTGAGGGATAGAGACCACACGGTTCTGCAGAGCAGGGTTCGCTGTGTATGTCGTGTTCCAGTCATATTTGGTTCCAATTGCACCTCCAGCCAGTCCTGGGATAGTGAAGACGTCCTCATTGGCGTCGCTAGAAGATCTAGTCAGTACTAGTTCCCGGTGGCTTCCGTAGGATCAACGGCTCATCTAAGATCGGGGGGACTAACAACTCGCCAGCCTCAATGACCAGGATGGAAATGGCTAAATCCTCGGTTAATTACTCGCCGAGGCAAATTGATTTGCGGGCTCTCGATTTTATGCTCACCACTGTCCTCAGAAAGTCTGTTCGCGACTGTAAGGCCGCTGGCACCTCCTCCAACAATCACATAGTCGTAGCTATCGAGGAGATCGTTCTGTCTTAGGTGGAGACCACGGAAAGGGGCGGCGTGGGCTACCGCCAATATGAGAGCGGCGCTCAGCTGGGCTGATACGAACATTGTGAACAAGAAGGCGCGGGTCTACGCCGTGTAAAGAGTGACAAAGTTTGAGAGACCTCAAGCGAAAGACTGACGATTCGTGATAGAGACGTGAGGTGTGATCACGTAGAGCAAAGGCAGCGTGTGGTCCGGGCCGGCTTTTAATATAAACATCTGTTGGTGACGATGGCGCTTGGTAGATAGCGCGACTCAGGAACCCTTCAGGTTGAGATGTCTCCCCGAGGCTCCTTGTCGACGTCCCTTGCAAATCCCTGGCGTGGATCCGGACTGTCGGCAGCTAACGACGGTCTCTCTGCGTACCGTGGTTGAGACCGCGCTGGAATGCAAGGAGCATGTTCCAATTCGACGACGAACGATCTATAAGTCCCGCCAAGCCATTTTGCATGTAGAAATAGTACGGCTGCGGCCAATGTGCGCCCCTGCCGGTGTGCCGACGCGCGCGCCCATGGGAACAAATGTACAGCGGGAGGCACAATGTAGATGAAGGTGTCATGGACCAAGACTTGGTCGCAATAGGGGACCGTCGAGCAGGCCAGGGAGGCTTCAATGCAACCCCTCACGGGATTCCCATGCCCGACAAGGCAACGGGGTCGACGAATGTCTCGATGAACATTCGTCTGATGAGGAGGCGGTCCCGAATTAATTTAAAAAGTGCTTGGATCTCCGCCCCGGCGCTTTTACATGCAGGCCAAGCTAGGCGGATCTTAGGGGCAGAACCCACACTCCATCAAGCCATGCCCTGGTACGATCCTTGACTCGGCCGGCCGCCCCCCTGGCCTATGGACGAGTGCTAAGTCTTAGTCGGAGTTTACATAGCAGAGCCCCAGGAAGCCGGTCCAAGTTCAAAATCCCCAATGCCTACGACGGTACATTGGCTCTCACCCTCTCACGCGGCCTCCACGTGGTCGTAATGTCTTGTCAAAGTTGGCGCTGTTTGTTCGCTCGGTTCTTGGTAGTTGCATGTGCATTGATGGATGGAATGCTGCCAGCATATGATCTCACACATGCTTAGCTCCAAGCCCAGAGGGCCTCAAGAACAGACGTCGAGCTGGACGCGCCCTCATTTCTAGGCACCGGTGGTGGCACCTAATCAGCAGGGTGCCAGTCTATATCGCACCGCATATGTGTATACGAGTGGTGCGTTCTGACGACACATGCACCAGGCCTGGCACATGTGTGTGCTGTGCTCCTCCGTCATCATGTTGTCCCCATAGTAGTCCCCATAGTATTATCCACTGCGTCCCTTGGCACTCCAGAAAACAGAGTTTCGATGGTTCCCGGGGCTTGGACCAGGATGGGCCCCGAGCTCGATCTATTTATCCTGCAGTCTCACCCGGCTTGACGATTTCCCGCCACGGAGTATGTACGTAGGCATCTGTTTTCGTGCCAACGATCTTGCCAACGTCACAAGCAGATTGTCATCTGATGGTTAAACTTATTCTAGAAACATCAAGGCGCATTGACCAGTTTCGATTTGAACGAACTCTATGGCGTTTCACCAAACCCAAAGCTTCGCCAATCTCCGTCTAGCGATGTCTAAAAGCAAGACCACCTATCGCCGTCTCAATCCCCTGTCGTTAATGACAACCACAGCAATTCCAACAACGTGCACAGCCTTGAGGGATAGAATATTACACACAGACACACGTGACACTTTGTCGAATAGCACCGCAACGCCTTCTTTAAACAGATGCTTCATGCCGTAGTGAGACAAAAAACAGACATCAAACCAAACACATGGAAAAGCTTCGAAGTTGCAGCGAGGTGCTTAACTAATGAACCTAACCTGTAGTATCGCACCGCCACAGGTCTCACCTTCCAAATTGAGGCCTTGAAGCGCAGCCTCGAGTCCTGGAAATGCCTGAGTAATCAGTCAGTAATTCCATCTGTGAAAGTTTCGGTAGGCGGAGATCATTGTGCCGCTGGCATCAAAGAGCTCGCAACTCGCTTTATAAAGTATGGCTGACAAGTGTCAATAAACCTACGCTCAATGTCGTACTATGTTTCATGGTCGGATTCCGGGGACTTTTAGTGGAATGAATATCAACTTGCTTGTCATTTCAAATCGTTGGACGTCTTGTATTTGACGAAGTTACTGGAGACGCTGATTGAAAATACCGACAGTAGCAGGCCTTTGCCCACAGTAAGATGACATACACTGTGCCTATATCAGCTTGCTGCTTCTTGAAAATTTTAGGACGTCTCTGAGAATAACATTGATGCCCTCTCTTCTCTTCATCCATGAGGTACCCATGTCGTGCTTTCATTTTGTTAGCCCTTGGGCAATGAAAGTTGCAAAGTCTCTTTGGCAAATGTCTGTGTATCCTGTGAGTGTAGTGGTGATATCTCCTTTATGGGCGTAAAGACATGTTAAAGACCCAATCCAACTGTTGGCGCAGGGAGAGGTGCCTAGTTTTGCATGCTGATTCTCTATCTATATCAAGGGTTACCAGAATTGTTTGGAAAATAGACAAGTGCTAGTGCAATACCATTCACTCACTTCAAGTTATTGTTTGGGCAATCGCAATCAGGGCTTATCACATTTTGGTTGAATACTTGCGAGCCAGCAAAATCTAGCATTGGAAGGCACAGAGGCTTTCAAGTTTGCAGTCAATCAAAACTTGTCAACAACTCTCCCACTCTTCAAAATCAAACGACACTCAGACTCTCCCCAACCACACCAGACAACCAGTGCAATCCAGCACAAGTCAACACCATGAAGTACATCAGCGTTCTTCTTTCCGCCCTGATGGGCATCATGCTCTCTGCAGCTGTAAGTTGCGAACCCCACCCTCCCCCCACCCCCAGCGCTGGACCACACGTGTGCGATGGACCAGCTCATTATGATAACTGGCGGTCATTGACCTTCGCTTCACGTTAGGTTCCTGCCGCCGACGCCCTCGATGATTCCATGGCCGATTACGCCATTGTGGACATCGAGTGGAACGTTCGAGCCAGCCCTGACCGCAACGACACTGTCATCGGCACGATCCAGGATGTCGTCAAGCACCTCTCAATCGTTGATCCTGTGGGCTTCGCCGCCCTAAACAAGTCCATCAACGACGCCAGCGATGACGGCCCCTCTCACCACTCGTACAACATTCTGAACATGTACAACCCTACTGATTACTACTGCAACATCTACAATGGAATGGCAGATGGGCCGGCCATCAAGACAGGAATCAAATACCTGCGCCACGTTGACGGCACTCCAGGCCAGGGTCCAGGTCCGGTGTGTCTATTACTCCGAATACTTGACACAGGCTTTTCTGCTTGCTGACCAATGCCCAGAGTACCTGTGGCCGCGTGAGTTGCTCTTGGGATTCGGCAATCTGGTGGTGCAACCATGTAAGTCTGCATAAGCCTCCTCGCCCATCCGTCCATTTGAGCTTGCAATATCAGCTGACACTCGTTTGAAACGGCAGAACAACGAGAGTATCGGGCTAGACAGCTATACCCGAATCGCAGATGGTGCCCAGAACCTGGTTGACAGCTGTGCCTTTGCCCAAGACGACAATACCCCGGGCGATTTCAATGGAGAGCAGGTTTTTGAAGGAGGATGGGCTGTCGTTGTGAGAAAGAACATCGGCTGTTAGATGGAGAGTTGAAGCATCCATCAATTATTTCTCGGGATGGTCGGTCGACAGTATCGGCCGTGCTACGTCCACACAGCTACGTGACAGGCTTGTCAGCTAGGTATGCCTGTCGTTAACTAGTTGACAGCCTCGAAATGAACAGAGTCCGTAGGGGACATCAAAAGATTGAGCATTTCTTCCAAACCCGTTCTTGTGAGACACCAAACCTCGCCTATATCACACGGCTTTTAATGCGAAGACAGTTTGGTTCTAGATCCTTGGAGCCAAAAGAGAAGGGCCTGCGGAGCTTCTTAGGGGGCAAGGGGTGCGTGATGGCATGCCGCTCAAAGTTAATCGTGGCCGTTTAGGAACGCTGACGCCAGGACAAGAAGAATATGACCTGCTCTCCCTGGTCACTTGTAGCTAACAGATCGTTTGTCCAGCCAAGACACGACCAGGCTAGCAGCTAACAAGTGAGCCGCCGGTGCTTCGCATTCTAAAAGCGGGATCGCCGGGCCCAGCCTGAGGCGTCCTAAGCCGCCCCGGGTGTCTCCGCAAAGCCTGCTGAAGGAATGTCACTGAGCTATAGAGCGCTCGCTGAGCACATAACGGCTAGGTTGGCGGCGCGCGCCGGCGAGAGGGAGAGGCGCAGCGGCGGGAGATCGATCTTCCACCACCCCCCTTTCCCTACCCTGGTGTCTTAGTCCCTGATTGTCTTAGTCAGGGCAAGACAATCAAGTTGCAACTCGGCCGACTCCTTAGCATCGAGTCAAAAAACAGGCCTGGAAACCGGTAAGGTTCAGATTTCGAGATTGAGCTTATGCTGTGGGGACGAACAGTTGTGTAAGTGGGGCTGTGCTTGTCTCATCAGGCACAATAACAACGGTCAGTTCGCGGGCAGAAATGCTGCTCTTCGGCCCTCGGTGTATGCGACCTAGGACCTCGGCAATATCGATTACTACCAAGGCTACGTACACACTCTACATACACTTGTAGCTCCTTATACACCAAAGAGTATACCCGGATTGGCCATTGATGGTCCTGCGACGTATTGGGAGGAACAATACTGGCAGAGACTGACGCATTTTTCTAAAAGCTAAAGTGACAGTTCTGGGAGTACAGACGATGATCTGCAGCAAAAGCTTCCAGCGAGTAGAACGAAATGGTTTTAAGCTTTTCAAGCACCGTATAACATCTAGCCCAAAACTTTTTAAGAGCAAGTCCAATTCGGACGAGAGTGCATTTGGTCATGTGGCATGGAAAAGTGTCCGATCTACTCATCTTCTTCGTATCGGGGCCGAATATCAAACACCGAGTCTGCTTTGGTCTTTTCAAATTCCTCATCATCATAGAAGTTGGCCCTGACCTCGATTCTGCCACGTGAATGACCCACAAAGAAGTGTTGCTGCGACGCAGGGAGGTGGAGGCGCTGCTTGTAGTTTGGATGCAAGGGGCTCTAAGACACGGGCATCAGACACTCGGCCTTGTCATGACCACACCGGTATGGCACATTCTATGCACTTACTTGATATCCCAGCCCGAGCATGATCCGGTGTTTATCACTATGGTTCGGCATGCCGGCATGCCACGTCCTCAAGTCGCGGATCATGATGTCCCCCCGCAACACCTCCGGCTGGACCGGCGGCCTCACCGCGCGACGCGCGTCCTTGGCCTCCGCGGATATCCACGGGATGCGGTCTGTGGCAGCAGAGGGCTTCCACGTGGCACGCGTCTCGTCAGTGACGTGCTGTTGGTCCGCAATGGTCGTGTCTGCGTGCGAGCCGAGCCAGAACTCGGTCGCGCCGTTGGCAACACTAAAGTCGCACAGAGGGATGTTGGCGATGAAGTAGTACGGGCACTGTGGGTGGTCGAACATGGAGTCCTTGTGTTCGTTCTGGCGCATGCCGGCCGTGTTGGCTAGGGCTGTGTTGGCAGTCAGCCAGTTCCAGATCGGTGTCTGGCCAAGGTATCTGCGGTAAGTTGTAGGTGAGCCTGGTTCTGAGATTGGGACATGAGCTTTTGAGGTGACTCACGCGTTGGCCACCTGTAAGAGGAACGGGTTGAAATACACATCGTCCTGTAACAAATTTGCTTGTGTCACCGGCGGTCTTTGAAGGAAGTTGGCTGTTTTATATGTTTCGTTAGCGCCGCTTCAATGTGATGCTGTTTGCTCAAAAGACATTGCCGTGGAGAAGAGCCTCACACTTGAGGTTGTGGTTGAACACTTGACTCGGGTCGGCGATCCTCTTCTCCGCCTCCTCGCACATGGCTTCATTCAAGGCATCAACATGGCTGACATCTATCACGCCTCTCAAAACTACTAGCCCATCCCGGTGCAGCCCTGACAACACTCGCTGCAAATTGCGTGATGAGTAGACACCAGCACTTCGCTCATTCTCCGTTGGGGCGATCGCTTGAGGGGCATCTCCATATTCGACTTTCATCTTGGCATCAAGGAAGCGATATGGGCGCTTGGACAGATAAGATCATCAATTCTAATCGACAATTCAATACCAGTGAGTTTCTTGGGTGCATAGGTAGATAGGCTTTTTTCAATCGAGGCGAACAAGACTGAGGGAGGCGCGATTCTCCGAGAGCGGGACTGAGTGAGCGGGGAGATGATGACATTGTCAGCATTGCCCATTGCCTGGCGCAGAGGGTGCCATATCGGCGCGATGTGAATGGACAGCCACCAGGTGGATACACCATTTTTTCGAGTCTTCTGGGCAGCTTATTTGTCTCACTAGGTTATTTAGGTAGGTAGAGTGGATGTGCTGTTAAAATACGAAGTCTAACAAAAGGTCCAGACCCATTTTGTCAGTGTATCTTTCAGGATATGTGATGGCGGGACAGCTTCACTAGACCCAGTGTCTGCTATATTAGCAAAGGTTCTGCACTGCATCCAAACTCATGATGACAATGGTCTGATATTCAAAAGGCCGCCCACTACTAGATCTCGTGATAATGAACAAAGTCGAATGCCGAGAACAAATCATATGTGAACTTGAGATAAGCCACGTCACAGCGGAGAGCAGGCTTGCGTTGCGAAGGCGAAGGTAGATGAACGGTGAAGTTTCTCGCCTCAATGCTCCCTGAAACTTGATTCACCTATTGCCTGGGTTTACATCGGTTCAAGCCCGACAACACCGGAAACAACGGTGCGACTTCACGGCTTAGATGACATCTCGAGGCCCAAGCCATCAGATGCCTTCGGTCTCCGCTCTGCCATGTTTTGGCGTTGCCTGATACTTTCGCTTTTACAACATATTACCAGGCGCTGGAATTCTATATAGTTATGTATGTATTGTTCTCGATCAAGAGGACAGTGCCTTAAAGTTTCTTCGTTTCAAAGTTTGTTTAGGTACCTCGTTATCACCCCATGCCTGCAAATATCCAGTTATCCATGTTTCACCCGTACGGAGGCTGGGAAATTGGTTGAGCAAGATTTAGTTGCTTGAGATTTGCCTCGCAGTGGCATGTAGTTTCTTTTACGTGTCATTATGAACAAGGACAACACAATTTCATGATGCTTCTTCGATGAAGAAAGTTTGGCAACACGAGCCAGATTATTGCTTGAGATACTATTCTGAGTGCCGAGTGGCAACACAACGTTGCTCGCGCCGAACTTCAGGGGTTGGATCCAAGTGTGAAATCGTATAGTGCAACACCCGCTTCTTTGCTCGATCATGTCTTGGTATCCAGTTTCTCGGTCACCGTAATCTTGGCCGCTGTATCCTCGTCGTGATGAGCGAGCACCTTCTCTGTGGCCTTGACCGCCTCGTCTGCGAGTTTCTTGTCCTCGAACACTGTTCATTTGTTAGTAAAGGTGCCCTCAGTGATTTCAATCAACCAGCAAGGCATCAGGGTGACATACTAAAAGCGAGTTCCTCGAGGGTACGTCCGAATGTTTCGGGAAACATGAAGTAGACGAATGCAACCTCAAACGCTAGCCAGCAGCAGTACGAGATGAGGTATCTCCAGCCCACATCCTCAAGTCCGATGGGGTTGACGAAGGTAGTGAAGAAGCTGGCCAAGCGGCCGAAGAGCTGGAACACGGAAATGCCACGGCTTCGTTCCGCGTACGGCCACATCTCGACCATATAGGCTAAGAAGGTCAGCAAAATTGTAATAGAATATGGCTGCTTCAAGCAAGACTTACTGTATGTCAAAGCATTGTAGCCCATGTTATAGCACGGACTGTAAGCATAGATAAAGAACAACGTCGCAATGTTGGCCGAATTATTCGGCGTCCCAGCGTCAGCGGCCGTCTGGGCCTTTTGCATAGAGATAGTCCACGCGATGTAGCACAGCAACAAGCTGATGGTGCAAGCCAGATACATGACCCGTCTACGGATCTTGACTACCAGCAGCGCAACGATTGTGGCACAGACCATGCTCCAGCATGCGATCGACACGTTGATCTTCTGCACGGCGGTCGAGTCCGTCATCCCGATCATGTCGAGCAGGTCTCCGAGGTAGTAGCTGATAAGCGTGTTGCCGCTCCACTGCGTAAATAGTCCAAGCATGCAAGTGATGAGCAGGCGGCGACGCATTCCTGAAGTCGCAAACAGGTCTGCCCAGGATTTCTTGGAGGCCTCGACTTCGAGCGAGATCGTGGTGTGGATCTGGGCCATTTCCGCCTTGACAAACTCCGACTCCGCGTCGCCTTCGGCGTGGTACTTGACCAGGATTGCTTGGGCCTCTTCGACGCGGTCCTTGGTTATGAGCCATCGGGGGGATTCGGGGAGGAAACTGGAAAGTGCATATGGTAAGTTTCTGCTTTACGGACTGCCCTGGTACATGACGATGACACCTACAGTACGCAACTGATTTGAAGGACTGAAGGGCAGATTTGGAGTAGCGACGGGATCCTCCAAGACCAGTCATTCGGTATGCTGTTTGTCCCAAAGCAGATGGCTGCTGCCGTGATTTGGCCCACAAAGTACGAGACGTTGAACAAGGACGTCAGTACCGGCCGTTCTTTGGGATATGCCAGCTCGCCAATGAGTGAAGACCCAGACACGATACATGTTGGGATTCCGAACCCTAGGATCATCCGGGCAACAATGTACATGCCAACGTGCTGTGAGAACCCCTGGATGAGAGCGCCGACAACCATGACGAGCGAACCCCCCAGGATCGATCCTCTTCTACCAAATTTCTCGTTGACCATCGGAATGAATGGAAGGGACAGGATAGCTCCCAGAGAGTACGCAGCCGCGATGATGCCCTTAAGCGAGCCCTGCGGGTTTCCAAAATATTCCTTCCATGGCGGCACAATCTGGAGAGCATTGATCATCTGAGAGTCGAATCCGGAGGTCAACTCGATTCCCATACATGTTGGGAAGAGCATAAAATAGAGGAATCGCAGATTGGGTTTCTTGAACCAGATTTTCTTATCCTCACTGGCAAGCCGAGTGATGATGGGGTCCGACTTGCCCTTCTCCGCTGTCGTCGCTGAGCCGATAGCCATGTTGCTGGTTGTTGCGGTCTCGTCAGGGGCCCGTCTATGGTGCCGGCCTCAATGAGCCGTTTCGTCTTTGAGGTCCACTGGCTGAGTCCAGATACAAGGACTATGCGAACTTGGTCGAGATCACACGGCGTAGTACAGTAAAGAACGCGTCCGTCTGATATATAGAATTAATCTGCACAATCTAATTGAGCCAGGCGCTGCGGCTGATGCACACCTCGTGATCCGCGTTTCTGGGACACCCTGCCAAGAAGGGACATATTCAACAACAATCCGGGGTATATTCCTCCAGCATGCGGGGTCACCAATCCCGGAGTGCGATCCAGCGAGTGACAAGCGGCGGCATCAACAAATACGGTGCAATTACCGGCGCCTTGGCGGCAGTTGGCCTTCTTGGCGCTCGCCAGGACCCCAGGCTCAGCACTGAATTTCGGGTCATCAAACCGACGAAAGCAGAAGTGGCCGGCGGTGAGCCACTGGGAGCGCTGCGTTGAGTTTGGAAGAATCCGGCTAAATGCGACGTCAAGACGGTTCCTTCAACGTCTGCTTCCGCTAGTGCGTGTGGCCTAAATGAAGCGTCTTACCCTAGACGCGGGACTGCTGCACATCAGTACCATGGTACTATGTCTTCCTCGCATATGAGTGGGATTTTACGATGAATAGGCGATGAAGGCAACGGAATGCTAGTAAGCACTGCTCAAATCAAATGACAAGATCTCACGACGAAAGACCCAGGATTTAAACAAGCACTCAGCTAGAGGCAGGAAGGGAATAAGTTTCAAGACCGGGGCGGAGATCCGATACCCTTTGAAGGTGGCTGGCTGTCAGGAAGAGTGGTCAGATCAACCGTGCGGCTGGATTGGAGAGCATGCATATGCATGCCTACGCGAATCGAAAACACTTTAAGCTTGTCGATTCAAGATAGTCAGTCGCTGTATAGTCAATACTGTACTCATAGCCGTACTAAAACGAAAACAACGCATTGCTTCGTTTCCCAAAGGGGTACACCAACAGAGCAGACAAGAACATCCCGACGGCTAGACCAACCTGCAATTCACACAGTCAGCTTCAATCAGGCAACACCCCTATGACAAGTCCGGAGGCATAGAGGCCCTGGTGAAAACACTGCTTGACCACTTACCGCGACCTGTATCATCTGGGCGCCAACACTAAACGATTGGTAAATATTTTGCTCATACACATCCTGTGCATTTGTAGTAGCGTTGTTAAACAATGGAGTGGTAATGCCTGCGACAAGCCCCCCTTGCGCACTTAGGCCAGACGGAACCAGCACCACTTGACGGATCTCAGTCAGCAGTGTTCTCTTTCCAGACAATGGTGGCAAGTTCTGCGGTAGAAACATACTTATACCAGCAACGACAGCGGCAAATGCGAAGGCTCGTTGAGAGCGAGCCCATAAATGACCGAGAACACCGAGGGTGAAGGCCGATGCAGTGTCGGCCACCTGCCAGAACAAAACATAATCAGTGGTCTAGTCAAATAAGATTCCATCCAATGGAGGATAGCTATAATCCTAGTAGGACTGCACAGCTGGAAGGTCATCCAACGGGAGAGTTCTCCGGACTATAAGCCGCTAGAAGTCCTCTAAGTGGCAACCCGATGCCTAGAGGTCCAATTGTTTCGTGGGGAGGCTTCGGGAATTTCTGCGAGCTAAACCAAGTTTGGGGTCATTTAACTCAAAAACAATAGGACTTACTTGTGCGGTAGCATACTGCGAAACGAAGTAGTTGACAGTGTACGCTGCTGACCCGAGAACAACCTGGACGGGGATTTGACGTGGCCGGCTTCTGAGGAGAATGGCCTGGACGACTAGATAGCTCGGCACCAGAAGGATCTTCCACTTGGGACTAACCCAATTTACACGTGGGCAGGTTGCATCTGTAGGTGCGTCGGGGTCTGGTATTTGTTAGCCATTTACGGCCGAGCACCAAATGATACAACAACCCGGGAATAGGAGGGAAACAGACAGAGCATCCTAGCCGGAGAAAGCAAGTACCTACAGATGACTGCCCACAACTGCGCACCGACGTCTATACCATATCCCAGCAACAACGAGTAGATCACTGCGTAAAACAGACGTGTGGAGCCAGCCGTGATCGACTTGGACTGAAGCTCGAGGCTGCCACACAACACGATGTAGCCCGGCAAAATGGTACAGATGGAAGACTCAGCAATGGCACCAAAGCAGAAGTATTTTTGACTAGGCCCAATCGATGAGAATGCGCGGGCCCCAAAGGAAGTGATCAAAGACGCAGACACCTCGAGCACGTTTGCATAAAGAGGGTTCTTGGCGGCAAGGACGACCTGCAGAAGGCCGACGATGCAGCCCAGGAGGAAGGCGATAGGCATGTCCAACCAGTATCCTCCAAAGGCCCAGATGCAGGCGAGGGAAGATGCAAAGCCGTAGAAGGGCACCAGAGTCCATGGCTTGTAGTAGGATGGAGACTCGATCATTTGGGCGAGGCTCTGTGTGGCCTCCTCGATGGTGACTTCGCCGTGGATGACGTCCTTGTAGATGCGGAAGGCCGTCTCGCACGCTCCGATATCAAGCCCTTGGGCTTTCACTAATGTCGTGTAAGCCGTTCGTGTCATCGGGTCTTCCGGGTCGATGGGGTTGATGAAGGATATCTCCGTGCAACCGACTGTATAGTTGACCCTTCCCTCGATTTCGAGCACATTGAAGAGCTTGAGTGTGTACTCTTCGATGCGATGCGAAGGAGCACCATACGCCATGAACGCATAGACCATGAGCAACACCACGTTCCGGCGGTGGGCCAGCTCAGCTATGGCCTGTACATATTTGGCCTGCGGGCTGTCCTTCTTGGCCATCTTGATCTTCAGCTTTTTCAGTGCTTGCGAAACCTCGTGCGGGTCAACTCCAACACCAAATTTCCATGGTTTGCCAGGGGTCGCCGTTCCAGTGGTTGAAGAGCCAGAGTCCAAGGCAGATGTATTTTCTGTTGCTGTTGCTGTTGTTGCGACAGTCGAGGATGACTCCGTTCTAGCTCCGAGGCCAGGTCGAGCCAGCATGACCGAGGGAGCGATCAAGCTTGAGACTCTATTATGAGCTTTCTGTCTTCCTCTCCTTCCGCTCTTGCTCGATTTCAGCATGCTTTTCAATGTCCGCACATCGATTCCGATATCACCCATCAAATCCTGGACATCCTGGCTCCTCTCTGGCTCGCCAAAGTCTTGCTTGAACGAAGTCATCCAGTCGCGGAAAGATTGCCAACAGCCACGGTGTGCTGCAGGGTCACGATCCGGCTCTCCATCGTTGTCTGTGCGGAAATCGCTCACACCATCGCCGCCCCCATCATGGCGAACGTCTTCGTCGCCATCATCGTTGCCGTTGTCACCAATACTTGGGGCAGAATGCGTCTGCCTCAGCTGACCGTCGTCGCTTGGGAACCGCAGCCGACGCGGAGTCTTTGGAGTGGACGGAGTCTGCGGAGTTGTTGGAGACTGCTCTGTGTGAGAGATATCGTGGTTGAGGTTGATCCGATCAGATTGCGACGGGCTCGACCCGAAATTCACCCCGGCGACTGGGGGCGGTTGGTGGAAGAAGTGTGAGGGGTCTTCGTCTGTGCCAGAGACATTGGGCGCGCCCGGAACGGCACCTTCAGCCATTCTGCCTGGTATCTGCGCAAGTGGATTAACATGCCTGATCACAATTGCAGATATCACAGTAGAAGAGACGATCATGTCCTATAAATCATCCCGCCCTCGGGATAACGAGATTCCACTCACAGTATGTAAAATCGATGAAGAGAAGTAGTGCAATTAAGATGCCGTTTGTCTACATGACTACATACAGTAGCACAATTTCGTTGTCGGGTATCTCTTATGAGGAAGTGTCCAGTTCCGGTCACAGGACTAGAGGGGGGGTGGGCTTTTGTAATTGTCTTGTCGAATTTTGGCCTTCACCGTCTGCAAGTGGACCTTGTTCGTGACTTCCTTGCCGATCCGGGCGCTTCCTCCAAGTTGGGCAGCGTGGTAAAGAGCGCAGCTGTTGAAGTAAAGCGTCATTGTGGATATGTTGACGCAAAGACGACCCACACTCCCCGGATCTTCGGGTCGAGGTTTGCAGTGTGTTTGTTTGTTGGCAAGTTCATTGTGGGTGCAAGATAGGAGTAAATGCCTCATTGAATCATGACCATTTTAGTGTTAGTATAGATTGAACATCATGAGACTCAGGTACTCGGTTAGAAAGGGTACACATACAAGCCGATGAACAGATAGACAACCACACGACAGACAGTCTTGGAATTGTTCCTGCATGTGCAAGGGCGAAACGACGATCGGGGTGCCAAGAGCGGCCGAGAAAAGCTTGGCCTAAATTCTAAAATCTGACGGTCGTTGTTGACCTCAAAGAAATGCATCTTGATACATACGGTACCGGCTGCCTAGGGTAGGCGTATTCAGTGATCGGAAATGGAAACTGGAGCTTCATCGCGAGTTCCTTCGAGATTCGCATTGCCTAGGTACCTAGACAGGGACCAGAACGGTCCTCTTTGATATTTTAATGATGAGGTCCAGCCTCATCGCCCGTAAACATTCAACACCACGCATGCAGCAATACAATCAAACTTCGACTTTGATCTTTTGTAGAGTTTCTGCTTTCTTATCAGCTTTGTATCACCGCCGCCACCATGGCCCTGCCAACAGAGCTTATTTACCAAATCATTCGCGACATTATCAACACACCCGCAGTCTTCATCTTCGACATCGATTTTGGCAAAGATCCCCATCCACCACTCCTCCCACAGAGCTGCCATATCCGTTTCCGACCTGTCGTAAGCCCTCCGGATCAGCAAGACTATCGCGGTACCTAGGAGTCTCAAGTCAGCAAGACCATCCGCAGCCTGCTTCTCACCAGCCACTTCGTCAAGTCCGAGTGTCTCAGACACCTCCAGGGCATCACTGTACCCACCGTGGGCCCGGACGCCATCGTGCGCTTTAACCCGCGGCAGCACATCATTTGCCTGCACCGAACCGGGTCCACTATAAATCAAATCCATGCAACCCCTGGACCTCCTTCCAGTGCAAGCTATTTCAGATCATGGGTCAAGAGAGATTCCGACCTGTTGACCGATCTCAACTTCGACATCGTCCATCTCGCCTTCATGAATGGCTTATATAATCTTTCTTGGCCAAAATACTTCATCACTCTCCACGAAATCTTCCCCAGCCTACAGTGCGTATACGGCGCAGTCGTTGAGTTGCCTCGGAAGCACCCTTCAGAACCGGTCGGTCTCGTCCGGCCTGTCCGCGACCCAGCCCATACACTGTCACCTGTTTTCATGTTTATGACAAGGCGCGCCTGGCAGATTGCGTGGCGAAGTTACTCCCGAGATATCTTGAGATTGACGGGGGGGTGGACAGGTGCTCATCAGGCTCCGCTTTTGGCTCTGGTCCGGAACTATGAGGAGCTTGTCCTCATTTGAATAAGTCAAGTCACGGCTGTGTCTCTTGCATGCTCCTTTTGCGGGCCTGAAGTGTGTCATAAATTAGGAGGGCTTGGTTTCGAGGCAACAGGACAGCTGTAATTGAGGATAAGCATGAGACGCCATGGAAATAGTAATCGCTCCCTTCAGTATCGTTCATAGTTGAGAACGCACCAGTGCCGGCTCCCCCAATCAGGTTAGATATTGGTTAGGCGGTAGCAAGTTGAGAAGTCCATAAAACCCAAAAGTCGGACCCCTTGTGCAAAAGCATGTCCTCAGTTTGTATCGGTGAAATCATGTCTACCAGACCCAAACGTATTTTGACCCTTCTGCTTGGGTATGTGTCGTTCATTCAGCACGCTGCTCCACAATCAAGCTAAACACAAATCATGACCAAGACGAGGCTTTCTCCGCCCCATCATAGCTCATACTTCCAAAAGACAACACTCGCGCCCTTGTCACCTCCCAGCGCTGTGGCTCCGAGACCCCGAATTGGATACGTGACCGAATGTCCCATCCGCCGCCCATGATAGTATCTCAGCTTTGATGAAAAGCCAATGCGGTCGAGAGGAATAGACCTCCACATTTCCACCCAAAAATTACCACGACAGTTGCATAAGATTGAGCCCCCAGATGCGGAAAACCGAACATTCTCCAACGCGTCGGATTCCGCGCCCGGCCCGCCTTGAGGCATCATCCGCCTGACCCAACACTCCATTTGGGAAGTCCAGAGCCACAGCTCGCCGGTTGCCGATCCGCATGCCACTATCTTGCCGCCCGGGGAGATGTCGAGGCTGCTGGCCAAGCAGGGGTATTTGACTACCTGCTTTTTGAACCAGGAGTCTGCTGCGGTGTCCATAATGATGAAATCGGTCTCGCAAGCCACGATGAGCTTCGAACAGTCCTTCATGAATTGTAAGCTCTTGATTCCGTTCTCCCCTGATTCTCTGTCAGGCGTCGTTGCCAAGCAGTAACTGTTTGTAGTGGCCCAGTCGTCCTCGATCTCAATCTGGCACAAGAGGCTGTTGCGGGCAATGACAAGGATGCGGCCGTCTGGGGAGAAAGTTGAGATGGTCGGATGATCTCCAACTCCATCGAAATCATCTTCGATGAAGAAGAAGTCTTCAAGATCGATGGCGTCTTCCAGAATCAAAGGCTTCCGCCACTTTGCTTGAGTGATACAAAGATATCTTCCATCTGGATGGATTGACCCGTGGCAGAAAGCTTTCTTGGTTTTGCCTACATAGGAGTTGACAACTGTCTCTGACTCCATGTTCCAGACAAAAACTCGTTGAGGTTCGATCACAACAAGATGGTCTCCCTCAGGGGTGAACAAGATGAAAGGTGGAGTACTCCCTCGGCATGGTTTTGTGCAGGTCGTCTCCGTAGTAATGTTCCTGTACTTATTTCTGCCATGGGTCATCGGCCACCGCAACTCCTCGAGAGCAGAATTTGCAGAAGGACGATCAAATGGGCTTGGAGCCATGCAGCGACGAATGAACCCAATCCCTTCGCTGGAGATCTTGTTGGCCTCAAGGGCCTTCCGAGGAAATCGTTCTGGTTCTTGAACGTAATTGCTCAGAGTTTGTAAGTTGTCGCCAAAGGATGCCATTCCTGTCAACAGTCGGTATACTGTTTCCCCCGCAGCCCAGATGTCAGCCGCCTTGCTCCTGTCGAGTTGGGAAAGCTCCTTGCCGCGCGCCTTGAAGCCCAATAACTCAGGTGCCATGAAGCCGAGTGTTCCACAAACGGTGGATGACAGCGTTCGGGATTGATGGAGCTTTTTGCTGAGGCCAAAGTCCGAAATCTTGATCCACCATGATCGATTCGGGGGCATTTGTTTGACGAGAAGGTTTGAAGGCTTCAGGTCTCTGTGGACGAAGTCATTTTGGTGCATGAACTCGAGACCACGAAATAACTGCTTGCTGATGAACTTGACATCGATCTCCGCAAAAGGGCCTTTATCCACCAAATGGGATTGCAGGTCTCCCAAAGCCATGTACTCCATCGCAACGAATAGCGTGCTTGTGCTCTCGAACCATCCACATGTCTTGACGAAGTGATATTCGTACTACTCGTGCGTTTGAATTGTTGTCAGCTGCCACTGGCCATGGTGCTCGTCGACGTTGAGAAGGGCATGGTCATCGTACCTTGGGCTTTGTGAAGAAGACAAGACTGTGTAGTTCGTGCAGGAGCTCACCAGACAACTTGACTTGGTCTCTGGGTTTGAAAAGTTGTTTGACAGCTCTCAAAGCGCCAATCTTGGTCCTAGCATCACCCTCATCGCCTTCATCCTCGTAGTCGCTGTCATCCCAGACCACGTCGACATCGAAGCATCTCTCCAAATGGACGGATCCAAATCCACCGCAGCCGATGTATTTCTCGCACTTCCAATACTCTTGCAGTGAACATCCCTGGGCTGCTTGGGTTCGTGTGGTATGGCGGACGTCAGAGTTCGAGTTTGAGAAGTCTGTTTCCAGCCTGGCATTCTTTACCAGGAGGGTTACAGCGTCTGTCTTCGGTTTTGCAGTCCTGCTGGGTGCCATCTTGGACAACTTCGTTTTGAGAATCAATTCTGTCCGTGATTTCGGAGCTCCTCGTTTACTTGCTTGTGGCCAAGGGAAGTACGGTGGGTAGTTCCCAATTCCAAGCAGCGGACGGGTAGCCATAGCCCGGAGCTGCTAATTCACAGCTCCCAGTCTGCACTCCGGTACCCAGGTATTTCCCAAACAGTTCCTGCCTAAGTGAATTGTGTTGCTCTATGAATCCCTGGTAATTACACACGTCTATGCACGGCGAAGTGACTTAACCAGTCAGGCCCACAGGGCTGCGGGCAACGACTTCCAAGCAGAAACGGAATCAACACCTCGTTACTACTGCCTCTTGTAACATCTGCTTTCTTCATAACAACACATGCTGTGTCTTGACAACTTTCCTAGCACTACCTCGTTGCAAGAGAGATTGCAAGAGAGATTAACTGCCTGACAGACCCTCAGTCAAAGAACAGAGTAGCATTGCGAATGCTTTCCGAACCAGCAGTCTGCGCCTGTCTCGTGTCAGTGTCCAGTTGAGAACCAATTGATTTTATTGTCGCAAACATGAAGCTAGGAAGTGCAGATCAATCACAAAAGAGTAAGTCACGGGCATGTCTCGCCTCAAGTTACCGCATTGGCCTTGGTAGCTGGAATCTATCGACATCAATAATTATAATTAATACCGAGCCTATGTACATCTCGTAGAAGTCTTGAATGTAATCCCCCATTCAAGGAAAGGCGTTGCGCCACACACGACTTCATCCGCACCCTTCTCAGTCGACGCCATCAGTCCCGGACAACCAGTCCCACGTGCCTCGCGAGACTGGCTCAGCCGGGATAAGAAACGGTAATCTTTCCTCTTGTTATTCTCCTTCTCCATGACCTCCCTGTATCGCAAAAAGTCCTTGGAGCCCCAAATGCAAGCCTCGGGCAACGATGACGAAGCCTCGAGACTGTTGGCTTTTGATGGAGCGACCTCGGAGCTCTGAAATCAGGCGTCGACAGGGTGCGGCGATGAATGTGTGGGCAATTAGTCGGATATATGGGAGGTGTGTGGTCCTCGAGAACCGAACTCGAGGTCGTCTAAGATCTCACGCCGCTCTAGAATGGTATCTTCCTCCTCCGCGGGCTCTTCCCGATACCAGAAAATGTGCTCTGGACGTCGCCTGCCCTTACAGCCCAACGCTCCAACCAAAATGGGCGGTCCGCTCCTCATTGGCGCCCACTTTGACCCTATAGCACAGCAGCTCCCATCATCGCCACCGGCACAACATATCGGATGACGTTCATCACCGGCGTTGCTTGTGCGGCAGCACCGATTACCGAAGCGGTAGCAATGGGCGACACGCTCGAGTAGCCGGTGAAGGTGTTGCCGCTTCCAGCGCCCGTCGTTCCAGTCGTGCCAGACCCTCCTCCGCCTGAGGTCGCTGTTGGTGACGATGTCCCCGTGGCAGTGGCAGTGGCAGTGTTTGATGCCGGTGCGCTGCTGCCTATGCCCGACACACTTGCTGTCCCTGCTGCCAATCCTGCTCCTGCCGGTGCCGCGCAATTACACACTACAGTAAGTTTAATTAGTCGTTTTCTTTGTACAGTATAGACGATGTGGCTGAGATCACACGTCGGGACGAGCGTGAACGACAGAAACCCATACCTTCATCGGACCCGTCAATGACAGCTTGGTAACTGGCTGATGGACATGCCGTCTGTACGCAACCCTCAACAGCGGCAAAGAGCGCCGCCGATTGCGCGCATTGGCAGCTGAAATCCGTTCCTTGACATCCTATCGATGGTGCGCCATTGAGGATACAATTCTGTGCGCAGCCGGGAATCGCGGTGAGGGCGACGTTGATGCAGTCTTGCGCGACGACGACTCCGCAGTAGAGAAGCGCGAGCGCGTGTAACGAGACAAGCCTCATTTTCGTATGTGTTTTATGATTTTAAATAAATAGGAGTTATCATGAGATGTTTTGCGAGCCAAGAGTCATCCTTTGCCGCATCCGATGGGAGTGTCAAACAGAGTCGTCCCAAGATGCTGAGATGATGATGGATGTTCTGGGGCAAGAGAGCAGGAAAAACAAACGAGAGTCCTGCACTATGTTGCTCGGGCTGGTGGAGCAAGGGTTTTGTCGGGGTGTGACGGTGAGAAAAGGAAATCTGAGCACTGATGTAAGTGGTCGGGACGAGAACTGATCACCCACCTTCCAGGTGTGCCCTGGTAACTTACACGGCGGGATGGACACCTCTTGCATGGCACTCGAGCACATGCAGCGTGTGAGTGGAAGTATAATTGGCCGTCTGTTTCCCCCGCAAGCAACGGCCGGACCGACCATGCTACTCCAGGCAGTGTGGCTGGGACTGGCCTGGAGTCCAGAGGCAACAATCAAGAGCATTCAGAGACTTTCACATGGCCGACTAGGTGTAATTCTCGTGTGGAGAGAGCTCGGTATGATCTCACACCCACCCATCTCGTAGTCAAAATCCTCCTCCCCCGCGTTCTTCTTCCCCAGATTGCCCAAGATACACTATGATGGGGATCGTTGCCCCTGGTCCCTGCTGGCCTTGGCACTAGCTATCAGCGCCATGTACAACCCTCCATCGGCAACCCCTCCCTATAGGGTAAAGATCCCCTCAACTATGCCGGTTCAGGGTGACATGATATACACACTTGGGTCCAATCCGGTAGCTGAAGCGATGGGCAAGGCGGCCGAACCGCGACTCGGGCAGGTATCATGGTCACATTCTACTGCAGACCAACAAGCACTCATTTGGAGATCCTCACCTCACCTCGGCTGGCACCACTGATTTTTCACTTCTCACATGCACGTGGAAAGCGGAGAACATGTTCCCTACTCAAGCGGCGCCCGCCAACAATGTACCACACCGTCAGCCCCAGCTAGCAACTTGGAGTCGCGTGTCTTAAATGTTCGTATCTTCCGGGCTCCTCGGCCGTCCGCCGGCCTGTCAATAGTCTAGTCGCTGCACGCATGCCCAATCACAGATACGTCAATCACATCAAGAAAATGGCGCAGAATAAGTTGGCTCGAACAAGACGTCGAAGAGCAGGATACTCGATGAAGTTGTGCTTCGGACGTGCACATGCGACTTTGTAGCTCCGTTACTCGTGACGATTGTGCGGTCTGGACGGACCGAGCTCTAGACAACACATGTTGGGAAAGCCAATTCTCAATACACTAATGCAGGTCGTTGGAATATTGCAGCTGGATGCAAGATCAAAAACCGTGCGGAGGGACAGATCGTGACTGTCGTCATCTTCGCTCCTCTAGGGATCTGGACTGAGATCGGTCAACAGTAGACAATGAGGGTGCTTGCCATTAGACGTCATGAACTGAAAGTTAAAGTAAGGCCTATGTGACCTGCTATGACTTCCAGTCTAGGATGCTTCCCTGGTTGTCCGCGGGCCCGAAAGCCTGATTGGCGTAGTTGCGCCGGCAATCATTGGCCACCACCCCACGGTCCCAAGTTTAATCGAACGACTCATGCGCGATATCCTAGGTGGGATGAAGCAGCGAATGTCAAAACCAGGCCGTCGGCCAGAGCTTGTCCATGTGGCTTGACAAAAGCTGTGGCAGTTTCTAGTCAAATACACGACAAATCCTGCGTCAAGGAGTAAGACATATATGTAACGTCCAACTCGCCAACCAGGACTCTTAAGCGCATACCCCGGCATGAAAGATAAACAACCTATTGGCATAGTCGCAAAACAAATTGATACCAAGGGTCATCCAGCTAGCTCGTCCTTGAAATATAAATTTGAAATGATGGTCGACCAGGGTGGGGGAAACACGCCCAGGGTCTGATAAGAGGGTATCACGGAGCCGGGAGAGTCCAGGTCTGGCTTCAATGAAGATCTACAAGATGCATGCTGCGTCTCGGCCCTCGACACCGATAATTCAAGTTCTCGTCTATTACTACAAGTTATCCATGTCAGATGGCCCAGGATATTGTGTTTTTTGAATCACAGCTGAAATGTAAGCCTCCAGTCTGTCGGGAGGGCATTGAGGACCATTGTGGCTTTGCGTCTCAGGCATGAAGCAGAGTGGAATTTGAAACCAGGCGGCGGGCAGCGCTCCCTCTGCTCCCATACGCTTGCGAGCGCGAATGGCCAAAAGGCTTGACTACAGCAAGGGAGCGTGTGACTCTTATCCAGCACCAGGCATCAAGGGGTCTAGACCTGAAATCATTTTCTTCTTCCAATCGCGACGGGTCTAGTAATTTTCTAGGTCTCATGGTAGCTCCTTTTCGTCCCTTGGAGCGGGTTACCCGTAGACTTCGGACGAAATGTCGCGTAGTCTCGAAGCACCTCAAACCCCAATTGACACGAGAGAAAAGTCACAACACGGTACTAGTAGTCAAGCCATCGAATGTAGGCTGTACATACATACGGGCCACTCATTCAGCAGTGTTTTACGCAGCTGATGAGAACACGAAAATCGTAAAGCAAGTTGACCACACAAACCATTCTAAACCTACAGGAAATCTAATTTCCTATTCCTCAATATCCTCAAATGGTTATTCGGTGCTCCGCAAATTCGAGCAGGGAGGCAGGCTACCTATTCTGTAGGCTGGCCAACATGAGTCCCGCAAGTTGTTACATTTACCAGTTTTGTCATGTAGTGTGTCCAATGAATCTAGAGTAGCATAGAGGCAAATTGCTGGTTATGGGATAATTTTATTTCATCTCAATTCATACGCTTTTGATGCAACAGATCTTTGAAGATATCAATTTGGACAATGATCCGTGGTCATACTCTCACGGTCAGAATACCTGTAGTACCTAAGTATAGGTGAAGAAAGAAAGTCCATGGAGATCACATTCAAATATCTTCGTTCCCAGCCGCATCCTTCCGAGCTCAAAAACAGTGCAGCGGAGTACCGTCCCAAATCGTTTGTGCATCATCGGATTTCCTGCAAGATATCCATCCGTTCTGTCTCAGGTCTGTGAGTAGATGTATGTGAAATCATTTAACAGGGGGCCTCACTCACCTGATGGGAGCTCTGTATCGATAGGCAATCGATAACGATGTTGTTTAATTGTGGCCGCCATTGCCATTGCTGGAGTCCGGCGTCCCATCGCCTACCGGCAACACTTGCGCGGCAGGGTTTGGGAGAGCAACGGCAAGCATGGCGTTGCTGATGACAGTGAGTGCCAAGACGATCTTGGAGACGAACTGCATTCTGAAAGCCTGAGGAGTCTTCGGGATGAATGTCTGTTTGTGTTTCGATGATGCTTGATATGAACTTCTGGTCGATACGGTGCTGCTGGAGACGAGTGAGCAAGAGACGATGGGACTTGGAGCAGATAGCTTTGAACGTTTGCGTGTCCAGAGGGAGACACTTATACTTGAAAGGGCACTCATATTGGAAAGTTTAGCCCTGGTCCCCGAATGCCATGATGTCGTTGTGGAGTCGTGAATGAATAGAGATGCTCGCCCCCCAAGCGAACCGTTGGCGAAGTACCTGCTACTATCCGAGACATAACGGTCTGCAGGTTTGCCTGTCAGAACCACACCCGCCCAATCGGTTTGTCCTTGTATGCAGTACTATGTCTCGCCTTGTCATCCAGTACACCAGATCAGGATACACAATCGCCGTGCCCACCTCGAATTGGCCTGGATCACAGTCTCGGCGCGCTTTGATGATATTGAACACCTCCAAGTCACCATCTGCTGGCGGCCTATGCTGATCGACGGTTTTTTATGTTTTGAAATTTAGTCTCGCCTGCTGGAGTGTGCTGTGCGGTATGGGCCTCGAAGACACTACCTTCGCATACGGGAAGCTGTGTGCAAGGACGCGCATTTTCCTGCCCCCAGAATGTGGGTGACAACTCAGGAGCACCGCGACTTCACTCTTAAAAGCTGTATTTGGGTCAAATGCATCATGATGCTCACACAAGATGTCTTGTTGACACCATTCCCGCAGGTGTCAAAGAGTCAGTGTAACCTGCCACAATAACGTCTGGCCGCAACAGGCGATGAGATCCGAGTTGCCTCCGAGACCACGTCTAGTTAGCTACCGCCATGACAGGACAAACTTCATTTTCAATGCAAGATCACTCAATAACTCACCAATGTTCAACGTACGTACTGATCAGTGAATCCTCGGATAACTTTGCGTTAGAGTTCACCGTTACACCAACCGTTGTGGACATAGCCGTCTCCTCGGGTGCCGTTCAAGCACAGTCATAGCACCACCCGGCAGTCGAGTGGTCTGAATACTACCCGAGGTCCCGAGGAGCGGGAGTCGAGGCGAAATAGCACCGTGTTGGGAGCTTTGCGGTACCGCGGGTGTGTGCTGTCGCCAAACCCGGGTGTCAACTTGTAGCCCTGCCGTCGAGTCGCACGCGGCTCAACGGGAAGTGCGCCGAGTCTTTCCGACAAACAAACCAAGTATCTAGCTAGATACAAGAGACAAGTCACTGTCGTGGAAACTGAGCATGTATGACCTCGAATCATGAGTCCTTATGAGTCAAGTGAAGCTGACCATTTACCTATCGGCCGAGTGTCGAGCCGGCTGGGCACTCAGTGGATGATGATCTCCAGAGCCTCGAGCAGAGGGGGATGAGTCTAACACCAGTACTTCCTTGATGTAGGCAAGAATGTACAGGGAAAAAATTAAAGCATATTGAACGGAGGACTCGCTTACTTTGGTTGAGCGGCCATCGAGTTCAGATGCAAGTCATTGTCCTCTTCTCATACTCTCATGCGTGTGTGTCCTGTACGCGAGGATGAGATCGTCACCACCAGCATGATGACTCTGTTTTTCAAGTCACTACCCTGGAATCTCTACCTCTTCTGTGTGTAATATGATGCTGCGATGTCTGAGAACTTGTTTATTCTTTATTGTCTATCCATTCTAAGCTCGAGAGACCCTGTTAGACTTCAGCCAGGCATCGGGCATCAAGCTCTGGGGTTGATACGAGACCCATTCACCAGCATCATCTTACCTTGCCTATCAGTTCGCATCTGTCGTCTATGATCAACATCGATCTCCAGAGCATTCAGTCTCACTTGTCCCAAGCCCGGTCTTCGCAAGCTACTTATGTATGCTAGACCGTGGCCCCTGTGACATCCGAGAGCATTGGGCTCCCTCGCCGCCCAAGTGATATGCGCTTGGTCTCTGGTGTCCTCTTATTTTCTTTCCTCTTCTCCTTCCACGCACCCTAGCCGAGCTGGACACAACACAACAGGCGTGCCTGCTTGCCGCAGACTTAAGCGAGCCAGCTGAGTCCTGGGTACCGCCAGCCCGGCTGTGCCATCACATGCCATGCAAGTACATGGCGCCGTTGATCCCGGACCTCCATAACCAGGCGAGGCCGCGCACAACCGAGCTTTGCGGGACGAGCCTCTTATGTGCGCCATTCCGCTCCCGCAGTGTCACAGCAACAGGCAGAGCATTGCCCACCTCCTGTGCAGCGGACACATCTGAGGCCTCCACGCTTCCAAGGCACCAATTGGGCAGCAAAGCGGGAGAGATGGTCGTCACTTCTCATCGAGCCTGAAGCAACCCGGCCCGTCCCTCCCAATGCCACCTCATTCTCGTGACACGAACCACCAACTATCCCAGCGTCCTCGGACAAAAGGCCCAGACCGACGAGTGTGACCATCTCACTACAGCCCAGCTCGGGCAATGCGAGCAGTAGAAGTCGACAGCGTCCACCTGTGGACCAATAACCTTGACAAGCTCGAACCTGATCGCACACGCGCAGTTCCCAGTTGTACCGGACCTGCATCACACAGCAGTCAGGGAAACAATTACCGACGGCGTTACCGGGACCAAGTGTCGATCGAGTAGTGCCGTGGGGATTTAGCCTGCGAGATCGTGTAACGGTGTTCAGCGGCGAGATGGGCATGAGACAGTGGCGAGCACAGAGATGGGTGTGGTTGAATCATTTCCATTGAAGAGAGGGCAGGTTGTCAGCATCTCGCCCGCCGCTTCTCCCGCTCCTCAGGCGCGCGTGTCGACATTTGGTGAAGGTATTCATTCCGCAACAGTCAACTTTCGCCGCGTGGATGAAGATAGAATTGTCTGAAAAAGAAATAAGAAGGTATGTCTATCCATCGATTACCTGTCTCGGACATCCCAAGATGTTCCCTCGGCACAGGCTGACGACTGATACATTCGGGTGATAAGGTAGACGCATCTTTGGTGTCCTATAGCAATAGATTTCCCCATCAAGAACACCGCACTCATCCGACAGACACAATTTCTCCCATCTATGTGCGCTCTCAGCCGCTTCCTCGCAACCTGACAAGCGAGCGGCCAGCCTGTTCCCGCTCAGTCTGGGCTATTGACCCCCGATCTAGCATCCTTTGCTCCCGATTCCCAAACCCCGCCGCCCAGACAAGTAATAAATATAGATGCACGAGGGTTGCCTTGTCTCGGGACAGACCCTGTTTTTGGGTATGGTTGAATACTCCGTATCCACGCCTTTACCCGATCTCCAAAATAGTGGTATCACAAAGCTAATCGTAGTGACGAAAAAGTGGTAATCTCGAGAAGATCGTCGTCGTTTGGCCGAGGCTCAGGATGCGAGACGTGCCAGAGGCATACCGAAAGAAGTGCTGAAATTTTGGCCAAGGAGGGGACGGCGGAGGATATAGCAACGGATGCCCGGGAGAAATGTGCCACGTCCTGTTCGTGACCCCAAATATGTTGCTTTCCTTGCGCCAATGTGAAACGCCGGAGATTCGTCGCGTGGTTGATTCACCGGTGACATGAGCAATTTACCAAACGCCGAAAGATGCCAATGGAAGAGTAGAGTACAGGCAAGAGTCGTTCGTCGTAAAGGGGAACGTCATCACGCGTTGGTGACCTGCGACATGGTTAGCTTGTGTTATAAGGACCTCCGGAGAGTAGGAACATACCCGCAGGATTCGTCGCGAGTAATCTTGGTTGTCGGCAATGCTGCCACTGCTCATTCTTCTTTGAGCCATTACGGGATCCAAACGGGTGTCTGTCTCCATGGAGTAGCCACCGCTGCTGCCGGGTGGCTTGCCTCCCATGAAAGCATTGACCGCTGCATTGCGTCGGTGCTCTTCCTCGATCTCCCGGTTCCTCTTCTGGCGCATGTAGAACCAAAGGCCGCCAAATGCTGCACCAAGAACCACTACACCTACCACAACGCCAGCGATGATTCCTCCCATAGGCGTGGAGCCCTTCTTATCGTCTGCTGCATCCGTTGGGGTGGCAGTCACGTACACAACACTAGTCTGGCCGCCTGACACGACTGTGGATGATGCGACCACGCTTGGAGTGGCAGTGCCTGAGGCAGAGGATGTGTCATTGTCGGCGGAGTAGGAGACTGACAGCATGATGCCAGTGTTGTAAACTGTGTAAAAATCGATGCCACCACATGCTTGAAGACCGTAGCCTGGGCAAGGCGTGTCACACTTGGAGTCGTCCACGACCGTGTCCTTGGGTGGATATTCGTTACCGCAGTAGCACTGGTTTCCACCGGTCGTCGCCGCAACTTTAAAGCCACCAGCGTAGCAGATGTCGACGGCGCAAGCACTCTTCGAGTTAAAGCTAGGCGTTGAGTTGAAGATCAAGTTTCCCCATGATGAGAAGCAGCCCTGGACAACCTGAGCTCCGAGCGTCGGTGCTGCTGACGGCTCTTCGATGCCTGATGAGGTTGCTGTGGCGGCGTATGCTGGGAAAGCAGCAGCGATTGCGGCTGCGAGTAGTGTTGTCGTCTTCATTTTGTGTGATGTATTTGAGTTGATGAGAAAAATCGGTTGTATTCGACGTCGTATTTAGGACTAGAGGGAAAATGGGGCCGAGATGGCGAATGAAGAAAAATTGACGATTGGTCGAAATTTGGGTGGGCGTGCAACCCTTCCGAGCACGACAAGATTGTCGGCAGAAAAGACAACTTCTACGGTCAATCCAACGGATGGCTTGACTAGAAGTCAGTCTTTGTCGTCGTGACGAGTTGGCCACGAGGACTTCGTCGGCTTCCCGGGTGGCGGGTGGTAAGAATAGACTGTCGTCGGACAAAGGTTGGCACAATCGAGGGCGAGATCCAACACTCTTGTTTCCTTTGTGTGCCCGTGGACGCTATCCCACTTCCTGAATTTTTAGTATCCTGCAGTCTCCCTTTTGGTTTTAGAGCGGAGATGACATTGATGAGTCCCTGGCGGAAATAGACCCTTTCTTTGCAGTTCTTGGTAAAAGGGATAGGCCGTTGGACAGCGAGGGATGAGCCGCGTTGCTGGTCGACGAGTGAGGTCGGACTGGATGGAATCCGGAAGGAAATAGAACGTCGAGGTCGCAGGTAGGGGGAAAAGGCAAGAAAGGGAGGTTAGGTCGCCTCAGGTGGTCGGTGTCCGCAATGGTACAGGTACAGTACCAAAGTTATGTGTGTGCGTGTGAGTGGTAGGAGGAAAAGACAGGCCTGGACCTGAAACTAGGAAACAAAACACAGGTCCGTAACTGGACCGAGAAACGAGTGACTCTGGCGGACTGGACTTGATCTGTTGCCGACTTCGAGTGTCACAGCGCTCTTGAGGTTGGGATCGGTTCCTTCACGTGTGGCGCTGCAGGGCGACCGTGGAGGGAATGATTGACTGTGTGAAGGTTGAATGAGTGGGTGGGTTGGGAATGACGAGATGGAAGTTTTGGATCAAAAGAGACAAAAAAAGAGAGTGATGAAAATGGACAGACAGAGTGGGAAGGAAGGGAATGGGCGGTGGGCACGGCACAAGCAGCACGAGCACACACACACACGAACGAGCTGGGGTTCCAAGGTTGGGCTTGGGCGGGCTTGGGTGGGCGAATGCGAGTGTGAGGGAGGAAAGAAGGAGAGACAGGGACAGGATGGTGAGACTCGCCTTGTCTCCTCTTCTTCGCAGATTCCCTCTTTTGCTAGTCTCCTGCCACGCCTTCCCTTCCTGTTGCCGGCTACCCCCTGCCGTTCCAAGATGTGCTAACGAGCCACTAGGAGGACAAAGGGGAGATTACGATGGGACCACCCTGGCTGATCTGGCTGGTACGTACCGAAACGGTGGGCTTTGAGTGGCTCGCTCCGCCCTGTTCTGTGTGCCAGAGACCGAGAGCAGAACGGGCAGACTGCCTGTGCTGGGCAGAGAGAGAGAGCAGCAGTGCTCAATCAGGACTGCCCGTTCTCTTTCTCAAACCCCTCTGCCCCTCTCTCTCTCCTCTCTCTCTCTCTATCTCAGTCTCTTTTCTCACCCTCTCTCTCTCTCGTTCCTGATAGAGTGGGTAACCACGCCTTGGACGTCTGGCCACCCTTGCCCAACATCCCAGACTTCCCAACCAGACAACCTTGAGCTGAGCATAGCGGAGGCCGAGGGGCTAATGCCTCCAATGGGACAATGAGGCACAATTTTAGCTCCAGGGGCAATCCGTCGTTATTGGTTGGGATTGGAAACGCTGCCCGGTTCAAGCTTGCCCGGTTCGGGTAAGTTTGGACCTGAACGTTTTCCCCCCTTGGTCCTGCTGCACATTGCCAGGACATTGCACAATTCCCGGCCTTGTCACAAGCTTCCGCCCTCTTGACACTTGACACTGACACCCCCTTTTTTGCGTCCCATCTAACAGACGCCAGCCAAGTGCCATGTCTATCTTTGTCGCCAGGCCCAATCCGAGCGATAGGATGTGTTAGTAGACCCTGCTGCGCGTGGGCTGACGGCCTATTGTTCAGCAACGAGAGGAACAGGCCAGGCCAGGCCACAGTACCACACTCTCCTCCCCTTTGCGTTATCTTGCTCCCAAGATTTGGCTTCATCAAACCCAGACCACATCCAAGAATTGCACTCAAGATTCGGTGACACGATCCTCTCGCTTGGTCTAGAGTTATCTGCACGTTGTGCGATGAATGCATAAAGTTTTGACTATTGTCTGTTCTCCGCCCCGTCCTGACTTTGCTGCAGACACCTGCATTCCGCGGGGCGGCTAGCAACAGGCCAAGCAAGGCCGGCGTCGCTCCGTCTTTGCCGCCGGTCCCAACGGTAGTGGGCGTTAACGAGACGGTCCGGCGGAGACAAGCTGTGATGGACGGACAAGCGCTGCCGTGTGTGACAGCCATTCCATGGGACGGTCCTGTCATCTTCAGAAGCTTTTAGTGCCCGACATTGCTCAGCTTCCAGCCATCGTTGGACATCTTGCTACTTGTACCATGCCATTTAGGCCTACCTATCTATTTGTAGTCTAAGGGTAGCAATAAACGGTGACACCCGTCTTGCTGTCTGTCCGTCCGCTGCAGCTCACCTTATGTCGCCTTCACCCCTCCTCCCTGGCGCGAGTCGCCGTCCGCCCGCCTGCCCTCTCGTTTCACCCTCCGATGGATCGGGAATGGCTGTCGTCGTTCAAACTGTCACCGTCACCCGGATGTTTCGTTTCCCCTATATGATCGACTGATCCGCTTACCACCACAACGATCGCTGTGCCTGCTGCTCAAACGCCAGACGCACTCAATGCCAAAAATGGCAGTAAGAGCATAAAATAGGCGAGGCATCGCCGTCGTCATCGGTCAAGAGACCTCCCAAGGCCGTGGGGTATGCCGTAGTCGCAGCCTTGTTTGAGCTTTCCAAGATCTGTAGTCGGTCCTGCTCCCACCACGCCGCCGAGCTAGGAAAGCAGGGGGTTGGGGGGAAGAGAGAAGTAACTCACTCTCGCGCCGATACGAGGCACACAGGCGGCATGTAGTCGACTCACGTGCAGTAGCTGGCAGCTCACGCCGCGCTGACTGGATGTATGGCGCTTGATGGCGTGTTGGTGTGCGTGCGTGTGAGAGGCCGTTTGATGACCGCCTTTCCCAACACGACACGCACTCACCACCACCACTACCACCAACCATATGTCCTCTTGCGGACACAGCATCTCGTACCGGCCATACGGATAGTAGGAACCGGAAGATTGATTACATCTGCAATCCTTGTGGTCTGGACCCTGATGAGGCTGACAATCCCAACATCTGCCCAGGCAAGGGTTTCACGCCCGGAGGCATAAATCAAAGCAATATCGCTTCAAGAACACATTGAACACAGCCACAAACTTGCGAGCCACGTCATTTCTAAACCCCGAGCATTGGACGGAACAATTACCTGGTGCCCGATACAGTGCGTGTGCTGAATTGGATCCCCCCCTTTTCACGACCAGGCCTGCAATACGGACGTCCAGACATGTTTTCCTCACTGTGCGTGTCCGCGGGGGACCAAAAAAAATCAAAACAAAGGCCTCGCGGCCTGCTTCTCGAAGCTCTCCCGAAATACAAAGCTGCAGCAGCCATACGGATCACGGATCACGGCCGCGGCCCTGTCATGGGAGGTCTGTACCAGCCCGGCCAGCAATTACTGCGTACGGCCTGGAGGAGTCGAACCCCTTGGCTGGCCTTTAGACCTGGGTCACCGCGTCTGCGACCCTGAAGAACGACCCAACGCGGCCTCGCGGGGGCCAACACTAGACCCAACCTTCTTTTTTTTCTCCGCGAGGGTAAAGGGTTCAGTTGGCCAACAAGGTTTGATGAACAGTACCACGCCGTACAGCTAGATACGATGACGACGACCGGTTCCTGGTTGTGATAAGCTCATCGCGTGCTCTTCCAACGGCTGGTTCGGGAACCAGGACCACCATCTTTCAACAACGGCAAGTAAGCAACGCTGCACGGTCTTTTTCCTGTTCGTGATTCATTGATGGCACACTTTTTTTCCTACCCGTCAATAGTCTGAGTTTCTTGTGGGTACCTCTCCCCGTGTTCGGCTACCGGGCTGCCGGGAGGATGGGTATTTGCAGCCCTACTGCGTGGACAGTACAGTACAGTGCCGTAGCAGTACGTGTATGCACAGGCTGGTACAGTGCTCACAGTAGGCCCCTTGGAAACGGTCAATATTCCTGTGCCAATATGGCCGCAGCCACGCGCACATGTTACCGATCCAACTGTGCACGGTTGGAATTTGCTTTTTATATCTCGACCAAATTTCAGAACAAAAACAAAAGTACAAGGGCAAAAACCACGTACTAGGTACCAAGCTTCCGAGGTTCTCCTGAGATAGTCAAGAGCACTGCTTATACAGGCACAATATCGGATCCCAAGTGCCGTGGGTTGGTTGACCGACTGCCGTCATGGCACTCTATCCTCGACGTGCATGATATTGGACGGAACAACTCTGGCTGTGGGTGTACGGTTCGGCGTGCATCGAATTCTACTCACCAGCGTCATGCCACGCCCCTCCCCCCCATCGTCAACTGACTGGGCAGATGGAGAAGCGAACCTGCAGCTGGAGTTCCAGATCTTCGCAAGTCCCGCTTCCTTCAATGCCCCAACCACCCAAGCGAACAGGCAGAGCCTCCACTTGCCGCGAGATCGTGGGCCCACCCACACGCTGTCCAGGCGGTGTCCCGGCCTTGGCAATCGCGGGGGAGACGGAGATTTGGCTTCGTGTTTGGTCGGGCGACTCGGGGCGGACTCGGTTTTCCTTTGTCTTCTCTTTTTAGAGTTGGTCGGAGAATTGAATGCTCCCACGTTGCTCCTGGTCGTGTCAAGTGTCACGATGCGATAGCGCGGCGCGGGCTTGTTCACCCCTCAGGGAAAGCCCAGAGAAAAACAAATGGTCGGCGTTTTGACGCCCATGACGATCGCTCTCGGTAAACGCTTGTGGTTGGTGATGGCATGTCAACATGAAACCTTGTAGTGGGGGCCACTTGAACCACCCAGTCCATCACGATCCACACCGAGCAGTCAGCTGGGCAGTGGGCACAAGCCAAGTTGGCCCAAGTCAGTTGTTACTGGAGGCCGCCGGAACTCAATTTTCAGCAACGCGAGGGATTCCGCTGCAAGAGAACGCCATGATTCAAGCCGTCTGGAGCACGTGAATTGATGGTGAACGCGTCTGTGTATAAGCTTATTTGCGTTCGAGGACAAGCAATTGTCAAATTCACGTTCTGGAACCTGGGCCGGGTGCTCACTGCCGGGACGGCGACCCCCTCCTTTCCATTTGATCTTCCCACCAATGTCCTACCTGGTACTTTCAGGGTTAGGGTACATGACCCGCTGGTAGCCGCTCGTAGCTAGACGTCATCGTGAAGCTTGAAGCATCGTAGATGAGCTCTCAAACCTTGGAGTTCCAGTACCTACCTCTGGCCCCTCCGCCCAAGATTTGCGAGCCATTGACGTCCCCGAAAGAAAGTGGAAGAACAACGCCACCATGCCTCCCCGCTCGAGAGCCATTCTGGCTCAGAGGCCGTTCCAGGCCCTCGCCCGCAGGTGCTACTCCACAGCGAACGAGCCACCTTTGATCCGCGTCACCAACCTGCCCGCGCCCAACACGGGCCACATCCGGATCCTCGAGCTGAACCGGCCCTCGGCGCGGAATGCCATTTCCAGAGCCCTGCTGACGTCCCTCCGCGGCGAAATCGACGACGTCCACTCGCAGTATGACGCGTCGACCGGGGAGGAGCTGGCTGCGAAGAGCTGGAACAAGCGTTTCGGGGGCGCGGCGGGCCAGGACGACAAGGGCCCCACGAGGGCGGTGATTCTGGCCAGTGCGGTGGACAGCTCCTTTTGCGCGGGCGCGGACTTGAAGGAGAGAAGGGGCTTCTCGCCCGAGGAGTACGTGTCTTGAGAGCTCCCGATATGTCTGGATACCGGGGACGCGACACCACGAAGGCCAGGCGAACTTCGCCAGCCGTACGTGCCATCCTATAGAAAGCCATGAGCTGACACAAAAATTCCACTCTTGCAGGACAGCCGCCTTCCTCGCCCTGCTCCGCTCCACCTTCACGAACATCTCCGCCCTGCCCATCCCGACCATCTCAGCCATCAGCTCCCTCGCCCTCGGGGGCGGCCTGGAGCTGGCCCTGTCCACGCACTTCCGCGTCCTGTCCTCCAACGCCGTGATCGGGCTGCCCGAGACCAGGCTGGGCATCATCCCCGGCGCCGGCGGCACCCACCGCCTGCCCGCGCTGATCGGCATCGGCCGCGCGCGCGACCTGGTCCTCACCGGCAGGCGGGTGTCTGCGCCCGAGGCCTACTTCCTCGGCATCGCGGACCGCCTGGTCGAGGTCGTGCCGGAGAGCGAGGAGGACGTGGAGAAGCTGAAGAGCGGCGACAAGGAGGCTGCGGAAAAGGTCCTGTCTTTGGCTCGGCGGGATGCGTTGAGCGAGGCTGTCAGGCTGGCCACGGAGATCTGTGAGGGTGGACCAGTCGCGGTCAGGGCGGCCTTGCAGGCCGTGCAGAGGCCGCACGAGGAGGTGGAAAATGCTATGTACGACCGGGTCGTCAAAACCGAGGATAGGGATGAGGCCCTAAAGGCTTTTGGGGAGAAGAGGAAACCCGTGTTCAAGGGGAGGTGATAGACTCCGGAGAAGGAGATAGAACTTGATCTAGAGCGGGCACTGCAAGGTGCTGGACCTTCTACGGAGATGTCGTAGGATATAGTGGGACTGCATTCTATGTTTATGCATCCCTGGGCTGTATATATCGACTTGACGACTGCTAGCCCAGTTTCGTCACCTGGTCAGTGGACTTTGCTTCCAAGCCCTTAAGCCGGTGGCATATATCAGACATTGACCTGCGAGTCAACCAAGATTTACAGTTTTCTTGACTAGCAATTGTCTCAAGGAATGGAACGCCAGCTCCACGGCAACAGCCATGTACTAACGTGGCTGCTCGACCCCATTCCGTTCCCGATCTCTGGTCTGTCCATTTTGCAAGACCCTAACTGGTGTTGGTCCCGGGCACTTTTTCTTCTGTGAAACGATTTTGTTGCATGTGTGCTAAGAAATTCACTTCTGCGTTTAAGCTATAGCCGCCGCAGCTGCCCCGTGGTTGTTGTAGCTCCTTGACGCTGAAACTGGCTGTCCTTTATTTCGAAGAACATATGTAGGATGGGTACATCCGTTGATGTTCCCATTACTCTTCCTCCTCCTTTTCTTGGAGGTCCTCCCGCATGTTATGGTGAGGGTTGTCTTATGTGTATACCAAGTTATGTCTCACTCAACGATGTTGAAAGAGGCGATAGCAAAAATACTTGGGAAAATCAATCATCAGGGAATAACATGGGCATTCAGATCTATATTTGTATGGCCCTTGTTGCGTTATTTAATCACGTTGAAGGGGCAGCATTTTGAGCTCAGCATCCAGGAACACTCTTCAAGTGCTCGTGTCCGAGATTTATAACTATCTCGAGACCATCAGAATACTCATACACGGTCTTCTATCCATTTACATGCGCACACAATGAGTGGAGCCGTAACCTAGGCGATGGACAGTGATGTCCGAGTCTTCATACTCGTATTCAGATCGAAAGCAAGCTATTCACTAGGACTACTCCAGTGTCTTCGAGCTACTGTAACAGAAGTACGAGTTTGTACTCAATCTGCGCCCAACGCCGTCCGTGATGACAGTGACTTCATTGCCCCCACATCTTATTTCTCCATCAGTCTAGAAATTTGAAAAAGGCTTGGTGGACGGGTCAAACAAGATCTTGTTCCGGTGTACTCAGACGATGGTGCCGGTTCATCAACCAATATAATTTCAAAAACTGCTTTCCCTTGGGCATGATCCTTCAGCAATCAAGAGAAGTGTTACTATTTGACCATTTGCAGCCTTGTCACATATTAGGCTTTACGTAGAAATAGGTCTGAAGACTGTGCCCGTACGTATAGATCTGTTATCCGCCATCTCTTTGCTGAGTTCTGGTGATCTCGTTCGGCTGTCTGCTGTCTGGGCAGCTGTATTATGAGAATGAGAAGGAACGGCAAACGGGTTGATGAAGACAATCAGCGGAGTGCCTTTTCCACTCACAATCATCTTGACTAGATTGGAAATTGTCTTTGTGCAGAAAAACCAATTTGTGATCGGTCCAGAATTCAACGGCACTTGCCGCGATTTCGACTTGCCTGTCGTTGACACCAGTTGTTCAACAGAGCGCTACAGAACTTGAGACTGCCCTCCTGTTTGCACTTGTGTATGCTTTTTCAGGCGGCTGCCGGTGCTGCTCGCTACACCCTCTCCTTGTGCCTGTCCTGTTGCCTCTGCAGGCACAGGAGTCGGGGATTTGAGCTGTTCTAAATTCACGCTCTGTAGCAGCTGGAGCGCCTTCATCTGTTGCATATGTAGCCGGGGAGTGTGGCTAGCTTTGTGCCTAATTGCCGTGCACACACTTGAGGGAGAGGTCAAGGTTTCTTTCCCCCGCCATCCTTCTTCCCTTTCTCTCTCTTTTCATTCATGGGAAATAGATAAGGAGTGAGGTTTTCGGGTCGAGAGACAGCAATTAAGATTTGCCATGCAACGGACGAAGGAAAGGTGACATTGATGCAAATTAAAACAATTAATGATATTGCTCTGCACAATACTGATTTTCATAGCTTAGCTAAGCTGTTGTGTGATACCCTCGTTGGAGCTCGTTTTGGCTAATTGTTTACATCGCGCCGAAGGATTAATGCCAGTTTGTGGCAATTGCGTAAGCGAGTGCACGCAGGCTGGCTGCAGGCAGGAGAGGATTAGACCAAGGATTAAATGAGTAGCTTGTCTGATGCAGGACTATTGACGATCTTGTACGTTTCAGTCTCAATTCACGGTAGCAATCGAGGTCCAACCACTTGCGTAGACGTCATGTTGGCGTGCTGTAGTGCTGTAGTGCAGCGATTCTAGCCTCAATCGACTCCCGCCCGCACACCGTCATCGTGAGCATGACATCATTCCTCATCACTCCCTTGTGATTGATATTTGTCTGTCCTCCCTTTCTTTCATAACTACCTCTGCGTACTCCTCCGAATCTTCTCTCCATCCAATTCTTCCCAACGAAGCAAATCTCTCAACTTCACACCTTAATATTTTGACGACGACTTCTACCGCGTCTTCAGTCGAACCCGTCGATCAGTTTCGCAAGCCACAAAGCAAAACAAACCCAAGACCACAGCCAAAATGTCGTTCCTCACCGAGATGACTTTCCGCCGCATGGCCACCATCTCCCGCACTGCCGCACGCTCCTCCAACTTCACATCGACCGTGCCACGAGCAGCTTTCTCTACAACGGTCCAACTACAAAAGAACCCCGTTGATGCTACCAAGGATGGCCTGAAGAAGGTAGACCGCGTTGTTTCCGATAAGCTCGTCGACGGCATTGACATTGGTGGTAAGTATACACATAAAATTTCCGGCCGCAGGCATCACAGGAAGCGTAGTAGCTGACCAAGTGAATAGTCGCTGCCAAGGACAAGGTGAAGGAGGCCAGCGAGAACATCACCGGAGGTGATGTCAAGGGAAAGGCCGCCGAGCTGCGCGGTGAGGCCGCAGGCAAGGCAGAGGAGCTGAAGGGCGATGTCAAAGGAAAGGCTGCTGAAGTAAAGGGCGAGGCCAAGAAGAAGGCGAACGAGCTATAGGTGCTGGCGAGGAGTTTCAGGAGAGAAATATCACAAAGCACTTTTACGACGCCACCACGACAAGTCGGTCCTCCTCACACCAATAGAGGGAGATATTTTGATCAACTGTACTTTTACTACTAAATTCGGCATTGCATTGCTCGGTTGAAGGGTTTACCAAGGGAGTGAAAGCAGAGGTTTACCAATCTGGTGTTCACCACACCATTCTCACATCGCAAGTGTTGGCCGGGGCCACGAGTGACTTATTTCTAAGTGAGAATATTGCTGACTTATTTTGTACCTGCTTACTCTCCGTACAAAGAGAGATTGAGGCTTCTACCCCGCCATCACCCCTTCACATGCAAGGACACCTGCATAGAGTTCACAACATGGCGCTAAGCTGCAGAGGACAGGGTAGCGGTGCAGTGTGGCGGAAGTGCTCCCCACCGGCGATTGGCGACCTCGCGATTGGCGACATCTATCACCATGCCACTGCATATCACTATATCATTACATGCGCGCCGCCGCCAGCAGGCTGTTGTATGCAAGATCTGCCCGGAGCTCCGCTGCAGATAGTCTGCTTATGCCAGGAAATTGAGGGGGGTTCCAGCCATCAATGAGGCCCAGAACAGTGGCGATGGATCTGTGTTCCCACACCGTCGAGATGATGCTGGGAAAACCTTATCAGTGACAGTCCCCAATGCTTCTTGCAGTGTGTAGCTTGCTCTATGTCATTGCTTGTTCCACATTTCTGGTGCTCGTATCGCTTAATATGAAGTTTACAAGCACAAAGCTATGCGTGCTGGCCCAGCTCATGTTCTTGGCTCTGGTGCGTGCGACGGGGACCATCCACCATTCAGCTGATGACAACTTCCACTCTTTGAGCTCATTGCTTTCAGGAGACGCCGAGATTTATCTACCAGGCTCGGAAGGCTTCGTGAATGGCACTGCCAGCCTAGTAGCGAAGAAGCCTCAGCTTGACGCCTTGGTCAAGGTGGCCACCGAACAGGATGTTCGAAACACGGTAACTTAGGAACCCCCTGGTGTATCCGTCGTGAATGTGTCAGACCACTGATTGAACTGTACGACGGGAAAAGATACAGTATGCGGATGCCTTCAATAGGCCGTTTCTTGCCATTTCAGGTGGCCACGGCGAGACATGGGATCTCGGAAACGTCAGGAACGGAATCGGTATCTCCATGCGCGGAATGGTCTATGTTCACATTTCCGAAGATGGCAGCAGCGCCACGATTGGCGGCGGGACCCAGTCGGGAGAGGTGATCGCGGCGCTGTGGGCTAAAGGAAAGCAGGCCGGTATGAGAAGACTTTGTCATCGCCATGATCCCGCAGTAGACTGACCCATAATTGTGCTCTTCCAGTCACCACAGCATGCGACTGTGCAGGTATTATAGCTCCTATGCTCGGCGGAGGCCACGGCTGGCTCCAGGGGCAGCATGGCCTGCTGGCCGACAACATCCTCTCGGCGCGCGTTGTGCTCGCCGACGGGACTGCCGTGACCGCTTCTCCCACGGTAAACAGCGATCTGTTTTGGGCGCTCCGGGGCGCTGGCCATAATTTCGGCGTTGTGACTTCGGTCGAGTATCGTATCTTTGACGTCGAGCCTGGGCAGGGCAGGCTGTGGGCTTACGAGGAGTACGTCTTCAGGCAGGATAAACTGGAGGTGTTGTTTGAGTGGGCGAACGGGCTGCTGCAGGATGACACGGGGTCGCCGCGGCCGGTTGAGCTGACTCATTATGGGCAGTTTGCATTCCGTCCTGATGTTGACTCTGAGAATGTGAGTAAGCTGAACTTGTTCGTTTTTTCTTCTTGAAAAAAGATATGGTATGACATGGTATTGACTAACTTTCACCAAAAGCCCATCATAGTCTTTTGGCTCATTTGGCAGGGCCGTGGGACCGTTCCGCCGGCGCATACAGACCGTGTCCGAGCCATGCTCCCTATAAGCATCAAAGCCGGTACTACGGACATCACTGGGATGAATGCCGTAGCAGGCGCGGCGTATGGCACGCCAGCGTGTGCCAAAGGGTCAAGCAGCTCGATGATGTTCGGCGTTGCGCTGAAGAGGTGGAACATTCCAGGACTGCGCGCGACTTTAGACATTTACAGCACCCTGCCCCCAGAGCTGCGCAACGGTTTCGTCCTCCTCGAGGCGTATTCGACTAGAGCAGTCGGGGCCGTCCCAAATGACGAGGCAGCGTACCCCGACCGTTTCAACCAAATTCTGATTAGCCCGGCAATGTACATCTCGTTGGGGAATGCTAGCCTTGCTAATCTCGCGGCTGACTTTGGCGGGAGGTTGAGGCGTGCTTCGCTAAATGGCAGCGGGCAGCCTCTCCATGCGTACGTTAACTATGCACACGGTGATGAGAGCCCCGAGGCGTTGTATGGGTACGAGGACTGGCGCTTGTGGAGGCTGAGACGGCTCAAGGCTAAATTCGACCCATTCCTTAAGTTTGGATACTACGCGCCTATCATCCGCGGACCCGGAGGACCGGCCCCTTGAAAATCGTTGAGGAGCGGACGCTCGGAGGAACGGCGAAATAGCCGGGAGATGCTGCTGTGTTGTAATCGATGAAGAGATATGAAGGGAGTTATCAAGCAAGAATCACTTCTCCTGTCGACAAAGGAGATGGCACTGTGACTGAGATTCAGCCTGCCCCTTATGTTTGGTGATCCTGGGACACCTTGTAGAGGACCAGCAACGGTCCAATACAAGGCAACAAAGGAGGGCTGGCTGGCTGGCGGGCTGGCTGGCTCACATTTCGTATTTGCGCAAATTTGTCCATTTTTCTGGAATAGGATGGCGTTTGGCAAAGGTACATTGCATGTTTTCATCATCTGGAAAGCATCGAAAAGGAACAGGCCGGGGGAGTGTAGGTGGACTTCAATGTTGAGGAATTGACCCGACTCCGTCGGCGGGAGTATATCCCACAGCCTTTGTCTTATATCCTAGATCCCTGGTCTGCCCGCCGTAAACGAGTCTACGACACGTGGTAAGTGATTATCTGTCTGTACCTTTGTTGACGGATTTCGGATTGGACCCACACTTTTGGGAGTCAGCCCAAGCCACAATGCGTAATCAGCCAGGCACGGCTCCTTCGCACAATAAAACAACCTATTCGGACTGGACCCACTTTTCACAACACATAAGTCTGCCACGCTTTGACTGCCTCGAATTTAAGCTATTTTTCGACGGCACCTAGCCGCTGAGAAATTCTATTCGACCGAACTAGAACGCCAAGGAGAGAGAACACAGATCTCGTAAGTCGTGGGGGGAAAACAGATCCTCGAGGATTGCATCCCAGCCGGGGCTTGTTTCTCCCCGTCGCAATGTAGCCAGGAAGTGTACTGCCCAGGTGTGGCTTGCTCAGCCTGCCTCTTCCTACCTGTCAGCACGAAACAAACGTTCGAATTCAGCCGTAGACTTGCGGAAGGAGTTGGCATTTAAGTCTGCAAACTTCCCTTACTAGAAATTGGTGTCGGATCTGTAATTCATTCTCCCTTTTGACATTAATCAGAGTTCTTCCATCAAATATCTAGCAAGCTTCATCGAATTCTCCAAAACGCCCATTGTAATTACCACTCATCGGCTTTTCGTACACAGAGCACACTCGACCGAATACTCTTCGCATCTTCGAAGTACCGCCAAAATGTCGTCGTCCCAACCTCTTTTCGCCAACATGACGGCGGCTGAGATGGAGCAGGCCATCAAAGAGACGCAACAAGGCTGTTACCCTTACACTTCTTTACTCACTCCGAGTTATGACTACGTGCCCTCTTTCGCTGCAGGCATCACATTTTGCGTTCTGTTTGGCATTCCATTCTTCTATCACACGTTCCGGTCAATCCAATTGCGAAAAGCAACGTCTATACTGTTCGCATTGGGAGCACTCAGTGAGTCCTATACCTTTCTGCTTTTTCTCGGAAAGGTTCTGTTACTGACAAAGCTATTCGTCGCAGCCGAGTTGATAGGTTGGGCCTCCAGGACTTGGGCCGCGAAATGCCCCTACAACAGAGACGCCTTCCTCTCTCAGATAGTCACCCTCATCATCGCCCCCGTATTCTTCAGCGCTGCGCTCTACGTCCTCCTGGGCAAGCTCATCAGCGACATGGGCCGTGCCTCGTCCATCCTGTCACCGAAGTGGTACGCCATCGTCTTTTGCACATGCGATGTCGTATCCCTGATCATCCAGGCTGCCGGAGGCGCAATGGCATCCATGGCCGACACAGACGAGGAGCAGGATCGTGGTACACATATTATGGAGGGCGGTATTGTTTTTCAGCTCGCTACCATGACACTTTTCGGCGTCCTCATGGGCGACTTTGCTCGACGCATCATGAGCAGGCGAACCGGGCTCCGTGACTCTGTCACGCCTAGTCTGAAGCTGATCCTCGTTGCGATGCTGGTTAGCTTCGTGATGATCTACATCAGGAGCATCTACCGGACGATCGAGCTCGCCCAGGGCTGGAGGGGCTACCTGATCACGCACGAGGCGTACTTCATCGCCCTGGACGCTGCCACTATGGTCATTGCCGTGGCTGTGTTCATCCCCATCGACCCTGCTGTCATGTGGTTCGCTCGAAAGTATGCCCCGGCTAAGCAGAGCATGAGTGCTGAGGCCTCGGATATCGAGGTTGCCATGGCTCCCGCCCCGTACAACCCGCATGCAAGCTATGGCCAGGCTGCAGCAAGGTATTAAGATTATTCGTCCTTGATCTTGGGTGGTTCGAGAGGGGTGATTAAATTTTTTCTTTTGTTTTCTGCCAATGTTGCGAAGGAGTTCGGTTGGTGCATACTGGTGGAATTAATGGATTTCAGACGTATCACCGAGGTTGGTGAACGAGACAAATAACAGGTGCTAGTCGGCTTGGTTGGGACAATTGTTTGAGATACATCGATGTTCTAGACTTGTATACGCAATGAATTGAGATACCAAATTTTATCTAGGTTGTTTGTCATAGCATGCATCTGGAGAGCTTACCGATGTTAGGGATCGATTGACATTCATGGATGTTGACGACGACGCTTGCCGCTGTGCAATTTACGCCTAGAGCTCTTCCAACATCGATTTCAGGACTTTAAGTTGACCCCAGCATGGATGTTGACTGCGACGTTAAGACTGTCCGCCATTGGAACCTGGTGCATATTAGATTTACAACGCATTCAATGATGACCAGCGAGACATATGCAGTGGATGCCGATCCCAATGTGTTGATTGCAATTCAGATGTCCCATGTAACAATTATTTGCGATCTTCAAGCTTTCACAGTAGTACACGGCACCACGATTTTCTGTCATGTTGCCTGAAGACCGCGCTTTTCAGTTTTGCTATGACTTGACGGCACACATCTTCATTTCTGTCAACAGCGAATCGAACAAATTCTAGCGCTTTTTTCTGTTCTTTTCACTAAGAGTGGATATTCGCTAATGAGTAATTGCTTGCAAAGCGTAGTGGCCCAGTATTACACCCACCAACGCTGGTTGCTCATATATGGCAAGGGCTGGGGACGATCACGCTTAATTAAAGAACCGCGAACGCCCAATGGCGAGAAGTCCCCAAAAAATGAGTGCCCGCTGATTAACTGCAAGGACTTTGACTTAATTAAAGTGATCACTTTGGATTTCCCCCGCTCTTTATGCACGATCTGCCAGTCTTCCCAAAGAAGTGTTAATTAGTGTCCGGAGCTCAAGCCATCTAACTCGAGATGCAGCACCGGCATGCAAATGACAACCGAGAGTATCCTGAGTGGGCAATTTATCCATTGAAAAGACCGGTACCGCTGTTTCTTAATTCTGTAAATGGTTTGGTTCCAAATATGTCGAGCTGGAAGCATTATGTAAAAGACTGTTAAGAATGACTCCTGCCTCATGCGAGGCTGCTTGGTGGTGTCCTCCGGCTGATCGTAGTCGTGCCAAGATGCTCGCCAGCCATTAGGGATAGAGGTATTAGAGAGGCTACCCTTCTGCGAAAGCTCCGCCGCTCAATCTGGCATTCTCGGCTTCTACTGCATACAAGACCTATGAATCTGAATTTGCGTGGTCGGGGTGGGTTGGGACGTGGCGGCCAAACCCCGGCTGGAGGTTCACCCGGATACTACTCGGTAGGCAACGTTGAGATTGATGGACCAACATGGCGGAATATAAATAAGAGAGACTACAGAAAGGAAGGGTGAGTCCGTTTCGGTGGAGATCTGCTGCAGTGTCCAAACGTGTACGGCTCAGTTGTAAGCCTCCAATTTTCAGCAGGACCCTGATCAACACTATGATGCTTCTCTCGGCGGTCTTCACGGCGTTGGCCGCCAGTATGTCGCTGGTCTCGGCGCATCCTGAAGAGAATTTTGACAAACGGGCACACTTGGAGGAGATGACGAGGTATCACGTTGTCGCTGAGGTGAACTCGCCAGCGCTACAAGCGTGCGCAGAGCAGCCGAAGGTAAAGGCACGCAGGGAGCAAGCTATTGCTCGCCGAGCAGCCACCTTTGAACGGCTCCGCCAGGAAAGAAGCCTGACTGATGGCAAGTCCCCAAAAACTCAACTGTAGAGCCGCAGCAAGCTGACATCAATCACAGCCCCCTTCTTGCACCGTCGGAACATGGCTGAGTTTCGAAAATGGAACGCAGTAGACCACAACAAAACTGGACTCGTATCGTACGATGCTTCCACTCCGGCAGAAGAGATCTTCGGCGCCAATGCTTCTTGTATTCTCGCCCCAGACAATGCAAACGGGCCGTACTTTGTGTCACAGGAACTCAGTAAGAAGCCTCCGTGTCCCTTCATAGCCCACCGAATACATATGCCGTATTGGACCATGTTGCCATGTGTCTCAACCTCCGTTGTCATGTTGCAGCTCACGAGCTGGCTGACACACATGAGGTGCCACATCCTATACAATTACTTTCCGATGGAACCCATTCCTTGATACCCGAAAGCTGATGATAGACCACTCTAGTTCGGCAAAATGTCAGCGAAGGCATCCCCGGCGTCCCAATGCACCTTGAATTACAGTTCATCGACATCAACACTTGTGAGCCGGCAGACGTCCTCGTAGATATCTGGTCATGCAACGCAACAGGAAAGTACAGCGGTGTAAATGGCTTTGGACAGGGAGGGCTTCACTCGACTTTTCTCCGCGGCGTGCAGAAGACTGACAAAGATGGTGTTGTTCGATTCGACACCAATTTTCCGGGCCACTACGACTTCCGCGCCACGCACCAGCACATTATCGCTCACGTTGGCTCTCAAGTCCTACCAAACGGAACGTACACTGGTGGTGTAGTGGCACACCTGTCACAGCTGTTCTTCGACCAGGATCTTAGGGACGCAATCGAAGCGCTGCCACCATACAGCAGCAACCGAATCGCGAGTACGACGAACTTGGCCGACGGATACACTGGCTATGCAGCTTCATCGGCGTACGACCCGTTGCTCAACTATGCCATGCTGGGCGGTGAGTTCTCGTCTGGGCTGTTTGCGTGGCATGAGCTGGGGATCAACACGAGCTCGAACTGGGATACGTATGCGACTTATGCTTCGATCTGGGCGGAGGGTGGCGGGCGCAATAACCCTGCTTTCAATTTCTCGGTCGTCGGGACGCCTCCGCCTAGTTCTGGTGGACTGTAATTTGTGCGATATGGTGACAGCGGTGTTCGTCGGGTTCCACACACATGGAGCAACAGAACTCTGTACTAGTTTCTACTTGTCGCTGCCAGAACCATCTATCATATTCTGAGCACTTTCCGAGGCAATATGATCTCGCTCACATAACATAATCACCATAACATGTCGTTCTATTTACTGGTCGAGGTGAGCGTAGAAGGAGCCAATGCTGTGCGAGGCCGACTTGAGACTTGGTCCTCTTCACATTTTCACCCATGTAGGTTCTTTCAACCTCCAGTGATGCGCGTTCAAGGCCTGAAAGCGAATACAAATATAAAAGAATGATTAACGTCCAAGGTTCTAGGCCACGGTTATGGAGGCAGTCCGCCTTTTGACCAGGAGCAAGGGAAAGGCACTCGGGGAAGTGGGAGTGGGAGGGGGACGGGAGTTGTTTTGGTAGTCTTGCTCCCTTACATAATCAGGACCGACAGGGAGCTCGGGCCACAATGGAAGCTACCGTCGCGTCGAGCTTGAAGCTGGCGCGCTTCCAAAGTTTTCTGCTTAAACCAGCCAGCCAGCCAGCCAGTCAACCAAACCGAACCAGCCTGGTTGATGCCTGCAGCGACTACATCGAGGGACTGACAGTATTGGTCTTTGTTATTGTCCTATCGCAACGACCTCGACATGAGCCTTTGACCCAAACTCATAATTGCGGCAGACCCTCCAGAAGCTTGTTCTGCGGGCGCCTCTCTCTCGCGACCCTGCTCCTATCACTTCATGTTCCTGTCGCTCCTTTCCCTTCCTATCCGCCAGCTGTAATAACGTCAATACACGACCCGCACGATGACGGCCCAACTCAAGCCACGGGTGCGGCAGACTGCACAAAATACACAGTACACGTATGGAGACCGCGTTGTCCTGTCACGAGCAACACGCCCAGCTGACCAGCCATGTCCAGATACGCCCTGAACCGACGAGTCCACGACGTCAAGACATACCCCGTCCTCTCCCCTCAAGGATCCACGATCCTTCTCTACGGACACGAGAATGGTGTCACAGTATTCTGGCGTGGTGGGCGCCGACTGAAGCCTGCCAATCCTCAGTCTGGGAAGCCGGCTGGGGGTAACAAAACAAATGGAGCTGGTGCAAACGCCGACGATGGCGTCATGATCATCGACTCAGACGACGACGATACCTCTCCCTCTGCAACAGCACCCTTCGTTGACAAGCCAGAGTTCGAGAATGAGAACGTGGAAGATACTACCGGATACCCAGAGGTCATCCAGACCTTGGATCTCGCGATCGGCACAGACATCCTTCACATTGCTGTTCCGCCTATCGCGCCTCGCGCCGCCGGAGATCAGCCGAGCGAAGCTGACATACTCGCGGAGACGATGGTCTTTGCTGTTATATCTGCGAAGGGCTCAGCTTTCATGATCACTCTACCATTGACGCCGCCCTCTCACGACAGTGTGGCAAGGGAGGACTTGCGATCCAGTCTTTTGGCTGGCGCCGTGGGTCAGGGCAAATGGGGCGAGACTCTAGTCTCGCTTGGTGGCCAAAGCAAATGCCCGGATGGTATCGCCATGTCCTTGCTTCCTCGACGAATAAGCAGTTCTGACCGGAGCAAATCGCCTGCTCGTCTGAGTGCTTCTGCTCTTCGTGCCATCATTGCTGTTCATGGCAAGGACGCTTCTGGCACGCTGCGACTATGGGATGTCCCCATCAAGACCGCCTCTGACAGCCCTGCCATTGAACCATTCCAGACCGAATACCTGCCAAGTCCGCTCACAAGCATCGCCTTCAACCCTCTCCACTCAAGCCAACTCCTTGCTGTCGCCTCTCCGCATGCCGTCCGCGTATATGATTACGCCATACCTTCAATCCCTCAAGATGACATTTCAGAGGGCCCTTGGCCATCCCACGGCTCATGGCTGCTATCTCTCTACCCGCCATTCGCTCGTGCGACCACCTCGCCCTGCTCGAGAAAACCCGTCGTCGGAGCTGAATGGATATCGCATGGGCGGGCTATCTTGGCTCTCCTTGCAGATGGACAGTGGGGAATATGGGATGTTGAGGGCGCAGGGCCTCTGGGCAATGACGCAGGAGGGTCGTTGTTTTCAAAACAAAACACTGGCGTGCGCGGAGCCGCTCTCTCAGCTTTCTCTGCTTCAGGACACCTCGAGGGCACGAGCCCATTGCGCAACCCAGGTTCACAGAAGACTTCTTTTGGAAGTAACGACTTCAACTCAGTCGGACGACGCGACTCCCTGGTGTCGATGATGAATGGTGGACCAGAACGACTTGCTGCCGTGAAGGGCGGAGTCGAAGTTGTGCAGTTGCCAACCGCCAGAGGGTCAGTAGCCACTGAGGAGAGTGCAGTTCTATGGATGGGCGGATCTGACAACATTGTCTGTGTCATTCCCGTTGTCGCCAAATTCTGGGATGCTCAAGTTCGTCGCAGCGCAGGTGGCGGCGTCAATCTCTTCAGTGGAGCGCAGCCCTCGCGCATGGTCCGCCTGGTGGAACTCAATGCTGGCCTGTTAGGCGAGCGGTGCTGCGGTGTCGTTGCAACGCCGAAAGCCCAGCGGCGACAGCCTGCCCACAATCCTGACGATCCGGATGTCGCTGCGGAGGAGAGCACAGGTCTGCCAGTTGAGGTGATTGTGCGCGGCGAGAGCAGACTGGTGGTGGTCCACGACTTCCAAGATGTGGACACAGCACCACTTCGTTTCCCGGCCAAGAAGCTGAAGCGTCTTGTCCCTGCAAATGAAGGAGCGGACTCGGTCAATGCCATTATTGTGCATCAAAATCCTGGCCGGACAGCGATTCGCGCACAGAAATTCGATCTAAGCATACGTAGCGGCCGTGATGGTCCTCGACCCCCTTCAGCCGGCGTATTCGGCCGAAGCTTCAACCAATCTCAGGACAATTTCGAGGCAGAACCCCTCGAGTACCAGCCCGAGCTTGCAGCAACACCGTCTCGATCACGTAACATGGGTCTCGAATTCATGGATGACCTGGATGCTGCGGCTGACGCGGGCTACGAGCTGGACGCTGAAGAGCGAGATGTTGAGCAAGAAGTTATGGACCTCATGGAATTGGACCAACAATTAGAGCAGATGGAGGATGAGCGGCTTCGCGGGACGAAGCGGGTGTTCTTCGAGGAGGGTTAGAAGCTCTACGAGAAGGCGCAAACCGATGCCAACGTCCAGAAGACGACGCAGCACCACCACGAGCAGCAGACAGCACCAAAGAGGACACAAGATGGTCCGCTCAAAAGGGCCAGAACTCGGATGCGAGACAGGCACGTACACTTTTCTACAGCGTCCACTGCATCAGACCTTGGCATAAGGTCTCCCAGCCTAGGGACGCCAGCTGTCGCCGAGAAGGTGTTTTTCGAGGGATACAGTGATTCGCCTGAATTTTCGCGCGTCAAAAACCCGGTGGTACACCGGCCAGAACTCGATGACGAAGATGATAGTGACTATATTGACCCATCGTCAAAACTCGCCAACTATCAAAGCCCTATGGATCGTCCAAAGTGGAATCTGATGGACCCTCACAACTGGGATCCCACGGATCTCAGGCGCCTTGCAGCTTTTGGGGCCCACAAGCAGGCAAATGCCAATGCAGCTATCATGAACGACGAGAAGCCTCGAGCAGCAACGTCTGCTCCTAGCCTTGACCAGAGTTTCGCAGACGTTGAGGAGGAACTTATGGATGAAGATGATGAGGAGCCAGAGGACGACACGTTTGAGTTTTTGCGGAAGTCAGATAAGTAGACGGATTCCGAAAGGACTCCGGCACTGAGGCTATTCTGCCACACTTGTACAGATACGATACCCGGAGCCCGCCGTTGAAGCGGACAAGAAATGACAAGATTGTTGGACCCAAGGGCGCGGCCCGTTCTCCCAGTTGTCTCAAGTGCAGTTTCCCCATGTCTCACTACCTATCCATTTCTTTTAATCTGTCCGCACGGCAAGGTGGAGCACAAGGCGAGATCCTTCCTTGATCCAGCTCTGTATTCCGAGCGGTATATCAAAACAAAATCTCAAAGCCGGGACGTGGCGTCCCCCGTCCCGGTACGGAGATATCGACGCCCTTGCCAGATGGCAGGTGGGGTGGGCTGGTGGCTATTACGCGAATTTGACCATTTGCTCTCCCGGCCTTACTGACGCTCTTCTGTTTCACCGCGATTTTTCATGGTCAGATGGGAGGGTGTGTTGAGGCTGGGTGGTGGGGTGTCGACACATATTTCCTTCCCTTTTCGATGTCCTTTGTCCCTTTTTCTGCTCACATGATTGCTTCTCTGTGCCCAGCTCCAGCTTGGTGTCTCTCATAATCGCCTTGTCTAACTCGCGGCCATCGTCGATGGACGATTAGCCACCCCTTGCTAGACTAACTGCATTGAGCTGTACTGTCATTGCCCGTTGCCAGTCGTGCCAGGCAATGCTGACGGAAGTTTCCAGAGTGCCAAGCCAATCTCCTCGGTGTCCCCACTACATTATCATTGAGCCGTTGCGTGCGACGCCATCATCTCCCAAGCGGCCGGCTCGCCAGAGGGAGGGCGTCAGGGAACGTGTCGAGGGCGCCACGCCACTGCACGCCCACCGTTGAGTCGGTGCAGTCTAGCCGTCTAGGGCGAATTGGGCTGGCTGGCCTCTCCCCTGTGTTGAGCCTCGACCAGTCAAGCCCGGCCAAGCAAACGGCCACCCGCAGGATCGCCGTAACCATTCCCAGAGGGGAAGCGAGATCTTGGTCGTACTCGGGACTTCGGCACATCAGGTTGCAACCACCAACACAACAAAGACAATGTCGTGAAGTCTTGAGAGCGTACACGAACGTCCTGCATCATGTGCAGAAGGCACACGAGGCACACGAGGCCACGAAGACTACCAAATCAAGACAGCGGACAAGCATTGCTGGTGCGCGGGATGGGACGAGGCCATCAACTCGCCCAGCCTCTAAGACCCTGATTCACTACGGCCCGTAAACTAGTCTTGAAGAACGGGGCTTGGGTAAGTGGGGCGGGAGCTCCTGTAGCTCACATTCGCATCTCGGCCAACACATGCGAGTTACATACCTTCACATCTTGTAACTCATAGCACGGCTTGTCCGTTACGAGCTATCCTCGCGTGGATTAGGGTGAGCCATTGCTTTAATCGGACCAAGTTATCAGAGGCCTCAGTGACCAACTAATACGTCTGTCTGGGACATCTCTTTGACAGCTAGTCGCAGAGGATTTCAACCTCGTGGGAGATTGTCAAGTACATGCGATCTCGCGTGCCAGGCCCAACGGTCAAAACCACATGACATCCCACCCCTTGCAGCGTGTGCTGCACCAACTGCTTATCAGCTTGTTCGGTTTCTGTCTAACTGCCCCGGAAAGTCCGACATGATCTCGGGGATTAACATCCTCTTTCCCTTAATGTCATCATGTTTCTCTTGCCTTCTGATTTTCTCCTGCCAAGCTAGTGCTCTCCCTCGTCGAGCCCCCTGCCACTCTTTGGCACAGCCCCATGACACAGAAAGCTATCATCCGGCCCTCGCCGTTTACTCGAGTCCACTCGGCGGATCCCAACTGAAAGGTGCAGTGATACTTCAGATGGTGAATTTTAGGTTTTGCATCTTGATCTGTCGTTCCTATTAAGCTCGACGCCTCTAACATTCGAAGTCGCACCTGCCGAAGCATATCCAGTCCATCAAAGACAGTCTTGAAGTAAAACGCGCCACTATCAGATCTTGATAAGGTGTTTGCTATTTATTTCTTTGGGAAAATCTTATCTTGCTTCTCGATTCGACCAGACAAACCGGAAGACCCAATTTTTCGTCACTTGCTTCCTCGCCCATGCTACTCACTGATAGATAATGGCGATCGGAAGGGAGGGCAATGTCAAATGGGTTGATGTGAGTATTCAATTCCGTCGTCACTGTGCTCCGAGATCGAATTGTCATGCCACATCAGGGATGGATCCATATCTTGACGCGTTTTGCCCTGGCGTGCACGAGCAGGGAATTATGCCCAAATCACAACGAACCCCAACATCTGTTTGGAAGGGAACACCAGACCTGTTTGCGACACCTATGCAATCCACCTGCCCTTGACCCAAAACCAGCGTTTGCTAAAATGCCATAATTCGATAGGGCCTCCGCGGTATCGCCTCCGCGCTCGTGGTACTAACCCACCTCGCTCGCGCATGGGATGGCGAGCTGTTCGTCGCGACCTCGCAGGAAGACGCGCCGCCGCGCTTTCTACAGCTGCCGTACCTCCGGATCCTGATCCAGGGCCGCATCGGCGTGACAATCTTCGCCTTCGTGACGGGCTATGTCTGCGCGCTGAAGCCCATCAAGCTCTGCCGCCAGGGCAACCAGGAGGCCGCCTTCGTCTCCGTCAGCAAGTCGGCCCTGCGTCGCACCCCGCGGCTCTTCTTACCCGCCGCCGCGGCGACGGCCGTGTCGTGGCTCCTGGCCGAAATGGGCCTGTATGCTGTGGCCAAGCACCAGGATAGCTGGTGGATCGATGTGCAGTCGCCGAACAGGATCGCATACCTCGGTGAGGCGCTGGGAAACCTGATCTACTGCATCGTCACGACGTGGACCAGGGCTGTGAACGACTACGATAATAATCAGTGGACGCTGTTGCCGTTACTCAAAGGGAGCATGTGGGTGTACTCCTTTATGGTGGCCACCGCGTACGTGAAGCCGAGGTATCGGACTATGGCTAGTTTCGGGCTGTGGGTTTACTTCTACTGTGCAAGCGACTGTAAGTCTTTGGTCCTCTATACAACATTACTTTGATAGCTGTTCCTCCAAGTGACTCAAGACTGACAACGTCTCGCTTGCTTCAGCCGCCTTTGGAATGCAGTTCTTCTGGGGCACATTCATCGCTGACCTCCAGAACCACCCGACCACCGCACAATTCATCTCCGACCGCCCACGCCTCAGCAGGATCTTGTCCACCAGCCTCGTTTTCATCGGCCTCACGTTCGCCTCTTTCCCCGAAGGGCGCGCAGAGTGGATGACCTGGTCGCGACTCATGCTGGACTTCATGCGACCGATCCTGCCGGACAATCCGGACTTCCCCCGGTTCGCAAGCGGTATCGGGCTCGAGTTCATCAGCCTAGGCATCTTGTTCAGTCCCTGGCTGCAGAAGCTGCTGAGCGGGAGGTTCCTGCTGTTCCTCGGGAGGATGAGCTTCGCCGTGTACCTGCTGCACGGGCCGCTGATGAAGACGACGCTCGTGTGGATGCTGTACGGAGTGCAGGTGCTTCCGGACCACGAGAACGACCAGGGCGAGATGGAGATGACGAGGCTGTCTTATCCAGGCAACATGGCGCTCATTTTATGGCAGTTCCTGTGGCTTCCGATGCTATACGGGATTGCGAATCTCTGGATGACCTATGTGGACCCATGGTGTGAGAGGATGACGAATAGGCTCGTTGAATACGTGACGCTGGACGCGTCAGAGAAGCCGCCCGTGCTGCCGGGAAGGTGATATGAGCAATGTTTGTGTTCACGATGCACAAAGGAGGCTGGGTGTTGGTAGAAGACAAGCTCGCCGTTGTATCATCGTCTCGGTGTATATACGATGCACAATGTACTCCTACAAAGACACACACGGAGCGGTTCATATCAGATGTCCGCTGGCTTTTCACACTTCGGCCGAAAGGGTTGCTCCGGGCTGCTCTGCCTCTCAGTGCTCAACAATGATGTGAGAAAGGGACGTGGACAGCCATGGCTCATCTTCAGCACACGATGCGACTCAACGCCACTGCTGCTCGCACATATGAGGAACAGTCCTTACTGTTACATGCATGTAGGTTACACACGTTTCCTACCGTGAAGACGGCAACGAGCGTTTGAACAAACCTCTGTGAGACGTGTGACTGCATTAGTTGTGCTAGGGACTCGGGGGCCACTTGGGTAGTAGATGTCGGCTCACTGCTTGCGAGGAGACCTTGGCCTCTCGCATCGAATGAAGCGAGCTATGGGCGGTCTAGTAATGCAGACGGGAGTATGTTCGATGTGATGTTGATGCCGAGATTTGAAAAGCATGGAAGATCCTCGCGGTCCATCAGAGTAATGCACGCTGGAGGACACTACGGTCTTTAACGCAAAGCCCTTAAAATGACTCAAACTATGTAGCTGAATCATTGTGAGACCAGACTTGGGTTCCTTCTTTACTACGTGTGTTTTATGGAGGAAGCTGTGGAATGCGGCTCTCGTCTTCACAACGCTATGGATTTGCTCGAAACCCTCGGAGGGATCCGAGGTCATGGTTGTTGGCTTCAGGGTTTGCAACCATACCCGCCAGGAAGTCGAGAACCTCCAAGCACAACGACCACGAGAAACGTCATCCTTGCAAGAACACACCTCTTCAAATGCAATACGCGATCTCACATTCACTCTGTCATCTTCATGGCTGAGCTCCTTGACCGAAGACCACATGCCGACCACACAAAGCTCTGCGAAACCACGCGTTTGTGTTGTCGGAGCGGGGATCAGCGGCCTTAGGGCGGCAGGTCTGCTCGCCTCAGCGGGATGTGAGGTCAGCATTTTCGAAGCGAGACCCCGTATCGGCGGACGTGTTCACCAGTCTACCCAGTTGGGAGGTCTAGTGGATATCGGTGCCAGTTGGATTCACGGAACGGAAGGCAACCCGTTTGTGGAACTGGCCAAGAAGTCGGGGACGGCTACGGTGGCTTGTGGCGCGGTTTACTCCATGTTCGACATGCAAGGCCGCTATATGGAAAGGACGCTCGCCAAGGACCTGTATGAGAAAGTGTGGGCAATACTGGATGAGGCATCCGAGTACAGCAAGACACGGGGTCCAAATGTTCATCTAGGAGCATCACTGAAAGCTTTTGTGAGTGCGAAGCTGAACAAAAACGACGATGAGGAGCGTTTGCTTGCATCGGTCATTGAGATGTGGGGGGCATTTATGGGCGCAGATTACGAAACTCAAAGTCTGAAAAACCTCTGGCTTGATGAGAGTATCGATGGTGGTAAGTCAAAACTTACTTTTGCCCACTGCATGTAAGTACTAAACCGTTGGAAGACAACTTGTTCGTAGCGTCGACATATAAGAGACTCGTTGAGAACTTGGCTGAAGATGCCGTATCGCGCTCTGATCTGCATCTGAACACTGAAGTTATTCATGTCAAGAACGCGGAGAGCCTCAAGAACAAAGCCTCGGAGCACCAAGTGTGGGTGACGACAAGAGACGGGCGTACGGATGCTTTCGACCAGGTCATCATCACAGCACCTCTCGGATGGCTCAAACATAATCGTCAAATCTTTTCCCCGGCGCTGCCCCCTCGACTGTCGCAGGCCATTGATTCCATTGGGTACGGTAACCTCGAGAAAATATTCATCCGCTTCCCGAAGGCTTTCTGGGATGACGTCGGACGAGCACCTGGCCAAATTACCTTCCCTATTGAGTCACTATTCTTGCAGCCCAAATACGCACCCGAGACCAATCCAAATGAATGGCGTCAGGAGATTATCTCGCTTTCCGGTCTTCCGGAACCATACGCCCAATCTGTTATCATGTTCTTCACTTACGGCGAATGGGGCCGCCACATATCCAGTCTCATCAGGGGTTACAACAAGGAATCGTCCGAATATTATGAGGTACTTGACTCCCACTTTCGGCCCTACTATTCGCGTTTACCACAGTACAACGCTGAGTCTTCTGACTGCAAACCAATTGGTTTCCTGTCCACAGACTGGCAGAATGATCAGTTTGCTGGCTTTGGGTCTTTCACAAATTTCCCCGTTGGCCAAGGAAATGGCGCCGAAGATCTAGAAGCACTGAGACAAGGTATCGGCCGAGAAAGAGGTGTTTGGTTCGCAGGAGAGCACGTGGCTCCCTACAAAGGCATTGGCACGGTTCTGGGTGCCTATCAGAGCGGCGAGTTTGTCACGAAAGAGATCATTAAGTCGCTAAAAAAGGACAAAGAGGAAGAAAAAGTCTAGCTCACACAATCGTGCTGGTGAGTGGACGGTCAGTCCCTTCATCACTTTATTCTTGCAGATGTCAAGGATGTCACCTGAGCGCTGGACCGTCTCACGGGTTGCCGGAGCTACAGGAGGACGACCTTTATCGATATCAGATATTACATCAAGTTCGGATGAGAATGAAACTTCTGGGTTATGCTAAGACTTCAGGTCAAGTGCGGGCCACGAGCTTCCGCAGGAAGCGTACATTGAGGATAGAATTCTGCTGAGCTTATAGACGTAAGATAACGCATCCAAGGAGGTCACTCCGTGGCTCACACACGTTATGGACGGGACATGTGATTGTGTATTGGTAATCTGGATAAATGGGCTCTCAGGTATCTTTGGAGTCACTGTGAGTACTCGGTGATACTAGGCTCTGTCCACAGCGTGTCTACAGGTACACCAGGCGGGAAACCAGCACTACTCGATGTTGAACTCGTGCCATCTCAGCCAACGTTGCATCGCTGCTACTGATTCCCTTACGCAACATCGTTCTCGATGGGGCAGAGTACCTCAAGCGGCCCAAGTACATTGTTGCTCTTGACCTAGAAAGCAGTACCAACCTTTCTCTTCAAATCTCTGTTTCGCGGCCAGTTCGTTCGTTCATATATATAATAGAAGATGAGTGGCTGACCTCCGTGTGGAACAGCTGGCGGCAGCTTTGGCCTCCTGGGTCTCACCCTTCACCTGAAAGCAAGTTCAGCCCTCTCGCTTTGTCATGCCAGGCATGCTGGACGCCTTGGTGTTGAGATTGACCCGTTTCGTGAGCCGGCATCTCGGTAGATTCTCGCACACACCGATAGTGTTCTCAATTATGGCGAGCGCTTCTTTCGTAGTGGCCGGCTTTTTCGAACTGGTTTCCTGAATTCACTACTACGACGTCAGTGTTGGGATATTGGATGGACATTGATATGACTGACATCTATTCTCAGATAAGAGAACGGGTGCTTCTTTTCCTGTTTGACGCTGGCAGATCTCTCCACAAGCTTAGGTGTGTTCACAAACTCCTCAGTCTTGTAGTTCGAGCTGAGGCTAAAACTGCCTTTCCGAATAGCCTTCGCAGCTTTCATTTATCAATGGTTGGTACTTGGTAGAGGGGATATAATTAGTAGAATAAAAGAGTGTCGCGATAAGTGATTGACAAGGTATCATGATTCACAAGTGGATGAGAATTAATGAAGAGCGATGAACCACTCGAGATGTGCTTGAACATGGGAAGATACTAATAGTATTCTTATTGCCCTCATGGAATTGCAGCCCTCGAGACCAAGGGACAATCTAGAACGAAACTGATCTCACTGGTGTTCGATGTTTGAACGACCATGATACCGTCCCTGCATCCCAAAGGCCACTGTCGAGATCCGAATTATGGATGTTTGTTGTAACAACCAGTTATTGATCTTGTGTCGAATTTGCAGGCCTCAATCCGGATCGAAATGTTATGGCTCAGTGCATGCTCCTGGACCCATATGGAGCCCCATGGCTGCAGTGTTGTGGCATAGTGTTCTCGCTCTCTAGGCGACCTGAACGAATTCCTGCAAATTTGGGCAGTCCTATACCCCAAGCACGGTCCCAAGATAATAGGTAACGACTCGAAATATCTCGGGAGCCTAGGTGCACAGATCTTTTGGTGTTGAGGCTGACCTTTGCTCCCAGTGGAAGGATTTGTGATATTTCATTGCCAACTGACACTCAAATTTGGGATGAGTCAAATGAGTAACAGTACCGCCATGGCAGTAACTACCCTTCAATCCCAGTTTCGTTCTGCCTGCAGGCCCAGATCTCTAAATTATTCACGAACTGTGTCTTCCGTTTGATTCTTGATGGTCCGCCCAACAATCCTTGGACTGCATGAGGCCCCGAGAATAGCTCCTTTTATCCGGACTAGAATGAACTCAGCAATCTATTCCAGCCGGGTTGGTCTATGTTTTGATCAATTTGGAGATACATCGACGTAACGTGGCACAGATGCATTGCATCCCGGAATTCAGATCTTGACACCGATCTGCGTCTGAAGGCGAATGGAGAAGGGCTCTAAGTCTGGTGTTGCTTTTAACCGGTCGTCCATATTGGAGCTGTCACGCCCACTTTCCATAACCGGGCCTTTGAGAGATGTGATAGAACTTGATTTGGCTGCCAAGGTACAATCGCTGTGTGAAAGTTGGTAGAGAGGACCGGGCTGGGCAGTGGAGAGGAGGAGTAGATATTATCACCGGAGAGAGACTCACCGTGTTATGTCGATCTTGACCAAGAATTGCCGGCACTTCCAGCCTGGACCTTGTGTGTCACGACAGTGATAATGCTCGAGATATTATAATTACTATCAGGGACAACAAGCCCGACCAACAACAAGCTGTCAAAGTCCTCAAAACCGATCATTTGCAGCGTTTGTCTGTCTCGCTTGATCCTGCCTCCTTGTATTTTCAAAACCCACCGTTAGCTGTTCTCCTAGCCCAGAAAAAAAATCGACGGCAATAATCATGAAGTCTCTCAGCCTTGCAGTCATCGCGCTGCTGGGCGCCGGCCATCAAGCCGTAGCCCAGAACATGTTGCGGTTTGCCTGTTCACAGCTCGTCGTCGACCGTGTTGACCCACTGGTGAACCCTGGCATGGTCTTCACTCCTCACCTTCACCAGATCGTCGGTGGCAACTCATTCAACGTGACGATGGACCCCAGCAATGACCCAGCGACGCAGTCCTCCTGCACGAGCTGCAGCTTTACCCAGGACAAGAGCAACTACTGGACCGCGGTGATGTTTTTCAAGGCAAAGAACGGGAGCTACCATCGCGTGCCTCAGGTTGGCAACGGCGGACCTCAGGGAAAGTTGATTAACAACGGCGGCCTGGATGTTTATTATATTCCTAGCGGGAAGACAACTGCCTTCGCGAAGGTGAGTGGCCTGATCAAAAGACGGTCGTCGAGTGATTAACTGAACTCACTTGACAGGGTTTCCGTATGCTCGCTGGCAACGCGGCCAACACGAACCCCAGCAAGGTCAGCTCGGGCAACATCTGCCATCGATGCTGGACCTCGGCGAGTGAGGACAACTTTGTCGGCGGTGCGCCATGCTCTGGCTCTGACACGGTCGAGATCCCGACCGGTTCAAATTGCCAAATGATCCGACAGACCATCATCTTTCCCGCGTAAGTGGTCTGACTCTTTCCTATCGATTTCCTCCACATTCTACATGCCATTCTGAAGCCATACTGGGGCACGGCGGGCTGACAGTCTCCACAGATGCTGGGACGGCAAGAACCTCGATAGCCCCAACCATCAAGACCACGTTGCCTATAGCGGCTCCGGTGCAACCGGAGGCGGCTCCTGCCCGTCCACGCACCCTGTCAAACTTCCGCAGATCATGTACGAGTTGATGTGGAATGTCACAATGTTCCAAAAAGACCGCAGCATCTGGCCAACAGATGGCTCCAACCCCTTCTCGTACAGCATGGGCATCGGGTGAGTACAAGAACATGCTCAGAAGATCGCCCGATGGATTGGGGCGGTACTTCAGAAACATTTTTGCTAATCGACCTGTCACAGGGGTGCTGCCGCCCATGGTGACTACGTTTTCGGTTGGGAGGGCACCTCTCTTCAAAAGGCCATGGACAACGGCTGCAATCTCAACCGGGACTGTCCTGCAGCCGGCCTCACTGCCCAGTCTGCCGATAAATACAACGCCTGCACCAAGGCTCAGCAAGCCAAGGAACCTGTTGACGGATGTGAGTTTACTGTTCAACTTTCCTCCCCCTTCTCCGATATTGTATCGTATGCATGCTAATGAGGGTTGCGTTGCAGGGCTACCAGCTCTCCCCATGGGCGGAATGATGGCTAAACGATGATTGATCGTGATTCATTTTTGTCTTACAATCGGGGAAATTGAGGCCGTGTTCATTTTCTCGAGCAAGGTCTGCGTGAATGTGGGGCCCGACCGGAATAAAGATGTTTCTTTGCTTAATTTCTACTGAACACGTCTCTCGTTCAAATCTCCCCTTGTATTTAGACACTTGCATCCATCCTTCCAGTGGACATATTTAAATAAATTGGTCATCAGCCCACCAAGTCCGTTAATCTTCTGTCCCGGCCAGGTGCCACGTTCTTGCCACAAGTGTATGCGCGGACAAAATATGACGGCCCATTGCTGGCTTTTCTCGGAAATGATAAACTTCCTTGGGTTATTCAGTTATGAGGTTATACAATAGACCACATGTTACAGCTTAGAAATTATAAAAGCGATTCATTGTTGTCCTTTTCATTTGGGCTACATCCGGCTTTAGTAGCTGATACTAAGTAGCGTGACAGAAACCATTTCAGTCGGAAAACGAAAGCAGCAGACAAGATGATGAATACGAGTATTCAGTCACATCATTCACATGGACCGGAACCCACATGTACTTTGAGGAGACTAAATGTACAAAATGCAGGAGATCGAGGCGAATCCCGAGTTCAAATACGCCGGGCCGGCCGGAGCTCCCGGCATCTTATCTCAATTTACCGGGCAGCAACCAACTCCGATGCTGCGCCGCTACAGCCAAACTTGTTGAGAGGGGCCCGTCCTGTAGCGAGTCACTACCTGACTAAGGCTCATGCCGAACAACTGTATGTGGCCATTGATTAGCAAGTGAGTACTCCTCTCACTGCCTCTGGCCTTCCATTGCGTGCAGGGCTTGACCTCTGCCGTGCTCAGTTGCGCATTCACCAGTTGTACGATCGGAGATCCACTAGCTCCAAGGAAAGTTACACCGAGACTGTATCTGGCCTGCACACTTCCTTCAATCTCAACAGCTACCCGGGTGCAAAGAACTATGACAGCTTGATCTCGGTCAATTTACACAAAACACACAAAACAAATTTCTGTCTTTCCAGCCCAAGAGACCCTTTTCACAGCCCAATCAACTCAACACTCCGACTGTACCAACAACTGCACTAAATATCTCTAGCACCGTCACCACCAAACAGCAACAGCATCATGGCCTCTCATGACGTGTTGCTAATCCTTACCGCCACCGACCGCGATGAGCAATGGGAACAAAACCTATTAGAAAGACTTCCCGGAAAACTCCAAGTCAAATGGGAGAATCTTCGCACCTCTGACGGCTCGATGAAAAATGTGAAGGACTTGGATCGCGGGATTTTCGAAGACGTCACCATCCTATTCACATACGCGCCCGTCCCGGTAGAGTGGATCCCCAAGGTCCGATTTGTCCAGCTGAGCAGTGCTGGCTCGGACCTGTGGGCTCAACATCCCAAGTTTTTGGATAGTGGCGTGAAGTTCGCGACAACAAGCGGCTCTACTGCGTGAGTCACATCCCTTGAGAAGCTAGCAGCGACACCCGAGCCTGCTAACGCCCACGCCTTTTGAACAGCCCGCAGATCGCGGAATGGGTCATCGCCGCTTGGCTCAAGTTCCAACATTACTTTGCCGCGTACGAACAGTTCCAACGCGAATGCAGCTGGCGACCCGAATTCACACGGCAGATCGAGGACTCGGTGGGTCTTCGTGTGTAAGTAAACATCGATCTAAAATATTCATGATGCCCAGACCGCTGATGCTAATACTGTTTCAAGTGGTATTCTAGGATATGGTGCCATTGGGCGTCAAGTCGGTCGGCTCTGCCGGGCATTGGGCATGGAACTGTACGCATTTACAGCCAACGAGCGACCAAGCGTAGAGTCCCGCCGTCATCGCGGCTTCAATATTCCGGATCTGGGAGATGCAAACGGCGAGCTCCCATCGAAGTGGTTCCACGGAAAGACCAAAGAGGCGTTGAACGATTTTCTCTCTCAAGGCTACGATTTACTCATCATATCTCTGCCTCTAACCAAGCTCAGTGAGAAGCTCATTAGTGTGGAGCAGTTTAATTTACTTAGCAAGAGGAAGACCTTTGTGGTCAACGTTGCGCGTGGCCCCATTGTCGACCAGGACGCGCTGATCCAGGCTCTCGAGACGGGCTTGATCCGAGGCGCGGCGCTGGATGTCACGGACCCCGAGCCACTGCCTGCTGAGCATCCATTATGGAAGGCCAAAAACTGCATGATCACGCCTCATGTCAGTTGGTTGTCGACACACCAGCTTGGGCGGATAAAAGGGATCCTGGCGGACAACTTGGAAAGGTTGTATAAGGGAGAGAAGCTAATGAATGAGCTGACATATGAGACAAGAACACACCACGAGTGATGGAAGGAGAACACTGGAGATTTGTGGCTGTACCCTAAGGCTTTTTAATAGAAAGATGTGTTTGAAATGTAACGTGCTTCTGAAATATTCTAGGATCGCCTGATTGATCCGTACCACCTATCCTTCGGTTCCCCCACGGCTTTGACTGACGTGTATGCAGGCTCACTCCACTCTGGCTCTTCTCGATTTGACATGCAGAGGCTACATGATTTTTTTTTGTAAAGATTTTCTTCCGAGTAAGCATTATTTAATCATTTGTCATGCATTTGAAGATGAACATACTTCCATGATCAACATTCTATGGGTGACATGGAGAATGGGTGTTTAGTTGACAGTGTGGCTTAAACCGCCCAGCCCGTAGCCCGAAAGTCTGACCAGTCTAGAACAGGACCAAGATCCAGTAGTGTAACCCTACCCAGAGCTTCCTTGCAAGCGTGTAAGTGCGGGCTAGGATAGAACAGGAAGGACGTTTGTACCGGTGGCTTGGGTCCGAACGCGGATTACGACGGCGATGAGTGCATATACTTGTTGGAAATAGGGAACATATATGCACGTATTTTGCTTTGTGAAAATCTTCCTATTGGGTTTTAACTTCACTTCACGTGGCATTTCCACCATTGAGTGTCCAACCGTTGCGTCCATGCCATCCTGAATTCACCTAAAATCTTAGGCCTGCTCTGTTTGGATGGCGTACACAGTCTTACATCCAATTTTTTGACAGGAGTCCGGATTATCGCAGGGGAAGCTCACGACTGCAGTAGGCAGGACGTCGCAGCCGGCCGATTTAGTAATGGACGAGGTAGTTGTGCAGTCAGGGACCAAGCAGCTCTTACAGTAAGTAGCGGTACTCGTCAAGGTAGAGCAGTTTGGCTTTGAAGTAGCACATGTAGGACCTGGCTTGGTCGTGGTGATAGTATAGCTCTCCGTCTTGGTGACTGTGACTGTTGTATCTGGGCCCTTAGAAGTCACGGTGTACGAGACTGTTTGTGTCGGGCCGGGCTTGACCGTGGTGACAGTGTCCGTCTTTGTCACCTCATCCGTCTCTGTCTTGACCACTGTAACTGTTGTAGTTCTGGTCACGCCGTACCTGGGCTCAAGGTCAACCGAGCGTCCAAGAGCAGATGAGAGAAGAATTGGCTTACGAAATTGTTGCAATAGCAGTCACAGTCTTGGTAATATCCGAGCAGGTCGAGGCTGAAGTGGAAGCCTGTTCGCCCCCTCCTTCTCTCCTGACATGGGCGGCAGTGATGCCGCTGTAGAATCATTAGCAAATTTACATTTGGACATTGATTGGCATTACTGAATGAAAGAAAACAACTCACGTGGCAAGGGAGCACAGTATAGTGCAGAGTTTTAGTTGCATTTTGGAGGAGATGATGAACGTTACGACGCAGTCTGACGGTCCTTGCCAGTACACAGTGATGACCAGAACTAGGATTTGGGGTCTAATCATTGTTCACATTTTGGTTGGGTGATCGCACAATTTATATAAATGGCTACTCGCTGAGCATCGCGCACAATACTGTACAGCCCGATACGACCGTCAAACACGACCCTGCAGCGCTATGAGCAGGCCCATGGCCGGTGAACAAAACGTCGAGACACTATTCTTCATCTTGATCCCGGAAGGTAGTGTTCGACATGCGCGTGAGTTTGTGGCGTTACTATCTCTGTCATCCCCCTCTTCAGGAGTAGACCATCCAGTTGGGTCCAGTCTTGACCCTCCGTTCTGGCCAAGAGCAGTATATTGCTGTTGCAGTGAGGCTATCGTAGCTGCAGCTGGGACCTTGGCGGACAGATCTAGCCCTCAGCGGCCCCGAGCTGCTCGCGGCTGAATTGATCGACATTAAGCTTAAATGCAGGCTTAATTTGCAGAAGACCAAAAATACCTCTTGGGGGTTCACTAAATTCTCTAGCGGCCGACTTTGCAAGAATAGGCAGGAGCTCCTCCAGCCGAACAATCTATGGTCTGGCGGCTTTGGGCAAGTTGGCACAGGAATCGCCCACGCTCACGAGACAAAACCTTCTAGACAAAGGAAGTAAGGGCGATCCCAGACAGCATGTAGATTCAATCGTTGAACTCCCCTGACCTACTGCGGCATTATTTCCCATGGCAAAAGAATTTATCGACCAGACACAGACCCCTCTGTGCTCCAAGGATGAGCGTGCACAGAGTCTCATGTTGAATCCAATAAACAGAGACATTCCTCTCGGAAGCCTGTAATTGGCCCACACCGGAGGCATGTACTTCTACAACAAGAACAGCAGAAAGGGACTCGAAACACTAACAGTCTTGCAAGTCTTCCAGTATCATACATGCACCCTTCTCGGCGATGGCATACACTGTAGCTTGAAGATGAGCGCTGATCTGCAAAGGCATGACACTAGCATCCACTAATCGCAATCCCTTCACACCATATACCCTTAATCTTTCATCAACCACGCCTCCTGCGATACCACGATCTCCTCCCATGCCACATGTCCCGATAGGGTGCCTGTAAATCAACTTGTCAGACTGATGGTTGTATTAGGTATCAACTCACTCAAAAGCCAGTACTCACCAGTCAGTGATGGTCTCTTTCACAAGCCAATCCCTCAATTCATCGTCACTTTTTGCTGGAGCCGGTGGCACAACGCGGCCGCGGACTATGCTTGCAAGTGGAAGGGTTTGCGTAATCTTCTCGGCGAATTTTGCACATTCTATCATGATTTCAAGGTCCAGATCTCCACCACCTTTCTGATAATACCGTGGATCGACTACCGGCTTCTCAAAGGGTGAGCTAGATTGGACATGTATACTACCCCTCGAGAAGGGGTATTGTAAGATCTGTAGCATTGTCCCGTACTTCTTTCCACTTGATGAAGCATCTGGCTGAAAGTATGGATTCCAGTTGCCAAGATCAAAGATGTACTCAATTTGGCCCAGTCTCGGGAAGGATGTATCAAAACGGTCTCTCCGAATTTCGTTGCGTTCGGTAAAGTCGCCCTGAATACTCCTGGCTTTGGCAGTCAAGCGCGATAAGGTGTCGTCCGACATGATTTGAGACAAACTGAGGTAGCAAATAGAATTGGCGAGGATTGTCAGTAGCCCGGTGTTTTTCAACTTGTACTCTTCGCGAGCGGCAGCAGCAGCAGTGCTTGTCTTCAAATCGTCGGGGTTGGGTAAGTCAGAATCAACTTCGTAGATGGAGGCAGCCATGATATGGTCTTGAAGATTCTCTCCAACAAAGGGACTTGAAACTATCGTCTCAATTCCAGCTTTCTTGAGGACTTCTGTGTTTCCAATACCACTGAGCTCAAGTATCTGAGGTGACTGGACGGTCCCAGCGCATATGATCACTTCTTTGGATGCAAACACAGATAAAGTCTTGGCTTGGCTCGTGAATTGGACACCTTTGGCCGTCCAGAGCCCATCATGTTTCTCGAGAAGTATCTTCTGTACGAGAGCTTCGGTTAGTACAACGAGATTCGTTCTTTGGCTATGAGGCTGGTAATAAGCTGTCGCAGAGGATGATCGGGTGCAGCTCAGTGGATCGACTGAGGCTAAATTTGTCCAGGCGCCTAGGTTCGATCCCATCATATGCGCCTTGTTGTTTTTCACGCCTAACTGCTGGAGCGTGTCATGCCAATACTGATGTGAAGCTGAGTATTCTGTCGCATACGAGACATTGATGGGCCCAGAAGTGCCAAAACCACTCGCATCATAGTAAGCTTTGTCGGCCACCTGAGTCTCTTGGCTGGGTGCGTGGAATTTCTCCGACTTCTTCAAAAATGGTCTAGGTCAAAGAAACTTTAGCAAATCCTCCAGGGCAGCAAGGGGATGACTGACATGATGCCATCCCAGCCCCATCCCTTGCAGCCCAGCCTTTCCCAGGCGTCATAATCTTGCTTGCTTGCGCGGTTCCAAGTCATGAAATTCAGGAGGCTTGTACCTCCGAGGCCCTTTCCTCTGGGCCAGGGTAAAGTACGTCCCCCCAGCCCGGCTTGTGGTGTTGTTTCAAATTGCCAATCCAGCTCGGTCCCCAAAGTGGTTCCAAACCAACCCGGGATGTCTACACGTTCATTGTCATAGACTTCTAGACCTGCTTCGAGCACTCCGACCTTCAGAGACGCATTCTCAGAGAGGCGAGAGGCAACGGCTAAGCCAGCAGTGCCGCCGCCGACTATGAGGAAGTCGAAGTGGAAGTCGCAGAAGTCTTCTGCCCTTATCTCTGACGATGGCATCGTGAGGGGGAAAGGGTGGTTTGAGTAAGCGGGAAAAGATCTACCGTGTGCGGAGCTAAGAGCCACACTTTTACGTCGCACTTATCTGAGGGACGGGCCCAGGGGCCTTCTCCCGCATATGAACTAGAGCATGCAGTGTTGCAAATCACACAGTAAGCACGGCTTTAGTTGCAAGCAGGGTCACGCTCGTATAATAAAGGCACTCGCAACCTGCACTTTGCACTCCTGTATTCTTAACACAGTCACTCACTTCAGAGGTACCACCCTCATGCATTGGCGTAGACGCAATCGTTAGGATCAGAAATGGAAGAACAGCCAGAAAAGGTCCAAATCGCTGCCGGGCCGACTGATATCGCACTGGTCCATGTGCCTAGCCAGCACATGGAAAGTGTACCGGAAAAGTCTACGGCGACGGCGTTCTCAAGCACGCTGACCTCGACGATCAAAAGCCTGAACGAGCGTCTCGAGGCGCTGTCCGCTTTTGAGGCCCGTGGTATCGCCCGAGTCCCACCAGAGGAACGACAGCTTCCTTCGACTTCCAGCGACGTGCAGATCGCACTACTGTGGTTCAGCGCCAACATCTCATGCAACAACCTTATCGTCGGCCTTTATGGCCCGATGCTGTTCCAACTTGGGTTCCTAGACAGCGCTATGTGCGCGGTCTTCGGGGCTTTCCTTGGCAGTCTGTCTACGGCGTTCATGGCGATTTGGAGACCTCGGACAGGTCATCGTACTAGTAGGGACCCTAGCTTTTGATGTTATGACTGGCATGATAAACCTGTCACTGACAGACAGTTCCTCGACCCAGTGGTTGTTCTTAGGTATTTCTTCGGATGGTGGCCAGCCAAGCTTCCAACCGTTCTGAACATTATTCTCATGATAGGCTACTGCTGTATTGGTCAGTTTTTATCTCTTCTACTACATTTGAACGAGATGGCTATATTTGTTGAATATCAGAGGAATTTCGGGCTTCTCTGCATGTGAGCCGTCTGCTCTTATCAGAAAGGCTTTGGCGTATTGCATGTTTCTTCGGGGCTGTTGGCCGAATCAAACGACTTCCAGAGTACTTCCAACGGCTGCTGAGATATATCAAAGGATGACACGTCTAGCTGACGACTTTGAATAGACGGGATCCTTGGCGGTCAAATCCTCTCAGCTGTCAGTGATGGTACCGTATCCATTGCCGTTGGTATTGTCATCGTGAACTTGGTCTGTTGGGTCATCGTACTGTTCGGCATGAGACCCTTTCAGCAATACGAGAGGTTTGCCTGGATTCCCCAACTCTTGGTACTGTTCGTACTCATCGGCTGTGCCGGGCCCGCCTTTGATGTCTCCTCTGCTTCGGTCGGAGATGCGGCCACTGTGGCGGCAAACAGGCTTTCATTTCTATCCATGTGCCTGTACGTACCAAATTCATGGTCGGCAGCTGCTTCGGACTTCTTCGTCTACTATCCGGAGACGACTGCGCCGCTCAAGGTTGCGTCTCTGACCATTATCGGTTTGTGGCTGGCGTTCGGTTTGGTGTACATGATCGGGTACGAAACATCTATGCGCTGTTCCAGCACAGGACAACATGATGCAGCCCTCACTGATATCTGATTGGCAGCATCGGACTAGGTAGCGGGATCATGATGAATACCTCATGGGCTACGGCTTTTGACACATCTACTGGCGCTCTGGTAGAGGTCGCTTTCCGGCCACTGCATGGCTTTGGCAAGTTCTGTGCTGTAATATTGGCACTGGGACTCATCAGCAATAGCGTTCCTGGCACATACTGTTCGTCCACTTTCCCATCAATTCACTATTATTTGACCACAATTACTGACCTCTGAAATTATAGCTGCTACTATGTGTGCCCAAGTCCTTGGTAGAGCTTTCCAAGCCACCCCGCGATGGATCTGGAGTTGTGTGTTCATCTTAGTACAGCTGGTGTTAGGTCTGGTGGGTAGAAATAGCCTTTACACAATCTTGTCCAACTTTCTCGCATTGATGGGATACTGGGTCGAGTTCATGGTTCTGATTGTTCTCATGGAACGGTATGGGTTCCGGCGTCGTTTTCATTATGATTGGTCCAGGTTGGATAAATGCTACATGCCCGTTGGCATATCCTCTTGCACAGCGTTTCTTCTTGGTTGGCTTGGTGCCGTGTTGGGTATGTACCAGACATGGTATATAGGACCGTTGGCAAAGCTTGCCAACCTCTCTGATGTCGGAGTCTGGATTGGTATGGCATTCACATTGGTGTCGTTCCCCGTGCTGAGGTACTGGGAACTCTCAAAGTTTGGTCGATGAGACCCACTGGGTCTGCAACTAGAGGAGGACAGCCCTCCTCTGAGTTGGTTGGCATCAAGTGGAGAGCAGGACTCGCTAATTGAGGGACCGTCAAAGCTATTGAGATGGCTGGCTCGCCCTCTATTGTCTCAAGTCTCTAGAAATATCTACAATGCATGAGTGCTCGGCTCTGAAACAGGCGCAGAAGTCAGATGTGGCTGTCGAGGGATGCGCTTGCATGAGGAAAGCCCAGATCAACCTCAAGGCGCTACCCTTACGATGAACATCAAGTCCCTCTTAACTAGCTTACTGGTGCTGCCGAGCATCATTTGTGGTTATGTGGGGAAAGAACTAGGTTGGACATATACACGTTTGCAATTGAATCTAAGTTGAGACCAGTGCTATATGGCTTGCTGCCAATCTTCATGCGACTTGACAAAGAAACTTGAGAACCAGACTTCACCGAAGAGAGGCAGACCAACCGTCCACATAGCTACGGCACACCGAGCCACATGCCCAATCGCTCTCACTGCACAATGCAGCTCGCCAAGACGAGAACCGTTGGTACCGAGAATCGAGTCAGCGGGACGAGGCGACGAAGCTTGCTTGCAGTAAACACCGCGAGACAAGCCCAGCATGTAGATCACGCGAGGATCCATAGACCTCCGGATCTCCAGTGAAGGTTGACGCTCCAATCGCACACCTTCCCTTTCCAAAGAAGGGAAACAGAGCGTGGTATTTGGTGAGCTTTGGTGTGTCTGATCTACGTGGAGCAACCGCCTGACGAGTTTGTGATCGGCGCTAGGTCGTGAAGTTGCTAGGATGTTGTGAAGTTGCCAGGATGTTGTGCGTTTCAACCTGGGTTCATGACACTGCTTAGCCACTGAGATGCTACTCAGGAGCCGTTCGAAACTGTCATCCAGAGTCAAACAGATTTGACATAAAGATGGCAGCTGTCTCTCATGTGTCGTCTGGTTAGTTTTGGTTCATCCAGCCAACAAGCTTCTGCACTTACATCTGCCATCTGTTCTTAGCATCTGTTCTTCAGACCTGGTGTCTTGTTTCATCTTAATATTCAAGAGTTCTTAATTTTCACGACCTCAGATATCCATCTTCCATTTTTACGCAAACGTAATCAGTCTGTCATATTCAATATGTACGCTTTTCGTGTCATCGTCGCGGCTCTCTTTGCCATCAGCACATCGGCCTCAGTAGTCGAGCGACAACTCGGCGGCATTGGGTGCAACGTCGCACGATTCCAGATCCTCGGGGCATTAGGTGATGCCAAAGATGCCATCTCACAGATTCAAGACCCTACTGTGCAGACAGCGGCACAACAAGGATTGGATCAGGCCAATGGCGGGATTTCACAAATCGCCTCATCGCTTTTGAGTGGGGCTGCGGCGCCCGCAGACAGCCGTGATGCCGTCGCGGCCGGGCTGGCGGCGATGGACAGTGCCTTGTCTGCCGCTGACGAGTAAGTCAACAATCGCTCGTCATTGAGCAGGGCACTTCCATTGTTGAGGATCTTTGCTAATTCTAAATCTAGTTCCGATGCGGCTGTTGGTGACGCCAAAACTGCGGTGGCGGATGCGACGACTGCTGGACAGGATGTTGTCTCGAAGTGTTAGGACCCCTAATCCATGAAACATTCGGTTGACGGCAGAGGTGCCGGGGATTTTGCAGATGGGAACTGGGGCTCGTTCTGAAGCGCAAATTTGCTGGAATGGCAGGCAAAATGGCTTCGTTCCATTAAATAATAGAATTTTGATACCTAGGTAGCTCAATAAAGCTACCTCTTTCCAAACGCCTCTCGCAAACCGTTACTGCTTGTGTGCCTCTTCTACCAACGCTGATGGTCCGTGGTCAAACGGTGTTAGCAGCTTGGCGGTCCAGCAATCGAGGAGAGTATGACAGTTGTGATGAAAGTACCATCCTCACTGATGTGAAGGTAGTCCCCGGTGACCGGCAAGACTGTTCACGGAATGTCAGTGTGACTAAAGTATCTAAGGAGTGAAGAGGATTGCCTACCAACATCGTTCACACCGCTCTGAAGGTAAAATCAACAATTTTGTGATAGCAAGACCCATAGGATCACCATTAGCTGAAGTTGCATAGCACATTGCAGTTACTATATTTAGTAAGGAATTTAGGTCGGATATAGGACCTTTGCCTGTTTTCAAACAGTGCAACAAAAATCATTCGCGAGGAACAACAAGCCGAAAAGAATTGATGGTTGCCTGATTCCGCATCGACTTTTGGGCTCCCTGTTCTTGTGGGGCTTGCAAGGGCCGCTGGTTTAATCGGCGGGGCTACCATGTAACTGAAGGCATTGGAATAGCCAGGGCCCAGATCCTCCGGCGTCTAAGTGCTGACAGCCAATGGCCCAATCATCCGACAACATTTAGTGTTGCATTAGGTTCAGCTTCGAAAAGATTGCTGACTGCTTTAATCTTGTTGAATCCCCCTGAGGCAGGCCTTGGAAATCTTCTCTTCTCACACGTTCCGATATTCCCCAAGATCATCACACACATCAGTATGGGTCAAAGCGAAGGCCTGACTGGACCATGCCCACCCAAGTCGGCAGCTTTCGAGCTCACAGAGCGCGCAGACTTGGATCCTCTGTTATTGGAACCTTATGTATTGGGACCTGTGCCACCGCGTCATCGCAAACGAAATGGAAACGCCGCCGTTAGTGTCTTGCGAGAGACATGGACGGAAACTCTTGAAGACATTCGCAACATTCATTGGGCACGAGCAAGCCTTTGGTTTCTAGCGTTCTGCTGGGTCGCAGGCCTGATCACCTGCTTGGTCATTGTACCTTTGCTCTGGTCCGGCTATTACATGAGCTCCGCATGTCTGCCTGACGGAACTTTTTCTCTTTTTGAGTCCTACAATGTTTGGGATATCAACGGATTCTTTCAAATCACGTCGGGTTTTGGCGAACTCACCTTTACAGAAGCCAAAGTCGTTGACGTGGTGTGGGACGTTGTAAGTCGCTGTTGAAACTCATTGGAACCTGAGTAACTGCAAATGCAAGCAATCTCACCCCGAATTGAGCTCGACTAAGGATCCGCAATTTAGGTAATTGGCCGAATCGGTCAGACGTTACTAGTTGTGTTCTCATGGAGAGCGTTCTCGCTTCACATCAAAGCATCTACCGAAGAAGGACCCGACACTCGAAATGTTTCTTACCATACGTACTGGACGATATACATGCAAGACGACATCTCATTAATGGCAGTAATGGGAGTGATCAGAGATTTCATTGCAAGGAGAAGGCTCAAGTCAGTAGCGGCAATGGTTTTCATGGCCGTCACTATGCTCTTTTGTTTAGCTTGGCCGACCATTGCCAGTGCTATGACTGGGTATGATAGCAACAACATCGCCTTCATTAAGATTAGAGACGGATCACTCATTCCATTCTCTGCTTTCATTCCATTGCTTTATGTGATACACGATGGAAGCAGAATTGATGGTCTTACGGATGAGTACAATATTCCATGTTGCAGGACCACGGGTGGTGAGGATACTGACCCCCCTCCTTAAATTTCTAGAAGAGTTTTAGAAAAGTTCTTAATTAAACAAATCCCAGGTTACTCTGATCCTACGATCCAATCGATAGATTCCGCTTTATGTTTCTGCTATGATTTAGAAGATGACATCTTCTTGATGGGTAGCAATGCCTCGCTTTGTGAGTATTGCAGAAATTAGAGAACAGTAAAGCTACATGCCCAACATTTTCTAACCATGGTCGCTAGATGCTGAAACTTACGGTTTTCTCGGCATAAACAATACCGATTCAATCTGGCCTCAAAACAATACGACTCTCCCCAGCCCTGCATTGAACATCTCGGCCTTTCCCTCGTACAGGTTCGATTCGTATGGTTCGGAGTGGATCAACCCACAAACGGGCGAGCAACCGTTCATGGATGAAAGGAAGATAACATACCTCTATAACAATGAGGCGTATGATTTCAACTATATTATAACGGAACAGAATGGCCAATGCCAGCCGATCGGAGTACGTAAAATAAAAATCGAACCGCGATACCCCTGAAATATGAATTTAACTGGACTGACTGATTGGTGAACAGTCATATAAATGGGGATTCTCCTTCCTACAAGCAATGGTTGCCATGTTGATTCTGTGGGTCTGGACGCTGTCAATCTACATTATGTGGTTAAGAGCGCATATGAAGCTATCGAGCCGCGGGCCATACGAAGTCCCGAACCGGTACAAGGCGGCAGTACGACTAAGCAGGTCAATCGCTGTCGATTTCGGAGATGTGGACAGGGCCACTGATATGTCGAACAAAGAATTTTCTGCATATGTTAGCCGAAATTTAAAAGGCGGAAGGGTGGGGGCAGATCCAGCTATGGCGTTGGGAAAGTTCAACTTCCGAAGCTGTCTGAAGGGCTGGATCAGAAGGGAGAAGTGGTGGTTTTCCGCCTTGATTCTGTGCACTATATTCTGCTGCACTGGGTGGCAGCTTCCTTACTCATTATTCAGTCTTCTTTGGCTATCCGTGTGGTTATGGCCAGTGATTGCTTTTGCCTTGGCTGTTGGGACCACAAACAAGTCTCGATTCTTCTTTTTGTTTGCTTGGCTGCTTCTTGGGATTGCTTGGATTATCCCCCTGGCGGTGGATCCAGAGCTTTCTGGATACCTTTATCTTTGATCATTGATAGAAACATAGAATTAGAGGATCATCACTATCATAATGCAATCAACTTTAATGGTACATTGCCCATATGGTTGAAGCAAGCTCCTTTGACTTAGGAAGAACCCCCCCCCCCTCCCCGGGAGGGTGTTGGGAGACAATTGGAGTTCGTCGCGACACACCGTGAGCATCCATTTAAGCCTCTATGATATTATGCCTTCTTCCACGGGGGACAGTAGTGCGGACGTGAAAGCAGTTCCTAAGGCTTCAAGTCTCATCAATATTGGCAGCTAGCTAATTGTAGGCCTGCATATCCGCGTCTATGCGGTACTGCAGTGGTACAACCTGCCGGAGCAAGATTTTCCTTTCTGGATCATGATGGGAAATCCTGCTACATACCTTTTTTCATTTCTGTAAATCGCTATGCAAGCTGTACTTTCATCGGTTCGGGACCAGCTGCAGCAAAGGCGCAGACATTCACTTTTCCGCCGCCCATTCTTTGCGATACCCCATTCCGTGTCCTCAAAAAGAGAACTTCGTAGACATCGAAAGAACCTACGCCGAACCTCCTACCATCCCAGTGTGGATCCCCATCCTCAATTTGCCGCCCTGAATCCGGCTCTACTATCTCATCCGGCACCTTTGATACACTTTCACCGGGACGCCACTCTTCATTGGAGAGGTAGCTCTGAATAGTACGGGGATCCAGGCTCCAATAATTATCCCATCCGCTGGGAGGTGGTGGCGTCCAGGGCAGACTTCCGCGTAAAATAGCAGCTAGATGGTACTTGCAGCCATCATCTTCGTTCGGGAGGTTGTCGGTGTTCAGAGTGAGGAACCCTGCGCGGTATCCTTGGTGGTAGACGATGCGTTGCCACGGTGGACGGTAATTTGAAGATCGGGACTCGTCATTAGTGCCGATCTGTAGAAAACGATCTTCAAGCCTCATCTTAGAAGGCGTGTCTTCCATATCGCAGGAGATGACCGGGACCACGTGAGCCAAAAAGACGATCACGCCGTTCTCGTCTGGTCGGTCGTGGATATCTTGCTCGGGCAAGTTGACTGGGTAATTAAATCTGATGCCCTGGTAGGCGCTGTGAGTGTAGATGTGAAGATTGCGCAACTCATCGTGCTCAATGACCCAGTCATCTTCGTCCATATTGTGCAAATGTCGTGTAGAGGCAAAGGGCAATTCACCATGGATGATCTCCACTTCGACTGCCTGCTGCACAAGCGTCTCCTTTTCCGAGTCCGTTAGATCTTCACGCTTCATGACTCTGTCAATCAGCCATTGCGGCTCTCTCTTGATGAGCCAACGTATCACAGGCACTGGGTTCCAGCTCGCAGAGTTCTTCCACCCTCTTCCGCGGTACTTGACATGACCTTTCCATGCTGCCCATGACCAACTTGGGAATAGCGCATGGCCTTCCGCAGATCGCCGTTCAAGAGGCCCTTCAGCATGCCACATCAGAGCCTCTTCAATCGCAAACTCAGGCAATCCGAACCAAAACTTTGTGTTAAAACCTCGTCGCAAGATGTGTTCCACACCAGTAAATGCAGCAACGACATCGGACTCCCAACTCAGGTACCGCTTGGTGTAGTCATCCACGGCACGACGGTACATATCCCACGGCGTCGATCCCTCGGTGTTGCCAAGCGAGTCCATGAAATTCCGGGGCGCATCTATCTTGATGTTGAAGACAGGTGCTCTCGCTCTTCGCTCCTCAGGCTCCAACTTATCCAAGTCAATTTCCTCGCTCATCATCGTTACCGAATCCGCGCCCCGAATTGCAAGGCCCTTGTTCGGCCATCGACACATCGATTGATGACAAAGTACCAGGGCCATCAGGTCTGACATTTCTTGATCCTCGATAGCCGAGTATCGAAACGAAGCGTCCACGATAGGGACATTTTCCTCTAGCATTACTGCTCCGTGAACGCACTTGAAAGCCATCTGCGAACCGGTGAAGTATACGGACCGCCTTGATAAGGCGCGCTCCTGGAAAGTCCACGCTCGCGAATTCCACACCGAACTCTCAATGTCAGATATCGGCTGGCGTGGATCGTGAAGTGCGACAGCCAGGGCCAGCCCCTGAACTTTTGCGATGCTCTGAGAAATGGGACGCTGAACAGTACCCATACCAGGTAGGCCCTCGTGGGGATTGGCGTTTGTTGAAGCAACGATGGTCAACGTCCCGCCGCCGTAGATGAAGCCCATTTTCGATATAAGCTTCTTCTTGTCTTCTGGATCATCCTGGAGTATACAAAATGCATCTACCCATAAATACCGCAAACCGCACTCTTTCGTGACTTTGATAGCGTCCTTAATAGTCTGAGGGAGATCGGCCTTTGACTCATGTAGCGCATTCGGCAACTCAAGATCGTCTCTTGTTGTGGTCTTGTATTGCGTCTCGCTGCCCGTACCCCAGACATAAGACAAGCAGGCATATCGAAAGGGCATCTTTACTTCCCAGACACAAAGCTCCTCGGTGTCAATTACAGTTAGAGATGCACTCTAAGACATTCACTTGTTCTCTGCTTTGTAGGAAAGTATCTGTTGCCTATAAGGCAATAGTAGTTATGGCTCTATAATTAAAGCCTTTCCTCTCTCTAAAAGAAATTAGGAGTTTTAATAGCTAAGCAAGCCAATTAAAGTTTTCTCTTATTTAGTTATAAGCCTAAATCTTTTCTACTAAGTATTTTATAATTAAGCTAATCTTTAACTCTTAATCATTTTATTTATTATACTAAATATCTTTTATTAGTAAGCAAATTTTAAAACTTATTATAGTAAATACTACTATAAATAATAATATTACTGCTTTTTTACCTAATTAATAATTTTAAAGCAAAAGCAACTATATAATCTAGCATTCTAAATTTAAATAAAAAGCCTAAAATATAAATATATTTAATATTCTTTTTTTTAAAAAAAATATTATTTTTAAAAAACCTATTTTAGCTAACTATATAGTTTATACTAATAAAATAAATATAGCAGCTAGCATTTTAAATTTATACTCTAAAACTATTAACTTAATACAAAGCCTACTAAAGTAACAAACCAAATATAAAAAATAAAAAAACTTTAAATAAAAGGTTTATTAAGCAAAGCAACTTTTAAAAAAATAAGTTTTTTTTACCATTCTATTAAAAATTAAAAACATAAACTTACTAGTTAACGCTTATAATTATATTACCTTTACCTATAGTATATTAAACAAATTCGCTTAAGAGCAAATCTTATATAATATAAAAAAATTACACTTAAATAAGTGCTTATTTATAATAATATTTTTTAATAAGTACTATATTTTAAAAGCTAAACTAGTTTTAATTAATTATATAGCCTATTTTAATAAATAAATAGTAACTAATATTCTATTTAATCTATTTACAACTTACTATAATTTTAAAAAATAGTATAACTAAATTTACACTAAAAACAGCAATAAAAAACATAACTTAAAATTCTTATTTAATTATCTTTTATTAAAGAAAGTATTAGTAAATAAAGAAAAAATATATATATAAATAAAAGCTAAAATATATAAATAAATAGCAGTTAAAAAATAAGAATTAAATTACTTTAATATAAAAAATAATAAAAATAAATTAAATAAACTTAATTACTTTTATTTATAATACTTAATATATAAAAAAAGCAAATATAATAAGCTAACTTATTAGGTAACTTATTTTAACAAAATTCTTAAAAAACTTTAAAATACTTAAAAACCTCTACCCTTAAAAAAAAAGGGATTTTTTTTTATAATAGTTATTATAAAAAAATAAATTTCCTTTTTATTTTTTAAGGGTATTAAATTAGATAATTTTATTATACTATATTTATTATTTACTACCTTTACTTAAACATTATATAACTTTAAAAACCTATTACTAATAATATTTTTACTTATTTTCTTTACTAAAAAAATATACTTTAATTTCTTTATTTTTAATTTTAATATAAAATCTAAAAAAATCTTATATATTCTCTTTTACGCAATTAATCTTTATATTACTTAAGCTTTACCTTTTACTATTATTTTAACTAATAGCTATAATATTAATAATTAAGTTTTACTTTAAAATCTATTCCTTTATATTATTACTTAATATATTTAAACTATAGTTAATAAAGGGATTATATCCCTTTAATTAATTAATACTAATATTTTTACTATTAATATTATTATTAATATTTAAAACTTTAACTTATTCTTAATACAGTTAATAAGAGCTAAAACTCTTTATAATAATATTAATAAATATATTATATTTATTAATAATAAGCTTAAGTAAAGCTAGCTATATATTAAATATATTACTTAAAGTCTTTTAGCTTTTTTATTTTTTAATACTAGTAATATTATTTTTAATCTTAAATTTATTAAAATTTTTTTAGCTAATATTTATAAAATTATTAAAATATAAAAATTTATAATTATTAGTTAAAGTATTAATAATAGAATTTATATAATTATTTTTACTACTATTAATAATAATTATAACTAGCTATATATTAGTTATAAGGTTATTAAGGCAGCTAAAAACTTTATTCTTGCCTACCCTTATTTAAACTTTTATTATTAAGAGCCTAACTAGGTTTTTAATACTTATTATAATCTCGCTTATTACTTTATTTATAAATTTAATAGAATTATTATTTATAAAGAGGATATTAGTATAGCCTATTCTTTTACTATTTTTCTTTAGCAGGCTATTAAAGATATTAGTAGTTTTAATATTACTACTTTTTAGCACTTATTTTATTTATTATTTCTTACTAAAATTAGTAATATTATTAATCTTCTAGGTAAAAGTAATATTGCTTGCGTTAGTAATAACTATACTATTATTTACAGCTTGTATAGTAAATAAAAGATTAGACTGGAAAAGCTAATTTACTATTTTTATATTTATTCTATAAATATTTCTAATATATTTATTTAAGCTAAAATTAATTCCGCTACTAATATACTAAGCATATAGCTTTTATTTTTAAACTGCTATAATAATATATAAAACTTAAGTATACTTATTCCTATTCTTTCTTCTTTTTCATTTACTCTTATTAACCTTTATTAATAAAATAGCTATACTACTAAAGTTACTATTAAGTTAAAAGGATAAGATAAGCTACTAGGGCTAGTAGTGATAATTAGTAAGAAAGGAATATTATAAAATAAAAACACTATCCTATTAAACTCTAAGGCTAATATTTATATTTTTAATAACTAAAAGTAGTTTATAAATTTTACTCCTCTATAAGTCTTTATTAGCTTTATTAGCTAAAATATATAACTTTTAATTACTAGTAATAATAATATATTACTTATATTAGTAAATAAATCTAGTAATTAAAAATTACTTACTATTATAAATATAGTACTTTTACTTAATACTAAATACAATATTATTTCCCTTTTTTAGCTAAATATAAAAAAAAAACTTACTAAATATTAGAATATAAATAAGATTACTATTAACTATAACAGCTAGCAAATTAAGTTTATTATATAGTATAATAGCCTTTTCCAGTTAAAGTTTTATAAGCTAATAAATCTTATTTATCCTACAGATTATTTTATTAATCTAGTTAAATATAATAGTTTTATTTAGTAATATTATTACGCTATAGGGCATCTTTCTCTTCCCAATATAATTATCTTACTTAATATCAGCAAAGGCCTTTCTATTACTAAAGCATAAATTTAAAAAGTTATTACTTTAAGGGAAATATATTCTATTTATATAATTGCTAAAGCACTAAATAAAGTTTTAAAGGAACTTACTTATTAATAAAAAACTAAGCTTAGTACGCTAATATATACTAATATATAAAGACCCTACCCAATTAAGTTTTATAATAGACTTTGCTATTTTATATTTTTTACAAATAATATTACCTAGTTAACCTAGGAAAAGGGTTTTCATATAAAAAATCAAATTCCAGCAGTCTTTTATTCCCTATACTAAGAGATTAAAACTTGATTTAAAATTATTATTAGGGCATACTAGTTTAATAGAGAATTTTATTAAGGTTTAATTAATAAGTATTTAGAATATTACTATATTTAATTTAAGGTTACTATTACTTACAGCTATTACATAAGAGAAACTTATAAACGCATTAATTAAATACTATAAAACAAAGCTGCTCCTATAATTTAAAAACACACTATCACTAGCTAACTAATAAAATTAATTATAGAACTAGCGCTTTATACAATCTGAAACTCTAAGCTTCCTAAAAATCTATAGTTAAAAGCTATACAGTATAGCATATAAATAAAGAATCGGTTACTAATAAAGGCTTTTTGCAATTAAGTTCCTGTTTAACTTAAAATCTACTTAACTATACATTATCTCCTACTTATCTTTTTAACGTTTACTCCTAATAACCCTCAAAGTACTTTATTATCCTTAGAAATTCTATTTTCTAACATATCTATATAGCAAGTTAAGACTCACAAGAATATAACTCTATAGCAAGCTACCTATAGTATTAAGCTTAAGCTTAATTATAAATAAGTTTAGAGAATTAGAGTTTAAGTAATAATTCCGCCTAAAGCTTATAATATTAGTAAGCTTTATATACCTAAGGCTTAGCTAAAATAGTTTATTAAAATAAATAGTAAAGCTATTTATAAAGTTTAAAATAAGAAAAAGTATAAAATATTTTGTATTAGTAAAGCTAAAGTATAAAGAAGTTATAGAAAAAAAAACTTATACAATAGTAAATTTTTTACTTAAAGAAAAAAGCAAAAACATTAGTAAAACCGTTTTTTAATACAGCTTAGTAATAATAACGCTAATAAAGCTAATTATTACTTAAATTTAAATAAAATTTAATCAGCTACAAATAATATAGCCCTTAATAATAAAGATATTTTCTATAAGTTTAAGAATAATAATAAAAACCTACTTTTTAATAACTCTTTTTTATTATTAAAATAAAATACTAACCCTTCTTAATCTTTAAAAAATTAACCCTGCAATAATAAGCACAACATTAACAACACTACTTCTAAAACTCCAAGCTTTAATTACAACCAATAAATAAATCTCAAATTTAAATTCTTTACTACTACTATCTATATAATTATAATAAATAATTCCTTATTTAACAACTTATATATCTTATCCAATAATATAATAAATAATAATACAACCCCTACTAATAAAGTTAATTCAGTTAATTCTACTCCTATTTCCTAATAAATTCTGGAAAATAAAGCAATTAAGCATAAAAGCAAGGTATACTACTCTTGTATAATAAGGGGGAATTGTTATATCTTCATTAAATACATTAATAAAAACAAAGATATAAGGTCCACAATATGCACTAAATATAAAGGAATTAAATAAAAAACCTATTTTAAAATTAATAAGGCTAAATATACTTAAGTTCGCTATAAGGCTAAAAAGTAAAAACAAAAGCAAACTAACAAGCCT